CTGGTCATCATGGAGGCTCTCCACTTCAAATTTGTTAGCCACAATATCTAAGAACTTTGATTGATCCTTACCAATAGATTCCATTGTGGATGGGTTACTCAAAGCTGCGGAGTGATTGAAGGATGGTTGAAGAAGATGAAGAAGAGAGAAGTGAGAAAACATAATGTAAACAATGTAAACAATGTATTCCTCGCTAAAACAATTGATCATTCACAGTTGCCACAGAAGAATTGTCACCGCTGTCAAACGCAATTGTAGTGAATGTTTTATACTACCGAAAACTAACCCTAAATTAGAAAACGGTTTAACTTAAGTACAATATACTAATATAAAGTATTGTATTCTAGATAATACTAATTAAACACATGTTTACAAAACAAGATAAGTATTCTACCTCTAATAAATAATATATTACAAGCTTTGACGTCTTAACTTTATTTAAATATATCAATATTGAACCTCTGAAGCTTTAAATAATTTAATAATATAAACGTTATCCACAAGCGAGCCAGCAACACAACACGACCATGGAGGGTATTTGGCACAGCCAAGTAAGGTACGCAAGCAAGCCATTCAAATGGGCGTCAAATGGAAAGTAATGTGTTGGATGACCATTAAATTCAAAAGTATTTTACAAGCATAATGCAAATGTCAAATCCCATCTTCTAGCTGACATAAGCAGTATGCATTAAAAGCTCATTAATCTACCAGACTATTTCCTAGCAAACAATAATAAAGCTCAATTGCTTGATGTAATTACTTAAATAGTATAAAATTTGTAATGTAAGGAGATTAAAGCATTTCATACTATGGCGACAGGATATTAAACCATGGTTTAATTCTTTCACTGCAGTGACATTATTAGAGACAATAAAGCATTCTCACAACAGTCACATGACTAGACCAGAGGATTTCTCACCGCGGTGACAAATTAAACCATGGTTTGATATTTGTCCAACTAGAGTAATTTCTCACCGCGGTGACAAAATAGTCATATTAAACTACAGTTGACATTCATCCAACTACAGTAATTTCTCACCGCGGTGACAAATTAAACCACGGTTTGATATTTGTCCAACTACAGTAATTTCTTACTGCAGTAACAAATTAAACTATGGTTTGATAAATTCTTACTATATAAATTCCTAAGTCTAACCCTTTGGAAAAAGTAGAAAAACCCTCTATAATGACAGCTTGTAACTACTAAACACAAAGTGCAGGTAGTGTAGGAACATGGCTATGATTTTTGTCTACTCCTAGGTGACAAAATCAGGGTGGCACTGCACATGGATGACCTTGAACCCTATAGTGAACTTGTTAGCAGTATGCTACAGGTAGTTAAGGTACACCTTGGTCTACACAGCCTAGGTGTATAAGGGATAGTCCTTGAGGAGAATCTTGAGGTTGGCAGAGTACTTCTAGCATAGGCACCTCTAGAGGTCCTGGAAGAGAGTCTAGCTAATGTAGTACTCTTTACAAATGTTAAAGGACTTCTCTATTGAGTCCTCTAACACTACATGAGACTGTTGTTTACTAGCATAGTATGTGTGCTAGATGATCTAGGTATTGTACTACTGTCTACCAATCATGTTGCTAGCTGCTTGTCTAATCTAGAGATCTAGTGTAAGCTCCTTAAGCCTGTTATTCTCAAAGGACATGGTCTTGGCCATGTTAGTGATCTTCTTTATAGAGTCATAGAACTAGCTATAGATTAGGCCTCCTTTCTACAGGCATGATTATTTACAAGTCTTGCTGGTCATTGTATAGACTTTGTAGAGCATGTTCTGCTAGTAGAAGCACTGTCCAGAGCTGCTAGCAGCTAGAGGCTTGCCATTGTACATCTAGTCTAGAGTGTGCTCTAGGCAGCACTACTTTTATAGATAGACCTGGGCCTGGCTGTTAACTAGGGCTAGCTGTCTGAGTAGCTAGTATGTATAAGGGTAGATCTCCTTGCCCAGGTTGATAAAGAGGTAGTTAGGGAAGATGTAGGCCATGTTTATAACATGATTAAAGAAGACCTCAAAGTTGTCTATAGCATTAAGCAGGGTTGACTAGGAGAGAGTAGTCTTGAACTACAACTTGGTGTCCTTGATAGAGAAGAACAGCTAGGAGTCATGGAAGTAATGTAGGCCTAGGGTGCTAGCCATGACATCAAGGATGTTATGCCAGATGTTGGCCAGGTACTCAGGCTGTAGATAGTAGCTTAGCTGCTAGCAGGCCTGGTAGCTAGTAGTCTGGACCAGGTAACCCTCTACCTACATGGCCTATGTACTATATAGTATGTAGTAATAGCTTGTAAGTAGGTGCTGTATGTAGTTGGCTTGGCAGTAGTAATACATGACTAGGTAGAAGATCTTGTTAAGCTAGCTTGAGCTCTAGACCTAGGTCAGGCAGGTGAACTAGGTGCTATCAAAGAGGAGGTAGAAGAAGAAGACATAGATGGTAATATTCTAAGCTCCTTCCACCTGGCCTAGGTAGAAGTAGGGGATCTTCTTAAGCAGGGCCAAGGTGAACTAGTAGGGCTGCTTAGAGTCACTAGTGTCCTGGACAAGGTGGCTCTAGAGATGTATGTTAGTCTAGAGGTTTTACTAGATCTGTAGGGTAGGCTGGTACTAGATTTCTTGATGAGCCACAGCTAGCAAGCTAGCAAACCCCAGGAAGCTATTAATGTTAAAAACCATGTATAGCTCCATGGCCTAGGTCTCCTTAGTGTGTAGGCAGATCCTTATAGGTAGAGAAGACAAGTCATAGACACTGTAGAACATCTTCTACCATGCATTAGAGGTAGGAGATTACTGTTAGCCTAGGCAATCAAGAGAAATAAACATGTCTAGGAAGAAAACAAAGGGGAACCTAGGGATGCTAGAGATGTTGTTGAGCCTATAATGCATTTCATCTATAGCTATAAGGTGTACCTAGTATACCTTAGTGTACTCCTTGGCTGTACATCTATAACATCCTTCCTAAAGCTACTTGTAGAGTTTTGTCATAGCATGTACCTGCTTAGGAGTAAGGAGTAGATCATCCTCTAGCTCATCCTTTGGCTTGTCCTTTAGCTTAGAATGCTTAGACAAAAAGTCATGAAATGAGCTGTTATGACTATACTAGTCTATCTTATACAGGTAGTCCTTGCTACTATGTAGCCAGAAACCCCCCCAGAACAGGGTGGAGTCAGAGCATAGTGTTAGTATAGGAGAGGTAAGGCTTGGGCCCTGTACTAGAGTAGCTGGGTCTAGTGGTTATGACAGCTCCTCCTGGGGTTGAGGCTCATTGACTAGGCTCCTAGGCTAGTTGTTAGTAGGTGTAGACATGTGCCTTCCCTCCTTCTCAAGGCTGGGCCTCTTGTGCTCTCTGATGGCAGAAGGCTAAAGGGGATTTGGGACTAGTAGGCTAGTAAAGAAGTATGAAATAGATTGCTAACTAGGCTGGCTCAAGGCAGGCCTAGTGCTAGTTATGGTTGTAGCATTTGTTGTAGTAGTACTAGGTGGAGGCCTCTTGGAGTGCTCAATGCCAGGATAGTAATACAAGCTCTTGTACACAGAAGTGGCCACTATATACTATTAACACTGAGCATCTTCATGGTTCTAAGCTAGCAAGTCATTCTGATAGTAGAGGCCCAGAACTGCTAGGGTTAGGGGGGTCTTCCATGAGTAGAACAAGAGATTAATGATTGCTTCCCCTTGTTGTAGCTACTCTAGTATAGGAGATAGTTGAATAGCTTGAGATGTATACTTTTACTTATGCCATAGTTGTATGTGTACTATAGTGAGCTGTTGGTACTACAGTTTAGTAGCCTAAATGGCTACTAAGTTAACTAATAGGTAGTCTGCCATGGATCTACCTTGAGCTTGCTATGTTGTGACTCTATAATAGCAGGATTGATGCAAAGGAAAGACAGATAAAGAGACTATGGTCCATCTCTTGTTAGGAGAATACATAATAGTTAATGTAAAGAACATGTAGAGATGGAGGTCTCCTTGAGCATTCTTCACCCCTTGCCTACTATTAAGCTGTGCTTATCAACAGTATATACTTGTGTTTGCTACTACTACTTCTCTGTCTTCTCTTTTTTCTTTTCCTTTCTTTTTATTCTTTCCCTGGCTGTAAAGCAGCATATTGGGGGGGTGTAGGAGCTTATTATAGGAGTTGTAACTACAACATGGTGGCTAATCAAGGATAGGTTAGTTATAGGACAATGACAGTACTATAGCATGTTCATTGTCAATCTATTGCCTACTTGTTGTCCATTAATTGCCCATCTATAGCATGCCTATGGTAGAGTCCTATAGCATTGTAGACTAGTTAGACCCTGTAGATTAGTAGCTTGTTAGTTAGCTATGTAGCTATACAATGAAGTAATGAGGACTGTAATGATGGCTAGTAGAGTAGATTGCTAGCTCAAAAGGATAGTCTAGAATGACCTTGGGATATAAACATTAGCAGGGCAGAGTAGTATGTGTAGTAGAAGAATGACATAGTGATTGTATATACATTGTATGTTAATTGTATGTCAATTGCACCTTGGTTATTAGGTAGTTAACAGTAGCATAGCAATACAATAAAGTGATAAGGACTGTAACAATGGCAAGTAGAGTAGATTGCTAGCTTAAAAAGATGGTCTAGAATGACCTCAAGATATAAATACAAGCAGAATAGAGTAGTAGGTATGGTAAGAGATTAATGTAGCAATTGCAGGTTCATTGTACATCAATTACATACTGATTGCACTCTAGGTATTTGGTAATTAATTGCATAGTGGTTAGGCATCTACCACCTACTAGTAGTAGAGAGACTCCTGGTTGTGACAGCAATGACTAGAGCTTCATGTAGTATAATAGGAAAGAACTTGACTAGTACCTCTAGTAGAGGTACTAGTAGAGCTGCTACAGGCTGTAATTGGTGAGAAAACTAGTCTAACCTAACCATGGTGATGGTCTAGCTGGCAGAGGGTGATGCTTTAGCCTTGATAGGAAGGTAATGGTGATGGTTTAAACCTGATTGAGTAGAGCTTGAGAACTTGTAACTCAGGTACTTAATGGTTCTTGTGCTAGCTGACTGCATTGGACCAAAACCATTAAAACTCTTAGTTTTCAATAGAGGATTCTAGGATTAAACAAGCCTTGATCTAGAAGAAAATGATACTGGGAGAATCAGAAGAAGCAGGAGTTTCTAGTAGACTAATTTTTAAAAAGTCAAACCCTGGACAATGCTCTAACCCTAAGCTCCTAAGTTCTTGTATATGGTCAGGCCTCATGTGGTGGTGGAGTGGGTTGCACAAGGCTTTGAGACAGATCTAGTGTGTCATAGTATGGTTTTCTTTTAATTATAAATATTATTATTAGTTTCTTTATCTATATAGTAGTTTAATTTATTTTTTAAAATTTAATTATTTTTATTATTTTTTTTTAAAAAGAAGATTATAATATATATATCAAGGTTTAATATTTAAAAAAGTATATATATATATTATATATCTTTTAAATATAGAAAGACATGTCTTTAGTAATGAATCTTATATACTACTATGTAGATTTACATTACTCTAATCTTGTTTCAACTATCTATATACTTATCTTTTAACAAAATAATAGTAAACTAAATAAGTTATTAGAGTTACTACTTAAGCTAATGCATAATTCTGGCAGAAATTATTACAAATTACAGTCATTACAAGACAGTGACTCAATGCTTTATAAGCTAGAACAATTCAATTTGCAACAATCAACTAATAGTACTTGATGCTCATGCAGCAACAAAAAAAACTAATTTAGGTGTCAGTCTGGATAACAGGAGGGTAGCGCCCGCCAGCCGGGGTGAAGTTCTTCAGGATAGTGTCAATCTGGTCCAGCTCCTCGTCCGACACGTCCAAAATCTTGCCGTTCTCCTCCACCCGCTCAGGCGTTGACGATCCAGGAATTGGCATGATGGTGGTCTTCAGCCGCCGTGACAGCGCGATCGTCCAGTTGATCGCCAGCTGCGCCGGCGTGCAGCCTTTTTTGGCAGCAATCTCCTCGACCTTGCTCACAAGCTGCAGGTTCTTCTCAAAGTTCTCCTGTTGGAAGCGCGGGAAGTCAAACTGCTGCAGCAGCGAGTCCTTGGGCAGGTCAGAGTATCTCTTCAGCCGGCCGGTCAGCATGCCGCGGCCAATAGGCGAGTAGGCGATGATCGGGATCCCGTACTGCGCGCAGGCGGCTGCGACGCCATTGTCCAAGATATCGGTGGTGAACCTGGACTAGTCAATGCGCGAGAGATTACAATCAGAGTCCAACTGACGTACATGGAAAGCTCGGCCTCGACGGCAACAACCTTGGTATACCTGACAGCCTCGTGGATGGTCTCGGCGCGCACCTCGGACAGGGAAATGCCTCCGATCTTACCCGTCTGGACATACTCCTTGTCGATGATACCAAAGGTGACTTCGAGCGGGACGTTCGGGTCGCGGCGTGCAAACTCAAACATGTCGATCTTCTTGCGTCCCTTGAGCTGGGCGATGCTGTCGTCCAGGGTGCGGCGCGTGTGATCGGGCGAGCCATCGATCTGGTGGGTTTTGGGGTTGACGCCGCCCTTGATGTTGAGGACTACTTTGTCGGCATCCTCGGGGTACCTTTCAAAGTAGCGTTCGAGGAGCACCAGACTGTTGTAGTCGGGAGTGCCGTAGAACTCGCCGCCGTTCCAGCAGTAGCCTACATCGCCATGTTAGTTAGTGCCGGTTCGGTGGAGGGTGGAGCGCAGTCGGCAAGGGACATACAGCCGTTGGCAATGGCGGCCCGCATGGTGGCGAACGCTTGTTCCTGGGGCGGAGGAGTAGAGCGCCACGTCAGCCCCATCAGGCCTAGGCCAATGGGGCTGATTTGCTTGCCAAGGAGTTCCGGCATTTGAGATGCAATTGGAAGAACCTAGGTTAATGGGAACAAATTTGATTAAATTGTAAGAGAATGACTACTCGAGCAGGTGTTGAGATGATGGGGTAAGCGTTATTCGAGCTGCCCTTTATGCCCTTGCGCCAGCACACTGCAAACTCCGGCTTAAGGCCGGTCCAAGGACTTAACCCCACATCGGGGGTAGGGTGTCCGTTGGGGCCGGTGGAAACCGGTGGTCTTTGGTCTTTTACACAGTCAACCCGGACCAAGTTGGGAAATTTGAGAGTAGGACCAGACCACCTTGGGTCGGTCTTTTGAACATGCCTCCACTGGTCCGTGATCACCACCAACATTACCTTTTTAGGAAGTATATCAACAATCAGTCAGCAAAATTATGCCGAGAATGCTGGTGATTTGCCCAAATATGCACATTTATACCAGATTTATGCATAGATGGGTTTAGTTAAAAAAACCACCCACGCCCGGTCTGGAGGTTGGTCTTTGCCTTAAAGACCAACCCAGACCAAAGACCACCTTGGTGTGGAAATTTTGAGCAAAGACCGACCCAGACCAGACCAACGGACAGCCTAATCGGGGGACGCAGCGGGGATGCCGCTCGCTGATGCCCGACTTCTTTGTTCCAGCTGCCCACCCCTCGATCACCATGGCCATGACCATCCTCGTCCTCATCTCTGACATCACTAGCTCGTTCCTCCATCAGCCGATGCCCCTCCAGAAAACACATCACGGCTGTGTTGACCTCTGCTGGCTTCTGCAGGTGCACCAAGGCGACCAGCCTCGACTTCTCCTCGGTGAGGTTCCTGCAGGTCTTGCGCATGGGTTCTGCAAGCCTTGATAGGATTGTGCAGCACACCAAGTCCCACGTTGCATGGACAAACAGCACAGGCAGCACCAGTCTTCCTGGATGCTTTCCATTGTATTCTGCATTCCTTTCAAGGTTCAGGTAATAAGCAGCTCCCGGCCAGAATCCCACTGCTTGCATATCATGGACAAATGCATCAAACACATCGGCTGATACAACAGGGGCCCCTGTCATTTCCACCCCCGGCGGCTTCTCCGACCCACCCATTCATCCAATTTGGCGTACTCGCGAGATCGTTGGCTCAAGCCGGCCAGGCCGTTGCTGCGTCCTCTGCATCGCAGCTTTGCAGAACCCGGGGATATCCTTTTCATGTAGATAGTTTTGTTTTTCTTCTTGTTATAGCTTTTAGTTAAATAAAATACTTTACAATTGAATTCTTTATACTCATACCATGATACTATTTTAGTACACCCGGACAAATTTTTGGCTTGAGAAAAACTCTTTAGAATCTATTTATCTATTTATCTATATAATTAATAATATTATAGTTCTATATTAGGTCTTTTAAAAATAACAAAACTTCTTTTATAAACTCCATTACCTTTCTAAAATGATACCCAAAATGACCTCCGCCTGAAAATTCCACAGATCTCATTACTCTTCATTTGTCATTTCCTCTGCCAAATTGTAATCTACTTCTCCTCCTGATTCCTCACTCAACCCACGCAATGAAAAGTCGAGCTCCCCACAAATTGCAGCAATCGCCTTCCTTAACAGCTGCAAGTCTTTGTAGGTTTTGACGACCGCGACATGAATGACTGGAAGAGCTTTTGTGTCAACTACTGCTTTGGGAGGCGAGCCCTCGACGAGTGTGGGCGTAGCAGGGATGTGATCATCGAATGGTTCGGCCAGAGGTGCGTAGGGTGCGAGTGGAAGTCCGTTAATTATTGATGCGGAAAGGAGGCACAGCGCCGATGTGAGTGTTCGCGCCGGTTGGAGAAGGTAATCGAAGGAAGAGATGGTGCTCTTGGTCAAAGTGGCATCACTACTACCACTTCCTGTTTCAGCGTCGGAGACAAGTGTGCTTGAAGCATACCCGACTACGGCCATTTGTGTAAGGATCTGATCGAGAAGGCGTATGGCTTCGCGGTAAGCTTCAACGGGGAATCGTCCGCCAACTGTGATGTTCATCTTCGCCAGAGCCGGGGACGCTTTTAATTTGACAATGTGTGCTTGTGCCTGTTGCAACACATTAATTCTTGCCCTGGACAGTTTCTCTGCCAGCTCTCCCTGTAACAGAATCCGGTCCTTGGTGAGCAGGGTCTCGGAGACAATCGCATTATATCGTGCCATTAGATATGCGCAGCCACCGATCTGCGACCGCATCACAGATGCATCTGTTATAGGATAGGGAAACACTGTCCAAAATGCCGCAACAGCCAGTCCAGCAAGCACATTCACAAACCGGAATGCTGCAATTTTGTACATTGGATATCCAGGCGTTGCTTCTTTCTCAAGAGTCTGAACTCCAAGCTTCTGCACGTTCAACGCATACCCGACGCTTATGAGTGGCGTTACCGCGCTGACAATCGCGAGGAGCGCATACTTTGGCTTGACGACACACCAGTAGAAACTCCCAGCCATGTATATGAACATGAACACAATCACTCCGGCGGGGCGTTCGTCGACGATGTACCAGCAGACGTAACTTCCGATAGTACCCGCTACAGATGCTAAAACCCGTAAGAAGAAATTGTGTGCTGTGTGTCCAGTTGTGGCATTCATGGCGATGGATGTCATTACTATGGCCCAGAGGACTCGCTCTTTTACGAAGAACACGTGGGATTGATGCAAGTAAGATATGATTGCCAGGGACATTGTTGCGCAAGCAGCACGAAATCCAAAATAGGAGTGGGATGTGCGGAGGAGTGCTGGGATTTTCCGGAAAAGTTCGCCGATATGTTCGAGGAAGGTTTGAGCTGGTAGATGTTGCGGGTCTTGGCCATAGAGGGCGGCGTTGAGGGTATCTTGGCGTTGGCGAGGGAGGGACGAGTCGAGTATATGCTCCGTTGTGGAAGAATCAGCCGGAGCGAGAATATCGCGTGCCCACTGGATGAGCACTGTGGTAGTAGGGAGGATCAGGCGCTTCTTGTTCAAAGATCCGGTAGCAGCTTTTTCTTGGATGTACGTGAGCATTGATGCGGTGGCTCTGGTCGAGTGATAGAGCATAAATTGAGTTGATTGTTGTACTGAGATTGCTTTTTGGGATTTGTGGCGGCGTGAGTGGCAGTGTTCGTGCTTTTCGTCCGTATGAAGTGCATCTGTGGGAGTGTTGAGCACTGCACACTGTACCAGGGCCGCTGCTGATTGGCTGAGCCGTGCTTCATGGCAGGAAATGTTGCTGAGCAGAGCATCGCCATTCTCTGGGTCTACATGCTCCTTGCTCCGTGCGTTATCAAGTAGTACCGCCACTATGAATTTCAGCGCCTCTATCATGTCGGCAGCCAAATTTGCAGAAGCTTGCGCAAAGTCTCCCCACTGCTGCTCGAGCGGGAGAGAAAAGGCCGTGCCGTCTTTGCATAAGCATGCTGGCAGATCATCATCCGTACAGAGGGTGTCAGGCAGATCCTGCAAGCCGAGCAGAGGGATGTGTATCGTACGGAGATGCTCGAATATGTTCTTGAGATCTTTGCCGTTGAGACGTCCGAAACCCACATCCCTAACGGCGAATTCTAAATCTGCGCCGAGTTTCACATAATTTCCTTTCATGGCCATGTGCTTCGCCTTGAATTTGTGAAGCGTTTGCGTGTCTCCAGAGAAGCCTTTCGAGTGGGCATTATTGATTGATTCCGTGTAGACGGAAACGACCTCTTCAATGCTTGAGATGTATTTGCGCATTGCCCCGAATGCAATGTCGCGATTGCTGTGCGGGAGTATGAGAAGTGATACAGCCGTGGCGACACCGAAGCCGACCAGAAATGACTGAAGTAGCAGGGACATGAAACTTCTGGCCTCGTCCATGGTCCGGAAGCCCGGCCCAGCTTGTGCAAGTGCAATGAGGGCGAAGATAGTATAGTTAATACAAGGAAATTGAAACTGAGGCCGCGAAGATCGCAGCGCATTGGTGAAATAAATCTGTAGAGTGAACCAGATAGCGCATACGGCCGAAGCGGACGAATTGTACTCGTTGTTGTCTCCAGGCGACGTTGTATGCTTGCGTGCTTGTACGGAAGTCCAGAGCGCTAGAAGGTTGACGGCCGTGGCAAGACATACCATGAACACATCTAACACCATTACCTGAATGAATCGAGCTCGCGGTAAGATACAAAATCCTAATAGAGCTTCAATAGCGACGAGATAGTTGAGCGGTCCAAAGTGTTCAGCCCATGTCGTTGATTGAAAAGCTGCCATGCATATGGTAGCAGGTAAGGCCGACTTGATCATGGTCAGCAGGTTGTGCCAGGTGAGCCCAAGCCGGGTTGGCAATGCTGCCAGCCGGTGCCCGAGGCCCATTTTGAAGGATGCCCTTATGTCTCAACGGAGGGGTATAAAAGTCCCGAGCTGCTATGCTGATTCCGAGGGAAAGGTCGATCTCGAACACCAAAATAAACTTGCATCAAGTTGGTTCCCACGTGGTCTGTTGTGCTACCGGTTGTTGTTTGGACTGAATGTCCAAGAGCGACAGTCGTTCCCAATTGATCGCTATCCTTTGTCAATGGAGGCATCAGTCGTTGAGCAGGTAGCGATGTTGCACAAAGACAGTATGAAAGGTATATATAGAATCAAGTCTCATCATGTTTACCTCGTGTGTAAGCTACAGACAAGCCTCGGCATGACGTCAGGCGATGGATGATCTCTCAACCACAAGGGCGCTTCCTATGCCCTACTGGGCGGTTTGCCCTGGTAAATATGGAAGTACACGGCAGGGTTGGGTGCTCCTATCGGATCGCTCGGAACGTTTCATGTTGTTGCAAAACTAAGGCTAAACAGATGCCGAGGTAAAGTGATAAGTCCGAGGAGCAAACCCATCAAAAATTTATGCGAAAATAAAATTATAATTTTTGTCAAATATTTTATCTACCTTATACATTTCTAATTTATTTTATACCAATTATTTCATGTATTAAATCTGAAATCACCAATAATAAAAATTAAAATAAATAATCTTCCATATATTACAAAGTATTATAATTGGTATTCTTTTCCAATGAGACTGATTTATATTAGTCTTCTTTCAAGAACAATACGTTAAATATTATATCTGACAGTGGTCAAAATATACTTAAAGGCATTACCATTGATTAAAAAGAGTCTGACTAGCTATGGCCTTGTATCTTGGTTTTGCTCTACTTTAATCCTGATAACATTGGAAATTATAACCAGAGTCAGCAGCCACTGCAGCAACACCGACTGCAGAGTAATAATTATAGCCCTCTGAGCCGACCATATCTACATTGCAACAGCCACCTTGCGCAGTGGATGAACTCCCTTCAATCTGGCTCACACATGAGTTTGCAATCGAAGAGTCGCGAGATTGACTTTCGTTGTCCGTGCTCTCGACATCGTCATTAGGTTCAGAGTAAGAGACGTAAACGTCGTGCTGGTTTGGTTTTGGTGGCCCACCAACATCAATAGAATTAGGGGAGTCACGGCCCAGGCGCTTTTTCTCCGCCAGCTGCGGTCGTGGCAATAGACCTCTTTTGCTCGATGTTGGTTCCGTTTCGGTATTGAGTAATTTGTTTGCGCCCCACCACAAAGCAACAATGGCAGCTGCAATTGCACCAACGCCAGCCACGGTAGCAAGTGTTAGAGTACCCGAGAAAGCAGTACCGCCGATGAGCTCGACTGAAAATGAGACAATTGTTGGATTCAAGACCTGGCGTTCCTCTAGTGTGCGATTTCCATGGAGGACGCTCATGGCCACGTCGCCGGCCTGCGAAGTGTTGCAAAGAGTGGCCCCGCTTGGGGTCAAGAGCCGGAAAACTTCGCCATCGATTTGAGTAAAGACGTGACGAGAGGTGGATGGGCAGCCTTCTGCACTCTCTTCCGGAATAAGCAGCGTGGTAGGCTCTGAGACGGTGGCATTAGGATTTACCGGTATCCGATTCACCATCGCGCGGAGGGAGTCCTCGGCGTAGGCGGTTAGAGTTAGGGAAATCAGCATCACCGCTTTGATCTTGTTGCTGAGGGAGAACATTTTCGAATAAACCAATGACAATTTTGATGAAATATAGATTGATATAAAAAATCATAATCTGATTATAGGTGAGGATTTGTTTGAGAATAATCCTGTGGAAATACCTACTGTTTATATAGCCCTTTCTGCACATATGTCTTATGTCAATCAAAACTTCCGGGTTTTCTCTTGCAATCAGAATGACACCGTCTTGATCGCCCTTCCTTGCAATCTTAAACAAAGTAATAGGAGATATCTGAATGAGACACACGGTCAGTTGGTGTTATCAATGAGCCATGCATGATAAGTGTGAAAATGCAACCCCGATGATGAATGGACATTAGAATTAAAACGTCATAGACATGTTACAGATACTTTCCAAGCAGGCATATCATGCGGCGACGAGGTGTTTCAAAGGAAAGATTCCGAGATGAAGAAAATATGTGGCACAGCTGAAATGGCTAAAACCAGAAGGCCAAATCCAGCAGGAGGAAATCCAACGATCGATTCAGCAAGTGGGTCCAAGTCTTACTGAATTCAATTCCAATAGGAAAATACTTCAAATGATAGATTGTTGTAAACGGGTTGCTTTGCTGGTTGAGTTCAAAGCTTGACGGTATGATACTGCAGCTTTGTGGCACAGCAATAATGGTATTGTGTTGCCGAGGCTCTAAAGGTCCAAACAAACACCACTCGACCTGCCAATATAGCCCTTATCTCCTTATCATAATCCAAATCTATATGACGATATACAAAGGCTAAAATCGTACCCCTGTATACGTCTCCACAAAACCAGTATCTTACATTTCGCCCAGCCTGACATTAGTTATCTAACCTCGGCTGTGACTGCGGCACAGTAAGTACACACTGACAGCTTGCGCCCGCATTATTGATCGAGATAATCTGCAGACTCCTCAGCTCCGTGGGGGCGAAATTCAGTTACACAGTGCAGGAGTTAGATACAGTGCATCGGGATTCCGAATTATGTCGACTTGATGATAACAGCGCGGCGTGAAATTGTCCACGGAAGAAACAAATTGAACAAGGGCCGCTTTCTGAAGCCCCGCGACACCTTTACTAGCAAGGAAGAAAACGAAAAGTAGAATCAGGTAGGAGGATATAAATTCCGACGATTAGACTGTAGATTGCTAGGAAAGTTTCCCAGCATTGCCGTTCTCGCGTGATTAAGCAGATATTTAATGCATCATAAAGGTTTTCAGCACGTTTAAAATTTTGCAAATCATTAGATGCCGGTCAAAACCAAGCTTAGGCACTATCACAGGACTTTGGAATGACTTAGAGGGGGAAAATGTATATTTAATGAAATAGTTTTCAGTGTACGAATGCAAATAATGGGAGATTCCCTGGAGGGTCAGTCGCGAGAAAGAAGAAACAAATGAAAGACAATAATGACCTGGCACTTGGTGAAACTGGGAGCCAGAAAAGGCTATGGGTGAGATTCCAGAAGCTCTATGAAGAATTCAAGGAGCCGGAAAGTAATATGAAGCTGGTTCAATGCCAGATAAAATCCAAACCCGGCCGCGATACTCTACAGGAATTTCTTTAGAGATTATCTCCCTGCTCTGAAGAACTATACGTGTCGCGCATCCACCGCTTTTCAGGCGCATCTGTGGGAGCTCTTCAGCATTTTTTGAGCCCATTGACTTGGGCACCACTGAGTGGACAGACGTCGCTCGCAATAACTGGATACGTCTCATAATGGCGCAAGTGCTCAGGTATGCTGCGAAGGGTTTCTTCAAGGGTGGGGCCGTGTTTGCTGTACGACATAAGCTGACACCAATCCGGATTGATCACCGACTGTAACTCTCTGATCATGCTATTGGGGAGAGCGACGTGTAGAATGTCGCTCCACAATGCCCCCCAGGCTGCACAGCTCTCTGGAACTTCCACCTGCTTTGTAAAGGAGAGTCGCGGAGCGAAAGGATAAAAGTCGCTTGGTCCGGGACTTGTAATACTACCGGGCATCAAACTGCCATCCTTCGAAAAAGTCTTGCCAATCTTGTTCGAGCTCCCCCTTTGTATAACAGATTGCAGTCTTCTATATGTGTCGGCAAAGGTGTGAGAAGTGCATCTGGAAACAGAGAATCACCATGGTACATTCCGGCCCGAGGGCTCACTGAGGACTCTGTGAAGTAGGCTGTCGAGAAGTTGAAGCAGGTGTTGAAGGATCTGGTGAACCCGATCTATCGCCGGTGATCTTCTTCTCCCCTCCTAGTCGCTCGAAAGTATGGGCCACTCTTTCTTCTAGACTAGCCAGAAAGTCCCAGTTACAAATGAACGTGTCCAAAGCCCATTCAGATGCTGTGCCAGAGAGCCGAATGTCTCGATACTCAGGATCCATTATCCCTTGTCGGGTGGACAATTTTATTCCTTGGTGTTCCAGTGCTGCTTCCCAATCATGTTGAGGCTCTGGTAACCAAGCATCGACTGCTGCTGCCCTCAGCTCAATGTAATTCTTGCCTAGTCTGTCTATATCATGTCCGTAAGCGAAATGCTCCTCAGGGAGGTTCTGCCATTCATCGAAGAGGTTTTCTGCAACTGCTGGCTGCATGCCACAAAAGACAAGGGCTGCGGCACTGTTGAAGAAATCAGGGATGTCAAGGGTATCCCTGCTTGCAAAAGGGCTGATATACTGCGTTGACACACGTCGACATCCTGGCTGATTCGTTTCAGAGACCTGCCCTGCCTCGGCGAGGAGGCGAAGGTTCCCTTCTGAAATGACTCTTCGATGGTTTAATGACATGTTTCAATGAACTAATATGCTGAACAAGATTGATAAAAAAAATGTATTTCAAGTTGACCTGTCGCTCCAGTATTCTTATAAGTTTAGGTCGCTAAGTTAAGGCCAGATATGCTCTTTGAGGAGAACTTATACTCTAGGAGAGACCTGTGAATGGATTAGTTTTTGGGACGAAGTTTGAGATTGCCAGAATATGACAAGTGAATATGGAAAACAATACATTTTTAACGGAGCCATATATTGATAGCTATCGATGCAATCACTGGAATTTATATGCTTCAATTAGATCAATTAACCTTCGACGAGGCCTCCACATCACGCAATATGAATGTCCTGCCTGCCTCCCTGCCTGTAGTTGGCTTGTTCGGCTGTAGTGGTTACAGTTCGCTTGTGAAATTACAATGTTGTAATGCTCTAGACGTGTCACTGCCAAGGCCAACTTTCCTGTTTGAGAACTCATCCGACAACTTCCTAAACCGTTTGCAGTTCAGTCTATTAGCAATAAACGAACGTCATTGATCTCAGCTAGGGCTGCGACTTGGCTTTAGTTATCTTTTGTGCTGCATCTTTTGCTCGTCAACTTTCCCGCCGCCGCTTTCGTTGTCACTTGATGTTTTAACATCCGTCCTGGTTTATTACGGAGTTTGCAGGCCACGGCGGCTGCTATCCGTTGATTGAGATCAGCGATGTTTCGCAAGAGGAGATCACAATCCACTCCTGTAAGTCCCAGTCGATAATCTTCGATGTAGAGCAGATATCCAAGGCTTGATGAGCAACTCGCATTGTTTCGTCTGCTGATCATTCTTCAGCCCGCGCCTTCAGCGCCCACGCCTGCTGCAGCAACCGCAGCTGCACAAGCGTTTCTCAGTCACCGATCATCCAATGCCTCACTTTCATCGGCTGCAGCAGCCGCTGCTTTGCGCTCTCATGCGGGCTCGCCCACGCCGGTGGCCAATGTTCAGACTAAACGCATGGTACAAAGACAAGCCTCAGTCTCGTCGCGAGGCAGCATTGGTGGCACCGGCCGACAAACAAATGGCCTACAAAGACGTGGCAGTTCAGGTTCAATGACCGAGAGGACCTTTCGCGAGAGCCCTTCCCCACGACCTTCTTCCCCCGTTGCAGCTCGCCCTGATGCTCCTCCTGTCCCAGCCTTGCCCTCCAATCTGAAGTCCCTACCTTCCAAGGCCAATCGAAGGGCAGCGAGTGCGGAGCCGCCGATGCGAGTGTCGTCACCTACGTCACCAAAAGGATCGTTGAGAGGCAGTAGCATGGATAGAGCTGGCGGATACTCGACAAATAGAGGAGGAAACCGTGTCATGAGTCTCAGCAGCGTGAGCGAATTGGATCGCTCTGACAGCAAGGGATCAGTCAACTTTTCGTACCCCAAAAATTCATGGAAGTCTCCCCCAGCTTCGCCAGTGCCAGGTCAGCAGAGCTCGTCTCCGGTTCTGGCGAATAACCGTCCCATCTCCCCTGTCAATCGAAGCAAACAACCAAGCCAGGGTTTGCAACCTGCAGAGATATCCAGTCTCCAGAGCACCATTCAAGACACCAGTAATAGACCGGTTACGAAGAGGCAACAGAAACATGCGAAACATGCGTCTGAAGGCTCTTATCTTGCCAAGGGAACTTCAGGTGGGAGACCTACAGGCACGTCTGTTGCTGGCACAAAGAGCAAGAACAGTGAATCCCTCCCAACGAAAACACCTAATAAATCTCAACATACGACAGAGAAAACGATCGAGCGCAGGTCCTCTGTTGATGCCGGCACGAATGGCGCGCTGGCAGAACGAGACATGGAGTCGGCCAAGTCTCATGAGAAGGATAATTTACTTGGAATTTCATCAGAAATTCCAACTAGCATTGTTCGACATGCGGGGCAGTTGACGAAACAGCCATCGACGGTTCGTGAGGATCATGAACCGAGAGAGGCGGTCGATCGACAGGTCAACGGTACTACTGCAGTCTCTAGCTCAAATGCACCAAAAAGGCGATTCAAATCATCTAGCCAGCCGCCCCCGGAGCATCCAACTCTGACAGGTGACGATAACCGACTCAAGGTCATTGATAAAGCCGATGGCAGTATTCGCGTTGGCAGGAACCAGTCTTTGAGCCCAGTTCGTTCGGCCCACTTTTCCCCTACTCCCACCTACGCCACCCCGGATGGTCCTAAACACCAACCTCTGCCACGTTCAGTCTCACCCGCAAAGTCAGCGTTGAAGCATTCCCCGTCTCCAAGGGCTGAGTCGCCTTTTGGTCCCCCAGGAGTTGGACGTGGGTATACACCAAGCGAAACATCTGAAACACCCTCGTTGGCGTCTGACGAAGGTGGCCAGCGTGGCTCCCGGAAAAAGAAGAACGTTAGAGTCAGTTTTGAGGACGATTCAACTGTTATTGGTCAGGCTGCAAGCCCTCCTGAATCCCCTGTCGCTTTGAGTCAACATAGTCATGATTCCCCGAGTCGGGGATGGTTTGGCCTTGGGCGTAAGAAGCAAGATGAAACAGCAGATCATGCTCGAGATGAAGGACTCGATGACTTACTCCCACCAAGGCCCGCACTACCGTCATTTGGAAGCGTTCGCGGTCGCAAAGAGCGCGATGATGGCTCAGAACAGTCCGAAAAGAATCCGGAGACTCTAGAGACCACCCAGCCTTCCTCTATCTTCACAAGTTCTACCGGCGATAGAATTGAGATTCCTACTGACCAAGTCATTGACGGAACCATGGGACAGGACTCCGCTTCCAGTAAACCCCCTGCAAACGAGGCTTCTTTGAGCACTATCGGGGAAGAAAAGCATCTTGAAACAAACGCAAGCCGTGGAGAGGGGACCCAATCGGTAAACACAAAGGGCACAGTCGACCAACAAAATCATAAAGTTGAAAAGCCTCCGTCCAATACCGTTGTTAATGGCACTGGGTCTGCCAAGGATGTGCCATTCGATGATGACGTACCGGCAATCGCAGTAGTCCCAGCTACTCCAGCGCTTGAAGAGACTGAATCATGGCTTGGCATGCCGGGGACGTTTCCAACATCAGCGGATAGTTTGGAAGACAAGGAGCCAAAGACTCGGAAATCGAAAGCTTCTCGACCGGTCCTGAACATTTCAAAGGCTTCTCGAGCGACTGGTGCGGACCGACGCGATACATCTCGAGAGGAAGATTCAGACGATAGTAATAGTATCTACAGCGATGCTGCAGAGGACTTGTCTGATTTTGAAGGGGATGGTTTCGGGTCAATAAACGCGATCGTAGAGAGTCCGACCCTTGAGCCTGGCTTAGCTATAACAACACCGCCGGAAAGTCCATCAATTCAATTGAGTCAGCAAAGCATGGCCAGACCGCTTGAGGAGCCCGATGAACCCGCCAGCAACGAAGGATGGGATAAGGCAAGGGCTTACTGGAGCAGCCTTAGCGATCAGAGAAGACAGGAGATTGAAGCTGAGGCGGCCGAGAAGGGTCCTCATCCTCCAGGCGACCTGTTTGGTGGACGCTTGGATCAAGAAGCGGTGCGACGTACTAGACAAGACAAAACGGCCCGCACCACTAATGGCACGACCGGAAAGTCTGTACGACTGGAAAAAGCAACACCATCCTCAGTCAAAAAGTCTCCCACTGGCCCCGCACCGGTTCCGCAAAAGAGCGCTCTTCGAAAGCAGACATCACCAACATCCACAGGAGCTGCCGGTCTATCTTCATCATTGTCATCAGGGTCAGCGGCCCAATATAGTCTTGCCGCTCCAAGAACTCGCCAGAGTAGCAAGCCAAGTCCAGCAATGAGTCCCAATGACAGTGACTCGGACGCCTCAGCTAGTAGCTTCAGAAAACGGCGTCGATCGGCTTCAGACTCTGGACGAGTCTCGATGAGACGTACGATGAGAGGATCGTCTGAAGCAGCTAACGATGGTCGACCCCTCTCAAGTGCCGGTGCTGGCTCTGGCAAATATAGTCTTCGGTCTGCCTCTCCTACGGGATCCACTGCTACAAGGCCGATGAGTCCTTCAATGTCTACCAGAAGTATGCGCACTTCTATGCGCTCGCCCAGCAACAAAGCGCCGTCTCTTCGCAACAAACGAGCAGAGCCCCCATCCTCCCCTAGCCTGTTTCCAGGCTTTGGAAAGGCAAAGGGGAAAAAGTCGACGCGCTCCTCTTCCACGCGATTCTCAAGCCGCTTTGCGGACTCTAGCGATGAAGATGATATCGGACTGTCATCACGTTTTCGTAGTCGCTTCAATGATTCCAGCGACGAAGAACTTCCAACGAAGCTAGCTCCTGTGCGCGGTATCCCGCGAAAGAAGGGCCAGGAAGATGGTGACTCTACGGATCTTTCTGACAGCTCAGGCGATGAAGAGGCCCCATCGCGTCAAATTCCATCAACGAGTCGGGTGAATGAGTCGAATGCACAGACTTCAGGCCATCTTCGTCAAACCTCGGTCTCAAAGGAATTTCAGGCGCCTATTGAGCCAACAAAGGCACAGAATAGGCGATCATTCTTTGGCTCACTGGGTCGCAAAAAGGGCGCTCTGAAAGACACTCCACCTTTCACTGAGCTTGGTGCCGTTGGTGTCAGTCAGCCTGAGCACAACGAAACCAATGGTCATGGAGCTCAGTCTTCGCCTCGAAACCCAAAACTTCGCAGGCGCAATACCCCTTCCTACGTCAGAGCGGCGACCGCGGACACGACATCGAGCGATCGGCCCAAGACATCAGATGGCGCAGTCGGCGCATCGTCGCGACCAGACTTGGGAACCCGACGCGCCACCGACGAACAAAACAGACACTCTTCTTACGACCCAGCATACGGCAGGTCGGGGAAGAAGAAGAAATTCCCAAAATTGCGAAAAGTCTTTGGACTACTTTAATATAATTGTTTAATGCGACAGCGAAGAAAACGCGAGGAATGATGGGATGGCATACGTTTACGATTTGAGATGGGATGGATAGGCCACGGGATGGATAGGCCACGGGGAGAGTTAATGTGTTTTGCAATCTGGATAATGGGATAAATTGATGGAAATGGATTTGCTTTGTATATACCCTCACGGCTTTAGTTTTTGTTTCTTGTCTCTTTTTTTTTTTTTTTTTTTTTTTTTTTTTTTTTTTTTTTTTTCATGATTTTAATACTGAATGCTAATTTTATTTCTCATGAGTCTTTTTGGATGTGAAGTGCCGAATTGAATAGAGTCGTTTATCTTTAACAAGATACCGTAAAGGTCAAGATTAAATATTTGCTAGAGAAATGAATGCTCCATCTCAGCGACTAGCCGTGTTAATGTCATGAATCGGGATAAGTTTAATCGTTGGCATTCTCAGCGGTCTTGCGATCTCTACGATGAAATCTCACAGTGCTCAAGTTCTCCTTGGAGTCTCCTTGGAAATGAGCGAATAGGATATGTCGAGTAGAATATAACTTGCACGGTCGCACACCAAGGTCCCGTTCAGCGAGGTTCTGTCTCTATACGGGTGTGGTTCTACTAGACTCTCAACACAAAGATAAAAATGCGCAATGCGAAATTTGTTTGCATTAAATGCTGTAAGGTAAATCTTTGCATATACAAAGGTAAATATATGATCAAATCAATGACACAATATATAACGAATATTAAAAAAAAATAATGACAATAATAACAATATAATAATAATAATAATAACAACAAAATAGCAATAAAATAAAATATATTCGTCATGGTATATAACAGTCATCTCTATAAACTCTATAAACTCTATAATTGTAAAACTGGATCGATCATGAACTCAAATACTCCTTCAAGGGCTGCAGCTTGCCCTTGAAAAACTCGTAGCCCGTATACGTCAGGGCCTGGCCCGGGCCGACGCGCAGGATGCGAGGCGTGACGCCCTTGTACAGCGCATGGTAGCCTTCCTGCTTGAACATGTCGCGGGCAATGTGCAGGATGTGGGTGAGGCCAGTTTCGCCTGGTTTCATGGGAGATTGCTGGACGCGGGTTTCTGCAATAGTCATTAGCCACAGTAACTCTCGGCTCTCTGAAGGACATGACATACTCAGCGTATCAATGGGCGCGTTGAACAGCGGGCCTGAGCCGCCGGCGACAAGACCACAGAGTGCCGTCTGGTACGCGGGCAGATCGGCGTTGGAGTATGCTGGCTGAGACTCGCGCAGGAATTGCTTTAGTTTTGTGTACACGGTCAGATTGACTACGGCGGGGGTCAGCACACGTGAATGGAATTATGCAAGAGAATAGAAAGGGCTTTTGACTTACCGGCTTGATTCGTGCCTTGTCGAAGCGCCGTCAGGAAGACGCCATTATATAATGCGAAGAATCCTTCTTCGCGGCAAATGACATAGACGGCGTGGGCGACGTTGCGATATTTGGGACCGGTCGCTCCATCCGCGAATGAATGAGATTGGCCTTGGAGACGGACTTTGAGCACTTCCATGGGCGTGACCACCGTCACTGCCTCGGTGACACCAGCAGCCAGACCAGCTATTATTCAATTTAGCGATTTTGTATCTCAATTTGGAATGCTCTATTGCCAATGGACAGATGGAACTATCTGGCCTTACCTGCAAGAATGGCCTTGTCGGTCAATGCGCCGGTTTCCTTGTCGGCCAGCATGGGCTTATACGTTTCGAAACTCGCGAATCGGACACCCATTTTCGGGATAATGCCCCAGAATACCGCGCCGAACCCTCGATATATTGCCAGCGGACCGTCATTTTTGATAATGTTGCTCCCTGTTCGGAGAAAGCCTACTCTTGGGGACTGAACGCGCACAATCATCGAGTTAGCGCGATTCGCTCATACGACGAGTTTGTGGGAGATGTCGGTAGGAGGTGGACGTACACCAGGAACGCGAGCTTTCTTCGACAATTGCATTTGCACCTTGACCGTATCTGATACACTGTCAGTTTGAGATTTTGGAGATTCAGATACCAAGTTCAACGTACCTAGAGGATGGCATGCAGTGGCTTCCATGATGCCGCCCGCACCACCAGCTTCATGTTCTCGTCAATCACCAATTCTTTTACCTCGCGAAAACTCTGCTATGCAGCGACATTGTAACAGCATCATACCGATTAAATTTATTATCGCGTTCGCGCGCTTCTCTTTGGCCTTGCTCGGCACCGGCCGCTGCTCCAGTCGCGGAGTGACCACATGATTTACCGGCTGAGCCTGCTGCTGATAGTCCATTGTTGATGTGCAAAGCAGGAACTTGTATCGACCTGCTTCAGAGGGGGTAAGGGTAGCGGGGGAGCAAGCTAAACAACGAGTAGGGCTGTCGAACAAAAGGAATCAAGGCAGTGCCATCGAATGCATGTAATTCAATCTAGCCCCCGACAACCATATGGCAAACCAGGCTCCAAAGTCAAGAAGAACAAGGTTTCTCCAGGCACTGTGGGTGGACGATTAGATGGAAGATGGATAATGAAGTAGCACGATGAGGGCGGTCAATAATTGCTCAACGAGTGATGCGAGGCAGCAACGTGAGATGTGCACATGGTGCAGCTGATAGGGCAGCTGATAAGCACATTTTGAATCAGCACCCATGGTAACTTGACGATGCGCGGAGATAGACGTGGACGCGTAGAAGCAGCACAATGACAGGGATCAGAACCTCATCGCAGCAGTAGCAACATCATCATCAACAACAACAACAACGACAGCACCAGCACCAGCAGTGTTTACGATATGCAATGCAACCAACTAGAAGAGCTATCGGTAGCGAAAAACGGGATGACCTCAGAAGAGGTGAGTCAAAATGAGGGTTTGTGTGCGAGAGAAATTTATCCGAACGCCCTGACGACGCCACCACCACCACCACCACCATCTCGGCAGGCAATTTTGCTAGTGCGACGGCAACTATCGAAGCGCGGACGTGTTGGCAAAGGACCGGACATGATAGCATGTGCTGTAGTCATTGCTTGGCTACAGATTAGTGAAACTTTGACGATAGGGACAAAGAGAGTGAGGGAGAGGAACGAGGGAGAGGGAGAGAAAGAGTGAGAGAGAGAGAGAGTGAGAGAGAGATTTTGCTGACGTTAGCGGCGTCAATCAGATGGCGAAATATATTGTGCCAAGCCTTGGTTGCAGATACTATTAACTTGGCGACAACAACAACGACCCAATACGGAGTTTTCTCTCCGAGTGAGAACCCTTCTGCGCCGCAAAGTGGGGCCTCGTAAGGTTACGAATATGAGTAATAACATTATTATTCTTATCCCCTGTTGTGCATGTGCCTGTCGGCTCATCAGCGTTAATGCAAAAGATCTTGTGGTGGCAACACACGCTTTTCTCTCACGCTGCAGTTGCATCTCATGTATCGTAGTATGGTGCGATACCGGCAAGTTCAGGGAACACACATGTCGACGCAATCAAGGATGCGCTGTAATTCTTCTAGTCTTGGGCAGCAAACAAGCCAGAGTGCTTGCGTGGGGGCAGAAGATATCAAGCACGCTAGCTGGGGTGGGAGAATAATACCATATCCGCCGTCGAGGGTTCTACTGGTATCAGTTTGGAGGATTTTCTGGTATGAGACAGTAACGGAGTCGTGGCTTCGTACTCGTAGATGCTCTGGGTGGTCGTTCTCTTGTCTCTTTGCCAAGTAGAAGTGATAGAAGAGGTTAGTGTGGCCCGGTGTGGCCCGGTGCCCAGACGGGCTGACCGACGGTTCACGCAAGAAAAGGAGCGATGGGAGCTGAAGTGGAGATCCGGGCCGCTTTCTTGGCGCGTCTTGGCATCGCTCGCCGCTCCACCCAAAGACTAATTTTTTCCCCGTCCCATTCATCATCCTCATCATCATCCACTCATCATCGTCGAGCACTTTATTGGCCTTGCCCTCACCGGCAATCCTATCTCTCCCTATCTTCCAAGTGCGATCAAACCCCAAACGGGGAAGTCAACAATTAATCACAGTAACTGGGTCTTGAAACACCCACACCCACACAACACAAGGACCCCATGGAGCTGTCTCCATACCCGCTGCAATGAATAATTGTTGATCCCTCCTCAACCCTCTAGTTACAGTGGATCTTCTTCTTCCTCCATCATTTTCACATTCACCATTCCCCCCCCCCCTCCATTTTTGTTTCCCCCTTCCTCCGCTCCTCCACCTCGCCCCCCCCATTGTGCCAATATTTCCCAAGGGGGGATTGTAAGACTCGCATCGGTGCCGGTCGGCCCGCGGGAACAACGTTTCGCCTTGGCGGCCCAGGGGTGACGATGCAGTTGCGCAGATCCTTGTATGATACATGCATGAGCCCCATGCACAACCTGACCCTATTGCATCCCAATTGACGTCGATCGTCGTTCCATTTCAGAATTTATGCCTCCGGCGCTAAGGCTAAGGTTAAAACAAGGGATCCTATTTTTTTTTTTTTTTTCTTGTCAAGAAACCCTTCAGTTCTAGTTCTAGACCGACCATCTTCGAGTTTACGTGGTCATGATCCCCCAAATAAAGAGAGACCCACTGCACACGCGTTCATTTCAGGACATGGGTCCAAATCAAGGTCACTTTGCCACGGAGTAGGATCTGCCGAACCTTGATCTTCGCCATTACTTTGGTAAGCTCACATCAAAACATGAAGAGTGTATGGTGAAAGGATGATGTATTGGTGGTATCAATGGCTGGGAAAGTATCCTGCCTTGTGCTCTGCTCTATCATTATCGTCATTAAGCTCTATAAACGTGAATCGCTGAAGCCTGGTAAAACGTAACAACGCCAAGAAACAAGGTCTATAAAAATAGAAAAAATTGCAAATGGTAAAGACGAAATGCACCCTGTCAAATCATGGTCGGACAATCACTCCCCCTTCGAACAATCGCTGCGCTGTTCGAAATACTGTAGCATCCTTGACCATCGCTTGGCTTCCATCATCCTCAATGTTGACTTCCGCCAAGATTTCCCCGCTTCGGTGATGGATGCAGACCTCTTTCTTGCTGCCCGCCAAGCGGAGGTCTTCTTGGAGAACCGTCTGACGTGTCTGCCAAGGAAGAGCATATGGGGAAAGAGACAAGTCGGAAGCGACCGTTCCTCGAATACATGTCGCTGCGGCCAGAGTCACAGCTCCGGTGAGTTGGAAGCTAGGGTGCGGCTTCCCCATACTGTAAGCCGTAACCGAGATTCCAGTGGGCGGTGTCTTGAGAGGGTTGGCCTCTGGGAGTGGAGCCGGGGACAGCAGAGCAATCTTCGGGATCCCTCGAACTTTGCCTGCTTCTTCGACGGTTTTGGCCAGACCCATCCTGACAGCGCCTTCTCTCCGAATCGCTTCGACAATGCTGAGCGAGCTTGGAGCATCAGGGCCAAGGGCGTGATAGTGGTCGGGCAGAGTAGCCAAATCAACAAGGACAAAGGGGTTGGCAGAGTCAATCAGAGTCGCCTCCACCTCAAATTCGGGGAATGCATCGGTTGAAGCAATTCGCAGGCGATCCTTTCGCTGGCCAGTTGGGAATAGTTTCCCAGTAGCACTGCCCGCAGGTTCGATGAAGGCGATCTTGATGCGACTTCCACTACCCTTGAAGCCACTAATCCGGTAGTCGCCCTCTTCATGAAACTTTCCATCTGGGCCAACCTCCACGGTTTCTACCATGAGCTGGCGCGTATTAGTGTTAAACACTCTGACGTCCAACTTTGTAATTGTTAGCATTGTAGCTCTGACTCGGACTAGAGTTTTCACATGCTTACCTCTTTCTGGCCCGGTCGGGCCTTGACCAATCCTTCATCCAGGGCAAAGGGCGCTACTCCGGCGGCAATGTTCCCACAGTTACCGCTCATGTCGAGCTTTCCCTCTCCAACTGCAACTTGGCAAAACGTGTAATCCACGTCAATCCCTGGCCTAGTGGACTTTGAGACTATGGCCACCTTGGACGTAGTAGAGGTTGCTCCACCAACTCCGTCAAGTTGGCGTTTATCTCCATGTCTTGACCCCATAGCAGATAGAATGATAGGACCCCATTCTGATTGAGATGCAGGAAGATGATTTCGGTGAAGAAAGAGTCCCTTGGACGTTCCCGATCTCATAAGAACAGAAGGGAGAGTACGTCTAATCTTCTTTTGACGAAGATCTGGTCTCGCCGTTGTTGGCAGAGGAACAGCAAAAGGGATATGCGGAACGGAGTTGACATGCTCTGACTGCGGGCTCAACGTAGCGGCCAAGCGCCTAAAGATTCTTGTGCTGAGAGACATGCTGAAGAATGAAACAAAATGAAAGGACAATTGAAGACAAGAAAGACTAGTTTAATGAAAGTGATCGACTATCCAAGAAGAAAAAAAGTGCAGAAGGAACCATCATATATTCATCTCGGACTGTACAGAGGTACGCATGTGCAATTGCCACCATTCCACGGCATCTCACCCATGGCCGCCAGGTTGCTAGGGTGGGATTTTGACCACCAATCTGCCACGGGTGGCATACCTCATACAGGGGCGTGCTGATATGCCGTTGACGCTCAACGCCAGTAGCCTAAGCATACTACTACCGAAGGCTGGCCAATGCAAGCATGCGCGTATGTTCGAGAGGGTTTTTTTTTTCGTGTAGGGGTCACGACTCAAACCCGAGGCCAAGACAAAAATGGTGGGTGATTTGCACTGCCACGCTAAACTCGGGAAGATCCAAGAGATCGAGGATGTCTTGCGGGACATTTTTCATGGTCTTTTTGGGAATCTGTTCATAATCCTCTCATGTCTATTCACATTTGAGTTATCGAAACCCCGGCAGATACCCACCCATTCGTAGAATAGGGTTACTTTGCTGGGTAGTTGAGCTGCGTTTCAAATTGACCCTCGTTGATGTACGAGTAGCGAGCACGAAGCCGATTGCGTGAGTTGCTCCTAAAGCCGTTCCAATAAGATTTGACATCCGCCGTTGGGCTCCAAATTATGCTGTGAACATTAGCAGTGTCTTAGAAGATCCGTTCAATATGCTTACAATAGGCTTACAATAGGCTTATCGTACCCGCAAGGGATTGAATTAAAGTTGACGATGTTTCAGCCGTAAAGGTTAGGTGTCCACTTGCCGCGGCATCTTTCCTCCCATGGAAATGACCGCTCCGCTCCTAAAAATTTTCGTCTTGGCGAACAAGACTCGCCTTGGCAGCTTTACAGGAGAAATTGTACAGATGCAAGACGCCGCTGTCGTACGGAGTGATTCATCGCTGAATTAGAAGGCCAAGACTTAAAAATATGCCATGTCGCCGCTCATACAGGTGTGCGCAGAATATTGAAGCCAAAATCCCAGAAAAGATATTCCATATTTCGAGCATTCGCCAAGATCCAGTCCTAAGGTTCTACCATGGGGTAATGTTACTCCGCAAACGTTACTCCACACTCCACAATTCCCTTGGCCCCGACATTACGACATATTCTACTCAAATGCAAATACCAAGACACACACCAGCCAGTAAACCCATCCTCGTTGCCAAGAAGCAGCGTGTGACCAAACATGAACCATGATAGCGCCCCCTTCCGAAGAAAAAAAAAAAATTCGTCATTGTTTTCACCACCCAACGTGAAGCGTGGACTCGTCAAAAGGAAGAACTGATGGGTTCGCAGAAGCGTCGATCGAATGTGTCCGTATGTATTCATCCAGAGTTGGATCGACGGGGCTGTGGCCAGCCAGAATCATTTCCCTCGAACCTTCCAGTCTTGGCGCTGGTGTAGCATGTGGACTGGTAAGCCGGGAAGCATCCGAGTCATCTTCACTAACGGTTGCTTCGCTGTTAAAACCGCGAATGAAATTGTTGATGATGACATCGAAATCTGGGCCGGCAGCCAGACGGCTCCTAAAATTGTCGTCGGTAGTAAATGCGAGATTATGACCGATAACGGCGTCATGGGGATTGTGGACAGCGATATCCATTGGTGTTGCATTTAGCTCAAGTTGACGAGATTGAACAGGAGAAGGGTGTAGTGAAGACCCGGTGTGTCCGACATCGCTGCTGCCCCTGCGATCGAAAGGCACTCCCAAAACACCCATCAAATCCAAGACCGCGGCTTTGGCGGCCCTGACATGAGCGTTCTTCTCATTTCTTCCCATTAGTGTTAAACATGTGTCCAAGCAAGACACAGCTTCAGAGCCTGTACTCTGTGTAGCCTCGCGAACGAGGAATATAGCGCTGACATATGTCGCATAAAAGATCAAAAACGGTGCGTTTGCAACTCCAAATGCACGATCATACGCCCTTAATAAGCCAACAAGATCCTTCGATGCAGTGACGCAAACATCAAAAGAGTTCAATGCCACTGATGGCAACTTCGCGTGTAAAAATCCGTCCTTGTTGAACGGACGATGCAATTGTATGATAAGAAGGTGATATGTGATTCTGGAGGAAAAGATTAGTCTATCAAACTTTTACAACAATCCACATGTAGAAGAATACTGTAGAGCAACTTACAATAATGAGAGCACGTGTGGTGGTGGGATGGTTTGAGTCGCATCCGAGTAATCGTATCGAAGGTGAGACGGTAGTCCCCGGTGCCAATACTGGAGCTTTGCCTGTAGGAGCTTGTGGATATTTGCCAACTGCTCCGTGGGATAGCTGAGGCTGTCCTCGGTATAGAGCTTATTGTATACACAATTGATGACTTGGGAGAGCTTGCACAAGCTCGTAAATGTTGTGACGCTGTATGTCGGATACCCGGGATAGGACAATAATTCGGCATTGGCTAATGGCATCCAGAGTTCCATTTCCTCAAAATCGTCAAGGAATGCCAAAGGTACTCGCCAACGCTTGTTCTCAAAGCTGATTGGTCGACCTTGATAGAGAGATCTGAGCTTGTCGGCAACTATTCGCGATGAGTGATATATTTGTTAAGGCGTCGCGCGTAGACACTCACCAAAGGCCCCCCAAAACACTCGCCGTCTTATTTCCATTTCCTCCACTGACAGTTGACTAGGCGTCGTATTTGACTGAGCCTGCAGCTTTGCGTGAAAATCGTTGATCATGCGAAATGCCATGCCTTCGTACATGAAAGCGGCACATCTGTCCTCGTCCGTGGCCAGAAGAGCTTCACTCATAATTAATAGAGCTTGAATGGTGGTGATTTCGCTCCTGTCCAATGCCGGCGCCAGTAATTCCTTAAACCTCTGACGGTAACTCTCGTGGGCTGCCTGCACCGCAGGGGACTCTGAAAAATTGACCGAGGCCGTGAAGAAGATTGCATTCAAGAGTAGTTTCGAAAAGTAGCGACCGCCGCAAGCCATGTCCCGCATGAATGCTGGTCGATAAACGAAGAGATTAAGTTGATGTTCGAGATTCCAATATCTCGTCAAGAGCTGTAAACCAATGTCCCGGTCCACACCGTCAAAATCAAGCCGGTTGAAGTTGAAGTTGATGGCCTCCAATTGCCCTATGCTTGGGTCAGTATCACCAACGCCGAGGGTTAGGCCATACAGGCATATCGAAACACATACGTTGTCGAGCAGCTTCGGCCATGAGCTGCTCTCGCACATGCCTAGTAGGCAGCTTGGGATTCTCCCACCCTTGCCCAACCTCGTTTCGATTGAACGAGTCATTGAGCAAGGCACCAGCGAGGCTATAGTAGACAGATTCACCGTTGGTCGGGTTTCGGGTCTGCGATTGCTGAAATAACTCATTCCATCCCGACGAGTCCAACGCCGACACCCTTCCAATGGACGACAGGTTCCATTTGTCGTCTCTTGCAAGCGGATCATAAGCACGGCACATCAACTGGGGAGACTGCGAGGGAGAAAGCTCGGTCTGTCTCGGAGAGTTGACGTTACTGCCCTCTCCTTTGACCGATTGGGATTCATCACTAGACGGGGTTGATGCGGTGCTCGCCAGCCGCGCTTGCAGCTTTCGATTCTCCTCCTCCAGATGAAGAATCCGCGCTTTTGATGGCCTGCGGAAGCTTGCGTCAGCAAAAGAGTGAATTGGCGACGATATATCATGTCAAAATGATTGATGGCACGATGTTTTTTTCGGCAACAGTGCGAGAGAATGAAAAGAATTGATGCTCACCTAGACTTCTTTGGGGCTTCTACGAATACACATTCCTGCTCGTAGGCAATGCAGTTCATACAGCGAGGCCTTTCATTGCTGCATTTCATCTATTGCCAGAGTCAGCTAAAGACTCGACAGACGCAGAGCATGTCGGTTGGAGGCAATTCCTCTCTGCCGCACATTTACCAGATACATACCTTTCGCTGGCGACAGAAGACGCACGCCTTGGGCGCTCTTCGGCGTCGTCCCTGAGCCTGGGGAGGATCCATAAAGATGGTGATGTTGATGTTGATGCTTGTTCAGTTACTGCTGCCGGTGATGATGATGATGATGGTGACCAGAGCGGTGATGCGCAGGACGAGGGTGATTTATCCCACTTCTCGACGGGCCGCCCGCCCGCCCAGTTTGGTGCTAGGGCTGACGGATAACATGGTGATCCGTACGATAGGATCCACTGTGGAGGGTTACGCATCGCATGGACACTGGAAGGATAATGGTTTGGCCAGAACACGGCCGGGATGGGCAGGGATGTATCAGCAACCTTAACCATCCGTGAGCAAGATGAGCGCCCCAGCCGAAGTGTCAAGCAGCCAAAAGGGTGGTCAAAGAAGACTGACGAGCGTAGTCAGATGGTCTATCAATCTACATGGCGAACCAATGCAGCCACTGAGTTTAGCAGGGCCCACCGGCTTGCCGATTGGGGGTGGGAGTGCGAGGGGGGGGGGGGAGGCAAAAAGAGCTAGGAACAAGGATGAAGCGATGACGATAGAGTGCAGAGAAATAGACAAGAGAAAAAGCTAGGTAGTTAGTTACCTGGAGGATGAGGAAGAAGAGAGAGAAGGAGAAGGAGAAGGAGAAGAGAAGATGAGGACGGAAATGCGGGTAAGGGTTGCAGAGGGTGGATTGGATGGCAACGACGTTATTATTGTGTTATTCAGCGGTACGAGGGTGAGGACGTTGCATCTCCTTCTCCGTGTCTCTCTTCTTCTTCTTCTTCTTCTTCTTCTTCGGTGTTTATTGTGTGTATCTATTTGTGTATTTGCATGTACTGTACTATACGGATCCTGGAGTATAGTACAGCACAAGTACACGACGCCGAATGTGTGGTAACCATGCGTGAGAATAAATGTGGGCGTGACACCACAAGGGCCACAAGGGCCACGCACAAACCGTTAGTGTCAAAAGAAAAGAAAAGGGGACTAGGAGTAGAGATTTGGACGGAGGGATGCAGCAGAGATTACAGTGCAGCCCACGAGCAAGGAACAGGAACAGCTTGTCGTATCGATGACATACAGGCGAGTTCCAAGGATGGCTGTGCCTTTCTTTGTCCTGTTGTGCTTGTTGTTCGGCCACCCGAGTCCGTTCAAAAGACCGCGTGCACCACCGACGAGGTGGCCCTGTCAAGCAAAGGAAAAAAGTAGGGCCACCACCCCTACCCACTCCTTCCCTCCTCGCTTCCCCCCTAACACAGTCCCCACTAACCTCATGTCCTGTTCCTCCCCCCCCCCTTCCCCCCCCCATCGCCCTCTCTCGTTGCGTCTCTTGGGTGCATGTCCTCGTTTACGGGTGCAGCTCGCTGCCAATCTCTGCCAATCTCCACTAGGACAACAACGTGCTTTTGTGGCTGCATGGCAGTGGAGCAATTCCTCCAAGGAAATCTCTCCTTCTGGTTCAGTTAGTCTTGAAGCAATTTGTTACGGTCCCTGATTGCGTTGCCTCCCGCTAGAGCAGGTAACAGAACAAGCACAGACAGTCAGGATCTTCCCGCACGGAATACGCGGGCCGAAACGTAATAGTATCGGGTGCTAAAGGGCGGAATGGGAGGGACACTTATGGCTTGGCACCAGCCAACGCCATTCCCAAAACCATCACATGAATAATGAAGGGGTGGCGGCCACTCACCACCGACGACCCTCTCACTGGTGGACAACAAACAACAACCAGCTACCACCCAAACGTGTTGCTTGTATTACAGTACCAACCACTTCTCGCCCGCCAACTGCCGCTCCTCCCATCATCACCTAATCTCCCCTACCTGATCTTCCCTATATTCCATCCGTATTAACTAACTAACTACCTACCTTACCTACCTCCGTACTATCGCTAAACCACTCGCTAAAATGAAACCTGAACCCATGTTGCCATACACCTGCGTTATCCGTGTCTCTCCCTACGAGTAATAAGCTGCCCTACTGGATTGTTTCTCCTGCCACTACTTCTATACCGACAGACCACCAGCCCACCCGGCCCTGACCACACAGCCGCATCGGGCAGTTCGGATCTCCCTACGCGCAATTTTTGTGGGCTTGTCGTAGCAAAGAGATAAGCCTGTCCAAATGCCTCAACAATAGTTATAGCTGATCCGAGTTGGAACTTGGTTGGACGTGCTAGGACAGACTCGAACTATTTCTACTAAATGAGAAAACGATTCCTTTTCATCCATAATCTGACGTCGATGATGTGACTAGATCGTGACCATCGTCAATGGGAGATTATGCCAACTCTGTTCCTTCAAACTAAAAACCTCGCTCGATAATCATTCATGCTCATGCAAGCATTCATCATGGCCACGATGATTATGGACCATGACGATGACGATAACTGTCGTGACCACCACAGATAGATCGATCGATCGCCATGGGTGCAGCACCTATGTGCATTTGGCATGCGATAGTTGCAAGTTGCTTCAAACAACGCCGGAGTATTATTTCTCATGCTATGCTGCTGCTATATTGAGACCAAAACGCCTTCTTTCACCACCCAGTCTCCTTCGCCGCTGCTGTCACGACAGCATGTCGCCCGTTGCTCGGTTGCGATAGCCCAGCTTCTAGTAAGCTTTTAGTATGCCTCTAGTGGGCCCTCTAGCCCAATCCTGATCTTGCAGTATATTCGCAACCAAAAGCATCCACTGATCATCCCAGCGACGGTATCAAAAGAGGTGATACTTTTTTTTCTGCCACCGCCGTCGCCGCGGTTCGGAACCCACCCCCCGGAGCAGGACTGGTCCCATTTTGCCGGATGATTGGAGTCGCGCTGCTGCCTCAATTTGGCCCCCCTCACATCCCAAGCTGCGTGGTGAGGCGATTAATTCGACATCTAGTGTTTCGCATGTTACTCTAGGGCCCCAAAGCTTTTGGTGCCCGCTCAGCATCCTCTCCAACTTGTCTCACCGGCTCCGTCGTGCTGGTGGATCCACCCACCCGTGGCGTCTTCTCCGCGCTTCCGGGCTCAGGCGGTCTCTCTAATCCCCGATCCTTGATGAAGATACACGCTAGAAAGCATGCGCCAATGATTGGGCTAATATAAATGAAAACCATACGACTAGCTTTCATGTATGCGTCCTCGATAGCATCTCTATCTGCGCTGGACAGCGTACTGTAATCGGGCTTGGAGTACGCAGAATGCACCAAGTATGCGAATTTGGGCGGCAGATTCTTTTTCAGCGTGCTTTGTAAGACAAGTGATGACATGGCAAGACCGAATGCTCCTCCGAGGCTGCGAAGGAAATTCCGGTTGGAGATGACCACGGCGCGCTGCGATTTCGTACAGTGCGCCTGCAGTGCAATTAGCACCGGTTGGAAAACATTACCGACCCCAACGCCAATGATGCTGAGAATGACAGCAATGACGGCGGGATGAGTGTGCCGATTGAAAATACAGGTCAACCCTGCACCGCTGTTTGGGAAGAATTTTCATGTCAGCACTAAACTTTTTTTTCTACATGTACAGGGGTTCAGGGGAGGTACTTACAGCGTCCAAAGTCCGAACCCTGACCAAAGGACCTCGCCGTAGCGCTTCATGCGAGATATATATTGTCCGGAGACAATACTTGTTAAACTTTGCGCCACCACAATAGGGATCGTCAGACCTGCTGAAGCAAACAGGGACCATCCACGAACGTTCTCGTAATAGATTGGCAGATAGTACAACTCCGAGTAGTAAACGATTCCAAAAAGAAAATTTTGGATCAAAATCGTGCAGACGGGAATATTGGTGAACATGGATACTGAGGAAAGGTTATTTATAAGCGGTGTTACTTAAGAGGCTTGAGAAAAATGCTGAGAACGAGACTTACGGGGCATCATCGGAAGTTTTGCGACCTTCCATTCGCAGAAGATAAAGGCAATAGCGGCGACTCCGCTAATTGCAAGCATCGAAATTACCATCGCCGAGTCCCACGGAAAGTAGGATCCTCCTCCGGATAGCGGAATAAGTAGAAAAATGATAGCCACGGAACCTGTTAAAAGACCAGAGACATCGATCAACTTGACTTTTTCCACAGCACGTCCTTTCGGCATGCTCGATGGTAAAAGGAAGAAGGTCAACACTCCGCAGAGAGCAGCAAAGGGCGATACGAAGTAGAAGAAGCCTCTCCATGTTGTTCGCTGTGCAAATGCGGCTGATAGAAACGGCCCGACAGTATTCCCTAGCCCAATGCAGGATCCAAGGATTCCTTGGTATTTACCACGTTCTTCCAGCGTCACAACGTCCGAAACAATCATCATCGTAAGAGAGTTGATTCCTCCATTGGCAATTCCAGAAAGTCCCCGGAATACGTACAGTGACGTAGAATTTTGAGCCGTGGCACAGAGAATATCGCCAATTGCCAGCATTGCCAGAGCAGAAAGAAGCACCACCTTGCGACCAAAGATGTCCGACATTCGTCCGTACAAGACTTGAAAGACGGTATTTGCAATCAGTGCGGACGTGCCCGCCCAGGAAATGGTATCCTCAGCATGCAAGCTGCGGGCCATCGTCGGTAGAGCGACAGCAATTCCATTTTGATCAGCGTAACAAATAAACAGCGACGCGGCAAGGGTACCGAAGACAACCAGCAGTTTTCGAAGAGGAAGAATGTCGGTCTGGTCGTGCAGAGCCACCTCAGCTTTCTGTCTTGACGACATGACTGTTTCGTCAATAATTGAGGCGCCGAGGTCACGAGGGTCGAAGAGATGGCGGAGAGCAATGGCGTCGGTCTTTTTACCTTTGACGCCAGCGGCGATTCTTGTGTTTTAAAACCCACAACTTTATTCAGCGGGACCCTGAGAAAGGTTAACTAACTCTCGAGGGTCCTTTGGAAAGAGCGGTCTTTCTCTTGCCGCGGGGAAGGAAGTGCCGGGGTGTGAAGAGCGGGCCCACTCCCCAAACGATGAGCGAATCTGGTGTCGTGTGTACTCAAGAACAAAGCCATTCGTAAGGTTGATGATTTTCTTGGCCTCGAAAATTCCTTGGCTTGCATTGTGTTACTGAGTGAGAGCGGAGTACGTTCGGGCCCCACGTCAGCGTCGGAATGATCGAAGCAGATCAGGCTTGGCTTTTTCAATCGTTGGTCGTCGGGCCTTGTCTATCAAATCCACTGATCCCAGACGACTAGGTTGGCGTTGCGAACCAGCCCCACGCAATTCTCAAACTCCTTCACGCTGAGAAAATTACAAGGATAATTTTTCCCCCAACGGTCATGTGCAATGACGGCTCTCATCCACTCAAAATATCCCTAATCTGATCAGATGTGAAACTTGCTCGACCATACGCGGTATCCCCCAATGCCGATCGCGATAGCGACACCTTTGCCTATCTCAGCACGTGATCAGTTTGAAACACGACGTCATGAGTCCATTGCGATCGTGGAAACTGCAGTCACCACAAGAATAGGACGTTGAGAATGGACTGACACCTGTATAGAGGTCGGAAGGCAATTTGGATTGTCCATTATATAGTTGTGTCCATTCAAAATTCGCCCATGAGTTGGATAGCCGGAAATGGAAAGTCTACTCCCGCACCTATGGTCAGGACTAGGTTACAGACCCGTTAACGTGCTCTACGCAATTCTTTTAGTTAAAACTCCAACGGACAGGTCCGTAATGCTGAATTAAAAATAAATCCCAAGTGAAGCGTTTTTCTAGGATTGCTATCTTCGGTTCAGTGGCGCTGACGCTTCAGAGAGCCTTGAAGCATGCTTCTCCTTGAGCAGTTAAAACTCTGCACAAATGACAGTGTTTAAAGTGTGAGAAATTCAATATTATATCTAGATAAAAGCTTTTAAAGTAGAGACAAATAATCTACTTCTGGTATCTTCGCTCCAAGGGGTGACCAAGAAAAAACTCAAAGGAAATATTCCGGATAAAAAGAAAGGACAAGAACAGAATTAATTATTAATAGAACCACCGGAACTCGGCGGCCTTCGGTCCATCTCGAAGACGTTCGGTTGGTATGTCCCGAACCTCGAGCTTGACGCCTTGCTTGAGATCCCTGCGCTTGTTATCGACCATCATATAGAGACCAAAAATTATAGTCAAGACAAAGCCGACACCACCAAAGCAGGCGGTGGTAATTAACGCAGGGAAATACTTCGGGGCGTCTTTGTTCTGGAAGATGTTCGAGCTCACAACCCCCATCAGGTTGCAAAGCGGAACACCGATACCGGTCAGTGTGACCCGCTTGCCCTCGTGAGCGATGTTGTTGCTATACCAAACGTCAAGCAACACAGAGGGCGCCGAAGTACCCCAGCACATCATAAAAGAGGCAAAGTAGGCGACGTGGGTTGAGTGCTCCACATCAATAGAAGCAAAAATGATGAAGCCAATGAACGTGAAAAGGAAGCCCAAGGCGATGAACGGAAAACGCCACCGGGTGAGATCGCTGGAAAAGGCGAGCACCAAAAGCATGACGGCGCCGGATACATTGGGCGCGACGGTGTAGAGGTTGGTCTTGACAGTTTCGTTGACAAGTCGATGGATAATCTGCGGCAGGAAAAGCTGGACCGATTGCAAGGGCACACCCACGCAAATCTCAATTGCGAGGATCATCCAAGTGGTCCACTCCTTGAAGATTTTGATAGAATCCTTGAAGACGTATGCTTCATTGACGATGGAAGAGCTGTCCACCTGCATGCGTAAATAGGCCAATTCTTTCTCGCTCTTGTTCAAGAACTTTGCCTCGGCTGCAGATCGAGGTAGATAGATGAATGCGAAAATAGCGAAGATGATTGTGCAGCTGCCTTCAACCACGAACAAGTATCTCCAGTCCTCCAATTTGCCGCCTTTGATCTGGAAGCAGCCAAAAGCCAGCAAGCCACCGAAGGCTGATGCGACACTCTGGGCGGCGTAGAAGATTGCCAGTCGTCTGGCGAGTTCTCCACGGCGGTAGAAACTGTTTCACGTTTAGCATTATCCGAAAAAAAAAAAGTTTCAGAGATAGCCAATGCTTACGTTGTGAGATAGTAGATGACTAGAGGAAAGAAAGCACTCTCAGCCATACCCAAGAACCAGCGCAGCGTCATGATCCCACCAAAATTTTTGGCAGCTGCGACTAAGAGGGTGAGAGACCCGAAGCAGAACATCATAGCAGGGAGCACGCGGTCCGGCCCGAACTTCTTTCCAAAAATGCTCAGGAAAGGAGCAGTAAGCACGTAAGGAATAAAGAAGATGGAAAGGATGAGGTTGTATTGGTCACCGCCGAGGTGAAGATCACGTTCCAATCCGGCAGTTTTTGCGTTTCCAAGGTTCGACTTGTCGAGACTATTGAAGAGATACATGACAGCCAAAACAGGGAGGATGCGGATGTCGAACTTGAACGCAAGAGCTCGCTCGGCTTTCTTGTCTATGATGGCATGTGTGTCGCCATTGGCAGTCTGAATCACAGTCTGGCCCTCCTCATCAAGCTGAGCATATTTGACAACATTGTCATCGACTTTGCCAACGACGCCATTGTCAGGCTGCTTCTCCGCAAGCGTGCTCTTCGAAACAACTTCCTCGGCCATTTCCGGCACGTTGAGAATCAGTTCGAGTTCACTATTTAGTCTGGTCACGGAATATGGAGGTCGGCGGAGACGGTAAATAGGAAGGGAAGAAGAAATCCGACAAATGTCAACCTGGTGCTGGATCAATGGCAGAGGCGCAACCCCATGTTCTTATATTCCAGAAAATCATCTTGGAGTTATCTATCAACCCTAGGCTAACTTAACCTCCGAAAGGCTCCTTCAATTTTTTTGCCCCAGAATTTAGCATAACAGATGTCGTGTACACATGTGGCACCGGAGACAAGATCTCCGGCCATTGAAAATCATAGATATCGCTTTAACTTACTTTCTCTGGGGTCAATCGCCACAACCATCCAGTCTAAAAGCGAATGAGAGCCTGGCATGAGCAGAGCTTCACGTGAGGAGCTAGTTTTTGTGACAAATGATCTTGACGTGAAAGGGTCGTTCTTATCATGTCTGTGTCAAGGTTTGTCTTGGCAAGTGGTGTGAAGTTTGGAGACGGGGAGAACGGCCGAAAGCTCAGGTGTGGTTGGTGTCCTGTCATTTGGCCTTGGCTGTGAGCGAACGAGGCAAATAGAGTTTAGCGAATGGCTTATGGCTGCTTTGAGCCACCGTAGACCACGCGAAATCGGAGCGAATTCGGCTTGACACCCAAATAGGCCCGTTTTTGCCTTTTCATACCCAATCAACGGCCAGCGTTTGCTTAAAGTTATAGATAACGGGAAGGATCCCCAAGTGGGACCGACTTCTCGTGAAGCAACGGGGCCAACTTCTGGGGACTGATAAGTCTTCGGAATCCTCCTATCAAGCGATGAGGTGAAACTATCACCTGAAAGAATATAGCAAGGGAAAAAAAAAAAAAAAAAAAAAGAGGAGAGGCTGCGCCCATCACTCAAATCAGGCCATCATTGAGCTGTCTCCTCACATCCGTTGTAACAGTGCATCTATCGAGTATTGGCCCGTGGATTGTTTCAGTTTGGAATAAGATTCGAACAGCTTGATCGCGAAACTCCAGGAGAAGGTAGATCCAAGACAATTGCCTGCTTGCGACCCAAATCGTTGTCAGATGGATTACGCTTGTCGTTCCAAAATTGCTCTATGGGTAACGCAGGTGCAGCAAAATTAACATGCACGGTTCCAGATTCCACGCGCGGCGCTATTAGGCCCGGTAGAAGATATTCTATTTATCCTGTAACACATTTCCGGTCAAGGGCATTTTCCCAGGGAAGTCGGTTTTCTGGAAGATGTTCATTTCATGTGCCGTTAAATCGATTTCCTCTCAAATTTCCTCGCTTGCTCCATATAATACGATGTTCGTGCATATCCGATAAAACAAAAATGAAAACCCCAACTTTAGACCTAAAAATATTGAGCAAGTTATACAATCACGAATAAAAAGTATTCTGCAATCGACGAAAGGCGTCTATCGAACAGATCGAACAGATTCTTCAGCATCAAGTTTTTTGATCGACGCATTGCTCTCCGAGTCAGCCAGCACGGGCGCAGGAAGCTCCTCCGGGGACTCCTGTCCGTCAATTCTTTCAACGTCATTGTCACGCTTCGGTCTAAGTTCCATGTCAGTCAAAGTCTTTCGTGATTCGCAATCAGAAATGACCATTCAGCACGACATACCGCATATATTTGACATCAACGATTCGAAGCACACATGTCATGGCGATTACCACAGCGCACATCGCTACTGAAGACTGCCAACCGTGCTTGTCTATGACGAGATCAGCATATGTAAAATCCGTTTCGTTACCCAGGCTGTGCACTCACAGTATGGCGCTTGGATTGCTGGCCAGATAAGGACCTGACTCCAAGCGGCAATGGCATAGTAGCCAGCAATAGCATACCCGACGATCAATGTCCGGGCTTCTGGGTCTTGCGGCATCCTTGTGTGAATGTCAGAATCCCAGTCTCTGCTTCAAAGCAATAAGGTTCAGTACGTATTCGAGGAGAACTTACAGGTCGGACAGCCATGACATTATCAAAGGAGCAGTGCCGAGTGTCATGTACAGAATAAAATAGCTGGCGTATGCTGCGCCCAGGCCCACAGTATCAGGATGGCGAGTCCAAATGCTCATAATGATAGTCGGAACTAAGGCGATGATGGCTGTTCGTTGTCAACAGATGTTTCGTCACAGCTAATCACGTTTTCAAGGCACATACCTTGGGCAATGATGAGAGTCCATCGAGTTCGGAGCCAATCCGAGAGGAATGCCCATACCCATACTAAAGAAAGTTAATATTTGATACAAGTCAAGCAATTTTGAGGGCTATTCTCCTACCGAATACCACATTCATGGCACCGCCGCCAATTGGAATGACATTGACTTCTTCGACTGACCAACGTTTGGTACCATCGGGATTTTTCAGACTTTTCAAGAACAGAGAAAAGTAGGCGTATCCATAAGTGGCTAGGACCATGGCAATGTACAGTACCGGAACAACATACGCGACCCATGATTTCAGGGTGCGCCTTGAGAAAAGTAAATACGGCGTTGTAGACAACAACTGCGGGAGACTTACCTAAATCCATCCCAAGTGATCTTTTTGGGCTCTGAACGGCCATGGCGGATTAATCTCTGCATAGATAACTCCGCATGCGTCTTGTTGAACCAAAAGGCACGAGGATTCGGACGATTGGGGTAATCTGGGATCATGAAAAATCCGGCGAAGCCCCATACAACCGTCATTATCGCGTTGATCACAAAGAGCCAGCTGCATGAAAAAGGCTGCTTTTAGTTCCTTCCATTTGAGTATGATCAATTAGGAGGCTCATCTTACCGCCACCCTGCGAGACCACCGCTCTGATCGAGAGTGCGAGTGATTGCAGCCTGGATAGCACCGGACATCATGGATCCAAGTGCTTGACAAGAGTGGTAAAAGCCCATACGCTTGGCCAGCTCCGTTGGAGTATACCAATGCACTTCAGAATGTCAGTCACTAATTTATCCGCCGAGATCGAGTCAATAGGCTTACTAAAGAGAGTCATCATGCCAGGCCAAGCGCTGCTTTCACAGAGGCCGAGGAATGCACGTAGCACATATACTTGCTTCGCATCATGTGCCATTGCAATCAGGCCAGTCATAAGTCCCCATACCAATTCCAAGCCAGGAAGCCAATAGCTTGGCCGGACATAGGTCATGATAATTTGGGAGGGGATGAGCATGATGCAGTATGCGACATTGAACCAAGTTGTGAAACTGAAGACATGGTTGCTTAGCACAGAGAACTCTGTCTCGGAGGGATAAAACTCACTAGTTCAGTTGATTGCCGTACAGCTTGAGATCTTCCTTCATTCCAGAAACATATGCATTTGAGATATTTTGCTGATCTAGATATCTGTACTTGCATAAGACCAAGGCTCACGAGAGAGAATAATCACTTAAAAATGATGCTCTTGATTGGGTCGCACATACTTAATGACTGGGAAATTGTTAGCTCGTGCTCCAAAAGCAAGTCAGCGTTTCTTTTCTCTGGCGTACCTTGAGAAATGCATCCAAATGTCATTAGAAATATATCAAGCCGTCTAACCAGATCACGCTCCTCTGGGGTCCGTTCATCTTGCCCCTGTGGTTTCTTGTTTACAGAACGTCGGCGCCCAAATTGGAAGCGAGTCATATTTCACAAATACTAATACGGACTTGATGGTTGCCAACGGAGACTCTAGGAGAATCGGAGTTCAATTATATACCTTTGTTCTCTAAATGTTTAAATCCCATATTGCATGGGCCAAAACCCGATAAGGACGATCGGCATCAAGAGATCAACAGGTTCGTAGCCTCGTAGCGCTAACAGAGGGAGTCAAGCGGACCTGCAGCGAGATGAGATATCAATGTAACCACAGTAGATAAGAGAAGTGGATGTGCAGTTGGCGCAGGGCCGAGGATGGAGCTTTGCTCAACAACAGCAAGGCCTAGATCATAGCAGCGTGGCGGGGACGGACTGCTGCAATCTCATCTATCCTTCTCTCTCTCTCTCTCTCTCTCTCGCACCACACATTAAAGGCCGAGTATCAGTGGCCTGGAGGAAAGATAGTATCTTGCGCCATTCTCGCACGAACGCACGTGCAAGCCGTAACGTTACTTACGAGGTGAGCTAACTCCGCAACTATCAACACACGTGTATCAAAAATTGCCTTGTTTGGATAATTGTTTCGGCTGATAAACCACCTGCCGAAATCAAGGCGGGCATGTTTTGTGCAACAAACCATGAGCGGGGGGAGCGGGGGGAGCAAAGGGAGGTCAGGAGCCCATCAGAGTACCTGTCTTAGGTAGGTCATGTACGGGTACGAAGAATTGTAGAAGCGCGGTAAAGCGAGGTGCCTGGCCGATCCAGCTTATCTCGCCTCGACAGCAGTTCAGACCAACAACAACGATACCTCTGACCTGCCAAGGTACAAACTGCCACCCATTAGACACGGGACCGGGCCGGACAGCTTGTTGAAGCATATCTTTGTGAAAGGTCGTTTCAAAATGACAATGCTACTTTGAGGTGGTAAGTTATGCGACGATCATTATCGTACTAGTTGATTTTGGTATCGAGCGGTCGCTTTCGTCACCCCGCCTATCCATGGATTCGAGACGCCTCCGCCGATGCCTTCAGGTGATTCGCTCAAATACGGCAGATAATCTGCGATAGGAGATAGGTGAGGAACCAAACTGACACGCGAGATTTAGAAGATATAATTAAAAGAATATGAGAATCGAAAAGCTCATGGTTCATAAGGTGCCATTCGTCCGTCAACGGTGGACGCCTTTTTTTAATAACGTATTGCTTTGGGTGTCACATTTGTTTGTTCTTGATAGAAGAAAGGGAGTCACCTGCTCTAAGCAGAAATATATAGCATTTCATCATGGTTGCAGCCGACAGCGACCTCAAAGGCTTTCCCGGTCAATCCATCCCAAATCCAAAACCCTGCCTCAGCTTCTGGCAGAGGACGACCCGTGCCTACCCTCTTCTGAACGCCAACCGCGAGGCCACCGTACCGGACACATGTGAATATATCATTATAGGTTCTGGGATTGCTGGAGCTCTCACCGCATACCAGCTGGTTGAATCTGGCGTGAAGGGCGATGATATTGTCGTCTTGGAGGCTCGCGAGGCAGCTGGCGGGGCAAGCTCTCGAAACGCGGGTCATGTTCGGCCAGGTACGATGATACTTTTTTTAAAAAAATCCGTCCTTGCATTGTTATGGGTAATAATGTTGCTCCGATAGATGCCTTCCGTGGCTTCACGCATTACGCGAGACTTCATGGCCCCGAACAGGCCAGGAAGATCGTTGCCAATGAACGCGTAGTTCTCGAACGAGTCGACGAGTTTGTAAAGAAAAATAATGTACAGTGCGACTTCAATCTAACTACAACGTTCGATGTGTGTCTCTCGAAGGAGTTTGCCGAGCTTGAAGCCGCTAGCTTTGAGGCGTATAAGAATGCCGGAGGTGATGTATCTCACGTTCGATTCTACAGTGGCGACGAAGCAAAGGAGAAGACAGGAATATCACAGGCTTTTGCAGCTTACGAATGGCCGGCAGGGTCAAGTCATCCAGCGAAGCTGGCACAGTGGCTTCTCTCGGAGATCGTCGCTCAAGGCGTCGGCCTTTTCACACATTGCCCCGCCTTATCGGTTGAGAACGTGGCTCAGCCTGATGATGTTGTCTCCAGCTCGAATTTGTGGAAAGTGTCAACTCCACGAGGCAGCGTGACCGCTCCTCGGGTTATTCATTGCACTAACGCTCATCTTGGCTTCCTGCTACCCCGTCTGGCGAAGCATGTCCTCCCGAATCGTGCGCAGGCCCATGCTTTGACACCTTCGCCAGCGTTCTCGGCGGAGAAGGCGTTGACCAATACTTTTTCACTTCGCTATGGATTGACTCATTTCTACTCCCTCATCCAGAGAAAAGGCGACGGGACGATGATTCTGGGATCGTCTCGATCCAATCCCGCTTTGGGCGATGAACCAACACGCCCTAATGTGGACGATAGCTTTTATAGCGAAAAAGTAATGAATGATGCCCTGCGTCAATTCCATGAAGTCTTTCCGGAATACAGCCAGGATGGCAATGTTCATGGTGAAGGGTTTCAACATGCGTGGACTGGTATCGTGGCTATGACGCCAGACCATGTACCGTTTGTGGGCGAAGTTCCCTCGCTGCCGGGCCAATACATCTGTGCGGGCTTCAACGCTCATGGTAAGTTCTAGCTTACCGCTAGTATTTTTACGTTTCATTTTGATTGAGCATTAATTTTGTTAACTCGGAAACATAGGCATGGCTCGTATATTTACATGTGCACCCGGTGTTGTAAAGCTTATTTTGGGAGGAAAATGGGAAGAGACTGGTCTCCCCGAGTGTTTCCAACTTACAACAGAACGGCTGAAAAAGTTCTCAGACTCTTAGTTAGAGCATATATATCGATTAATATTTACGCTTCAGGAAAATTTCCTTTTTTTCAGCCATCTTCTGTTCATTACATTATAGCGATCTTCTTCAGAATCATCAAGTCGAAGCCACTTTGAAGATAATTTTTCAATGTGGTCGTTCGACGATCCATAGCTGAGGTTTAAAGGCCTCGTCCCGTTTTGAAAGTGCATAAGTGCAATCGTGCAGAGTCCAAGTCTTCATTTAATCGCCAAGCACCTTGGAGTTTTAGCATTTTATACCCTTGATGTAGGAGGAGGGACAGACAGTAGACTGCTAAGATAGGCAAAATCTGAGGGGCGAGCACCTTGCCCATGCCAAGTCAACTGTTAGGCAGGGTGCCCTCGGTGCTATATAGCAACGCCACTAAATCATGTGGCGATAAGACAACACGTTATCTCCGCATTGGTCGAGACATCTTCATTGCCACTTACCTCCGTGCATTATTGATCGCGGAAGAGGGCAATTGGACGGAGGAGATGGACTCATTCAAGCTGCCGATATCGAAGCGTTCCATGAGACAGCTCTGGTTTCCTACAGAGGACTCGTTTGGGGTTATTCGGACGAATGGCAATGTGGAATGGAATCACCTGGGAATATACTATTGGAATTGTGCCCGAAATTTTCGGTCAACTTGTGTAAATTGGCGGCGTAGACATTTGACCATTCTGCACTGGGAAATGATAGTGCCTTTTTTCAGCGGCTGTGATCCTGAATTGATGCAACTAAAGATTGCCGCCGCAACCTTCGTAGTCCAGATTCTGAGGTTTCCAGGATTAAGGTTTTCATCTCTGCCTCAACTAGGGGGATTTTAACGCATGAATCAATTGTTGTCACGGACGTTTCTCTTTGGGGGGTCACAGGATCTGCAACGAGATACTCTGTAGAAACATGGACATTGAGCTCTGCTGCCTTCCCTCCCTGGCCCGTGCCTCCAACGCACCGAGCACTAACAAAATCTGACGCTGGTGCTTCAATGGTGCGTGCTTGACCAACCACGTCTTTTATTGAACAAACAGGATGGAGGAATCTCCCATGCCGAATGTCCCCAAGGTTTGGTCCGTCACCGCATGAGCGCCTAAGAACCCATTGTGGATCAGTTCAGGGTCTACCACAGGCACACCTTGTCAAGAATGTGTGAAGATGCCGCGAGCAGGGAACAAGGGTAATATTCCCCTCGGAACTTCATCTCTTGTCGAAGTCTCTTCAGTGTCCAGCCAGCAAGCCGATATGGATATTGGTGCGTCCCTTCCTTTGCCCCCGGCAGAAGGATCGGCTCTTGTCGCCGCAATGTGGATGAGTCCTGTACAAGGAACTTAGGAAGCTGATTGCTTATTGAGAAGACAAAGGTATCGGATACTTCTGCTGGACTTCCTGCCGAGTCGCGGCATCAGCGGCCCGCGCCGCCATCATCCCCCTCACGAGCCACAGCGAATATCACCACGAAGCTGGTCAGGCTGTCAGACTTTATACAAAGGACCTTACGAGCTCTGACCCTCAGATTGTTAATATCAACGCCTCCGTTCTCATAAGCTTCAAGCCATCCGAGAGTGACACACCATCTCGAAACCTCCGTCAAACACTGTCGTTCAACATGTCTGCTTCTGAGCTCCTCTCATTCTCCTTCGTCTCCTCGCTGTCTCCTTAGCATCTGACCATTCAATTTTGCTTTCGCCGTTCTTGGGTATTTGCATCCATCATGCGGGGTGGCGTTCAGATGGCAAGGGTCCTCGGCGCTTACGGTGCTTTCGGCTCGCATCTCACTCATTGCACTCGTCCAGTCAGAAGCTCAGGCTGCCACCCTATCAACTTTCATCTATCCTTGTTTGGGCGGTCTAGGTCCCCAAGAAAGGCTTGCAACCAATTGCTTTTTGGCTTTTGATTCGCTCTTAGCTTCTTGCTCTCTTCTTTGCCCCTGTCGTTGGCTTGGCTGTCTTGCATAGATGGGACTCCTGCGAGTTGTTTGTCCTTTGCTCGCCAATGGCCATACCCGAGACCCTATTTCCCCACGGCGGTCGGTCTATCACATTGCAGCTCGGCGCTGGCGATGCTGGTTGGGCCACGCCAACGGCACCATGGCACGAAGTCAATGCATCCAGTGTGTGACTGCACGAAAAATACGTGAAGGAACCTGCCTCTCAACCCCTCGTCATGCGCCTCGAGCGGCCTCCATTGGCTTGTCCCCTCTGCTGAATGCTGACGGGAGAGATGCGACTGTCCTTGAATCCTTCACGAGTCACTTGCAGCCGTTTGCCGGGTAGTAGAGAGCAAAAAGCTTGACGGCCGGCTGCACACCCTCTGCGACGGCCCAAGGCAATGGTCACGGCGCCTACGATGGTAGAGCGTAAGCCATTCGAGTCTTTAAGGCCGGCCTCTCCCAGAGAGGCCAGAGGCTGTTCCAGCAACATCTGAGACTCGTTTACAACAATAATCGACCCCCAAGAGGCACGACGTCGAGATATTGTTTGTGTGTGCATTTGTGCAAGTAAAGGCCAACGTTGATCTTTAGCACACCCCTTTGTCAAAGAGAAAAAAAAAAATCAAAACCAACGACCATGGCCTCATTCTCAAGTCTCATCAACTGGATCGTCCTGGCAACGACGACCTTCACTGCCGTCTCAGCGCACAATATCATTACTTATCCGGGATGGCGTGGCGATAACTTGCACACAAATGAGACTTTTCCTTACGGCATGCAGTGGATGTATCCATGTGAGCTTTCCCCTTCCTTAGTCTGGCTATTTGAGCTTGAGGATCCAACGATGAAATACTGACTTTTGGATTTGTAGGTGGTGGCATGCCCCCTTCAACAAACCGAACCAAATGGCCCATCAGCGGTGGCGCTGTTGCTATTCAACCTGGCTGGTTCCAGGGACACTCGACGGCGCTCATGTATATTAACATGGGCTTTGGCACCAACCCTCCCAACTATAGCAACCCGATGGTTCCTGTCTTCCAAATCAAAGGTCCAACAAATGAAGCTTATCCAGGCATTGGTTTCTGCCTTCCGCAAGTGCCTTTACCCATCAATGCACCTCGTGCAAACGTTAAAGTCGGCGACAATGCAACCATTCAGATTGTCGAGGCCGCCAAGCACGGCGCCGGTCTGTTTAATGTGAGTTTCGCTGTCTCGCATCCAGATTATCTAGATATTGCGGTTCAATTTACATGCTGACACTTGTATCAAGTGCGTCGACATCATTTTTGCTGAAGATGGTGATCCAGCGGTAGAAGAGGTCACCCCGTCCAACTGCTTCAACGACTCGAGAATTGGCTTTAACCAGATTTTCGGCACCGAGGTTATGGCATCAGGTGCTGACCTCACCATTGGCCGTCTTGGTCTCCTGTCGGGCGGGATACCGTTATTGTCTCTGTTTATCGCGTGTGTGCTTGGGTTTGGCATGTTCGTATGAGCTGCTTCCAGAGACCTTTCTTATCTTTTTCCTTCTCTGGCAGAGGGATTCTTGGCCGGATGCTGCCAAAAGCAAAATGTATAGAGCATGCAGTCTAAACGTTCCTTGTGCTCGAGGGCACTTTCGACCTTTTAGCCTGTCATGTAGGCTTCGGGATTGGGCAATTGCTCCACTGCATCTCTTATCTCTCTTCACTTTCTTCGTTCATGTTTCACATTTTCTTCTGGATATACCATTTTGCTTCTTCCTCCGGGTCCGCATGCCATGCGAACTTAGTACGCCGTGGCTTTTTAGGATCTTGCTTAGATGCTCCGCACCACTCTTCTCGGCGTTGGATCACGATGGAATAATAGTCAGCGGATGAGATGGTCAGGAGATAGTAGAATATCATTCATTTCACCAGTATATTTCGCACTCCGCTCTGTCTTTCCCCGCCTAAAAGACATACTCACATTTCCTACAAGTATCAAATTCTTGTTCGTGATATAAATTTTATTTTAAATAATGATCAATTCTATTGTATCCATCTAGATGATTTGTCAGTGAGATTTCGCTCGAGGTCACGAAACTAATTGATAATTTTCAGTGATATTTTATTTTGCCGTATCAAATCGAGAATAAATTCTCTCCGCCTATCATTATTAACTGGCCGCCTGTTTGGCTAAACCCTTGAGGGTTTTGCTTGCAATATTCCGATAATTCAAGTAATAGATCTATATCGGAGAATTATATGCGATTTACTCCCGTACTCTCAAGGCACTTTGGTTAATCATACCTCCGTAGCCCCGTCCAACATGTTTGGAAGCTGATTAATGCACGAGCCAATGATTTACAATTACGGAGTAAGAGCTTACATAGCTCTTTCGCCGTCCCTCTTTGCTCGGCTCCTTCCTCTTTTGGTCGCAATTACTTAGTGGAGACTTTAGCTCCAGGCAGCCATTTTCCCCAACACCAGAGGGTATATATAGTTGTTTCGGTCTGCCCGCCCGCCTTTGCACCTGAGAATTCTGAAGTTGCTCACCACAACCATCAAGGCTGCCTGTAATATTACCACGTGAGTTATTCGGTGAGATCGTTTCCATTCATGCGTTAGTTATCGTGGGAGAAAAGGTATAGAGCATGGAGTTACGCCTTCAGATTTCATTGACAAGCTCGGGTTGCAGCTTGGAGTTATTTATTTCGTGGCTTCTGCTACCCTATGGTGACATCCCTATCCCTGTTTCATTTCCCCGATGACCCCAAAAAAAAGAAAGAAAAGGAAAGAAAAGAAAAGCAGTTTGCTGTAAGCAGGGTGATTGTGCGGGCAATGGTGAATGATCTGGCATTCAGTAAGCGCTCCATCGCTTGCTGCGACATTGGCCTACATCCATTGTGCCGTATCACTCAGCTAAAACATATGCCGGTCTCTGCGAGGTTAAGCTCGACAAACGCAGAAAGAATTTAATTGATATGCAGCCAGCTTTTCAGATCTACTTTTTCTAGCACAGATCTTTTCAACCGCGCGAAATGTGGACAATGGGCAACGCTCTCTGATTCATTTACTTTTTCCCGCGCGGGGGGAGGCATTGATCAGTATAGCCCAACTCTGGTGTGGAATGAAGTATAAAACAGGTCAAGCATAACTGTCATGGCACGAGATCTCCTCCTCTCTTTGGCCGGGTCCAGACGCGCTGACCAATAATCTAATAGAGTTACGTGATGGCGCTATCGCGAACCGATTAATTTACAGCGATAGGAATGAACCCCCAATTGGCGCATGCGCATGAGCATGGTCAAGCCGCGCCCTCAATGACGAGACAAATAAATGCCAAAATCAATTCATCAGCATCTATTCTACCGAGAACTGCCGAGAAGAATGGGTCGTGTCGAAACAATATTCATGGAGATGAAGAAGCCTTTGAGCGAAAGCCATTGGATCAATGTCGCGAGACCCACGGTTTAGGGCGCGCCGAAACGATAGTGGGAAGGGGGTTTATCGGCGGTTCCTCCATCTCGCCGTGAACGTTCCCGACGCACCCACTGGAGCATGCCTGTAGCTGGGTTCAAGTGGGTTCCTGAAGGTGCACCGATAAGGCCCCTCTTGAGTATCTGTCATTACTGCTGCTTAGAGAAGCGGAATTGGAAGAGAATCTGGCGATTGAAGCTTGCTGTGCCGTCTTTCGATGGCTGATCATAGGGCGATCGCTGTCATTTAAGAGATGATTGTGGTTTGTTAGAGGGCGATAACAAATAGACCACATGTGCAAGCTGGCATCGTCCTCAAGGGGAAGTGCTGGACACGGGCACCTTTTCCAAATTGGTCAGATTGAACGCTTTCCACCTTCTCTTTCCATCGCTGTTTCCCGAAATACGCTTCGACCCGGACATGCCCCGCGCCGCAAACGAGCGCCTCGGATCATATCAAGCACTGCAGCTAACACAAGCAACCCGCTGCTAAAAAGCTTCAGCTCGGCGGCGCTCTCGTCCCGCTTTACCTGATTCATCAGCACTTTAATTCAACTTTCTTGATAACTCATCGCAGCGTGAACGATGAACATTTGTGTCTGTTTTATGCATTGACTTGGCAAGAGTCATTTTGCTAATTGTTCCTGGGCTCTACAGAACATCTAATATCTTTCTGCGACAGTCAGTTTTTAATTGTCTTTTCTTTTTCTTCGTTTCATCTCAGATCCTGTTTTCAATAGCTTTTTCTTATGGTGGTGATCATACAGTTTACCTACCTATTAAGGGCTAGGGTCAATAACTCTCCGCCCAGCTAATGTTATCTCTGACCTGGGGAATGACCAGTAACTCGGCGTCTCGATCACGGAACACTGCAGGGGGGATTGTGTTTTTCCTTTAGCTGCGAATTTACAATCTCCAATCAATGCAGAAGAGAAGATAAGAACCGTTGTGTTGGACCGCGGCAATGAACCTTGTCCAAGCGACGGCACCATTCAAGAAATCAAATGCTCCTGTCTCTGTCGCACCACCTGCCACTTACGTCGTTGGCTCTCGGTGGATCTCCTGGTAAAGTGACAGAGATGCAGAGAGTACACCCAAAAAAATGCGGCTATCTAACGAAATCCTGCCTTACCAGGTTCGAGGTTATTGGTGTTTTGGCAAGACCGTCGCCCTAGACACCGATAAGGAAAGTCGTTCGAGGCAGACCACAAGTTTGCCACCATCAGATAGCTTTTCTTTGATGAGGTATTGACAGGGCTGGTACATTATAATAAGGAGCAATGGTCTCCACGCTGGGACTCAGGACGAGCGAGTGCCTTCTCCGCATTGTCCCAAAATACAACTTTCCAAAATGCCTATGGGAATACGACGGCCATGGGGCCCTACCCGCCGTGACACGGACAGCGTGGTCATGAACACACTGGACACCAACAACCCCGACAACCCCGATAAGACGGGCGCGACGGTCGAGATTGCCTCGGGGGAGCCATCGCGCTCTCCCAGCACCGACCCCGCGGAACAGTTACGGGACTTTGAGGAGATTCACGAGTGGGATCCGAATCTTCCTGAGGAGAAGCGTGATGCGGTCAAGTCTGCGCTGAATGCCGGCGATGTCGAGGCTGAGATCGCTCTCGAGGGGGAACTCGAAGAAGACTCTCCTTATCCAGAAGTCCGTGCTGCAGTTCGCAATTACGATGAGGATGTTCCAGTCAACACGATTCGGGCTTGGACACTTGGTCTCATTTTCTCGACCATTGGTTCTGCTTTGAACATGCTCTTCTCTATGCGTGCTCCCAGTATTATCATCTCCTCAGTCGTGGCCCTGCTTGTCAGCTGGCCTTGTGGTATGGCCTGGGAGAAGTTTATGCCCAAGCGAAAATTTCGTACCTTTGGAAAGGAGTGGAGCTTGAACCCGGGGCCTTTCAACATGAAGGAACACACAATCATTACTATTATGGCCAAGTTAGTTTCCCGTCGACTTTTCCTGCATCATCCACTGTCCTACACAATTGTGCCATCTCTTTGATAAATGAATGAAAATACTGACCAAGTTCTAGCGTCACTTTCGGAACTGGTCCAGCTTACTCTACGGATACTCTCCTTGCCATGAGCGCCTTCTACAAGAAGAATCTGGGATGGGGATTTCAGCTCTTGTTCACCTTCACGACCCAAATTCTCGGTTTCGGTCTGGCTGGAATCTTTCGGCGATTCCTTGTCTGGCCCGCTGCCATGATCTGGCCCGTCCAGCTTCCAAGCGCGGCCCTCTTCTACGCTCTGCACAAGAGTGAAAAGGTCAATCCGGCCGAGACTGGCGGCTGGATAATGTCCCGCTACCGCTGGTTCCTGATCATTTTTGGAGCAGGTTTTGTGTGGTATTGGTTCCCCGGGTACATCTGGCAAGGGTTGAGTGTCTTTGCCTTTGTCACCTGGATCCGTCCTCAGAATCCTGTCATCAACCAAGTCTTTGGTGGCTGGACCGGAATATCGGTTCTCCCCATTACGTTTGACTGGACCCAAATCGCTGGCTACAACCAAAGCCCTCTAGTTGCTCCTTGGCATGCCATTGCCAACACTTTGATTGGCTTGTTCGTTTTCTTTGTCGTCGTTACTTGCGGCATTCATTTCTCGGGTTCCTGGTATTCCGCCTATCTTCCCATTAGTGATTCCGGCAGTTACGACAACACCTTCACTCCTTACAATGTGAGCCGCATTCTGACTCCAGAGATGACTCTTAACTTGGCCGAGTACAAGAAGTACTCTCCTCTTTTCCTTTCCACCACTTTTGCCCTCTGCTATGGCCTTTCCTTTGCCACCATTACTGCGGTCATCTTCCACACCGCCCTCTTCAACGGCAAGGAGATCTGGAAGAAGGCCCGGGAGGCTCGCAACCAAGAGGATGACATCCACATGCGGATGATGAAAAAGTATCCCGACGTACCCGACTGGTGGTACATGGTTCTGTTTGTCATCACACTCGGTGTCTCATTCGGCGTCGTGTGCGGCTATGACACTCACTTGTCTGCATGGGCCTTTGTCATCTCCATTATCATTTCTATTGTCTGGATGGTGCCGATCGGTATGATTCAGGCAGTGACTAACATTCAGATTGGGTTGAACGTGCTCACCGAGTTCTTGGTTGGATATATCCAGCCCGGTCGCCCTCTGGCCATGATGATGTTCAAGACATATGGGTACATTACCATGCTCCAGGGTCTCATCTTCTCTGAAGACTTGAAGCTCGGCCACTACATGAAGCTACCACCTCGGACTCTGTTCGCGACGCAGATTGTCTCGACACTGTGGTCTTCCATTGTCCAGATTGCCGTCATGAACTGGGCCCTCGGCAGCATCAAGGGCGTTTGCGAGCATGACCAGCCCGACAACTACACCTGCCCTGGCGGTCGGGTGTTCTTCAATGCCTCTGTCATCTGGGGTCTTATTGGCCCGCAGCGCATCTTCTCCCCCGGCTCCATCTACAGCCAGACGCAATGGTTCTGGCTCATTGGCGCCATCTTGCCCTGCCTCTTTTACATTCTCGCTCGTCTGTTCCCCAAGAGCAATCTCCGCTACCTCAACGCGCCCGTCATCTTTGGAGGCACTGGTACGCTTCCCCCTGCGACGCCGCTCAACTTTTGGGCCTGGGGCCTTGTCGGCTGGTTCTTTAACAGCTTCCTCCGCCGCACTCGTCGCGGCTGGTGGATGTCGTACAACTATGTCACCTCTGCGGCGCTCGACTCTGGCCTTGCCATTTCCACCATTGTCATCTTCCTCACTCTCTTCATGACCAATACCAACCCGCCAAACTGGTGGGGCAACAATGTCGTCCTAGGTGCCATGGATTATCAAGGAACCGCTGTCCAAAAGACTGTGCCTCCTGGCGGCAAGTTTGGTCCAGAAACTTGGTAATCTTGAAGAGTCATGGACTCATGGCCGTCATTTTCTACGACCTTTTTTTGAATCCTCTCCGTCTAAGTGATATCTGTAGTCCGACTTGTATTCCATGGCTACCAGGGTTCCGACCCGAGGTTGAAAATAAAGTGACAAACACAAGAAACAGAGGTGGATGGTGAATGTCTGCTATTCAGGTGGCTCACTGTTTTTACTCCTTGACTATTTTCCAACTTTCTAACGAGTCACGCCGAGATTCTCTTTATTGTTTTCTCTTTTACCAACCTTTTATACCTAACCTTTCGTGTACATGCTGCTTGATGCTGCATTAAGCTCTTTTTCCTTTTCCTTCTTCTTTTTCTTTTTCTTTCCCTCCCCTCCCCTCTTCCTCTTCCTTTGCATTTTACCTACTCTTAGTATCAAAGCCATGACGATACGCTACATACCTTAGGTAGTATAGTATTAATTATCGTAGTACCATGATACCTCTCATCCCCTCTCTCATCATCTTGTTTTGTCCCCTGGCTTTTTCGATAATGTATCGTGTCTTTAATAAATCCACCGCCTTATTCCTATTTTATTAAATCCTTTTTAATCCTTTGTTGTTCCGATTCCTTGGAGAATGTCGACTTTCTGGTTCCGAACTCCTAGATTAATTCTCGACTGTTTCTACTTCGTACTTTGTAAATTGTTACAAAAATATATTTTGATTTTTGCACTCATCTAGCCTGAATCCCGGAATCCCGGAATCCCGGAATCCTGAAGAATTGGCAGTGTAGCACTGCAGTAACAAAGCAGATATGAGTGTCTTGATTACTTTGTAGTTATATATATTCTCTCCTGGCATTCTCTTCTGGTGATCAAGTATTTTTCTTATGACGAGTTCAAATATTTTCTTGTGACATGTAAGAACAATAAAACTATAAAATGATAAAAGGGGATAGAAGGAAAAGAAAGTCAAAAATCCACGATTCTGCACATACATGATACACTTTTCACAATACATGTCCAATACACATACACATACACGTACACGTACACGTACACGTACACGTATAGCATATGGTATGTAGCATATGGTATGTAGTATATAACACATAGTGACATGGCATATAGGAAAAGCCAACAAAGGGGATAGGGAAAAATGCATGTACAATATTTAGGTCGTCTACGCTAAGTGGTCTCAAAGGGAATACGAAACAGGAAAAAGGAAAAAAGGACATTTGTAGATGCGGAAAAATGGAAGGCCGGGGGGAAAGATACTCGAAAATGAAAGAGGACAAAGGGAAATGGGAAATGGTACACGAAAATGTAAAGGATGATCTCAAAATCACAAGGGATATAAAAAAAAAAAAAAAAAAAAGCCAATACAAAGATAAATAAATAAATAAAAGAAAAGACCTATCCGCCCCATCTCAAAGGGAAAACAACCAAGGAAAAAAAGGAAAAAAGGAAAAGGGGGGAAAAGAGAAAATATAGAGGAAAAGATATAGTCTACTTAATCTACAGTCTTGCCGTTACAATCTGGAATGGTGACGCCAGATTTCAAATTGCGATTGGCGTCCATGAGGCCCCATTTGTCTTCCCATTTTTCGGTCTTGGTGTTGTATATTGCCTTCCACGGCTCGTCAAAGGCTTCGAACCTGTGGCAGCGTTAGTTCTGTGAACTAATGGGTTTGGTTAAGTAAGGTTGCTCGAGGGAGAAACGGAGAGGGATGAGGGACAAGGAAAGGGGCAAAGAAATGGAAATGAATGATAAATTTTTAATGAAAAAAAAAAAAAAAAAAAAAAAAAGGAGGAAAAAGAAAGAGGGGATAAGAACATACCAAAAGTATTCCGTCCCATTAGTCAAGCTTTGACAGACCCAGCTGTCCATGAACGTATTCAACTCATCAATCCCGGCGACGCTTCCATCCGTGCTGGTCTGGCATGTACTCTCGCCGCAGTCATTGCCGCCGGCACTGGGCCATCCGACTTCGCTAATGACATTCTTTTTGCCCGTCAAGCCCTGGGTGAGAGCGACATCGTGGCCGGTCCAGAACTCCCACGTCCAACCTGCGGCCGCTGCGGCAGTGACGCCGGCGAAAAAGGGATGGACATTGGCCATGACGATGTCGACTTTGGGCACGAGGTCCGAGGTCCAGTTATCGCCCAAATCGGACGTGGCGAGTGGGAGGTCCGATATGTGTTTTGAAGTGAGATTCGAGCGCACATCGTCGAGCACACTGCCGAGCTGAGTGGCTGTCATGTCTTTCCGGAAGAGGACTTCGTTGCCGACAATGAGGCCCGCAAAAGGGTCGGAGCCGTACTTGTCGAGAACGTCGTACATTTGAGAAAGTTGCCGCTCGTTGGTAGTGGCGTTGTTGTCTTGCCATACGCCCAGCCAGATTTTCATGGTCTTGTTGAGGTTGAGCCGGTCGAATGCGTGCAAGACCATTTCCGTTTGGTTGCAGTCTGTGCCATACAAACGGATGGCGTTGGTGAGTTGAGAGAGCACGGCCACGTCGCGGGTGACGTTGTTCTGGCTCGGCCGGTTGGTGAGACAGCCAGGGTATTGTGCGTTGAGCGGGGTGTAGTCCATTCCGGGAAACACTTTGTGGAGGTTTTGGTTGTTGAGCAGTTTTTGGATCTCGCTCGAGGTTAGCGAGAGATCTTCGCTCGTGTCTTTGTCGCCAGAGGAGGAAGATGATGATGAGGATGAGTTGTGCTTTCTCCCAAGAATCCCGCCAACGACACCGCCTACGATCGCTCCGATGATGATGAGGGCAAGAAGAATACCAACGATCCATTTTAATCGCTTATTACCAGACGTCTCTTGATTTAGCCACTCGCTTTTTTCAGGATCGCGACGCATTTCTTCCGCATTCCCGGGAACAATGCCATACTGCTGGCTTTGGGATCGTGTTCCGTTTTGCCCAAGTAGACCTGATACTGTGCCTATTACGCCGGCGCCGGCGCCAGCACCGGCAGCTGCTGTGGTAGTTTGGCTTGGCCCTTTGGAAAACCGTCGATCCTGTCCCAGCATAGATCGTTTAGCGGGCTGTGGTGTCATGAAACCATCATCCCCATCATCAGCAATGTCGTTTGGATCCAGCGCTGATGGGTCGGATCTGCGTGACCTTGGATCCCATACTTCCGGACTCTGCCCATAAAGATCGTCAACGTACATTCCAGGCGAGATCCCTGAGCCTACTGGCTTCCGTGGGGGCGTCGAAAGGGCTGGTGGAGGCATATTCGCCTGGAGAGGGTCTGCTGATGAGTAGGACATGCGCTGCATATTATAGTCTGGTCGGTCTGGCGGTAAGGCTGACGTGAAATGATCCTCGTCCGCAAACCCTCCATGATCGTACCTCTCAGCAGGTCCATGTCGGCCCAACGAAGAATCACTTTCCATGGCTCGTAACGCTTGCAATCCGCTTTCGCGTTGGTGTGAGTTTGCGACTCCTATTGCGACCCCATTGATTCCTCCACCTGGAGCGCCTTCTCCCAAGTTGTCCATGCCTGGGGTAATGGTCCACTTAGATCTGGTCGAGTTAGAATACGACAATCCTCTCGCTAGTTTGGGAAGGTCCGTAACATCAGAAGCAATGTTTGATACAGGCCGGCCTGACCGATGTGGTGGTGGCGGGGGTGGTATGTCGGATTGAAATTGACTGGTATAATTCGTGTTCCGCGCCAGGCCGGGTGGTAACCCGAGGCTTGCACTATGGTTGCTCGCTCTTGCTGAGAGATTATAGGGATTTGATAGAGGAACCGTTGGATATGTCTGATGGGTTGGCGGCAAGGGCGGACTGGATGAACGATCTCGTGGGGGATTGGTTAATATGGGAAGAGGAGAGTCGTTGTATCCTCTCTCAGGACCCTGTCGATCTCGATTGCCGTGAGTTGCGTAGTCGATTTGTTCCTCTCCACGGTTTCCAAAATGAGAAAAATCTTCAGATCCAGACTTGTCGTCAAAATTGTGTCTTCTATATGTGTTGAGAGACATGGTCCGGAGCGGTTTTGTATATCAAGCGCCAAAAAAAAAGGTGGCGCAGCAATTCCCTATACGAGACGTGGTCAGCTTCACGGGTTGCAGTGCGCCGTCCCGGGTTCAGGCATCAGGCCGACCAAAAAACAAATCGAGTGTTCCTGGCCATTCGTTTGTAGCCGGTCACGCGTTCACTGTCTGAAAGGAATGGCGTACCAGGTAACGAAGGTTTATACGAGGTGTAGTAATTGGCGAAACTGGCTGCAGGTACAGCGGTATCTCCAAAGACTGTCGGCTTTGAACAAGGTGAAGGAAAAAAGATAATTCAAAATATAATTCTCTTCGGACAAGAGAATATCAAATTCGTAGATGCGTAGCGATGCGTAACTGCCCAAGTCGTAAAGTTCGTGCTTGTCGTTACTATCGTCGAAACTCGTAAATTGCCTCCTTTATCGAAACAGATCCCGGAATGGATATTTTATGGAAAAACTTTATCAGACAACTTCGAGATTTTTTGTCGAGAGAGCTTGCTCGGCGCTACTCTCTCTCTGCTCATATGTCTTTGGCGTTTAGAATCGTGAATTCATAAGATCATGACCTGACTCTTGAAAAGGTAAACCTTTCAAAGGTATATACCAACCCAAAGAGAATGCAAATGGAAAGACGAGTAAATAACAAGTCGGTCAATGTAAAAGTCTGACAAGGCGTAAAGTGCTTTGACCAGGTATGCAGGCGTAACAGGCTGGAATACCAGAGATGCCGAATGCCACTCTCCCCGTGGCAATTCCAAGGCAATTGTTGTTACGGTTTTCCTCGGTCGGGTTTAGTTTGCGCACAGAGACGATCACTCGGCCATCGCCAAAGCAACCAAAAATAGTTCCCTTCTTCGTCTACGGCCAAACGACACCACTGATAACGCAACCATGGTAATGTTATGAACGGACTCTACACACACAACCACCTGCCTTTCTAGCAGCGATGCTGGCAGACGACACGACATATCAAATAAAACGACCCTCAAAAGAACTGTCTCACGGAGCTTTTCATCTCTCCGATTTTCCCAGTCTCACTTATATCACAATCTGCTTCTACGATTTCGCATGGAAGTTTCAGCGCACGTCAAAAATATCATCCGATTTATTAACATCCTTGGATAAACCATCCCTCATCCATTCGTTAAGCATCGTCACCGCCAGAGCGGACCGCCAACCCCAGCTATCGAGGACGACAACACTGAGGCTGGACAATACATATTGAGAGCTAGCAGAGATACAAAAGATACCATCCAAATGAACCCAAGATGGGCACCCCTTTCCACATAATCGTAATATCACGTAAAATTATCAACAGGGACATATTTCTTGACGTTAGAGAGAGAGATAGTAACACACGGAACTTGCGTCGCCCGAAAACATCGCAGACTTTTCAGCAGCATCGTCATCATTCCTGAACAGCAGATCAGACCATGAAAATGCGCCAACGAGGCCAGAAGATCTAGACTAGAAATGTGTAAGCATCTGCTCGAGACTGATGAGGGGGCGACATATGAATACCTACGCGAAGCTGTTTAGAGACGGGAGCCGTGGACGACCTTGTAGTCAACAGCGAGCTCACGGCCAGCATCGTTGATGACAAGCACGCGAACGCTGCCACGTCCATTGGCGAAAGAGTCGTTGAGGCGGGACCACAGGCCACCTTGGTCGAGCACAGGCAGGCCCTGCTTGACATCACCAGTCTCCGTCATGGCAACGACACGGCCGTCGTCACGAATGTCAAGAACGCGGTACTGCTTGAAGACAGGACCGAGCATATTCTGGACAATGACCGAAGGCGAAGGGTTCGAGACAAAGCTCGACTCCTCATGAAGCTGCTTGGTGAAGAGGTCGACACCAAGGTAGCGGTGCTGACCAGTCTGCGCCGAGGTGGTGATGCGAATGACCTGGCAGGGACGGCCCTGGAGGATCAAAAGGTCGCCAATGCGGATGTGGTGGCACGGGATGGTGATGGTGTTGGGCGCGCCACCACGCTCAACCATGCGCACACTCTCGCGGACGGGGGCGGGGGCATCATTGTGAACGTAGATGTCCTCGCGCTCGACACGGGGGTGGAGCGGATGGAGGATACGGTCCGCAGCACGGTGGAGACCGTGGCGGAAGGAGTGGTATTGACCGTCCTCGTCGTAGTAACCCATGGTGAATTTACGGTGACGGTGAGGCTTGGGAGCGTCGACGGTGGTTTCGGACTGGACACGAATGTCGCCTACGGGCTGGTATCCTTGGCCGGGGTAGTCTTCGGCGTACAAGGGCTGGGAACGCTGACGATACTCGCGTTCGGCGATGTCGATGCTCGACTCGGCAAACTGAGCGGTGGGACGAGGAACGGTAGAGCGAACCTCGGTCTCGCGATAGGAACGGGGAGCGTCGACGGTAGAGTACTCGCGGTCGTAGTACTCTTGGGTGTTATCAATGTTACGACCGTAAGGCTGAGGGCCGGCGGCGTCGACGTCGATGTGTGTCTCGGAGAAGGGACGATAGGGTTCTTGGTAGCTAGACGGAACACAAAACAGACGGCGTCAGCAGTATATCTTACGAGAGGTGTGTGGGCGAAGGACAGATGTGGAGTGTCGTGGAGGCCCACGTTACTAGGCCAACCCAAGGAGCCGGCCAGGGTTCCCATTGGCCATGGCCTGATCGCGAGCATGGGGATGCGTTGGCGGCCTGGTGGAGCGTCGACCCGACATGGTCCGGCAGCCCAGCCTCATCGAGCCGGAAACGGAAGAGGGCCCAAGATGGTCGGCGTGCCCAGGGCCAGATGAGGTAGAAGAAAGCCCAAAAGATGAAGAATGCAGAGGAGAGCGAGGAAAGAGGAATGGCGAGGAAGAGAAGGGCCAGATTGTAGATAGGACACTTACCGTTCGCGGGAGAGTTCTACCTCGGCGAAACGGTCTCGCGGGTAGCGGGTATCCTCTCTCTCCACGTAAAAGTCTTCCTGTTGACGGGAGCCGGGAATATGGGTGCGCAGCTGACGCTCACGCTCAAGGACAAAGTCTTGATCGTGTTGCTGATATTGCGAACGGTCGTGGTGATGACGGCGAGGAAGCTCGGCAGAGAAGGAGGAGTAGCGGACTTCGTGACCTTCCCGTCCGGCGCTTGATCGAGAAGGTAAGTTGGCAGCTCCTTCTACTCTGACCTGAGTAGCTGACGAGACAGCGTCGCTCCGGTACGAGGACGGGAAGACACTGAAGGGGATCGGAACGCGGGCGTCAAAGTCCAGATTGACCAGCGGGCGGGGGTCCCTTCTCGAATACCTTCCGAACCGTTATGGCAACAATTCGAAAGGAAGACAAGAAGGAACTCTTGCTTCGCAGGAGAATTAAAAAGGTCTAAAAGAAGAGGGTAAAGGTGAGATGACGAGGTGTCAACACGATTACTCTTCTCTTGGAGTCTTTTTGAAGCGGTGTGATGGAAAGAGCTTCGACCGAGCCAGCTGGGAGGAGAGACGCGAAGCGGTGAGCAAGGACCACGTTGATTTGGAGCGAAGCGAATAAACACACCCGTGGGGGGGTTGGGGAGGCTTTCGGGGGGGGGCTAGTTGGCAAGTGGGTCTCTTACCTGAGAGGAATTCACTGATGAAGATCAGGATCGTGTATTGGATATGAGGAGGGAGAGATATAATGGGCGAGGATGGGTGTAATAAGAAGGACGACCACAGTGAAGAAGCACCGAGGAAGCGGGTAAACGAGGCTTGGACTTAAGTTAACTAACTTATCGCCTCTTTTCGGGGTTGACGAAGAAGAAAGTGAAGCGAGCAATGGAAGAAGAGAAGAGAGTGAGAGGAGGGGAGGGGGGGGCGTGAGAAGGTGGTCAAATCATTGGCAGACGAGAGAGCTGAAATAACCCCAGAAAGAAAGGGGGTTGGGGGAGTTTGTTTTGGAGTTGATTTGTTATTGTTGTTGTCGCGGTGCTCCAATAAGCTCTGTACCTCTAGCAAGTGACTGGTACAGTATCCGTCAAGTACAGAGAGCCCGGTAACTAAGGTACCTACCGTACCTACGTAGTACACCGGGGGTGGCTGGCACAAAAGGTCGGAGCCGCCAGCAAATGAGTGGTCCATAATCAGTCTCAGCGTGTCACAGAACGACAGTCAAAGGGGAAAGATAAACAAAGCACCGGCCTCTTGCCTTGCCAAGGCCTAAGGGGAAGCTCGGCGCTTGAAGCTACAGAAGGTAACTTGACTACCTGTCCAGAGCTACGGAGTACCTGGGCAACTTACAGGGGATGAACAGGACGAGCTGACGACTCGTCGTGGCTGGTCAACTGTCGTGTTAGTGCACGGCTACCCCTGGACGATCGGTGGGGTACCATTGGTCAATGGAGGGTCGGCGACGACGGACCAAACGACGGCTCCAGCGGGCCATCGGCCTAAATCTGCCACCTACTGTGCCAACCTCCCACCGAGGGCACCGAGCACGCTGCGACAAGCACCAACTGCACTTTCTACTCGAACGCTCTGCCATGCTGATTTCCCAGCTGAGCTCAAGATCATCGGGTTGATCGAGCTCAATGCGCTGTCGGACTGGTTGCCGAGGCCCATTTTGGCCGAATTGTGCTCTGTCGTGGATGAGTCAGCTTCATGTCTGTTATGTCCCTGCGGCAGCTTTTTAGCCAATGGAAGGGGCAGAAACACATGTAAAGAAAGTCATGTAAAGTGTAGAAAACAAAAAGCATTTATATGATCAAAGGTATAGAAACCAACTACTGTGTAAGTTTACCTCGCTCGTTCAAACTCTGATAGATGGACCAAAATGAACGAGATGGTTATGGTCACGTGACCATGGTGGCTACACTGCCGACATGATAAGACGGTAATTGCCTCTGGCCGTTACGGAGTAGCTAGCAGCTATCAATTCCTTATCTGGAACATCAAGCATCGGATCGATTGAATATTGAAATAACTCCTACATATGTTGATGCATCAAACGCTTCATGATATATCCTTCCGGAAAATGCTGATCCCCAAAGCCAATGTCTAACCCAGGACCGTAATTGCCTTTTCGAGTTAGTTTTGACAATTCCTGGTTTCGCGCCTCAATACGAGTAGCTCAGCTTGGTCGCAGGAGAGAAGAGTAGGAATATGATAGATATATGACGACCATATTCTTACATCAAACAGATTCTCCCAAGACGAAACGATTCAGGCCATATGCCAAATGCGAACCTTGGGATGGGTAGACTCAATCTATTTTGGCAGAACGCTTTGACGTCGTGGTCTCTCTTCAGGTGCAAGCATCCTATATTTCGCAACATACCCAGAGATACTCCCTCGGAAACGGATAAATAACTCATACATTATCTTGGATCTTGCCATATTCAGGCAGAGCCCATTTTAGCATCCATTCTGAATCGAGAATTTGCTTGGTAGTAGGGCGATTCTCTGGTCTGAATGAGAGCATCGGCCTTAGCATGTCGAAGAAAGCTTTCCTCTCCCTTGCATCAAACGGCGGCATGTCACTATCTAGCCTAGGCTGTTGCACGCTATCCTCAAACCGATCGTCCCAAGATCGGAAAGGGTTGCGGTTCATTGGCTTACCATCTTCAGTAAATTTCAGTCGTCGCGCCTCCCACCTCCTCCACCATTCAAGTGGCAAAACACCAAGAGCATCGACATGCTCGCAGGTCATATCGTCCTCCGTCGCGAGAAACCCTTCAAATAATGGCCGTTGAGCTATGATAGACCATATGGTACAGGCGAGGGTCCAAATGTCCGATGAAAAAGACAGAGGATCATTTGCCTCAAACCGCACCTCGGGGGGGCGGATGACAAGGGGGGTGTGAGATTCGTATTTCCCTTCTTTTGAAGGGGAAAAGGCTTCACCAAAGTCTGTAAGCAAGATCCTGGTCTCTGAAAGTGTGATTCTCTCACTCGCTTCCCCTAACCATATGGGCGCAATGCCGTGGGATGGGACACCAGGCGGAAGCGGATTGCTATCTAGACGAACAACTGGGTCGAGTTCCGGTGCTCCATATTTCTCATATAATTGTTGAAGTGAGAGCTGGTCAAAATTGGGCGGAACTTTGAGAAGAATGTTGCCGAGGTGAAGGTCTCCATGGACAATTCCTTGGGCATGTACATAATCCACAACAAGAACGAGTTGTGCAGCCAATGACCGGGCTACGTCGAGCTGGAATAAGCGGATCCAGGAGCCATCTTTCACCCCGGAGAGGCTAGCACTTGCTGGTGCTGTGACGTAGCAAGCATGATTGCCATTTGGGCCATGAATGGTGAACCTATCTAGAATTGAAGGGACCATCATATTCCCTGGATGGTTGACTGAAGGACAATGAGGACGAGTGAGCATGGAAATAATGTCCACTTCCTTTGGATTTGCATTTGCTGTGCAAACTTTTACTGCAACGTATTTATTGAATTTTTCATCACGGGCCAGCCACGCAGTTGAATAAGACCCATATCCCAGCTTATGAACAACTCGATATCGACCGTTAAAGTGATCTCCAATTTGAATGGGGTGATAGCCCCCTGGTCGATAGTTCTCAAGTCTTTCGACCCCCTCCAGAGGCTCGTAAAGAAGACGCGTATCAAAATCTTCGTTGGTCTCCATCAATTTGAATGCAGTGAGAGTCAACGCGCAGTGAGGTTGGCTATGATGAAGCAGTGGCATATGCCCCTTACGAAGGGCAGGAAAAATGGTTGGGGAACATAAATAATGCGGGCGCAACAACCGAATGGCCAGTGATAACAATTGACTCATCACCGTATTACACGGAGACTTTGAGCCAAAACAAGTTCGATAAAGGAGATGAAAATATCTCACAATACTTTTGAGTTATATCGCTGGCGTGAGACATATGCTCATGATGAAATGTAACGTGACACGCGCTAACCAGCTTCGAGAAGGTTCTGGTCAATGATTGGGTGGAGCGGGTGTCACAGTCGGGTCTGCATGTGGGTTTGAAAGCTACTCCGTAGTTTATTTGACAAAACGAAGCATGAAGAAAGGAAAAGGCTACTATCTACCTATACAGTTCTGCCCGTTTAAATACTTGGCAGGGATGGGGCTCGCTTAGCGTGCACGGTCTATTTTCCAGCACCAGGTAACCCCTGGTGCGGTCCAGCCTCGTCTCATAGTCACTGGGATCTCAGTCGTTGATCCATAGCCCTAGTAACCTTTATACTTGAATGAAATAGAATTTCACAGGTTTTATGCTACTAATCTTGAAACTAGTAATAATAGTAAAAAGTAGAAGGGAAAGAAAGAAAAGAAAGAAAAAAGAAAATTAAAGTAATTCTAAGAAATCTAATAAAAAATAATAAAAAATAATAAAATCTACTCCAAGTTCTTAGGCAATTCTTTATATTTAGTAAAAAAGGAAATGTAAAACAACAATGCTGTTCCTGCCTGATAGGTAGGGTCCCGATGGTCATTGAAAATCTGTCATTCTTTTTAGAGTACTCTGCACATGAATTCATTATTTTATTTCCAGGCCCAAACAGACCTGACCGATCCAAGTCTAGCGGTTACAAAAGTCCATTCGGTTCCTTGATTCGTCGCCGAGGGAACCTCGGTACAGGCCATGCCACTCTTCCCGAAATGGAAATCTGATTGGTGGGCATGAATAGGTGTCTACGTTGTCCGGGTAACCCCCAATCGATACCCAATCACGTTAAAGATCAATCGACTGACTAATCAATCGTGACCTTCCTCTTCCAAAGATAAAAGAATCAAGAGGAGACCTAGTTTAACCATGTCATATTACTCTTTGATGATTCCAAGCAAGATGCTTGATGAAGGCAAAGGCAAGAGGACTAATGCATCATTTTCGTGCGCAATTTTCCGAGCGTTGGGCATTGGGCCACGCTCTGTGGGGGTGGCGATGACCGGTGGGTTTGGATGCCTGATCGGCCACTCCTGCACCCTTCAACCGTGAGATGTGAAACGTTGTCTGCCAAACGCAAACGTGTCCGAACGGCAAAGGATCAATCGGCTGCTGCATTAAATAAATTTCTCTCGTGATGATGCTGATGCAATCTCTTGCTGTGGAAGAAACGTAGATGCTTTGCCTGACCAATGCAATGGTTGCCCTAGTTATCGACGTGAGGTCTTGGAGACGATTCCAGGCGTCGCCAAGGCGATGTGCCGCCTCGTGCCAAGTGGCAATTGAGCCCTGTAGGCCATTTGATCCGATTTGCAAAGCTATGCGCAGACGATAATGACAGTAGAGAAGAAACATATTAAAGTCACCTCCGACCTGCATATACATATTCGTGGGCGCTGGCCGGATCGTAGAAGAATTCTCAGAGCAACCATCGGTCAGGCAACCTATCTCTATACAACACGTTCCCTCGAGCCTCGCGGAATAAGTGAACCATTTCGACCTTTCGCTTTCCGCTACAGAGGATTTTCATTCAGATAGTGCAATTCTCGTTCCAGAAGGTATCTGTTGTCTATCGATCCCGCAACTCTCTGCGACTATATTTCTTCAAAGGCCGCATTGACTGCCGATCAGGGACTTGACGCTTAATTCCTTGCTACGACAATTGAAGCGGATCACTTGAATTCCTACGGATTCCTACTTTATCGTCTGTTTTCCCGAAATTTATCCGGGTGGACGACGAAAACGACGGTACAACTTGCAAATTCTACCAATTGATTCCCTCACGCGTCGGTGCTGGTCGCCACACTGGAGCAGCTGTACAGAAACTCTGCAGACGAAAAGCGGGTACGCTCCACATCTCGGTCAAATCCACCGAATATTGTCGTTTCACTACGAGCCCTCGGAGTGTTTGCTCAGCTGCAACTGATTTCTCGGCATTTGTGCAGCACCGGCAGCCAATAATTCATCAGAGTCGTTTTGACATCATCCGCGACCATTGCTCGCAACTCTCTCCCAAACTTTGTCCCGGAATATTCTCGAGTGTTGTGGGGCTTAGTTATATCTCACTCTCTTGGGAGAGAGATCATCTTGGCAGAGTCCCACGTGGGTGACTCTCCCCGAGCAACAAGCCGACCTGTCGGTGAAAAGAAAAGGACCGACTCATCTTGGTTATATTGCGACAGATGGACCCTTGGGATTCTTGATAACTATTTGAAAACCTGCGATCCCTCGATCCAGCCTTATGCGGGCGGCCCGTTGCGCTAGCTATTATCATTTGTTCCGAGCAGCAGAAACCCCGCTGACGTGAGCACCCCACCTACATCATTCATTGTCTCTCGTCCAACGACTTCGCTATCGTTACTTTTTTTTTTTACCCCCTCGCGCTTTTACTACTGCAAAGAAGGGAAAAAATTCTCAGCCTCCTACATTCTTCTAGAAAGTTCAATTCCATGCCGGACATGGACACCTCGCGATATTATCGTCCCGTCTCACCCTCCCGCCGCTTGACCAATCCCATGCGTGCCTCGACGGGTACTGTGGGAGACTTGCACGGATCCTACGACCCCTATTATCATCATTCGTCTCCTCGAACCAGTCGAGATGCGTTTACGAACCCCAGGAGCAGCGCAGAACGGGTAGATGACGCACACCATGCGGTTCCTCGGATCTACAAGGACCAAAGCCCTCCGTCAGCTCAACTCCGCGAATATCGCACCCGCCCTCGCCGGTCGACACTCGAGGTACCAAATCCTCGACATTCGTTGAATTCTCTGCCTTCGCGGTCCCCCACACGTGCTCGACCTATCGTCCATGCTCCCACAACGGCACGCACGTCCAGTCCCCTGGCACGCACCTATGACTCAGCCGACGACGAAGCATATTATTTGACCCCGGCTTCGGCTGCCAGACGGCAGCACCGCCGTATCTACAGCGTTGATGGCCATCACCAGGTCAATCGCCTTGGGTCAGATGATGAAAGTCGAGAGCGGGTTCGTCGAGCCGCTGAAAGGGGCTATCTACCGACAAAGCGTTATCCGGGCGAGAGGCAACGAACGAGCCGGTACGATGAAGGCGATTATTATGGCTACTCCTATACCGATCCTAAGGAGCAAATGTACCGAGATACTGCTCCGCGGAGACGGTCCCGGCGAAGCAGCTACGATGGTGCCGGCAGAAACGGTACCTGGAGCATGTCTGCGCTCGAGGGGACCCTTCCGAGAACCTCGGTCACCCGTGAAGCAGGCCCTCCGCCTTCGACTCGAGGATTTGATAAGATTGCTCGGTCCGAGAGTCTGAGAGGTCCTACGCGGCCATACGCATCAGAGCGATCCTCTCGTGACTATATCGACGGCAAAGCAGCCGAGATATATGACGCGCCGTCAAGCCGAACACACCGACCTGTAGCAGTGCACCAAGACCACGACCGAGCATACCCATACAGAGACGACGAGCCAGATATCCCGCGCCGAAGCCGCCCCGCCATCGATGACGATGTGGAACGAAGAGGGTTCGGTATTCGCACGGGCGGGCCTGAGCACACCTCGCCACGAAGCAGTAATCGTGAGCTGTATGCTCCTTATCATGCCGACGACGAATACTACGGCAGATATGCCCGCGATCCTCGCGACTATGAATATGACCAGGATTACGACTACGATTACAGAGGGTACGACAGGGATCGAGGATCTCATAGATATGAAAAGACAACTCACGGAAGCGACGAGGACTCCAAGGATAACCATGGCAGACACAGTCGCGAATCAAGCGACGAAGAAGCTCGCGAGAGGCGTCGACGAAGGCGAGAACAGCAACACCGCGAGAGTGACGCCTTGGAATATGAAGACCGTCGCCGAGCAAGCGAGCGCGACAGCGACCGTGACCGAGATAGGGACAGCGACCGATCGTATGATTCTGGAGACCGCCATCACCACCATCATCACCGCCGTCACAGAAAGCACCACGACCGGGACTCTGGCGACGACACCGATGCCACGAGGGCCAGCAGATCCGAGAAACCGCTTCAGATTGTATCTCCTCCTGAAAAGGAAAGAGAAAAAGGAAAACAGCTGGCGATCAAAGAAGCCGCCGAGGCACCTATCAAAGGTATCCTCAAAGAGCCTACGCAAAAGTTTCCCGAAGATCCAGCACCCATTCGCGAAGGCGTCGCACCGCTCAAGGAAGCAGGCAAAAAGGGCATACCGCCAACCGCACGATGGACAAAAATCGACCGTCGGCTGGTCAACCCGGAGGCACTCGAGGAAGCACATGAACGGTTTGAAGAAAGACTCGACTATGTCATTGTCCTGCGCGTCTTGACCAAGGAAGAAATTCAAGTCCTCGCAGCCAAGACGCAGCAACTCAGAGGTACCTTTTAGTCCTTTCCCCAATGCATCCAAATTTATTGTCCAGTATTCTGCGAATAATCAAATTACTGCATTCTATACATATGCTAACGCAGTACGCCCTCGTGCAGACGCCCGCTACGAGCGCGAACGCCACGACCGTCGCCGTCGTCACGACGAAGAAGACCGCACTCTGCGCGCCATCGAAGCCGGGGAAGCTACCACTGCTCCTCCTTCTTCTCTTCCAGCCATTGAGCCCGCTCCAAGAGACGCCCCAGGTACCGGCGCTACTGCTGCTTCTTCCGCCTCTGCAGCTCCCTCTTCAAAGCGCGTCATTGTCGAGCAGCAGCACCCTTCTTCGTCGGCGGCTGCGACTGCCGGATCTTCATCAAATGCTGCCTCTGCAAACTCAAGTCTCCCGCCGGCTTCGCTGCGCGAGAATCCCTATGTCCCGGGCACGTATACGGGCTACAGACGCAACCCGCCACAGCCAACGACCATGTCGTCCTCGTCTGGGTCACGGCAGAATCAATAGTATGTTACCCTCTACTTGTTACCCTTCCACTTTTTTTTTGTTATCTTGCATGTTGATTCTACCTTGTTATCCCATTCTTTCTTGTTATCCCATTGTGTCTTACCATATCATGTCTATCACATTGACACCTCGTTTCCCCCTTCCCATTCGCACCGTCACTCCATTTATACACTCTCTAACGTTGTCTCTATTCCATAGCTGACCGGTGATACAATTGAATCATAGTTATGTCTCCGGCGCGCGCTGATTAACTTGATCGACTTGCTTGCATTGATTCATTTCATTGCATTGAGTCTGACACTCTGTCCAGATTACGTCCCCTATTCTCGATTAGTTTCAGTCTAATCTTGTATTTTTTTTTTCTCTTCTCTTTTTCCCTCCTTCTATTCTCACTCCTCTTCGCTTTCTATTTTCTCTTATCATTCTGTCTTTCTCTCATCTTCCATGTTCCAAGTTCCAAGTATTGTTCGAGTTCAGACTCCAAGTCCAGAGTCCAGAGTCTATAGTCCAGAGATATCCCAGATTCCCAGATTCCCAGCCTCTTTTGTCCATTGTGTCCATTTGTATAAAAGCTTCCAAAAATATAAAATGAACAAGTTCAAGTTCAAGTTCAAGTTTACATATTATATCTACGGTATACAGTATACTCTGGGCCTTTGAATTTCTATACTCTGCGAGACTCTGTCTGTGGCTTTGGCCTTATATACTCTGTAAGAATGTCTTTGGCTTTGGCTTTGGCTTTTAACTTTATATATACTCTGTAAGACTGTGCGACTGTGCCTTGACACTGTACACAATTGTCTTTGACACATTACACTGTTATACAATCTCAACTTGTCAAGTTTTTAACCACTTTATGAACATATGATTATGATGCATTGATGCATTGATAAGACAAGTTAACTAGTCAATGACAATACCATAAGATGGTCACACCTTTTACTTGCATCTCAATTGATCATATTGTGATTTGTATTTTAATGATTTAATAATCTAGTGATTCAATGACCCAGCAATCTAAGAGAGGCTACTCCTGGAGCAGAGTCATGAGCTAGTATGGTAGTACTAGTATATGTGGTTGACATTTTGGTACACCCACCTAGCAACACACACGTACATACAGGACACAGAGAGAGGCGGTAAACTAAAATTAGTATTATCAGGTCATCAATCGACAAATAAAAGGGCTGGGGGACAAAAATTCAAAGAAAAAATAAAAAAGACGGGGGGGAATAAGAAGAAGGAAAAGAAAGTTGATAATTAAGATCGAAATGATAAGATATAAATAACAAAAAGACGTATATAAATATATAATGAGAAAAAACCAGAAAAGTGGAAAAATAAAATAAAATGAAAAAGGATATAATACTCGACAACTGCCCCCATTACATTACAAAGTTTCCCAGGAATCTATCCTAGACTTGCAATTCATTACCTGTGCCACAATGAGTTAAATATAGACATTCAAACGTACAGACATGCATACATACATTTCCCATCTTTGCCCGAGCAACATTGAACTTTACAATCTTTGTTTGATACATTTAGAAAAAAAAAAAAAAAAAAAAAAGGGAAAAAGAAAAAGAAAAACATTATCACCAACCCGGTTAACGAGGCTCATCATCTTCACACACAAAGCACTTCCACATGCTTCTTCTAACACGGGAAAACAAGAAAAATGAAAACTCAACATGCCCGCTTTCCGCTCTGCTCTAAAGGGGAGAAAAAATAAATGAAAATAAAATAAATGAATTGGATTCCTTGCCCATCCTTTAAACAAATCCGTCCCAAATGCCCATATGCCAACAACTATAGTCCGGTTACCCATATTTCCGCTCTGCAATGTGCAATAGAACAATGCAAATGAAAAGAATAAAATAAAATAAAATAAACACAATCGAAGAAGCTGAATGAGCTCAAGTCGGTGTAACAAAAACAAAATTGAAAAAGAAAACCGAGATGATAAAGCTTCCTGCGCAAATGTCTCAAATGCTATATATCACAGATCATTGAACCGAAAGTCACATGTCAATCTCACAACCTAAGGCGAAGAATGTCGCTTGCTCCGACGATCTCGCTCCATCCATTTTCGCTTGCCGACTCGGGTTTCAAAATGCGGTGGGACAGTTGACACGTCTTGACCCGCAGCAACCATGGTGCTTCTCATTTTATTCCGATACGCATCCACTGCAACATGTTAGTAACAATTCCACAAATCTAGATATAGAACGAAACGTACAAGCTCTTTGAAGGAAAATGGTCCGTCCTGCAAAGACTCTGCTTTGACTCCAGCTCATCCGGTATCCCATGTCATTCAATGTGAGCTCCTTGCTTCGCCGTCGTTTCCCCAGACAGGGGGTAGGGACATCCACCTCGGATCCGTCGAGCATTGGCACAGGGACAATTGTCCGGCCCTTGGTGGGTCCATCTTCACCCGAATCTTCTTCATCGTCAAAGAAGCGGCTGCCTCTCGGAGTACTCGGTGGCGATTGCATTTGCATGGGAAAGTATGACCGAGGATAGACGGAATTCGTCTTGCGGTAGGAATCAGGAATCTCATTCATCTCTACCTGGTCCAGGGTAACGCGAACTCGGACGCGGGTGCCACGGTGCGGGTCATCTACTAGAATAAACTTGCGACGTTTGGCTTCGGGCACGTCTCCAAACAGTGCGACCGTTTCGTCATCCTCGGACTTGGTTGCAACGGCGGAAGCAGTGGCGGTTGCGTGGGCTGAGGCAGCACCATGTCGGCTCATGTGGTCGACCCCATCGTGGACCGAGGGAGGCATGGAAGGGCCTACACTCGAATTGGTCGGATAGTTGGCGTAGCCGTGAAAGACTTGATTATGACGTACACCGCTGTTGTGTGATCCAACTGTTTGATGCGTTAGGAAGGTTTCGTGAATAGTCCGATGCAAGATTGTAATAGTAGCGATTATGAGCTATAGCCAACACATGCGGGGGAATCAAACAAATTAGCCTACAAGCCCCGGGATAATGAAATGAAAATGAGAAAAAGACGAGAGAAGATATTGTACATGCTCAATCGCTTCACAGTCCAAATAATATGTTCTCTCCTTCCACATAGCAGAAAATCAAAAAAAGATCATGGCACACTCAAACCGATAAATTTGTCAATAAGCCAAAAAAAAAAAAAAAAAAAAAAAAAAGGAAGAAGGAATGGAAAAAGAAGGGGGGGGGAAACAAATTACTGAAAGCATATGTGCTGACAGCATTCATTGCACATGGTGAAACATACCGCTAACATCTTCGCTGCCGGCTGGAGCCGTAGCATCATGCTGCGCATGGTGGTGATGCAATTGCGCACCTCCCATTGCCAGTGGCGGCCCAGGGACGGGTCGCGCACTGCCAGCGGCAGGAGTCGCCACAGGTGCAGCAGGACCAGGACCACTGGGACCAGCCATGTGATTCGGGTGCTGCGTTGACGCTACCTGCCTTCGGTTGTTGATCTTGGCCATTCGGCGTACGCGTCTGCTCCGCAACCGCGGATCTTGATTGCTATTTCTCCAGCTGTCCACGGCACGCTGAATCAATCCACGCTTGCCCCGCAAACAGGGGTTTAGCTCTGCCAAAGCCCAGCCCACCGTGTTGCATTCGGTCTCATAAACCAAACGATTGCCCCGGTATTGGTCTTTGGCGCAGCACGCGCGTGGATAAACGCAATTCTCCGTCTTGAACTCCTGGCTCAGACTATCAACATTGACCGACTCCACATCGCATCGAATTGTGTATTCCATCTTGACGCGGTCACGAGAGTACTCAAACGCAATCCATTGGACGCCATTATTGTCCTGCCGCACCACGAGCGGAGTCGTCGCTGGGATCGGACCGGGCGCGGCATTTGGATTGACAGCCGGATTGTTCGATTGGTTTCCGTGCATGCCACCATTCGCACTTGAAGGGGGCGCGCTGACTGGTGTCGACGATGCTCCAACACCAGAAGGAGGACGCTGCAGAGGAGCTTGGGCCAGTTTTGTGCGAGGACTCTGGTTCATGGCCGCCGTCACTGGACTGTGTGTGGTCGGGTGTTGCAGCTGCGGCGGCGCTTGGGGATGTGACATCAGGAGCGGCTGAGAACTCAAGGGGTGCTGTTGGGGCGCCGGGTGCTGAGCGTACGGCGAAGGGTTGGTCGGTGCCATTGGCGGATATTGCGGGTATCCGGCATACATGGTGTGAGGAAGTTGCGGAGGAGGCTGCGCGTATAAGCTCCGGCCATGCTGATCATGGCTCTGCGGAGACGCAACAGATGCAGGAGAGTTGGACTGGGGCGTATGGTAGATGGGCGGGTACGCCGGGCGATTCATATGTGCGGCCGCCATTAGATCAGGTGTTTCTATAGGCAAAGACAAAAAGAGGATCAGTCCATATCATTGCAGGTCAGGATTGTATCTGAACAAACGCGCAAGCGTTGGCAGCAGCAGCAGCAGCAGCAGCAGCAGTGTGTTATCGCCTCCTTTCGCAGGCGCAACCCGCCGCATGGCTCTGCATTTGGTGCAAACCGTTATAGAGAAGAATGTGTTTTCCTTACCGGCAGACGAATATGCACCCGTTACACTCGAAGTACTGTAGGGGCTAGGCTGGGCCGAGAAGAAGGCGTTCTCGGATGGCTGATGTCCGCCAGGTCCTGACGGGGTTTGGGCAAACGATGACGGGGGAGGCGGGGGTTGGTGCGCGTGTTGCGACGGCCCGTGAGTCGCGGCGTGTGGGGATCTGAAGGCGCCTTGGTGATGCGATTGCAGCGGCTGAGTCGGTGGGAGTTGACTCTGTGGAGGCACAATGCTAGGAGGTCGAGAATGTTGAATGTGCAACGGCGGAGGGGGGCCCTGCTGCGAGTGGTGGGGGTGATGCTGTTTGTGTTGAAGAGTTGTCAGTTTCCCCGGAGTGACAATGGCAAATGACAAGCAGCAGCGTTCGCGCGCGAATCCAAAGACGGCAAACTTTGAAAGAACACCAGCGACACGAAAGCCAACATGCAATTCAAATGCAGGTGCGAACAAAAATGGTGAAGAAGGAGAATGAGAAGGTGCAATGAGGTAACGACAGACGCGACTGAAGAGCCGACGTGAACAAGGTGATTGTTGACCCCTCGGTGGTCGGCGCAGAGAGCTTCAAGGGTAACTAAGCTTGGGGGGGGGAAGAGAGCTAGAGCGCGCAATAAGATGGCAATGAGCCGCCGGCCAGACTCATGAACCAGGGGACAAGGGGTGGGGGGGGGGTGAGTGGAGGAGCCGGCGAGATCAAAGACAAGGTGCTTTGGACGCGGAGGATTTTGGGGGGAAATGTCGAGCCGATAAGTGCACCTCGAGAGGGAAAAGATGCCAAGCGAGTCGGGGCAGTTCGGCAGGATAAGGTGATGAACAGGGATAGGGGGCGTAAATAGATGCGGAACGACGAGGGAAAGGTGGTGTGGACCGGGGGTGGTGGCAGTTGTGCTAGGTGGAGAGAAGGTGGAGCCGGTGCAGCATATGTGTTTGTTTTTCGTATGCGGATGTTTTGAAAAGACGTGTGCGTAGGTGTATATGTAGGTGTGTGTGTGTGTGTGTGTGTAGAGTGGAGTGTGTGTATATGTGTGGTGGAAGTAAAAAGAGGAAGTAACATGAAAGAAGAAAAAAAAAAAAAGAATAAATAGGATATCGCGGGTAATGATGTGTCTGTGTGTGGGAAAAAAAGACAAGAGGGAAGAAAGAGCGGACGTGAGTGCGGGAAGACTTGGGTGGTGGTGGTTTGGGGGTAGCGCGAACAAGGAAAAGACAAACAGTTTGCTCTGCGTGGAAAAGAGTGCGGTGTAGCGTGGAGAGTAGCGTGGGTTGGGGGGGTGTGTGGGTGAAAGTGTGTGTGTGGTGTGCGTGTGGTGTGTGTGTGTGTGTGTGTGTGTGCAAATGACTGACTTGAATAGGTGCGCAATCAAAAGCAGAAGGAGATTGGGTTGTGCAGAAAAGTTTCACCCATTCCGAAATAGGGTCTCGGTAAAGGGAACCAGAAGAAAAAAGAAAAGGGTCATACCATGAAGCGAGACGTGAACCCACGTTAGGTGGGACAAGAAAAAAAGAAGCTCGACAAGGGAAAAGGGAAGGAAAAGCCAAATAGAGAAAATAAAGGGCTGTAAGGGTAGGTACCTCAAAGGCGGCGACCGCAGATGAGAGGCTCTAACAGGCGTAGGTTGGTGTAATCGTAACGCTGGTGGCAGCAGTAATAGCACCACTGGTGAAGAAGGTGGTGGTAATAGTGGTGGTGCTCGCCTTGGTGGTTCGGCCGTGGCGGTGGTGGTTGAGGTAGACGGCGCGCCTCATACGAACGCGAGTCCGTGTCCAGATAGGAAGATCCTGATAGCAAGGGGGAAAAAAACCAATGGAGCGCAACTTGTCACGCCTCAAACGCAAGATCGATGCAAAGACAAATAACAAGAAATGCAACAGGGCAAGGATGAATCCGTCTCGAACGCGTCGAGGAGTACGCTGCAAGCACGACGATGGGCTGGGGTGAAGGGGGAAAAATGGAAAATAATAATTAAGAGAGGCAGTAAGCCGCTCAGGTAATGATGTAGTGGTGAAAGGGCCCCAAGAGCACAATGACAAAGAGGAACAAGAAGAGGCAGGCGCAGACGCGGATGCTTGACGCTGATGCCGAATGCCGATGCAGATGTACAGTACAAGTAGATGCAGATGCAAAACGCTGGCGCCGGGGGGGCGGGGGGGCAAAAGGGTGGCGGGCGTATAGAGATGCAAGGCCGTGTCTAGTAGATGTGGACTGGAGGTACGTTGATTGAAAGAGAAGAATTGGGCACACAGACAACGCAAGTGCACGGCGAAAAAAATCGGCCTCAATGGTCGGGGGGGTGGCCAGCAAAAAACGGATGCTGAGACTTACAGGATCGTCCGCCACAAGGAGCCGGCTCTTCCTTATACCCTCAAGGACCAGGTCCCTCGTCGCCGCGCGGGAAGCCTAGGTCAACGCTCGACGCGAACCCGGCCATCCGCGCTGCACCAAAGAGCTCTCTGCTTGGCTAATGGCGGCCGAGCCTGCATATTGGGGTGTGGGTGGGTTTAGTCGGAAGATGGGTGTGTAGGCGGATCGAAGGACGGACGGAGAGATTAGGAGGGTTCCTAAGAGTGTGGGCAGGCAGCAGGGGGACGATGACGGGGCCAAACAAGAGCAAAGGAGCCACATTATTGCATCAAGAGCTCCATCAAAAGCGGGGGGACGAGGGTTAGGTGGATTCTTTTGCGATGCTCTTGTTTTTTTTGATGATGATCAAATACTGTAGATGGACGAGCCAGGACCTTGTGATGATGATGGCTATTGGGCACAGTGTGAACAGCGCGCGCGCGCGTGGGTGTGCGCGAGCAAGAAAGAAAAAAAGGACACGAGCGAGAGCGAGAGCAGGGGACAAGGGAGCAAAAGATGGGGAAGGAAGAGAGAGAGAGGTACAGTAGTGACTCGTAGCAGCAGCAAGCAGCGCAACGGAGCAAAGAATCGCAAGAAAGAGAATGAATCGAGCTCTTTCCTTTCGATCGCGGTCGTGGGTCTCATTGACAAAAGAGGAAAGGTCGATGGAGCAGGGATACGATCGTGTAAATTAATTTACAAGAGAAAGTGGGTAAAAGGGAGTGGATGGCTGAGGGATGACTGCCAGCCCTCTAACGAGATTTGGATCAAGTGCAGACTGATTGGGGGAAATGAGCAGCGTGGTCGAGGCGTGCCATGGTGCCACTACGCAGACGCCTCGGTGAAATAAACTCAAAACTGCCCAAAACGCCCAAAGACACGACTCATGTCGGCCGAGTTCCGCACCGTCGGGGAAAAACAGGCCCATCAAAAAGAGCAATAGAATGGGCCATGGGACGAAGCGGGATCGAACTCGGTCGCTTTGTTACTTGTGCCCTGTGCTAAACCAACTTTGCACTGGAGCAGTATCTATTCTTAACCATCACTCAGTGTTATTTCGCGCATCGTTATTGCACGAAAGCACAATCTGGGCAAGAGCAAAACTCAATGCTCGCCGTTAGTGGTTGGAAAACTAGCCGTCAACTCCCAAAGAAAGAAAGTCACAAGTATATATCTTTGAGAAATCTTGTTCGGAGGCACCAATAGTTCCATTTATTCGCTCCTCTTTTCTTCTCCTGCGTCGTCGATTGCTAGTAGTTCCCCGCTGAATTTTGTCGCGGGCCAATGGTTGGGGTGCAATCGGTGGGAGAGTCCGCAGCCGTCACCACGACTTCCTCAAGTCGTTTACTAATGGCAAATTTCTTGATTACAACACGGTTTCTGGTTTGATTACCACGGACGTAAAATCTCGGGGTTAGGTAGCTCCGTTAACCACACGCACAATCTACTTGTCAGCGAAAGCGACAATTGTATGCGGCAGCAGGAGAAAGAGCAACGCCTCCCCACTATCGCGCATCTGCTGTGCCATCGTTCATCGTCGCCATTGCCTGATCCAATTCATCTCAGGCCACACAACTCCGCGATCGAGCAAGGGTGGCAATGGACTAGCGGGGTGTGTTTGGAGTGGATCAGAGGGCGAGAACAAGGAAGGCGCAAGTCTACCTGCTCTTTCTCCAGTAGTAACTCTCTACTCCGTAGTCAATCGTCGTTGCCCAAAAGACAAAAAGGCACGGGATGGATGACGGGTCAAGGATCCAGGGTTGACGCGATCGAGAGCGACGACGCGGCCAACCCGTTCAAGCGATTCCTTTTTCGGGTTTGGACTCGTTCAAACATACCTGGCGCAGTACTCGTACTCTCCCGTCACCTCACTCCGGACAGCTAAGTAACCCGTCTACTCACTTAGCAAAGGGCCAAACGGTCGCTCTAACCTCCCTCGGGTCAAAGCCCCGCGACGCGTTTCCTTGATGGGCTCAGCGTCCCGAAGTTATGTCTGCCTTAAAGGAGCGCTGGGCCACAAAGCTAATAATCGGCCAGAGACTTGAAGGTACTTACGTCCTCGTCTGCCGCTCTGTCTTTTGCTTCGGGGCCGAGGACGCCTACGAGGAGTGGGTCGTTTGACGGCCTAAAGACCTCCGGAGGCTCCGTCAAAAGCACCAGCAATGGGGCTGAGAAGCTGTTAGCTAAATGTTCCCATATTCGCCTATGCCGTGGTATTCATCAATAATCACGATCCCTAGGGGACACCTTTTCCCCATCAACTAAGCTGAGCGAAGAAATCTCTAGACAGAAAGAGCACAATATGCAAACTGAGCTAGATTATGCCCCCATTCAACATAGGGAAAGTAGAATGGCTCCGCTCTAGCGGTTGAAGCTGGCAAGTTGTCACGGCGCATTCCGCAATTCAATTCCCTTATATTTTGATGGGGTAGTCATTGACGGAGGTTAGAGCCTTGATTGTACGTCAATGATTGGGTTATTGTTTGTCACACAATGGCGATGACGCAAATGATCATCGTAATATGTCGCTTTGTTACCTCCTTCTGGAGGGTCGGCAGGATGATGATACTTTGCCCCTTTGGCCCCCATCAAAACACAAAGGAAGCTGCTGAGTGCGTTTGTCTCAGAAAAACGAGGCGCGGGCGATATTTCTCACGTGCGTGCCATGTTTGGTGTAACTGCCACGGGGAAGTCAGACAAAGAAGGGGTGCACCTGACAAGTACCACAATGTACCGTTAGTGCGACCCCTGCCTGTCGAACGGAGATCTATCACAAGACTGAATCTGAAGCGTAGGCTGGGCCTGATACTTTCACAAGCTGTTCAGTTCTTAAGATTCACCTATTTCTCGTTCTAGAGGTTGCCTGTGACTTCCACGATGGTATGGACTGGCGAGACGCAGCTCCAAGGATATTGACCGGGCTGCAGACGCGGGGAATAGTTTAGATGGGATGCTGGCCGGAGAGATAGAACTATACTGCGTAGTGCTCGCCAGACAATATCTGGTTACAAGGGAGCATGTGCTCATCAAGCTTTTTCGTTTAATGGGTGAGAATAATACCGCCGTACTATTGAAACATGCATGACCGGCAGATTCTCGGCCAAAGTGCTGCCCCTTTGGGGAGCTTCTTATTATTATTGAAGAGCGGCAGGTGCGCCCAAAGTTTCAGGAAGCTGCAGCTCAACCTCCGTAATGACCTTCTGCAAGAGAAAAACACAGGGAAATTATTTGCAAGCTAGACACAAGTCTACGTTGGTTCAAAACAGAGGCTGCGGCGAGGGCAAGCCATGCCCAGAAGCCAACCGCAATCAAGCTCCAGGCAGTATTCGTGGCCCCCGTTCAAAGCGGGTGGTGCCTTGGTCAATGCTTTCTTTTGCCCGCCTCGGCATTTGCATCGGCTCTCTTATATCTTAGATCTTCTTATCGCCTACCTGAAAAGGGAGAATGCACGGTCCTGATGTGCGCCCGGGGTGTTTTGCAGAAAGTCCGTTCCTTACAGAGTCTGCTGACGGGCGATGCCAACTAGGGCGAAAAGCAATGCTCCCATCGTGTTTGTAATGCACCTATTGTCTTAGCAATGGCTAGCTGTGCAACCCATGTTTAAACTATTCGTGAAGAGCAAAGAGGTAAGGTAAGCATTTTAACCAGTACATTTTATGTTGATACTTGTTTGATCTCCTGTTCAAACGTAGAGTGTGTGTTCATTTCCGAGCAATTAAGGTACGAGTGTGGAAAGAGAGAATGTGAAATCTCCACAGGTTAAAGTAGACCGATGGATCAGGGAATAGTTGGCGAACTGCTCGGGTACCCCCGGTGATGATTGGTGGCCCCTCTAAGTATGTGCTGGGCCGACCCAGTTAAACGTGACCAGCGGCGAGTAGGCTAAGCGTTAACTGACCGGTTAGTTGTCCATAATCTACATCGAGATAACTAGAATCTCTTTTTAATCCAAGACCTTAGATACCACTTATGCGAAGCAGGACCTTACGTAGCTCGACCTTTACTTTGAGCCGGCATGAAAATCCGTGTTGCTGAAATGTAACATGGCATCTTATCAAGGTGTGGGAATCAAGCTTTTCGCGGATCAGGAAGGCGGCAAAATTCGACTGATCGAAGAAACGTTCCGGTTTTTCAAGCGACGGGGCCACTCATGATATCAAGCAGAAGGAACGCAAGCCCAAGGTTGCTGTCCAAGTCTATAAAATGCGTCTCTCTAGTTCCATATTCTTCTCTCTGCATGTTTCAGTACTGTGAATGGTGTCATGGTTGATTAGTTTATACTAACGGACTATGGGCAGCATTCGAAAGGCTTGAAGAATGTGCTATGTACCCTCAACGCGTCGTGAGAACTCGAGTTTGTCCACCCTTGCCCGCCCGATTGTGGGGAGCGCTTCAGGGGGCCAGAGGGACCGCGGATAGTTAGCCCAGAGCTCCTTCCTGGTCCCCTGGTGTGATGACATCCTGGCGAGAGCGCTTGTCCAGAATGGCGGCGGTTAGGGAAGAGACGCCATCCTGGCAAGGAACGGTCAAATTTGTCTGTGCGACCGTTGTTCGTCGGCCAACAAGGTCTGGTGCTGGACAGCGCCGTTCCGTTGATGAAAAGACGCTAGATCAGTGAGAGCAAGCAGCGACCCTACCGAGCCCTGTATTCAGCGACCAAGCCCTTTCACAGCATCTGGAACATGGCCTGCCACGCGGCGAGCGAGGATGTCTCAGATGCTACGGACCTCTTCTGTGTAACAATTGTTATAGCTATTGAGAACCCAGGATTGCGCGTCCTAAACTTTTCTCTGTAATGAAAAGAGAGAATGACCATTATCAATTTCCCAGAAATGTGTCTGAAAAGAAAAAAAAAAAGAGCTACCCACCTTCTTGTGGGAGAAGCGACGGATTATGGACTATCTAGAACAATTATCTAGCGTACGCCATAGTAATATGAATACGCGGCTGAACCGTTCAGATGGGATTTTCTCTTTCCCACAGTACAGTTATTAGGAGATACTCCGATAGATTAATAATGTTTCGATGGCTAACATCCTGTTTCTAGGAACAGAAGTTGCACCGATGGCACATTGGCTTTTCAATGCTGAAGAAATTATGAATCCACATTCTGTCATTCCTAGTCGTACTTTTTCCAATCAAATATTTTAGGCTGATTTTCTCAATCCGATTTCGACGAGTCCCGAATTAATCGTCGAACCGCTACCTATTCAGGGGCTTGTCTTCAGCAACTAAATTAATTTCTCCAATAAGACCACGGTCGGCAAGTCGGACCGGACATATTTAGAGCGGTGATATAATGTTGTTTTAAAAAGGAAGCTTCAAAAATTAAAACCTAAAATAAAAGATAAATTAAATTCATCAGTTAAGATTAAATTAATTAAACGACATTTTTATTTAATTAAAATAAAGTAAATAGATAAAATATTGCAACGCCAAGATAAAAATGACAATGTTTCTGCTAAGCAAATCCGTTTCGATTAGGTTTGCTCAATCAAGGATTCGGATGGCGGGATCTCCCCTTCCCGACCGCCCCAGGACCCCCCGTACCAAGTGTGCCCTTCTAAGGGACGAGTCGGGAAATTTCCTACGTGCATACGCGATGCACGACGCGGCGCGCGTGCAGCTTTGTCAGACCAATAATTTGGATTCATTCTCGTGTCAGTCTGGCGGGCGATACAAGGTCATCCGCATGAGGTTGCTGGGAAGCTCAGCGATCACAGAACGCCGTGGCTGGTCTACTCGCATGAGAACTTAGTGAGACAGAGGCAAGGAGAGCTGATTCGTAGGACATGTCTAGGCTTTCTACAGGCGCCTCTGTTGCACAAAAGGCCATTGTGACAGCTCGTACCCGTGATTTTTCATGAGTTTCTGCTATAGCAGCTCTGGTGCTATTCAACCCCCCCCACGTCAAAGAGCAGCCAAAAAAGGGTCTGGAATTTATATGAACTGGCTGACACGGGACGCAATGATTGGTCCCGTGCCTCTAATAACGGGCGAGGAGCGGTTCAACGGCAACCTTCCCTTTCCTGATGAGAAAGTCTGGCGGGTCGACGCGAAGGAGGGGGCCTCTGCCGAGGGTGGTGTATGTGTGATTGATGTGAGTAATGATGATTGTAATGTCTTGGGTTTAATAATATCAGATGTGATGACGGAAGAGGCTGCAAGTTGGTCGATCCAGTGTGACTTGAATAGAGCGGAAAACTAGACATTCATCGAGCCTTCGTTTGAGGCTATTCTTTCTCCTCTTTTTTCAGCCTGTGGAGAACGGGACTCATATCATGATCAATTACTCTGTACAGGACTGGAATTTTGCAGTATGTGCAGATGATTTCTGTCCACCATCAAGCGCCAAAGCGAAAGTGGGGAACGGCAGCAATGATTTCGGCGAAGTGCGATAACACACGGTCTGGCTATGTCGCAGCTTCCCAAAGTAGTACTGGCGAAATTCCTTCGCCGCAGCTAAGAGAGCCAACCTTTGATGGCTTCATTTCGTCTTACGCAATGGTATTATTACCAGACTGGTGGGTATCTGCAACGACTGACTTAGTTCAGATATGACTGTCAGTCTATAATTACGTTGAATAGGTGTCGTAAAGCTCTTCCCATAAAGCAATAATTATGTCAAGACAAACGATTGAAAAGCCACTGACGCTATGTATTTCAATCGGCCTTTTAGTTAGGTACGCCAATTCCCTATCAACGTGCCGCGCTCGTCTTGGACCAGCGGCAAAATTCCGCATCTAAGAACTGCTAGAATCGGAGACGGGGCTACTCTACAGGTCCTTTTGATTTACTTGGTGGGTTAATGCTTATCTCCTATATTATCGTCAAGAGATGAAAGGCAATCCCGTTTGGTGATGTGCTGATTACCGAACAGAACCCAACTGATGATGACGACTGAGCGGTTTCATAGAACTGTCAAAGTATTTCCGATTGCGCATGTTGGCAAATGGCAGTCCCTCACCCCTTGTGGAAATGAACCCGCCTTCCCCACGAAAAGAAGGGAACACCTTGTAGATACGCAATGGATCCGAGGAACTGAAATGCTTTTTACTATCAAATCATGTCGCACGCGCAGCTGTTAGACTCGGACCACATGATGTTACCAGGAAGCCCTGCTTTCCGGACGCTCCCGGCCCTTGCGAGACTGAGGATCTGAAGTGAAATGGTTCCTGACCAGGAACTCAGCGACTCCCCCTTTACGGCCAATCTCAAGACGCCCAAGAGGGGGGTAATTCGAACCCATAGTGAGAGTGACCCGACAGACTGGATCTGTCTGATACTGGTTGTTTCGTGAGATCGAGCTTGATCAGAACAAGGCAGAATTTGTCATGCGCTGGCGTGTCATGATGATTATCATCATTTCAGCTGGTTTCTCGCCTACCGTATACGAAAAGACGCACCCCACAGACGATCTGATGAGGATAAAGGCGAATAATAACGTCCTACCGAAGAGCATTGGCCATATTGCCATTCCGCTACGAGAAAGGATCATCATACGGCGAATCTTGTGACCCAAATCATGACCGCTGCAGCACGCTACAGACTCGTTGACTGGATGCTTTTTGTCTGCCCCGAGGGCCCCCTTGTCTCCCGATATTACCGACCCGCTCGCCGTCCATCCGCGGGACATCCGAGAGAGACAGACAGGCACCGTAGTTTGCTCCACAGCTCCACCATCGGAAGAACTGGTCACCCGTGCTTAAGCAGGACGCACTGTCCATTAGTATCATCGACTCTTGGAAGAGGAGCAGCGCGCTTAGGAGTGGATTCCCTTCTCTTTCAATTTGCGAATTAGATACATTACTCTGTTGATGACAACCCACTTGTGTTCGAACCGAACAAAAAGTCCCACCAAGACATGGCTCGTATAGCCAAAGTCGTCGAGACGACTACTATCCTGATTGCGCTATCGATATAGCCATGGCGTGAGCAGAAGAGCTACTTCCCACGGTAGACTAACACCGTAGTACACTCTCCAACGTATTATTGTGGGTACTGCATCATTGCCTCTCAATCATCCATTTACCCGAATCTTCCACAAAGTCCCGCTGTCCAGTTCCACTCCTCTCCAATGACAATCGGGACTTCATGGGCGGAGCTAGGGGTTCAATTGCTTCGGATTTACAATATTTCCTTGAGCGATAGCTTTCTCCACTGCTACCCACTTGATGGGTACAAGGTAGAGCTGTTGACATTTTCGTCGTCATCGCGTCTCCAATTTAACTCCTCCGAGTAGCTCTGCCTGACGTTGCGGAGCTAAACCACTTTTGACCTGCAAGGGAACCTCCACCACTTGTGACGACGAGTATTGTAGCTTCTCCCATCGAACACCTCGCACACGTCACTAGCACGAAATAGACATGACATTGCATTGCTTGATGATAATTTACTGACACTTCAGAACAACGATAGGACTGATTGCCTTGCTAAGGGCTCTCTACGCTCTGAGCTTCGTCGTTGTCCGGAGCTCCTCAAATTCAGAACACACAATGCTCTCCCTACGCTGCCTGTCATCCTGCTCATGATATAATCCAAGCCAACATGCATAATAATGCAAAGTGCAATGCACAATACCGTCATTTCCATGATATATTCAAAATGATCATGATTTGAGTCCAACCGATGCCCATAAGCCTTGCATTTCGCCCGGTTGACTCGCATATCTGAAGTCTGCCTTACCCGCCGGGGTTCGTATCCAAACCTCTTTTCCTTTGTTATGGAATAGTGTGATCACCGTTCGGCTTCGGACACGTCTTGAGCAAGCAGGTATCGCATAATTGTGGGTTCCTCAGCGCATTTTTCTTTGCCCCGTCACAATTTTTGGTGCAGATTCTTCGAGGACTCCGGGGCACACTCCACCGCGGCCAAGTCCACTTCTTACCTGACGTCCTTTTGATCCAGTCTCGCTGACCGGCTTCGAGTCTCTCCATCTCTTTGGAGAAGACTTCCTTGAGGTATCTACACTCATCGACGTCTCTCAGTTGCGCTTCAGTGAGACCGCTGTTCCGCAGGCGCTGGCGGAGAGAGGGGCTGAGCTCGCAACGGTAACAGCCCGCCATGTCACAGAGTTCGACAAGCACATTGCTCACAGAGCCAATCAACTTCATCTTTTGCTCTGCACCCATGCTGAAGTACGCTCCCAATCTCTCGCACTTCTCTTGCGTCGGCTCAGCCTTCGACTTGTCGATGAGATCATCGAAGAACAACGTCTTTCCAGCTGGTCTCATCTGCTCTCGAAGCAGTTCAGAAGGACTTTCCGGATGAAGTTCCGATCGCTTGTGCGCCTTTCTCCAAGCTGCGTCAATCTGTTCACGCCTCAACTTTATGTTGCGCTTTTGCATCTCACAAAGAATGCGCAACTCTTCCATTCTGAAAACTGTATAGTGCTCGATTGAGCAAAATTTTGCAGGCTCCTTCCTCTTTGCCCTGATCTTTGCGTCTCGGTGTTCGTCTTGCAAGCGCCGGATACAGGTGTGAATGATCGAATGCCGCAAAGGCGTATTGAAATAGCTGACAATCTCGTCGGTTGGACGCAGCCTGCTCAAAGTGCCGATGATCAGCTGGACGTAGTCGGCAGAAGTATTCATCTCCGCTAGCGACTCCCAAAGAATCTGTCGAAACTTGTGTATGACATCATGCGAGGATATGTCCATATTTGGATCCTTGCTCTGACAGGTTTCCAAGACATTGTTCAACTCCACCGCATGGACGATAGTAAATTCTAATGCGATAGAAATCATGGTATAAATCATTGTTCCAGGGGTGATTTGCTTGTCTTCCACCCGCAACACAGCTGACAAGCTCCAAGGTGAGCTTGAAGCCACCGACAGATTTGCTACGGAAGATGATCTTCGCAATGGGCGTATCCGGCGAAGCCTTCGCCTTTCCACATTCTCGCTCTGTGGCTGTCTGTGCTGTTCTTCGGCCCGGTCTGTGGAACCGTTTGAGTCAATTAATATGCCGGTATCTGTAACATTGGGCCCCGACGAGCTGTTTGCTGTGGGGACACTCGACAGCCAAGAGATGACAGTTTCACGAGAATCCGCAATGTCGGTCTCTTCTCGACCACTGGCTTCGCCTTCGTCATGGTCGAGTATCATCTCCGTCACATCATCATCGTCCACGTCTGACGTGGGTGCCAGGCTGCCGTTGGAATCATTATCGCCGGCAGCGGGATAGGCAATGTCGACATCCATGTTGTCTTGCTCTTCCGCGTAGTCGTCAATGTTCATAAGAGTCCCAAACTCATTGGTAAAATTAGCAGTATCAGACTCCCCCAAATCATCTCTATATTCCCATTCTGTCTCATCTATATCTGTCATTTCTTCATCAATCTGCTCTTCCGCGCTCATCCCGGTCTGGAATGGCACCCTCGTTGACTCCGAGCAGAAATCCATGGCTTTTAAAAATCTGCAAGATTAGTTCTCTACTTGTGTTACTGTGACCGATCAATATCGACTTACTGTTAGTTATTGTTGTATTGAAATCGACCAGCTATCTGCATTGGTTTTAACATTTTCTCATTCTTCGGTGCGTATGACTTGAACTCACATGGGCTGCGATATTCCTCGGGAACCTAAAATGACTCTTTTTTTGTTAAAATCTTTTTTTTTTGGCACTTCTCTGTAACGCAGAATATCAGCCTTGCTCTTTTCCCCCACAAATTTCATTTTAACCAATTATCAAATTAATATATCCTTGTTTTATATCTCGTTTCATTTTCGTTTTTATTTCTTTCAACTTGAAGAAGAAAAATATAATGTCAGCTTACCTGATTATGATTACCTCTCTTCCGGTTTCCCAATTTCCCGACCTTGACGTTTCTGAATCGTCCACTGTGCTTTCCCTTTTCGATGTTCGGGATAGCCACCGCAATAGTGCGCAGTTTCCTTTTCTCGTTTCGTTTTTCCAAATTGAATCTAATCTTTCGATTTTTTTTATTATATTTTTTATTATCTTTTCTTCCTTCCTTTCTTCTTTCTTTCTTTCTTTCTTTCGCCTTCTCTCTCTCCCTCAAAAAAGAAGGAAGAAAAAAGAAAAATTCGTTCCCTTGGAACTTTTCCCACATTATATACACTATTTCCATCCTGTCCAGCCCTCTGATACACTCGTTCCTTCCCCCCGTTCCCCCTTCCCACACATCCTGAATCCTCAGGGAAAATGGGGGAATTAGTATTAGTTTTGTATACTTGGGCTTAGTTTCCCCTTGTCACGCCCAAGTTTCCAAATATAACCGCACTTCTGAACAAGCTAAAAGACGCAACCGTCTTTTTCTTTTTCTTTTTTTTGTACTTCCCTTTTTTGGGGTTTTATTTTTTTTGTACTTATCTTTCTTTGGGGGTTGAAGTTCCTTATACGTGGCGGTTTCGAATTATGGAATAGTAAGATGGTAGGATGGTGAGATGGTAGGATGGTGAGATGGTAGGATGGTGAGATGGTGGGATGGTGGGACCCGGGATGTGGGTTGGGGATGGAAAGGTAAATATATTTCTCGATTAGGTCTGGTTTCCTTTTTCCTCCTTTCCTTCTTTCCTCGAGATAACCGTGACTCCCCGACGCCGCGATGCCTCTCCGCCGTACTAGGTAGTTTCCGCATTTTAATGGTACTTTACCTTTTCGGTCGCTCAGTTCCTCGTTGTTTATTACTCATTGCTCATTTGCTCATTTGCTCAGTTGCTCATTTTCTCATTTGCTCAGTTGCTCATTGCTCATTCGCTCACTTCCTCAGTCACTCAATTCACTTACCTTTCCCAAGTGGGTATATTTTTTGTACTTGTCCTTTTCAAGAACTAACTCACTTCTTCAAGTTTTTACAGCCGACTAACAGATCATCTGTGTTTTTTTTGTGTATGTGTTGAGTTAAGTCTAGTTTTACATCAACAGATATCGAGAATCGTAAATGACCCACTCGAGCCACCAGAAAAGAAAAGAATAATGTGAGCTTGGAGATTGGCGGTTGGAGCTTGGAGCTACTCCGGCAGTCAAAGGTTTCAAACCAAATACTATTTATCGCTCAATAAAGACTAGCATACTAAGACTTTAAAACTGAAACTGATTTCAAGGGAGCGACGATGTAAAGTCTCGTCTCAAACAAATAGGCCTGCCGCCTTCTGAAAGAGGTGTAGGTCTACGCTGGTATCCCCAGTGACAGTGAAGATACCTGTAGATATTACAAAAGGTTTTCGTGTACGTGGGAGTATTATGGCTGGTGGTAATATGTATCGGACGTGTGGATCAGTGGTGGGTAAATGATGAAGTGCTTCGTGTGGTTCGTGTGTACAATATGAAAACAGAGGTGCATAAAGTTAACTTGCATAAAAGTCTACAAGGACTGCATAAACTGTAAATAGAAGGTAATGCTAAACTCGTCTGATAACGTACATCTTCACATATGAGGCATAACTACATCAGATGACTGGTCGAGGGTCTTCAAAGGTAAGATTCTTGATATGATGATTCTTGATTGAGTACGACAGTCTATGCAATAGCAATCTGGATGATAATAAGCTGGAAGCAGATCAAAGCCAGCAAAATTCAGCGCTATCAGAATCCCTTCGCTAAAAGTACAAAAGAAGCATGCTCAAAGTGAATTGCCAAAGTGCAAGCCGTGATCGTACTGCTGCTGCCATACGCCCAAGGGAGCAACCGTGCCAAAGCTAGATAAAGATAATGTGAGAAACTACCAGTTCTAACCAACAAAGTGTCAGAAGAGCATTAATTGCAATGCAAAGGTTAGGTACCCAAAGCTAGACTCAGACACTCATGCGATGAGTGTAGCCAAACGAGAACATGGTAGGTATGCTGCACTTTGGCGCAACATCGCACAAGCATGCCATTGCTCATCGGGCCACACTCATCGCATGGTAGCTACTGAGATTTCCCAGGGGTCGTTGATCACCGTAGGCAACCTCAGTCTAGTAAGCTTGGCTCCATCACCGTAGGCGTAGATCTAACCTCCTGATTCCTTCCAAGACTATAGAGCTCCGTCCACTTGCGGCGAGAACCGCCTTCTTCTTTGTGGTGTGAAAGAGAGTCGCGACTTGTGGACGGCGATTCCCCGGCAGAATCTGAGCCGTCAGAAGTCTCCGAACCTCTAACGTCCTCCTCAAAGAGAATCAACGATGTTTCATGGTCGAGCTTCTTCTGTCGAGCTTCAACAATGGCCAGTTGAGCCTTTTGAGCTGCAGCCTCCAGGACAAGATCCGATTGCACAACGCCGCCATTCGCAAATTTCCGATATGCATCCGAGACACTGGATTTAGATTGGCGAGATGGTGTCGCTGAACGGGACTTGAGCCCTTGTGATTCTCGGCTACATTTTCGGCAGCGACAGGGTCGGATATAACAAGGCTCTCCGCATTGGTGCCCGCAGGAAAGTATCTCTTTACATGGCTGTACACAATTGCTGCGGCTATGAGAAAAGCTGCATTTCATCATCAGTGATGTTGAGGCATAAGATGGTAAACTTTCAACTCACGGATGGCATTTGAGCGGACAAATATGACCACATGCTAGAGAACCGCCGCAAATCTGGCCACATCCACCATTCACCTGACTCCACTCGATAGGATCTAGGTCTCGTCAGTAAATTTCTCATTGATACGCGGAATGCTTTTCGTCATCTTACCCTGAATGTACGTCTTCGCCCCGTGGATCTCGCATTGCATTGGAAGATTGAAGCCGATTCGGCGCCCATTAGTCCTCAAAATATTCGCCACGCTCCACCACAGCCCACTCCCATGACAAAGCGCCTTGGCATTCCCAAACATATAGAACCCCCGACGTGCTCTTGAAAGAGCAACGCAAATTCGATTCTCTACTCCCACAAAGCCAATGCTCTGGCCTGCATTGCTTCTTACAAGTGACAAAAGAACAATCTCATTCTCCTCTCCCTGATAAGAGTCAACCGTGACCACTTTGACATAGGTGCCGCAAAGAGTAGGATGCGATTTGAGCCCCTTTAGAATGAGCTTTCGCTGTCCATTGTAAAATGTAAGCACAGTGATGTCGTTGACGCTGACTCCATTCAAAACAAGGTAGTCGAAGAAGCCAACAATCATATCTGCTTCTTTCTGGTTGCACTTGGACATGTTATTGTCCGATCCTTCCGGCCATTCATGGGTGAAAAAGTAAGAATTCACCCCACCCATTCCCGGTACGGGGATTCGACCACGGACAGAGGGGTGATCATTTAAATTCTCGTAGATTGGCATGAGGAGTTTGCGAATCTCAGGAATCATTCTGCGCTGACACCTCAGCATTGAAAACTCTATGCGGTTATTGACCAACCGCTCAAACATTGAGACGCCAAGATTGTAAGGGTGTTCCTCGAGCTCTTGCACAGAACAATGGCCCCGCAATTGCTTATGATCACCCACCAAAATCAGCTGCTCAAGTGATTCCACACAAGTTGCAATAACAGGTGCCTCCAGAGTCTCTGCCGCTTCTTCAATGACCACAATCTTCGGTTGTAAACTGGCGACCAGAGCTCGATATTTGCTAAAACCTGTGGTGGTAAGGCCAATCACCCTTACCCTCTTCAGCAAATTTGCATCCATTTCCCACTTTCCAATCTTCACTTGCTGAACGGCCTCGGCATAGTCTTTCGCCGCCTCACGAAAAGAGGCCCGAAGAGCTTGTTTTGCTCTTCTCTGTAACTCGCAATAGACCAAACCGCGGACGCGTTGAGGCACCTCCCATAGATTTTGTTTCTTCAAGGCTTGAGAAACTTTGTTTTGGGTTATCCCGGCTGTTTGGCGACCAGTAAATGGTTCAGAGATACTAAAATATCCGCCCTTGAGAATATCTGTTTCCAAATCATCACTGAACATCGCCTTCGTTTCTGCTTCCATCTCCTTTAATTGTTCGAACTCCAAATCAACCTCTTCATAATCGATGCCATACGTTTGGGCAGTGTGGACGTGCTTGAACGGGAGCAAGTCTTCACCAAGCCATCGAGACAGGCTACCACCGGGTCCATCGTCCTGACCAAGTTGTACCCAGTCGGATGCCCCTTGAGCTAGTGACTCTACCTGTCCTTGCGTCAGGATGCCCAGCTTCAGCAGAAACCCTGGGTCAAAAGTGCCAGAGTTCTCATGTAGAGGACTGAGTACGTCAGACAGTGAATCCGCATGCGATCGCATCTTCTGCATGGCCTTTGCTCTCATACACCCTGGGGGAGGTGGTAGGGAGAAAGATTTTCTGAGCTGATACAGTGTCCTGTCCTTTACAACTCCTTGGTCCGCGGTCCTCCCCCCAAGACGAACAAAATTAGGCTCAAAGGCTGCCACATGCCGAAGAAGTTGATCCAGGGCATGGTTCGTCTGAGCAGTAATGATTATAGGACCATCCTCAATTCGTTGATTTGCAATAAGGGCTCTCAGAGCCATGACTGAAACATGAGTCTTTCCTGTACCAGGCGGCCCCTGTACAATTGCCAATTCCTTTGAAAGGATCCGGTGCATTGCCGAGATTTGTGACTTATCCAAATCCATCGGAGGTAAACGAGGAGACTTGGAAGTCAGATCGACATTTGCATAGCTACTGGAATCTTTCGGCGAACTGCAAACTGAACTAAGATTGACGCTGCCATTGCGCAGTAAGCGCTCAGGCGGGCCGACTTCCTTTTGAACCTCAACAAGATACTTCGTAAGCGGAAACCTATTCAAACATTAGCTGTCTTTAACCAAACTTGATTGACGGATCATTGTCTTACTTTTCCGACATTAGCTTCTGAAGAGCGAGAAGAGTATGCCGATAGGCCTCAAAGTAGCCTGTGCGAGCCTCGACCATAATCCATTCCTCTTGTGGGTCGAGCTCAATCTCTTCTGGACCTCCGAAGAATAAATCAACCTCAGGAGGTGATTGCGTGAGCCCTGCGAGCGGACGCGCAGCCACAATAGCGACCACACATTTACTTTCAAATGCGTCTTTGGCGGGAGACAGCGCAACCATGCTACCAGTGAGAAGTCGCTTTGACTGTTCCCAGTGCACCTTCTTGCCGGCTCGGGTCATGGAGAATGCCACCCGAGCAGCCGGCCCTTGCGGAGAGAGGGTAAATCCAATAATATGAACCTGAGGCAATCTTCAGCCATTATTTCGGACATTAGAAGGAAAAACATTCTATCAATGACAAAATACCTGATCGTATATGCAAAGATCTGTACTGTCGCCCATTTGAGGGTTTGCCCGAACCTCTGCCACAGCATCGCGCAATGGCGAAATAGCGTCTTCCCGTGTGAGCTCGTAATGTGATTCGAGATACTCTTCTTTCGAGTTCCATGGTGCGTCTATGATATTCACTGGGATTTCCACAGCATCAAAACCAATCTCTGTCGTATTGTCCGATAGTCCACCTATTTCTGTAGCTGTTGGAATCTCCCGCTTGTGGAGCCAAGAGGCGGGTTCTGTTGCTGGCTTGTGCGCAAAATATTCCCGTATTAACTTGTTTGCTGGTGCTCTTGGTTTATTTGGGCTACCACGATCCACGGCAGCTGAGAGTGGAGATTTGCGCAGCCGCTCTTCGGGGTGAGCGTTGGAGCCTTTGCCATAAACATTAGCCGCTATGTGGTGCGAATTTCACTGAAGTCTTTAATTCTCACCCTGCTCTCCGCCTTCCTCTTTGAGGGAATCAGATGTATAGTTCGTATCCCGATCCATATCTTGGGAGGAGTTTAGAAGTATCTTATGGGCCTGTTTGTAAATAACGGAAGACATGTCAGCCAACGGGGCCTAGCAAGTGTTTGAAGCGGACGCGTCGAATAAAAATGCGGGTTATTATTGATCCGTTTCGATTTTCCCAACGATGGTCTCAACATTGGAATGTTTCAAGAGATGCCATCGAGCAAGAGAAATCCTGGATTTTATGTGCGACAGGTGATACAGCATAAATGCTTTAGATGGCGGTGAAGTCAACGTGAATCCAAGCAGAGTATGCCCAGGCAAAATCAGTGATGGGGCAACAGGGAATCAGCTGGATTACCTTTACCATTCTTTGCTAGACTCAGCATCCAAATTGAGGGTTGCGATAACTGGGACAAGGCTATCCATAAACTCTAAAACAAATTGTCGTGGTCAGCACGTCCTATGCTACTCATAACGAACAGGCGCATCAACTAAAACGCGAATATGACAGGGCCTCTATCAGGACAGAAAAGGTCAAATCTCCGAACATTGAGGAAGTCAACGTACGGTCGCAGAGCAACCTGTCTTTACTTTGGCCCACGCCTCGAAATCGCAAGGACAGGAGGGATATTAACGTGTCGAGAGAGCTTGAGGCGGAACACAACAATGGCAGAGTGCACTGAGCAGGCAGATGTAGGTTTGTTTTGTGTTTGGCGAGTTGCAAGTAACAAACGGTGAATATCACCAACCTCACGAGAGCTCTTTCCTAAACCGACAAAGACCAAATCATACCCCAAAAGAACTGTTATTGCGCACACTCACAATGGGCTCTGAAGGGCCGCTCAAGGTTGCTTCCTGACCGGGGTTGAAAACATATAGAATGATACAAAATATCAAGTTGCAATTAGACAGGTGGCAGAGCGACATGGCCGTTTTTATTTTGGCAATTCAACAAGAGCGGTGCTAAAGTCTGAATACCTACCTACTTGGCTGCTACTTCAGAGTGACCGGAGACTTGATGAACCTTCGTTGCCATGAGACCGTTGCCCTAGTGCCCTCAATAGCCCTGTATGCCCCATCACTGGCAGTCTGCCCATCTGGCGATGATGCCAATGCGGAGAATTTACTTGTTCGCCCGCACTTGCTCAGTGAGATTCACGGACAAGGTGATACAGACGAAGAAGTCTTCTTATAAGGAGATAGGAAAGAATTGATCTACTGGATGATATCCAAATTATAGAACCGTCTGTCGTCAGAGGGTGACAAATGCTGTAGGTAGTTACAATGAGGGTTGAAATGATGATGATGGCCGTAAGGACAGAAATGAAACGTGTGGAGACAGAGAGGGAGACACCCTGGGAAATAAGGGCAAGTTTGCCGGGGGTTGAGAAAATACTTTCTTTCTTGGGACTAGCTTCGCCAGGGCTATGCGAGGCGGCTCTGCCGTACCTCGCACTAGTACTATTATGGAGTTATTAGCTCACATTTGCCTCTTATATGGGGACAATCTGTTCCTATCAAGGTAGCTATCGCGACAACCCTACAAGCTATCTTATTAGCCAGACTGACCTCTATTGTTGCCGTGGCTGAACAGCATCATAGCAATCCTCTGTGGTGCGCTCCTTGGACTTTCCCTTTGGGCGCGAGGGGAGATGGCTGTTGCTGCTGATTCTATTCGTCGTTGCTGAGTTGCTTTCCGTCGTCTTTTGACTTGGATTGGCATTTTCTTATACTGGTGCTTCTTTTTGCATTTGAAAGTTGCGCAGACTTGTTTTGGTTCAGGGACGTCCTCGCCCAGGATCATCTAAGCAATATGCAATCTCTAGAGGACGAGGAGCGTGAGGCTGCGGGTATGGGCGATCTCTCCATCATTGCAAATACCAAAACGCTGATCACGCGAACTAGGTTCCCCCAACGGAAGCTCGGAAAACGATGCGGATGAAGACATGGAAGACGTTGGGGAGGGAGATGCGGATGCGGATGCGGACGCTGACGCTGACCCCGACGCCGATGCAGAAGGAGACAATGACGAAGACAATGAGGACAATGAAGAAGAAGAGGAAGACCAGGACGATAACCAGGCAGATACTACTCCGCAATTGGGCCAGTCCTCGTCGCAGCCAAACCCTACAGTGTTCTTGACATCCCCATCTCCGCGTCCTGCTTCGACACAGATTGCGACGGCACTTCCTTGGCGCCCCGGCGTAAGACCTGAAGCGCTCACAGCTCCTGTGTACGATATCGTCCCCACTATTGCAGCTCCCCATAGTACCTCCATCAATGCCGTCACAGCGACGCCAGACATGCGATGGGTGTTCAGTGGTGGTGCAGACGGATATGTCAGAAAGTTCAATTGGGTTGATACGGTCAATTCAAAAGTCATGCTCACGGTCGCGCAGCGTCACCCCTTCGTGGATAGCGTAACCAAGGCTGGCGTGTTGACAAGCTATTGGGAGAATGAAGAACCTCAGAGTAAGTCTTCGCTGTCTACTGACGACTTAAGAGACCTCTCCGGCAGCTGTTCTGAACCTGATTCTAGTAAAACTTCCAGGCGATGATACGCTAGCGCTTTCTCCTGTGTATTCCCTCGCCGTCCATCATCGTGCACTTTGGCTACTCTCTGGACTAGAATCTGGTTGCATCAATCTGCAATCTGTTCGGCATGATGAGGGAAAGAGGATAACATCGTTGCGAAAGCACACTTCAGCAGTTTCCGTCCTCACACTCGCCCATGACGAGAAGTCGGTGCTCTCGGGAAGCTGGGACAAGAATATCCATGATTGGGATCTCAACACCGGCCAGGTAAAGCGTAGCTTCGAGGGAAGTGGCGGCCAGATATCCGCCGTAGAAATAAGACCCTTATCAAGCTTGCCAGTTCCGGAAGAGTCTGGTGACGTGTCTACTACAAACGGCACGTATTCCTCAAACAATACCGCCAAGCCTTTGACGAACGGATTATCCAATGGAATTGATGTCGATTATAAAAGAGGAAATGAGGGTGATAAGGACGCGCCTGGGTCACCAGCAGATTCCCTCTTCAGCGACCATGGGGGAGGTGATTCCTTATTTGGAGATAACGACGACGGGAGACCGAGCGGCCCGTCTGGTGGTAATTTTGATGACGAAGACGATGAATTCTCCAGAGCTATTGCCAGTGGGATTCAACAACAGGAAGACGAGGATGCTGAGGGTGACATTGATATGGCAAATGCTGGTGGACCGGTGCAGCCTTATCAGCAGCCCGAGCATGCACCACAGGGCATTGGTCGAGAACAGCCGCCAGGAGAAAATGCGCCTGAAAGTGCCGCCACGGAACTGAGACAGCCCCCAATGATGAACGGACTTCCGCACTCGGACGAAGGTAAAGGAACTGCGCCAAATGAAAATAAGGACCAAAGCTCCGTGTTCTCAGAGCCAGCTTCCTCGGATAGTACCTTCCTTGCAGCTTCCATTGACGGCACAATTCGGATTTGGGATCGAAGAGCGCGCAACCCTGTCGCTTTAGTTGTCCCTAGGAATAGTCCTCCCTGGTGCATGAACGCTTGTTGGTCTCCAGATGGAAACTACATATATGCGGGACGGCGCAATGGGACAGTCGAAGAATACAGCCTTCACAAGGGACTTCGAGCCCCCGAGCGGACTTTTAAATTTCCACAGGGAAGTGGACCTGTGAGTGCAGTTCGGGCCATGCCTAACGGCCGGCATCTCATCTGGTAAGTGTCACTATACACTCCTTGTAACGTAGTCTGTGCATTTATTAAGCCTTGAAGCGCGTCCTATGATATTCTTCGACTTTACGACCTCAAAGAGCAGCAAGTTTTCAAACACTCCGCCGTACCGTTCCTCATCGTCCCCGGGCACCGCACTGGCGTAGTTTCACAGTTGTATATCGATCCGGCCTGTAAATACATGATTTCCACGGCGGGAAACAGAGGGTGGGAAGGTAATTCTACCGAGGTTCTACTTGGATATGAGATCGGTATTGGGCAATAGTCTTGTATTCTGGAAAGGCGTCAGGAAGTGGTGTGTTTGGAGCTGGTATAGGCGCAATGGTCAGTATACCTCTTCAAGATATGGTCATCTTTTCCTCTATTAGCTTGCGGATTGAAACGAATCGGAAATGATTCCATTAAATAAAAGCTACCACGTATTATCCTTCCGTTCGATTGGGCCATCGACGGCTCTACCATCTTCTGGCTCAAGGAGCAGGGGAGTTGGCTTTTGCGGAGACAAATAAGTTGATATTCCTGTGAAGGTCCACCTTCGAACCCACTGACCTCAGGAGGTCGGAGGTCGTTGTGTATTCTGGTTTCCCAGGGCTGCATAAATTCACGTGGCGCGATTGACGAGTGGGCCATATCCACCAAACTGCTCTTGACATTGCTTCACCTTTCTTGTCTTCTATTGTTTTTTGGAAAAACAGTTTGCAACAGCATTACACTCCACCCAAAACTTTTATGCTTTTTGATCACCATCTTGCCCTGCGAGCCTTTCTCTATCCGGATCGTCGAACTTTCCTCAGTCTCTCCAGAGGCTTTACTCAAGCTTCGCAAATCATTTTTCAGGCATACTTACTCATTACCCCGATTGGATTTCCCACAGCTATCTTGGCCTATAGCGCGTCTGAGCAGCGGCGTCTCAGCTTCATCAAGCGGCAAGCTTTTAGCCTGAGCACTGAATCATGTATCCTGAGTTTTAGCTCATTCTCTCTCTCTCACTGCCTTAGCTGTTTTGGTTTCTAAGTTACCATCAACGCTCCTTCCTCGAGGGTGCGGTGGTTCAAATATTTATCCGGCCGGTACCCTGAGGGAAAACCCACGCTTACCTCGTGATGCCGGAGTTTCGCAACTTGATAGTACATGTCACCACTGGTGATTCAAAGACCAACCTGAGGGAATGGGGATTGAAAGAACGTCGAGGTGATCCAGGGGTCTCTTGCTATGTCCAGTCAGAAGTAGGTGCATCATTCGCCATATCTATCCAGCCGAAGATACCATATGTCGAAGTCGGTGATCCAGGCGCACTCTCTGAAAACCCGATGGAGGATCAAAACCAATACGGTAGGACTTTCTTTTCCGAAGATGGAGGCCGGACATTACATGACCTGACAATCCCGACGAAAGTAGGAACAGTAATGTCCTCTGACAAAATTCGAAGATCTCGCCGCTTAGCAAGGCTGTACGCTGAAAGCCGAGTAAAACCCCCCAAATTTAGTTTCCTTGCGGAGATGTTTCTCGATGGCCGTACGCAACCAGAAAGGAGATTAATTGTTTATCTCAACCCGAAGGATCCGGATTTTAAGCAACCAGACGGAAAAGTTTGGTTCAAATCTCGCTGGGTCGAAGGAAACGATGGGCATATGCGAGAGCATACTTGGGTGTTCGAAAATATCGGCGTCGAAGCGTCATTTGAAAAGATGATTATCTCAGGCCCAGACCATAATCAGGAAGATGCCGCCTTTGAGGCAGACGAAGTCGTCTCTGCATTGAACTCTACGAAGCTTGAGGATAAGAAGACTCATGAAGTGGAAGAAAAGAACGGAGCGGGTCAGATCATTATCAAAATCCATCGGGTCACGCTTGAACGCAAATGGGATGAGCACAATTTCAAGGCGTGGCTCAAGGAAGAAGATGGTGAAGGCGCGCCAAGAGATGCGCCGAACGACATTGCACATATGGCAACGTAAGTGGAAGACTCAGCTAATTCTACGATGTCAACGGCTCATCAACTGACTTCTTCTCTTGAAATATAGCTTCTCCAAGGCCCGAATTCTTCGGAAGCAGCCAATCAGAGTTGTGAGCTATAAGCTCTGGCCGGAGCCGCCCTATGCTCAATTTCAATTTTTCTACAGAAGCGAAGGTAATTGCCTCGACTACTCTTTCAATATGGCAATGACTAAACGCAAGCAGCGCAGCTTAAGCTATACCAATTCCCTGATTTTTCACTTGCAACAGCCGCGCATGGACGCTCGAAGACCCGTCTCACCTGTCGCCAACGAAACACCTTCCTTGAGAATCTCACGCCGCTCAGCATCAAACAGCCATTGGCAGGGCCAAAAAGCCGAGTTGCTGATCTCAAACGAGTAGAGAACTCCTTTGAAGATCGAGTCAAGGCAGGAACACCGCCCAAGGGAAAGGGAAGGGCATACGATTTTAGCGCCGACTTCCAAATCGATGCAGGCTCATCGGCTAGTGGAAGCCCCACCAAAAGAATCTATAATGCCTCCAATGCTTCTACCCTGCGCTTGCTGAAGAAGGGGTCCGCGGCGGGCCCGGCGACAAGGAACACCCGTGGCGATAAAAAGAGTAACCCGATTGATCTAGATTCTGGCTCAGAAATGAACTCTAAGTTCCGTCCAGGCAAAGTGAAGGGGCAACCCTCTTCCTCCAAGACAGAGTCTGCTGTTACTCGCTTGTTTGGGAATAAAAGGCATGTATTGCTGGACAATCTCCGCGCGCAACATCAGTATGAATTGAATCCCGCGAGTGATGCCGACGAATCTGCCAACGACTATTCAGAACCCGATCTGACGACCATTCGCCCAAACCATGTTGGCTCAGAGGACGAGATAATTGACGGTTCCAGGGAACACCAGGATAAAACTGGGAGTATTGTCGAACGTTCCGACCAAATGGATGTTGAAGAGAATCTTATCTCGACACGTCTTGAAAGAATTCAGCTCGGCAAACGCAGCAGGTCGCCCGACAGTGCTCGTACCTTGTCGGATGACGAGGCTTGGGTAGGACAGGGAGAAAGTTCTCTAACGAATAACGAGTCTGCAGAGCATAAAACAGGAAATGAAACCTCTCGATTGAAGCGGGATGTTGACCCCGAAAACCACTACCATGAATTACAAAAATTTGGGCCAATCACTCCTCACCCTCGTCGCCTTCTTTTCCCTACTCAACCTTCCGGCTCGCACAAGGGTAATAATGGACCTACAAGCTCAAAAACTGGCGCTACCGAGCGTAACAATTCCCGCGCGTCTGCGTCTGGTCGCAACGCCGCGAGCAAAGGTAGAAGTTCAAGAGCAAAGAAGAGACGTCGCAAGATGGCTTTGCTGCCTGGCGCTATACAGACTCAGGGTCAGGGTCAAGCTCCGGCTCAGGATTCTCCTATTACTATTGAGGGAAGCCAGAAGTAGAAGAGAGAGATTATCCATGGATCTACGTATATTGCGAACGCTGACTATCGATAATGAGTTTTCCATTCTCAGACAATCTCTCTGTTTTCATGATCGGTTTGGAACTAGTTGAAGCGCGTGGAGAAAAGGAAACAGGTGGTCTCTTTTCCCAAAGGATTTTGATCACATTCGTCTCTTTGCCGCTACTAGTTCCAGATGATCCTTTTCAATTTCCTTTTCTCATGTTTTGTTTGACCTTTCTTTTACGTTCCGTAGCCAGGACAAGGATCTCATTCAGAGCAGCGAAGCGTGATCGTTACCCCATCGTCGAAAGACGCATACAGCTGCAGCAATGCGTATTGGAATCCAGATGATCTAAGTCCCGGTATTTCTTTTTCCTACTGAAGTCTGGAATGTTTTACTTAGCACTACGTTTGAAATACAAATACGGTTTACTACATCCTACATAGGCCGTCTCAATGAGCGATCTTGAACAGGCAGGCACGTGAGAGGAGAAAAAATTGAAAATAGCTTTTAGATAGCGTATTGACATAATTTGAGAGAAACAATCTATTTTCTTTTACTCATCGAAAAAAATCCGAAACAGAAACATGTCGTGAAAAGCTATGGACAAAGGGAAAATGAGAACAAAGATAGAAGAAGATAGGCATCGCTAGTACAGTATTCGTTAGAAATTTTGCTCTCGCGTTGGACAAACGGCGATGGGCAATTCAAGCAAGCATGTCTCGAATCTCCTGGATGATGGTTTTGATGCGGGGTTCTTTGGTGGTATGCTCGGCCTTTTCGATTGCGTGTGGGAGATTGTATATCTCGACAGCGGCGCTTCGAATCTCGTCTCCCATGCTAAGAAGGGTGCCACTTCCAACGAGCGCTCTATAGAGTGCCTCTGAGTCAGGTGTAGTGGAAATGATAGCGGTAAGGCTTTCGAGTAGCGTGAACGCACGTTCGATGGAGTGGGTAGGGAAGGTGAGAAGAACGGCGTAATTGATGTACAGGGTTGTCACAGCGATGGTAAGATTGCGGTTGGTGGTGCCAGTTGATGAAGACTCAACTAGAGAAGTGATCTGTTCACAGATATGTTAGTAGCTTAAAAGGGCAGATGACAGTATTGCGAAAGAGAAAAATGAATTACCTTTTCGAAATTACCGTCAGCAACGGTCCGCCCTTCTTCACTTTCGAAGAGATTTGCAAATGTTCGGACAGCAAGCATGATATTATTGCTTCGCTCCTTGTCTTCAAACACACCGCTCCTCTCCAGGATTTGAACAATCGTATCGCCTGACGGTGTTTCGTATTTGGCAACCGCGGCGGTGGCGCCAGCGAGCAGCCGCAACAAGTCCAGACCAGGGATTCTTTGCGCGGGTGGCCAAAGCGTAATAATTTTAAGTACACTCTCCAAGCCGTTCGTCAAAGGGTGGCTTTGGTGATGAAGCGCTCCATGTCCATCCTCGAGTAATTGAATTAGAGACTGCAAATAGTTTATCTCCTTTGGATTTAGCGAGATGTCCTTCTCGCCATTTTCAATGAGCTGCTGGTTGATCTCTTCAATCTTCTTTTGAACGACCTTGAGGTTTGCCGATTTGATTGACAAATATGAGGTTTGAGGGAGAATCTTCGGCCGACTTTCTGGAGGCAGTGAAGATGATGCTGGTGCTGATGATATCTCTCCAGGTCGATAACGAGACTCTGTGCCCCAGGGATCTGAGCCAGGCGCAGTTTGATGCGGGGAGTGGCCAATAACACCTCCCTGAGTGTTAGAAGTAATGAAGTTGGCAACTTGGTCAAGATAAGCTATGGGAAGCTCATTATCTTGAATAAACTTGGTAGCGGCTTCGTAGGGGTTTTGAGAGAGGTTGTAAGGCAGCTTGAGCGGCGGCTTTCCATCTTCAATGTCAACATCAAAGACGTAGTCGTAGTCTTTGCCTTGAAATTCTTGCTTGCGCCCGCTGCTCCCCGCAGAGTCGACAACCGTGCCTACGCTGATCCACTGCTGGGTCGCCGATGACCACTGGTGAGCGGTTACGCTTCCATCAGTCTCTCTAATCATAGCAACTTGCCCTTCTTTTGTGCCTGACTTTTGCTGCAAGAACTCTGGACCAGGAAGCTGCTCCTTCTTGACGTTCCCTACTTGCTGCTGTGGAATAGCCGAAGCTTTCACGGATTCTTCAAAGGCTTGAATGGTGTGGCCGTCCGCTTGTCGTTCTCTTGATTTGGTGAACAGACGCACGATTCGATCACTTGCGCCGGTAACAATATCGCCAGTCTGAGGACAAACTGCCACAGTCCAAACAGAGATAGCAGGATGGGTGATGGTCTGAATGCACTGGCTTCCTTGCCAAATGCGGACCGTGCGGTCCTCACCTGAAGACACCAGGTCGCCGTTTGGTAGACATGTTAAAGAATAAATAAAGCTTTCGTGACCTTGTAATTGAGTGACCTCGCGGCCATCGAGAGTCCAGAACCGGATCAGACCATCATTCCCAGCGGAGGCGAAGTGTGCACCTGAAGGGTGGCGACTAGGAAGGCGACATAGGGCGCGCACGACATCAGAGCTGCCTCGGATTGTCTTTACAAGCTTTCCGGTCTCAGTGAAGACCCTTATGAGCTTATCCGCACAGCCTTTACAGATGTTAGTATAATGACCATTCTGGTAAAAACTGCGATTCTCCGCAAACGTACCAGTAATGATAGTGTTCTTGTCGTAAGCCAATACAGCCCAGACACTGCCCTGGTGCCCTTCCAAGACAGCCTCACATTCCCATTTGCCGACTTTCCATACCCTAGCCTGGGCGTCCCATCCACCGCTTACTATGAGCCCTCCGTCCGACAGCGAATCCAATGCACAAATATTGTGGGCGTGGCCAAGCAGTAATGCCTCAGCATCCTCCTCGGAGGATTTTCCAGGCTGTCGCACTTCAATAATCGTGTCACGACCTCCAGATATCACGAGGCCCTCTGGGTACTCTGCCGAAGGTTGTAGATAAGTCAAAGCATTTATAAAAGCCGTGCCATGGGAGGACAGTGTGCAATCATACTCGGGCGGTGAGTGCCTGAGTCGCTTCCATAATCTCACAGTTGCATCTCGAGATGCTGATAATACAAGCTCTGGGTTCGGAAATGAGACAGCTCTGACCTAGTACATTCAATTTATATCAGTGACAGCTTTGGATGAAGAGTTCCCAGCAGCTGCTGGGTAGCTCCAATGGTTGTAGTTATACTTACATCGTCCTCGTGCCCCTGAAGGCAAGCAGAAAGCTTATAATCTCCCATTCTGAGAGAAATCCAAACAATCTAAAAGCTCAAGAAACCGGGTAAAGCCAATTTAATGAATGTATCTTCAAGATTCAAAGTTGTTATGCTGAGCTTCAAGTTGCGTCAGGGGACATATAGGGATGACATAAGGCAGTTATACGCACGGAATTTGCCGCCGTCTGGAGCTACCCCGCGCTAAACAAACGCGAAGAATCGCGGGGTCAAACTTAAACCTCCTTGTTTACACTCGCCCTCTTCCCTTGCTCGTGAGGATTCATCTGTTGCTGACGATTTTTTCTCGAGGCTGGTTCTTAATGTGAAGATGTATGCAGTTGGAGCAGGTTCTGTTATTAAAAATTAAAATTCTGAGCAGCCCAGAAGTTCCGTGCCGAAGTACTCAGACCCCAAGCCAGAGATCCTGGTATTCTATCCGCGCTCAGAATGACCCACCGTTTAGTTTCTGGATCCGGCAAATGTCAAATGCATTATATAGTCCCGTCAGGCAGGTCTTGACTGAATCATAAATTTTGGGACTGATCCAAATATCAAGTATCTGAAATGAGAAATGCCGGAGTTTGCGGCAGACTTACTGGAACGGATCTTCGACAGCTCTGAGCGCCGATGGTAGAGATACTCTGTCCTGGAAATGCCGAATAAGAGTCATCGAGGGGAAGGCTACTCGTTTCCAGCATGGAAGACATCTTACTGCGTAACCATTGTCCCAAAATTTGAGAAGATGCCATAGGCTAGAAAATATGCGTGACAAATTTTTGTTTCTGACATCTATACGTAGGTATATGGATGGTGCTGTCTTTGCTACCTGGTAGTCTTCATGCCATTCTTGCAGATTCTAATGAACATCCAAAACGTGCCCAACAAATATTAGAGGTTAGTTCGTAAAGGAATTCGACTGCGCCGCTTCAAAGTATTCAGCCGTTCGACCCAACGAGGAAATTCTCCCAACAGAACAACAAAGCTCAGCGTATGACGAAAAGATACCTAGGTATATTAACTTACACTCGACTTCCAAGTGACATGGATCCGATCTGAGTGGCCTTATTGGATTAACATGCCTGCACATGTTATTTCGTAGCGAAACATGTGTAACCATCATTTCCACAACCATGCCGGTATAAATTAATTCTTCAACCCCGCTTATCCATCAACAAGCACGTCTCTCATGAAAGGTAAAGCAAAGAAGAGGTCCAGGAAGAGTAAGCTCCCGGAACATCAAAATCAGGGCTTGGACTCTTGCGACCATACAGACTGTACGGAGCCTATACAATCGTGCGAAGCGAAAATGTCGAAAGCATTGTGGCAGTAAGTCCCCGCAAGAAGCCCTAACAGACTCGAGCAAACGTTGAATGGAATTAAAGATGCCGTGAAAAAGGATTGTTCACAGATATAACGATTCGCTGCGCAAGTCAAGAGTTCAAGGCACACCGAGTGATTATAAGCTCATTATCAGAGTATTTCATGGCAGTGTGCCAAGGAGACTGGAAGGTAAGATGTCCGAAAATAAATATGCATGGCTCATAGAGAACAGGAAAATGAAGAAAACGAAATCCTCTTAAAGGACCACAATCCGCTTCTTGTAGAGAAGATGCTTCATTTTCTCTACCAGCTTGATTACTCCGAAGATCTAAACGACAAGTTAGCAGACGACGGCATTGCGAGTCTTGATATAGAATCGGAAGTGGAGGATTATGAAGAAGATGGAGACAACCATGTAAAAGAAATGACGGCCAATGGAAGGCACGAGAAGATTAGCTCTGTATGTCAAACTTGTGGATCTCTTCTGCGAGTAGGTGATTGACATAGAATTTCCCGCAGCCTCTCGTACTTCATGTGTTGATGTATTCCATGGGGGATGAATTCGGGATACAGAGTCTCAAGGACTACGCAGTTAAAAGAGCGGGCGAAAACGTTGGGCATAAGTCAACATGTGACAACCTCATCGAAGCAGCTCGTACAGCTTATGAAACCACCCTTGACTCCGATCGAGCAATGCGCGACCTCATCTGTAAAGCGGCATATGACAGAATATACGACCTGGTGGGGAGACCAGATTTGAGCATCTTGATAAGGGGGTGTCCAATGTTGACGGTGGATTTGTTGGAGAAAGTTCTCCAAAGCCATTATGGATACCGCAACCGTTACCGTTGAGTAAATTTCTCCATATCAATTTAGACGTAGCAACTCAGCCCACAATAATATACCAGTCCCATGATGTTTGATGATATAATACTGTAGTGCAGTTTTTAGAGAGGTTTTGTGGAGGAGCGAATGATACTCCGCTTGCTCCGCGCCAGTCCCAACCTAAACGCGAGCCGCGGCATCTGCCCTGACCAAACAATCCGCTAATTAGCTTATTGAAACATTCATCAACAGCTCCAATCGCAAAGTCTCGTCCATTCAATTCCACTTTTTTGCTGTAAAATAGTGTCGCCTGCATCTGTAAGTCTCAAGATGACGAGAGCAAAGGATTATTATCCTGACGGTAACCGCGACGCTATTTTAGGACTTATATACCTAACATACCCCGCTAAACCAAACTTTCCAGTATAGCAGGCGCATTCACCACCTCTCATCCTCTGCCCTGCTGTCGCCTCAAACGGTCCTTACTCTTTACGAATTGACGGAATTTCACTTTTACGAGCTTTTGATACGAATTCCCTATATTTCGCATTCACATTAGCATCAATGACGTCTGGTTCGTCCACCTCCTTAACCATTACGCAAAATGATGCCCTTACAATTGACATCAATCATGACAACCTTCGGCGGTCACGCCCGATATCCTATCATTATAGTAACTGATGTAGATTCTCCAGAAGCATCAAAAGCCGTTCCTTTAACCTGCCATGGCCACTCGCGGCCTGTCACTCACCTCAGCTTCTCCTCAGTCGTGGACGACGATCAATACTACCTTGTCTCAGCATGCAAAGGTATTACAACAGTAAACGATTATCAGATTTACGGCCGCTGACTCGAGCCAGATAACAACCCGATGCTTCGCGATGGCATAACAGGCGATTGGTGAGACAGACTGACTGCATTCTCGCCTGAAGCTCATTGCTAATTCTCGTCGAAAGGATCGGAACATTCATGGGCCACAAAGGAGCCGTCTGGCAAGCTCGTCTTTCCGGAGATGCTTCTCTTGCAGCTACAGGATCAGCAGACTTCTCAGCGTAAGTTTCTGCCTTTGCCATTGCTCCAAACGACTGATCGGAATCTGGAAACCTGACAACTTTTCGAAAATAGCAAGGTGTGGAACACTTACACTGGCGAAACCCTCCATACTTTCCAACACGCACACATCGTTCGATCCGTCGCATTCCCAACACAAGCCCGTCCCCAATTCCTAGCCACCGGTGGCGCCGAGAAGAAACTTCGAATCTTTGACCTGAACCGGAGCAGCAGTCCGGACGCCACAGGGTCCACCTCGGACGCAAGTTATGAGATAGGGCCGGGAGTATACGGTGGCACAATCAAATCGATCATCTGGGGGTCCGATTTCAATATTCTGGCTACGGCATCTGACGACCGAAAGATTCGATGGTGGGATCTGAGATCGCGCACGCCTATCCGGGGGTACGAGATCGAAGGGTTAGTGGGCAGCTGCGAGCTCAACACTCCGCCGTTTGAGAGCAATGCCCCTGGAGTGCTCAGCGTTGCGGCCGGAAAGACTGTCTACTTCTTCGATGGAGCTGATCCCGGCCGATTGATCAAGTCAGTCAAGCTCCCATATGAGGTCGTCAGCGTGGCGCTCCATGGCGAGCAGAGAAAATTCGTGACGGGCGGCAGCGGCGACACTTGGGTGCGAGCGTACGACTTTGACGACGAAAAAGAGCTGGGTAAGTGATTGCTATACCTTGCAAACTTGAATTCCTATGTGTGGCTAACATTGATGCGTAAAGACATTTACAAGGGCCATCACGGCCCCATTTGGTCCGTTGCCTTCTCGCCAGATGGCAAGCTCTGCGCCACTGGTAGTGAGGACGGAACTATCAAGCTGTGGAAATTCACAAATACATCATACGGTCTGTGGAGGTAATCTTAGACGATAACCTTTCTCTGTCCGCCATACATATTTCCGCCCCTTTCCTTTAGGTATGAGGTGATCCTTCGTCGTCGGGTCATCCCATAACTTGTTCGACATTTGAGTTCCTTTGAAAAGAACCGAGATGCTCTTTCTGCTGATCTAATTCCCTCCTTTTGGCATCTGAGAAACTCTTCATATACTTTTTCTTTTCTAATTCACTGTACCATAATTTTCTTTTCTCCTTTTCTGTTCTTTTAATTTTGTCTCATCCCATTTTTTCTTATCTTTTCTTTTTTTCTACCAATGCAATGCCTTCTCAACGGCAGTGCAGTCTGGCCCTGCCATTTGCTTCTGGCCGTGGCCGTGATGAGATCTTCCTGAGACACGTCAGGCCCTTATCCAGGTTTCGAGTCAGTCACTGGACTTTCGAGTTCGGGGAAGAGGCCAGGCACGGAGATTCGGCTATGGATGGAGATGAAACTTTCGAAAATTTGGAAGGCGGAAAATGGAAAAGCGGGTCTGTCAAACGGACAGGCCCTATTAGCATACAAGGAAACAATAAGGAAATGATACCCCTTTTTTCCAAACACTTAACGGTCATATCACTTCATGTCAATTCCATTGTGCACATTCTTATTGCGAGATGCAGTCTTCAGTGATGCGCTTGAATTGGGCGGCGATTGCTAGCCACATGCGTATTTTTTGGGAGTAAAGATTAAAAGGTACACAGGTGGTGACAGAACAGGTGGCCGGGGTGAGAGGAGACGAAGAAGGAAAGCCCGCTGCATGACAGTAGAAGAAAGAGGCCGAGAGTTAAAAGTAACAAAAGAAACTTGTTGAGCTATATCCATTCTTTTTGTTTGTGGTTATTTCAAGAAATCTTTTGTCGGATGCTTCCTGACCGTGCTTTTGCTTTACTCAATCATATCAATGTCTCCATCAGCAGCCCCGGCCGCGGCTGCTGGAGGCGCTGTAGCATCTGCTGCAGCCACACCACCGCCGTTTTGAGCAGACGTCGCCTCAGGCGCAATTGCACCGCCCGCAGTCGCGCCACCGGCTTCTTCCTTGCCGCCCCAGTAATCATCCATCTCGGCGTCAAGCTCTTCCTGCGTCTTGCGGGGTCGACGAACACCTTCGGCTCGCTCACCCTCGCCTCGTCCTCGACCGCCACGTCCTCTTCCGCCACGGCGGCGAACAGGCGAGCGAGACGAACGTCGCTGGCCGGGGACATATCGGTCGATATTGCTCGGCGCAGGCTTGGTAACGTCACTGCGTCTCGGGCGGCTAGGGGATGCAGAGCGGTCATCGCGACGGCGACGGCCGCCAGTTGCCGATGGGCTAGATACTCGGTCGAAAAGGCTGCGGGCGGGCTTCTGCACGTTGTCAAAGGGATTCCGAGCAGCAGCAGCAGCAGCAGGCCTGGACGTGTTCGGCACGAGCTTGAGGTAGATGGGCTGTCCGTTGGCGTTTGCGCCGGAGAATTCATCAATTGCTACTCGCGCATCCGAGGAGGATTCGTAGACTACAAAGGCAACGCCTTCAGAGCGCCCGGCTCGGTCGTACAAGATCTTGACGGATCGAACGGGTCCAATGCGACTAAAGAGACCCTATGTTGGCAAAAGGCGTAAGTATGTAAATGAATTTTGGATGGCAAGGTGTAGAGAAGGCTGCATGGATGACAAGGGTCGGTATAAGAGGGTACACACTTCGAGGTCATCTTCTGTGAGATCCCAATGGAGATTCTCGATGCGAATCTTTGCGCCAGATTGGGTGTCGCTATAAGAATGATGCCGTTAGTGATTCAATGCCCAAGACGTAAGCAGAAGAGAGGTGGTAAGTATGCAAACTTACACTTCGCGTTCAGGTGAGTAGCGGTCAGGTCGTCGGGAGCGGCGTCCACGCGCGGATGGGCGGTCTGGACATCATGTTGGCTGGGTGCAACGCGGTAAGGTAAGAATGGCAACCTACTATTGTCGTCGTCGTCTTCGAACTTGTCATGTACCCAATCGCTGCAATGAGCCAGTCAGTATTATCATGCTCTGGCAAACGACAAGTTGTTTGAAGAAAGACCAACCTATTCAAGTCTCTGGGAGGATCTCTTGCGCTCTGAGCATGCCAAAGGAGGAAAATACTAGGTCAGCGGATAATCTTCCAGTTTCAATGCGTACGTCTTTCTCTAAATGCGTATCGAGACCCGGAAAGTCGTGTTTGCGGTCACTTGACATATGACTGAGGGCAATGTTCCGATCATGGATTATAGGGGGATGAGGGGGCGAGGTAGATCCACCTGCAAAGGTGTAATGTCAGTTTGGTTGATCAGCGAAACATAATAGTTGCAAGGCATTCTGACGGACGGACCTTTCTGGGACCGTCGCGGGGCCAGTTATCGCGACGGCGGTCTCTGCGGCCTCGATCTCCACCTCTCTGTGACTACCATGTGTCAGTAGATATTTATTTTTTCTTCATATTAACATTGCGCATTGTCTCTCTAGCATCGCTGCGGCATTGGAAAGCAGTAGAGCTGATGGCGTATCTGACAAAAGGAGGCAAACAACAGAAAGGTACCTACCTGGCGCTCTCCAATAACCTCATCCAAAGCTCGATCCATGACTGCGTAATGGAGTAGTTTGTTATAGTCGCCAATACACGCAGCCTGATACTGGACAATTGACGCAAATTGAATGGTGATAAGTGAAATAATAGTCAAGCCGCGCTGGCGATAAAGTCGCCTGGTCGCTAAGTGAATTTAAACGCGAGTCTGCCGCATAAACGATGGAGGCACGCATAACGAAGTAAAGCAGGGTAACCCACGGGTTTCCTTCTAGAATGACGCTGTTGATTTCTCGCTCACAATATCTTCCGCATCTCCCACTGCAGAACACTCCTCCAAGAATTTTTTGCTTTGTAAATTAGTGTGAATATCGGTAAAACCTTTTCTGCGAAACCACGATCTTCATTTATTAAAATCCAGGGGCACGCAATTGGCGACAACGTGGAATAACTTATGCTTGAAAGACAAGTCGGGTCTGGACCCTCTTGGCTTTAGAATATGCTAGGAAGGCGAAGAGTGGCAAGTCTCCAATAACATACTAATGTAGACCGAACAGGAGAAATATCTTATCACAGAGGGTGAAGCGGGTGCTCTGTTTCGATAAGCGCGGCCAATGGACGGGAGCTATTCTGCTAAACCGCATCGGACCGGGAGCCCCTATCAACGTCGAAAGTGGGCACGGCTGAACAGCCTTGTTGCATCCCGTCCCCACAATGCAGGACTTCGTCCAACAGCCTGTGGTTCGAAACTAGGATCTGCTTTTTTTGCTTTGAGGCTAAAGAGAGAGATGCCTTAAGGCGGAATTTCGACCAATTATATGGATCAACTGTCCTGGGGAAAGAATCTTGGCCTTATCACTGGGGAGAGGAAGCGGGCAAGGTAACGAGAGAGGCAAAATGATAATCTTCAAGAGTAGATAAACAATGAGATATATAGTTATATATTCGAATGGAATTAATTCAACTCACTTGCAAATCGTTCATCGCACATTTTCAACCTCCCTGTTTTCCTGGCCATCATGTCGACTAAAAAAGACGATACCTATGGCATACCTGCAGAAGATGCTCCATCGAATGTGGAAGAAGGAACAATCACCGAATTTGGTCCACCTGCTCAGTCAGAACATGGCTATGTGGCTCGCGGGTTTGTTTCCCTGCCTGGCTAAAATTGCCCAAAAAGAAGGCCTGAGATCCTGACTCTTTGTTGCAGTTTGAAGAACAGGCACTATCAATTTATGGCGTTTGGAGGGGCTGTTGGAACAGGACTGTTTCTGGGTATTGGGAGCGCATTAAGAACTGGTGGTCCTCTGTCTGTCTTTATTAGTTATTCCCTCACTGGCTTGGCAATTTTCGCCATGGTAAGTTCATCAATGATAATAGCAGGAAGCTTCTTCATCTCACCATTTTCTATACAGATGCAATGTTTAGGAGAAATGGCCACTTGGCTGCCCGTTCCGGGAGCAATCCCCACGTTCTGCAGTCGATTTGTAGATGACGCAATGGGATTCGCCGTCGGCTGGAATGTACGAGCAAGAGCCCGTGTTGACCTATATAGTTGGGTGTGTGATATGCTGACTAGTAAATAGACTTGGTATGCTGGCTCGATAGTCATCTGCGTTGAAGCATCCGCAGCCGCGATTGTGATTGAGTATTGGACCTCTTCCGTCAATTCTGCCGTCTGGATCACCATTGTTATAGTCCTTGTCGTCTTACTGAACGTATTCGCCGTCTCAGTATTTGGCGAAGCTGAATTTTTTTTCGGCGTGCTCAAACTGGTGACCATGATCGGATTGCTTATTTTGACATTGGTCATCGACCTAGGTGGTGCTCCATCCCATGACCGACTTGGGTTTCGCTACTGGAATCATCCAGGAGCAGTCAGAGAATATATTGGGACAGGTAACACCGGCCGATTTGCTGGCTTCTTTTCCACCCTGATCACTGCTGCTTTTGCTTTTGGAGGCTCAGAGGGCGTCATAGCCGCTGCTGGTGAGGCCCAGGATCCACGGAAAAATATACCAAAGGCCGTCCGAGGCGTTTTCGTTCGAATCATGCTCTTTTACTGCTTGGGATCGCTTGCCGTCGGTCTTTTCGTGCCGTATGATAACCCAAACCTCTTGAGCGGCGGCCCAGGAGCAGCCGCCTCTCCGTGGGTTATCGGCATTGTCAATTCTGGCATCAGGGTGCTTCCTTCAATCATAAATACCGTCATTCTGCTTTCCGCCGTCTCCGTGGCAAACAGTCAGGTCTTTATTGCCTCCCGATATTTGTTCTCTTTGGCACAAAATGGGCAAGCCCCACGCATTTTCTTGAAGTGCTCTAAAACGTGAGTTGTACATTCATTATGAAAAAGCCTCTTGCTTGTAGTAGAGCTGATTTGACATCAATTTAACCAGAGGCATTCCGTATTACTCCGTTGCGTTGACCTCATCCGTCTCCCTTTTGACATACATGACACTATCGAGCGGGGCCAACAAAGTCTTTCTATGGCTTATGAATATTACAACAATCGCCAGTCTGCTTACTTGGATATCGATTGCGATTTCCTATCTTCGATTCCGCGCGGCAATTGTTGCGCAAGGTGTTGGTATGCAGAACCTTCCGTTCAAGAGCGCCTTACAACCATTTTGTGCATATTTTGTCATCATATATTTTGGCATCATTATGCTAGGCAACGGCTTTGTCGTCTTCACCAAGGGGAATTGGTCCACGTCCAGCTTCATTGCATCATATATAGGGTTGCCTATCTATGGCGCATGCTTTGTCTTCTGGAAGGTCTTTAAGCGGACCAAGTTCGTCAAAGCTCATGAAGCACAGCTTTAACTCAAGCAAAGGTAGTTATGGCGAGAAATGAGGCAAGTTGTGGCCAAATTTAGGATTAGCAAAATATGAAGAGGAGAAAAAATAAATTACGAAACGACTGTCTAGAGTCACTGTAGTAGATTTTGATATATTAGCACTAGATGAATGAACTTTTCAATTTTTACATAGCCCTACACAGGACTTGTTCCTTTCCCACTAAGCATATTTACCAACTAGGTGCAACCAGCCATTTTGGCGTCTTGTCTCAACAGCGGATATAGTTATACCGTAAACGACCGATCCCCTGTTCTCCGTTGTCGGATTCGAGTGTATTGACTTGTACGAGCCCTTGTACCCTTTCTAGAATGCACAATCAACGGACGCTGGAGTCAAAATGGCAGAGTATAGAGCTTATCAGTGTAGATAATATTGCCTTATATCCTATTCGGCCATTTCTTTCACCTCCAAAGGACTATGTACAGATTGATGGATTAAAGCGTACTCTATATTAAAGTCTGATTTTATTTGAATCTATGATATGCAGAATATGTCTAACCTTTGACATGGACCCTGGCTTCATACGGAGCTAGAGCCCCGGGGCTACTCGTATCGACATTTGAAAGCAAGGGCTCTATCGAATGAAATTCTTCAGGGACGGAGTATGCGACGGAGGAGGAAGTAAAGTTACAAACGACCAGAGCAGCTTGGTCATGAAACCTCTTGACAAAGACCACGGTCTTGTGGTTTTCTTCGTCGACAAGTGAAAATGTGCCTGCAGCAAAGAGATCGATGTACTTTTTGCGTAGGGCTAGGACCAATCTGTAGAACGACAGAACGCTATTTGGGTCGTTCTGTTGGGATGCAACATTATACTTTGAATAGTCATCATTGACTCGCATCCAAGGCTCTGCCTCTGGTGTAGTGAAACCAGCATGGGCCGAGCCGCTCCATTGCATTGGCGTCCGGGAATTATCACGAGCTAGCTTTTGAATGTTGGCCATGGCATTCGCAAGACGTTTTTCATCCGCGCCTTCGGCTTTCAACTGATTCCAGTAGTTTTGTGTATTCTGGTCCTTGTATTCTTCAATCGGCCACTCCTTGGGCACATTGGTCATGGCGATTTCTTGGCCTTGATAGATGAATAAGGTGCTAGTGGAAGTTGCACAGAAGGTCGCCAACATCTTTGCTGAGCGCTCCCGGAACTCAGGAGCGTCACTGCCAAAGCGAGTGATGGAGCGAGGGATATCGTGGTTTTCGAGAAAGACCGACGTCCACCCGTCGGTTCCCTCGATGAACTGCTGCCATTTGGCGTGTGTCCTCTTAAAGTCAGCGAGAGTGAAGGGGCTCAAGTCAAACTGGCACATGTCAAAGCCCAGTAAGACTGTCTCGAACTGTAATCCCATGCCGATTCGACACTCCTTTGCGCTGACATATTTGAGCGCCAGGTCGAGATCGGAAATGGATCCAAACTCGCCAACAGTAATCAGCTTTTGAGCTCCGCCGTAATTGGAAAGCAGCTGATCATGAATCTCACGATGCACCTGGTACGTGCGATCTTTGTTGCGATAGCAGGGTCCTCCTGGTTGCCATGGCTGAGACTCGTCAACGACGGGCGCATCTGGGTATCCTGGCGATTTTCCGTAGATGGTCATGGTGTCTATACGAAACCCGTCAACGCCCTTTTCCAGCCAGAAGCGAATGGCGCTATTGTAGACAGCCTGACGAAGATCTGAATTCTCATGATTCAGGTCGGGCATGCTCTTGCCAAAGAGATGCAAGTAGTACTCCTGTGTCAACTCATCCCACTGCCAGGCGCTGCCTTTGAAAGAGGACCGCCAGTTATTTGGCGGAACTCGTTTTCCATCGATAATCCGACCTGGATGCCAATGATACCAAGTCCGCTTCGGATTATCTTTCGAAGACCGTGACTCCTTGAACCACTCGTGCTGGTCCGAGGTGTGGTTGATGACCAAGTCAGTAATGAAACGCATCCCCTGCTCATGGCACCCTTCGATTAGGGCTTCCACATCGGCTACTGTCCCGTATGGTCGGTATACGTCCTCGTAGTTGCGAACATCGTACCCCAAATCATCTTGTGGACTGTCGTAAAAGGGGCAAACCCAAATTGCGTCTACTCCCAAGTCGCGCAAATAATCGAGCCGGGAGAGGATTCCACGCAAATCTCCAAATCCATCACCATTGGAGTCTTGAAAACTAGCCGGGTATATCTGGTAGACTGTGGCATTCTTCCACCATGGACGGTTTGATTGGACAATACTCATCTTGAACAATATTCTGTATGCCCTCGGGGTTGCGGCGTGCTTGGAAAAGTATTTGATATCGAGATGTCACAAACACTGCATATACTGACAGTTCTCGAAGAAGCACAAAGCCAAATTTGAATTGAAAAAGTTTTTTTTGATAAGAGAGACAACTTATGAAACTATGATTTTTGTGACATATTGAAAGCACCGAAACAAGCTGAACTCGCTGGCATTAGATAAACAAATAAGCAAGAGCACAAAACTTCGATTTACCCAGCAGAGTGGACGCCGCAAATAGCTAACCTAACGGCTAGCAGATTGCAAGTCAAAATTGGGAGACGCCAAGGGAGAATGCACTAAAAGACGGAGGAGACAGGAAACGGGGAACCCCAAAAACGTTCAGTCCGATAGGGAGGAGGGGGACGGATGAATTAAAAAGGCTTCACGGAGCCGAGACTAATATGGAGATGGAGGAGCGGAATTCGATATCCCGTCGTTATCAGGTGGGGACGGTGTTTTTCGGTTATCATCGCCTTTTCCCGGGTAGCTTGTGGTTGGTTACAGAGATAAGCTGGACTATAGGTATAGCTGTACCCTCACTATTTGGTAGAAGTAACGTCATCTGGAGGAATGGTACAGGTATGGTAGTCACTATAATCTTACTTACATAATTTAGCTAAGAAAGACAGGGTAACCTGACTTTCCCCATGATGGTGAACATTTCGCGTCATGCTCGGTGGTCATTCTCTTGCCTTGTCACTGGCAAAGCTCTCCGGTCGTACACAGGAATTCGGTCCACAACATGGCAGCAAATATGGCAAACCTCGACGTCTACCAACTTCTCTCTCAGCTCAGTGTCGAAGAGAAAATCAGTCTGCTAGCCGGTACGTCTACTGTCTACCCCGTGCCATAGCCTATTGGTGCCGCAGTTAACTTTATCAAGGCATTGATTTCTGGCACACTGCGCCCATTCCGCGATTAGGAATCCCCTCAATTCGCATGTCTGATGGACCAAACGGCATTCGCGGAACTCGATTTTTCAATGGTGTCCCTGCTGCGTGTTTCCCATGTGGCACTGCATTGGGTGCGACATGGGATGTAGGATTGATTGAAGCCGCCGGGCAGCTCATGGCTGAGGAAGCACGTGCAAAAGGTGCAGCTGTAGTTCTCGGTCCCACTGTGAACATGCAGCGCTCGCCTCTGGGGGGACGAGGATTTGAAAGCTTCAGTGAAGATCCTGTTCTCGCGGGTTCAATGGCAGCCGCAGAAATCAAGGGAATGCAAAGCCGTGGTGTTGCAAGTACCATTAAACATTTTGTGTGCAATGACCAAGAAGATGAGAGGCAGGCAGTCGACTCTATTATCACAGAGAGAGCACTGAGGGAGATTTACCTCCTGCCTTTTCAAATTGCAATGCGAGATGCGCAGCCACGTGCATTCATGACAGCATACAATAAAGTCAATGGGACTCATGCAAGTGAAGACCTCAAGCTCCTCCAAGACATACTCCGGGATGAATGGGGTTTTCATGGTTTGACGATGAGCGATTGGTAAGATAACACTCCAGATATTTCATTAAAATCAAGTTTAATAGCATCCATTGCTAATTTTTTCCGGTTTCTTTTTGTTGGGAAAAGGGGTGGCACTTATTCCGTATCTGAGGCAGTAAATGCTGGATTAGATATTGAGATGCCCGGTCCGTCCGTATGGCGAGGCGAGCTTGTCAAGCTAGCATGGAAGGTCAACAAGATTAAGTCCGAGACAATTGATAAAAGGGTCCTTGCTGTGCTTGACATGATCAACTACGCCATCGAGGCCGGTATCACGGGAAATGCCCCAGAAACGACAAACGATACTCCTGAAACTGCAAAGCTTCTTAGAGATATTGCTGCTTCATCAATAGTACTTTTAAAAAATGAGCGTGAACTTCTTCCTCTCAAAACAGACAAAACGGTTGGTCCCATTTCGTGCTCCATTTCCCGTTGTCATTTAAAGCTAAAACAACGAAAAGGTTGCTGTCATTGGGCCAAATGCAAAAGTAGCTACTTACTGCGGCGGTGGCTCGGCCAGCTTACGACCCTACTATGCTGTGACTCCCTACGAGGGAATCAGCCGTAAATCGCAGAATGTTGAATATGCCTTGGGTGCAACTTCTCATAAACAGCTACCTTTACTCAACACGGCACTCACATTAAGTGATGGTCAACCTGGGTTTAAACTAAGGTTTTATACAGAGCCCCCAACGGTACCAAATCGCGAAGTTGTCGACGAAAATGTGCTCGATAGTTCGTTCGTCAATTTAATGGATTATAAAAATCCGCAAATCCGGGGTCTTCTTTATTATGTTGAGCTCGAAAGCACATTCACACCGGAGGAAGACGGCGTGTACGAGTTTGGACTGACCGTGAACGGAACGGGCAAGCTCTTCATTGACGGACGAATTGTTGTTGATAATGCCTCCCAGCAGCGGACAGGCGACAGCTTTTTCGGCTCTGGGACTGTCGAAGAAATTGGGTCTATTGAGATGAAAGCTGGCAAGACTTATGAAGTGGGAATGCAGTTTGGCACCTCGCCCACCCAGACCGTGGTCAAAATGGGCGCTACGGCAATGGCAGCCGGTGGATTTCGGCTCGGTGGGATGATCAAGACCGATCCCGAAAACGAGATTCAGAAGGCCATTTCTTTGGCACAGCAAGTCGATCAGGTAGTCCTATGTGCAGGACTCAACGTAAGTGCTGAAACTATACATAATAATCTACCAACATTATCCAATATCAAAGTACACTACTAACAAAAGAACAGTCCGACTGGGAATCTGAAGGCTACGATCGTACACACATGGACCTGCCAGGGAATCTCAATGCGCTGATTGATGCAGTGGCCAGTGCAAATCCCAATACGGTTGTAGTACTGCAGTCCGGCACACCAGTGAGCATGCCATGGGCAAGCAAAGTGCCTGCCATCATACAAGCATGGTACGGGGGCAACGAGACAGGAAATAGCATCGCCGACGTCCTTTTTGGCACGGTGAATCCGAGTGGCAAGCTTCCACTGACCTTTCCTCATCGCAACGAAGATAACCCAGCATTTCTCAACTTCAAATCAGAGCGCGGTCGAGTGCTCTACGGCGAGGACGTTTATGTGGGTTATCGGTACTATGAGACGTGTCAAAAAGACGTGCTTTTCCCCTTTGGTCACGGACTCTCATACACTACCTTTTCCATGAGCAACCTGACTGCTAGACTCGGGGATGACAGCAAAAACCTTCTTGTTATTCTAGATGTAACGAATACCGGTCCTGTGGATGGCGCAGAGGTGGTGCAGGTTTACGTTCGTCAGCGCGCCCCTTCAGTGAAACGTCCGTCCAAGGAGCTCAAAGGCTTTGCAAAGCCATTTATTCCCCACGGTGAAACTCGGCAAGTCAGTTTGACGCTGAACGTTAAATATGCCGCCAGCTTCTGGGACGAGTCTCGCCATGCGTGGATTATCGAGCACGGCCAGTACGATGTGCTGGTGGGCAATAGCAGTGCGAATGTGCCCTTGCAAGCTTCGTTTTCTGTTGCTGATACGACCTGGTGGAATGGGGTATGAATGTTTTACTTTTCTTTCTTTTCTTTCCTTTCTCTTCTTCTCTTTCCTTTCTGTTCTTTCCCTTCTTCTTTCTTTTCCATTCAAGCAGACAACTAGTTTGACGGACCCCACCCATAGACAGACTGTCGAATATTACCGTCAAGAGAAGAAATAGACATGAAGTTATGATGCAATCAGACCAATAGACACCTTAATGCCAAGAGATATATATAACAACCATATCAAATACAAGTTCAAGAAGTCGAGAGATTCATCTCCATCAAAATATTATCTCAAACATGCCTATAGCATTTTTAAATGACTTGTAAATGGCGCGGAGCCTTTCTCTAAAAGGTTTATAAAATACAGCAGGTATATCCACATATATACAGTACCTTTCAGACGTATAGGTACACCGTACGTGAACTTTAAATGGCCGCGACTCGGCCTTCTGGCCAGCAGTCACCGATCCGCCCGTCCTCTTGGATGGACACGACGACCGAACCCTCGCCCTTCAAGGGATTACCTTCCCAGACGACGACATCTCCGTGCGGCAGCAAACCTTGCTCCGATAGGCTTGTCTTTGGGCGGAGTCCGAGAATCGTTTCGATATTGGTGGAGACCAAGCTGATGGCTTGCTTCTCGGTCAAACCAGCATACTTGGCGGCCCACTGGGCTTCTTGCGCGAGGCTATAGACCTTGGAGTCGCCCGTGATGGCGAGAGCAAAGGACACGCCTGCATCAGTTAAGATCTTCGCGGGGCTCTCCGTCAGCGGCGGGCCCGTGAGCAGGTGTCGCTTTTCCCAAGTATCGGGTGCTCCTCGGTTACCGGTGAAAATGACGGGGATGCCTGCGTCGGCGAGAGGTTTGGCGACGAGAGGGGCGCCGTGGCCGCCAAAGAGGACGAGGTTGGCGGTGGGGAAGTCGCGTTTGATGAGAATGATTTGGGCGATGTCGTCCTGTGTCGAGATTGTCAGTGGCTAAACCCTCTTGTTGGTGAAAGTGCATGAAATACCTCGTTGAAGGCTTGAATCACCACAGGGATGGACCCATTGGCAGCCCGTGCATAGATGCTGCTGTGACTCCCTGTCGATGTACCTTCTCCTCCCTCGAGAATCTGGCGCAGACGCTCGATTCCGGCAGATACTGTGGGAGTGTCGTCATTGCCTGGTTGTTTATATGTCAGTATAGAACTACTAGCTGTCTTCTCAAGCATGAATGGTATTTACCCTTGGATTTCTGTCCGATCACAAGATGAAGTGCAACCTCGTCCTGCCAGATCCCTCCATCCAGCAGGGTGACGTTCTCACTTGTCCGTAGCCCCACACTGACCCCCTGTACAATGCTTCCACCGAAGAGAGGCGCCGAAACAGCTTTTGTCACGCCTCCAACTGAAGACCTCACTAGAGCTCGATCGTGCAAATGAACTCCGTACTTAGCGAAGTGCAGCCTCTTCTGCTCGTCGAGGGGATCTCCGCTGCGTCCTACCGAACCATCTCCCGTAGAACTCTCGGACGGGATAGACTGAATACCGAGGGTGTTTCCGAAGGCGATAAGTCCTGGTGTCAGATAGCCATTTTGAAGCTTAATGTGTGTTGTGTCATCGCCAATGTTTTGGGTACCGACACACACAGGAGTGGTGTCGAAGCAAGTGATTTGACCGTCCTTGACCACCAAAGCCAGTTCTTCAGCGGTCTCGGTCAAATGGGCTGGAGTGTCAACCAAGGCTTTCTTGATGCCTGTGAAGAGGACCTTGGATTTGCCGCCTTGGACGCGATCGCATATGCTCTCTCTTTGCTCTAATGAAATCGACGGTCGAATAGCCGGTGCTTGCTGAGGCTTGCCCTTCTGAGCAGCAGCAGCATTTGACTTCGGCTTATCATCGACTACTGCTCGGCCATCGACGAAGACATGGCTCGGTGTCGCCCCAACTTGAAGAGGGTGATCGTCCCATATAACGAGATCGGCGTCATATCCAGGTCGCACGAAACCGATGCGGTGAGCTTGGTTTAGAGATCTGGCTGGGATAGAAGTGATTGATTGGAGAGCGTTGTCGGTAGGGAGACCGAAAGAGTGGGACACTGCCGCTTGATCACTGCACATCAAATTTAGCACACGAAGGGAAAATCGTCAAACCATGGCGGCCGAGGCAACCTACGCGAGATACTTGGCATAGTTGCCTTCACCAGTATGGTCCTGTCTCCTAGGTTAGAAGCAGCGATTGCTGAATGGAGGAAGCGCTGCATACCGATTTCAAGGCTACAGGAATACCATGGTCGTTGAGGATCTTTGGTGCCCTCAAGTTGGACCCGTACGCTTCCGCCTTGAAGAAACCATTATCGGCAAAAGTGGCAATGGTGATGTTTCTAAACTTTGTCAGCTCCACAAAATATTATACACCCAGAACCAAAATTAGGCTTACTCTTCAGCATGCTTCAAGAACTCTGGTACTTGCCACGCTTCCAGCGCATGGTGGAAAGCTTGAGGATGCACTCCGAATTCGTGTAACACGTTCAGCACGTCCTCAAAGTCCTGTGGCTCGTAGCAGTGGATGTTGACGTTCAACTCGCCTCTCAAAAGTGCAAGGGTGGTCTCGTATTTCAAGGATGAGGGGAAGAACCCTTGATCTCTGAGGAAAGTTGGCAGACGCTGAGATTTGCCAAACGTGCTCGTGGCTGCATTTACTGCGGCCTCACACCAGGAGTTTTGACGCTCCTGTAACTTTCTAGCCTCGTCCAAGTGCTCGCGGAGAAGCCAAGTCAAGCCAAGACGAGTGTAGCCGTAGATTCCCTTGGGGTTCTCTCCGCAAGCCATTTTGAGATATCTTTGTCGGTTTTCTTCCGGGACGCCATCCTCGAGAAGAAGCTCAGCCGCTACAGGCTCGCCGTCCTTGCCAGCAAGTGGCAGATTCTTGACCAGAAATGCTTCTCCACCCACAATGTTGGCGGAACCTGGCAGAACGAGAGACGAAGTGATACCCCCAGATGCGATAATCTTAATTGCGGGATCATAGGCCTTGAATCCGTCCAATGCCCGGACAAAAGGCGTGATGGGCCCCAACAAAGGCCGTTCGTTGACATCTCTCGTTGCAGGCAGCTCAGGGAAAGGGATAAGAAGGTGGTGAGAATGTATGTCCACGAGCCCAGGCGTCACGAACCGCCCATGAGCGTTGATCACGCGAGCCTGCTTGGGGAGATCAGCGTTCGACGATGATTTCGAGACCGAGTGGATCACGCCCGACTCAAAAGTAATGTCAAATGCATCCGAAAGAGTTGTTTCACCGTCGAAAAGGCTGGCGTTCTTGATGACTACGGTTGTCTGCTGGCCTACAGCAGCGTTCCATCTCGGGTTGTCGCGAGAAGCGGAGGCGACGTTGATGGGCGCTCCGCGGTTCTGGCTCAGGCGACATTGATCAAGCCCTTTCACAAAAGCATCCTGTTCTGTTGTGGTAACAGGCAAATTGTTGATCGAAAATACGGATCCGAGCTGGAGTACAGCAATCAACACAGCAAGAGTCAGCAACGCCCGCGCAATGCGACGCCGACCTGGTCGACACCAGCGCGGAGCATGCTCCGATTGTTCGTAAGGCGGTGGCTCTGCCAGGATGCCGTTCTTGCCAGCCATTTTCCCTGGACACAAGACCACAGTTGCCCAGGCCTATATGGCATCAAATCTCTCGCAGAAATTTGATGAGGTGTTGGATAAACATCTCAGACGAAGAAGAATGCGAAAATTTCAAGATGGGATATTTCATCGTTGTGCAAGTAATGCAAAGAAAGGCGTGATAGCCAAATGGCGCCGTCATGGCCCACTTTTTATATTTGATAAGATACGAGTACCTGATCAACATCTCCCCGCTGGCCCCACATGACTTTCTGGGGAGAGAAAATAGCATTCGGTTTGATTTACTAGCAAATAAAGTGTATAGCAGTTAACATTCATGATTACTGTAAAAGAGAATCATCTACAGCTCTAGAGGAAACGCGCCGTGGTATGCGGTGTTTGGACCCTTAACTTAACCGTAAGTATATAGTGCCCTCGTGGGGAAATGGCAGAGAGAGTCTTACCCGCTCGCTCAAAGCAACGCGACTTCAACCACAGATCGTCCATGCGAATGACGCAGATTGGAAGGTCCTTGTGCCCCCGTTTAATCAATTGACCTTACCTGTCTTGAAAGGTTCACCAAGCCCCGCAATCTACTGTTTCTTCAGCTGCAATATAGGGGAGCAAGGGAGGCGGAGTACGACCGACTTGATGCCCCGATCGGGCTTAATCAGATCCACATCTAATCTTCTCGGCAGTCTCCGACTTGGCTCTTGGAAGCGTACGGGGCAAGTATTCAGAGAACTCTCACAATAATCACAGAATCTCAATTCACAGATGCTGCTTTCTTTTCCTGTAATCTGCATGGCAGTTGACTACATTTGTTGATGCTGATGCTGACGCTGACGTCCTGGATGCTTCGGCTTTCTTGCCCGCGTTGATCAAGCCAACATATGGAGATAAGCTCAGGTACCGAGACACCCTGACGCCTACTCTACCTAAGGTAAACGCCACCCGGCCCTGACACCCCTGACGCCAGGACGCCCGCCCATCAACCCGTGGTGGGCACGGAACGCGGAACGCGGAACACGGAACAGGAGCACGCTCTCGCTCCGTCCCTAGGACAAGTTGACGCAGGGCGATCCGCTCACATGACCTTCAAACGATGGCTCATAGAACACGGAAGAGTCAACGGAGCCAGATACCTACCTAGTTGACTTGCACCTCTGTATGTAGACCTTTTTTTTTTTTTTTTTTTTCGATATTAGGAATACCATAGTAATATGGGTAATTGGCTTATCGTAGGGGCTAAGTTACCTAGCAAACAATGGATTATGGGCCCATTGTTCCGATCCTCACCTGATTGACTAATTTGACACACACATGCGGCACAGGGCGTGCCAAAGGGCGGTTGTATAAGTCATCTATATTAGTTTCTTTTTGGGACGTGCGAATGGAAGACTGCGCCTCGTTGATTTAATTTCTATATCTGAAAAGTTTTTTGTTGGACGTTTGTCATCATTATATTTCATTATCTAAATCCTACACGAAAGAAAACAAAAAAGACTCGGGAGAAAGAGAAAGAGAAAGGAAAAGGAAAGGAAAAAGAACAGAAGAGAAATATTCAAAGTAAATCTTTACGACCATGTCTTCACTTGATCCACCTGCGTCAAAAACATCCTGCATCACCATTGTCGGCGCAGGCCTATTCGGGCTCACCACCGCCCTCGAGCTCACCAGGAGAGGATACAAAAACGTGCAAGTCGTGGACCGCTACCTTCCTCCTGTCGCCGATGGATCGAGCGTCGACATCTCGCGCATCATCCGGCCAGACTATGCGGATGCGTTCTACGCCAAGCTCGGGCTCGAGGCCATGCGCGGATGGGGGGAAGGAGGGGAATACTCGCCCTTCTTTTATCGGAGCGGCCTGCTCTGCATGGCAGGCGAAGGCAGTCACCCGTATCTCGAGCAATCTCAAGCGAATCTCGAGAAGATGGGGATCAAGACCCAGAATCTACGGGGGAACGAGATGCGCGAGCGCTACCCTGGAGTGATATCCGGCGACCTTGCGCGTGCAAGAGGCTATGCGAACACGATATGTGGCTGGGCAGACGCGCAGCAGGCTATCAGCTACTTGGCCCGCCAGTGTACCCAGGCAGGCGTGTCGTTTCTTACTGGAAGTCATGGCACGGTCTTGTCCCTGGTCACAAACGGTGCTAACGAAGTCATTGGGGTACGCACACTGACTGGCGCTGTCATCAAATCTGACCAAGTCATTCTTGCAACGGGTGCTTGGACGCCTCATCTCCTTGATATGGCAAACATGTCCGTTTCAACAGGCCAACCGGTTGGGTTCTTGCAGTTGACAGAGCAAGAGGCCGAACAAATGAAAGATAGCCCCGTCATTATTGATCTATCCACTGGATGGTTTGTTTTCCCTCCAACCCCGGGCACCCGTATCCTCAAGATGGCACGACATGGCTATGGATATGAAACGTCCAGAACCCCATCCCTGCAGAGGGACCAGAAAGTGTCGGTACCAAAATTAGATTCGAGCAATGTCAATTCCACCTTTCTCCCCACAGATGCCGAATTGGCGCTGAGACAAGGACTCGCTCTGTTCTTTCCACAACTAAAGGATCGACCTTTTATCAACCGCCGGTTGTGTTGGTACACGGATACGCCCCAAGGCGACTTTGTGATCGATCATCATCCTTCTTACAAGAATCTGTTCGTTGCAACCGGAGGAAGTGGACAGTAAGTCATCGAATTTTGTCCCCCATAATCTGCAGTGCCATCAAATCTAATATATGAGAATAGTGCCTTCAAGTTCCTGCCAGCGTTAGGACGCCACATTGTCGACAACTTCGAGCACAAAGCATCCACTGAGCAAAAGGAAAAGTGGGCATGGAAGCCAACCTCCACACCCATTTCAAAGGGTGATGGTAGTAGAGGTGGCCCACCACGGCGGGTTCTAAGGCGAGACGAGCAGGCTCGCCTTTAAACTCTCCGTAGTGTTGTTAGCAAGGCAGATGAAAACAAAATAACAGCGTCCTGTTTCGGCATCTCTGTACTAGGTAGACTGAAATTTTGACAATGTAATGTCTCAGCGACAATTACTTTCCTTAATTCAATAAATGTCAAATCTTTTTCCACCCAGCTTCTATAAGTGACCGAAAAAGTTAAAATAAGTGGGAAGTTGCATGCCTGGGGCATGTGACAGGTACATTTCACCAAAAACGTTTTCACTTAGTTGAGCGTAATGCAAATCCTCCGGCAAAGTCTCCACGGTAGAATCGACAAATTCTGAGTCTCGCCGCGGGACCGGGGTTACGGGGTTATCATTCAGCGAAACCAAATATTCCGTCGTCACTCGGGATCTGGTCGAACCGGTATCAGGCACAACGTCGTCTAGTGTCACCATTGATAGGCTGTGATCAAGTAATTCCCAGTATAGAGGTAGTTTGCGCAGCGGAATAGACGGCTGGTTTACAAGAGTATCGACATCCGGCACACTCTCTTGCAAGATTCTGAGCTTTTGTACCTGATCGACTTGCATTAGTGCCTACCCCCCAGAGTGCAGAGTGATAACCTTGGAAACAGCATACTAAACAAGACAGGTGTGGCCACTGAGCCGACATCCTTTCCAAAAATTCTTGACATGTAACAAGATTTGCTCTTGCCTTCTGTACAATATTCAAATCTCCAGCGAATTGAAAGAGCCAGTGGACTGTCGCGGTTACGCTAGCAAGATGCCCTAAAAACGGATTGTTGGTTTCAAATTGAAGATCGTTACAAATGCGAAAAAGGTAGGCGACCCAGCCGGAATGGAGAAGAGCTTGGTCAACGGTTTGTTGTAGAAATGCTGGTGATTGGAACGCCCCCTGTAGATGTTTCGGCACAATATATATAATCGGATGGTTCAGAAGCGCATGAGCGGTGTGATAAGTGACCTGGAGTAATAACCAGGCAGTCCAATATTCAAAATGGTCACTCAATTCTGTTGACGTCCTCTTGTGAAAAGCAGTATGCTTAAACCCATGGGTCAGTGGGAAGCTTGCTTCAAATTTATAGAATTTGTCCATCAGTTGTTGATATGTAGATGTAGACAGACCAAGATCAGTCGCTCCTCTGCATTTCATCTGTTTAGTGTACGATATAATCTGACACCATACTGAGAGAAGCTGTATACAATAAGCATTAATTCCTAAATCCCTTGTCACAATTGGTGGAGTGGGTGCTGGTGTGCCAATAATTGGATTGGGAATGCTGCAAGGATAAGAGTACTTAGCCAATTCATTATTGGCCGTAGCGGCACCAGAGCAGAATGTTCGCTCAAGTACCATGACACTCCAGAAACATCGGGACTCGTTGTCTCTAGCTGTGGAAGGATTCGGTGAGAATTCGGCCTTTAAAGAGCGTGGACAGATGGCTAATCTTGAAGCGATGCCAATTGTCACCCATGCTCTTTCTAACCTACAATCTGCTTCTGGATCAGCTTGTAGAACCCATGCACACTCGATATTTTGCTTACCGGCAACATCAGCAAGAGCTAGTAGACATAAGGACTGTAACAGCTCTAGACTTGACTTCCCTTCGGTAGCCAATTGAATCACAATGTCTCTTGCCGAGCGGACATAAAACTGAATTGCGGCAGACCTCTTGTCTTTGTAAAACTCATGATCGGAAAAATGAAGTCCGATAGCCAAAAGACTATATAGTAGAAAATCGGGAAAGTGCGTTACTTGATTTGGCAGCGTGCTGATGTTGAAAAGTTGCAGCGGCTGCAGGTGTAGTTTGGTCTTGTAAACTTGAACAAAATGTATTAAAACTTCATTTGGTGGAAGTGGGCTGCATAAAAGAGTTAGATGCATATCTTCTCTGGGACGGACAGTACTGACCAAGTCGAAGTATCAAAGTATGAAGTATTCAGCAATCCTTCAGTCTCAATAATTGGACCAGGTGCAACGTCTTGACTACAATATGTTTGCGATCGTGGCAATTCTCTCGCTTGCCCGTCGGTAAGTGTCCTTCTGGACTCATCAGTAAATCAATGCCTCCCGGAGGGAGGGTTCACCGACTGGATAGTTTCAAGTATCTGCCCAACTTGAGACTCTAATCTTCTGACCCGCCCTTTGGAAGAACGGCGATTTTGGGCTTCTCTAGAGGCGCGGTGCCTCGAGTCTTTTTGGACATATTTACATGATTGATTTAATCGCCAACAGAAAGAGCAAATGGGCCGTTCTCCAGGACATTTTGTTTTTTTCCGTCTGCTTCAGGTCAGTGGGAGCTGTCATCGATAAGGCTTCACTTACCGACATGGCTCACATGCCTGATGCGTCCGGGGTGAATGCGAGCTTGAGGTTTCATTCATGATGCTCTATTTTCAAAGCAAAACAGGTGCATGAACACACTGTTATACTCCGGCTGTCGACAGCCTGTGCGAAGTCCGATAACGGTTGATTCGGGGCACAATAGACTTTATCTGAGCTGATAAACTGGCGAGACCCCGACAAGTAAAGCGTCAGCGAGAGGATGCTGAAGAGAGCAGCACGGGGAATCACCAGCATAAATTTGGTCACGATACGGGTAAATATATGCATTGGGGAAAGTGTATAGACCTGAACTTACTACAGAGCCTTAACTAGAACTTTATCTAAATTAGGGAAGTTTGCAGTAAGTAGCGCCAGATACCGTTCACTCTACGCTGAACCTTGGAGACGAAAAAAAATTGGTTAACGAGTTTAGTTGAAGGTCTCAACTACACTATCGCCCCGGAACACTTATTACTTATAAATTCTTAACTACTGCTTCGTTTTGCTAGTTATGTACTGGTAGAGCTAAAAGGACGCACCAATAGATTCTCTTGAATAACGAATATCCGAAAGTTGATATCGATTTAGAGAATCGTCACAGTATTTACATACTACGCTTTATCTTATTCTCTCATTGCACAAATGTCGTCACTTCCTCTCGACCCACGCAGCTGTTGTGGACGTTCTACGGCTTTATACACGCTTCTGGTATCTAGCGGGGCTTCTGAAGTTATCCCCACCAATATGTGGCTTAGCGAAGTACAATAGGATATAACCTGAAACCTACACTATCAATTTTTCTTAGATCTCTAATCTTGCCCTGTACGTTACAAATTTAATCACTCAAGAGAAGTATTCAATCATTCCAATGCACATCAATTGGTGGGATTTGAAATTGGTCAAATGTTTTGCCGATGCAAGCCGCTTATAACCGGGAGAGATATGCTAGCAAACTCTCAAAACTCCTGACCGGAGCCATCCACCCCTCCACATCAACGCCGCTCCGGCCTCGCTAGGCCTAATTCCCGTCTGGCCAGGCTCTCTTATCTGCAATTGCGAATCAGTGCCAGGGCAGTGACGTTGCCGTATCCATCAGGTACAAGTCGTTTTCCGGTTTCACTTGTCTCCCAACAATAGGAGTTTTGTACTGAGAAATGCTAGCAGGTTATCTCTCACAGGGTCCGCTGGAAAATACACAGATGATTTGCATTGAACAGACGTTATAATTAATTGAAATATTGTCCTATTGCAATAGCGTGATGGAAGGGACGGATGCCTCGTTTTAAAGAATGACCAAATCCAACACAAATACTCCACATTTTAGCATGGTTAACGGGCCGTCTGTTCGAATTGTGGCAAGGGCTTAATTCCGCGTTTGCACCAAGATTGGGACCCTTTCCGGCCCCGCCCCTCTAGCCAAGGGTTGAGAACATGGCTCTGCAATAGTATGGTTTGCTTTTTTTTTTCCCTGGCCGATTTTAGGCCTAAGCCCAAGACAAGGGAGATTTTTCGCAGATTAATCAGACACCCTGTGGAGCTCCTCGTCTTCTCAGGGATTATGCTGACGGAGGAAAAATCACTGATATAAAATGCCATGTCTCGGACAGCCTTCTCGCTGCTCTGTCCATCTGCAGTGTTAAGCTTCAAACACCATACCGTGACGCCTTATTTAATTATTACTCTGGCCCTTATGTCAAGATGCGAGCCCCAGTGCAGGAGCATCTCTTAATCGTGGTTGCACTTGAGGAGGATCCCCGGCTGGTGGAAGTCATCCGCAAGGCACACCCCAACGTGAACATCACATGGGTTAAATCCCCGAGTCGAGGGCCAGGAGTAATTCCTGGGGCGTGTGTACCTAGAGGTATGTCCGCTAAAGATCACATTATAAATTTAGTAGGAATAACACTGATTTCCTTTTACCACATTGCGTAGATATTTGGCAATCTGCAACCATTCTTTTGACGGACGAGGAACTTCCTCCCAGGCCCGAATACGCTCCCAAGTACGTCTATTTCATCTCCCTCCTACATTTTTTCCTGGAGATGTCTCCTTGCAATTTTCTTCCTCCTATAATCCAAACAACAAATCGACTGACAAGATCTCAGTCTAAAATTTATCCAACTACACACAGCTGGCATTGACCAGGTCAGCAAGCATCCAATGGTGGCCAATTCAACCGTCAAGATAGCCACTGTGTCTGGTATCCATGGCCCGCCCATTGCTGAATGGGTAATGATGAGCTACTTGACATTTTGTCGGAAATTCTACACCTCATATCAGTGGCAGCAGAAGCACGAATGGCACGGCTTTGGTGATAGAATGCGCGGCATCTACGACAATCAGGGCAAGCGGGTCGGTATTCTTGGATATGGTAGTGTTGGACGACATGGTAAGTTTTTCATAGCCTCATACACGACAACCCCCTCCCCCCTTCCCAAACCCCCCCTCCTCTCTTCATGATTCTACCTAGCTACAGACCTACCTCTTTCCATTCCTCTTCAAACCCGCTATTCTTCTCTCCCCAATTGATGGACCTTGAACTAATCCACATATTCTCCTTCTACAGTTGCCCGCGTCTCTGCCGCTCTTGGCTCCTCAGTCATTGCCTACACCATGTCTCCACGGGACACACCCGAGTCACGACGTGACCGTGGCTACATGGTCCCAGGCACAGGCGATCCCGAGGGTGTCATCCCCGAAGCATGGTTCAGTGGCAAGGACAAAGCGTCGCTGCACGAATTCCTTTCACAGGACCTCGACCACCTCGTCATCTCTGTGCCCCTGACTAGGTCAACCGAGAAGTTCATTGGGCCCGAGGAATTCAAGATTCTTGCCCGCAACAAGACTTTTGTCACCAACATTTCACGTGGCAGGGTCATTGATCAGGATGCACTCATTGCGGCCCTTCACGCTGGTGATATTCGTGGTGCTGCCCTAGATGTCACTGACCCGGAGCCCCTCCCTGTCGACCACCCTCTGTGGGATGCACCCAATTGTCTAGTGTCCCCGCATATGAGCTTCTTGTCGGAGAAGGCATTTGATCGCATTTTTGACATTCTCAGAATCAATCTGGGAAGGTTGTTCCGTGGCGAGAAGCTAGTGAATCAGTTGGAAAACTCCAAGGGATATTAAATCTTGTTCATCTAGAGGGCGAGTATTCGACCAGGCTGGATCTGGTCTCTTATTAACCGATCTTTTAAAAGGTCATTCCAGGCGTCTGCTTTCTGTATTTGCATTGCATAGATTGTTTTTTGGGATCGCACAGGTAGCGGCTGTCTAGATTCACTGTCAATACCATTGCTGAGCATATTGCACTTCTTATTCCAAATAGATGGACGCACATTCCATGTACATAGAGCGATGGATTAAATGTAACACGTAAATTCGATAACCTAAACTAAGGTATCTAAATTTTGTCAGAGCGGCGCGTTTCAATGTAGAGCCGACTGTGAAGAAAATAAACCCATGCTGAGCTTGAAACCCCGATCAGAAACTCCGATGCCCTACTACGATAAAGATAGCAAGGATGAATACGCCCACTGAAAGGGCTTTGCCTCGCAGATAAACGCCATTTTTTATGCATTGGCCATAATCGTTGTCAGGTACTCCGAGATGCTGACATATCAAGGCATATGCAAGGTAACAGGAAGGAAGCTGAAGGAAAAAGGATAGTGAATGTAGATTACGACTCGGAAAAGCTTCCGAGATGTGCCGTTGACTCATTTCTCAAAGGTCAGGCTGAGTCTGACCGTGTATGAATGCGCATCAAACCGCATTGTGAGGGTATTACCTAGAGGGACAGAACCCTCGACTTATCGTTTAGAAACCGAGAGCGATACGCGGCAAGTTCAGATGCCACTATATTAAAATCGTTGACGTTTCGCCCACGCATGTCGTGGATGACCTGCTTTAAGCCTTCAACATAGTGCTGGCGCTCTTCTTGCGTTTGCCCTTCTTGCGCTGCGCCCATTTGAACAAGTATCATATCGTCTAAAATTGTTAGTAGAGAACTATTGTTAGCCAGATTGAGAGGAGAGCAGGGTAGATCGAAAGAAACAGGAGTAAAGGTGGGGGTTAAAGAAAGAGCCAGGAAGCGTTGGGGAAAGCCAAAAGCGGATAAATGACAATGGGAACAAGAAAGATGAAAATGCGAATTAGCTAAGTTGACGTCGACAACGCACCAGAAAGATTCATATCCCTGAAATGCTGAAAGTCGCAGCTGCTATCATTGCACACACCGCCGGCTGTTTCAAAAGGACACATGGGATTGTCCATGTCAATATGATGGCTGTAAGTCAGAGACCGAAAACCTCGGGGCACGTCATGGGTGTAATTTGGATGATAACGATAGGCCTTGAACAGCTTCAAAGGGCTTTCATAGGGTGTGAATTGCCAGGGCTCAGGCAAAACAGTCTCGGGTCTCTGGTTGAAGTTAGCTTTTGCAAGACTGGAATGAGTTAGTCGTACATTTGCCTCAGTCTCATTTTCCGCGGGAAGGTTTGGCGGCGGTATTTGCGTCACGTCCGCAGAGTCCCGCGCCAGCAGATTAGCATTCTCGGGTTTGTCGTCAACAGTGGCTATCTCTTCATCAGCTTCTTCGACAGCTTTCGGCGACTCAATCGCCGAAGATGGGCTAAAAGACGATGTATCCGCCTCATTTTCTGGCTCGCCGGCCGGAGTGACCACCTCTGGAGGTTCATACTCATCAGATGACTCCGACGAGGTGCTCTCCTCCGATGAATCTGCATCCTCCATGTCTTCATCCTCTGAGGTATTGGATTCGATAGACTGCGAAGAAATGTCTTCAGCTGACATGGATTGCTGCGGAGCTTGAGGTTTAACGTCGGCCGACAGAGGTGATGGGATCTCAGCAAAGTTTTGCTGATTCTCCGCCTCGCGAACCGGACTAGTATGATCGGTATGGACATCCTCAGCAACCTCACCTTCATCTCCACTGCTTCCAGATGTATCCATAGCATCCCCTCCGCTATCGTCGTCGGATGGTAGGTCGGTAGGCAGAACCAATGATTGGTCAGCGGTAGAATGATTTGAATTCACTGGGAATGGTGAACGTGGTTGTACGTGGTTCGTTTCACCATCACGAGCCGTGCTGCCCATCTGATTGTTAAGGGGTGCCGCCTGAGGCTCTGCGGGAGGGGTTTTGATATCTGAGACACTTTCTCCGTTGGGGGCTGTTCGAATTAGGACTGAGCAAATAAAAGGGGATCATATAAACAGAGACGATCAAGGGAGACTCAAGAAATTTTTGGGGTTTTGATACTTACCAGCGGGCTCCGCGCCGTTTCCTCCTTGCCGCTCAATCTCAATCTTCTTCGATTGGAGCTCTTCGACTGGCATCCCTTCTGTGTCAATGCCCAAGCTCTCAAGCTCATCGGCAAGTCGCTTCCGCCTTTCCAATCCGGCCTGCACAGCAGCAGCAACCGCTTCCATCTCCTTCTTCAGCTCTTCCAATCTAAGTTGGCTGGTTCGCACCGCAGCGTCAACGGCTGGAATGCCCGATGTTATTTCCGCCCGTCGGCGTAGTTTAGAATCGAGAGATTCTAAGCGAACTTCGGCTGAAGCTGCCGCAAGGGTCTGTTTGAGTTGTTCTGAACTTATGGCATCAGAGGCTTTGACGGAATCCATCAAGCCGGCAGCTCGAGCATTGTGCGTGTCGGCTTGGGACGTTATCGCGGAAGGAAGCAGATCAGACTCCGGCGACGCTGTTGACGACTCCGCTGGAGGAGAGGTTTCAGTATTATTGTTGGACGGCAAAATGGTTTGTTTATCCAACGAAAAAGGATTTGAAGAATTGTTTAATGTTCCTGGCGTTTGAGGACGGCTGCTGGCCTGCTTGGCTCGCCACTTTTGCTCCATCTCTGCTATTTTCTTTTGAAGGCCCTCTATTTCCTCCATTTTTCGTTTCAAGTGCTCGGGTTCTTTGTTCTTGAGTAACGGTCGGGTGTTGAATGGTTGTGCAGATGCCGGACTAGACAGGATAATGCCACTCCTAGTACTCGTGGGTCTAGTTGGAGTGTCTGTTAACGGGGGCATATTCCGGAAAGATGCATGTTCAGAAGATTTCGAGTCTGTCCCAGCCGTCGCTTCATCGGAATCGTTTTTATCATCTATATCCATACTATCGCTGTCGTCTGCATCGCTCCCGGTGTCGTCATCGCTTACATCAATTACAACCTGATGAGTTCCATTTCGACCAAAGGGTCGTTTGAGGATACGTTGATTCAGCGACGTTTCACTATCAAAATCGGACGCAACTGGGCGTTTGCGGCGTGTGAGGCTTGAGTCTTGAGCGCCTAAAGCCGGTGACGATGTAGTTGTACTAGACTCGGTGAGCTGCACAGTTGACGGAGCGATTTCAGAAGCAGTCATAAAGAGACCGGGGATTCCAGACACCGTCGCCGCCTTCCGTTCTTTTGAAGTGTCCTCGACAACGGGCGCGGGCTTTGGAGGCAACGCGTGATGTATTGGAGGAGTCGGCAGGCTGCTGATCTGAGGAATAGATGCGCTTTCGGGCAAGGAAGGAGGTTGAGCTTGGAGGGGTGTCGGATTGGGGGATAGGCCGTTCCCAATCGGAGTAACTGTTCCACTGGCTGTAGAAAGGCCCTTCTCTCTGTTTTTCTGGTTTTTCAATGCTTCAATCCGTTGCCGTGCCAATTCTGTCTGGGCACGCTTCTTTTCTTCAAGCTCGGCCTCAATCTGAGACTTGGACTTCTCCTTTGAGCCCTCATCAGGCGCATCGGGCTCCTTGCGGACTTGTTTGTCTGCTGTTACCTCTGAACGTGTAGAAACTCGCTGAGACTCATTGGAGGGTGGACGAGGTATTGTTGACGACTGCTTGCTTTTCTTGGCTGCGAGCATGCGCGCAATATAATCTTTCCGTTCAAGCTTAGGTTCACCGGCGTTCTCACCAGTGGACAAAGCCATTCCAAACTTGGGTGGAACAGGTAACTTTGCAGGCTTTGATGGTTGTGCCGTTGGTGGTGATCTATTTGCGGTAGGTTGTGCCTGATCTGCTGTTTTTGATTGAACAACAACCTTTTGTTGACTCGAATCAAGGGGTTTTGGTGGCATGGTGGTTATAATTGATGGATTCGCAGTTTCTTCGCCTTTGTTGGAAGGAAGTTCTTGTGATTCATGAATCGTGCGTGAATCTTGAGTCGACTCTCGAGTGCGTGAGCGTTCAGGTTTGTCTGGAGACGTTCCTTGGGCCCCATCAGCCGTTAAGCGAGTTGGAGTCTGAGGGGTGTGTTTGAGGCCTATCTCATCGTACAGGCTTCGAAGAATTTCAGGGTCGATGTTCTCCGCAACAAGTTCGCTGAACTTTATTTTGAAGGGTATCAGATTCAATAATGCATTCTTAGCTGCTGTCCGCTTCTCAGTAAGTGTTTTCCCTCCCTTGAGACCCAGCACGTTTCCCGAGGTAACAGAAACTGGTGAGGCAGATGGTTCAGCCAAATTGGATTTCACAGACAGAGAGAAGGGTGGTCGTTCTTTATTCACTACCTCGTGTTAGCCGAGACAATGTTCTTTTTACAATTCACTGCAATGTTTAACGCACGTTTCTGAGATGAATCCTCCACCTCACCATCAAACACAAGAGGATGCTCAGGTGGGTATAATGTTCCAGTTGCAGAAGAACCATTAACAGCAGGTGAGAAGCCAGCGGGCTTCGGTGGTAAGTTTTCACGGTGTGGAGCCGCAGATTGTGCCACTGGTTGAGCTGGTGAATGTATGGGAGTTGGTCCAGTCACCGCAGCTGTGCCTTGATTTGATCTTTGCTCTTGCTTCCCTTCGGCTTCGCTAAGCTCACCCTCTTCCCTCTCAATTATTGATGCCTTCGCTGCTAAAGTGTCGCTCGCAAAAGGCGCCATAGAGAAAGGGGGTGTGTTTGGGAACGGGGGAGGAGGGACGTTCAAAGGAAACCGAGGATTGCTGAGCACCGGAGGTGGAGGTAGTGGGAAACCTTGTGGAGGGGGTATCGGCACGGGGGGATATGGCGGAGGTGGTAGAGTACCGTTTGGAAGAGGAGGAAATAGTGGTAGCGGCGGTGCAGCATGTCCAAATGGTTGAAAGTTCAACGGTGGAAGGCCGTTATTGTGTTGAAACGCAGTAAACGCCTGATCCTGAACATGCGGTACATTGCTTTTCGCATTCGGTGGCAGGTTGCTTTTTAATGTCGATGCAGACGACGGGCCAGAGCCCAGGCTGAATGGCACCCCAAATGAGGGAGTTGGAGGATAGTTGGACATCTTGCACGACTTGCCCCTTTTGTTTGTCGGAACAGACCTATATGTTAGCAACCCGGTATCCTATCTGAACATGCAGCAGTAACAGCCACGAGCACATGACGTTCTCGAAGTCGCTATTTTGCTGAGGTGAGCGCGTCTACAGCTATACAAAAGCGCTTCTCGATTGCTGTGAAGCAATCAAGAGCAAGGAAATAACACGCTTGAAGAAGATATGAACCGTTAGTAAGAGTAGTATAGCTCAGAGAAATTCCATTACGGCTTTTCTAGGAAATGACCGTAACTTATATCCCGAACTATAGAACAGAGTGCGGGGAATGAAAAGGGGGTGAGGGATGAATGAAGCAAGAACAGTGAATAAAGAGATGCAACTGTGCCGTCGGGAAAGAATAGTTCTGCGCGGGCTGGCGAACGAATGACACGAACATACTCCGCTTATGTAAGTGGTCGATCGTCGCTTGACTCCATACGGTAAGTCACATCAACCACATGCAATAGTAAAACAACTCCGTCATGTAAGTGCTTAAATAGTCAGAGACAATTCGCAGCGCAGCCATCTTTTGACTACAGAGCTGACGGCTACATAATGAGCCTGGGCTCTTTTCCGTTTCCGCCTAGCTATGGCTAGCCGCCGAGTATCTACAGGCGCCCAGAGAGGACCGCGGTCTTGTCCATCCCACAGGATAAGTACGTCCTTTTTAAACGCCAGCGATGGCAGTCCGCTGCATGAACGTCAGTCTTGTTGTTGGATTAGCTAGGCGGCGCACTCATGCAAGATAACGTTGACACCACCGATCGCACAGACTGCGAAGAAAGCAATCATAAACTCGTAGACGCTACATGAAACTACAGCAATGTACACATGATGGCCACGCAGGAGACCTTGTTGATCGAATCCTGGTAAATGTCCGCGGACGAGGTTGCGTGTATGTATAATGTCACTAAGCAGTTCTGGGTACGTCTTCTCGCAGCCATCCTTTTCATGGACAAATTCCTGTTGCATGGCTATAGATGTAATGTCTTTATCTCTAAGACCATTACAAAAACTCCTTACAAACTCCGTACACCCTCCTGGGAAGTTTGGGTGCATAGTTGTCAATCCTCCTTTCCTTGTAAAACCCAACAGCGAGGTCCGATCACCCCTGCCGCACTATGCACTGGAACTTCCCTGGGGGGGGTAGTACAAGAACCGTCGGGCCAAAGTCCTGTTGTGCCTTTGTGTCGACATTGACTCCAAACCTCAAGGAGTCTGCTTCTGTCTCCTCATCTGTGGCAAATCGATACGAGCGCGTTTCACAGACGTCATATCGATCTCCCTTAACAAGGAATGCAATGAACCCTCTATGTGTGATGAGGACAATATTGTTGTATACCTTCGAGAGCTCTTTTAAGCGTCCTCGAACCTTCTCGGCACGTATAGTGACAGCCTCTATAGTGTGTGGTGGATGATTCCATTCTTCTGGACATTCTGAGAAGTTCAGATGTGGAAACTTTACCGAAATATCGGCCCGAGAGATGCCCTTGTTGCAAATAGCATCGTGGGCTTCTCGCAGGTCGGGGCCAGATCTGTACTTCAATCCCATTTGGAGCTGAGCCAATAGACGGGAAGGCGTTCATGGCAGTCTGGATGGTGCGTGTCATGGGCGAGATGACGATGAGATCTGGGACGGCCGAGATCTTTATTTGCTTAGTGGCTTCGTGCCCTGCATTCGTCAAGGGTGGGTCGCGGTAGGGGTAGCCGCGATCAATGTTATGGAGGGATTGTCCGTGACGGATGATGTGGACTAGAGGACTCGTAGTAGGTTCTGCTAGGTCGTAAGCGTTTTCAAGTACTGATATGAGATTGCCTTACCCATTGAGGATTCAGTTGTAGTAAAGATGCTCTTGTAAGAGAGTGCGTCCTGAAGGTTCGCGAGTGGGACCTGTTTCAACAAAAAAATCAACTTTTGCAGAAAGTAGCAAGATGGAAATTGTTGGCATCTGGGAAGGAGAAAGACTGGTATGATTTAACTATAGAAGTAGTAGACATGGCCTGCTATATAGCCATGAAAACAATGTTTTTAAGGCATCACAAAAATTAATTTTCTTGTTGAGAATTTTTGAACAAAATCTCTTATATTTAATAATTGCATTATTCTTCAATCAAAATATATCTCTCGCATCTTTTCTCAAAACGTGGTAGAAGATAAATTTTAGCCTTGGTCTCACTCTAATGGTCCCTGCTTTGGTTTACTATACCCATATCTATATCGATGCACATTTTTAAGGAGGGCAAAGTAGATTATACTTGAATATTCCTGAATAAGAATATTGCCAATCCCTTCCTCAATGAGATCAGAGTACACCATTTGATGTTCACAGTCTCGGATGTCCCTCTGACCTCGAAAGTATTATCATTCCAGTAGCAGTCAAGATCTTTGATAGTAAGAAGCCGAACGTACTGCGACGGAAAAGGACATCATAGTGTAAAAAGTGAGGGAGCGTCTTTGCAGCTTGTAGGTGTACGTAGTACTCACCGCTCTGGCAAGAGAGCTGCTGACATAATAGCCTATGCACGGTTGTCGGTCTATGGCCCAATCAAGGAAGGCGCAATGCGGGTGCTTCCTCGTTCCTTCCCAGCTTGGCCGCGTGGAGACGAGCGAAGCTGGGACGTAACTTAGCTGTTGTGGGTAAACAAACCGCTTCCCACATCTTACAACCAACAACTTCGCCGCCCCGAGTGAGGGAGTAATCGCCTCTACGCGCATTTTCTTTGCGACTGTACAGTAAATTCTTGCGTTACATGGCCGGTGTTTGTCTTTCATTTTTGATTTTTAGCTTCTCTTGACATTGATCGCTCACCTCTTGCGTAATGCGCCCGTAAATACGGCTTTACACCCAATCGCCTTGTGAAAAGACGGCATCCGACGCGCTCTATCGAAGGCAGCCAACATGGAGCGACGAAACAGCTTGTTCAGTCGCGATCCACTTTCCGGGCAGTCCGGCCAAAGCATGGTTGGTGGCAGGCCAAGATCTGCAATTTTCCCTTCGTCGCAGTCGTTGCATGCAACAGCCTCACAATCCTCTGGGCACTCAAGGACTCAATCCTTGTCTCCGCTCGGTTCAATAAGCCTGGCACCTGTCGCTCAAAACGCCCTTCAGCGTTCGAATTCACAGCGCATGCATGCTCCGTCTTCCACCACTTTTGCTCCGAAGTTTATTAAATCTGAAGAGCTTGAGAGAAACGGCTCTGGGAATGCTGAAATTGAGGGAGAAAATGACTTTTCAGGGAAGCGTTACGTATGGCTACGGGATCCAGAAGTAGCATTCGTCCGAGGATGGGTCGTTGAAGACAGGGATGGTGGAAAAATCCTCGTCCAGTGCGACGATGGCACTGTAAGTTGAGCTGAGATCTTCTCCTGGGCCACTGCTGATATGAAAACGATAGCAACGAGAGGTTGAACCTGAAACCGTTGACAAGGTCAACCCGGCAAAGTTTGACAAAGCTGAGGATATGGCAGAGCTCACTCATCTGAATGAGCCATCTGTCGTGCATAACCTGCAGACAAGATATCAGTCCGACCTTATTTATGTGAGTTATTTGCGCCTGAATATTCAGCTCCGATACTGACCAAAAATTCTCTAGACTTATTCTGGGTTGTTCCTCGTTACTGTCAATCCCTACTGCCCGCTTCCTATCTACTCAAACGAGTACATCAACATGTACAAGGGGCGGAATCGGGAAGACAATAAACCTCACATCTTTGCTATGTCCGATAAAGCCTTTCGAAATCTGGTTGAAGAGGGGGAAAATCAGAGCATCCTTGTGACGTATGTTGAAGCTCGCATTAACCTTGGATAGCGCTGACCAGGAAACAGTGGAGAATCAGGTGCTGGAAAAACCGAAAATACAAAGAAAGTAATTCAATACCTCGCAGCGGTGGCACATTCACCGTCATCCGGGGCGCATACCAGTGCAAAGGCTCTGTCAAACCTGTCTCAGCAGATATTAAGAGCCAATCCCATTTTGGAAGCTTTTGGAAACGCACAGACAGTTCGGAACAACAATTCCTCGCGTTTTGGTAAATTCATCAGAATTGAATTCACCCGATCAGGTCAAATCGCCGGTGCCTATATCGATTGGTATCTTCTGGAAAAGTCGAGGGTCGTACGTTTGAATCAAAATGAGCGGAATTATCACGTGTTTTATCAGCTTCTTCGAGGCGCCAACAAGACCATTAGAGATGAACTTTTGCTCGGCGACCTCGACGTCTCCGATTTCATATACACCAGGGATGGGAATGATGTCATTGCAGGAATTTCAGACCACGACGAATGGGTCTCACTCATCGAGGCGTTCCAAGTCATGGGATTTTCTGAAAAAGAACAACTGTCAATTTTGAAGACCGTTGCTGCTGTGCTTCATTTGGGAAACGTCACAGTTAAGAAGGCAAGTCTTCGTGCGGATCAGGCAAGCCTTAGCCCCGAGGCACAAGTCCAAATTGCGAAGGTCTGCCAACTCCTTGGCATAGCAGCGGAGCCATTCGTCAGGGGACTACTTCATCCACGAGTCAAAGCCGGAAGAGAGTGGGTCGAGAAAGCTCAGACACCGGAACAAGTCCGCCTGGCCCTCGATTCTCTAGCCAAAGGCATCTATGAGCGAGGTTTCGGCGATTTGGTGTCAAGAATAAATCGCCAATTGGACAGGACTAGTATGTCTGCGAACGATTCTCGTTTCATTGGCGTGCTTGATATTGCCGGTTTCGAGATATTCGAAGAGAATAGCTTCGAGCAACTGTGCATAAACTATACAAACGAAAAGCTTCAACAGTTCTTCAATCATCACATGTTCGTTTTGGAGCAAGAGGAATATACCAGGGAGCAGATTGAATGGAAGTTCATAGACTTCGGTCGCGATCTACAGCCAACTATCGATCTTATTGAATTATCAAACCCGATAGGTGTTTTTTCCTGTCTTGATGAGGATTGCGTCATGCCAAAGGCGACCGACAAGAGCTTCACAGAAAAACTCCACTCACTCTGGGATCGTAAAACGCCAAAATACCGGAGTTCCCGCCTCAATCAAGGTTTCATACTCACTCACTATGCCGCTGATGTGGAATATTCTACAGAAGGATGGCTTGAAAAGAACAAAGATCCCTTAAATGATAACATTACAAAACTTCTTGCGGCATCAGAGGACGCTCACGTTGCCAATCTTTTTACAGATTGTGCCGATGTTGATGAGGATACCGGGCCGTCAAAAACCAGAGTCAAACGAGGTTTGTTTCGAACGGTTGCTCAGAGACATAAAGAGCAACTTTCAAGTCTCATGATGCAGCTCAACTCAACGCACCCTCATTTTGTTCGTTGCATCATTCCCAACCATAAAAAGCGACCAAAGCTGTTCAGTGCTCCGCTTGTTCTTGACCAGCTTAGATGCAATGGTGTCTTGGAGGGTATCCGAATTGCACGCACGGGCTTTCCGAATCGTCTACCTTTTGCTGAATTCAGGCAAAGGTATGAAGTTTTGTGTAAGAATATGCCAAAAGGTTATCTGGAGGGCCAAGCAATTGCGAGGATCATGCTGGAGAAACTTGAACTCGACAAAGCTCTCTATAGAGTGGGTCTTACCAAAGTGTTTTTCCGGGCGGGCGTGCTTGCAGAACTCGAGGAGCGGCGAGATGCTCTTATCCGGGAAATCATGATCAGATTCCAGTCTGTTGCAAGGGGATTCGTGCAACGTAGACTGGCAAACAAACGTCTTTATCGCGCAGAAGCCACCCGTATCATCCGGAAAAATTTTCAGGTCTATCTGGATATGGCCGAAAATCCCTGGTGGAGGTTATTTGTTCGAATGAAGCCTTTGTTGGGAGCTACAAGATCTACTGCTGAAGTAAAACGACGCGATGAAATGATTCAGAGCCTCGAGAAAAAGATGCAGCAAGATGCCGAATCCAGGCAGAAATTGGAAGATGATCGGCGGCGTACCGACATGGAAATGCAACGTATTCAACAGACACTCGAAAGCGAGAGAGCACTCGCCTTCGATAAAGAAGAAATCCATAAGCGTCTTCAGGAACGTGAGATTGAGTTGACCGAAAAGCTTGCAGAGACACTTGAAGACCAGGATGAGTTGGAAAAACAGCTCGACGAGCTGATGATTGCGAAACACAACGCCGAGCAGCAAGCTGAGTTATGGAGGAACGAGCTTGAACAGGCTTCACAAATCATTGTATCCCTCGAAGCGGAAAAGAGCGACCTAGTGGCGGAGATTTCTAAGATTGAGCAAGGCCTAGCAGCGAGCGAAAAAGCTAATGCGGAGAAATCTTCGGTGCATGATAGTTTGAGCCAGGAGGTCAAGATGCTCAAGAGCCACTTGGCTTTGAAGGAGCGGAAAATGGAAGAGCTCCAAGACAAGTTATTGAAAACCGATAATGAGCTTGACCTCAAACTTGCTACTGCCACGAAGAATCTCGAGGCATCGAACCGTCAAGTAAAAGAATTACTTGAAGAAAATCGCCTGGCTCGCAAGCAGATTTCTGAGCTTTCCTCGACCTCCACGGGCTATGAAGATTTAGTCCGTCGAAAGGAAAGTGAAATCCTCATCCTTAAAAAGGACCTGGAGAAGTTCGCATCTGAGCGACAGGTATTCGATGACGAAAAACAAATGCTCTCTGAAAGATACACCATTGTTCAATCTGAACTTCGCGACGCAAAAGCGGAGATGGAAGCTATGAGATCTCAGAAAATCCATTTGGAGCGCGAGGCGGCTGATGCCAAGAACCTCCTCGAGGCAAAGATCTCCGAGGACGCTAAATCTGGGGAAGGACGAAAGATGCTTGACGAGCAAATTAAAGATCTAAAGGCTCAACTATTCAATGTGCAAACGGAGCTGGGTCGAGAAAGACAATCGCGCAACGATGTTCAGATGCTTGGAGAGCACAAGTACTCTTCCCTGAAGACCGAGTTTGACACTCTGAACGAGGCCAAGATTACTATCGAAAAGGAAATGTACCTTCAGCAAGACGTTCTGCGTCGCGCGAAAGAAGCTCGCTCCGCTGCCGAAGCAGACCAAAAACATCTTCAGACGGAGTTGAGCAAGCTTCGCGAGCGGTTTGTCGACGCAGAAAATTCTCGAATCCAAGCCGAGAGTGCAATCGAACAGCGCGTAAATAGAACAGCCAATGACCATATTTCAAGTCTATCCAGAGAACTTGAGGCTAAGGATAAGCAGCTGAGCGATACCGAACTCGAACGGACCAGATTGTCTAGAGAAAATCAGCACTTAAGTCAAATGGTTGCGGATTCAGACTTGTACAAACTCTCGCATGATCAGCACAAGGAGCGTCTCGAACGGGAATTGGTGACTATCAAGGGTCGCCTCACAGCCTCAGAAAATGATAATCGTTCATTGCTGAATAAAATTCAGCAAAAGAACCTGGACATCGCTCGGTCTAATTCACGTGCCGGAGAGACTCAGCGCGTGAAGATCGCTCAGCTGCAAGCTGAGAAAGCAAAGGTCGAGAATGAGAATCGGAATCTTCATCGCCAGCTTGACGAGACGCAGATGGAAATTACATCCATGGAAAAGCAGAAGGAAAAGCTTTCTCTGAGTCTTGAGGATCTGAACCATGAGATTGCCAACGTGCACAAGGCCGGCCGTAACGCGGAGAAGACTTTATCTGCCACGAGCGTACAGTTGGCTGAAGCGAATCGAAATCTAGAGACTGAAAAGCAGCTCAAGTCTCAAGCTCAGGCAAATACGCGCAAACTGCAAGAAGCACTCGAGCAGGCTAATGAAGAATTGCGGGAGACACACGGTCAGCTGGTGCAACTACACAAGATTTTCAATCCAGAAACCGTAGGCTCAACTCAAGAGTTTGAAAAGGGCAAGCCTGGTTTGTCGAAGACCATCAATCTTGCGCAAAAGCTCGAGGCGGCTCAAGAGGCGCTGCGAATTGCAAACGAGCGGTGTGCTCGCTCTGAGGAACAACTGATTGAAGTACGTCGCAGATACGAAGACGATTTGAATGAAATGGATACCCGCCACAGCTCCTCGAAGCGAGCGTTGCTTGAAGAGATCAATCAAAACCAGCTGCATAATCGATCTCCAAAGCATTATAAAAAAGACTCTGAGAATATCCGATTCTCTAATCCATCTACTCCTACTCGTCGTCGTCTGAGTAGCACAACCATGAACATTCACGATTCAGCCCGCTCGGACCGAGCTACGGATGGCGCCGGCAATAACAAGAGAATGGATCTGGCCGCTGAGCTGGAGATGATTCAGAACCAACTGCAACAAAGTGAACTGCAGAATCGCCAGCTACAGAGTCAGCTTGAGCGCTCTACCCCTGGCAGAGATACGTGGCAGGATGACAGCCCGTCGGTCAGACGGGTGCAGAAGCTCGAAAGAGAAAACAATCGATTGCATGACCTTCTGGATGATTCGGCGAAGAAGGTCTCATCTCTTGAGAAAAGCATTCAAAGCGGCCATTTGTCTCTGAAAGACGTTCAGACTAAATCGCATGAGGAGCTTTACGACCTTATCAACTCCCAGGAACAGTCGAGGCGGTCACTTTTGCACGTGCACAATAATACAGTCGCTGAACTGACTGACGCAAAAGCTCGCTTCGAAGAGCTTAAAAGACACAAGTCCAGCCTTGAAGTTGAATTGCGAGATGCTCATTCGGAGCTACGCGAGATATCTGTTGCGCGAGATGAAATGGATGCGAATAGGAGCCAACTGCTACGGGATAACTCTGATTTGCAAATAAGGCTGGATGCGGAAACATCAAAACTTGTAGATGTTAGCTCTAGCCTGAATCTGTACAAGAGCAGGGCCGACGAATATTTCAGCAAGCTCGAGCAAGCAGAGATTGCTGTTCTCAAAGCCTCTAGAGCAGAGCAGTTTGCAAAGTCTCAAGCTCGCGAGGCTGAAGAGACCTGCGCCACCATTATGGCCGGACGCAAGGAAATGGACTCCGCCGTCGAAGAGCTTCAACGCCAAGTTCAACATTATGAGGAAAGGGTCGAGGACATGGCCGCTGACCTTGAAGGAGCGCTTCAGTCAAAGAAGCGACTCCAACACGAACTTGAGGACTACCGAAGCCAACGAGCCATCGATATCGAGGATAAGGAGACACTGATGGAACAGACGAGAAAGAAGTATCAAACGGAACTATCCACCGTGACGAATGAGCTGGAAATCGAAAAAGAGAATGTCATCTATGTGAGAACGGAAAACACCCGTCTTAGGGAAGAGTTGGAAGGGCTGCGCTCGAAGTGGGATGATGAAGTTCTCAACAGCTCTTCCTGGGCAAAGGAGAAAGCTCGCTTGGAGACGACTCTCCAAGACGTGTCAAACTCGCGAGAAGAGGCCGTTAATTCTCACAACGAGGCACAGACTAAGATTATTTCCTTGTTGTCTCAGGTTCGGAATCTGCGCACGTCGCTTGATGACGTTTCTGCTGAGAGGGATCTGGTTCTCAAAGAAAAGCGCGCTCTTGAGGCTCGCCTGACCGAGGCCGCTGACCGTTTAGAGGACCTGGCGCGGGGTGACAGTCCATCTATGAGAAATGCTGCTGGTATGGATCGTGAGTTGCTGCAACTCAAATCCGAATTGGCACAACAGCAAGATGTAGCAGCTGCCGCTGTTGGAAAAATGCGACGGGCAGAAGCTCTTGCCGCCGAAACCCAAAAGGATATTGTCGCCGAGAGGGAGTCAAACGTTCAACTTCACAAGGATAAGACGGCTCTCGAGAAATCTCTTAAAGAATTTCAGTTGAAGCTTGTCGATTTAGAAACGAAGAGCTATTCATCCACTAGTCAAGACGTGAGATTCTTGCACGGTCGTGTCCAAGAGGTAAGTCAAAGTATGATGCTGGGGACGAAGACGGGAACTGACATCCATTGTAGCTCGAGAAGCAACTCGAAGAATACGAACAGGAACGCAACAAATCTCAGCGCTCGGTACGCAATGTGGATCGCACAGTGCGCGATCTGCAAATCCAGATTGAGCGCCGGGAAAAGACCAATTCTCTCTTGACGGATGAGATCAACAAATCCCGAGAGAAGGTTGAACGTCTTCTCCAGACAATTGAAGACCTGCAATCCAGCGAGTCCGAGAACCAGCTGCAAGCTCGACGAGCCGAACGGGATCTCCGAGAAGAGCGCGAAAAGGCTCTCCGCCTCGAGCGTGAACTCGAAGGATGGAAGTCGCTCCGGGTTGAGAAGGGCACGCTTCCACGCAACAATGTTTTGCTCGGCCTCGCTCCTGAAGGACGGGAGTCGAGAAGGACATCCTTGGGAGCCGATATCCGACGGATGCCCAGCAACACCAAAGGCTTTTTGTAAGCTTCGGATAACGTTTCTGCTGGTGCCTTTATGATTTCCACCGGGTTTTCGGCTGTGTTTATTCCCCATTACCTGGAGTTTCTAGCTCCATAATATCTGCTTCTTTTGTGGCCTGGGGTATCTGTATTACTAGCACCGCCACCCCGAGACCAATTTTTCCCGTTGTTTCGCCTTTACTTTTTATGCTATCCGCATATCTTGAATGCTTATTATCGCGAGTATACACCACACGCTCTGTTTGCGTCTCTATACTCTATTTTTCTCTTTTCTCTTTTCTCTTTTATCGTACATGTTGTGTTGTACTGCTCTTTTGGCGGCGTCAAGGCGCGATCGATTAGGCCGATTAAGCCTCCTTTTCTTTTTCTTCCGACTACGAAGTCATGGGATTTGCATTTTTGTTTCTGGCTGTATGTTATGGTATACTGTAGACTTTTAGAGACAAGACGAAGATGTCATAATCGCCTCTTTATTGATTTTCTATGACTCTTGTATCATGAACTTTTATTAAGTGTCTCGTTTTCCAACCAAAGGTACCACCTTGTGCACCCCTGCGTGGGTAGTAGTTATTGTCATCAAATGCCTCCAGTGTTGATTATCTGTTGTGATACCATTATCTCGATGACCAATATTTAATATTTTTAGTAGGTCAGCTGAACGTATAACTATCGTAGGAAGCGCATGCGCTATCTTTCCTACTGTCATTTTTCCTGCTTTCCTGCTTTCCTGCTTTCGTTCTTTTTTTTTGGTTTTTTTTTTTCCCGCTTGCAACAGTATCAAACCAATGGGGTAAATATAAGGTACGCCCCCCGTCACATTTTGCGTCGCGCGGTTGTTCACCTTCTCGGTCTTATATATGAAGCATTTCGCCTACAGGTGTTCGGCAGGCAACCAGGTATATTTGTATCGAGCTGATGTTGGGGTTGCAGCCTGCCTTCTGTCATGCACTCATTACTCCGAGATAGCGAAGTCGTTATCATTAAACCTTTGCGGGGGAGGGGGGCTTCACTAACAGAGCAAAAGAAAGACACTGAAAATGAAAGCTATACATTTGATTATTGGATGGTGGTGTGCTATCGGGATTTTCTCCCAGAGGGTTCTAGAGCACAGAAGATCCCAAAGGATCAGACAAGGTTTGTTCTTGTAAATCATTGCATTATTATGTATAAAATATATTTGTTTGCTCATGACAACATGATATAGTTAAAAGGCATCCGGGGGGGGGGAGGAAGCCCCTTGTTCAAACTCCGGGTTCTCAGTGGATTTTGCTTGAGCCCAAACCCAATATAGAGGGTGGAAAAAAGGAAAAGGAAAAGAAAAGATGATATAGCCGATGTTGACGGCGATAAGTGATGAATCAAAGCTCGAAAATAAATTATACCGAATGTTGAGATATAGCACCACCCTTGAGCAAACTCAAAAAACCGCAGATAGCCAGATGAGAGAACCTTCCAGATAAGAAACAAAAAAAAAAGGCATATTCGGTCAAAGTCGATATAGGTATCTTTGTACAGGTTGCGTTTTCCCCCACGTTTGCTTTTGCTGGAGTCTTGCGAAGAGAAAGCGATGTTATTGCTGTATGAAAGGAGCAAAAAGAGAAAAGCAAAGAGCTTTTGTTTGGCTTAGTCCAATCGGCTGGGACTAGAGATGGGACAGACCATATCCAATACCATTGTGTGAGTACTAAGATGGCGCGTGGGATAGAACCGGTGCGGAACTGAATGATGAGGATGAGAAGATAGTGGTTCATACAATCTGGAAAGAGGGATGCTGAAAAGGTACATGCCATGTACCAAATGGTTGTGGTGGAGTGGTGGTCGGTCGCCATGACAGTGCTCGCATCGTTCATTTCTCTCCATATTTTCCGTACTCCTTCTGCCATAGAACTAATTTTCGGGTCAAGACATCCATCATCTCCAAGCTATTGAGGTCACCGAATTCTTTCTCGGCACCGTTCAATGTGAGCAAAGGCCCGTTGCTCTGGAAAACGGTTGTCGTCTGGGCAACAACGGAAGGCGTAGAACTCGTCCCTCCAGGAGGAGTTGTCTCGCCTGCCATTTCGACTTGCGTTCTAGAGATGAATTCTAGGATTCCAGCAACACGACGCTTCATCTCATTCATTGTAGTTCGATGTGGGTTGATATAGCGTGGTTTGCTTGGTTTGCCAGACTCCACTGGTACTGAGCCATTGATCCCGGAACCAACATCATCAGCGCCCCCAGCATCACGAGAATGTGAGCGATCCGGCGAACCGTCAAGATCACCTTCACGATCTTTAGTGTATTGATTACGACCCACACGACCTCGCCGCGCTGGTGGTCGGCCTGTCTTCCGGTGCGATGTCGTGATGGAGGCAAGTGCAGCTGGTGGCGGAGTACCTGCTGGAGGGACGGCCGAAGCAAGCACGTCGAGCGATGAGACGTTTTCTTGTCCGTTCTTATTCGACCCGGCTCGAGAGGGCGGAGCTTCGTCTTGGGCATCTAGATCTGAAGGCAAATGAGCACTTGTTCTCTTTAGCTTCAAAGAGGCATTGAGCGCACCATCATTTCGTCTACGCTCCGCGCGTCCTTTACGTCGGCCAGCGGCGTCGGCACGCTCCCTCTCTCGTTCCTTGTCTTTCGATTCCCTGTCGCGCTGGTTGCGCGAAGCCGCACCACGGCCCTTCTTTGGCCCTCCATTGGATCTACTTGGAGTTTCGTCATCGGATTCGCCATTGTGTGGCGTGGAGTTGTTGGGACGGGATGGGGGCGATGGAGATGCCGAATTGGTACGCTGGCGCTTGGTGTCCTGTTTAGGCCTAGAATTTTTCATATTAGCTGACGCTCATTCGGAGATAGACAGAGGTTCATTAGGCCATCAGAATCGGAAACTCACTCTTCACTGCTGTCGCTACGCCCCCGTTTGCCTCTCCTACTGCCATTATCTGTGCTTGTCGCTTTACCCTCCCCTTTGCTCTCTTCAATGGCTCTCCGAAGCTGTTCTTCTTCGTCGTAGGCAGCGTCGCGGCTGTTCATTGTCGATCGGCGTTTCGTGCTCAGCGCTGCAGCACTCTGGCGGGAGGCCTTGCTGTCCCGCGTACTCTTTTGTTCCGCCTCTTTGGACGTGGAACCAGCTCGCGAAAGTCTCGGTGAAAATACGCTCACCACTGGGAGGTACCGGGATGATTTTTGACTAGTAAATTGGGTATGTTAGCTTATTTTGATTGCTTGTGCTCAGACCGTCAGACATGAAAGCGTTGTAAGGTCGCGGCTTTGTAGCGGTTCCGCAACGCAAAGCGCTCCGACCGATGCTCTCTGGCCATCGGAGAGCGACCGATTGGTGCGATCCAACAGAGCAGAAAGTAATTCAGGCCCTCGATGGCGAAAATGAAGAAGGCTGCAAAATCTTACCCATTGGAGCCGGTCACGATCTTGTGTAGGTCGCGCCGACACTGCTCACAAAAGTATTCTTCCGGGCTCATAGCTTCATCCATGATCCCAACACAACCACCATGTTGCCAGACCTTGCAAATATCGCATTGAATGAAGAGGCCCCCAGCATCTTCCGGGAGGCCCTCTGGCGGTAATGCCGAGACGCCATGGTCGCCTTCGGCTTTCAGGTTCAGCTCGCGAATCGAGACGGGAGGGCCAGGATACTCGAGCTGCCCGCAAATACAACGAGTGACTTCTTCTTCTTCCTCCTCCTCTTCCTCTTCAATACTGCGTTCGTTTCGCCTCACCATGTTGTCGTCTTCTTGGGCGTCTCCGTGATCGCGCCTTCGCCGTCGAGTCTGAGGCGCTTCGCCGAGACCAGCCAGGCTGTCAATCTCTTCTGAAGAGCGGGAATGAGGTGGGGTAGACTTTTGAGGCGAGTTATTCTTGTTATAGGAGCGTGTATTCCGTTCTACTCGTGTGGATGAAGTTGAGGACGCTGACGAATTCGTCTGATGACGACCGGTGGCAGGTTGGGTTGTGCGTGCACGAGAGGACCGCCGAGGGGACATGGCGGGATTCGTGTCAACCCAGGCCTGCACCAACTAAACAACGACTCAGACGGAGCCGATGCACCCAAGGCAACTCAATACCACGTCCAAAATGCAAGAATTGTATTGGAACAGGGTGGGCTCTGAGCGGTTTGTGGGGTGGGGAAGAACCTAACGACAACAGCGAGTTTTCGAGGGAGTCAAGAGCTCAGTGGATGAGCTGCGACGAAGGAAAACGAAAACCGATTGGTAAAACTAATCCAGGAACTCAACATGCTTTCCCCAACCTGAAGCAGATCAGGTTACTGTCAAGTGAGGAGAGTTGCACCAGAAGTTCGACTTTGTGGGCGTGCGGTGTAGGTGTGTGGGAAGCATTTCGGGCAAGCCGGGAAGGCTCATCTCGTCCGCCGTACATTGTCCCTCAATCCGGCCTGGGGATTCGAAGGTGACGAGGGCGACGATGCATGACTCGACCAACCGATGCCCTAATACAGTTAGACGGGGTCGTCCGGTCAGCCAGTGTGCCTCGTCCCGTCGATAATCTCTCCTTTGACCGACCTAGGGGAAAGTAGGTGTCTTTGGCATCCTGTATTTCAAAGGCTGGATCCCTCGGGTGAGGGTTGCTACCGTCTGTATCATATGCTCGTTAAGCGAATCTGTGAGCAGATCGTTAATTGATTGCCTGAGGCCGCCAGGCACATCCACCCAGCAACAAAGGTAATCGCCGAAGTTGGGGTATGAGCCGATACGGTGCACTCGAGGATCCATGTTCGTCAAACCTTTTCATTACTTGAGACCAGCTCACTCCGATTCGGACTCTGGTCCAGCAGCATCAAGTTTTTGTTGGACACATAATACATGCCCGTTTCTTAAGCAACTTGACCATAGATGTATTCCCAGAATCAAGACGGTGAAATCGTCTATCATCGAACCGGCGCGAGTGCCCAGGATGGAGGATGCCCGGAAATAATAAGATTCCAGTATATTGTCACCGGACGGCAATAGACCGGGCCCTGTGATAAGCGGGATAAACCCCAATTCAGAAGAGCCTCCAAACATGTCCAAAGAAGACTGCAGATATCGATTTATCAGCAAACGTAATTGAGGAAGCTTATGACATTGGTCCCTTTGCCACTCCAACAAAATAGTTGATTACAATATCCTCGCAGACGGCTTTGCAACTGGTAGGCGATGGCAAAGCAACGTTTGAGGGACGAGGAGAGCAATCAAAAAGCCTCAAATCAGTCATGTTGCACGCGCTGATTTTGTCTTCGGGAGGCTCAATAGATTGGCTCACTGTTCTATTAAGAGGACCATCGTATTGTTGACTAAGACACTAGAGTGTCCAAGGCGGTCAAATGGTAGGTGCCTGGAGCATGGCACACGATGCGGCTGGAAAGGCCATAGCCACAGTAGTTTCGCTGCACGTCATTTCTCACTTGAAAAGCTGATGACACAAATAATACCGTAATCATTGGGCCAGCCTAAAACAGATGCACTTGACCAGCCCTCTACGGAGGTAGATTTTATGACAGCTTATCATCCCTGCATTTAGCTATTGTTATCCTGAGACGTAGATCAAATTTTTATGCATCTTCCAGACCGTAACAAATTGGAACTCATTCTGCTAATAAGTCATGAGGACATTAAGGTCTCTGGGAGACGTCTTTACATATAAGGCAGGCTCTTAGTAGTATTGAAGTCCTTGACAAAACAATTGAAAGCAATTAAGTTAGAGCTAACTCTGCCAAAGGTACCGTGAGATGCTGACTAATGATTTCAACAGAAGCAATCTCTTTAGTTACAGACTGAGAGCAAGCATCAGTGGGAATGCTGATAGAGCATGACCATCCAGGTCCACTCACTTGATTATTTGTCTGACACATGTCAGGATTCCAAAGAAAGCACAAAGTAACCTGTGCAATGACGCCCGTGTACATTTTCAGGCGGAAAAGTGACTGCCCTGGAGTTCCCCTAAGTCGCGATTCCCCTTCCTTCGTAGCCCCCTCGGTCACCCACCGATCCCCCAGGTTCTACTTCCTGAAACGGTTAGCCGTACAAGTACCCGAAATGGATTACAGATACCTGTAAGTCGTCCACGACAGCTGTTCTCCGTTTTGCCGTCTCCCTCCCGTCATTCCTCGACGATCATTGCTTGAGGGTGCCTCTTCATAAGTATTAGGCTCTCTTGACAACCGTTTCTGTGCCTTGGTGAGCGAGAATTTCAATTTTCCTACGAGACGTGGGCTTCTTTTCGTCCATATCTGAGCCTTGAACAATTTTCCTGGGGATGGGCGAGGACCCCTCGTGGGCTGCGGAATCGCCTACGTATGTTGTGGGCGGACCGAACAGTCTTCGTGGTGAATATTGGGAAGATGTTTGACGTGTAAAGAATCTCGGTGGGCACAGTGGCTAACCTCTTCCATGAATCGCCAGTCGCCCAGGCAACTATTACTCCAACAATCTTTTGTCCAAGGATCACGTCGATTGAAGGGATAGAATTGACATAGAGCATCGACTTTCTAGAAAGCACCGGCATCTCGCGGTGGCTTCTCAACTGGCTGTAAAAGATGTCGGCCGCCGTCCTCGGTATGACCAACCCCCGCCTGCCTGGGCCACTCGATCACTTCCCTCCTCCATCGTTATCAGACATTACCAAACACGTTACATGGTCCTTTCTGGGGACCGTGGTGACGAAACATTCTCTCCATTATCCTATCCTCTCAACATGTTCTACTTGCGGCCAAGTCTGACATGTGCATTCAATTATTTTCTAGGGACGAACTATTCACCGCCCTCGTCGGCAATCCACTCTCCAGACACGACCTCTCCTCTCTATCCCGATCGCCCTATTCGGCCTCTGCCAAAGAGGAAACTTCGATCGAGACTATCACCCGAAGTCGCAGACTCCATCCTTTACCCCCCAACTCCTCCGAAATCAACTCCGCTTTTTCAATTCCCTTATGGCTTCACTCATGAAAGGGTTCCGGAGCGCAGATACTCCGATGGGTTCTCCAGAGCACATCCGCACAGACATTCATACTCTTGTGATCAAGGACATGGCCATCACGACCATGGAGACGGGGAAATTGATAGCGAGGAGGAGGAAATTACGGCTGGTATGATGAGCCGGTATCGAGAGGAGGGATTGCTCAGTCCGAACGGCACTTATCCGTTGGATGGTACACTGCACCAGCGGAGGAGCTCATTGGAACCGTCACCATCACCGTCAAAAGGACCCCCTGCTCATTCTACCTCCTCGTCCGCTGACGGCTACGAGTCCTTTGAAAACACCAATAATAAAAAGAAACGGAAGATTCCCACTTCGGGCACAATGAGTGGTCATCAATCGCATCTTTCAGCCGAGTTAGCGAATATGGGATTATCCTCACACAACGAGAGGTCCAAGTCGCCGGAGGGGCCGGGAGGAACCGTTGCTCATACATACGGACCAGGATACTCCAACCCGCCTCCTGTTGTTTCCGGAACTGGCATCTCTGGCGCAGGGCGTGGTCGCTTCGGTCGCTCAGGATCGCGGAACCTTAACGGAAGGAGCCCTTTGAGCGTTTCAACAAATGGGTCAAATGCATGGGCGTCCGGGCCAACCGGAAGGAGTCGCCGCGACTGGATCCATAGCAGTCCTCTCTCCGGGTCCAAAGGTAATGCGAACTCATTCACAAGAAGCTAGGTAGAAATTTTGTCTAATGCGAAGAGCAGACGCTGCACATTTCGAACAATCCCGTGTCATCTCCGCGGCTATTGCCAGCGCAGAAGAACACCCAATCACACCAACGAAAGGACAGGAAAACGTAAGCCTGCTCCAGCAAGGATCGAAAAGGTCAATTCCGAGCAAGACTCAATTCACTTTTACTTGCGAGTCGGATGCTGCCAAGAGTTTGGTCTGGCCCGGTCAGCATGGCCCTGGGGTCCCCAGTAATCGACAAATCAACGGGTCCATGATGGCTAGTCATCCTGCTACGATGTATGGGCAAGCACAAAGAGGTATATCTGCGCAAGGACCTCCATCCGGGCCAAATTTGACGGGACAGTCGGTTGCGGGTTCTTCAGGGCAATATGGAACTGATGCGCAGGCTCATCCCTCTGGACAACCCGCAGCGCAAGGTAAAAAGACGCGCCCGCGGCGCCCTGGTAAAGAATATGCCATTGCTGCACGCCAAAGACGCCTTCAACAGGAATACAACAATTACCACCACCCTCCAGCTCCTGAGGATATTTGGATCTGCGAGTTTTGCGAGTACGAGAGCATCTTCGGCACCCCGCCTGAAGCCCTGGTTAGGCAGTATGAGATCAAGGACCGCAAGGAGCGACGACGACTTGCCGAGAAACGAAGACTTCTGGAGAAAGCTAAGATGAAAAGCCGGAAAGGAAAGAAGGGTACCAAGGCTGCTGGCAAGGGCAACGGCTCCGGGACTTCCCAGCATGACAATCCTGCTCAACGCTACGACCCACAAACAGGTGGTCAGATCCCCGTGAACGACCAGGAACTTCAGGAAGACGAATCTCCTGCAGATGATGTGGACGAGCCTCTCCCTGCTGCTGCACCTCCCCCCACCAAAGACGGTTTTCCGGGTACCCATAGCAGAAGCCCATCCGATTTTGATAGCGGCCAGCTGCAAGACTTGAGAGGTCCAACTGGATCAGCTGGTCGCGCGGCCTAGTCCTATATTTCTTTTGTTATTTTCATTTATTTTCACTTGTTGTCCCTTTTCTTTTCCCTGTCGCCTTCTTCTCTTTTTTATGTTCTCCCATCTCTTTCCTTTGCCTCAGCTTGGCCCCTTTTTTCTCATGCATTAAAACTTACACTTTTCACATGGTGGATGATGATGGTATGTATTGTCGCTATTATTTACAAAAAAAAAATCGTTCTGAAGCTTCGAACGCGGATCATCATCTTGGCCCACGGAAGCAGGGCGAGCTTTCGCCTCTTGTTCAACAATATTCGTGTCGGCTTGGGAACGGGTTATGGGACGCATTCGGGTTTGTTACTGTTGCATAGGATGCGATGGGGACCTTCTACTTCCAGTTGATGCATTGTTATGGCATTCTTTGGCCGGTTCTCATTATGATCTACGACATATTACCCCACTTTGAGCGTTTACCAGAGTTGCCGCAAGCAATTCTGACTACAAGCCTTTTCTTTTGTCTTCCCTGCAGCACCTGTTACTTTCAAGTCGTTGGCTTTGCACATCGGCAGGCCTTACGACTTATGAACGTTGACATCAACAGAGTCTCTGTCAAACTAGCTCTGTTAGTGTTTCAGACTCCAGCCACCTTTGTCGGTGGGAATCCCCTCTCTTATATCCGTGGTTTTCGTCGTCAATAGCTCATAAATCATGGTATTCATAGTCAACAATTTACCTGGATTATTTCTAGTATGTTTGTGGACACTGTGACCATCCCTGCAGGAAACGGCACTTGAAACGTTGAAACGAGCTCCCCATTTCAGATGAGCAGTGCGTACATGCCCTTTTCTTCGCGGCACACCTGTTTTGGAAGGCGCATCATAGCCAATCGAGCTCCTTCTCAGCTTGGACCCTGTGACCGATGGCTTCTTGACTCAGTAAATCCATTCCTGTTTACTACTGCATTTGTTTTCAGTATCAAGGTATTTGATCAAGCTCATTCGAGTTCTTCTCCATTCTCCCTTGACATGCCATGCCTCTGGACTGCAACGGCAATTCGTTCTTAGAAGGTTTGAGCTTCTACGGATGAACAATGAGCAGATCTCAATTTCCACGTTATACTGATGGCGATGTCATCATCACGCTCGCTGAAGTCCACACTTATCAACTTCATTCAAGTGTTTTACGACGCTGTTCTGCGCACTTCCGCCGTTTACTCATCGAAGAGAAAGCCACGAAGCCTGATGAAACAGCAAGAGAGTCTGGTGTATATGTACGATATCAACTTGAGCTGGCAGATTACGAACTTGATGGAGTCGGCTGGGTGGTCATAAAGGTATATCTAAGATATATCTTTCTTTGAGCTTGCGACTACACCTTATGATGCTGCTTAGTTAGCTTGTCATGGTATTTTACCATACTAAAATATAATGAGGCGCAACAACAAGGACCCGCCAATGCTGACCTTGTCTCAAGTCAACAGACTCAATGAATAATGGCACGAGCCCAACAGCCGATTCACGTCCAGAAGCACCAAGGCTAGCTTTGCACCGGTTTACGCACTACGATAACTTATTCCGTACATTCTACCATATAAAACCGGCTCTCGATGAAACAAACCTCATACTGACTATAAGAGACTCAATGGGCCTCATGGAGCTTGCGGAACGGTTGGGGTCTATTTCAGCCATTACGGAATGTATTGAGAATGCTCTGCTTGATCATGGCCAGCCGCTTTTTCAGTCTATCGCCGTAAATACCATGGCGTGGTTGGACCTTGCATATCGTCTACAGTCTGCGACCATCATGAAGGAATCGCTTATCCATGTAATCGGACAGTGGAACTCTCTCACGTCAGAAACCAAAAGCCAAATGAAGCCAGACGTGTTTGGAGTTTGCGAGAAAAAGTACCATGAGCTCAACGAGAAAAAGCGGGAAATTGATTCAGAAATTCTCTGTCACTATACACCGGAATGCTTTGCGCCTGGACAATCCAATATATCTCCGAATTATCGGGTGCTTGATAGCACAAAAATATGTGGTTGGATGACCGTGGCGATATTTCGAGAAACGTATGGTCGGGCCATAAATGATGGTCTAAACTTTCGAGCCGAAGATGGCGGAGCCAAGCTCTATCGCCAGATTGCAAGTTGTGATGACCTTGTGACTCAGCCGGCCGCGAAACGATTTTGCGAGCAGTTTCAGTTGACTGAGGAAAGAGACTGCATCGAGATTCAGCTATTTAAGCTAAAATTGCGTCTCAAGCAGCTTGTGCAGCCGCTCTTGGTCAATCGCTCTCTGTTGGATGTGAAGGTGCAACCACTAAAATATTTGACCTGTGTCCAAATTAGAACAGATGACCTTAAGTTCTTGACCGAGAGAAGAAATCTTGAGAGCAGAGGATAGCTAGAGGATAAATGGTCTGGAGCTGAATTTTGTACGATTGGTAGATTTACTATGGGAAACGATCCCAATTCCGAGTCTAGAGAGGGTGATAAACAGGAAATGCAGCCGTATAGGTTCAAGGCAGACAATCGGGAAATGCCTTAGCGGCAAAAAGGAGTGGAAGGCAGATTGGCAAAGACCCATACAGAAACAAAAGAGATGATAATCGAGCTCAAAAAATAATAGAATGCTTCGTCTAATAGATGAAAATTTGGCGTAGAAAATAAAAAGGAAAGAGTAAATAACTGTCAGATTCTCAGGTCCATGCATTGCCTCTTAACGCCTCGTGTCAAAGTAATAGAACAGTTTGGTCCAGAGATCTCATTATACTTGAAGCACATAAGTACCCGACATGATGTGCCATGACCGCTCAAACTCGGAGGACAGCAATATGCGAGCTCCAATTTTAATCGTCATATCCCGACGGTATTTTTCGAGGGCCCGGAGGAACTATGCAGTTTGATCAGCATTAGTCTGTGCAGTATATATCTGACAGTCGCACTTGGATAAGTTAGAGGAATTCGTTCTCTTGGCCCATCACCAAGTGCTCTGCGAACTGGCGGAACGACCACCATGAGAACGGGTCCGAGACTGCCAACAACAATAGAGTAGAATATAGCGGGTTTCTCGTGAGACGCCCATCGCATGTAGCGAAAGGGCTGAGACCAAAATCGAGGGGTAACAGTCGACATGTTGAAGCTGGTACTTTTGCAATGAATAGTTGCTCCAAATGGAGATGCAATTGAGCTTTGGAGACAGAAGTGGAGCCCCAACGACGAAGCGCGGAATGGAGTGACTCCACGCGGAGAAGGGGCGGTGGTGTCGTTAAGCATTGACGTTCCCGAGCTCCCGCCAACTTGTTCCCCAGCCGCCTTACCCGATATGGGATATCGGAGAAGTATTCTCCGAAGGAGTTCTGTATTACATAATCGTACAATGCGGCCACATGTCGGGCCAGTAGCAACGCAGCTAGGACTCAAGTATACGCAGGACTGACGCGTTGGAGGGACCGCTTGAGTCCTCAATGTTGCTTGTGTGTCTTGGAGCTCTCCCAAGAGACAGCTGTGTTTCCCTAAAGCTTCGAATCCAAGCACGGCAGATCCACCATGCAATTGCCGGTGGCCTTTCTCTTATTATGCCTGCTGGGCATTGTCCAAGCTCTCAGCACTGCGGGCAATCGATTGCTTGTGGTGATTGAGGAGTTGGCTGACAAGGACAAGTATTCGACTTTCTGGTCAGACCTTGAATGTGAGACACAACAAATATAAGACCTACTTTATGTATTGAGCTTTTTAAACAGTTTACTGACATGAATTGACATCTAGCTCGGGGATATAACCTTGATTTTGAATCTCCCAAGAGCGAGAAGCTCACGCTTTTCCAGCATGGCGAACGGGTGTACGACCACGTTCTCCTCCTCCCTCCCAAATCGAAAGGTGAGAATGCTCGAGTTAACCACAGGCATTTAACACGGTGAGAGACTATTCGTCAGAAACAATGCTAATTGAGATGTGGTTTAGGCCTTGGCCCCTCCTTGACGCCCAAGATTCTTATGGATTTCATCAATGGAGATGGTAATATCCTCCTGGCGCTAGCTTCGGATGCGCCCACGCCGACTGCCATTGTTTCTCTGCTACTCGAATTTGATATCCACCTCCCTTCAGACCGGAATGCGCTTGTTGTCGACCACTTCAACCATGATACCATTTCTGCCTCCGACAAGCATGACGTAGTCCTTGTTCCGGCACCCAAAGCTCTACGACCAGGAGCGAAGAACTTCTTTGCCGGCCAAAGCCCCGACACTACCCTTGCTTTCCCTCGTGGTATGGGACAAGTTCTCGGCAACGAAAGCCCATTGCTTCATCCCATTCTGCGTGCTCCGAGCTCCGCCTACAGCTATAACCCTAAGGACCAGTCCGAGACGGTTGAGGATCCGTTTGCCGTCGGCCAACAGCTTGCGCTCGTTTCTGCTCTTCAGGCCCGCAACTCTGCCCGCTTCACCGTTCTCGGCTCCTTGGAAATGCTCGAGAACAAATGGTTCGATGCGAAAGTCAAGGCTCCTGGAGCCAGCGGTGAGAAGACCACGACTGGGAACCGTGACTTTGCCAAGGCACTGTCAGCCTGGACTTTCCAAGAGATTGGCGTCCTCAAGGTTGGCAACGTGGAGCATCATCTCAACGAGGGTGCAGACCAGGGTCTCGTGGAGCTCAATCCTAAGATTTACAGAATCAAGAGCGACGTGGTACGTCTCTACCTCCCAATTAATTCCCGAACCCCTTTTTCCCCTTCCCTCATCTCTACCTAGTTCAACCTACTGACAATTGTTCTTACCACCGAATAGACCTTCTCTATTGAACTTTCCGAGTACAACTACGACCACTGGGCTCCGTTCACGCCCCCCGCGAAGGACGCCGTGCAGCTCGAATTCTCCATGCTCTCACCCTTCCATCGTCTTGCCCTTACCCCTTCTTCATCTGGTACATCCAGCAACAGCACGCTCTACACCACGAGCTTCACGGTCCCCGACCAACATGGTATCTTCAAGTTTGAAGTCAACTACAAGCGCCCCTTCTTCACATACATTGACGAGACCCGCGAAGTCACCGTCCGGCACTACGCTCACGACGAGTGGCCTCGCAGCTTTGCCATTTCAGGCGCTTGGACTTGGATCGCGGGCATCTGGGTCACGGTTGCTGGATGGCTTGCTTTTGTCGCGCTCTGGCTCTGGAGCGCGCCGGTTCGTTCTTCTGGGCCCGCAGATAAAGCGAAGAAGACTCAGTGATGGAGTGACGCATGTTTTCTCTTTTCTTTCTTTTTCATTTATTCATTGCATCTCCTTTTGTGTAGAAATATCATGTGACTTTTTCCAATGGCGAGAGACAGAAAGAGAGGGGGAGAAAAAGTGTCATATTTCAATGTATGGAACCAAGGTATAGAAAGATTTGCATTTAAAGAAGATTTGATAGTTCTTTGACTTCGTTCCTTGAAGGATAACTGCTCGTTTTTACTCTCATGCAATCGCCGAGACCGCCGAGAGAGAAAAATTATGTACTCTATTGTATCAAGGTCCTTAGTATGTACCGTCGCAAAGGCACGAGAGTCACCCAATTCCCCGCGTCTATATGTAATACGAAACTTCTCGTACGATCCAATACACCTTATTCAACCTGGAGAATAATATGAAAAAATAATGAAGGGAAAAAAGAAAAGGTCATTATCATCATCGACATGAGACTATCCAGATTCATGCCGCCGAATCTCGCAAATTTCAAGCCTTCCTCTTTGACTTCTTCTTGCTTCGAGAAGTCGACTTGTCATCGGGAAGCCCTTCAGTACCTCGACTGATGACGCCTCCGGCCGCTCTGCTGAATCCCACGTTGATACCACCTCTACTTACCTTTGCACCTTCGCTGTTTAAGCTTGTGGTGCTGCGGTAGCTACCTACGCTTCCACTTCGACCGTCCTTTCCAAAAGACGCAAGGCGAGGCGGTGTGACCGGCTCAGTGATGCTTGTGTTTTGCCGGGATGTCTCCGGAGAGGGCCACGAGTCTGTCGTCCCGGGTTGGAAGTCCTGTGCATCAAAGGCATTTCTGGGTGATTGCGGGACAGTGGAAGATGGAGAGAGGATTGCCTCTTCCGGCTGGTGTTTGGTGTCACTGGGTGCAGGCGAAGTCTCCATCCCTGTTGGGGTAGTTTCTGCATCAGCTGCAATGGCAGCGTAGCTTTTGCCATGGGTACTACTATTGTCTGTCTCAGCGTCGGCATCCACTGGACCTTCGGTAGAGCCAGGAACCTTTACTCCAAGCCGATCATCAGAAAAATAGCTTGCAGAGCCGGGTGCGCGAAGATTGGGCTGAGACCGCTCAACAGAGCTGATTCGCCGCCTTGGGCGATCGGCGTTTGTGTAGGTATCGAGTGCGCGAAACACGTGCGGAAAGACAAGCTGGTCAACGTCATCTGCCCATAGGAAATCCAAGTGTTCATAGTGCGGAATCTGCGCTATATGTCAACATGAATTCCTTGTAGAATTCGTTCCAAAAAAGGGAAAAAAAGAAAAAAGAAAGTCACGTTTGGCACGTACCTCTGTGGCAACTGTATGTCGTGGGAGCTCTTTGAGCATCACTTTGATATCGACTAAGCTATCACTTCCTCCGTAGACCATTACGATTGGGGTTTTAATGTTCTTCGTCGGAAACCTGGCGACCTTGGTGTACTTGGCACCTCCCGTAAGACTCAAGGGAGCCTGCACCTCATCGTCGTACATCTGAAAGCTCGCCGTTCTAATGATCTGGAACCAGTGGACAACACTTTTGGTGCTGGTATATGAGTACAAGTGGGGGTATGCTGCGAGCTTTTGGTGGGGCTTAATGTTCATGCCTGACCATGCAAAGAGGAAACTCAAGGCTGAGTCGATAATGCGGACAAAGATGGGTGGATAAAGGAGCGCTTGCCACATGGTGGTTGAACTGAGAATGCTCCGTCGACCAAAGGCGAGAAAAATGACTTCCGGCGACGCTTTTATCAGGGCGTCTACGATACCATTGCTGAGTCCGTGGGGTGCCATGGCAGGTGCAAGCGCAATAAATACGTCGACCTTTTCGTTCAGCTGGGGATGGATTGAGAGTGTTGCAAAAGCTTGGGCTATAGGTTGTGAGTAAATCATCACGGGAACAATTAGGACTGGAATGCGTGCCTGTGCCTTGGGAAAAGCCAATATAGGATAGAGAAGGCTGGTGGGTCGTCTTCAAAATATAGTCTATGCTATCCGGGATGTCGTGAAATGCAAATTGATCTATGGAAAAGTCCCAAAAGCCTGTGGATGTGGGCGTATGCCGCGTAGACTTTTTGGAATATTTGTTTCCTCGGTTGTTTCCAAGCTTGACAGAATGACGGGTCAGTGGCACAACCGCAAAAAAAAGCTGTAATCTGGGGTCTTACCCAAACGTCATAGCCTCTTTCAACAAGCATAAATGGCAGACATCTTTCCTTTTCGGTCGCGCAGACCCAGACTTCACTGTTCATGAGCAACCCGTGATGAAGGTAGACAACCTTTTTCTTTAAGCTTCCCTCTCCACTGTTGACTCTCTCCTCTTCTTCACCTTTCCGCCATGCGAGCCGATGGAGGCCAAGGAGGTAGCCATCTCCAGTTTGGACAACGTGTTCCTCAGCTTCATATCCGAAAAGGAGACACAAATCAACAAAGTCTGATGCTTGAGCTATAGACGAGACGACATCTGGGGCCTAGTCAGCATATGCTCGGTGACGGGACATGCCAAGTGGACATAATACTCTTCTTTTTTGTCCGAGACTTCTTTCCTTGAGGCGAGGAAAGATAATTGAAGAGGCTTCGGGACCAATTGTAACAAAATCTGATCACAGGCCCAGCTGGCAGCACACATTAGTACGAATTTCAGTTGTAGGCTCGATCGATAGCTTACGCAAAGCTAGAGTGATCACACGTAAAAAGCCCTCAAGGCCCACGAGTATAAGTGAGCCTAGCAGAGCCATATACTCCTTGCTGTCCGGGACGCAGCCAATATGTCAGTTGAATCTGAGGTCCAAGCACATCTGAATGGCATTGCTGGGGTTAAGGCATTTCATACATGAAGAGCCGACCGACCACGGGCACTCGCGGCATCTTGGCGTGGATCGGCAGGGTTCAATGAGGGGAATCGTGTGGCCAGAGCGGGATTAACGTAAGTTAGTATGTACTAAGCATGGGGAATTTTGCACTGTAATGGCATGGGGTGGAGCTGTTCGAGGCGGTATGAGTAAGGTGATGCGTATGTTGTCGGCCAAAACGCCAGCCAGTAGCGCTGGAACGCGAACCAGCGGTGGACAAACAGCTGGTTCGATGATCTGGAACTAGCTAATGAAGAAGAAAACGGCTTTCCTGAAAGCGAATTTTGAAATAATCTGCAAGTCGCAAAGTTGTGTCTTCAGCAAAGACGGCCAATGAGTGAGAGCTGTGTCTTGATGGGGTCAAGTTCATGCAGCCTAGATTTCGCAAACGTCATTTTGGGGGCCATTCGCCTGCCGACATGTGAAAAGCGTTGGGCATGAGGTACTTTGTACTCTTGCACTGTTCAATCATACGACTTGAACATTTGCGATAAAAATCTGACAGGATAGTCATCATGAGAGGAAATAGAGGGAATAAATATACTCTAATGACAAAAGAAAGGGATTCAAGAGAAAGAGTACATACATGAAACAAAAAGATAAAATAAATATATCACATGCTAACTATAAGCTTACAGGCTTCTTATAATTCAAGCTTACCGTGTTGCGACTCCAGCAGTAAGATAAACCAGGAGACAACTGCTCAATTGTTGTGCATTGCTGGAGCCATACCTCCGTACTCCATGACAAAAGTGAAAAATTGAATCTACTCTTTTACCTCGTAGGAAAAATAGCTGCGTTTTCGAGTGGAAAATAAAAGACAAAAAAAAAGAAAAACAAAGTGCTGTTGCATCAGTCGGGAATCGAACCCGAGTCTCATGCTTGGAAGGCAAGAATGATAACCACTACACTACTGATGCTTGCTTGAAATAAGAGAAGGTAAAAGTATTTATCAAGCATCAGTATTGTTACGTAATGAACCCTGACGCTTCGCTTGGATATTTCGCGGTTCCGTTCCGTCAGCGGATCCAAATAATGCCGCTTTCCACTATGAATCATTTCAGACTAAATTGTCCGGGTGTCAGCCCCCGAAACACAAAATACGATAGTAAATTAATCTAGGCAAGGGATTTGACTTGTACTCTTACAAGTCTCAGTGTCATCGATCCCGGGGCTCGTTAAATGGCAACGAATAGATGGCCTGATGGCCAGGGCGAAAAGGGAAGCGATGCATGTCGACACAGGCAGCGCCGATATTAGCGCTGACATTACTCGTCCATATTAATTCTGCTGCCTAAGGCCCCTCCTCGAAGCCTCTTCTAGGTGTATGTTTACATGGTCATTTGCATTTTCTTTGAAAGGGCTGGTTTCAATTGCATCGCAAGGCGTTTTCAATCGCTTGGCAGTGTATTCTTTCTTACTTTTACGGCCGTATACGTCTTCAATTATAAGCTTCGCCGGCCTTTGCTGACGTGGCCATCTATTGACTATCCTTCTTTTTGTGTTTATTTTACTTCGTATCTCATTTCTGAACTCAGCCCTGTAGCTGGTGCGAGCGTCAGAATTACCAGGTTGGCGCAATTCCCCACGTTGTCTTGTGAGGCGCAGCACGTCAGAAAGCTTAGACTTGACATCTGGGGTGTGATATATTCTGCCCTTTACGACAGCCTTTGGAAGTTTGACAACAATCACATCTTCTCTTTCTGGATTTGGCTCTCTTCCCATTGTTAAGACCTTTGAGACGACATCCTCTTGAACGTACACTCACAGGAAGTTGAAAATGGCCTCAGCCTTCTTTTCTCTCGTGGCACGCGATGATCAGCAAGAGATAATATGCACGTTGAAAACTTGTCCTATTGACGCCTCCTACTACAATTACCTGCCGTCGCGAGCAGCCAATGGCGTCTTTGATGGTCTATTTGCCCTGTCACTGGGACTGTACATTTCACAGGCAATTATCTCAAGGAGCTTTATCGGCTTCAGTATAGCCATGATATGTGGCTGTATCCTAGAAGTCCTAGGCTACGTTGGGCGCTTAATGTCAAACAGCAACCCTTTCAACGAGGTATAATACTCTCAAATCTATTCCTTCGCTGTTTTTACATGCAGATAAATAATGCTGACACTCCACGCAGAATGGTTTCCTGATGCAGATTGTGTGCCTAACCATTGCGCCGGCTTTTCTGGCTGCCGGAATCTACCTTTGCCTATCACGAATTGTCCACATTTTTGGCGCAGAAAACTCACGCCTCAAGCCGCGGTCTTACCCACGCATCTTCATCCCTTGCGATGTCATTTCACTAGTGCTGCAGGCCATTGGTGGTGGTACCGCGTCGAGCGAATCTCACCAACACAAATCAACAAAGACCGGAGACCACATTATGCTTGCCGGACTGGCCTTCCAGGTCTTCACCTTGGCATTGTTCATCGTTCTGTGTACCGACTTTGCCATTCGCACACTTGGCCGAATGCGCCGACTTGGTTCCGCCGAAGCTCTCGATCCCACCCATGCCAGGCTTCGGGGTTCATGGAAGTTCCGCGGCTTCCTTGTCGCGCTCGCCCTGTCAACCCTCTGCATCTTCATCCGATCAATCTATCGTGTGGCTGAACTCGCCGAGGGCTGGGAGGGTGCTCTGATTAAAAATCAAAATCTCTTTATTGGTTTCGAGGGCGCCATTATTTCCCTCGCCGTCCTTGTCCTGAACGTCTTTCATCCGGGCTACTGCTTCTCTGAAGGCTATGCTGTCAAAATGGGGAAGAAGAATCGGGGACAGGTGGTGGACGAGAGCGTGACCGGAAGTCAGGCTGAGTTCAAAGCATGATTGTCTCACATGACGTCAACGATATCCTTGCACATTTTGTGCTTCTTCTCCCCATTCATCGTGTGTCTCCGCGTCATGATTCACTATCTTGGGAGTTTTCTACTGATTATCACCATCTCTATTCGTTGGAGGAAATATACAGAGAAATATAGAGCTGGTCAGCCAGGAATATTTTACACATGTGACAGAGTCACAGAATTAGTATCATTAGAAGCAACTTTGGCATAGGGCAACAGATGATTAATGAGCGTTGGAATATAAACAATATAAATTTTCACCAATTGAAATTCTTTAACCCTCCATGACAAGTATTACTTTTTCTAATTTTATCATTGATCCTGTATTACTTTTCAAATATTTACACAAGAACTCATACCAATTATGTTTCAGATGGTTTAACGAGTAATTCAAAAACGTCAGAAAATAATCCAATCATGGCAGAAAATTCTGGGAAAAAAAAAAAAAAAAAGAAAAACCCCACAGACACACATACATACTTTCCCTCTTGATGCCTCAATCAAACCAAAATGTAAAATGTAAAAACCATGTAGTATACCCTCTTAAACCAACCAGTATTGTTGTTTCTGTCACTGGCCCCTCGCCAACTAAGCCTGCAAGGCACCCTGCAGGCCTGACACCTGCACTCACAGCCGGAACGGCACTTGCCGCCACCGACACCATAACTCGAACCCGAAGTTGGTCTTAACCACATAATATATACCAAGCGTAGATCCAGTAAGCATATCTCGATTGATAATTTCCAGTCGGCCTGCCGTTCGGACTTTACAAATCCAATTGCTTCACCGTGAACCTCTTCTTTGCGAATACGCCCAGCGGAACAACTATTCGTCTTTGGACAGAGACAAGCGCTTTATCGTTTTGACAATACTGTCAGTCTTTTGTACCTTTCGAACGCAATAAGAAAGTCTACCCACGACCCGAACGGTATCGCATCTGCAACGGCCTGCAGATCTATTTTTCGACAATTGAAACAGAAAGACCGTCAATCCCAGACAGGCAGATTACTCTCAAGTTCACCAACGAATAGAGTCGAAGAATAGTAGAGGAAGCAACAATCCGACGTCAAAAGATACGAAGCAATACAGAAAAGCCAACAAACGAAGCAATCGAAACAAGCGAAGCAAACGAAAATATCCACTGAAGAGTCAAGGAATCATGCCGTCTTCGTGTAAAGATATTCGTACGTTCCTCCTCTGCCCTCTTTCTTTTCCAATCGGGTTGTTTGCTGGCTCGTCTCCCGTTATTTATATTGAGTGACGCACTGCGTTATACTCTACACTCAAAAACAGAGACAAAAAATGCAACTTGAAAAAAGCCAATAAAACCAAGGAAACCAAACAATAAAACTCCAAGAAAGAATAGAAATCTGACATGCAATATCGAATCCACAGGGGCCGCATTGGCCGAATGTCTCCAGAACAGCGACTGCATCCTAGTCGACCGCAACAAGCCATCGGACTGCCTGCGCCCTCCGCTCGTGGACACGCTGCCGACGCGGTGCCAGCAGTTGAAAAAGGGATACGGCGACTGCAAGCGCGGCATGATCGATATGCGCAAGCGGTTTAGAGGAAACAAGCCGGTGGCCGTGAGCACGGAGCTCGAAGCCGGCGCGGACGAGCCGAGTCATCAGCTGTATGCGGGCAAGCCGGCGTTTAGCAGTGCAGTGCGACGAACAAGTGGGAATGACGAGGCGGAGGTGGAGAAGAGTTTAGGGCGATGAGCCTAGGAGATGGAGAGGGAGAGGGTGAAGGGGCCAGAGCGCGGGAACTGGGGCATAAAGGGTAAAAGGCCAAATGGTGTAAGACATAGTGGGGGGAAAAGGGAGATTGTAATGTTTATTTTGCATCGATGCGCGGGAGTTGGATTTCTACACGTTTGTGTTTTGATTTACTATACAGGGAGCATTGGAAGATTCAAGTTCTTTCCTAGGCGTTTACCGGAAGAATGTTATATGGTCTGTCGAACTGCGGTAAGGGCTGCTGTCAGTGTCGTTGTATATATAGATTAAGGTAGGTAAGATATATCTTTAGTCGTCTACCGTTGTGTAGTATTGTATAGTACGTTCATGTTGACCAATGCTTCATTAGAGAGAAGCTAGGATAAGTCTACTCGCATTGGGCTTTTATATCGACTTGAACACGGATACTATACATCACATATCACACTCTTCTTTGAAACATTGAATTTATTGGACAATGCATGAATCGTATTCTGTTCACGAGGACACGAGCATAAGCAATGCTAAATCGCCATATAACCTATTCGCCCTTGTCTGTAGTACAAGCGCTACGCAATCCGGTTTCCTTATGCCTAGGTGAGCAACGAGCCACCATTCGAGGAAATCATGGTCCCCGAACAATTCTGATCACGCATGAGATACAAATACGCCTCGGCGACATCTTCAGGCTTTCCCATCTGGCCAGTCGTGTGCTGGCTCTTCACTGCCTCCTTGAACTGGTTCAGTCTGTCTTCAGGCCAGTGTTTCCAGAGCTCCGTGTCGATTGCGCCCGGACTGACGAGGTTGACGCGGATCGGCTTCAAGTCGAGCGCCAGGTTACGCACCAGGGCATGCATGGCGCTCGCGTACCCGGCCACGGCAGACCAGCCGGGGATGGGTTTCTGGCTGACGGACCCCGTGGTGAAGACAAACGAGCTCTTCGGGCCGGCGGACATGTAGTTTTTCCCGATCTTGGCGAAGAGAAGGGGCCCAAAGAAGCGCACCATGCCGGCGGCCTTGAGTTTCTCGAGCGAGATTTGCTCCAGAGGCATCTCGGCAAGCCGGTCGCCCGCGGTGAAGACGATGTGGTCCAGAAGATGGCCTCCAGAAGAAGAAGCATGGTCGAAGAGGGCCTTGATGCGGTTCTCGATCCCCTCTTCGGTGGCCAGGTCGCATGCGTACCCGCTGATGTGGCCCGCAAGGGACGGGTAGCTCTTTTTGAGCTTCTCGACGGAGGCTTGCACGCGAGACTCCTGGCTCGAGGAGATGGTCACGATGGCGCCGTGCTCGAGCGCGGCTTCGGCCACGCTGAAGCCGATGCCGGAGGAGCCGCCGACGACGAGGACGCGGGCGCCGGAGAGCTTGTTGGTGTATTTTTGTTGGTCAGACATTGTGGATGTGGTGTTGTGTTGTTGTGTTTGTTTGGCGTTGTGTTGAACGACTTGTGGAACGAGGTGAGTTGGATCGAGACCGTATGAGTGGGAGGGGGATGGTCAGGTTATATGTTGAAAGAAAGGTAATGAGCTGAAGAAAAGTTTGCTGGGGAATTAGGGGTTTTAAATAGAATGTGCTCCTTGAAAACTGGACTGTTGGTCACGGACACATAGCAGAGCAGCGGCACAGTGGGGCAGGGTAAGTAGTCAACATAAATAGAAGGGAAAGGAAAAAGCGGCACAGGCGTCCACCGAGAAACTTCACTGGTGCTGATAAACGCAAGGACGTAACGGCTTCAATTGGCAAATGCAACGGGGGAATAATGACACTTGTGATTGCGGACGTATAGTGGAATTGAAAGTTGGTTTGTCAGGAACGTAGCATTCAATCGCCTGACGTGGGGATGGGATGGGATGTGATGTGATGTGGGGCAGGGGTCTGGAGATAATTAAGTAGAAACGGAGATATCTCAAAACGGACGACAGGAAACAGCTGGAAGTGGGGAAGAAGGCGGTGACAAGCCTCAATTCACTTGAACCAAGGTACCTACCTACCTACCTCCCTACCTACCTACTTCAAACAAGGGTTAAGAGGGGACAGCCCCGGCGTAACTGTCGGGAATCTCGATGCCGAGATGGTGCATCATGAAGCAATGATGCATTTCTCGGGAATAAAAAAAAGAGGCATGGAATAAGTTGTTGTCCCGTCGGCAGTGTTTGTCATCATGTAAGGGCGCAATACAGGTACAAGGATAACTGTGGGCTAAATGCAGAGGAATACGGAGTAATCGGTACAAAAAAAGAAAGAAGGAAAGAAAGGAAAGAAACAAAAAGAGTAAAAAAAGTGACGTGTAATGCAAGTTGGCAGTACTCTGTAAGGTAACGGAGATGTATTAGCGATATCTCCGAGAGACAGCAAAAAGAAGTGGTTTAACTATCCGTATTCCGTAGTAGAATCGATACCCGTGCGGGACTCTCGGACTAAAGTCCAACCTAAATTGGACCCATTATTTGACTTCTATCGTAGAAACCCTTTTCACTGGTTCAAAGCTTAGTTAACTAGTTGTTGCTTATTTAATCCATACAACTAACAAAGACTTATCTATTCTAACCAAGTTACTGCTGACTGCTGATGCAAGCCAAAACCGTGCTATAAGGAACCCAACTCTATCCTGCTTATTAAAATCATATTCCATCACAAAGCATCGGCATTGTTAAAGGCCGAGGGGTAGGGTCGCACAGAAACGGTGCACGACGAGAATCCTTTTATGCAAGGAGTTTTTGAACACGACAAACGAGCTACCCGCAGGACTACGTAATTCATCAAACAGTGTCAAGAGACAAACACAGTGACACTCCATATGGATAACTGCAGGAGACTCAAGGAACCGAGTAAAAAAATGAAGAAAAGCCAAATATAAAAAGCATACATCTCCCTTGCGCACGCGTGGGCTGTTTTGCTCGGAAAAGTATTCTTAAGGGGAGATGCATTCTGCATGGAAAAGTATAATATTTTCCCCAATAACTTCTTCCTCGTTTTGCAGATGACGTAGATCGAAGAGCGACCAGCCCTTTTTTTTTTTCTTTTTTTTTTTCATGTCGGCCTTGGAACGTGGTGCTGTGTAGTGAGAGAGTGTTGCTGGTGCTGCTGGATCGTTTGTAATCTCCGGAGCAAACTCCGGAGTTTAACCCCATTCGGAGCCACAGAACCTACCCTTGTCAAATGGATTTTTGACAAGCTCTTCACGTTATCGCCACAATCCTCTAAAGAGCTGGCGACGAAGCACACTGTCGACTGGTCCACCGTTCGACGGAACGTGCTCGCTCGTGTACAAGCCTTCCTCATCGACACAGCCATGCAGAGTCCCGATCGAGGCTTCAAAATGGGCAAAGCAAGTACTGTTGACAAAACAATAGGCATCACGGTGTCATGCAAGGCTCCGACCAATGCCAAAACGACACCGGATTTTTACCGCCACTTGAGAAGTATTTGTGGAGCTAGTCATTGGACCCTGTATTTTCTAAAAGGCGCTTGGCCAGCCTCTGGCCGTCAACTTCTTTGAATCCTTTAGCCAATCCGACATAAAGTCGGCCCCAACGAATTTCATGGAGACTAAACATCATACTTTGAATAACCTATTTGCAGAGTTGAAAAATATGCACAAGCTAATCTTCTGATACGGCTTATTACTATGCCTTTAATGCTTTCTATGGAGAATGACAAAACATGACCTCTACACGCCTTGAGAACATCTACGGAGATTGCCACTGAGCATTAATTTGTTTCCTTCGGACCTGCAGAAGAAGAACCACAAGGTTAGAATTATCTCATAACATGAACCGAGCTAGAAGTCCTTCCGAGGAAAACAAAGGGGAAATTGAGACTTACCATTGGCGCTAATATGGCCACGCCTGCTGCCACCGCCAGGACAGTACCAATTAACTGCACTTTTCCAAATTCCTTACCAAGGATATCAAATTGTCGGCTCGGCGCAACCCTGGTGCCGAACACATCCAGGCCATAGGCAAACACCAAGCTAGTACTCTCCAACAGTGTCGGAGAGGTGATGACTTGATCAATACCCGCCACCTCGCGCTTATGCGTGATAATCCATTGCGGGTTGAATTCCAGAGTAGGGACATAGCGGAAGAGTCCTTCCTCGGCCTCAGCCGGGGTAGGGTCCCGGCCAAGCGGCCGTCGAGGGTCGAGGACCATCCGTGGGATAGCGACAATAGCGTTTGACGAGGATAGTGTACAGAGGAGTTCCCGCGACGTAATGCCTTGGCGAGTCTGGGTAACTGTCATGCCGGAGATTTCTTCGGGGATGCGGTACGCCTGCGAGATGACATGAGGTTGATTATCCGTCGCAGATGCATCGACGCTGGAATAGTTGTTACGTGAACCAAGCAGACCACGATCATTGGGAATGCTAGATTCGTAGAGCTCGGCAACGACAAGTTGGTATCCCTTGGAGGTAGCGCTAGTAGATCCCTCCACGACATCAGCCCAGAAAGCGTAAGTGAACCAGTTTTCTGACAAGGCCGAGGTGATGGGGCGCGAGGTGGCAACGCCCTCATGAGACGCAGTATAGAGCACATTTCCGGAAGTGGAATCGAGCAGGTGGAATGATAACGTCGATTGAGCGTCCGAGACTGTCGTGACCAGAAGCAGATTCGGATTGAGGTACTTGTACATGACGGAACGGTCTCCGAGCACTTTCCCAATAGATGCAACGGGATCATGGGCAGCTCTGGACGTCAACCCAACGATCCGCTCACCAGCAGGCGGGGCGAATTCCCATACAGGAACGGAAGACTTTTGTCCAGGAACGACTTGGACGCCCTTGGCGTTGCCGTTCTTGCCTTGGAGGACAATAACGGTACCTTCGCCGATGAGTTCGGGAGCCTCAATGGTCTCGTCTTCGTAAATGGACAAGAGGGACAGCTGGCCAGCCTCTTCAATGATGGCAGTACTTTCGACCTTGGCAGGCTTTGCCGGCTCTCTTTGCAGCACTTTGCCAGTCAAGACTTCAAGCGTCACCTGCTCTCCGGTACCACTGCGAATCTGCACAGCGTCACCGTTTACAAGCATACCCTTGACGTCCCATTTCTTACCCGGTCCAAGGTCAATGACCGTGGTAGCCCAAACAATCTTGCCGACATCACCAGAATCCAGTGCCAGCACCCGACCATTCTCTGTAGCAACCAGAATTAGCTTCCGGAAGCCAAAGCTGTCCGCGTGAAGACCATCCGTTGGGATTACATTATGATCTCCAAACAGAGAGCCAGCGAGCCGACTCGGAAGCCGTTGTATCCACGCAGGAAGACCCTCGAGATCCCGTAGATGCCGCTTGACTCGATGGATGTAGGCTGAGAGAACATTCTCGTGCCCCTCGACCTCCAGCTCGCGGGCCAAGTCTTTCTGTTCTTCGAGTTCGGCCCAGTCTGCTGCAACAACACCAGCCAGGTATTCAGGCCGCGACCAGTCGAAATCACCGTTCCTTATAAGCTGCCATTCGCCCGAGGTGAGGGTAACAGCTGATCTGACAGCATAGGTAGAGCCCGTCTTGGCAACAACTTCAGAGACACCGTGAACGGGTGCATCGATGGCCAGAGAAGCTCCTCGAACAGGCCACCGTCCAAGGATGCCGTGAGAAGCGGAAGAAACAAGCACAAACTCCTCTTGCGTGCTTCTTGTGAAAAACACATTCGCATCAACAGTAGTAGTCGAAAACGTGCCTTTACCAGCCAATTTGGGTAAGCTATAAGCCTTTGAGACCGTGCCTGCCGACAAATCAATGTGGTAGACCTCCGCCGAGTGCGAGCTCGGTGATTGATAATGGACCAAAAAGTGAGGAACAGAGTTGATAACATGGGGCGCGTGGAGAATAATCTTCTCGACCCTCTCCCCGCTCTCGCTAGGGACGTTAAAAGTGGATATCTGCCTCGACCCGAGAAGGTTGACTTTGAGTGTCTTGTGCGATGGATCTGTCCATGCAACAACCGGAAGAGCAGCATTAGATCCCACAAAAAGTATCAGGTCTGCCGAGGTCACATCGCTGTCGGTATTCAGAGTATATTGTCCAGTCTGAGCTCCAGTCAGGGCATCCAATGTAGTGACTTTGATTTTATAACCTTTGATGAGAGCGGGATGTAGCGAAATGTAGTAGATGCTTGTGGCCGACGAGGAGACTTGATAAGGAAGATCACCGCTGCGAGACAATTAGCATGCATGGCTCCAAAAGTCGTGAGGATAGATGAAATAAACTGTGCAATACCTTTGGTCCTTGAATTCCCACTTAACGTCACCAGTTGCCCCATCTAATCTCTTGACGACACCTTTCTCCGTGCCAAACAAAGTGACCACGTCTTTGGCCGGTCGATTGACTTTTCCTTCCTCAAGCTCCAAGACCTCAAGGTCTCTTGCCGGACCATCACCAAATACGTTTGACCAAACGAGTTTTCCATCTAGCGCACTCCAAGATGAAACATGATCTCCAATTGCGCCGACAACTGCATCTTCGTCCTCACCAGCTCTGAGGAAGGCATTAGTGGGAGGTAAGCCGTCACCGAGCACCTGCCGCCACACGAGAGATCCATTCCTTGGATTGACAGCGCCTAGTATACCTTTTTCTGAAAGCGTATAGAGCAGCGAGGCTTTGGACACTGATTGTGGTCGGTGAAAGAATGTGGTGTGCTCCTGTGGGGTCCCTAGCAATGCGTGATGGAAATCCGTGTGATACGCTTCATCCTGAAATACGGCGTAAACGGGCGATAGCAGAGACAGCACAAGCGCCGAGCTTGCGAAGAGGCGCATTATGACTCTGCTCTAAAGCTTCAGCGGTCACTGAATGCTTTATTCCATAAGGTTGTATCGTTTAAAACATAACACTACAGCAACGAGCTCGTCAGGGCGCCATTGTCATCTAGGTCGGAGCTCCAGGGTCGCTCGCCGACAGGCGAACGGGCCAACGCCGCTCCAACTCTGAGCGCGTCATGCTTCGTTGACAAGCCCGCCAATTAATCAAAAATCAACCAAGTGGTTACGATGAATTTAGTATTGTCATTATAATCATTGCCGCTGATTTGATTTGTGAATTATGCCTAACAATACTCTAGAGGATTCTCTCAATCAGACAAATGCCAGATAATCTACCCAATGCCCTTCAACAGCAGGGAATAAGCTTGCAGTAGTGACTGTGAATCGGAAGAAAGACATGAAAAGTATCTTCCGAGACTAGGCTGAACGGGCAAAGATAAAAATGGTGATAATAGCAGAACAATAACATAGGGTCGCTCCAGCATTATCAAAAATAAAACTACAATACCACAGCGCCTTGGTTGAGTCAATTTTTAGTCTCAAAGGAACGCACTGTTATCCTCCTCAGAAACCCTGTCCTCCATGTTGATACGTCGAGTGCGAAGGAAATTTTCAACCATGGCTTGACTGCCCGTAGCTGCGGAGCTTTCTACTGGATCGACATTTTCTCCTCGTCCTTGGCCTGAGAAAACTGCGCGTTGCAGTTGCTGGCCTGACGGCTCGAAAGGCTCGAGCATTGATTGCTTCAAGCGCCCCGCCGACGGGCCACCAGCGTAAGGGCTGCGTCTGGTCCTACCCGGGCTGTATCGCGTACGTCTATTGGCATTCTCTTGCGACTTGGGCGAACTGCTGTTTACCTTTACGGGAATTTCGATCGAGCCACGAGAGATATCCCTATTGCCCGCTGGCAAGCTCGATATTTGACCAGAGGAACCGGGAGTAAATGACAATGACTTAGAGATCGCATCGAGTTGACTAGCTTGTTTAGACTTCAATGGCGACACAGACGGATTTTCATTTTCATTTGCAGAAGGTTTTCGAGGACTAAGTTCACGCGCGGGGCTATTCCGTAGGGATCCCTGCCGTTTAGGCTCGACGTTGGTCTGAGACGAAGACCTGACTGTTAGAGGACGATGCCTATCGACACCCCCTGAAGGCAAGCGATCAGTTAACTTGTCGGACAAAAGAGGAGCTGAGGAAGATATAAGACCGGGTAATGGGATAGATTTGGTCTCTGATCCTTCCGGGTTAGCAATTTCCGTGTCTTCCTCGATCTGGGCATGTTCACGTCGATGGCCCTTGCGTCGTTCGGGATCAGAGATCAGACGAATCTTGTCAGTGTCCAAGGTCTCCAATTTCGCGACCTCGGAGGACATCCACGCTTGCCACTCTTGATTCGATTTATCAGATGAAACTCGAAGTGAGGGGAAAGTTTTCAACGATTTTGTTTGTGGTGACTGGATGATGGTAGCAGTTCCAGCCTCAAAAACCTTAGGATTGTCGTGATCATCCGGTAGTGGCGACTTCCCACCCGTTGTCCTCGAGTATATACTCATTGATTCTGCAACACTTTCTGAAGGATGAATGGAAATAGGCTCCAAATGGGTGCAGCCCGCGCGTTTCTGGATCACAATCCCCGAACTATCTCGACTAATACGCTGATCGGCTCTGGCGCGGTTGAAAGGACTTGGAGATACCATTCTACTCTCCGACGAATGAGGGTAGAAAGAAGATCTTATTTCACGCAGCGGTTGCCCGTGTTGGGTCTTCCGCGGTGAATGTCCCAACGTCTGCCGCACATAGACACCTGCGCTACTTGAATGATTTCCGGATGATCTAAAGTCCGGTTTCTCATTGTCATCATATACATACCGAAGTTGCGGAAACGATACTGACTTTTCCGGATGTAGATTCTCCGTCTCAGGCATCGTTTGAACACGTCGAATAGTCTGAAATGTCCGCTGGCTAAAGTCAGTGTTTACTCTCCGTGGAATCCCAAGACTATCGAAAGGCTCTCTGGAATGATTCCCGTCAATAGCAGGAAAATTCTGAATTCGTTTATATCTCTGACTGCTATTGTCGAGCCTTTTCATCAATGCCGAATATAGGCGCCTCGTACTGGGGATCTTAGGCTTTGAACTGTCCTCAATATCGTACATTGGATATTGAAAGACTGAAAGCCCACGCTCAACGTTCTTGTGTCCGGTTGATGACGATGAATGATACGGGCCGCCATCCTCATCGATGACAGAAAGTCGTTTCACATCGTTTGCAAGCCGGAGAGTGGTATCGTCGTCAACGGAGGAGCTCGACCAGCTTGTGACACGAGATCTCAGGTTGCTCCATGTGCCTTGAGTTTGAGAACTTCGAATACTGTAAGACCCATAACGCGAATCTCGATTCGATTGTTCGGGGAGGAGTGCTTCTCGTGAATGCATGCTCGAAAGGGTATGTCTATCCGGCAAAGGGACATTCCGGTAATGCTCATGAAACTCAGAGCTCGAGGGCATATAATCCTTAAAATAGGGACGATCGCTAGAAACATGCTGCCTCGGAACTTGTTTGGCACGACTACGGCGGAAGACGCGTTTGAAACTCGTTCTGATACTGGACGAGATTACTTGAGCGCGATGCGTAACGCCTACGCTATTTGCTGCGGTAGTATAATAACGATCTTCCAGTGATCCCATTCCAGATCTATTTTCAGTTACGGGTCCGCTGATATTCTCCTGAGCAAGCTCGGAGGGCTTCCGTAAAAGAACAGAGAAAAGCGACGATGACCGCGGCTTCATTCTCTGAGTTTCCAAGTCCTTTAGATACCGTTCCCGTGCTAATCTGATGACGGCATCTTCATGTTGGCTCTCCCCACGATATTCGTTTGACTGAGATCTGGAATGGCGCAGCGCTGGCGTAGATCTGCTATCCCTAAGCACGGGCTGCGAACTGGCAGGCTTATATTTGGAAAAGTCCCGCGAGATCTCGTGGCCATTTACCTTGGAGCAATCTCTAGACCCAGTGCTCCTGAAAATGTATGCAGATTTTGCTTTTCTCACTCGACGATACGAAGAAGGCAATGAACCAAGGCTGTTTTCAAAAGCCTCCTGAGCGTCGAAAGCCGACTCGGTTAGGTGACGGTCTTTAGCCTTACTGGAATGGTTCTGGGAAGATTCTGCGAATTTGAATGAAGTTCGAGAAGCCCTGCGTTTTTCAAAAGACGAACCGGAAGCACCGCGCTTTCCAAAGCGTAGATGACTCTGAGAAAGTGAGGATAAACGGGAGCTTTTCTTGCGTGCTAATGGATGGAAGTGACTTGTAGCTCTTGTTTTTCTTGAATTCTGCCTTCCTGGGAGCTCATTAGTCGCTCTCATCTCCCGCCCAGGGCCATTACTGCGACTGAAGGCGCGTGTAGCCGCTGCTAGTGCTTGACCCTTGGGAGAATTTGCCTCCGCGCTGTTGTTTCCAGGGATAGAGTGCTGCCGTGTGGAAACTGAAGACATGGATTTGGTTCTCGTCATGCGAGAAGATATTCTGCGAGATTGTCTAGAATGCATCTTTGCAGTTTTAAAATATCATCAAGAACATGCTATCGTACGAAGTAATGCTCTCACCAAACAAGCCATACTGATGTCATGTATCCGTATATTATTATAACAACAAGTGCGTATTCGAAAGGAAAAGATCACCCTAGGTAGACGTCATCCTGGCGGGTTAGTACTCTGAGGCGGATTGGGTCGTTATTTCCTTATATGGTGAGTTCCGTCAACAATGTAGCTGCGAAGAGCAGGAGCGACATAAATTGAAGCAACCTGGGAAAGTGTCTCCGACATCGATTGTTTGTCTTTGGTGCGTTAGTTGAGTTTCGTCATGCAACCAATCGTCGCCATTCAGATGTTAAAGGAAGACTTACTTGCTTGTGAGTCACGTTAAACCGCGTCGGTCTCGCTTTCGTGAAGGACGCTGAGGGCTTTGTCCACCAAGGAGAGTTGAAGAAAACAGATGGCGACGGGTTATAAAAGACTTTGATTTGGATAGACACTGAAAGCCCAGAGCATTGGAGAAAAAGATCAATTATTGGCATAAAATTTGAAAGACGTGCACTTGGTCTACTTATGCAGAGAGCGCAGTAACTATAATAAACGAATCCCTATCCCTCCTCTCAAACGATGATGTAGCAGACCAGCGAACGAAAAACCCAAACAAGACATAAACAAAAAGACAGGCCATGAGGACGCTTCACCGTTCTCCATGTAATGAGTATACCAGAAGCACATTCATAAGTTGAATGAGTTCAGCGAGCCGAATCGCAGATGCACCAATTGCCCCATTTATACAGAACACCGCCGACCGCATTTAGTCAGCTCGAAGCTCCTCAAAAATTCCCTTAAGCTCTTTGGCAACCAACTCCTCGATCTTCTCAGAGAGCTTCTCGGCCTTGTCAGCAAGCTTCTCAGAGCCAGAGACAACCTTGTGTCCAGCAGAGACCAGCTCCGCCTCAATCTCAGCGGTAGGGATTAGAACAGTGTTGGTGTCCTTGGTCTTGGCCAGGTAGCCACCCTCCTCAACGATTTCAGTGTAGTTAGAGGAGCCGCCTCCATTCCAGGCAAGAATCTAATGAACAAGTTAGCTAGGTTGAGAGAAAGGGAAGTAAAGCAGATAAAACGCACGTTCTTGGTGTTGCTAGGCACATCGGCCAGAGCACCCTCGGTTGCAATGCTGATGAGGTTGGCCTTGAGTTTCTTGGGAGTAATGTCCGCAACAGCATAGGCAGAGTCCTTAGAGGGCTGGAGTGAAAGGAAGTAGGCCAAGAGGCCAGCAATGTGGGGAGAAGCCATCGAGGTTCCAGAGATGGTGTTGACGGCGTACTTGCTGCCAATCCAGGTAGATTGAATGTTCAAACCAGGAGCAAAGATGTCATTGCACTTTCCATAGTTGGAGAAGTAGGCACGCTCATCAGCAAGGGTTGAAGCGCCGACAGTAACAGCCTTCTCGGCGGCAGCAGGGGAATAATTGCAGGAGTCAGCATTGTCGTTACCAGCAGCAACGGCAAAGTGGATGCCAGCGTCAACCGCGGCGTTGACAGCAAGGTCCAAGGTTACAGACTTTCCGCCACCCAAACTCATGTTGGCGGCACTGCCCTTGAACTTCTTGCTCTTACCACCCTTGGCGGCTTCTACCTTCTTGATATGGCTTTCAGCAGCGTACTCGACACCCTTGACAACGTCTGACATGGTACCTGAGCCATTTGAGCGCAGAACCTTAACGGCGATGACGTTGGCCTTCTTGGCAACACCAAACTTCTTGCCGGCAACTGTGCCGGAGCAGTGAGTACCGTGACCGTTACCATCTTCATCGGCATCGTTGACAGGGATTGTCTTGCCCCAAGCCGCACGACCCTCAAAGTCGACGTGGTCAACGTTGGTGCCAGTGTCAATGATATAGACATCGACACCCTCACCGCCGTCTTCGGAATAGAGGTACTTGTTAAAGGTACCGAAGCTTAAGCTGTCACGGTGGGAGATACGAGCAAGACCCCAAGGAGCATTTTTCTCGAGAGAACCCCCCATAGTGTGAACCTCGGCATCTCTCTCAATGTAGTCAACCTAAAGATCCACATCGTTAGCCAAAGCTAATTGAAGCGGAAGATGTATGGAAGGGGGAGGGGGGTGGCAAATGCTCATTTGGTGCTTTGGTCACGCCTAAGGTAGGGAGCAGCCGCCTATGCTGCGCCACAGCGAACTCCAGAAGAAGTAATGGCGGGCCGGAGAGGGACGAATAGAGAAGGACGGGAAGAAGGGAGCTTGTAGTATGATTGGAGTGGGATGGAGGGGAGTGCTGGAGATGACTTGAGCTATATCCCAAAAAGTGACTCACATCAGGGTGCTTGCGGACTTGTTCAATGACATTCTCATCGAAGTGTCCAGAGTAACCTAGAAGGGCACCATTGCCAATATTGTAGGTATGCTTCAGACCCTCAAACACAGAGCTTGTGAAAGGAGTCTGAGACCGCTTGCGGAGCTCGGTCCTGGCATCCTCGCTCGAGAGGTGAATGTCTTGCACCCAGTCATGGTGAGCAGCTGCGGAAGTATGCGAGACATGCTTCTTGAATACAACGATGTATGAGTCTGGCACCTCATTTGCTTGAGATGAAGAAAGGATAGGAGCAGCCTCGTTGTGAATGGTGCCAACGTTGAGCACTGGTGAGGCTGACGCAATCAGCGGCAACAACGAAAGAGTGAGGAAACTCCTCATGGTGAAGCTGTTGAATGACGACACAACAAAGATGAAGAAAAGAGAAGAAAGATTCAAGAGAACGGTTGAGAGATGCGCAGCGAGAGCAAGAGAGGATGAAGAGAGAGAGAGAGAGGGATGAGGAGAAGTTAAGGAAGGATGGAGGTTGGTCACTCGGTCAAGTTGGTTTAGATAAGGTAGGCAGGGTAAGGTAATGGAGGTGAGCTTGCTGGTCGTGTGCTACGGCTGCCTCATGATACAATGAGTTCCCCGTCCGCCACTAACCCGGAACCGCCCTGAGCTAACCCGCTTCCGTACTCTTATCGGCAAATCGGAGTGTGTGCTGATACGGACTCATGTACGCATTTACCTTGGCTGTACGGATGTTTCCTACATCATACCGCTTAGACTCCGCAGTATAGCCGGAGTATGCAGTACCCCCCTGTCTGGACTGTGCACATCGCCTCCACCCTGCTGCGTGTCCTCGAAAGTTGGCTGGACTACAATAACTGTCCGGCAGGGACAAGTCGTACTCTACCTACCTGAGTTTAACTTGTTGCTCTCTACTTTGGTAGGGGCGATAACCGTGCGGTGGGGCGCCGATTGCTGCCTGCCTCTCGCCCTATGCGGATACGTACCACTCTAGGAACCCTACGGAGGACCTTAAGTCGCTCAACACTTTAGTGGCCCTGAACTGCGCTGAACACTCTATCCGTCTACCGAAATCTTATCGACGTAATAGCTGACTCAGCAGATCAGCTCCGGCCATGCTGCCTTGAAGCAAAACAACTCACCGGCCCGGGAAACGTTATTGGCCGCGAAGTTGGATTGTACGAAGATGATATTGATTGTCTTGAGACGGGCAGAATACTTACTGTTCTAAAATTTTGACTGAGTAGCGTTGCCGTTGACGAATCACTTCCTATGAATCAGATATCTAACATCATTAAGGCGAGACCGCGGATTATACTCGGTAGCTTAGAGTACCTACCTCCTTGACAATCATCGATGTTGCTGAGAGAGCATTCATGCTTTATTTGAAGACTCTGCGGGTTAGTGGCCATGACGAGTGTAGCCAGCCGCCATCGGTCATCTACCGCTGTGTCCGCGTCAGCTTCCATTGCGCCAGTCATTGCGGAGCTGCGGCCCGCAGTTGAGGCCTTGAACACCGATTCGAGGGAACATGTCCACCCATCTGTGACTGATCTTCGTACAAAGATTGATAAAATCCGTCAAGTTCGTCAACAGCTTCGCAAAGTTGCGTATCCCGGCCAGGCTCAAGACGCCTTTCGGCATCTTCATGGCTTCGAGGCTGTTCTTGAAGCCATCCGCTCACTTTCTGGATTTTACGACACTCAGAAACTATCGAACACTCAGCGCACGGACTTCTTTGAGCTTCTTGATGAAGCACTCCGTACTTTGTCCGATGCGCTCGAGCATCACTGGGGAAACCGGCGATACTTCAGAAACAAAGTTGGCGGTTGGGCAAGCTTGGAGCAGGTGCTTGCCAGTACAGGAATTGGCGGTACCACAGATATAGAACATGTGCTTGCCGATCAGGGAAAGATTTTTGCCGTCCTTCTAGCGTTTGCATTTGGAGATGATACCCCTAAAAAGTATTTCGAAAGCATTTTCAACTTGAGAGGTCCTTTTGAAACAGGAGCACAGGAGCTCGCGGATAATGAGGCCAGCGGATCTGATGAGAAAGTTGGCCCCCGCAGAAGCAATTACCGGTCTGTGGTCGAGGAGCAAGCGAAAGATTTCTTCGGCGCTTTCACATCTATCCAAAATCCAGAGATGGTTGCAATTGTACTCAATTTCTGGCTTGCCTTTCCACGCGCCCCCAGAGAGACGCAAGAACCTAACATAACCTCACTTGCTCTTGTGGCAGCGCTCAGATGGATTGCGGAATCATCCTTCCACAACCTAGCAGCTTTGCACTCAACGAGGATTCTCAGCTCTATCATTCCGCATTTATTTGACAAGTCTCTACATCCTGTTGAAGCCGACACACTACGATCACTGGCTGTAACATTGGCGGGCTTGGGCGTGAACAAGTTGCAGGACAGCCAGTTCCTATTCAAAAATGCCATTCATTCTCCGGAGGTAGCTGAATTTCTTCTGCAATCCGTCCGTGTTTCTCGGGCCCCTCCTCTCATCCATTTCGACTTATCCTTACATGGGCATTCCTCGGTGGAGTTGCCTGATCTTGGTCGAAATTTTCCTCCGATTTCTCCTAGTGCTGGCTATACATTCACTGCGTGGCTAAGGGTCGATACCTTTGACTCCGAATCACATACAACTGTGTTTGGGGCATTTGACACCAGTCAAACCTGTTTTGTATTGATTTATCTTGAGAAAGACACACGAAATCTGATCCTACAGACTTCCATTAGATCCACTAGGCCGAGTGTACGTTTTAAGTCAACAATCTTCGAGCAGGGCGTTTGGTACCATATTGCTGTGGTCCATAGAAGACCTCGATCTGCCTCTTCAAGTCGCGCTTCTCTCTATGTTAACGGCAAGTTTACGGAGCAAGTTAGAAGCCACTACCCTTGTATTCCACCAGCTCTGAACACAAGCACCGAAAGTTTCGCTTCCTTGACCTCAAGCAGCAGACACAACCCAGTACAAGTGTTTCTGGGAACGCCACAGGATCTCTCAAGCAATATTGGTCGCGGGCTTGTCTCTTCCAAGTGGTCTCTGGCGAGTTCGCATCTCTTCAATGATGCCCTTAGTGATGACCTCATCGCTGTATATTATCAGCTTGGTCCTCGTTATAGCGGCAATTTCCAAGATTGCTTGGGCTCTTTTCAGACATATGATGCGTCAGCTAAGCTCAACATGCTGAATGAATCGAGACACCCAGGAAAGGAAGACAGATCAGACATAGTCGCAGCGATTCGATCCAAAGCAAGCACTCTTTTACCAGAGTCACAAATCTTATTTAATATCTCTCCCGTGGCTGTATTATGTGGTGACCAAAACCATCTAAATAAGCCCCAAATCATTGCTGGACTATCGAAACAAGCTGGCAGGAGCTTGCAACAATTGACACGCGCAGGGGGCAATCCGATTGTTATAAACGGCGCCATACCAGCAATCAACGATGCGCTGACACTGTCTAATGGCGTGGCGATACTTACAGGCGAACCGGCCGTGGTCATTCCGGAATCTCTCGACAACGATAGCTGGCGCCTAAGTGGATGCTGTTCTGTGGGTCTCAAGCTTATTGAGAACGCAGCGACCCCGAGTGACCTCCTCCTGGCTGTAAGAATTTTCTTTGAAACTGTTAAAGACAACTGGAGAAATAGTGAGGCAGTGGAGCGTGAAAATGGCTTTGGGATTCTCGGTGCTATCCTGCGTGGGAAGCTCGGCGGGGGAATGACGATGGGTTCAGCAAATCCTGTTACCTTTGACACCGACGATTCCACGACCCATGAGCGTCTCAGTTCCGGATTGTTGAGTTTGATCCTTGATTTTGTGGGTTACGATCGCACTGATCCTTCCGAGTCTATAATAAACAACCCACTTGCCTATCGTGTTTTGCTAGTCGATCTTGATCTTTGGAGAAAGACTGGCTGTGACACCCAAAAACTCTATTATAACCAGTTTGTTACGTTTGGAGTCCAAAGCAAGTATCGGCACTTTAATTTGAAACGGCTATCCCGCATGAGTAAGACACCTGAGACGGAATGTGATCTATTACAGTGTTGCTGAACTGTTCTGCAGGAATCGTTAAGAAATTACTAGAGGCAATGAAGACATCGACTTTTCCAAGTGCAGTAACGGAAGATTTCCTGGCTGCTTTCAAATTTCTTGTCTCGTCCTGTCTCTCAGCAGAAGTTCTTCGATCCCTTGCTCTGTTCATCACGTATGCTCTCCACAAATCAGAAAGCATTACTCCAAGAACCTGGACAAGAAAGGCCACCATGCCTTTACGCCAGAATTCTACAAAAAGAACACTTCGCACAGCTTCTTCACATGGTTCTTTGAGTCAATCCGCTCAACCAAGTGCCCCGACTGAGACACAGGATCTATCACGTATGCAGCTGGGAATAAGGATTTTAGAAGTTTATGCCGACTTACTCTGCAACGAAGACGGCACTGTACTGATCAAAAAGTTTGCTAGAACTGTAACAAATAAGGTACGTTTATACCAAGGTCGATATTCCCTGTTCAACTGCTAAAAAAGATCGCAGTGGCTTCTTTTTCTTCTTGCTGAGGATGAGCCTCGTGTCGTTCTTCTAGGCGCAAAGATATTGAGTCGGCTCCTCACTATTCACGGAGCTAGTTATGTGAAAAAGTTCGCCGATAAGTCTGGAGGCTTTGTCATTATGCGACATAGACTGAAGCGTTGGTGGAATATACCGACAATTTGGCCCATATGCTTTGCACTACTTTTCAACCATGACGTTGGGAAGATAGAATTTGGCAGGTCATTCGATTTGTATAGTCTTCTTGATATCTTCGGTCCGAATACACAGGTTATCTATCCGGAGGTCCTACCCGTGATAACCTCTATGATACAGAGAGGAGTGAAAGAGATTGTACAAGATTCTGGTTCATCTGCAACTGCTCCGCAGAATGTCTCTTCCGCAAATGAGACGATGCTTACTCACACTGGGATGAACGTGGAGCACGCGCGACGCCCCTCTATGGATTACAATACCGAGCTTTCTTCATGTGAGATGCTGCAAATTCTTCCCTACTTGGCGAAAAGAAATTACTGACATCTTTCTAGCACGAAAACCGTTTGACTTCAATGTAGACCGTAGAGCTATCATTCTGCATACGGTAATCCACTTTCTGGCCGATATTCATAACAAATCTCCAAGCTTTCGGCAATTTGCGGCAAATTCGAATTATATCCAGGAAATGTTGTTTGTTCTTTATCCGGTCATTGTCAGCTCTGATACAGTCAGCGCGGAAACTGAACTGAATTCTCGAGGTTCTGCCTTGACTTTTGATGGCGGCGATGTAGTGATCCGCCCAATTTCTCGAATTGAATCACAACCATCTCCTATCGTCCGGACAATGAATGTTACTTCGCCACCAAGTCCTAACCTTCAACGAGCCTATCCGCTGCGGCGAGGTTCGTCTTTCGTCCTGGTTACATCACATCAAAAACAACACAGTCCCTCCTCTGCAAGACTAAATCCTGTCATGTCTCCGAAAACGTCACAGTCAATAACTTTGAACGTAAGCAACACCATTGTGGAAAGCTTAATGGAGTTGGTTACGGCCGTCTTCATGGAGCAGGTTCTGGAACGGAAAGAATTTCCGGGATTCGGATTGTTTTTGAGAGTTCCTCCTGGCTTTCAGGAGCATCAGGCTTACTTCGAGTCATACATACTCCGAAACACACTCTCCCAATTAAACAATCACTTACAGCTCAATAGAAGTCTTCTTTGGGAGCCAAGAGTGATTAACAATTTGTACCGGCTTTCAGCTCACTTGGGGGAAGCAGTCTTCGAAGGCTGGTTTCTTAGCGGAGCTGAACCGTTACTAGAATTTGCAGGCACAGTCCTGGAATATCTACAACGACCAGACGTGGGACAAACAAAAGGCGTACGCCTTTGTAGTCAAGCCATCGGGGGAATCAGAGCCGTATTTCTCCGGGTTGTACTGCTACGTCTCTCGGAGTTGGATGATACGGACTCCGAGGAAGAGGTAGTATCCTTTCTTGACAAGATGATGTATTGGCAAACCATCATTCTGTCGCCCGAAAATACGGAAGGCGACTTTCTACGGCTCATCTGCTATCTTCTCTACACGAAATTGATACGTGATGAGGAGAATATTCGCTTGTCGGCGGCAAATCTTTGGCGTATACTTCTAGTCCAGAAACCTAACGAGACTTCTCTAGTTTTCAATCAAGCTACTACGGCTGACCAGAAGTATCTTTCTTCTGGATTCAGGAAGCTAACGGAGCTCGACAACGAAACCTTTATTTCATGGGTCGATAATCACCGCGAGGACCTTGATGCGTTTTTCTTTGGAGCAATGTCGAAATCATGGGAATGTTTTGTGCAGGATGAGAACCGGAGGACTGAAGAAACAGCAAAGACAAGGATTAGCAGGAGAAGAGAGAGACTTCGCATGTGGATATCCGAGGAGCTTGCTGATGATGATATATTGCATAAGCATGGTATTGCTCGAAATCATTGGATGGCAAACATTTATGCCTCTGAACATTTGAAGCACCAGCGTGCATTACAGGACCAACAAGACGATTTCGCATTCTTAACCTCTACTTTCAATCGACTCGACAGGGACCTGCGCCGGCCATGCGGCTTACTTGACGCCGGCAATGCACAAAAGTGGCAGCTAGATCAGACTGAAGGGCGGAACCGTATGCGTCTTCGATTGGTGCCCGATACTTCAAACTATCAGCAGGATTTCCGACCGAAGAGGAAACAATCAACCATGACTCTAAGGGCAAGACCTAGAGCTGATTCCGAAACGCCCATTGATATCAGCGGCAGCAGGAGCAAGTCTTTGACTCCAACTTCGCCCGGAACACCAACACTCAATGGTCGAAGAGCTCGGGCCTTCAGCGAGCTCAGCCAAGGACAGGAAGATGGCGACGAAGCATTTGAGATTATTGATGACCCAAAAGACGAGGATGGGGGGTACGAAGACAAGAACCGTAAAGTTATGAGAAGCCTGCAGCGTGGAGATCAAGTCCAATTGGTCTACAATGTATCTCGAATTGTTGGCTTGGAAGCTTGCGAAGGCCTTTTGATCATTGGCAAGAACTATCTTTACCTATTGGACAACTTCTTTCAACGGTCGGACGGAGAGATTGTAAACGCCTGGCAAGCTCCAAACGAGGAACGTGATCCGTATCTTCAAATGATCTCTGGCCGGAATCCTGGTGAGAACAGACCGCGAAATACAAGAGACCATGAATCTCGGGATTGGAACTGGTCAGATGTCATCAGTATTTCGAAACGACGATTCCTTTTCCGTGACGTTGCAATTGAGGTCTTCTTTAGAGATGGCCGGAGCTATCTACTGACCACTGTATCTCTTTCTTTGAGAGACGAGGTTTACTCTAAACTTATTTCAAGGGCTCCGCACGTCATCGGAAACGCGCCATCACCTCATCCAGAAGATTCTTGGCGGATTGAAGCGTTGAAAAGCCCAGAAGATGTTCCTCAGACGTTGGGATCTAAATTTGCCAATGTTTTCGCGTCAAACTCATATCTTCCTGCAACAAGAAAATGGATGAAGGGAGAAATTTCCAATTTCCATTATTTGATGCTTGTGAACACCATGGCCGGGCGGACTTTTAACGACCTTACGCAATATCCCGTCTTCCCCTGGATTTTGGCCGATTATACAAGCGAGGAGTTGGACTTGAATAACCCTCGAAGCTTCAGAGATTTGTCTAAACCAATGGGTGCACAAAGTGCGGAACGCGAAGCCGAGTTTCGAGATCGGTATGCATCTTTTGCCGAAATGGGGGACCAGGATTCTCCTGCTTTTCATTATGGAACGCATTACTCTTCCGCAATGATTGTCACGTCATATCTGATTCGTCTTCCGCCTTTTGTTCAGTCCTATTTGCTTCTTCAAGGCGGCAATTTTGACCATGCAGATCGGCTTTTTTATTCAATTGAGCGGGCCTGGAGTTCTGCGTCCAGGGATAACATGACCGACGTCAGGGAACTTATTCCCGAATTTTTCTACCTGCCGGAATTTCTTACCAACCCGAACAAGTTTGACCTGGGACTAAGGCAAGGTTCAAATGAGCCCATAAATCTGGTTGCTCTTCCGCCATGGGCCAAAGGCGACCCAAAGATATTTATCGCCAAGCACAGGGAAGCCTTAGAGAGCTCTTATGTCAGTGAGCACCTACATCAGTGGATCGACCTTGTCTTTGGCTTCAAGCAGCAGGGTGAAGCGGCGCTGGAAGCCACTAATGTGTTTCACCATCTTTCTTATCGGGGCGCAAAGGACTTGGACAATATTGAAGACCCATTGGAACGGCTTGCTACCATTGGCATCATTCACAACTTTGGACAAACTCCTCATCAGGTTTTCAGAAAACCACATCCACAACGAGAAGACCTTTCACGACAGCCAAAAAAGCTTGAGGCTACGGCCGCGTCCTTGACCAGGCTTCCATTTCCGCTGCTAGGTAAAGATTGGCCGATCCCTACACGTAAAGTTTGATTTGTCTAATCAGTCAGCAGAGAGCAATGAACGAGTGGCTTCACTTCTATTCTCACCGAAGCACGATCGCCTGCTGTGCTCAGCGGCATTTCGGCTGAACGTGCCACCAAACTATGATCGGTACATGGAGTGGGGCTTCTCCGACGAGAGTGTCAGATTCTTTTCTACGGATAGTAAAAAGGTACATCATGTTGTCTAATTACAGCATGAACCTCGCTGTGAAGAATTTTGCTAACATTATTTATAGCTTATTGGGCTCTTTGAGCATCTCCATCAGGGCCAGCTTTCCTGTGCTCAATTTGCCGATTCGAGAACCCTTATCACTGCTGGCATGGATTGTACCATCTCCGTCTGGCTAGTTATATCTGGATCAAGAAGCGTAGACTTGCAACCAAAAGTGACTTTATTTGGTCACCGAGCGCCTGTCAACGTCCTCGCCGCTTCTCGCTCCTTTAGCGCTCTACTTTCAGCATCTAGTGACGGCCAAGTCATTTTGTGGAATCTCAACCGGTTGGAGTTTGTACGGAAACTGGCGACTGGTAAACATGTGGATGTAAGCTACCCTCTCTATTTATAAAAATGTTTACACGAGTTTTGCTCACCAAAAATTCAGTGCGCTCGCATTAACGATGTCACTGGGCAAATTCTGCTTTGCTCAGGGCAGCACGCAAGTCTCTATACACTTAACGGAGAGCTCATGCTTGAACAAAAAGTTTGCGAATCGGATGACGATGATATCCTGTCTTGCGCATTCTACGAAGGAAATGGCAGCGAGTGGCTGGAAAAGAATCTTATCTTCACTGGTCACAGGTGGGGTGTTGCAAAGGTACGCATTTCGATCATCTAGCATTTTTATATGGCATTCTGGAAGACTGACGCCTTGAACTGTTCATAGGTATGGGAAGTCACTATCAGGAATGGCAAATTCGTACTCGATCTCGTCAAGCAATTGAATCATGTCGATGCCAATAACGAAGATGGCTTTAATATTTCTGCGGCGATTACAGCCATTTTGCCCATGTCGCAAGCAGTATATGCCGGGGATGAAGATGGTCGCGTGGTAAGTTTTATTTCGTTGTCCCATTGACTTTTTTCCCCTTTTTATTTTTTATCTTTATTTTATTTTCTTTTATTTTCATTTTCACCTTTTCACCTTTTCGTCCTTTTGCCTTTTGTGTCTTCTTAGGAAGAGACCTTTTTGGCATCGCAAAGCTAACACTTTAATACCCAGTACGAATGGGACATTGTCCAACGCCAGGAAAGCTACTTGGGCCGATGACCATAATGATCCTCGCGCTATGGTCGTAGGGAAGATTGAGTTGAACTAGTTTTGTTTTTTTTATCCCTCCCTCTAATACAGGCATTTCCTGGAACAAATACACCGAATCCAAATGAACGCCTTTTTTTTTATCCTTTAATATTCCTTAGCTTGTGGTTCTTTCGAACCTTTTTTTCTTTTTCTCTTCTCTGATTGGCATTTTCTCTACTGTCCACGCCTTTCGGCCTCTCATCGCAAAGTCCATGTCCTTTCCACCGCACTCATGTTATAGCGTATACATTAAGTTAGCTCTTCACTATTTGTATTTTTTGTCTCTTCGTAAATATTTTGTCCCTTGTCGTGTATATTCCTTTTTTTCTTTTTTCCTTTGCCTTTTTCTCCTTCAACCCTTTTCTATTTTCGTCCATTCTTGCGCGCTTTCTCGGTCTCTTTTTAATTTCATTTTATGTTAGAGGTTCTTTTTTTTTGTGTCATGCGTGGTTACCATTTCCCCTCCTTCTCCTTTACATGCTAGCGAAGATGTTAGATTCAATGCATGATGACCAGCGTCGAGTAATATAGAAATGTAATCAATGACATTGACCTTTTTTTTTTTCATCCCGCCGGACGATTCTCAATATATATTTGTCGAAAAGTTAGTGTTTCTTTATCAAATATAATTCTACTCCCATATCACGTGCATTCCACAAATTAAGTCGGAGTCAATAAGTTCATTAAGTCACTGAGTAGAGCTTACGAAGTTTACGCGTGACAGTCTTGTAAAACTTTTTTTTAAACGGATTTCAAATTTGACTCTTTTAGGCAGAAAAACTCCTCGATAAGATTTGGTAGAATAGAATGAAAATAAAATGGGATATGGAAGAGGAAAAATAAGTGGGAAATTTTGGAAATTGGAGATGGAAATGAGAAAGGAAAGAACCACACCAGACCAGACCCTCTGATGCGAGGAGATTTAGATGAAAAGAAAATAATAATAATAATAATATCCAACCCCGGAAGCCCGGCATAGCACAGCTAGCCACGGCAATAGAGGGGCGGGAGAAGGTAAGCAGTTGCGAAACACCTAGGTATCTTTTTGATCGCAGAACACACGGATAACAAAGAGGTAACGCAGATGAAGAGGATCGGTGATGAATAAAAGAATATAATAGGACCAGGTCGGAGGATAATGGGAATCTGGATTTGAAGGAACAAAGGGAAGACGTGATCGGCGTTAAAAGTGTTCGAGTGAAAAAGGTAAGGTAGGCGAGGCGGGAAAGAAGACGAATAGTCGGAGAGTTGGTTAAAAAAGGTGGCGGAGACGCAGGAGCGATCAGCAATGGATGGAAAACTCAGGGGGGTTCCTGAGATTTAGCTGCACATTGATTTTGAAGAAAGGTCCTGTTGTGCTCCAGCCACACTCCCCGTCCTGTCGCGAATAGCTGGGACTTTTGAGCTGAGTCGCGAAATGGACAGATGGAGAGTAAACTTGGAACGACGTGTCTTCGCCCATGTGCAATGAAGAAGGGAGCAGAAGCAGAGGGCTTTGATGCTCTGTTGCTCACACGGTCTCGGGTTTAATCTCGCCAAGTGCCAGCGAACTCTCTCAACCATTCGTTCAGAGCAAGATGAGATAGTTGGACGGCGCAATTCCAGTGTCGCCGTTCTCCTTCTTTGCCTGCCACCAGCGGCCACTGACGTCGGATACTTCGAGAATCTCGTGCTTAGAGAAGCTAATCTCATTGGCATCCTCTGGATTGGCTTCGTAAGAGTAAATGGCCTTGGCACGGTAGGGGTACTCGGTCGGCGCAGAAATATCGCCTTCGTTGTTCGCGCCGGTACCGCTGGGTGGCGTAGAGGATTGCGGAATGCCGAAGCGGGACGAGCTGCGCTGATCAGCACTGCTGCCACCAACCGGGCCGCCAGGGAAAGCTGAGACCGGAGACGCCGTCTCAAAGCCACTCAATTGAGCGGACGTGTACATTTGCGGGGCATGGTTTGAGGAAACGGAGGTGTCGGGACGGCCGTTGCCAAAGGCGTGAGACATGGGCTGGCTGGCGCGAGAGGAGGGATGGTGGTCTCTGTGCAGAGCAAACGAGTCGACGTAGGCACGGTGAGTGGCCTGCGGGGTAGATCCAAAATAAAAAATCCAGACAATCTGAGGAGTTGTTAGCGATGGTCGGGGCAGTAAAGGGTTGAGGTTGGGGAGAAAGTCAAGAGAGCGCCGACATACAGAGATCATGGAGAGCAGAATGTGTCCAGCAGCTACGGCTTCCATGCCAGCATCGGGAGAGTAGACCAAGTTGTTCACCACCGACGACGTCAGGACCAGCCCGGCCGCGAGGAAACCAACAATCTAGAGACCAGCGGGTCAGCAGGGTTCATCAAAGAAGTCTGCGGAAAGGACGACCCAGGGTAGCGAAGACACTTACAGCAACATGATAGGTGTGGATTGCATCTGATGCCACCGCTATTGCGACACCTAGAATGCAGAAGAACATGTAGACAACTGCCCACCAGCCAAAGTTGGGGAACTTGAGTTTAATGTCTGAAATAACGGAAGCGATAAAGGCAAGGAGCCACGCAAGCTAATGAACCAAACACCTGTGATTAGCATGGTTGCCTGATCACAACAGACCGGTGTGGGATCGGTATTCTACTCACGATCGCAATGGAAATGGTTGCCAATGCAAACGGGTCTCCGAGAATGTTTGCAAAGCTAAAATTGTTACGGGGCACCCGCCGCCGGGAGTCAAGCGCGTTCATTTTGCTGAAAGAGGGCGATTGCAGTGAGCCGTAGGAGGGCATGGATAAGCGCTTTCGAATGCTCCGCCAAGGGGAGAAGAACAGAGGGCGAGAGAAGAAAGGTTTAGTGATGAGCAGGAGTAAAAGGGAGTGATGATGATGATGTCGATTGGAAAGAGCGTGAAGCAGCGATTGAAGGCCGTTAGCTGCAAATGAGAGGATTCACGACAGAGAGCGTAAGTGAATAAACGATAGACTATTGACGTCGAGCCTTTGGATTCGCGCCTATTCCAGTTATGAAAATGTCGTCGTACGGACAAAGGCCAAGAATCATCGAAATTAGAAATGGAGTCTGGGGAACGATTCGGTTTATCGATGCGTAACGATGGACGAGAGAATTGGAAAGGCAGACTGGTAGTGAATGAAAGAATAGTATCCAAGGGATCGTCAAAGAACTACGAAATGAGGGGTTTAACGATGGGCTGAGAAGGACAATGGTCGGAGGATCGATACGCCTGGAGGATGCGAAGACGACGTTGATCCTGAGACAAATGGGGGATGGAGTTGCTGTCTGGGCAAGGGGAAATAACTTCGTCTGGTGGTAGGGGAGAGGATGGAGTGGGGAGCGATGATAGGTCGATTTCGGTTGGATGCGGCGGCCAGAACTTCTCCAGTTTGAATGCAACTTTCAGGGGTCCCCAACTGAGACGGGCACGAAAACGACACCAGCGTTCGAATGCGTGTTTCAGACAAGGTCTGCGCTTCTTTTCATTTAACTACCCACGTACGAACGATGGCCGTATGTAAGATGGAAAGTAAAAGAGAGCCGGGAGAGGAAAATAAAAAGGCAGGCTTAGCAATTTTTGATCAGAAGGGACCAGACAAATGATAAACCTTCAACAAAATGCTGGGTCATTCATAGGCGATGGAGGGAAGGCCACCGGGCTATGCTGGGCTCCAAGAAAGGATAGAATTGCATTGATCACCACACCCACAGTAACATACGGTAGTGATGCATTTGACGCTGAGAGGACGCGCAGACACCGGACGCCTCATCCCCCGATTTAGTTCGGGTAGGCAGGAGACTTAACTACGGTAAGTATAACAGTACGGGGGTGGAGACGGGCTTGGACTCTCTTAGTACTTTGTAGTTACTCGTCCACTGGTTAACCTATCCACCAGGCCACCCCGGTCTCAACCGTCAGTGGCTGATCGGGACGACGGGCGTGAGGTTATTTGCGACCGTAAAAAAAAAGGAAGAAAAAATCTTTAAAGCGAAAATCGCAATAAGCACGAGGCGTTGACGCGCAAGGGGCCAATATTCAACACATGACGAGAGCTAGGAATGAGGTGTGCGTCAACAGGTAATATCACGTTGTTGAGAACTGAGAAACAAAAGGAAGAAAGGGAACAGTTGAAAGGCCATTATCCGTGATTCTTTCCCTTGCCTCGCTCTTTTGTCCAACCTCCTCGCATAAGTTATTAAGAGTACCTCGCTCTTATTGCGCCACGCGTGATATGCGACTATCGCTACCCAGCCAGCGCCACACAGCTCCCCAATTATCCTGTCGGCAATCATCTGCTTCCCTTTTGACAGCAGTATCTTTGGACACAGCCTGATGATCAGCACTCATCTCTCCCCAGGGTTGAAAGACGATAACTTTCGTCAATTATCAAAACGCTGATTGGTGGCCTGGTTGCCCACCATGCCGACATGCCGTCGGTTGCGTCAATCTTGTGTCTCTAAACATATCGTGTCATATATGCCCCAAAATACCTCCATAGTCTGAGTCCATTGATTGACTGCATTTCCAATTTCCATGTCCAAGTGCTGGATATCCGGTCTGATCTAGAAGGTTTGAATAGTGCCTATTCAAACTGTCCAGCACATCTAAAGAGGGTAGCACTGATGGGTTTCAGTCAAAATACTTGACGAACCGATGTCTGTACGGTCAGCTGACTTCACCTTGATTCTAAACAAGTATTTGGAGAGATCCTTGTCGGATCCGTAAGATTGAATTTCCCATGTTTTCTTGTAAAATGTAACCCAAACCCTTCGGAGCCGTAATGGCTCGATGAACGCTAAACCTGGTATAAGGGCATCCTATCCGCGAAACGCCTGGCCATGCTTGCGAAACAACTACCTTATAAAATTGAGCCATGGAATTGCAGACTACCTTAGATAGGCCAAAAACAATATGCAATGCGTCGGCCGAACACGTTGCTTTTATATCGCGCCATCTCCAGCCTGGCGAACTTCTTCCCGGCGGATTTCTCGCTCCACCTGGGCAGTTCGATGCTCCCAGTCAGACCAGCACTCATTCCCAGCCAAGATCATGAGTTTGTACCATCGCTCAATTAGCGCCGCGCTCTTCCGTCGTAAATGTGCAATCTCCTGCAACTGCTCCATCTGCACCTCATTCACGCGGTCAATGCGAGGTTGAAGACCAATCATCGAAGTGGAAGCCTTTGCAGCGGGAAGCGGCAAGTCCCTAACTGAAGCTAATTGTGAAGCAGTAGTCGCATAGAGGCTTGCACATGCGAGGACTATCTGGCGGAGCATCGGATAACTCAATGTGGGCGGGGCTTCTTCTGATGGTGATGCTTGGAAAAGATCGGAATGTCGAGCCTCTAGAGATGAACATCTCATTAACATTGAGTGGAACAGGTCATTTAGAGAAAAGGAGTCGTACGTAGCTTGAGAATATCCCTTACCACTCCAGATCTGGAGGAAAGTCTTTCAAGCTCTTCCTCCAACGCCGACAGGCGGGAAAGGACAGTTCCATTCTCCTCCGTGTGTGCCGTAAGTCGCGCAGCGGGTACTGTGCCTCCACTGAGGACATATGAGAGGTTCTGGAGACGCTCCTCTAAGAGACCAATGGTCTCCAGAGTCATCAGATCTGGCGAAGGGTTATCTTCCTCCATGGCGATGTCCAAACTGCCCAGGATCTCTTGGCACGAATTGGCCAGATGAACAACCAAACCCCGGCGGAGAGATACAGTTTGCCCATCTAGGTATAGACAAAAAACCCCCACTGACCCGCTAAGATTAACTTAGAAGGGACAAATCTTCGGGTTGTCAAAGAAATTTACCGACGCACCGATAAGTGACACGCTTATGTCATCATCTGCCACATCTCATCTCGCCCTGTTATGATGTGCTCGTGCTCATTCCAGTAATCCTCCGCCTGATATCGTTCGGTTTAGCCCTTATGAATGCCTTCATGATGCTTGTCTAATACGCTAAGCATTCATGGACGTGTTTAGGGAATAATATATTCTTTTGTAGTAAATAATTCTTTATACAAATCTGTTGAATTGCCACCTTGTATCTTAATATGACCACCTATTCGACGCTCGAGGCTGCGCCTGAAAGCGATGGCAGCCGCCCGGTTAGTCCGATCTCTGTGGGAAGAGGCAGAGGGTATGTCTTTGATCTTTTCTGGTATGGGAATGTCCATATATCTTGCTGATACACATCAGATCGCGCCCTCGGCGTGCACCGAAAGAGAATGGAGTAGCCGGACAAGCCAGTTGGATCAGTAGTGTAATTAATCTGGTCAATACGAGTGAGGGTTCCCCAGATGGATCTTATGAGGCACAGCTGACTTTCCCCTTCAGTTGTGGGTGCCGGTGTCTTGGCTATGCCTCTCGCGCTTTCACACATGGGCATTCTATTGGGTGTTATTGTCATATTCTGGGCCGGTCTTACCTCAGGTTTTGGCCTTTATCTACAGACGCGGTGCGCGAGATATCTCGATCGTGGCTCCGCTTCATTTTTCGCCCTATCCCAGATAACATATCCGAATGCTGCCGTCATCTTCGATGCTGCAATTGCTATCAAATGCTTCGGAGTCGGAGTGAGCTATTTGATCATTATCGGTGATCTGATGCCCGACGTTGTCAGAGGATTCAATCCCAACGCGGGTGACATTGGCTTTCTGGTAGATCGCCATTTCTGGGTCACTGCGTTCATGTGAGTCTATCCATGGATCAAGGAAACTCGCGGGAATCTGCAATACTGATATTTGGGAAAGGCTTATTGTTATTCCGCTCTCATTCTTCCGCCGACTGGACTCCCTTAAATACACCAGCGTTATCGCTCTGATTTCTATCGGTTACCTCGTCATCCTTGTCCTTTACCACTTTATCAAGGGCGATACAATGGAAGATCGTGGTCCCATCCGGGGCATTCATTGGGGAGGCGCTGTCCCTACTCTCTCCAGCTTTCCTGTGGTGGTATTTGCGTATACTTGCCATCAAAATGTAAGTCTACTTTAGGTATATCTTAGTATGATATATCCTGACTGGAACGCAGATGTTCTCAATTCTCAACGAAATTCGCGACAATTCCCCAAAGTCAACAACCAGTGTTGTTGCTTCTTCTATTGGCTCTTCTGCGGCCGTCTACGCCCTCGTCGCTATCACAGGATACCTTTCCTTTGGAAATAACGTTCGCGGAAACCTCGTGGGAATGTGTACGTATTCCTGTATCGCGCCTGTCAAAGATTTTAATCTAACTGCTTTTAGATCCTCCGTCTGTCAGTGCCACCATTGGCAGACTGGCGATTGTGATCCTGGTCATGTTTTCTTATCCTCTACAAGTTCATCCTTGCCGTGCGTCAACCAATGCTGTTATTAAATGGAGGCCTGTCCGTTCCAATTCGGCTCTTGGGCACACGGATGGTACATCCCCTCGACGCGTGCCATTGTTGCCAAACGGGAGAAAGAACCAGCAAGGGAAGGCTGGAGATGGCATGAGCGATCTGCGCTTCGCCATCCTCACGACCGTCATTATTGTACTAAGCTACGTTGTCGCCATGACTGTTTCGTCACTGGAGGCTGTGCTTGCATACGTTGGCAGTACCGGCAGCACGAGTATTAGTTTCATCCTCCCCGGGCTTTTCTACTATAAGATCTCCTCGCCAGACTCGCCGCACCATCAGCGCCTAGTTAAGGAGGATGATGACGGCGCTTACGCGGAGGATGACCAAGAGGCTGGTGGCTTGCTCAGCGGTATCATCTCAAAGTCTGCGCACTGGCGCCATACTTTACTCCGGCGACTGAGTCTTAGTCTTGCCGTCTACGGATTCGTCGTTATGGTTGTCTGCCTAGTGACCAATACCTTCTTCATCGCCAGTCACTAGATTGACCCCTGGGGCACTTTGGCCCTATATTTACATCATGTGTGCTTTGCATTTTCTGCACATCTTTGGTAATTCTTTTGTATACCTTTATGTTTCATGACTTGGGACGATCATTTTTCATTTATTTTGGCATATAGATGTTGATTTAGCGACGTCCGGTCGGACTTTATATCCTTGTTTCTCATTTTTCCCTCTTCTTTCTTTGGACATACTTCAATACATAATGTACTACGATTTTTCCAAATTATTACTTGTAATGCACCCTCTTGATTCGCCATATTGTCAATTGTATTTGTTCAACCTCTAAACACAGAAAATCTCCGTAATTTAGCAATATACATATATTGTACAGTGACCGTGTCAAAATGCATAGACACTGCCTCAGTGAAAGAAAGAAATTTCCGGAAAACTTATATAAACGCCAGTTATGCAAAATGTGCCCAACGCGTCATCGTAATCCGACGACAAAAGAAATCACCAATTGAACCCGCCACTTCTATCTCCATTTTGATCCCATAGCTTGTGGATGCCGGATCCCCTTCTAATAGGCTTATGCTTCCGCAGCATTTTTACTTTGCGACTGACTCTGCTGGGTCTGTGTGAATTTCTTAGGCATAAGACCAATCTAAACCAAAGAGCATATTAGCCTTCTATCACTTCCCGCCCTTCAATAGCAGCATGGCTGGTCAATTTCGACGAACGCCATAAAAAGGAAAAGGTTTGTCTCAAAACATCCAAGCCTATCAGCCTAGAGTATCCCAGTAACACTCACCATCGTCAATAATCTCCACGCAGGATCAGACGGTTGCGCGCCAACACCAAGCCAGTACTTTGCCCGCGCGCGGTCCAATCGAATGTCCTTGAAGGCCTTGCCCTCACCATCAAGCGGCTCTTTGGGGATCGGGTCATAGGTGCCTAATATCGACGAGTGACGTGTAAGCATGAACTGCCCGAAAACACAGCGATTTGGAAATTGTGTTGTAGAAAGCGGCCCGTGCTTTCGGGCCCACCCAGCTGAGGAGCTATTCAAGGAGTGGAGAGAACGAGATTAAGTCGTACCTAGAACTTCGAGGGGCTTGCTATTTCTTGCTGTCCTGTTTTGTGAAAAGAGTCAGCGCTTGATGGATATAGATGTGTGCATTGGAGTGAAGCCGCTGAGAGAACGGGGTTGCAGGATCCAATTGTCCTTTGTCGGGACGCGAAATGGGGAGCGTATGTAAAGCAATGAGACGATTGAATAAGAGTCGTACCTTGCGTGAGCAACGACAATGTTGTAAAACGGCGCATTGCGCTTGCCAAAGCGTGCCAAACGGATTTTGACGACCATGGCGACGGTGGGATTCCAGGAGAGTCGTTTTCGTACAGAGGGCGGATAACTCGAATGTCAGAACCCAGCGGGGTTGGGGCAGTTGATTGATTTGCAGTATCGCGGTAGAACTGGAGGGTTGTGTCGTGAAACTAGAAAGACATGCACTGATGCTCCCTGATCCTCCAATCTCACAAGTCTGTTCTGCTCGAGATGCGATCTAGATTAGATGCTTTCCTTTGGACTTACTGACCAATCACACGGCAGAACTGTCGGATAGTTCTGGATTTGCGCTGTGGCCAATCATCGTTGTAATCCTTAGCGCAGCCGCAGAGAGGAATGTTAGGAGGGTAATCTGATGTGATGCGGGAGTTGCCGGTGGGGGCTTTGAAGAGTCGAGCCCCCGGCCCTCGAAGGGGCTGTGATGTAAACATGCGGAAGAGAGACTGTTTTCCTTAAGGCTCGCATAATTGTTGGTGGCGTTGATTATAATCTATATGACCTAGAAAAACTATTAGACTGCATTTATGCGTAAATAAGAAATACAGAAATTATGAGCATTGATATGGAAATGTGTTGATGCATGTGCTCGTAGTGGTGCCACAGGTATGACGAAATGGTGGTGTCCCCACGACTGACGCGAGATGCAACATGCGGAGCTTGCTCCATGCTTCTCTTCTCATAAACATACCTTGAAACTTACTTATGCCTTTTATTCTCTCTCGATCTACGACCAGATTACCGTTAAAAAGATTTACTCGCATTTTCACGATGTCGCTGAAAGTAAGTCATAGTAGATCTACTCTGTACCTTTATTTCTTGTATCCCGCTCCGCATACCCACATTATATGCTGTCAATGAAGCTTCGCATTTTGTTCCAGACAATAAAGGGTCTTGATGCAGAGGTGGGGATCGTGTGACTAACTATGGCATAGACGCTCTCTGCGAAGAATGCTTCTGAGCTCGACAAGGACCTTATGAGCTCTGGGGCCTTTTCCATCGATCAGCTGATGGAGCTGGCGGGACTGTCCGTTTCGCAAGTCGGTCGGTTACCATTGAACCATATGATCAGCCATAAATGTGAGAGTGTGCTGATAGGATTGATCAGTATATCACCTTCAGCCGTTGAGCAAGGGTAACAGAATTCTCGTTGCTTGTGGACCGGGAAACAACGGTAAGTTCCTAGTTGTACCTGATATTCTACACGTAGAGTATGCGTATTTGGCATTGAACCGATCGTTTTTCGATTTTTAATTTCAAACATCCAAGTATTTTTAAATCAAAGAATGCTAATTTCTTCAGGCGGCGATGGTCTCGTTGCGGCTAGACATCTCTGGCACTACGGCTATAAGCCTACCATTTACTATCCCAAGCAGAGCAAAAATGAGCTCTACCAGGTTAGACAACACATTGTTTTCGTCTCAATGACACAATGTCCGCATATTGTAGTCATTGTACTGATCAACTCTTACAATCCATAGAGGCTATGCACGCAGCTAAAGACCCTGGATATTCCATTCACGGAGGACTTTCAGTCTGCTCTGAAAGAAACCGACCACATTGTCGATGCAATTTTTGGTGAGTCCATCACAATATTATGAATATCCCAACCTCTCATCGCTCTCGAGACAAGCAATGCTTCACAACACACCCTGGGATATACTAATCCCAATGCAGGCTTTAGTTTCTCCGGTGAAGTCAGAGAGCCATTCCCCGCCGTCATTGAAGCTCTACGCGACACAAAGTTACCAGTGACTTCAGTAGATGCTCCCTCTTCATGGGACATTGAGGACGGCCCGCCATCATCTGGCCCCGGAAAAGGGTTCCAACCTGATGCTTTGATCAGCTTGACTGCACCCAAGCCCCTTGCGAAGTGGTTCAAGGGAAGGCACTTCCTAGGAGGCAGATTTGTCAGCCCGCAGATTGCGCAGAAGTATGATTTGGAAATCCCCAAGTATGAGGGATTAAGCCAGATTGTCGAATTGCCTTCGGGCGAGGGAAAGCTGTAAAGGCTGTGAATTTTGGAGGAGTTGTGAAGCGCATTCTTGCGTGGGAGCCTGGCGGTGAAGTCGACGAGGCAATTCAAAGCTGTGAAGCAGCCCGACTCCATGGGCGACATTACGGGCATATATATTGATGCCAATCATCACCCAACTGGTTTTCCTTCCTGGGTTCTACCTCTTTCTTACAAAAACAAAGCTTCTACGGACGTCTATATCTGGCCATAACTCAGAAGTGCTGCTTTCTCGCTCTTTGTTTTCTCCATACAAAATAATATAATGAATGATGACAAAGTTACCGGATTATACTAATATTTGGTCTTTCAGAAGATTGTGCGACTTATTCAAATGACTTCTACAACCAATTCCCAGATCTTGGATATAATGTTGGCTCAGCACGATCTGATGCAGAGACAGCTTGACGAGATGTCAAGAAAAAATGATGCACTTGAGATACGATATAACACGGTGGCCATGTCCCAAGCTTTTTTCATCGAGTCCTGACACAAAATTAAAGTCAAGTACATTGAAGAATTTGAACTTACAGAAGATCCTGACGTGTCCAGTGCCCAGACGTTTATTGAACCCTGATACATGCTGGTTGACGCTCTACAGCCCTGAGCTTGTTTTGCACGAGATAGTCAACGAGATAGTCGCTTGTTATTTACACGACAATCCGGTATGGTGTAGTGGCTAACATTTCGCGTTTTCATGGGTGTTCATTATCCAGCGCCGCGAGGCCCCGGGTTCAATTCCCGGTACCGGAATTTTCTTTCCTTTTTTCCCTCCTTTTTTTTACTCTTGGTTTATTTGCTGACTTGCGTCATCATGGAGTGGAGAATCCACATAAGTTGAGAGCCTTTTTTTTTGACCTGCAGTACTCTGTAAAAGCGTTCATATGTGCTAACAATGTCTCGTAGAAGTAGCCCGAGAGACGGCGGCTATAAAATAGACGAAGGACCTACCTTCCATTCAAACCGACCTTGATTGTTCAGCTTCTAAACCTAGTAACACAATGGATGGAGGGAAAAGAACTGCTCAGACTTGAATATGAAATCTATTACTACTATGGCGACCACAGAAACTAATGGGATCAAATTATTACGGATTGGCTTTGCAACCTGAGACCAAAGATGTGCATGCGGCATGCCAGGTGCTGTAAAGGCAATACGCAAGGCTTCAAAGAGGCATCACGAGAAGGCGAAGAGCCTGAAATATGTCGTCGAGCAGTACCGTGGCACTGGAAATATAGCCAAAAACGATGTGCCGTGGTTGGCTGCGCGGGAGCATTGTTCCTAGGCCGTCGATGTATTGTTCCAACTTCCTCCGCAGTCAATACATGTTGTCTCGTGGTTTAGATAAGTTTTTCTTATTTCCCACGTGTGCTGATTGGTAGATTGTTCCATTATAGTGATACCTACTGCGGCTGAATTCAAATGCTCTTGGGGATGGCGGAAATGGCCCCAGACGAAACAAAAATTGCCTCAAAATCAGAGAAGGCAGCCTGAACCTACTGCATGTTTGTTTACCTAAGAACTAAGGGCCATAATTGCCCTAAAAATGAATGGACTATATCATTTAATATATTGATTACAAAAATCTTCCAGGTCTTTTGGTCCAAGCTGAACTGTTTACTCGACCGACATCATCAATGCCACGCAGCCTCTTTTTCTGGATACAACAGTGATACTACTAGGTTTGGTCGAGACTCGAGACCATGCTGCTTGCAGCTCTTGATGGAGCGGATCTGTGTCATTGGCCGTTTGTAGCTTCATCTGTCGCTGCTTCCTGTCTTTGAGACCATACCGTGGAAGGCCCGAACGAGAGACTTGCAAGAGAGGAGAGATCATTGGAGGTATTCCAAACGGCTGGAGATAGAACGTACCAGCTCCTGCTTCCTTCCACGATTTCTCATCAGTTCCTTCCGGTGGTACATATTTGACACAGTGGCAAACGCTGTTTGTAAAACCAAATCTCGTGGGACTCTTTTCTTGCTGGCAACACCACCAAATAATGTATTCGAACGAACGAACCCGTTCAAGACGTGTCATTCGAAATGGAGCAAAATAGAGGTAGAATCTTTTAGAAAAGGTGCATTCAGTGGTAAGTATACTTCATTACAACTTAGGTTTACTGTCTTCTCTAATTCATTGACGACGTCTTCTCACTTCAGCATCATCAAGTCTCTCACTAACGTTTCACTTTAGTCTGATAAGAACCTACACAGCGCAAGTCTCCTTCATTCTTACTTTAATCTCAAAGAATTTCTCACTATCTTCTCACCAACGACAAGCAAATTTATATACACGCTATAATCTCAATTGAGCGACCGAGAGGCCTGTCCTTCCCCTCACTCCTTCGACTTCGGTGCGTATGGGTCGGAAGCTCTAGGGTGGAACAAATCCGACCTTATAATAATGGAGACCCTGATCTCGTCACCATCGTCATCCCATACATCTCCAAGGCAGGGAGACGGATGCCTATGCTGCCCATATGCAGAGTGCAACAGAGAATATGCTAGTATTAGTTCATTGTGCAAGCACTTGCTCAAGGAAAAGTCGAAACCATACAGTGCTCACCATGCAGAGATGCGTGAAGACGGGTGGCTCAATCCAGATGGGAATGTTGATTGTCATACTGGAGTGCATATGGAATCAAGAAAAAGATATTCCAACTCTAGATTTACATCTACGACCCAACATATCCAAGTTTTGTCACAACGCTTGCTGCTTCCTACAGGCCAGTCAAATATTGCAACTTTCACAATGCTCTATCAACTTATTCTCGCTCTTGCAACAGTATCAGAGAAAAGTGGCTGTTCGGACAGCCGCTACGGATATCATCATGATTGTGGCCGTCACGTTTCAGTACGACTTGCACATGGGAATTGACGTTTAACGTCAATAGTTGAACCGTCAAAAGTCCTATGTTATTGGATGATGCGTAACCCTTAAAAATACAATGACCATTTGAAAGACTTCGCGCAAAAGCTCGACCGTACTACAATATGAAACGAGCAATCACATCCAGCATCCAAGACTTCAAGCCCGCCAAATCTAAACACCACATCCAATCTCATACCAAATCTATCAATTTCGCAATCTGGGCAGGCCCGACTTTAAATTAATGAATTAAGGTCAAGGAGGCGCAGGATGAATTGTATATATTGAAGGGGTGGAACAAACACAACAGACATTTGTAGCAACATGTACAGCGCCTTATATCAACTTCGAAACAGTGGTGGCGACCTATTGTTGCATTCAGCCATCACAAAGAGCCGACAAGATGACAATCTACGTGACAAAACAATTTGGGGTGATCATGATAACATAGTCCGGGATAACAACAACGCAGCTCTTCAACGCTGGTTGACGCCCGAAGCAGGAGAAGGCTAAGCGATGGTCGCATCAGAGGTCGAAAAACATCTCTTCATCATGGACATCCTACGTGTGTTTTACAGAGCAGCCAGAATGTATTTTTATAACTGAAACAAGATCTTAGCTTCATGCAGAAGCTGAACAGGAATTGGAACCCGCATTATTAAAAACATAATAATACTGGTATGGCTCCGCCTGGATATCTATGACCCTTTGCAAATGCTAAGCTTCTATAGATCTCTTATAAGTCTGCAACCCTGGAAATCCCAATCTGGTCCAATCTCCAAGCTCATGCACTGCAAAATAACCGAGGGTTTTAAAGGACTCTCCGGTCTCAAATCAAGAAAAGCATACGAACAAAAGGAAGAACATACAAAAGTTCGAGGAAGAGCGCCGGTGCCATGCCTGGCGCGGCGGATCTTTCACAGAAGCAATTGATTGCTTTCTGCACTGACAAGAATGACCCCACTCAGCATGTGTGAAAGATATCCTTTCGGGACGCTTGTCGTGGAGCGGAAGACACGCCGTTATTTTCTTTGCAAACCTTGAGCTCATCGATCCAAAAAGGGGCTGCCTGGGTTGAACAGACGGCATCAAGTGTCCTCAGCTGCAGTTCTGCTACCATCTTGTGCATGGGATATCTCCTGGCTGGTCCTTCTTCCTCAATTTAGGAGCCTAGCTCTCAGTCGATACATCAGGTTCTTCCGTCAACACAGTGCAGGTAATATGTGCATAGGAACTATTAATTCCAGATTTCTCTCCCGTTCAAAGGGACAACAAGATAGTGCTCAGCCAGACCTTCGAAGAGCAATTATAACTCACGAGGGAGGTGATGCGTACCTGTTCAGACTGCCGTACTACGCTCAAATCTCATACATATTGCTAAGCATACAATTCAATTGTGATCCTAGGTCAGAGATAAAACAACGGTGTAGCGCTCATTTTCAGGAAAAAGTGGAAATTGCTCATTTGGGAAGGTCCAACAAATTCAGCAAGCATAATTATATTTGGTGGAAACACGTCGGATCATCCTACTTCAATCTACAGCTTCATATGCTAAGAATCCAATACTTCTTCATCTTTGACAAATCCTTGTGCTATAACGGCACATCAGGTCAATTGGGGTGGCATGGCAGCTCGGCTTTACTTTGACATGGCAGGTCTGAGAGAGAAAAGCCCTCCAACCACAACAAGGAACTAAGCATTGGAGTTCATACCCCATGCAGTCATGCTTTTCTTGCAAGGCCGAAAGATTACGCGTCTTGGCATTCTGGATCTTTCTTCATCATACTTGGTGTTATTTCCAAACGCGAACGCTCTGAAGCTGCCTCTAGGAGTGCATTATATAAATCTAATTATATTGCATTCTGCTCGTCCATTTCTTGTTTAAGAGCGATCATAACGACATATTTCTTGTCAAGTCGAAAGGTTTCCCTATGATGAGTTGTTTGACGACTTGGATGAAGCTTTCATTTTTCTATAGTTGTTTGCCGAAATTGTTGACATATTTCCAGATGTCTATTTATTATCTAGACCGAGCTTGAGATGTTCGTTAATTCCATTGCTTTGTATCCTGGTCTGAGAAGAATATGCCTCTTTATTATAATCTTCAAAGTACCTCCAGACTGTACATGTACTGTGGAGCAGGAAATGACAGTAGATGAGGGCAGCGTCACGGGAAAGGAACCAGTGGTCATGGGAGGAACCGATTAAATCATCAAGATCGGATTATTTGGGGGCTTTTTTTTTCGGGTTGCATTCAGGCAGACAATCATCTTTTTGGAGGAGGTCTTGATCTTGTTCTCCTGATTATCTGTTCTTTAGGCTTTTGAAAAGGCAAATCAGCTTTCTAAGACTACTAATTTAATAAATCCTTGCTGGATCCGTACTCTCGTTTCTCAGTGCCGAGCATTAGAGAATAATTGATGAAGCCAAGCTCGTCAGGGAAGAGACGGAAACAATTATTGACAGATATATTGAGATGGCAAACACCCAAGAGATTCTCGGCAGCAATTTTCAAGATATGAAGGTTGGAGATCGAGAACGACATGATACCTTGATGGGTTATATAATATATTACAGATGCCAGACTTCGCAGCATATTATTCTTCTTTCTTTATCTTGACCTTCCTCCAAAAGGAAAAAGAAAAAGAAAAAGAAATGAGAGGGCGGCTTCGCAATTTATTGTACATATGAACGTTTGCTGTGAGGTCACAATCTCCTACTTCAATAAATTTACCGGGTACCCATGTGCTGAACCCCTTGCCGCTCAGCCTTGCAGGGTCGAATCTAAATCTGGATCCTTGCACCTTCAACCTCACACACTTCATTCATTCAACACAATGAAATCATGGAATGTTTTAACCATCTAAGGCGCCTGCCTATCAACTTCCTATGTTCTTCATTTCCAACACTCAGATTGCCTTTAAGAAAGAATTTTACATGTCGCTCATTTTTGCGCCAGAGAGTACAGGAATTCCCTGAATTATTCGCATATACGTCTGGGCGATGGATGTTTGTCACCTTTTTTAACGCCTGTAAAAAAGACTAACACCGCTGATTTATTGCAATAGCTTCAATAATGAACTGAGACAATCTGAAAGAAAGCGTGTCTTTAATGTTCCTGAACTGAAGCGCCTTGCAGCTGCATCAATCGGCCAGAAAGAAGAAGATGTCGCTGGGTTCGAGAAACTTGCAGAAGGTGGGTTCAATCGGACATTTCGCATCTCCATGCGGGATGGCTTTCAATTTGTTGCTCGCATTCCATATCCAGTCACTGAGCCCAAACATCTGCTCGTGGCGAGCGAAGTAGCGACAATGGATTTTCTTCGCAACAACGGGATACCCGTACCGAAGGTCTACGGCTATTCCCCTGTGTCCACAAACACTGCGGGCACAGAGTACATCTTCATGGAGCTCGTTCGTGGGACAAATTTGAGTGATATTTGGTTTGATTTGTCTGAAAGCGACAGGATCAAAATAATAACTGAAATTGTTGAGTTGGAGGCCCGACTTTTCGATATAGGGTTTCCTGCAAGTGGAAGTCTATATTATACGGACGATCTACAACCTGAAGTCGATAAACCTATTGTTCTTAGCACCCATTCATCTGGAAAGGACAGTTTCTGTATTGGGCCTGATCTTACGCCTGGGTTATGGTATGGTAAGAGACTAAATCTTTCAGTTAATCGAGGACCATGTGAGTATCTAATTTCCAATAACCTTGTCATGTAAAGGAAATATATCAATTAATATTCAAAAGATAGAGATTGTACGGCAGCAATTACAGCCGGTGCCAAAAAGGAAATTGCTTACTTGGAAAAATTCGGGCGGCCGCTTCAGCCTTTCCAGCGTCTCCGTAGAGAGATATACAATTACCAGCCACAATCGCATCTCGAGCATATAGCAAATTTGAACAAATATCTTCAAGTTGCGCCTTATCTCGTACCAGAGAATGAACCCGCTCTCACACGTCCAACTATACGGCACCCTGATCTTCAACCGAGCAACATATTTGTCTCTGATGAGCTTGAGATCACCGGCTTAATTGATTGGCAAGGCTGCACAGTGCTCCCATTGTTTCTACAATGTGGAATTCCAAATAGCATCCAGAATTACGGGGACGACGTCTCAGAGTCCCTGAAATTCCCTGTTTTACCTGACAATTTCAACGAATTAGAAGAAAAAGAGCGACTCGAACAACTCGAGCTTTTACGAAGGCGCCAGCTACATTACTTCTACTTTGCGCTGACTTCGAAAATAAATCCACTTCATTACAATGCGTTGTCAGCTGATTTGAGCATACTGAGACGCAAGGCTTTCCACCACGCGAGTGAGCCCTGGGAGGGCGATAATGTGACTCTCAAAGCGGATCTGGTTCATGTGGCTAAGAGCTGGTCGAGATTTGTCAATTCAGCACCAAGTAAGACGGGTGATGCAATGCTTCCTTGCCCAATAGCATATTCAGAGGAAGAAATCAGCGAATGTTTGCGGCTGGATGCCGCAAAGACTGAAGCGGATGAGCACCTCCAGTCTTGCTGTGACGCTATTGGCGGCATTGGTCCCGAAGGATGGGTACCGCCCGACATCTATGACGAGGTGAAGCAACGGGAACAAAAGCTGAAAAATATGTTCATTGAACTTGCTGAGTCTGGTGAGGAAAAGTTGAGATTAGAGGAGAATTGGATTTTTGACGACTTTGATGAGGAAGAGTACATGTAATTGGTTGGATCTTGACTTCAGGAACTTATTTCTTTATTTCATTACTGTGTGTATAGCTGAGAAATGTACGGTAGAACAGCTGATACACAGCAGACAGTCATATCTTTCCGAACAGCCATTTTTTGTATCAATTACCCCCATTGACGTGTCGAATGTAGGGTTCAAACGGAAAAACCGATCTTTCAGGATTCAGGTCGGCATACACACGATCGAACCGTTTCTTCAAGATGCCTGGTTTCTTCCATTCGAATTCAGGATCACGAAGCCAAACCCGGAGAAGATGACGTCTAGCAAGGAGAGTCAGCAAACAGGTCAATTGCTCAATTCTTTTCTCTTCGAGAGACTCACTGTTTTTCCTTTGTGTCGCGGAAGCCGCCTCGCGCATGGTAAATGCTGAGGTTATTAGCATATTGAATGTCACCTTTGTGGAAGTTGAGAGCCAAGGCATATTTCTCAGCGGTAAAATGCAATGCATCTAGTGCTTCAGCTTGCGCCTCTGTCAAGGGTGGAATGTTCGCTGAGCGTGGATAGCCCCAGTATCCCGTAAAGCTACGACGGGCATATTGAATGATTAGTCGCTCAGGATGGTCGGATGTTGCTGGCAGATAAAATAGGACTGGGCGAGGAATATATGCATCACCATTTTTACCGAATCTACATCTCCGGCATTAGCATGGCTGCATGGCCAAACATATATGTAAAAATTATGAGTGCAAATACGCCGCCCACTTACTCATCAAACGCCCAAGGCTCAGCAAGAGTGTGGATAAGGTCTGGCCTTGATGCGGCAAGCACATTGTACACTTGTCCAGTACTTGCGAGATAACTTTCTCCTCCCTCGGCACCTTCACTCAAGGCAAAAAGTCCAATGACGTCGCCCGAGTCCGTATGAAACACTTGCTTCTCTGCTGTATAGACCGGCGCGCCAATGTCCTTGGCATCGACCGTTGAGCTCAGATCTTTAATATGGGCCAACACAACATCTGCCGGCTTTCCGTCCCAAGTGTTGTCCTGGCGGCCCCGAATGGGTGCCACATGAGACGAAATACCAGCATAGATGATAATATTCTCTTCTCGTGAATAGTTATCCACGGGAACACCGCGGACAACCTTGAAGCCATGTCCGTTGTGAATCTCCAGGGAGATTTCTCGTAACGTCGCATGAAGGTTCGGCAGGGGAAAGGTCTCCTGCGTGATCTCGCCGAGCGGCTTGTTCAATGCTGCATAAATCCCGATATTTTAGCTCATCAACTCTCCCCTAAGGTTTTCTGGTAAGGATAATGCTCCATACACTTGAAGTGCTTCACGGCTGCGTCAATTTCACCAAGGTCGGCCGGTGTCAGCTGGTAATTCCACTCATAGTGTTCCGCCACATTATTTCCATCCCATACAAGATCCGACTCTAGCTTCGCAGGGAATCCCTCTGGTAGAGTTTGCTGAAGCTTCTCAGTTGCGGTACGGCGCTTGGTCCGAGCTTGATATTTGTCGAAATCTGGGGTGTACGTGATATCGGGCTGGCCCACGGGACCGGCAGCGGCAGCCATTTTCAGGGTCCAATCGATTTTAACGTCGTCGCTTTACAGAAAGATTGTTTCTTTGTTTAAGATTCACTAAACATTTATTTCTAGGATGCTTTGATTTATCTACTTTCTTTGGTATTGACCTCCTTCCGACGAGTACTATTACTGACGGGATCACATGAGATTCCATGCTCGTCTCTCCGCAGTGATATTGTGCATTCATTGGTTGCCGACATCATGTTGTCATTGTGGATCCGAATGTTACAACTTTGCGACAAGAGCAATTCTAGACATCCACGGATCTCATTGACGAGCTTCTCCGGCCCGAGTCGCATTGTACTACGCTACCTATACGGAGTAATTCATTTATGATTACTCGCGTCAGCTTGGCGTCGTCTTGTCTCTCGCAGTCGCAATTTCTATCCGCGACCTGATTCGATCACGCCAATGAGACCACACCCCCAGCACTCTGAGTTAGAGTTCTCAGTTGACCCTTGTTTACTCTTAGAGGGGTAGGAGGCCACGCGATTCATTCTTCGCATTGCTTTTGACGCACGTTTATGGTGCAAGACCGCTGAATTACGCTATGATTAGCGACAGGGCATAGCTTGCGCATTGATACTTTCGAGTTTCATCTTGATTGTCCATATTGACACGGTGGGGTTTTTATACGAAGCACGCCATCATAGATGCGATAGCATTAGCTGTTATACACGAAGAATTTCCTCCAAACCACATGAACATGAAAGCTCATGATAATTTAGAATCCTATTTTCCGATAAGGCAGTTTGTTGGTCTTGATGTTCTCTATCAAATTGAAAATAATGTTTACGCGAAGTTATCGAGACTGGGAGCATCGTTAGCCAAGAATTATGATGGCGACTTTTTGAATCTCCAGAGCTCGATAAACTATCACTTCTTAATCTTCAACATGTATCACATATTTCCAACATCGAAAGCGCTGGAGTAGTCAAGGCCAATAAACTCAAACGAAAATTAGGTCTATCCGACTCCGTACTATTCTCAAGCGTCAAGGGAAATCACATCTTCTCCCATTCCGCAACTGGACATATCCCATTGGTCTTCATATTTGTGTTGTCCCCAATAGCTTCTCGATTCTTAGTCAAGGAGGAAGCAACTTCAGTCACATGTTTGATGCCGTTAACTTTATCAGTTCATATATTTAGCTGTCATGGTGACCATGTATGTCAGATGGAAACTTTCAAGGAGACAAAACTATAAAACCAGAGGAAATAGACTTGGAAACAGATACACATACATCTAATGACAAAGAGGGTGTGAAAAGGTGTTTGAAAGCACAGCTCAAGTCATCTAGGAGAGGGTCATACAGAATATTATATAGATTCCTTTTTCCACAACAAAAATATTTCTTTTCTGGCAATTATTTATTATACTTTATTCAACCCATCGAAATTACACATACTTTAACTGTAGTTACTGAGCTGCAAACCTATTGAGATTTATGGCAAGCTCGGCGAAATGAATCTTCGCCGAGGAAAGGGCTCGGTGTACAAACATTTCACCGAGCCCAAGTCTTCGGGCCTTTTCCTCCTTGAGCAGCCATCACAATGGCATATGACGAATCGTGGTCAAATGAAAACATTTTCACACGCCCTATTACATACTGCGACAGTCAGGTCAGATCTTGCATCAAATGGATACATACACATAGCTAAGCATACAACTAATTGTTCACTGCCGCACTCTTTTTTTTTGTTTTTAATAGCTGGGCGTTGAAGCGGCAGCGCCGACAATGGAAACGACATGCGTCGAAGAAATAAATTTCCATATTCTTAAAGAGTAATATAAATGTCAACACTCTCTTTTATTTTCATTTCCCTTGAATGTCCTTGTGGCTGTGAACATTCCGCCTGATACTTTACCTGCCTGCATCCTTCAAGTTTTCAACAAGAATGCCCCATCCTATAATCGACAACCCCCCAGCAGAAGGGGCACCTTACTATACACCAGCACAGATACCAGCCTCAGGCACAGCACTATGTGACAAGACAGGAAGAACATGCAACATACCAAAGCTCTTCACGCCCCTGAGCGTGCGTGGCATCACTTTCCAAAACCGCATCTTCCTTGCGCCTCTATGCCAGTACTCCGCAAAAAATGGCTACGCGACGGACTGGCACCTGGCTCACCTGGGCGGGATAATCCAGCGGGGTCCCGGGCTCGCCATTATGGAATCGACAGCCGTCCAGAGAGAAGGGCGGATCACCCCGCAAGACCTCGGGCTGTGGGAGGACGGGCAGATCGAACCGCTCGCGCGCATTGTCGATTTCGCGCATAGCCAGGACCAAAAAATCGGGATCCAGCTGAGCCACGCCGGCCGAAAGGCAAGCACTGTGGCCCCTTTTCTCTCTGGAAACGCAACAGCGGTAAAAGAAGTCGGCGGCTGGCCCGACGACGTGTTGGCGCCGTCTGCGATCCCCTTCAGTGACGCCTACCCGCACCCCAAGGCGATGAGCAAGGAGCAAATCGACGCGTTCAAGACCGCATTCGTGTTAGCGGCTCAGCGCGCCGTCAAAGCCGGGTTCGACGTGGTTGAGATCCATGCCGCCCATGGCTATCTCATCCATCAATTCCTAAGCCCGATCAGCAACAAGCGCACAGACGAGTACGGCGGGAGCTGGGAGAACCGGACGAGGCTGCTCCTGGAGATTGTCGACTTGGTGCGGGCAGCAATCCCACAGGATAGTCCGTTGTTTGTACGCATTAGTGCAACGGATTGGTTCGACGATCTCAAGGACGAGTTCCCAGAGAGCTGGACGCTCGCGGACAGCGTTCGCCTGGCGCCGATATTGGCCCGGCAAGGTGTGGATTTCTTGGATGTCAGCTCCGGCGGCGTGCACCCAAAACAGTCGACGAGTATCAAGTCGGGCCCGGGCTACCAGGCGCCGTTTGCGTTGGAGATCAAAAAGGCCGTGGGCGATAAGATGGTGGTCTCGGCGGTTGGAGGAATACGGACAGCCAGCCTTGCGAGAGACCTCCTGGACCAAGGCATTGATGTTGTCATGTGCGGTCGCTGGTTCCAGAAGAATCCTGGCCTCGTGTATGCATATGCCGATGAGCTTGGGGTTGAAGTCAAGATGGCAAACCAAATTGCATGGGGGTTCAGAGGCCGTGGTGCCGGGAAGCAGCATGGCAAGTAAATTGTCGATGCATAGCATGCTCCCAGAATCATGCATTATGTTGTAATATATCACAAATAAATTGTAGATGTAATAATCCCTTATAGGTAGTTTTGAGGCCTATCTCGAAGTCTAGCAAAGAAAGGGAAGACGATTTGATAGAGTAATATTGGATCTCAAGCTTTAATTTCTTAGAGGCCTAAGTTTTTTTAGATTCTTTAAGAGATATCAAGCCAGGTATATTTTTAACTCGTCCCAAGACTTGTCCCAAGATACTCTTTTATTTTTTGTTGAAACCAGCTTCTTACGAGCCATATATTTTGACCAAGAAATTATCAACTTTACTCAAATGTCTTCGTCATATGAATATTTCAATCGCATCCTATAATCCTACCTGTAGTAAAGTATCCGAGGCTTTAATGACTGTTCAAATCAGTAATCCATTTAAAACAATATTTCATGCAAAATGTGCCCCATTTCAAACTCTGTGATCCCGAGAATGCGTTTCAATCCACTCAGTCTGATTTTTAAACTCCACTCTCTCCTTGTCCACCAAGGACTTTAGACCGATCTCTCTCAACTCTTGAAAAAGAGCAACAGCATCATTGTAAAGATGATTAGGAGTCCATCCGTCCCTCGAAACAATACCTGCAACGGAACTCCAGAAATCTTGAACGTCATTCCAACCTTCACCGTCTTTCGCATGAGCGCAAACCTCATCCTCTGTAAAGTGTATAGGACATGGAAAGTCAAATCCCAATTCGTCCCAATACCTGAGCAAAATTAGCCACAAACACTTTGACAGCGAGATGTAACCTTTCACTCTCAACTCAGGTTCCCAGAATGGCCTTCAGATGGCATGCTGAACTTACCTCTCTACTCGGATCAAGGATTCTCGTAAAGGAAATATATCATCATCCCACGTGTCGCCAACAAAATGGATAGGATCGCATCTTGTTCGACCATGACTAAAGCGAAGAGCTTTGTTCAGCAGGGGCGCTTCCTTTGCGATTTGCTTCTCGTAGAGGTAAAGAATTATCGAGCTGCTCATCTGTCTCCTTATTTTATTTTTCTCATCCGGTTCAAGATCGTTGAAGTTGGCGGGAGCCTTTAAGATAATCTCCCCTTGATAATCAACCAGCCGGGCGTGGCGCGCACAAAGTATCAACGGTGCTGCCCACGTTCCTTGCCAATCGATCACACTGCAGATATGTCCCTGGTCCACAAAGATATTTGCTGAATGGAGGTCCGTATGCCATATATGAGGCGCAACAATAGCAGGATCATCCGGGAGGAGAAATGGGGCAGCCTCTAGGTACTTCTGAAGCAGCGAAAGGTGGCTATCGGGGGAATTTTGTGTCACAGAAGTTATCAATGGATCGTCCGGGGTTTTGGGAACCGCATAATGCTTAATCCATTGCAGCTCTCGACGAGCTGGCGAGGTGACGTAGTCTTGAGCACATTTCCCTTCGAAGAGTTAACGGGGAACTACATGGCGTGATGAGAAGGGAGAGAAATCATACACGGCCCGCGGTCAATATCCATCGTAGCCCGTTCGTTGTTCCAATAATCTCTCTCTACAACAGGGCCGATTGCAAAGCGACGCATCACAGTGTTTTTGACTTCTTCTGGCACATCGCTCACCACTTCTGCCATTGCAGCGCCTGGTATATTTTGGGTGGCGTAGTACAGGCTTCCGTATCTAGGTGCTGATTAGTGCTAGGAGATACGACCCAAGTTCACCGCGATGTCAAACCTATTGAACGATACGGAAAGCATTTTCTTCTCTATCGATACAAGGTCTTTCATAATCACTATCCTTTCTTCCAGAGAAAGGTCGTTCCATATATCGTCTAATTGTGTGCCACGGGCTTCTTCCATAATTATGTATTCAGAGCCAACGGGATTGTTTTTATCCGCATTCCACGCATACACTTTCGGAGTTGGGATTTCTAGCACACTGCGGGCCTGTACATGGATTAGAAACAGACTTGATGTAGACTCTGAGTCCCGTGAGAATCCTTACAAAATCCATCGTTGCGACTTCGGATGCCGTAGTGTAGTACTGCGGACCTGCAATTGGGTGGGGAATTCTCGCAATGACATTTGTTCCGTTATTCATCCGGAGTTTGAAAGTCTTGTTGAAGGATCCCTCGGCTAGTTTCGTGATTGCAATACATTCGTTTGCTCCAATGCTCTTTGCAGCAACTCTTTGAAGTTCCGGTACATTAAAAGCAGCGAATCGATCGCCCTTTTGCTTTTCTTCGTCCCAGAGCCAGCGACCACTGGTATAATGAAATAGTTCTGCGAATCGATGCTCGACACCCGCCGAACTCATTAGGCGTGTTTGCAAATGATAATTGTGAGCTGAAGGAGACTCCTGTCTCAAATACACTCCTGAAGTAGGGCTGTATAATAAAGCATTATGATGACGACGTCTTGTAGACAATATGCACGGTCGATATTTGCTGAGCGCGTAATGCTTAAGTCTGGCCGCTCTCTTCATGGTTGTATCTGACTAAGTTGGAAGAAAGGCAGGGGAAATGGATATCACTGAACAAGTATCTTCTGTAACACAATCACAAGGAGTCAAGGGCAAGGTTCACGATAGGTAAGTCTAGGATGCAGTGATATCGCAACCTGCCCAGGCAATGCTATCACCTCTAACATATCCACCGTACCTATTGCCTGTGCTTACAGTTACTTTGGAAGAAAAAGTCACTGCTCAGAAGGATCAAACGACGTAGGTTGATTATACCGGGGTAGTTCTCCACACTCGTCAACATTCAACGCTCGGACCAGGGGTTCTGGTGAGGTCTGTTACCGAGTCCGCTGCCTGTATGCTACTCTACGACCGAATGTATCATGGCGAACAGGAGCCATTTCAGACAAAATCGAAATTTAATAGTTCCTACATTTAGTTTGTTTATACATGTTACTTTCTCGTTTTGTGATAATACTTGTTTTGTAAAAGTAAATATAAAAAAATAGGGAAAAAAAAGGTGCGAAAAACGGTACGAATACAGCTACATATTTTGACGCAACGATGCTCAAAACAAGCCGCCTGGTTTCCTACTTCGTTAAAACTGAACACAACTCCTTTAAACACACAGACCGACCTCCAAAATGCACAGTGAGATGCAAATACAGAATATACAATGAATAAATGATGCTTGGAGAAAGAAAAGAGGAATGCTAATGCGATATGATCATGTAGTCAGAAAGATGAGAAAGTTTGTGGCGCCCGGCGATATATGCAAGAGAAATAGACAAAAGATATTGAGACATGAAGTCATGATGTAGATGTAGGGTGGTATCAAATATGGACATGTAGACAGAATGCCAATAGGCGACTTAGGTGAAACGCATTACACGAATGACAGAACGGCGATGCTATCATCATGCGACGTGTCTGGACAAGGTAAAAAAAAATGATGATGGATGTCAAGGCAGGTGCTTGATTTCGACATGTTCCATCTTGCCCATATGTACAGCCTTTTCGGCCTGGTCGGCGGCCACTGCGACGGAGAGATTTCGAGCGACATCGGTCTCAGCGGCGGGACCATCAAAGACAGTAGCAATCTCTTCAAGCGTGCGTCCCTTTGTTTCGGGAAAGAGAAAGTAAATTATGAAAAGCATGGCGACGAGACAACCGATGTAGACAAAGTAGAATTTCCATTGGATGGCGTTGAGGGCAATCGGGTTGACGTATTCTGTTTTTGGCAAAAGGTTGTTAGAAGCCGGTTGCAAATTATTCTCATCATTGGGTTCAAGGAAAAGATGGTGAAAGTGGAAGGGTGTAAGAGTGGAAAAACTCACGGTTGAAGAAACCAGTTCCGAAAACGACAGTCAAGTTGATGGAAAGACCCTTGGCACGCAGACGGAAGGGCAGGACCTCGACGGGGTAGGCGATAGATAGAGGTGTATAAGCAATGACGTAGAAGCCGAAGAAGACAAAGAGGAACGCAACCACGGCACTACCAGCGGCTTTGACGCCGTGTTCGGCGAAGACGGCGGAGAGAGCAGTGATGATGGTAAAGGAAATCAGCATGCCGACGGTGGACAGAAGCCAGAGCGGACGACGACCGAAGCGTTCAGCGGCCATGGCACCGCATGCAGCCAGTATGGCATTCCATATCTGCATACCGAGGTTGATAGCAGACTGAGAGACGGCATCCTCGATGCCGACGCTCCTGAGGATGGGGGTAAGGTAGTATGAGACGATACCTATTAAGCAGAAAAAGAATGATCAGTACGCGACTTCATTATTCTTGTTGCAGATCTTGGATACCATACCGTTTCCTGCCCATTGGATCATGACGCCAACGAGCACACAAATTGCAAATCGGTGAATATTGCCCTTGCTTTCGAAAAAAGACATGAAGCCCGAATTCCGAGCTGCCTCTTTCTCCTTTTCAATGACCTCGCAAATTTCTTGAAACTCATACTGTACAAGTTCATCATCTCGATCGCCATTGGCATGGTATTTGGCGAGAATGTTGAAAGCTTCATCTCCACGGTCCTTGGAGACGAGCCAACGTGGGGATTCGGGGATGATGAGAAGACCCAACAACTGTATACCAGGGAAGAATCCTTGCATGAGACAAGGCGCTCTCCAGGCCCAGTTGTTGTTGACAAAGAGGCAACCAAGAGTAATGACGGCTGAGAGAATGGAGCCCCAGAACCAGACGGCTTGGAAGAGGGCAGTGACTTGACCGCGCTGACGGGGATGCGCGATTTCGGTAGTCAGAGGTGGTGCCGCAGTCTGAGAGAACCCCAATCCGACACCAAGCATGATTTTGGTGCCTAGGAACGCCCATGGGCCATGGGTGAATGCCTGAATGAGTGCTGCAGCCACCATGATTGAAGATCCAATGGCAACAGTGCCTCGTCTTCCAAGCCAGTCACTCACGTAGGAAGCAGGGATAAAACTGGGCAGACCTCCGAGACTGATTCCAGCAATGATCAGTCCCAAGATGTTCTTGTCATCATAACCATGTCCAAGATCATCAGTGACTATAGAATGTTAGCAATGAAAAAACCGGAAAATCTTTCAGAAGAAGAAAACGTAGAAGAGGGGTCTTACATCTCTTCATGGCCAAAAGTCCATTCATCAAACTTCCGTCATAGCCATTGGCAGCGGCAGACGCAAACATCATCGCCACGCCGATATTGAGATGCCGAAGCCCTGGATCTCTTATCCAGTTCTTGTGCGTATTATTGCGAAGCGTCTTGTAGACAGCACCACCAGAGCTGCAGACAACTCCTGCAGGCCCACCCATGATGTCGACGAGAGGTAATGTATATTGAAGAGAGCCGGGAACGAAAAGAAGCCGTGAAGGAGATTGTATGAAGAAGTGTAAATCGTCAAACAGGTAACAGACGGAAGATGCAGCTCGATATAAGAGCAAAATTGTGTCTTGACCACAATCCAGAGAGAAATCGACAAAAACTACCGCGAAATGCCTGCGGTCTTTATAGACGCAAATAAAACCGCAAAGACAAGAAAGAAGCAGGAAGCCATGCCAATCCAGAGAAGCCCGTATACTTTTCCGCTGGATTGATTTCCGTCCCAAGCTATGAGCTTGGCTAGTCGATCTGTGAGTTTTGCTCGGATTTGATGAGGTGCAAAAAGCTGCATCTCGTGATGATCCAATGTCCAATGGACTGACATATCCGAGCGGTGGCTTCGCCCGCATGGGTGGTCCGCGGGCTAGAACCTACCAAACCTCAACCGGCACTGGGGGTGGCCACACGTTGCTGAAAAGGGTAATCCCCACACGACTTGAATTGGGTGCCCCAGATCCAGGAGCTGAAGAGGTAGCCATGGGGAATGCGGGGGGGTTTCCTCTTGGGCCAACCCTCTAGTTCGAGCCCTCGTCTGGCCAAGTTGACATAACTTGGGGAGACGGGTGTTGGTTCGGTACGCCAAAGAGTTTAGGGCTAGCCGTCCAGGGCCGTTAGTCAGGTTCCCGAGATATCATAACCCTTGATGCAAGACATACTTCGAGAACGGTTCGCGACTGCCGAGAAGCAGTTCGAGGCTGGGCACGATGCAGAATCATCATCATCACTCTCGGTACTTTGTCCACAAGCTTTTCTTTTCCACGTGGAACTCGGTAAGATTTTCGTTGGAAATGTCGGATTGTTTATCGGATCAAAATTGCCTTGGAAAAGTAACCCGGGATGATTATCGGATCAATATTCGGGGAGATTCTCGGAAAGAATTGTGTCTCTTTTGGAAGAAAACGTAGGCCGAGGTAGACGGACTTTTGTTTGGAATTGGTATGAGGAGAAAATGTGGGGAAACTGGAGACTGGTTTGACAAATGGGGCAGGATGAATTTGATCAGACGTTCAGTGTCCCAAGAAAAAAATACCGGTATCTGTCTTGACGCGACAGCTATAGATCGCGAAAAGGAAACGATGGACTTGTATATAACCCGGCCGAGCTTGCACGAGATAGTGGGCAGAAATCGTGTTGTAGCTGTCGCCTCGTGTCAGAGTGGCAGCCTGCAGCAAAGAGAAAGAGAATTCTCAACTTTTTCACCTTCATAATCCCAAATAGCAAGTTTCACAAATAGCCCAACAATGCAACAAGAAATCCCATCGACGACGCTTTCGGCGTCGACTCCCAAGCACCCGCAGCGAGCTTGGTGGAAGGAGTCGACTGTGTATCAGATCTACCCCACCTCCTTCAAGGATTCCAACGGTGATGGAATCGGAGATATCCCCGGCATCATCTCCAAGCTGGACTACATCCAAGCGTTGGGTGTCGACATTGTCTGGTTGTGTCCCATCTACAAGTCCCCGCAAGTGGACATGGGCTACGATATTGCCGACTACAAGGCCATACACGAGCCATTTGGCAAACTGTCTGACGTAGACGACCTTATCGCGGGGCTACATGCCCGAGGCATCAAATTCCTCATGGACCTCGTAGTCAATCATACTTCTGACCAGGTAAGTCATAACTCGAGAAAGAATATTGCGACTCCCACAAGACTCCACTTTAAAAAATATGGTGAGACTAATCTCATGTGCCGTTCTATAGCACGAATGGTTCAAATCCGCAAAAGCTTCAAAGGATAGCCCTTACAGAAATTTCTACATATGGAAAAAACCACGTTATGATGCTCAAGGGAACAGGCATCCGCCAAACAATTGGAGCTCGTACTTCTCTGGTAGATCGCCCGATTTTTGCAACTCATATTTAGAACGCCAAATTCTGACTGTTTTATTATACAGGTAGTGCATGGGAATATGATGAAGCCAGCGACGAATATTACTTGCATCTGTTTGCCACAGAGCAGCCGGACTTGAACTGGGAGTACCCGCCAGTGCGCGCAGCGGTGCATGAGATTATGAGATTCTGGCTCGACCGGGGTGTTGACGGATTCCGTATGGATGTTATTAATCTTATCAGCAAAGATCAGAATTTCCCCGACGCTCCGATTACCATTCCGGGCAACAAATATCAGCATGGAAGCATGTACTACGCCTGTGGGCCACGTTTGCACGAGTGGCTTCAGGAAGTTGGGAGTATCCTTAAGGAATATGATGCTTTCTCCGTCGGCGAGATGCCCTTTGTGGGCGATTGCACGGAAATCCTGCGCAGCGTGGGATCTGACAGAGGCGAGCTGAACATGATCTTCCAGTTTGAAATGTATGCAGCGACAAGTCCTCTCCATGTGATGCGCGGGTAAATGCTAACTGGGTCTCGCTAGGGTTGATATTGATCACGGCCCCAGTGGAAAGTTCTCGCCAAGAAAATGGCCGTTGGCCGACATGAAGTCCATTGTCAATAAATGGCAGACCTTCATGTACGAGAACGATGGCTGGAACGCTTTGTATATCGAGAATCACGATCAGAGTCGGACAGTCTCGAGATTTGCATCCGACAAGCCTCAGTTGCGAACAACGGCTGCAAAGATGTTAGCGCATTTTATTGCTTTCCAGGCGGGCACACTTTTCGTGTATCAAGGTCAGGAGCTCGGTATGAAAAATGTTCCAGAGTCGTGGCCGATAGAAGAATACCGAGACCTCGAAACGCTGAACCACTGGAATGAGTATGTTATTCAGCTCTTATAAGCGCTACGCTGTGATAAAAGTACTGATAAGACTTAAAGGCTTCTCGAATTGTTTCCCAACGACATCGAGCTTCAAAAGCTTACCAGAACGCAATACCAGCTCAAGTCTAGAGACAATGCACGCACTCCTATTCAAGTGAGTCTTCATAGCTGGGATTTCGGCCAAAGGCAAGAAATCACTTTCTAACGCTGAATAGTGGAACGCTTCAAAGCACGCCGGTTTCACTTCCGGACAACCCTGGATGCGAGTTAATGACGACTATCCGCAAGTCAATGCCGAGGCACAAGTGGGAGTCAAGGGGAGTGTTTTCAGTCACTGGGCAGAAGTGCTCCAACTGCGCAAAGAGTACAAGGACATCTTCATCTATGGCAATTTCCGCCTTCTCACTGCGGAAGATGAGCAAGTGTTTGCATACAGCCGCGCGTACGAAGGCCGAGGAGCCGCAGTGGTATGCAATTTCTCAGATACAGACGTCAAGTGGACCCCTCCTGCGGAGACGAAGCTGGTTGAAGAGGCTATTCTTCTATCAAATTACACTGGCTTGCATAAAGACAGCGAAGGCAGGATCCTTCTGCGGCCGTTCGAATCATTCGTTTGCCTTCATTCCGATCGCTATCCAGCATCCAAGATTTGATTTGATTTATAAAGGCTATAGTTGGCGCCAAGGTTATAGATGGCTATGTATCGGATATCATCGTACAAAAATATTGAAACAGAATGCAAAACATCGATGTGTCGTTACATGGAATGAATTTCGCAGAAAAGGGAAAACATATGAGAAACGATCATAGTTTGTTTTCATGCTGAGAAGAAAGAAACCTGTTGCAGGTCAGGAAATGGAAGATTCGGGATACTGACCTTTTTTCAAGGTCAACGCCAGTATGATCTAAAGATTGTAGAGCAGCACTGGACTGTATCAAATTATTGAGCTTTGCAAGCCTCAATGCATCTCACTTCAGCAGGGATCTATGTAGCAGGCCAAATCTCAGGATGGCCTGCCCTCTCTCATTCGTCACGGATTTATTCACGTGTGCGAGATGTCCTGTGCGACCCGAGCGGCCTGGAGATGGCGCTACGCCTTCAATAGATATAGAGAAAGGGCCTTTGAAAAGGCTGCCAATCGAAGTCTGATGTGGAACGGGATCAACCATAAGAACCGATTCGAGAATCGCACATAGCACGTTCTTCACCTCAGTCTCGAGATCGCCGGCACTATGCTGGTTGGTGCATGAGGATAACGGGAAATTAAAGGTCAATGGAATATGGAATGCGAAGTAGTAACTTCAATAAGAACTGTTCCAGATTACCACGGATGATTGATCCGGTGGCGAGTCGGATTCGTCGTGGCGACCACCAAAGGGTATCATTGGATGCGTCCCAAGCGAGGGAAATGGTGCCGTTTGGTATGGGTGTTTGGCCATAGAACTCGCCTCGCTGGGAGGCTGGCGACTGGTATCGCTGACGCTAGTGACGGGGGAATGTCGAGAGGAAGAGTTGGTGGAAATCTCTTCTGGGGAACCCAGTACGCGACCAGGTGAGGGCAATGCCATACCCATCTTAAGTGCCTTGCTTTGGAGTATCGGAAGTAGGGCAGAATTTCCTCCCCGGAAAGATCCCAGAGTCCCAAAAAGTTTCAGGAGGCTCTCTCCAGCGCCTGATTCGAGAGGGATGGTGCTTGCATTTGAGGGTACGCAAAGGATCACATCTGCCAACGCATTTGCAATCTCGAATAATTTCATTTCCTGGATAAAAGGTTAGGTAAGCGGGTTCCACGCGACGGTAGGAAGGCGTAAAAGAAAAAGGTTCATACCATGCCAATCCCATGAGCTTCCAATGCTTCTGGCGACAGGCTGCTCATAAATGCGACAGCGCTCTTGGCAATGTGGGCGGGGAATGAAAGCGAAAGAGATTGCATGGTCGAGTCGGTTGAGAGCATAACATGTGACAGCGAAAGCTGCCACACAAGCACTCTCATCCATTGCTGCGTAATGCCAATATCGGCCCGCTGGATTTCGCTGCTGTGATTTGGTAGCTCTGGCACGCCTTGCAGAAGATCTTGAACTCGTGCAAAAGCTTCCCGGGTCTGCTGGGAGCTGTCGCAGCTGGCAACATCATCAAAAATGCTAAATAAATTGCATAACCGGGGAAATGCAGACGAGCGCAACGCTTCCTCTTCGAAAAACAATGCCGGTAAGCTGCGGTTTCTCTTGAGAATATTTGGAAGATCGTATTGGATGCAATGCGCTCTGGAATGCCCATTAGTCACGTGAACTGTTTTCCTTGTTCGATGGAGAAGGCGAAATACCTATCCGTTACGAAGAGCAGCCAATACACTCGAAGGGCGCTCTGTTGCTCTGGGACGCTCAAAGGCGTATAGTAAGTCTCCTTGTGGAGGCCAATCAAATGAGCAAAGGTAATGGCTTCCTGGAGGAGCAAGGTGGAACTTCGCAGCTTGCCTACATCGGCGGCGTACACATGAAGAAAGAAGGAAGTTAAAAGTACATCTATGGTTAGGTGCTCTTCGTAGCACATGCTCGAGCGTGTGTGTCTGGCTTCTTCCGCCATATATTCCATTGTAAACGGACTGGACTGGTCATTCTCGCCGTCGGAAAGCTTCAGTCGAGCCCGGGTGGCTGCACAGGCGGCCAGCGCCAATGCATAGGCTTCCAAGTCATTCTCGTTCTCATGAAGGCGCTCCAGTAGTATTTTGTAATTGACAACGGGCCACGTAGGGTACATGCGAGCCTGGTACATTTGGAGGTACGATGTCACGATAGGCATAGGTACTCGCTGGCGAAAGATGGGCACGGTAGGACCAACGCGCGGTGGCAAGTGTGGTTGCTGGGACTGATTTTGCCAGACAAAGAAACCTTCACCGGTCTCGAGACTCGCACGAGGAACGTCCTCGGGTGGCTGCCCTGGGGTCTCGGAGGTTGAGGCATGCTGGGAGCCTGCAGCCGGCCTGGACCCATCCCTCCGTTTGCTATAGTCACTCTGTCTCCTCAGAATAATGTTGGTGGTCGCGGCCCGTGGACCCTTTGGGCCGGACTTTGCGCGAGTCTTGAGGAAGGTGCATCGAAAGGAGTTTTGGACACAGCGACGACACGGTTGATTTCCATCGCACTTGACCTTCCTCACGGCGCAGGCATCACAGGCACGATTAGTGCTTCCCGCCATCGGGTCTCTCTTGCTAGCGAATGTCAAAAAGCGGCCATGACAGAGCCCATCGAGAGATGAGTTGAATCGACACGATAGACAACTAGCAGAAGGAAGGGAAGGAACGGCAATGGGAGAACATCAAGAAGATCTGTTGGTCTATTCAATTGAAAGACAAGGCAGTTTAAGGGACCCAGGGAGCCAGTTAGAATCGCAATGGAGAATAAGGTGGGAGTTTGGGGCTGCCCCACATGGACTCTCACACTCATATCAACCACGTGATGATGGCTCACCCATTCCCATTTCATCCCTGAACCGACCCGACCACCCGTCGCTTTCCTTTGCCGGGTACAGGGTCTTCAAAAGCAGGCTTTTCGGCAGTTGAATTTGTGATACCAACATCCATGTTGTTTTGTGAGTGAAGGATTGCATCTTCTTATCTATCTGCGGTATAATTTTTTTTTATTTGAGACACAATCAAATGCTCGTCATAGACCTCCCTAGTTTCAGTGGTCCATGAGAAAAGGGCTCCACGTTCCCCAACTTTCCCACCCCACAGTTAATCTAAATTGGGGGGCCCTTGAAAACAACCCCACAGCAAAAGAAATGGTGTTTTGCGGGATTACAAAGTACAAACAAGACAATGCGGTGAGTGGGACCTCCCCCACGATCAACCAGTCAGCATCTTGTCAGGACATTTCCTAAGAGCATCAGCCTTATGTGCGGTATTTGACACAGGAACACGTTCTCTGCTTCCCCCCACGCAGTAGGTAATTTCCAGGAATATTGTCTGAGACCCGCAAGTGCCGGTAAGCGTGCGCAAGTTTTCAATTCGCATCATAAGTATTACTACAATATGATAATTACAAGAATTATTATTATTATTGATATCGTTATCATTAATATTATTATTATTATCATTTGGTATGACAAAATTTGAGGCAATTTCTCTGACAGATCGACAAGATGCATGCAAAAGGGCAATGGCGACGGCCACGGTTCTCCAAATTATTAAGCACAAAATTAGCCAAATGCATAAAATACACAAAATCACAACTTGCTGTGTAACTCTTATCCACCATCGTGCCTCGTGTATGAAATAAATAGCACCATCGTGGGTCGCACATGTGGCAATACGAATGTCGCCGTGTGTTGTTTGAACCAAGAGAAGTTTACGATAATTTATCGCTGATCATTTTAACTATATTTCTCACAGTAATATTTAATTGAACAATTCTTTTTAATCGTCATCAATATTTTCATCTCCTTTAAGGAATCAAAGACGGCACCACGTGACGAGCAACAAAGCTGTACATGACCAAGCTCACTGTGACCGACCTGATCTAAACAAGATCGTGTTTTTTTTTTTTTTTTTTTTTTTTTTTTTCAAAAGCGGACCATCCATCACAGGCGGTTCTCAGGGTCGAGCCGGAGCGGCAAGACGAAGAGGTCTGAGGAAGCTGAGACAGTGAACAATGAGAGCTGATTATCAAATCGCATCAAGATGTCGCAGGGATATAGATGATTCTCAAGCAAGACTAGTATCTAGCGTCAGACACAAATCCAGCTGAATCGACACCAACCAACACCCAATCCACTGAACCAAAAATATCACTTTACACTATGTACCGTAGATGGCTTCATCAATCATTCAATTAATCTGCGCTGGAACGAATAAAATGTTCATTCAAGGCCTTCTTGGTTGTACAGGATCATACTAGACTTGATACCCAAAAGAATCCACGAAACAATTGACATGCAACCTGACAAGTGACATTTCACGCCCCCCTTTAACTGCGACTTTGCCAGATGGGTTGTGGTCACCCGTTAATCGATAAGCTTAAAGCAAATGAAAATGAGCTCCTTCTTCCGACCACGGCCCAACCGCAGTTGTATCTCTAATTAATTTTTTTTTTCCCTTTTTCTTTTTCCTTTTTTCCCTCTCCCGCACATCTGAAACCACAACCCCGTCCGCTCCCCCAAATTGCTCCTTTTTGCAGACGTGGATCTGCCTGACGACGCCAGCATCCTGAGCATGGAGCACTTTGAGCGTGTTCGACGTTGATTCATCGGGCTTTCCCGACTTCCCTCGTTCCCTGCTGCCTCTTCAACACCGCCACTCGCCAAGCTCTAAATCATTCGCACCGATCGTCTTCGTCGCGAGTCTAGAGCTAACTAGTAGCTTGCTCGTTCCTGGCATCGTCCAACTGCCGGGGTCCGCGTCGGCTTTAATCGTCTTTCTCTCGGGCCTTTCTTTCAGGCCTCAATTTTGGATCGTTCTATCTATAAATCTTCCGTCTCCTAAATATTTAGACCGCCCTTAAAAAGCACATCTCAAAAGCGCCGATCGAGGCACCTAGTGTTCGAACCATTGTCTCCCCTATAGTTTGACCTCTATCCTGTATGCACGATCTGTCCACGCCGCCTACGTATGCCGTATCGCACATATTTCTTTGATTTTCCCATTTCAGTATAGAAGGACATGGCTCAGAGGTATTGCAGCTCAATAGATTGAATTCCATCCTGAAGCTTTGCTGACCAGTCGCTCAATCTGTATAGCCAAGTATATCAAGTTGTCGTTCTAGGCGCCGGTGCGTTTTTCCCCCGATTCCGTCCACGATATATAATGATCAATACATGAGAGATCTAATACGAATGTGGGCCGACAGGTGGTGTCGGAAAGAGCTGCTTGACTGGTATGCTTTTCCTCCAAGTGGACATGGACACATTGGCAGATAATTGACGCGGTGTGATGCTTGCACTTTAGCGCAATTCGTTCAGGGCGTCTGGATTGAGAGTTATGACCCCACCATAGAAGATTCCTATACAAAACAGATTCCTATAGATGTGCGTTGTCAGCCCTGATCTGAGGCCCCGGCATCAGAGAGCCTCTTCCTCCCTCGCTGTGCCGTTCGAAGCTAACTATATTGTGTACTTCATACAGGGCCGACAATGCATGCTAGAAATGTAGGATCCAGCGGGCGCCTCAAGTCGTTGATGCAGCAGAGTTGACTAACAACACAAAGATTAGATACGGCCGGTACAGAACAATTTAGTAAGTGCCTCTAAATTGCCTATACAACTCATGCTAACGGTGCGTCCTCCATCAGCGGCTATGAGGTACAACACCACCAGTTTGAAACATCCCACTCTGAATGAACAGAACCAAGCTTACGTATTGCTATTATTTGCAGAGAACTCTACATGAAATCAGGTTCGTCGGAATCCACTCCCGCTTCCTGCAGATCCATAGGACCCACCCCTACTCAAACGTACCAACCGACTGACACAACAACCCCAATAGGCCACGGATTTCTACTCGTCTTCTCCATCACAAGCAAAAACAGCTTCAACGAGCTCAAAGCGCTACGCGATACCATCATTCAGATCAAAGGAACGGACCAGGTTCCTATGGTTATTGTGGGTAACAAATGCGATTTAGCAGAGGAGCGTGCCGTTTCACGCGCCCATGCCTTTGCCGTCTCGCACAGCTGGAACAAGACACACTATTACGAGACGTCGGCCCGTAGCCGACTCAACATCGACCAAGTCTTTACCGACCTCTGTCGACAGATGCTTCAAGCGGATGCGGAACAAGACCGATTCATGCAAGCCCAAGAAGCAGTATATGGCCCCTTGGGCGGCAAAAGTACGAGCAAGCGGGATCTTTACGGCCGCCACCGCCGACGACGGCGACGCCGAGATAATGGACCGCGCTGCGTAATTTTATGATTTTCACGAACATGGGAGGATTTTGTCATTTATTCTCCCCCTTTTTTTTTTTCTTTTGGCTTTTCCCTTTCTCTTCATCATTTTTTGTCGTTGCGGTTGATGAACTATATACATCTTTCTTACCGACCTAGAAAGCGCCATTCAGTTTCATGTCACATATATATTACTTGTCTTATTCATGAGCACATATATATTAACCTATAGAGAAACTTTGATTCATTTCTTCACCAAGCAGAATTCTGCAAACGAGATACAAGCGAAATGGAGGAAAAAAAAAAAAATAAGAATGAAGTTACATTCTAAACACCCCAAACTTTGTCCCCTTCCACCCAGCCTGGGCACGCTGTCTCTCCAGTCCGGCCATGGCAACACTTAATCCAAGTCCCAGCGCCATACGCGTATGCGCGGGAGGAATGACACCATCGTCCCAGAGCCGAGCCGACGAAAAGGTTGCGCGACTCTCGCTCTCAATGCGTTGTTTGAGCGCCGGATCCGCGGACTTGCCGCCTACAGTCTCCATGACGGCGCTGAGCTGCTCGGATCCCATGACTCCAATGCGAGCATTGGGCCACATCCACAGAAATCGGGGCGAGTACGCACGGCCACTACAATTCTCGCTGTTAGTTTTTGTCTCCATTGTTTTCATTGTTCACACTCTTAGGCATTCTCTGCGGGTTTGTTTTGCGGGAAGTTCTCAAGGGTGAAAATGACAGTGACAAGAAGAGGCACGACAAGGCAATAGAAGCCATATGTGGGTGTAATTTGCAAAGCGACACAGAAACCAGACTCAACTCACCACATGCCATAATTCCCCGCGCCGGCGCTTGATCCGAACACGACGGTGAATTTGGGGACCTGGGCACACGCGACTGCCGTGACGAGCTTTGCTCCGTTCTTGGCGATGCCGCCCTTTTCAGCATCCGCGCCGACCATGAATCCGCTAATGTTTTGCAAAAACACGAGTGGGATGTCGCGCTGAGCGCAGAGTTCGATAAAGTGTGCGCCCTTGAGTGCCGATTCGGAGAATAGGATGCCGTTGTTGGCAATGATACCGACTTGTTGGTTGTATATTCTTGCGAAGCCTGTTTCTCTGGGGTTTAGTAAAGAGGGGAAGAGCGAGAGAGATAGACAAATGAGGACAAATTGGAAAGGAGATAATACGAACCAGTTACAAGACTCGTGCCATAATCCTTTTTAAACTCGGCGAATTCGCTCCCGTCTACGATTCTGGCAATGATTTCTCGAGCCTGAATAGGCTTTTTTAACTTCGTGCCAACGATGCCAGGCAATTCTTCTGGATCATAGAGTGGCTCTTTCCACGACTTGTTTGACCCAGTAATATTCTCGTCGCGTTTATTGCTTTTCGGCCAGTTCAAGTTACTTATGCTTCGCCGTGCAAGCATGATCGCATGTGCGTCTTCGACAGCAAGGTAGTCTGTCACGCCGGAGATGGAGCTGTGTAGTTTCCCGCCGCCGAGGTCTTCGTGGCTGACTACTTCCCCTGTGGCGGCTTTGACCAGCGGTGGGCCGGCGAGGAAGATGTGTCCTTGATTCTCGACGATAATAGACTCGTCGGACATGGACGGTACGTAGGCCCCGCCCGCGGTACATGGGCCCATGACTACGGCTATTTGCGGAATGCCCATTGAACTCACTGTCATTGTAAGCAATTTCTCGCGGGACGGCCTGGAGGGAGAGGACAAGAGGAGATGCGTACTTTGAGCTTGATTGTAGAATATCCTACCAAAGTGCTCGCGGTCTGGAAAGACGTCTGCTTGATGCGGTAGGTTGGCACCACCGGAGTCGACAAGATATATGCATGGTAGGTCTTTGAGAGTATCAATCTGTGAACGTTTTATAGGTGCGTTAAGTGTTGGAAAACGTACGGTTTTCTTGAGCAATCGCTTGAGCTCGAAGATGTTTCTTTACTGTTACAGGGTAGTATGTTCCTCCTTTGACACTATCTCATAGTATATTAGCATGTGTTATGTGCTGATTCTTGTTCATTGGCTGGGAAATGTAAGTCAGATGGCGTACGTGCTGTCGTTGGCAATTATCAAACAATCCACTCCTTCTACTTTGCCAATACCCGTAATAATCCCTCCAGCAGGGACGTCTTCCCCGGGGTATAGCTCATATCCTGCCAATGCGGAGAGTTCGAGAAAAGATGTCCCAGGATCTATGAGAGCTGTGATGCGACTGTAGTAACGCATTAGAAGGATGACTCTAAGGTAAATTTGGTAGAAGAATAGCATTACTCTCGTGGAAGTATTTTCCCTCTCGCAATATGTTTCTCTCGCGCCTTCGGCGGACCACCCTGTGCAATCTTTGAATGCAAGCTTTCAAGTTCATCGGTCAGTTCTCGCATTTGTCGGGCATTCTCCTGAAATTCAGCCGACGAAGAATCTACTTCCGTCGGTAACACTGATAATGCGGAGGCCTGGTGACGGTGCAAATGAGTTGCAATAGTCCGACATTGCGAGCTGCAAACATTGAATCTAGATCTGGACAGTACGTAAGATATTCGACGCCGTTGTGATCGCGAGATTGCCCGGAAGCCGCTGAAGAACAGCTGGTGCGGGATCGAGGCACTCATGGTCAAAAGAATGAGGAATTATCATTTATCGCAGGATTGTCATTGTATTGAACCTGTCACACTGTGCAAATGATCTTGTAGAGATTAATTGAAGTAGTGTTTATCACTCAAGGTTTTTTTAAGTGTCATCATACAGCATTATGACGGTTGTCCTTGAGTCCCTGGGCTATAGCTAAGCAGTGGGAAATACAAGCCCTCCCGAGGTTCAAGGGTCCTGCAGCCTGAGCCGGTGTTAGCCGAACCCGCGTGGGGAATCCCTGTCTTTGTGTTGATGCCCCAACTTCCCCAGACGGGTCGGGCGGATATTAATCGTAGCATGTCGCACTATTGCCCACTATCACGATCCCATCAATTGTGCATTCTTCCAGGTCCCTTCAATTTTTCAAATTTTCAGAGTAAGAGGGCTGCCTCATTTTAGACATATCTGAGAATGGCATCAAGCTTGCGTATTCTCCCACGAGCTATCCCTCGGTCGTTGTTGTTAGCTCCGAGGGGCATGCCATGCATAACAACACTGGCTCGAAACCGACAAGTCAGATATGCGTCAACCACAAAGCACCCCAAGGGCTTTATACCGCCATCTAGTGAGGATCTGTCCGAGTTAAGAGATAGGGTCCAAGAATTTACTAGTGAGTCCAAAAGTACGATTACTCTGCGGCGAAAAGTGGAACTAACAAGGGTCAAGGGCGCGAGATCCCAGAAGAAGTCGCTGCGATGACCGATAAAGTGAATGAGTTCCCAAATGATATGTGGGAGAAATTGGGAGAGGCAGGGTGTGTATTTATGCTGCCTTCAGGGTCACGGCGTTTGCTTCAGCTCATTGGCGGTCAGGTTTCTGGGAATCACGGCCGATGAGGACTACGGTGGTCTTGCCATGGGGTACCAGGCACACTGTGTAGTTATGGAAGAGATTAGTCGAGCTTCAGGTCTGTAGTACATACTGCACGCTATAATCTCGCATATGCAATTCAGCTAAAGTGGGGGTTATCTTAGGAAGCATTGGTCTGTCATATGCTGCACACTCGCAACTTTGCGTCAATCAGCTTTCTCTTAATGGCTCGCCGGAACAAAAGCGAAAATTTCTCCCCGGGCTTATATCAGGAAAAAAGGTCGGAGCGCTGGCCATGTCAGAACACTCGGCGGGCTCAGATGTAGTTAGCATGAAGACAACGGCGAAAGCAGTCAAGGGAGGCTGGATACTGTCTGGTACAAAGATGTGGATTACGAATGTAAGATTTCAAGATTTTCAAATGCTTTTATTTTTTCTTTGCCGAAGCAGCGCTAACTTGGATTTCAATATGCAGGGACCTGACGCGGATTACATCGTGGTCTATGCCAAGACCGACCCAGAAAAAGGATCCAAGGGGATCACTGCTTTTGTGGTAGAAAAAGGCTTCACGGGCTTCTCTTGCGCCAGAAAGCTGGATAAGCTCGGGATGAGAGGTTCGAACACGGGTGAATTAATCTTTGATGATGTCTTTGTTCCCGCGGAGAATGTCCTAGGCGAAGTAAACAAAGGCGTTCGTGTACTCATGGAAGGATTAGATATTGAACGACTCGTTTTGAGTTCGGGACCTCTAGGGTAAGAATAAAAGATAATGTCAAAGAAATTTCGAGTCAAAGGATCGCTAACCCTCAGAACCAGTCTTATGCAAGCGGCGTTAGACGTCGCTCTACCTTACACCCATACCAGAACGCAGTTCCAAACTCCAATAGCATATAATCAATTGATTCAGGGAAAGCTGGCAGATATGTATACAAAACTCCAAGCCGCAAAGGCATATACATATTCGACGGCAAAGAGACTGGATGAAGAAGGCTCGGTCAAAACAGTCGATTGCGCTGGTGCAATTCTTTATGCCGCAGAGCGTGCGACCGAAGTCACGCTTGATGCTATCCAGTTGCTCGGCGGGAATGGATATATGAATGAAATGCCTGCTGGTCGTCTCTTGCGAGATGCTAAGCTCTATGAAATTGGCGCAGGAACGAGCGAAATTCGCCGACTGGTAATTGGTCGTGCATTTAATAAGGAATACGCCGATCCGTGGGCCAAGGGGTGAGCGAAGGACTCAATAAGGATTTCTGAAGGATAGTAATATCTGGCATGGGTTATCCAGAAAAGAATATAGACATCAATGGCGCTCCCTTTCCAGTAACGGTTTGATGATAATGTGGGACAAATGGAACCGGAATTTATCTGCACTGCGTCACCGGCGAGCAGCTTTCCGACTCCGTGTGGACTTGCTAGGTGTGTCTTCAAGATTTTCTTTTAGGTTGGTACTAGTTGATGAGCGGAGGGCCTTGGATTTTCGTTCATCCGAGTTGATGTCAGCTGCTTTGCGTTTCCGTGTTGTCCAGTTTTTTCCATTTTGAAGTTGCGGTAGAGCATCTCCACGATTAGGTTGTTCCGTCAACTCAGCATCTTTTGCGGTCTTAGTCTTCTGAGGCGGTTCGGATTTTGCAGTCTTCGTTCGCAGATCCTTCCCTGTCCTTTTAGCCGGTTTGTTTTCCTCCACAGGGCTTGCAGCCCCTGTCTGATTTTCGCCGAATGTCTCTCGCCAGTTTTCGAATAATGCAACTGTTTCCGCATCGGAAGGATCGATCAAAGGCGGCTTATGCAGTACTGGCCTGGACTTCCAGACAACTTTAGGATACCACTGCTGGTGTTTTTGACTTATTTTTGGATTGGTGCCTCTCTTATTTTGATGTCTAGTATTGATCCGCTGTCGAGTTCCTTTCTTAGAATTAAACACAGTCAAGGGCTGGATACCCTCGGCCAGGTTTGAAGCTGTCGTAAGTTGGACATTTGGTTTTCTCAAGGACGAGTCCTCGTCGTAGAAGTCATCGGAATAATAATCCCAATCGCTGAAATAATCTAATGTCTCATATCTCGGGTCTTCTTGCCAGACGGGCGAGTGCATGGTGTGTTCCGCTAAATCATCCTGGAGCGGAGGGTCAGCTTGACAAAAGTGAATCATCGGGTGACAGGCTATTTGCTAACTCACCACAACGTCCAGCGGTTCATCGTCATAGTATATATATTCATCATCATCGCCGTAGTAATCCTCTTCGTCGGACATGTTGACTTTTGGCTTTGTTTGCGAGGGGCGCACAAGTCTGTCAGGACAAAGACAAGACCAGCTTCTGTTGACGCGAACGGTAGCGATGAGTCGGCAGTGCGGAAAGCCGCTATTGGAAACGAGCGAGTGGGCTGGAAATACTCAACTAGCAGCCTCAAAGCGAGTATCAAAGTAAAAAATGTCGTCCATTTGGACCTTGGAGACAAAGGAAGCGAAGCCCATAGGAATAGAAAAGTTGAAAGTTGCGTTTTCTGGATTACGATTACGGTTCTTCATTGACGCAGACAGTGAAGAACTTGTAGGGCTGGCTGGTGGGGCGTTTCGTCAGACTGCGCTGCCTACAAAATAGGCCTAAGGACCCAGAACAAATGACGGAACATTAATACGTCAAGCTCTGAAATCTATTGGCCATGCCAATGCAGAGCACTACGGCGCATTCGCTGTAATTTTGAAGTGATAAATTAATCACCTGGGACTGGGTCACTGTACGTTACGGGAATAACTACAGTATGGCCTCGGTCCAATGTGTTCCCTACTGTTTTCCCCCGCGATGCAGCTATCGCTTACCCTCGGCTTCCCCGCGTGCCTGGATGCAGGGATTACCACAGGGCAGGAACGCAGAGCATATCGGAGCATAGCAATAATGTGTGGTTCATAAAGGGCTATACGGATGATGACAACGATGACTTTCTGGCCTGACTTTGAGCCATTGTTCTAACTCTATATTTCTTCGTTCTGAGATGCGGACATGACTGCACGTCGTCTCCTTCGTCCGCTGACCCTTCGGCGGTATCACTCGAGCTTACAACATGGTGCAGCACCAAGGCCGTTGACGTCGGTTCTGGTTGCGAATCGTGGAGAGATTGCACTGTAAGTCTATCAGGAGCAAGAGCATTTCTATAAAGCGAGTCTGACTGTCTTCAGTCGTGTTCAGAAAACGGCGTCGCTTCTCGGAATTAAGTGCACTACCATTTACACCGATCCGGATGCGCATTCACAACATGCTTTGGCCTCTCCCTATGCGATAAATCTTGGGGATCCGGGGGCATACCTGGATGGGGATCGCATAATTGAAGCAGCGAAAGCTGCAGGATGCGTTGGCGTACATCCCGGATACGGATTTGTACAGACCCTGACGTTCTTTGGTCGAACTGAAGTCATCTAATGTTAACCGCGAATTAGCTGAGCGAGAACTCGAATTTTGCTCGTCGATGTACCGAGGCAGGTTTGATATTCATCGGACCTCCATGGAAAGCAATAGAAGAAATGGGCGACAAAAGGCAATGCTCAATCGACCCCGAATCTATTGAGCATACTTTCTAATGGATAGTAGTCAGTCGAAAAATATCATGTCCGCTGCTGGGGTTCCCTGCATTCCTGGCTATCACGGCGGGAATCAGAATCCGGACTTTCTGAAAAGCGAGGCAGACAAAATTGGGTATCCCGTCCTGATCAAAGCAGTCAAGGGTGGCGGGGGAAAGGGCATGAGGATTGCCAGATCAGCAGCGGAATTCCCGGACCAGCTGCAATCGGCAAAAACAGAGGCACGCAACTCGTTTGGCGACGAAGTCATGCTTGTGGAGAAATACATAACGCAGCCTCGTCATATTGAGGTGCAGGTCTTTGCAGACAAGCATGGAAATTGTGTTGCTCTTGGTGAACGAGACTGCAGTATTCAACGCCGACACCAGAAGATTTTGGAAGAGTCTCCCGCGCCAAATCTGGACCAATCGGTCCGCGAGGATCTTTGGGCCAAAGCCAGAACAGCTGCTCTTGCTGTTGGCTACGAAGGTGCAGGAACGGTGGAATTTATATTCGATAATGAGACCGGACAGTTCTTCTTCATGGAGATGAATACCCGACTACAAGTCGAGCACCCTGTCAGCGAAATGGTCACAGGAGAGGACCTAGTCCGCTGGCAATTATTGGTCGCTGAGGGAAAGGAATTGCCTTTGACGCAAGACCAAATTAGGGAGCGAATAGCGCAAAGGGGATGGGCAATAGAAGCTAGAATCTATGCGGAAAACCCGGATATGTGTGACGCCCAATGTCTCAATTATCTTTGACCATCTTCATTAACATCTGTTTAGGAACTTTATCCCCGACGCGGGTCTACTCACGCATCTTAAGACGCCAGTAGCCTCTCCTACCGTTCGTGTCGATGCGGGTTTCGTTGAAGGCGACGAAGTCACGTCGCACTACGATCCGATGATTGCAAAGCTCATAGTTCAGGCCGAGTCACGCGATTCAGCAATACAAAAGCTTCTTGCTGCTTTAGAAGACTACGAGATCGCAGGTGCTACAACGAACATTGAATTCCTGAAGAGAGTATGCGTTCATCCGGCTTTCATCAGCGGCGATGTCGAGACTGGCTTTATAGAAAAATATCGCAGCGCACTCTTCGCCAAAAGCGAGCTTGAACCAGAAGTCTTCGCACAAGCTGCGCTCGGTTTACTTCTCCGCGAAATCTCCAGCCAGTCTGGCACGGTTGGCTTCGGTGCAGCTGGCACGGGCGTCGGATTTGGATCAAACTACCAGACGCGAAAATTCTCATTAGCCCAGATGGCGCCAGACGGAATCAAGACTGACGCTGAGACCGATGTTGAAGTCGGGCAAGTCGGCCCCGGCACGTTCGATGTCTCAATAAATGACGTACAATATCCAAGTGTTCTCAGCCATTACGACCTCTCTACCAGAGTTCTAACAAGTTTCTACCCACATACGCGTCTAGCGACGACGATTGTACAAGACGGAGACAGTCTCGTTATATTTCAGCAAGGGCGGCAGTATAAATTACGCTGCAAGCCTCCAGGCTGGGCCGAAAAGGTACTCGGACTACACGATATTACGAATAGTGTCCTCGCTCCGATGCCTTGCAAAGTCCTTCGCGTCGATGTAAAGGAGGGTGATGCTGTGGTGAAGGACCAAGCACTGGTAGTTATAGAGAGTATGAAGATGGAGACTGTCATACGAAGTCCTCATGATGGAGTCATCTCAAAGGTGGTACATAAAGCGGGTGTAAGTTTTTTTATTCCCCTCTCTATCGGATACTTGACAAAGTATGTGAGTCGAGACATGCTGAGATTTTGATTCAGGACTTGTGTAAAGCCGGCACGGCCTTAGTAGAATTCGAAGATACTGGAAAGTCGTAAAATTAATATTGCGAATACTCACAGTAGCCCAAGTTCAAAATTTAAACCAATATTCTTTGATCATCGGAAGTATAATCATGGTAGATACGCATTTGATGACTATGAGATTCCCTTGTTTTGCTGTGAGGAGTTGAGTAGGCGGCAAGTGAAACCGCGTGGAAATGGTCCCCACATGACAACTGCAGATGTGGTTACAATCGGACAGCAAGGTGCTTGAAAATACTTGACGTCAAACCAAAGCCGGGCGGGTAGCCGAACGCCATCTAAACTGCTTCTGGACTGACAGCGAAGGGTCCAGCGCTAAACAGTTACCCCTTCCAAACCACTCCCGTACAACCATGAATACTAATGGTAGCACTGTGAGAAATATCATCAGCCCTGCGGCATTATCGTTGACTCTTTGCGAGATGCGAGTCAGATTTGTGTTGTTATTTGAAACATGGAGGTATGTTTCACTTCGAGCCCATACTATGTATGTCATGACCTCTTGCAGGTGACAGATCAAGCGTCAAGCAAGCACAAAATAGCAGCCCACGGCGCGGAAAGATGAAATACGCGCCGACCGAAAGGCGAAGGCTGCGAAGTTGCATCGTGAGTTTAGATCGAATGTCTTTGTGATATGCATATTATAAAAAGTCCATGTGGCCCATCTTTCTGATGGTCGCCAACTTCTTTAATGTCTTTGTCTTCCGTTTTAGCCTTTGTCCTTCGCCCAACCGCTCTTCAGTGACTCAATGAATGTCATTACTGAAAAGTAATTATAGTTTATTCATTCAACAATAACAAAAGCCTTTATTCCGATTCATTATCTTAATTGTCCCTATTCTTCAAAGCGCTTCCTTGACTTTCAGCGTCCTTCGCAGCCATTATAATCCACCTTGACCTTGAATACATCTACATCATTCTTTCCCTTGCCGGTTAAAAACGATCTCTGTTATCGTTACTTCCACACTCTACGATACCAACAGCCTTTTATTTTACGAGTAGCCTTTGTATTCCAAGAGCCTGGTGCTCAACAAATATATCTGCTTCTCATCGAGGATTTACGACATCGACTGCTTCACGGACTAAATCCTTAACGGCCTCCACGTGGCATTAGCTCCGGTTTTGCACTCAGTCCGCATTACAAGAGAACAGACAGCTACTATTCTTGTCTCTATTTTTGCTTTCCATCCACTTAGCATAAGATCAAACCCTCCCTCCAGATTTTGTCCTCTCTGTCTAGCAGCAGAAGTCTCACGATTTCGCTTCATATCGTCCATCGAGCTACTTTCAGTCCAGCGACATTTTAAAATCCGCAATTCAAGATGATTTATTTCATCAACAAATCCCCTTCGCAAGGCGGCTTGATTGGAGCTGGCCTTCGCACTACGCTGCGCTTCCTGCAGTTCGTCATGGCGCTCACAGTCGCGGGTCTGTATGGAGTTGATCTGAATAACGTGCGAAAACATGGTTTGAAGCCTGATCCTGCATGGGTAAGTCATACTTTATCATTCTATTGGCCCCGACATCCTGGAGCAACTTTTTGCACCGACGCTCAAGAAGTTATCAGATGCGAATTGAATGGTACTAATACGTCACTGTGCTTTTGACAGGTCTACGCTGAGGTCATTGCTGGATTCGCAGCACTGACGTGCATCTTCTTTTTGATCCCATTTGTCAAATCATGGTACCTCTTCGCCTGGGACGCCACTCTATTGTGAGTACTTTTGACTTGCTGTTTCCTTGGCTCACCGTGATTGCATTGGCATTTTGTATCGCTTGTCTGGTTTTGGTGGAAAGTGGTGTTGATCGCTGCACCCCGCAATGTACCCCGCGTTTTTCTATCGTGTCGCTTTGCTGCCCTGTGCAAAATAGCTTTCTCCAATGCTCTTCTTGGACTACTGGGTTGCTAACCGTGGGTCTTGAATAGTATCCTCTGGATTGCCGTGTTTGGCGTCTTTGCGCAAAAGTACGGGCATAAACAAGTTGACGGCAACGCCGCGGTACAACGAATGAAGAATGCCGTCTGGGTCGACTTGGTCAATGTGCTTTTGTGGCTGATCAGTGCAACTTATGGCGCCATTCGGTTCTTTTATAGTCGCCGATCGGTGCTCAGTTCCAAGACGAGCGTCGTATAGTTCAATCGGCATTGTGTGCCGTATTCGAACTGAGAGACCGCTACAATTTTTGCCTACTCGAAAAAGAAAATTGGAGTTTCTTGCGTTATGGAGTTTTCGGGAGGGTTTCCTCGGATCGCAAGAATTCCATTAGTGATTATTTAGTTCTCTTTCTTTTTTTATATTATTATTGTTTTACTGCTTATGGTATTTTATTTTGTTTCATTTCTCTTTTTTCGCATTGTGCTTCCCCGGAGTTCGACAGAGACATTTATTGAGCTATTTCTTTGTCTTTTCCTGCATAGTTGCAAGGACGCATGGCTGCTCCTCGTAAAGACCCACCAATGAAGATCTTCACTCAAATCGAATAACTACAATAATTTAGGGCAAGTGCCATACCTGGCAACTCCCGATCGAAAGCTGTTTCGCGTGGCAGCGGGTCACATGTGTTTTCTCGTTTCTTCTGTCCACATTATTACTTGTGTTATTGATATCGCATTTTGGTGTGACTGATCCGCCCCACATCACACATCTCCCCCCGTTCTCCCTCGCGGTTTCGTCCCGAGTCATATTCCCCGTTTTTACTGCTAAAATTCCCGCTAAACTCCCCGTGGGGGTCGTAGTTCTAACACAACGATATATTGGAAACCAGGGTCATGGGTCCCAATCAGCCACATACACTCCCCCCCTTTTCAGTGATAGCTTTCCAGTGGTTTTGTCCCGAAAAGAGATCCAATCTCCGAGAGAAATGGGGCTGGTGAGCTGTTTTCATTTTGCAAAAGTAGCTAAACATAGCTGCGACATGGGCTACCTTGCCCTCTTGTGGGTATTTAATAGATTCTAGAATGCTTCGCAGGCAGGTGCATTACTTGTGTACTTCTCTCCCGGGCGGGGGGCTGGCAATGGGTTGACATAACCAGGGTCTCGAGTCAGTATACATACGCAATGACAATCATCTAGGTCCCGCCACTGGGGTACAAGGTTTTCTGTTCTGGTACGCGTGACTTGTAAATCTCTTTCAATTGGATCATGCTATACTCGATGCACTTGTAGCGATGTATCTCCAGAGTAGCGGGATAAGGCGAGTATTACTGACAGGGATGAGACAAATATAGAAGGTGCGAAGGAGATCGGATAGTCGGACTACGCTACCGCTGCACTCCCCATCGTACGCGACAGGATTTCTTTTGGTCACAATTGAAAGTGGTGGAAGACTTTGATCATAATCATTTGGTTTGTAATTGTGGGGAAGATAGATTGCGAATTCGAGCGTTCTTGAAATGTCTCTGCGTTGAATTCGGAGGAATCGGATCCCATCGTGACTACCAGTATCAACGCTATGAGGAAAAGGGAACCTTGTGCGGTATTAAGATTTTTTGGAACAGTCGGTGAGGGAGAAGCCCGTGCGGGGGTGGGTTGTGGGTAAAAGGGTCCCCGCTAGATACCTAGAATGGGTACAGTAAAGGAAGTACATGATCGCAGAGGTACCGAACCTTAGTGATCGCTAATGCGGGGTACAGCATAGTGAGTACTCATACTCTCGCTCTCTTCGGCACTCGATTGAGCGACTCGGGGTGTGCGATAGGGGGATCTTCAAGTGGCAAGTGCCTAATAAACGTGGAAAAGACTTGGGTGTCTGTCGGGTCAGATTACACCATTTGACCCATAAAAAGGCCTTTTTCCTTTTAAATTGGGGCCGGGGAAGAGTAAGAGGCGGGGGTAGCAATTGTTTAAGCTATCGGAATACGGAGGTGAGTAGTTTAGGGGTTCACTTAGTGCTATAGATACTTTCCTTATCCATTCGAACCAACGACCCTTTCTAGTGGTGATCTACGTGTCACTACGTCAGCGATGTGTCTGTCTGCGAGGGAAAAGGTGCCTGGCCTGAAGCTCAGAGGCAGCGACAAGACCTAGAATCAAGCCTTGTTCAGTAGAATCAATCATTTCTTATACGGGACCCTTTTGGACTTTCTTGGGACACTTCTTGTTCCCATAGTATTACTCGGGGTGTGCGACTTTACTTACACGCGCTCTAGCCCAAGCCCTCTCTCTTCTCTATTTGTTGTTTTGCTCCACATGTCGTAGAGCTACTTAACTCCTCTGTCTCCCTCCAATCTTGAGCTCTTCCTCTTCGCCCTGTCATCCTCCTAATCTCCACTCAGTATTCTTCTTTGCAACAACTGTTTCGTTGTTTCTCTTGCTTTCTCCGTGTCTCGCTGTTCTATTCTCTGGCAGGCCCGAGAGAAGACGTTTACGTGACAGAGAAAGAGAGGAAATCGACTCCCCCTTGCATACGTCATTTTCCTCGTTGATCAATTGATGCAACGGAAGCACAAAGTCGACTCCTAACACAGTCGCTGTCTTCTCGTCATTGAAACTATAAATCGAATCTTAGAGTCGTTTAGGACAGCGAAACCATACTCTCGGTATACAAGATGTTCACTTCCCAGATCCTCCGCAGAGCTACTCGGGCCCTGCCCGCTGCCGTGCCGCGGGTCTCTGCAGCATTTACTGCTGCCACAGCTGCACGCACAATGCGACCGGTGTCCCGCTGCCTCTCTACCACTGCCGTCCGTCGCGACGACAAAAAGGAAGAGCCGGTGCTTGAAGAGGGCCAATTCGCGCGAACCGACGACAGCGTTCGTGTCGAGTACCCCGAGGAGCATGAGCTGCCCTCAAGTCAGCCCGTGCAGGGCCGCGGCGGCGTCCACTCCAAGCGCACTCTCGCCTCGTTCTCGCTCGAGGGCAAAGTCGGCGTTGTCACTGGCGGTGCCCGTGGTCTCGGCCTGGTCATGTCGCAGGCCCTCGTCGTCAGCGGTGCTGATGTTGCCATTTGCGATTTGAACAGTACGTTTCTCTAGCCAATTGCTGATGTTTCTTCTTTACGAGCAGTTTGCTAATATGGCATTCAGGGGAGGAAGCCGAGAAGCAAGCCATTGAGCTTGTTAACACCTTCAAAAAGGAGAACCCTAAGACCAAGAAGTATGTGAAGCTTCTATTTTAGCTTTTCTAGAGCTTGCAGCTAATATTGGCCACGACAGGATTCCCAAGGTCACCGCGCACTACGCTGATGTCTCGAATCCAACATCTGTGGAGAGCGTGATCAATGAAATCACTGCCGTTCATGGAAAGATTGACCACCTCGTCACCTCTGCCGGTTTCACCGAGAATTTTGACGCCATTTCGTACCCGCACGACCGGATGCAGAAGCTCTGGGGTGTCAACGTGGACGGCACCTACCTCTTTGCCATCGAAGTTGCCAAGCACCTCATGCAGCGCAAGTCGCCTGGCAGCATGGTCTTCATCGGTAGCATGTCTGGTGCCATTGTCAACGTTCCTCAGCCTCAGGCTCCCTACAACGCCGCCAAAGCTGCCGTCCGACATCTCGCTTCTAGCTTGGCCGTCGAGTGGGCTCACGCCGGCATTCGTGTCAATTGCATCAGCCCCGGCTACATGCTTACTGCATTGTACGTTCCTCCTCTTCTATCTTCTCTGTCTCTCTCTACCTCATCACAGCTACTAACATGACATTCAACAGGACCAAGAAGATTCTCGACGAGAACCCCGATCTCCGCCAGAAATGGATGTCTCTCATTCCTCAAGGCCAAATGGGCAATCCTGAAGACCTCATGGGCCCTGTGGTCTTCCTTCTCAGCGAAAGCGCAGGCTACGTTACCGGTGCTGATCTCCGCGTGGATGGCGGTTACACTGTGACGTAATCCTCTTTTGGACACCCAATTACGAATCATGACTCTAGACTACCGATAATTGTTTTGAATTCTTGGGTCTTTTTGTCCGCTCTGCCTTTCAGGTGTAGACTGGAATTTATGTTAATATCGAGAAGAAGGAGACACGGTCTGACGTCCGCGGTACGGAGTACGGAGGGTAAAGCCCATTCTCCCTCACTGACGCCTAATGGTGATTATCAATTAGCCGGATCGTCCCAAGATGAAGATCTTACGAACTACTGTACTCTACTTTGTTTTGGTGCGAAGCTACCTCTGACGAAAGATGGGGAAATTTGTGTGTTTACTTGGAAAGGGTCTTAACAGAGTCGCGCACGACGCGGTAGGTGGTCTGTGCTTAATTGTTTGCGGGTCTATTCCGAGCAGTCCACGGCCCGGGGTCGATCGGGTATAAAGGCCAACGGAGCCTGATTGCAGTTTCTTTTTTTGCTATTGCATATCTAATAGTCCTGGTTTGGGTCCATGGTTTAATATTTGACTGTTCAAGGAATTAATTGTGAAAGAAAAGCGAGTTGCTCTCTGTTGACTTATTTGGCTTTCTGCTTGATCTGGGAGTTTATCTAATCTTTATTTAATATCTCTTTTTCGGTGACGAATATATATCTTGTGTTCCACAATTTTTCCTATTCATATTGTTCCCTTACAATTCATGTAACAAGCCTATGGTGATTTTGTGATGCAATGTTGTGAGAGCAAACATGTTCTTTTCTGGAATCCTTCTTTGGAACGCTGCCGTTGAACACAGTTCATCGTAACGCTGGCATATAGCTTGTTATTTTTTTCGTTTATGAATGTAGTGATATTCTAAAGTGCTTTGGAGGATGGCAGACGACATAGAACAATTTCTCCTCGTTACATCAGAGGCAAATAGTATATCTAATATTTATAGTTGAAGCAATAGCAAGAGAGACGAAGGACCTGTAAATCGATTTTCCGGAATTCGGGAATCGAAATTACAGGAGCAATAGATAATAGTCTATCAGACACCAAGAACATGAACAGAGGCAAGGAGTGCTTACGAAAAGGTAATAAACAAGAACATCAATAGGTTGGAAACGCATTCAAGCAACTTTATCCCAAGAGATATAGGTTGCGTTGACGAGCACAGAGACAAGAAGGAATCGGGAACATATCCCGGAGTACTGAGATATATACTCGCGCAAATTAATCTACGTGGCTACTGCATAGAAGGTGAATCGAAACTTCTTTCAAAAAGACTATAGGGAAGAGGTTCGGAGATATATCGGTTTTGACGTCTTGAAGCTTGACTGTCACTCTGTCTGCGTTTTACTTAGGCCGAGATTACTAATGATACTAAATTTGGGAACATTTGTATGAAGCTATACTGGATTAGACAAAGTAAGTGAGCAATATATCTAACCCGAAATAGACTACGGCATCTCAAATGACAGGGGGTCTCCTTAAACTTGACTTGATGCAGACTATTCAATCTATAGTTTAACCCCGAAAGGTAAGAAAGCTTTCTTTTCGTCATCGTGTAATTGACCATTTTGCTTTGCCTATTTACTCCAGAAAGGAGAAGTCGTCGTCATCCATGATGTCCGCATAATCCAACAACCGTGGTGGAAGAGACGCCAAGCGAGGTAGAGTGTCAAAGAGGAACCTCGACTGCCGTTACTTTTATTAGAAGAAGTGGGTACTCCACCCTGTTGTTCCAGCCCCAGCACGATGTCCAACTCCGCCCTCGGGTGCCTGCCTCGCTAGAAAGTATGGGGCAAGTACTGTTCCCCATGGTGGTGCTTAGTGAGATACTCCAATGGTACCCATTTAGCACCAGCTAGGCTGCATTTCCATCAACGAATACAAGCGTACTCCCGTGTGCATCGGCAGAGAGTCACCCAGTGCGCGGGAAAATGTCTCTTCTCCCTCGCCTGTCCAACGGCTTCTCTTACTTGCCCACGTCCCACTGGGGATGGCTCGACCGTTAATCCCCCCACTCCCCTCCAACCAAAGGGTCTAGGTCCTGGTCATGAGCCATCACACATTAATCTACTACATGCGCCACCACCCCTGGCCCATCTTTGTTCCCCATTCATGATCCATGCCGAGCCCCACGGCCCGACCGGTACTCGCAATGCTGGACTGCCATCTTTGTTCCCCATTGACCTGGTCGTTCGGTCCAGCTAGGTGCGGGCAAAGGCGTCGTAAGTGATATTCGGTACATTGCCGGCTACTGTGATCGGACGCGCACCTGCGCCAGCTGTGGAAGAGAGGAGAAAAAGGAAAGGTTCGAGCTACTAGAAACACCCAAGCTCTTGTCCCCTTCTCTCTTGCTCTCTGCTTCTCCTCCTCTTCTACTTCATCTTCTTCATTTCCATCTCTCTTTTTCACCCGAAAGAGTTCATCACTACTTGGCGCGAGGCAACAAAAAGAAGAATCCAAGTTGTTGCAGAGATTCCTGTTTTGGGATCGACGTTGATCGCATCGGCCTAGTGCCCTTTCATTTTAGGAAAGAGGTCCCTGAACGGGTCCCTGACGTCAACAACCTGTTTTGCGCGGTCGAAACCCCCGGCGCTATTCGAGAGAAAACAAAAAGCACAACAACAAAAACATCGAATCCAAAGTTAACTTGGCATCGAAAGTCATTTCGAATCACTTGAAGCATTCTTGACGTCGTCACCCATCCGGAACTCTTTTACGCGTCTTTTCTGTGTCGCTCGCTTTTACTATTATTGTGCATATTGCACATCCCTGCGCCCTGCTGCTTCTGCTGCGACCCCCAACCAAGCCTTCATCGAATCATAGTGCTGTCAAATTCACATCTGATCCTTGTCGCCACCGAGCCACGGGCGAGCGCCGTGGCCTCGTTATTGAGGCCGCTCTGCTAGCTGCAGACCCGGAGGTGCAATGACGACCATGCTGCCTACTGGGGTCATTCGAAATAGTGATGGAATCGGCGGTGAGATTCAAAGCATCGACCATGTCGCAATCGAGGATATTGCGCGACTCTGGAGGGGTAAGCATCAATTTGAAGTTTTTTTCTTTGGGATTATTTCTTTTGCTAACGGAGCTGGATTACTAGTATATCGCACAAATCGGCGCGCGTTACAAGGCGACACCGGCGGTCGTCTCGAAAACTTCTTTTGGAGGATATGGAGTAATGGCCAAGTAAATGCAGGCATCACAGGCTCAGCAGTGGCACGCATCTTTTTGCACATCTCAGAAAGCAAAAGTAACGTGGGAAAAACACCAAGGCCTACCTCTCATCCTCATACGCAATCTGAGCTGAGACCCGAGTATGTTGATCAGGTTCGTCAAAATGAATTTCTACTTTCATCCATCTATCTGGAAAATCAACTGACTCAATCATCTCAGGCTAATTTGCACATCCCTCCGCCCTCCCCTTCGGCTTCGTCGTCTTCCTCCCACCCACCCGTCATCCGCGTAAGTAGTGACGGAGACACATCAATGCCATCTCCCGAATCCGCTGCCAATGGCTCATCACCGTCCCCTTCACCAAAGCCGTTGCCACCTCCAATCTTGAAAAGTGGCAGGAAACTCTCCGGCAGCGAACCGACCAAAACCGCTAGAATTGCCTCTCCCGTCCCGGCCGCAGATGACAGTGATGATGGATTGGCTCCAAGTCCGCATCCCCGCTCGCCATTGGCATCTTCATTCGAGGAACATCATCCTCCCCACCATCATCCCCATGCACATCAACAACACCAACTTCATCCTCATAGAGTGCATCATCCTCATGTGACACATATGCCTCCTGGACGAAAGAAGAAGGGCAAAACGGTGTTTGTGGCTGGCGCTGGCCCAAGTCGACGCAGACCAGCCATGACTCGTCGCAAGTCTTCACAGTCTTCGGCTTCTACATTGAAGTCACATCGCTCGGACCCTGGCGATGCCACCCTTGGCTCGTCTTCTCGGCCAAAGTCGCGGCCCTCTGGCTCACCAGGTAAGTCTTCATTTCGACTACAGGTTCGCTCAATTTCTAACCCAGTTTGAAAAATAATAGAGACAAGCATGGCCCGCTATTCGCCCTCTCCACCCCCAGTCGCTTTTAACGGCGACTCTGCTGCCGCTCTTGCAGATGCGTCTTTCGCCGATGAATCTCCCCTCCGAGCACCCTCCCCCAATGATGTCGCATCCCGATCACTGTATAATACAGAACGTGATCGTGCCTCATCCGCTGAGCAGCACGGCTCCATACGACCCTATGATGACTGGGGCGCCAATCGTGACTTTCAGGCCAGAATTAGCGATCGAAGTTCCTCCGACATGTTTCGCGTCCTCTCCGGTCATCCAACCCAAACCAAGGCTGCGCCAATCGTGGCTCCCACATCCACGGCTGCTGCAGGCGTCATTAATAAGGCCGATTCTCCACCCGCAGCGAGCTCACAACCAACCATCATAAACCGAATCCTGCCGCTCAAGCAGCCCGTCGCCGCCTCAATCACCAATCACCCGGCCACGGATGAGAATGAGATGCCTCCAACCCCACCAAATGGCCTCTTACCACGAACCAAGAGCCAAAGTCAGTTGAGCTTTTTGCTTGAACGAGATCGTCGACATAGTGAAGAGGCCGCCAAAGCCCAGCAGCACCTTTACCGAAAGACGTCCACCTAAGGCGAGGGCAAGACCGAGTTCCTTTTGATTATTTGCATTCTCCACTGGCAGCAACAGCATCACTACCATCACCCGTACGGTCATCATTATCGTCATCGCCAACGAGCGCATAACTTAATTTGAATTATTTGCATTTTGGAGGGAACAATGGGCATAGGGCATAACGTGTATCATTATTATTGACTTATTTTCGGATTTTGTCGTTTGAGGCTCGCTGGAGCAGAGCATGATCTGGTTTGCATTTGCACCTTCAACGAGCATCACAACGACATGGAACTGGTCGGCTAAGGATTTCAATGTGCTACTTTTCTCTTTTGGCGTCAAAGAAGGCATGGGTTATCACTTGGGCACTGTCTTTTTATGTTTGTTCCCAAAGCTTAGTGGCGGCTCTATTGCAACCACTACAGCTTCTGATCACTGGCGCATTTGCATACAGACTCAAGCGTGGAGGGGTTTCGTCTTTCTTCTTTTCCCTCCGGTGTCGGTTTCGGAGTCTGGTTTGAACTGTAGGCTCAGAACTCAGTAGTTTCGGCACAGCCATACCTTTTACGGTTTATTTTTGTCACAAGGTTATGCCGGAGGAGATGTTTGCCTACTATAATTATCAACTACTACGTGTATTATATTATTATTAGTATCCTCCTTGATATCATGGATATGCTCGAGGGCATTATAATGATCGAGATCTTGTGTACGGTCCCTTTTTTTTTTCTGTGATGCGGCGATTGCATGCCATGTGAATATGCAAGGCTTGCTCCAAAAGAACAAGCTCCATACCCGTCTATGCCACTGAATTGGAGGTTGGCTTTGGCATACAACATAGACGCAGACATGCCCTTGCTGAAGATGTCAGCACGAGATCAAGAAGAAGGACATGAAAGGTTGGGAGGAAAGAGCGTCCCTGCATTGGGGACAGGCAAGGAGCGCAGTGCATGTGCACAATCATATCTGCAGGGCGATCGCTTATGCAGCCAAATTGAGGTACACAGCGATTCTCCTTGCACACCAGGACACGCAAAGCGTCCAGTGAGGGATGTGGTAGGGGGAGACAGGTACCTGAGTCTACTGCCAAATAGCAGCTCGTCCAAAGTATCTATCAGAATCCCTGCATTGGGACATTTAGCGAAGCCAACCACCTATCGGCTTGAGCAGATAAGCGCTAACCTGATTAGCTTTGATAAGACGTCGACCTTTCCTCAGAGCGGAAATATCAAAAAGTGGGTTCGCTCGTCACAGTCTCACCCCCCAGTGGTCGGAGCTCTGGTAAACCACGGACGTAAGGTGATCCAGCATCATAGCACTTCCAAACATCTTCTCCATTCATCGGCCAACCCCTCTTTCTTCTTCCCCTGGGTCTCGTCTCCCATCAAAACAAGATAGAGTTGAGGCGAGAAAAATATTTATTATCAGTCGACACTGCTCCCGACTGCTGCGACTATTACCTACCTTAGTTATTGGGGACATTAGAGAAAGGGTGTGGAGCAGAAGCCCAGATCTGAGCTTAACGGACAACTTTTCGACAAAGTTGCCTGTCTCAAAAGCACCCAGTCCGGAATCATTGTTTGTTTCCTTATTTTCAATTACCCTTCGGGCCACCTAGAACGGCATGCGTGTCAATGGGATAACGGCTTCGGCCGTCATGAGCTCAGTGCTCCTCGCACTTTCTGGAGCTGAAGCGATGCTACTGCCTCTCTCCACCATCAAACTGGGTAGATCAATGCCTATTGAAGATGTTGCCCTCACCGACGGAGATAAAATTGCTGGCCAACTCATCACTCCTTTCCATGACGAAGACGAAGACCACCCGATCATCCTCAACTTGAAGTGTGAAGACTGTCTTTTTGCAGAGGCCACTGAGGACAAGTCAGGGTATAAGTGGGCGCAAAAGGCCAATGATTTGGTGAGTGTTGATCCTGCACTGAAGATATCCTCAGCGTTACATGACGACTATGCTACACTCCTGGCCTGTGCCCGTTTCGATACCTACATATACCCTCTATCTGCACATACATGCTAATGGCGCAGATTCTGAATGTGACTGTTGACCGGAACACTACTCCCGAGACTGTACTTATCAACGATGTTCCCGTTTCTCCCATGAACATTAGACCACGAGAATTCTACGTCCGACAAGATGCCGACGTCGATGGGAAATTCCACTCGAGCCGTGACGACTGGTCGTCAATGATCAGAGAGGAACTTGACCTCTCGTCACCGGACATCTCTCCGCCTCTGGACGCCCATGTCGACATTGCCTTGTTACAGCGGCCGAATAACCATGATTCGGGAATCCCAGACCAGATTGTCAGCATGTTCGTCAGCGGCATCAAAGCCATGGACCCCATCAAGAACCGTGATTCGTTTACTCCAGTCGGCCTTCGCTTGAGAATCTGGCGTGATCAAGATTCGCCCAATAAACACATCGAGGGTGTTCTCGTCGAAGCTGTCAAGGACCCATCGCATAGCCTTTTCCCTACTCACCGTCACCACGGCAGCATGGCTTGGTCATCTGGCAAAGACAAGGATTGCTCTAGCCGTCTGTGCAAGTGGCTTTCCGTGCTAGAGGACGGCCTCTCTCGTGCCAAGGGCATAGGCAAAGGCAGGGGCAGAGGCAAAGGATGCCACCGCCAACGTCCTGGTGCTGGCGCTGACAAATCTCCTGTTCGGCCGCAACATATGGGTCCTCAAGATGAGCAGCGCCCCCATCCTCCTCCCAACAACCATCATAGCATGCAAGGTCCCGCCGCTGGGCCTCACTATCATGGGCATGGGCATGGGCATGGCCATGGCCACGGACACCGTCACCCCTTCCCCTTCCACCATGCCGTCAGATACCTCATTTACGCCGTTGCCGTTGCAGGTGTTGGATTCACTGCCGGCTTCATTGCGTCCATGTTTAGCGTCGTGGCCATTGCGCTCTGGCAGCTTATCCGCCGCGCGCGTTGCAACCGTCGTGGAGCCTATGCAGCAGTTCAGCAGGACGCCGGCGCAGTTGACATGGAGAAGGGTCTTGACGTGGAAAACGCGTCTCTCGATATGGAGAAGGCTCCCGTCACTGCTTCTCCACCGCCAGCTTACGAGACTGTTCAGGCGCCGGAAGAAGAGAAGAAGCAGGGAGAGAAGAAGCAAGGGGAACACCAGGAGCAGCAGATGTCAGAAGTTGCCAAGAAGTCTGATTTCGACAGTAATTGATCATTGCGATATTTGGGCACTACCACGCAGATAATTGATACAATTATATCCAGCACACTTTACGGCCACCATCTGAAGTTCCCCCCATTTCATTTTCCTTTTATATACTCTATTTCTTTAATTGTAAGGGCACTCCTTTGAACATATTGATCCATAGCGACATTTCGCAGGGACATGAGGACTAGCGTAGGGCATTCGGATTGTTTTTAGACATTTTATCTTATTTTTCTATTATTAACATGACACTAGATAATACTATGCCTTCTTCATTCAAATCTTGTGCATCCCACCTCTTTCTTCCCATTCAACAGTCCTCATTATCCTCAATATGCATCATACGGCAGTAGAGTCTTACCAATCGTCACGTACCTCAAACTCAAAAACTAAAATGTCCTGAACATCTTCCCCCGAAAAGCATAAATACCGCCATTGATGAACCTTTTCTTTTCTTTTCTTTTCTTTCGTTCTTTTTTTTTTAACTCTTTTTTAGAATATACCTTCCATTTCAAAATATACCCCCCTTGTCAAAAAATACCCTCCATTTCAAAAATACCTTGCACTTTATCCATTTGATCAAAATCATACGCGTTCCCAAACGGCTTGTGCAAGTACCGCTTCTCAATGTCCGCGGTCGGAAGAAACTCGGCCTGGATCTGCAGGCCCTGGCCTTGGTCCTGGCCCTTGGTGTGGGTGTGGAGAATGGGACGTAGCTCGGATGAGAATTCGACTGTCATGGCGTTTCTGTACGGAGTATGCTTGGTTAGTTAACGTAGTTCCACCTTTTTGGTTAGTTCCACCTTCTTGATCTTCTTGACTAGTTCTATTATTCTATACCTCGCAGAGGTAGGTTGTAGGTGGTAGGTGGATAGGTGGATGGTTGTTTTTTTTGTGTGTTTTAGGTGGATTTGTTGTATGTGTTTTGGGGGGTTTGTTGTGTGTTTTAGGGGGGTTTGGCATGTGTGTTTTTTTTTTTAATTTTTTTTTTTTTCTGTTGTTGGGTTTTTACTTGGTTTGGTTTGGTCAGGGTGGTGGGGGCGGAGGGGGAGGAAGAGACATCGAGTGGAAGGACAAAAAAAAGAACAATAAAAAAGATAAAAATAAAATAAATATAAAAACATACCTATACCACGGCGCGAAATGGATCAACGCCAACATCACCCGAATGTCTTCCGAGAAATTCGGCTTGCCCGCATGCCAAAGTCGCAGGTCGCGGATGATGATGCTGCCCTTTTTCACGCGCGGTTGGCTCGGCGGCCGCACGGCGCGGCGTTGGTCAAGTAAGTCCTGCTTGATACGTCCGCTGGCGCGGTCTCCGTGGGCGCCTTCTTGCGCGGAGAGAGACGATGTTGAATGCGTTCCTGGTTGTTCGGATGTGTTAGTTGTTACCGGTTTACTGGTCTTAGAATGATTGAGGTTTTTGGCATCTGAAGAGATGGACATATGAAGAGATAAAGAGATGAAAGGAGATAAAGAGCACGGGTAAGTGGGGGAATATCATACCTAACCATACTTCGGTGCTGCCATTCACCTTGTTCATGCTCACGAGCGGAACATTGACGACCAAAGCAAATGGACAGTCCGGGTGGTCGAAATCCGCGTCCGAATGCACGGGCTGAGACTTGGCGGCCGCAGACTCGGTCGGGGGAAGCGCAGTGTTGCCGGATATAAATGTGAGTCGGGGCCGCGGACCGAGAACGGACGTGGTGACTTGCGTTGCAATGGGGTTGAGGAAGATGGAGGGGGAAAAGTAGGGCGGTGTGAGAGGGGGGTCTTGTTGGATGTTTCTAACTGGTCAGATGTGTTCATAAGACATAAGATCATGGATAGAAATATGTACGGAAAGAATTAAAGGGAAATAAAAGAAAAAAAAGAAAAAGAATGGAAAGAAACAAAGAAAGAAAGAAAGAAAGAAATAAGTAAAGTCAAAATAAGAAAAGGAAAAAACAAAGAGCGGTAGGAAGCTCACCCCTTGTTGTAATTATACGGACTATCATCATTCCGTGCCTGAAGCTCCAGCGCATCCTTGACCATTTTCTCATTCAGCGTATTGAGCTCAGGCATGCCAATAACATCTTCTAGCACCACGAGACCGTCGCGATGCAGTGCCCGGGTAGCCAATTCGAGATTCTGCCATGATAATTTCCCAGCGGCCAATTCGTCCTTGGACACTTGGACAGAAAGAGGCAGCGAAGACAGAGTTTGAGACGGAGACATTGTGGCCAGATAGCGAGGTCTTGCTGGTGTTAATTGACTTGTGGTATACTTGGTATATGACGAGCCAAGTAGAGGGGTGGTAAACGTGACTGCTCCAAGTCGGCAGTGCTTCAAGGTTGTTTTGGTGGACAATCTCGACAGCATTTGATATATTAAATAATAGTGATATTCGAGATTGGAAGTTATTTGATTATCATGTCATGAAAAAGTCAGGACAAGTTGAGGGGCTTGAGAGGTTTATATATTGCATTTTAACAGACTATTTTACATTTTGCCTCTCCGCTCAATGTTTATGCCAGTGGCCCAGTGCAGTATGACAATGGGGTCTCGGAACAGGGACCGCAACCTCGCGCAAACTAGCTGCTTGGGGCTAGTTTTTCCGAGAGTGTGGGGTTACCGTGCGGTCAAATTAGCGTCGGAACTTGGTAAACCCTCGTGGGGCCAAAAGCTCTGGTATGACGACGTCTTAAATTGCGCTCAGTCGTGGCAAGAAAAATATAACGTTAGCATGACACGGTAAACTTATCATTGGCAGATCCGCCGGGGATAATTGTTCTGGCAAACTCTTTTTGGGATATCAATGCCGAGAATAGCGTCCGAGTCAGGTATAGTTTTGCGAGACTGGCATATTCTGGAGCGTGCGCTGACTGTTTCTATAGCTTGGTATGCCCTGTTCGATGCCGAATTATTGGAAGAAGAATTGTTCTGAAACTACCGTCATAGTGCAACATGTCTTGCTCGAAAAGTCAAATGTCCGTTATTTATTTGTTCTATCTAGACTGCCTTTTTTTGATAGCGATTCAGAAAGGACGATGTATCATGCTGACGCAATTCAGGCGATGGCCATGTTCCCGTGTGCAGAAACTGTTTACGAAGACGAATCACTTGCAAAAGACGTAGCCATGAGCTTCGATTTGTCATTCATTCAGATCAGCCGCTCGATGAGAATCCAGGACGCAGAAGCCCAACTGTATCGAACCAAATTCCAGCATCGTCTCCTCCTAAAAACGAGTCGGATGACTGCTCTCATGAGTGGGCTGCAGAGCTGGCATCGCAGTCACCAAGTTCCGCTCTCACTAGTCCTGAAATTGCCAGTCTTTTCCAGCACTACATCACGGTTCTTGCACCGTGGTATGACTTGAATGACTCGCATAGGCTGTTTGGCACAGTTGTGCCCGAGCGAGCGCTATGCGTACCGATCCTTTTCAAAGCCATTATTGCATTCTCTGCAATGCACTGGTACCGTGTGACTGGGAAACTGCGTTCAATTGGTCCAGCGTTCCATACAGCTTGCGGAAGAGAACTTTTGGACGCCATTGACTCTTTGTCTGGCTCGCATGGAGAATATATTGCTTCAACGTGTCTCTTGAGATCCTACGAAATACTTGATGGTATGTGCTACATGTCGAATGCAATTTTCATTTATTAGAGCACATGAATGATAAGGATTTGCATAATCGTACTGGCATACTAAATATGAGTAGGCGACAGCCGTGGCAACCAGCGACATCTTCTAGGCGCATACTCGTTTGCAGTCACAGATGCTACCATTGACTTGTCTGAGCGTGGCCTCGCGCAAGCAGGAGTATGGAATTACCTCCGCGAAGAAATTACCGTCGGACTCGAGTGCCAGAGACCCGTTCGTATTTGTACCGACTTTCCAACCTTCAAGCCCGACGGAAGTTATGACGATGACGGCAGCGACGATGACATGAAGTCTAATATCGTCACATATATTCTTGCTCTGGTAATTAACTACTGCTTTGAGAGAAATGATGAAACCACCAATGTCAATGATAGCGGCAGCAGCAAAAACAATGCTGTCTCTCAAGGGCAAAGAATTGCAACTTGGCATAAACTAAAAAGACATCTCTTCACGTGGGAAAGTTATTTGCCAGCGAGCTTTCTACCATTCTCTACTGCACCAAGACCCGGAAACCCATTTCCATCATATTGGATTCTCAGTCCTTGGCACGGTAATAACCCCGTTTCTTTCCGCAAGGCGTGTTTTCCTTGGCATTATTTCGGCCCTTTGCCTTTTAAATTATTCTTGCACTCTGCCTCAACCTTCGGGACTTCAATTCATCTTATACCACCTTTAGATATTATTTCACTTCGTTACAGTCGAAAGTATAATTACTAATAGCCCTTAGTCGCTGGACTACAATATGCATCTATTGCCGAGATCCTGCTGGCATTATATGACCCTACCCACGATGCGATGCCTCGATATTTCACAAAGTTGGACCAACACACCTTTGAAACTATACAGGAGCATACTCTCCGAGTCTGTGGTCTAGCGTATACGAATGACGACGCTTCGGCGCGAGTAAATGCTTTTGGTCCACTATCATTCTGTATGTTTCCTTCACTCATTTCCTTTCTTTCTCCTTTTCTTCCTCTATCATCGTGGCTCCATGATCGTATCTGTCTCTCTCCTTCTTTTCTGTTGCTTTTCTTCTCTCTCCGAAGACGACCTGTATTTTTCTACATGAAGGAAACACCAGCGAGTCAGATTTATACATGTATATGCAATAGAATGACTTACGCACTAGGGACACCGACAAAAGGCGGCCGCTTCTTACTACAACCTGCTCAGCGCAAGGCTGTCGAGGAGATGCTGCTAGAGTACAGCATACCCACTGCGTGGCCGGTGCATCACATTATTCGGGACTTGAAGGATTATTGGGAGTTGATTCACTTGGGCCGTTAAATTTTCTTAAATTTAAAAGTTACGACATGCCGGGCGGTTAAGATTTCTACGGGCTCGATTTTGGTTCATTCCGAAGGTCTTCTTCAGTGAAGGAAATTTACAATTCGTGCTCATACCAAGAGTCCATCTCTCAAGGTGTGTCGCAGAAAATTAATGATTGTTCCCCTCCCACGAGATTGGCATGCTCGCCAATCCTTTTTCCGAGACATAAAATATTAATCTATTCCCAAAAAACGTTCTATTCCTTTAAATTCTCATCTTCTCCTTCCTGAGTTCGTCATGATGGCATCTAGTATTTGCCATGCTGTTTCCACATTTTCTGGGATGTCGACATGGGAGATGAATCCTTTTCCAGTCGGACCATAACCATCGGTGTTGTCCCTCAAGCGGGGAATCTCCCCCATGATCAGGTCTAGAAAGCGAGTGATAGTCCATAGTCCATCCGGATCCACTTGGCCCATACGAAGAATGTCATAACACAAAAACGACGAGATATCGTGGTCTGTTCTTCCTTCCATCTCCCTGTCTGTGGCCACCGTAGGTACAAATGTTGGCCAGCTGAATAATCTGGGACCGTCGCCGATTTTGTCGGAATATACGCGCTCAAAGGAGGCAATAGTACGTCTGCACATTGTCGGGTCCTGAGACACGACAATCGAACGCGGCGAGTAGATTCCATGAGTCTCCAATACTTCTCTCGTTCGGGCAGCATTTGCACCACAGTTTGTCGACTTGTCCTCGATCAAGATTGAAAAGCTGGGCAATTGGTCTTTTGCCATGAATGCTGTCACGTCTTCAGATTGAACACCGTTGATATTCAACCAAAAATACTTTTCTCCAATGGCTTGCAAAATGCGTGCCTCCGGCTGGCCGGATAGTTTTTTAGCCAGCACGCCATATTTGGGGTGTGCAGCAACGGCTTGGTGCATCAATTCCGTCGAATGACCTAGTCCACCGCAAAGAACAAGGACTATACGATGTTTATTTTGGGATACTTCCTGCTCTGTATATTATTGTCCTCGGGAGGAGTAATATTAGAAAAGGAAATAACTAAGGGATTACTTTCACGCATTTGTAGAAGTTGTACCTCTCAAGCTATGACATTTTGCTAATGTCGAAAACACCGTCTCAGCTGTAGAAAGTACTGCAGAAGCACATAGAACAATAACATCCGTTGGTGGCAATTCACTGGCTGCGCTGTGCTGCCTTTCAGCGCTTGCAGATTGCCAAATGTGTTCGAGGTCGGAAGAACTGTGAACTTGCTCAAAGGCCAGAAACGAGGAAACTGTATTCACAGCTTCAGCAATGGATGGCGCACTCATCGTGACCGCGTCAGTCCGTCAAAATTGCACATCGATGCCAATTTTCAAGTAGGAGGCGTCTCCTAGTATATCAACAGAGCACCTGAGAAATAAATACGTCGGGACCGTCTACCGAAAATAGTAACTCCCGCCGCTCCGGCGTCCCAGCAAATATCGGCCTACTGCCTGTCCGCTGCGGAAAAATGAATTGCCGCTGCAAGCGTCTATTCCAAAAATGGCATTTCCCTCCGGATGATTGTTTGACGTCAGGTTTCCACATCTTACCACTATCGTCTCAATTACTTTGAAATATTCACAGATGGTATGGGCAAGAGAGCTAGACAAATAGAAAAAAGAGATTTTTGAGCGGAGAGGCTTTTCTTAGGTTGTCTCCCGGCAATGCCTGCAACTTATCAATTAACAATACATCGATTTAATGCTCTCCCCGTTCGCCCCACAATCTCTACCCAGTCAACCTGCATGCTTTGAATTATCATGAACACACCCTCCAACAAGGTCCCGAGTGCCTGCCAGCGATGCCGGAGGCAGAAACTAAAGGTAAGACTATGTAATGACCACTTAGCTTTGTAACAACCATCCCTGACATTGACTGCGCCTAGTGTGATGTTGAACGTCCTTGCACAATGTGTGCAAGGACAAATGCAAACTGTATTACCGTACAACCAGAGAAATGGAAAGTCCAGACAGGCAGGCCAAAGCGAGCCAACAGCAGGATGCAAAAGGACTCCCATCATGTGGAAGATGCACCAAACAGCAAAAAACTTCGCAGAGCACCTTCCAGCCAAGGACATGAAATCCAAGCTATCGAAGATGATGGGGCCAATCCAACGGAACATTCAGGACCCTCTCATCCGGATCCCGCGCCCACTGTTCCAGAATCTCCCGTCGGTACGACATGGAATTCTAGCTCTACTATTGAATTAGTCGAGGAGGTTGCAGATTAGATTACCTTTTCCGCCAATGGGAATTTTTTTACTGATTTTAAATTAGGCGTTTCACCACCACCATGCCGATACTCCCGAAGGTTCTGAAACATCTGCATTTTCAGCCGGTCAGTGGATGCATCCAAAGTCTCCGTCTGACGGTCTATATCGAAAGCAAAATCATCGTAACGCTTTACAGAAGCTGCTTTCCCGTCATGTGAGGAGCACCTCGGAGCGTGCGACTGCGCACCCCAAAGGCCCATTCGCACCTGAAAGCGAACTTTCGTCCTTGCTCCCACGATTTGAAGTCGCCAAACTGCTCGTTGACAATTACTTTGACCGTATTCATTGGTTCATGTTGCTGTTTCACCAGCGGGACTTTAGAGCAAATTTCGAAATTTTGTATTCATTACCCTCAACTAGACCTCCAGGCCAAAATATAGCGACGAACAATCGAGTAGGCCAAGTGGCTGTGCTCCTGGCTGTGTGTGCCATCAGCCTGCAATATACAACTGATTCACAAAAGCAAGCTCTCGCACGTCATGGCGTCGATCTACAAGCTCTCCAGCAAAGGTTTCTGACTGCCTTAAAACAGAAGCTTTTGGATATTTTGTCTCTAGGGTCTTTGGAAACGGTGCAAACATGTGTTTTGCTGGGGAGCTACTACCTGTATCAAGGAGAACCTGGACTGGCCTGGCCTCTGTGCGGCTGTGGTCTAAGAATTGCTCAAGCATTAAATTTACACCGGAACTTAACAAATTCAGCGTCCGCCCGCCAAAGTGACGTCCAACCAAGTCTTGCGGCTAGGAAGCGCGGCTGGTGGGCAGTTTACGAGATCGAGACCTTTTGCTCAATGATGTACGGCTTTCCTCTGAGCATATCGGATAGCGACTGCGATGTCGACGAATTGGATCCCTTTGACGAATACTCAGGCTCTACATCACAAGCGCAGACTTCTGAGCAGCCAACTCTCTTGTTTTTTAAATGTTACATGTCGAAACTCTCAAGAATTGTCAAGTCTGCTCTGACCGATCTTTACGGCACCCATCGGGATCTGGACAGAGAAAATCATCCTATCATGAGCCACAATGCACGCCTCCAGAGCCTCATCAAGAAGGTGCAGGACTTGGACTCGCGGCTTTTGCAATGGCGAGAAGGTGTAGCGGCAAAGCTTCGGCCAACGACTATTAGTGATTCGGGTTCCAATCAAGCTCGTGTTTCAGGCCATTCTGATCAGAATGTTGACAAAACTTTTGAAGAGCACCTTTTCCAGCTCCAGGCACTGGCACTCAAATTGGCTTATGAGAATGCGAGGATTCTAGTCCATCGACCACTTTTATCATACAAAACTATCATTCGCGAGGGCGGTTCACGCCAGTCAGCTGCTCCTGACCCATTTCAGTATTCTATCGAAATATGCCGAGACGCAGCCCTCCAAATATCGAGAGTCGGATCAGTGCCTAATTTTAAGCAGGTATATGATACATATGCAGTCACGTTTGTCTCTTTGCACCTTTTCACCGCCGGGGTAACTCTTTGCATAATGGCGAGCCTCGATCCGCTAAGTCGCGAAGCACACGAATCAAAAAGAGGCGTTCGGGCGCTGATGGAGATGCAAGGGTTACTGAAGCCAAAATCAGTTGCTGCTGGGCAGGGGTTGGATATCCTTCGAAACCTGATGTCGCTTGTCATGGCCAAAGAAATTGACAGTATGTTCGAGATGGAGCAACCTGCCTCCGTGAATGAGACAGAATCTGCGAACCAGTCTTCAGTCTTGAATCTCCCTCACCAGAGCGCTGATCAGCATTGTGAGCGAGAGAGACAACCGGGGTCACAATTCCGCACAGCCACGTTGCCAACGCAGAGAGAATGTGATATGAACTCGTCGGAACCTGACCAAAATTTACTAGACGCTCCTCTACAGTTGGATATGCCATTCGACTGTACAAACTTTGATTTTTGTGAGAATCCATCCATCACGGAGGCTTTGCTAGACTTTGAACAAGGTGTGTGATAGTTACTCATTTGATAAAATGCGTCCATGCTTGGTGCTGACAGGGTGTCTAGTGATCAATTACCCGCCGAGTGATACCGTAGATGATGACACAAGTTCAAGTCATGCGGGTGAACTTCCTTCTGGCGGTTTCCATGTGGGGCAGGATCAAGGATGGATATGGGGCTGGAACTATAATGCATAGAAGACGTGGTAGTCATAGTCCAGGCCTATGGCTAAGGAAATTGACGACGGCGAAATCGGACACTAACACTAGGATGACTTCTTATGGCTAAAATGGAAAGAGGAGCGTGGCTAAATACCGTCCTACCGTGATCCGTACTTCCGCCGGAGAAAATTACTCGATCAAGAAGGGCTTCCGCCTCCATGGTCTGTGGCAAATCTAGGCATGGCCAATTCTGGTTTAGGTCACCCAGATCTATACCATCAACAACAGCCTGCCTGTACGCCGACTGAGGGCATAACAAAAGATTTTACCTCTAACGAAGTTAAAATTTAGATTGAATTGAAATCCTACAACCCTTCGAGCCAACGGAGCTAAACCCAAACATGGCAGTCACGACCACCGGATACCTTCTGCTTTGCCTCAATGCCTCACATTCCGGATCGTTTCTCCAAGATATAAGACAAGTCCGTCTCCCATTGAGATGAGTAGAATCTGCAAAGCAAGATAATCTACTTCCAAGCCAAAGAAACACTGGAAACAAAGCTCATTCTACTCTTTACTACAACATCATGACCGAACAACGCACAAACTCAATCACCGTCACCTTGCAACAGGTCGCCAAAATGATTGACCATTCATTGTTGCACCCGACCATGACCGACAAGGATATCCTCGAAGGTCTCCGCATTGCCAGAAAATACGGCGTAGCCACCGCCTGTGTCAAACCATACCTCATCCCTCTGGCGAAGAAGGAACTTGAAGGTAGTCAAGTGCTTGTCTGCCCTGTGATTGGATTCCCTCATGGAAATAGCACTACTGAGGTGAAAGTATTCGAGGCAGAGGCAGCAGCTCTTGCTGGTGGTGCTGAAGTCGACATGGTCATCAACATTGGCAAGGCACTCGGTGGTGATTGGGACTATGTGGCAGATGAGATCAAGCAAATCAACAAAAATGTCACGAAGCACGGAGCGACACTCAAAGTTATCTTTGAGAACGACTACTTGCAAGAAGAGCATATTATCCGACTTTGTCAAATCTGTTCCGACATTGGTGTTGCCTTTGTCAAGACATCTACGGGTTACGGCTTTGTCAAGCAGCCAAATGGCATGTACTCGTACAAAGGAGCGACTGTGCCTCATCTCAAACTCATGCGAAAGCACTCTAAGCCTGAGATACAAATCAAGGCGGCCGGCGGGGTGCGCACTTTGGACGACTTACTTCATGTTATGTCACTTGGCGTGACGCGGATCGGAGCTACTGCTACTGTGGCCATTCTGGAAGACGCTGCAAAAAGAGGAATTACAGACCAACCTACAACGGTCACATTTAAACCGATTGATGAGAGTGCTCCGGGTGGTTACTAGGTCAGGAATCTTGAAGCAAGGCGGGATTAGGTGTGAGAGCGTTGTTGTATTATCTTTAATTGGGTTGTATTATGCCCTATCTCTTAACTTTTTTTGTTTTTATACACGAAAAAGACCTAGTTAAATCTACCTTCAAGTGATAAAAATTGACTCTCCCTCTAATATATGGCAGTATGGTAATATTGTTTGGATAAAAGCCAGCACGAAGTTCATTGTTTGTTCACATGCAACCAGCACGGATCATTTCGTGGTCCGAGCTTATTCCCGTTGTCTCACGTCATAGGGGTCAAGAACACTCTGAACTTGATGCACTTAGGGTTCGGAGAGTACCATCAACATCCTACGCTTTTCCGCTCACACTGCAATTGCTTTATCATTTTACACTGCATTATCCTATAGATGACCAGACAAGATTTCCCCTCCCATTTTCATCCACATGATAACATCTCTCGTTATCAATTAACGACCCAGCCGGTCCACAGCAGCGCAACATGACGAATGATGCTGCAGTAGCCACCGCGGCATCTTTAAGCTTATACTTTCTTACATTCAACTGTGCGCGCACACTCGTAGAGCCGGAAGCTCTAGGCGCATATCTCTTTCAGGCCCTTCCGCGGCCCTCACCCTCTCCAAAACCTACCGGCAATGATGCATTTCAAGATGGCACGGCCGGCCCCCGCGCAACCGCGAGCTCATCTGCTTCATTCTCAACACCTGAACATATAGCCCTTCCCGATGTTCTAGTGCTGTCACTGCAAGAAATTGCCCCAGTGGCAGAATCATTCCTCGGCGGCTCGCATCTGGAACCGTACCTGGAACGAATACGACGAGCAGTAGACTATGCTGTTTCCAGAGCCGTTGACGACAATGATATTAGCACTGCCAACCCAGAGATTCAAAGCGATGAGGAAAGTGACGGAAATACCGACCGTTCTGCCCGGCGACCTCAAAGCGAACACAGCACGCGCGAAGAAAACACACATCTCCTCCGCCGGCATCGAGCCAAGGTTGCCAAGCATGACGCCAGTTCGAGGCCAATCTATAAAAACATCATTGTACGCAATGTCGGCATGACGGCGCTAATGATATTCATGCGCGAGGACCAGATCGACCGGATTGCACACATCCACACCGCCGGCGTTGGGCTCGGGCTATGGGGAATGGGTAACAAAGGCGCGGTCGGAGTGAAATTAGGACTCTTACCCAGCCCCCCACCAGCAGGCCGCGGAACACAAGAGGACTATGCCAATGTAACGGAAGTCGCATTCGTCGCTGCGCACTTGGCGCCCATGGAAGACGGCTTATCCAGCCGAAACGAAGACTGGAATAACATTGCCAGGGGACTAGTATTTACGCCTTTGCGGGAGAACGCACTGCGATACATCAAAGGGCAAAAGCCAATTAGGGACCATAGTTCTGCAACAACTAGGCACACTGTCTCAACGCCATCTGGCGCTCATAGCGCTGAAGCCGAGGCCGAGCGTACTCGACCGGTCCAAGCCGACGAAGCAGAACCCCTTCTCCACGATTCCGTCGCCGAAGACGACAACGATAACCACAACAGCAACGTCCCATTATATTCCGGCCTCTACAGTCCCAGCACCTCATACGTTTTCTTCGGCGGCGACCTCAACTACCGCACCTCCGACCGCGGTCCCTCCCCAGACGACCACAAACTCTACCCCCAACCAACATCCGACCAGACGAGCAAGATGCACTTCTCGCACCTCCTCGCAAACGACCAACTCACTCGCGAGATGAAAGCGGGTCATGTCCTCCAGGGCTTCCGCGAAGCGCGCATCACTTTTCCCCCTACATACAAGTACTCGTCCAAACAACCTGCCCTTGTCCCGGATGAAGCACTGGATCAATGGGCGTGGTCCCCGCATCGCTGGCCCAGTTGGTGTGATCGCATTTTAGTATTCGACGGTGGACTCAACGCTCATTCTGGGTCTACTGCGCCCTCCTCGTCCTCATCATCATCACCATCGTCACCAGATATTACATTGCCAACGAACAAGTACAGCCACGTCTATACCGCGCTGCCAGTCATGCCGACTTCTGATCACCGACCTGTTGCGCTCTCTATAAATGTCCCGCTTCGACCCGAGGTCCGCCGTGCGGAGGCCTTGTCGAGGGACGATGGCTTGTCAGGGGAGGATGATCTGCGCGTGTCGCCCCCGCTAGAGATGGATCCGCTGTGGCGCGAGAAGAGAAGTGCAGGGCGAAGGAAAGAACTCGCTGTAGGCGTACTGGCGTATTTGGGTCTCACGTGGGAAGGGAATGGATTGTTGTTGGCTACGATTATTGGTGCTGTTGGCGGGTGGTTGTTGCTTCGGTCTGTATTGGCGGGTTAATCTCAAGCGTCTTGCATGTTACCGCGCTCGGGTTGATTTTAATGTAGGTATAACACAAATTTGTTATGCGGATAAATCCTGCGTTGTTCGCAATTGGTACTGCATGCCAGTCTCGGTTACAACGTGCTCCTTTTTAGGCTTTGAGGATGCATTGTGAGCCGATTGACTTGGACCGCGATGTTGATTCTAAATGGCTTGGCTTGCTTTTATCGTTATGTGGGGATAAAGCGCTAATAGTGTGCTGCGTAATCATCTCAGCTAGAAAGGAAAGGAGAGCTGAATAAGTTATGTACATAGTTCTGATGGATATAGAAGTTTTATTTTTAATAGACCGTATCACGATTGATGACGGTTTGTGAAGCAACTTTTGGCGGAAATAAGGCCGCAAAAAACAGAGTGGTATCCGCATAATTTTCTCTCATTTATCCTTTTTTGGGGCATAAGGAACATGGAGCAAGAAACGTTTACTCCTGTTGGGAAAGGGCCTGTCTTCTTGACACGGACAAGGTGTCAAAATACGGTGCCTCGCCAAGACTGCAGACACGATCACCAGCACGTGCTTCCGCGTAGTCATATGTCGCGCAGTGCCAAGTCGAGCGGTTGTCCCAGATGGCGAGGTCGTTGGGATTCCATTTAAAGCGAATCTGGGCGTCATGGTTTTGCGTGACGAGCTAGACGGCATGTTAGATGCTTGCTCAATTGACTTTTTATGCCGAATTGTTGTTGGCAATCTTACATTAAAGAGATAGTTCAAGAGCATATCGGATTCGTCTCTGGTGACGCCATTTATTCGGCGGGTGAAGCCCTTGTTTACATAGACAGACTTCCAGCCAGTCACGGCTATTACCATCAATGTTAGTAAAGGTTGGTAAAGTTGTAAAGGTTGGAAAAATAACGTACGATTGGTCCGAATGACGGGATGAACGGCAGTCAATTCACCTCCCTGGTTAAGCGGCGAGCCTCGAACTCCCTTTCTCAGGGGGTTACCCAATCTTGCTGCCTCTTCGTGGAAGAACTTTGCTTCGTGCGTCGCGGTCAAAGTCTCCAAGAAGCTGGCTAGCTGGGGCGAGAGCCGGTCGTATATTTCGTAACCCGAGGCCCAAAGCGTGTCGCCGCCGGTCTCAGGCAAAGTGTGGATCTTGAGCATGGCATAGTCGGATGGGACAGGCTCGAAGCTGATATCGGTATGCCAGCCAACAGACGCAAAGCGACTCGTGTCGCTGAGTTGGTGTGTAAGACCGCCTCCTCTCTTCTGCTTCGTACTACTGATTACGCTGATCTGGTCGCCGAGCTCGCTGCCCTCTTCTGTTAGGGGGTGGACATGCAATCTTGATGATTCTGGCTGTCATGCGAAGTCAGCGTCCGTTATGGTAACAAGGTCTTCTTTTGTGATAGAACAGAGGTAACTCACACAACCGGCAAGGAACGTAAGTCTTTCGCCAAGCTCACGCATTTGTTGGGGGGTGACATCTTGATCGCGGAGGAAGACGACGCCTCTTTGCGAAACTATTGTACAAATTAGCCATTGGATTCTTAGCATGCAGAAAATTATATCAGTGAGGGTCAATGCATAAACACTGATGCACTGTGCAGCTGGTTGCAACATACTGGTTACGGCAAGATCCTTGATGAGATCATCAGCGTTAGGAGATCTCAGAAGATCCTTGACCTGTACATCTCTGTACTCTCGTCCAATGACTGGTGTCAGATCACTGTAAGAGTAGGAGTCTAATCCGCCAGCGTATTGAAGAGGCTTGGTAATGCGGGCACGTGCTTGCTCATGACCGCCACGAAGGGACGCGGTCGTGTTCGTCACTAGTGTAGAAGGCATTCTGTTCTCTACAAACAGCGCAATCTGATTTTCTGGAAATTGGAAAGATCCGACAAGCCGTTGTTAGTGTCCAATATAACACTCAGGCCGTCTGTTATATAAAGATTGATGTGAGGAGATGAATGTGTTTCAGAAGAGAGCTCAATTTTCTCGAATACTGATCATTCGACCATTATCTTTGTCAGTGCGCTGAACCCACACCATGGTATGGCGTGATGCAACTAATCTGCCGGTCAAGGGTCAAGATGCTCTAGTTGAGCTATTATTCCCGTTGATGCCGTGGTGATCTAATCAGGATCCAGGAACGGAGATCTGTACTATCTGACCCCTAGGCCGGACACGAAGCTGTTGTGCTTCAGAGAGACATGAGCTATTGACGAATCAGATAATTGTATCAGATATTGACGGTAGGAGGGGTATCCACATGTGCTCCGTAGATTGTACCCATCTCACATACCTAGGCCCGTAGCCATGATCCTTCCGGGGCTTGTTTCAATTCCAATCAGTCTGAAGATCTTCAATTATTTGGATATAAAGTAGTCCATAGCGATCATGAATATCTAATTGTGAAAGCAGACTGCTGCTACCGTCCATTTGTGGAAGTGATTCTGATTCTCTTGTATTATTGACGGGGGAAGAGTTACGGGAATCAATTTCTGATCCCATTGATACAATCGATGTTATCTTTGCCAGGTAATGCAGCGATAGTCTAGAAACATTTCATTAGTTCAATGTCGTGATTGTGTTGGCTCCTCATTGGATTTCATTGCCTGGGGGTTGATGTTGGTGGAGGTTATCGAGGAGACATAAGCGATGGCGTGCTCCATCGTTGGTGTTGTGCAATGTGACCATCCACTCCTACAAGCACAACCGCTGTGATAAGGGGAAACAATGACCTAAAAAAAAATGCTCGTCGTGCGTATACACTTTAAATCATCTGTAATGGTGACTGTCGGGGTTCAAAAAATTCTTTGAAAATATTCTGTTTGGTTTATGTACTTAGAGCGAATACTAGCCATGTTACATGAATGAAATTTCAGCCAATGCTTTGTCAATTTAATTTTTTCTCCCCAAATTAATTCGTCTGTGTACTATCAATGGAACAATGACAGTTAGTTCATCGCTTGGAAAAGGGGAGGGTAATGCACAGCAGGTGGTTGATGTGCCTGTGACGGAGGATTCGACAGCTTCCCACCAAGAGGTTGTATACGACGTTATACCACCTCACGAAACCTACGAAGGATATCATCGCTTTGACCCAAATGCCAAATGGACCGAAAAAGAAGAGCGCAGAGTAGTTCTGAAGACAGACTTGCTGCTTCTTTCATGGCTTTGTCTTATGGTATGTGTTATCCATTCGTCAACCCCATAGCTAATGCTCATGATAGTTCTTCGGCCTCCAACTTGACCGTGGGAATATCTCAAACGCTGTCACAGATAATTTGCTCAACGATTTGCACCTGACGACCAACGATTACAATAATGTAGGATTTTTCGTCCTGGAAAGATCTTAATTGAGGAGATATTTATGCACAACTTTTAGGGCAGCACCATTCAATTGATATGCTTCCTTGCTGCGGAGTTCCCGGTACAGCTAGCAATCAAGCGGTTCGGCTTCAGAAAGATATTGCCGATTATGATGATGTTCTGGAGTGTGGTCTCCTGGGCCCAAGCTTGGATGTCTGGTCGTGCTTCCTTCTACATCTGTAGAGCCTTAATCGGTGCCTTTGAGGGCGGCTTTTTTCCCGGCACGGTTCTCTTTGCCACGTACTTCTACAAATCTAGTGAGCTGTCGTTACGACTGTCAGCGTTCTGGTCAACGCTTAATGTATGTATTTCGTCAAGAAAACAAAACAGTTTCTTCCAATTGCTATGGCTAATACTGGTCCTGTCCTCTAGATTGCTCGCATAATATCGTCATTTTTAGCTGCTGGCATTCTTCAGATGCGTGGAGTGGGTGGCAAGGCCGGCTGGTTCTGGCTTTTTCTCATTGAAGGGCTTGTCACTTTTACAATTGCCCTGATAGTAAGTCCTCCTTTCGAGAAAAATATACATTATTCATTTTGGGAATCTAACTGACTCACTTCCGACTTAGAGTTTTCTGTATCTTCCCAGCTCTCCAGTCAACACGGAGAGCTTCCTTGTCCGCAGACCCTGGTATTCGGAGCGTGAAGAGGTCATTATGATAAATGTAAGCGTCTCCATGTGTCAGCCTCTGTGGTAGCTTCAATGAAGGAAGAAAAGGGAATAAAAAGAGCTAAATCATCATGACAGCGTCTGTTACGTGACGACCCATCCAAAGGCTTGACCCGTCTCCATGAAAAGGTCACTCTACGGGACATTATTAACACATGGAAAGACAAATCCATGTGGGGTCTCTATTTCATTGGGCTTGTGGCTTATATTCCTCAAAATCCGGTGCAAGCATACTTGTCTCTTACATTGAAGCGAATCGGGTTCTCGACTTTTGACGCAAACATGCTGTCGATTCCTTCCGCCGCTATTCAAGTTATCCTCATGCTTCTTCTTGCCAAGAGCAGCGACTATTTTACCGAACGGACATTTCATTGCTTTTTCGGAGAGCTTTGGTCCCTGCCACTCCTTGTGGCATTACTCACCCTTCCCAATGGCGGACATAACTGGGGCAGATTCGCCATCACCACTCTCATTTCTGGCTATCCGTATTTCCACCCCATTGTGTCAGCATGGATATCGGAAAACACATTTGATGTCAAGAAACGCGCCATTACTGCTGCAACGTACAATGTCATTGTACAAGTTGGTGCAATTGTAGGCTCTCGTAAGTTTTGATTTTTTTCCCTTCTTTTATTTCGATCGTTATTTCATACTACCTCTTTTCACTTCTTTCACGAATAAGCCAGGGGGGAGTTCTCCTCCACCCCCTTTTTTTTTCCTTTTTTTGGATTACAGCTTTTATTGTATTTACGGATTTCAAAATGTCGAGCTAACATACCCTTCCTTGTTAAGAGATATACCGTGCAAATGACCAGCCGTATTACAAGACCGGAAACAAGGTGCTTATAAGCATATGCGCTCTGTCTCTAGTATCATTCATTGCCCAACGCGAGTATCTGCGCCACCTGAACCGCAAGAAAGAGAAGATATGGAGTTCGTACACGAGCGAGGAAAAAGACGAATATCTAAATGATCTTTCGGCGAGAGAATCAGAAGGTAATCAACGTCTTGATTTCCGGTTCAAATATTAGCCTTAGATGGCAACCAACTATAGATGCATCAAAAAAGTAATATTTTTATGGCTGTATAATAACAATCAATCAAACACATAAATATATTCAAGGCCTCTTAGCTTTTGGTAGTACAGCTACAGTCAAGAATTTCAAAGTTGTGCCTTCAAAGCACTATCATAAAAGTACACACCAATTACTGGAAAGCCAAATATGCTTTCCCATGAATTTTCTGGTATGGACAAGAAAAAGAAGCTTTTAAACGGTCAAACAAGAAATTCATCAAATAACAATGTAGAATTTCATAGCTAAGCCCTAGTGCTTGTTCATCTCAGATACTTAGAGCATACTTTTCACAATACAAACGTACAAACAAATTTGCTGCAAAGCAAGTAGCCCATTCAAGCAATACCTTTAACTCAAGTCCTCTAGAGCACCACGTAAGACAGACTAACTGTTCGCCATTTAAGTATCATCCTTCTGTCAACGCCTGAAGACAATAATCCATAGCGAAACCAGCCATCCAGCAAGTACGAACGCCACACAAAACTTGATCGTCCAATCGATTCCAGCATTATCAGGCCTGACCAGATTCCCCGCAGCGGCAAAGAATGACAAGGATGGCAATAAGATGTCTCTAAAGTCGTTGCGTGGCGAATCTGCGATACTGTTCTCTGATTTTCAGTCTACCATAATGCAAGCCATAATTAAAAAAGACTGTTAAAAGCGTACCGTCGAAGGGAAAAGAAAGGAAAAGAAAGGAAAAGACGGAATATACAAGAGCCGAAGATCGTAAAGACCAGTTCAAAGGTACTAAATAACAACATAGTAAACAAACACATACAGGTACAGCGGTCTCTGCACGTTTACACTCGGTCTCCGCGTCCTCAATACTAGCATTTGCCGCGTGACCGCGTCTTTCCTGCGTCTGAGAACTACCCAGAGATCATGCGCAGCGTCGGACCCACCGAACTGCTCGTAGAAATAATTCTGATTACATTCCCGCAGAGTCTTCCCAGTTGAGGTCCAGTCCCAGCATCAAAGTATAGAGTATCTCGGGTAAGTGCTTTGAGATATCTGCGGACTTCAGAAGTGGTTGCATCATCTGGAGGAAGCGGAAATGACATAACTGTGGAGATTATGATGTAGCCTGTGTTCATAAAGGAAATTTGAGCAGTTAGCAATGCGTATTAGAGACAATATTTGCGTCGGGAAAACTTACAGGAGTTTTGATGCTGTAAAAGGATATTAGGTTTTGCTGTTGCGTTGTTGCAACTATTGAAAGATTGCCGGCACCTAGAAATCAGCAGACGGCGTGACTTGGGAAGTTTTGGCTAGTGACTAAGAGAGAAAATGGTTGATCCAGACAACTAGAACTCGTAGATTTTGATCACTTTTCTTATTGTTTGGTTGCGAGTTCCAGCATGCAAAACGCTTTACATATAGGAAGAGGAAGGGGCATCTGAGGTTGAGCTAAAACCTTGAACGTGGCATTTAAATAACAAGCCAGGGAAGCCCAAGGGCATAGCCAGCATAGAGAACTCCAATAAGAATAAGAAGCAAAAAGAAGTAAAATCGACATTTCGTTTCTGTCGAATTTCCTGAGCTATGAAGCACACAGGGGCTTGACTGCACGTCCCATTAGAGACAAATCGAAAAGTCTTTCTTGGTGAGCATAACACATTAGGACCTTCTGAAACAAGAGAGAAGTGTCTTGCTAGGAGCAGGAAACGCGGGAACGCATCAGAGAGGCGGTTTCCACGAATGCCTGAAACAAGTACAAAGGATTAAACAGCACTAAACATGGGACGAGCGAAATGATGCAAGGGCTGACCGTGAGAATCCGAGAAACGTAAACATAGAATGAAGTTTCCAAAACGATGCAGCTTTTCAAAATCTTATGGACAACGGACCACGCAGCAGAACTATCGTGTTCACGACCCCAGAAATGCTGCCCCACGGTAGAAACATTGTCGGATAGAGACGAATGGACATATTTCGTAAAATATATTGGGGGAACAAAAATGGCGCGACTGTAGGTAGGCGGCCTGGAGGGTGGCGGCAGGCAGAAGACAAGTCGGGCGAGAGGCGAATCTGTAAGCTCTATAACCGAACTCACGATTTAGGAATTTTTCTGTGTTCTTGTGGCAACGGAAAACTGACTCTTACCTGCCATTTTCATGTGTTCCTAGCCTGGTGTACGTTGAACTCCTTGACAGCTTTCCGTAGCTCTTGCACTAGAGCTTCCTCTTCTTCTTCTTCGGCGGCCACCTCAGGAATTGTCTTGCCCTGAAGAAAGAGAAAAAGATCCGCCCACAATTCATACTCGACGGCTTCGGGGTCTCTCTCCTCCTCGGCCATGAGGAGCCTTGCGAAGGAAACGGTCGTATCGTGGGCAGCCTGGTTGCGTTCCCGTATGATCTAAGTATCAGACTATTGTCAGTAACACTGCTTCTTTTCCGAACTCTATAGGAGAGGAAACGATAGGAGACCGGAAGGGAGCATTACCCTATCTGCCTTGTGCAGAATTGGAAGATTCTGCACCGGGATTTTCGCTGCCCGGAGATTTTCGACTGTCAAAGACTTTGCAAACTGCTGTTGCCGGGTGGTGGAGTGTCCCTTGTTTGGGCTTCCAGCGACCCCTTTGCCTTGTTTTGCTTCATCAACTTCTCTAGGATAGCGACAACGAACTTTCCCCGATACATTTTTATTTGCTCCTTGACCATGGATTTGTGAAAGAGTCTTGCTTGTTAAGTGCCTGCTTCTAGGGTCTTCACAGTTTTTGCAAAGTCAATTGTTGCTGACGAGTGGTCGAGTGCCCTTTACTTGGGCTTCCCGGGCCTTCAAAATAAGAGCCCTTAACATTTTGAAGCTTAATCCGCTTCTCGAGAACGGCGACAATTAGATTGTTCCGATAGACCCTCAATTGGTCATCGACCTGAGCCTTTCGAATCATGTCGGAAGCTTCCATGTGCACTTCATCTTTTATTACACTTCTGAGAAGTGAAATATTATTTTCGAGCCGCTCCAGCTTCTTTTCCACGCTGTCTTTGAAACTTCCAGAGATAGCACTTTCTGCCAGTGATTCAAGTACACCAGTTGCTTTCTTCTGCCTTTTCTTCGCCAGTATCTCGATGGCATTGTAGTATGGATCCGGAGCAGGGACCAACGACCTCTCTGCTTTAAAAGAGAATTTCCAGACTCATAAAATGTTCGAGTGACTAAGCAGTAAAGGTTATGTGTTACATTTGTAATTGATCGTCGGCGACGGATCTCTGAAGTCTGAACGTCTTCGTCCTCTTTCAGCATCTTTCAACTGTAGAAGCCATGACACAGAAAGAATTTTGGGCCGCTTCCTCACGTTCGTAAACCCAATACTGTCATTTCCTTCTTCGCTTGAAGCGAATAGTGATCGGCAAACTCGTGCACCAGAATAAGGTCATGGACTCATGGCTCTTCAAATTTGCAAATTCTTCCTTTCACGCAGACTTTGTCAGCTCGGTCCTCCCTCTTTCTAGGATACATTCGTGCTATACATGAACTTCATTTCTTACCTGCTTTCTAACATCATAACTTCTGTGTTTCAAATCGCTTGAGAGCCGCTTTCAGAACACTCTCGTCCTTCCAATCGCTGGCATTTTTGCTCTGCCACTTTCGTTCCGTTCTTCTTCAATTTTTCGATCTCTTCCGTCGCCTCCAACATAACAATGTCCTTGTTAGTGTTATTCTCGTCATGCGGGGAATCCGCAATGCCCTTGTTGTGGTATTCTTCCATGGTTTTGTCGCGCCCTTGGACCGGTGATAGAAGGATGACTGTCCCAAAGTGTTAAAAAATCCCGAACATTTCGCTTTCGCCTGTTTCTTTTGTTTATACAGACAAGGATTATATAATGAGCATTGAAATCAGGAATGATCAACTGTTAGAAGTTTTTCCATTGCGGATGCAACGTTGACTTGATAGAGTAAACGAAGACGTGTTCGTTCGAGGGAGAACCACGAGGTTATATAGACGTCTGTCAGATAAAAAGGAAAGAGGGGCACATAGGGTCGTGTTTGCCGGTATATGCAGTCGTTCTTTCCGCATACGGTAGAAGCCGCCTCGATGAGGAAAGGAGCTGGTCCGCGACGAGTGGTTTCCAGCTCGGTCTACGAGTTTGTCAATTATATACAAAATTTAGATATATTTTGGATAGATGAATGACGGTAGAGAATTGATATGTGAAGATACTGGATATTTAATCCCCATTGTGACCGATATAGTAGTAAATGAGTGCTGCCACCGCGCTGCAACTAGAGTATTCACGATACAGGGAAGATATGCAGGCTTCACTGTGTTGGTATCGTATAACCAAGGATCAATAGGATCAAACATGGCCCGCGAGTTTTGAGATTCATCAATCTATATTCAGTGTACAATAAGTGAATATATATGGGTATGCTACACCGTTCCTTGCTCTTTTCAACATGACTCTATAATAAACATCATAACACTCAAAGATCAAGACCCTCATCCACGCTGCTGCATTCTCCGAATTCTCTCCTCAGCGGCGCGTGCTCTGCGTTCTCTTTCCAAGCGCATTCTCATCTCGGGGGTCATCCCTCTCATTTCCTCCTCTCTCCTTTCCGTTGCGGTCTTTTCCAGCTGTCCTAGGATTCCTAACCCGCCGCTTGGACCGTTACCTATCCTGGTGCCGTTGCCCACGACTCTTCCACCGGCCATCTTTCTGGCGGTTTCCTTCTCCTCCGCCTCTTTGGCTTCTCTTCTTAATCTCTCCTTTTCAACGCGGCGTCGTTCGGACTCTGCATCATCGGCTTGCTTCCGTTCGCGCTCCTCGCGCCGATCTGCGTCGGTTTTGCTCATTGCCTGCGGAATACGAGACTTTTCCCAGTCCCATCGGTTTTCACCGAGTTCGTGACGTGCGACCCGGAAGGCGTCGCGTGTAGACCGGTCACCGGCAAGGTCAAAGGGAGTTTTTCCTTCGCCGTTGAGGATGGTGGGGTCGTGTTCAGACTTGGTTAAGAGCGCAATGACAACGGCAGGTGAGTTGACACTTGCAGCGAGATGTAGAGGGGTAGGCGCATGGTGGTTTTGTTGAGTAGAGGCAGGAAAGAATGTAAAGTCTTTGGGGATGGAGTTTTTGGACAGGTAGGAGAGTACGCCGGGGGCTTTTTGGCGGCGGATAAGGGATTGAAGTTGGGAGGTGTGAAAGGCTTTGTCCTCGTCTTCTTTGGATGGTTTGGCGGGGGTGGATTGGCCGCTGGAGGGTTTTGGGGTGGATGGCTTCGAGGGTCGTTTGGAGGCTTGCGCTGCTTCGGCGGCGGCCAGAGCGGCCTCGTCGACTTGGCTGACTTTGACGCGGGTCAACTCGATAAAAGCCCGCATTAGCTCGGATTGTGTGGCGCGCCGAGTGCTAAATGGAAATCCGCGAATGCGGGGGTCATTGTGGCGGAGGATTTGCCCGTCATAAGGACCGAACAGGGTGCGCCGGCTGGTGGTACCAGTCGCGCGGATAAAGAGGAGTTGCGAGGTATCAATGAGGTCTTTCCATTCCAGGAGTAACTGACGGACTTCAGCCGTGAGTGCCGCCTCGTTGTATCGTCGCAGAGATGAACCAGCCGAGTGTGCGGCGCCCTTAGCAGAGTCATTTGCTGATTGTGCACCACCTTGTTTTCGACGCGTGGTATATCTGTGGAAAGTCTTGTGCGCGAGGACCGTTGCCTGGCGCTCTTCGACGCCTCCTTTCTTACCGACTTTTGGTGCAAGTGACACAATCATGGCGGCGAAGTGGCCGCCGCCAGTCATGCAAAGGAAGACGTGAGGAATGTCGAGAGGAGAGGGCGCTGGAGCTTCGTCGGTGGAAGATGCTTTTGGTACGGGGATAGGCGCGAGTTGCTTATTTCGTAGTGTATCGACAATATGACCCTCCTCATCCTGTTCTTCGTCTGTGAATATTGCGCGATAGATCCCCATTGATGTGTTGGATGGGAGGCTCGGAGAAGTAAACCACAGAAGGGGTTGTTTGCCAGAGCCACGTTTCCTAGGCCGCCCGAAATCGTCCTCATCGTCATTGGATATATTTGCTTGCTTCTTGAGTAGTGGAATCAGCATGTTGTCCTTTGATTTGGCGTTGTCCTCGTCTTCGTCCGAATCGGAAGAATCAGAGCCAGAAATGCTCTCGTTGAGATCTGTTAGCCCGTATAAGCTTCCATCCCTGTCCCTATCCAAAGATATCTGCCTAAACATACCATCTACGAGTTTCTCGAATTCTGTCTCCGTAACAGCCCGCGCCCCCTTGATCTTCTGCTTCACATTATAACCGTGAAAGTCCGACCGGACGTGATCACGCTGTTCTTGCACTGTCGCATAACTGACTCCACATAATGCGCAAGATGTTGCGGTGGAAGTCTTGCGTGCGTCGTCTTCTGTACCATTGGTTCTGCTTGCGTCTTGAGTAGTCGATCGTTGCTCTGTCGTCAACCTATCGTCTGCTTTGTCTTCTAGGCCGGTGCTCCTTGCTAATGCGTCCCCCTTTGGCTGTATCGTTGTGAGGATTTCTTGCGGGAGGTCAAATGCTGTTTCAGTCTCTGTCAGCAACATGGCTTAAAGAATCAAATGTCTGGTTGAACGTAGAGCGTATTTCTGAGGCGACAAGAGCCTAGAGTTCCAAACACCCCGCAGGGAATGCGACAGTTGCGACTGCACGTACCATAAAGCGGGCGTTTCCAAATCTCCTCCCCTTTTTGCGCCATTCTCCTAGGTTTTTACTCCTCTCTTGATGTATTATTTTCTTTAATGAAAGTTAAAGGTTGCGAAAAAGGGATTGTAGCGCAACAAAGGCACTTAAAATACTGCGGTAGGAACTTTTTTTAATGTTTGGTGATGCGAATGATGACACCGCGGGAACTTACGTCAGGCATCCAACACCCGAGCAAAAAGTATCCAAACGAGTCAGTTTTATCAACAGCCAGTCTGACTGAATGCCTTTTTTTAAATCTATATTCGGTTTTGACTAATGCTTGACCAGCCCCTGACGCACCAGAATAGAAATGTGATTTGGCATCGACGCTATCTAGTCTCTACTCAGCCTGTTCCTCGATGACTCGACGCTGTATCATTTTATCCATTTCCGGTATATTCACATTGCGAATATTCGACCATTTGACTCATTCGCAATAGCCTACCCATTTTGGTCTATATTTTGGAGCAATAAATTTTGAGATTACTTGGATCGGGCGATTCGTGTCCTGCCCAACTAGGCAAAAAAATAAATGCGAGGCCAAGGATGTGTTTTCCTGTCACTGAGCCAATGTTGTGGACATGTGTCGACGTTCAAAGCACTAAGCAAAAGAGACACGATCTGACCATGCTGGCCTACGATTTTGCGCAAATATTTTCTGGTTTTAGGTGGAATCATAAATTAGTGTGCAATCAAACTTTTTATTATGCAATTCTATAGCGTTGTGTCCGACAAGGTGTTATGCTGCTCTTTCATTTTCATGCAGGTTGGCAGTAATTGCCCGGGTATGTTCCCGTCACGCCCCGCAATTCTCCCTGAAACCAACCAGCGTCTGATGTCTCTTTGATCACGCGAATGCGATCGCCTTCTTGAAAGGACAAATCCCCTTTGTTTTGGCCCGTAAAATCGTATATGGCAACGACGTAATTGAACGTTGGCTTTTTCTTTGGGGGAGGTGGTGGCGGCTTCTTCTTTGCCGGCATCGGCGAGGTTGCCGAAGACGAAGGATTACGGCCACGGTTGAAGTAATCATTTGATTGAGCAGAAGACGACTGAGTCGGTTCTAATGAAGGGGTGTAATACTCGCCGCTGGAAGGAGTAGCGAAGCCTGGCTTTGGAGAGATGGCCCTGGAAAGCATCGTCGACGAGGAGGCCGAAGAGTGAGTTCCAATTTTGGGCCGGGGTCCGGGCAGAGGTGGGGTATACGAATCATTGTGAGAGGCTGATGGTGATGGAGATAAGGACCCAATCTTCGGTCTGGGGCCCGGGAGCGGTGGAGCAGATGACCCTCCATATGATGGCGAGCGCGATGGCGAAAGGCCGCCAATCCTGGGTCTAGCACCCGGAAGGGGCGGAGGCGGTGATTCAGCACGATCGAGACGGGAAGATGATGGTGAGGGTGATAGTGATGGACGTTGAGTGGTGGATTGACTGCTCGCCCGTCGCTGAGCAAAGCCATTGCGGATATTGAGCCCAGTGAGACTGCCTCCACGAGATTGCTGAGTAAGTTCCATTGGCTGCTGCACCGCCTTGCCGTTGGCCAGCGTCTTCAAGCCTCCTTCTGCCTCAGCTTGAAGCGGTTTGAAGGATTCCTCCCAAGCCGAGACAACCTGCTCCATTCCGGGTGGAGGAGACTGGAATCCATGCTGTTGACAGTAATTGTGGAGAACAGTGTATACTTGTGCCAAAAGTGTATTCTGCGTCATAACTTGGGACGCCAAAAATTCCGGTAGAAGGGAGAAAATAGCGGCCAGAAGAGGCGGCAAGGCCGATTTCAAACGATCATCTGCTGTATTGTATTCCTAAATCTAAGTCAGCGACTGCGCAATGTAATACCTGGCTCGATTGAGATATTTACTTCAGTAGCCCGATGAAGTTCCTCCTCAGCTTTTGCCATATTCGCAACTTCGCGATCTGATCGACTCGTCTTTTTCCTGTACCCCTCGAAACGATTTTGCGCCCGCTCAAAGTCGAGCTAGTAGCCTTGTCAGGACCGATGCATTCCACAAAGGAGGGACTGAGGTCCATCTACAAACCTTCTTCTCTTCTCTCCGCTTGATGGTTTTTTTCATCGGCTGAAGAGAGTCTCTGGCATTCATCGCAGGACGAATCAATTGGCCGTCAATTTTATTGACCTCCTCAAGCAAATCGGCCTTCACTTCATTGTAGGCTTCTTTGAGACTATTGGTCCGATCGATATTAATCTGCGGTGTCTGAGCCGGCGCAGGTCCTGAATAATCTCCTGCACCAACAATTGGATTGTATAACGAATCAAATTCGTTTGCTAGATTGGACTGTGTTGTCAAGATTGCGATCCAACCATCTCTCCAAGCTTTTGAGCCATCGACAATCTGGCCACTGTGTCAACGACAAGACATCGCAGAATCTTAATTCTCTCAATGACACTTACCTTAGCTAACATTTTGTCGGCATTGTCAAAGTCTTTAATCAGGGTGGCGACCTCAGAAGCGTCTACGCTCTTCGGGACCAGTCTCCCAATGCCACGTTTGACAGTCAGCATCTTTGCGCTGATGCTGTAAACAACGGCTTATTCAAGGAAACAGAAAGTCAAGATGGATTGTCAATGGGGAAAATATATCATGGGATCGAGAACAATGATAAATGATTTAAATTGGGTCCATGAGCGCTGACATTGAATCACGAGGGAGTGCGTTGCCTGGCGATCAACAATAAAAGTAGTTGGGCTGATGGACCCAGAAATGGCGTCAGGTCTCTTGCTGCGCCACAAGGGTCTTGGGGACTGTGTTCAACACCTGTCACCCATCACCAGTATAATGAATTGTAATCTCCCAATTCAATTGTTTGACGAATAGTATTTGATTGCAATAAGTACTATCTTTTAGTCAATGAGCATAGTCCATCCCCCTCGCCCCCTTGAGTTATGAATTCGTTAATTAATCTGCTCTGACAAGCTATGCACGTGATCGCGCGCCAAACGCGTCTCACGATATGACGCGAAGGAAATCAAATGTCATTGTCCAATTAGGGCAACTCCATCGTTTTCCATATCTCTATATCCCTGTCTCTTCTCTTCATCAGCTGCTCATGGCAAGCTCATGCCTAAGCTATTGATCGTGGTGCCCTCTTTACTGCGCCATTAGACCACAATGGAGCATGATAAAGAGCATTGGAAACGAAGGCCGAAATGAACACGCCCACACCTAGAGGGACGCCTAGTCTTACTCTCCCCTCAACTCAAAACACTGCACCCGTTCTCGAATTCGGCTGCCTGTATACTCTTGATATTCGCCGAAAGGCGAAACGCTGGCACGATGGCTTTCTTCGCTTCCATACCTTCAACAAACGTATCATGGTCTATGATATGCCGCGAAACTTCATCGGCGACGTACACTGGCGAGAGAGTGGAGATTTGCAAGACGGCGATGAAATTACATTGGAGAAGGGTGTGCTTGTACAGGTAGGCGAGCCAGTAGGACGATCTGAGCAAGATTTGACCGGGCTGTGGGAAAAGAAAGTCAAGGACCGTGAAGAGCGAGTCAAGAAGGGTTCAGTAACTCCAAGATCGCCAGCAGCAACCAGTTCTGCTTCCATCTCAGCTCAAGCTCAGTCTCCCACTCCGAGGAATCTTCCACTTCTCCCGGCACAATTACGACCTCGATCTCTTAACTCGCTGCTGGGACTGACTAGGAGGAGCTCTGGGAGAGTAGAAGCTCCTGTACGAACTCCGTTTGAAGAAAGATATGGCATTCAACCAGAAGAGGGATCTCATAAGAGACAAAAGACGGTTGCGGAGCCAAGTAGTGCTTCAGCTGTAACCCGACAGCCGCAGCCTCCCTCCTCAAAAGCGTCGGAACGCTCCTTGAAGCGGTCATTTACTGAACCGGAGCCGACAAACCGTAATAATGAGATCATTATCATTCCAGACGATGAAGCAGACCTTCGACACAGACGATCTCAAAGCAATCGTCCAGATAGGCGACGCAAAGAAGGCCATTCTACAAGAGATATTCAGAAACCGACGAACGATGCTACTATCGACGAGACGAGACGCGATCATGGACGGCCGAGTTCCTCTGTAGCCCACTTACCGTCAAAGCCGCTCCGAATATCCTCCTCTTCCTCGCGCAAGAGACTCATGTTCCAGGAGACTCAATCCTCAAGTATACCTGCTATATCTTCGAGTACAAAGCCACCAGTTCAGCCTCACAAGCCAGACATTCCAACATATCCAGCAGATGCGCTTGGCAAGTTTCAGCAAGAGCAACAGACACGCATAGCTGCGCGTTTATCACGGAAATCCAATCACGACATCGACCCATTTCAGGAGATTGGCTCAACACAGTTATTTGAAGACATTGCACAAAGTTCTGCTATAGAGCACAGTTCATCTTCATCATATCCGGATCTGGATCCGGATCCAGACTCGCTTTTTCTTCCAGAACGTCCACCGCCCGAGAGGCCACAAATTAACCGTTCTAAGCAAAGCCCTGCAGCTCTACAGAGTCCAACGCTTCAAGTGCAACCAGAAAAGCCTCCTCCGCAACCACTTCAAAAAAGGAAATCTTCCAACAAGGACAGCCCGTCATCGCTCTTGGAACTTAGATCCATTGATGTCGATGGTGATTCTGCCGGTGTCAGGAAAGGAATTTCCTCAAATGAATCTACCCCGAATTCCAATCCCATTTCCGAGAACAAACCCAACACTCTGGCTCCTTCAGTCACAAACCCTACAACCTCGTCCGGGCGATCAAAAGTTCAAAGTAGTCTGTCTCCCCTGCACTTGGACTCGAATCAGCACCATGTGTTTCCAAACATACATTCTGGAAAACCCATCTTGACCGGACCCGCGCATCGTTCAGACCCCTCTGCCAAGCCCGTCTCCGAGCACGTCGCGCCAGTAATAGCAAATGGATTAACAAAGTCGGGACAAAAGTCCAGACCTGAAGCCGGCCTCAAGTCTTCGATTGCCGCTTCTACTTCGGTTGCGCTTCCGGCCCCTTTGCCCGATCCAGCACCTACACATCCCCCTCCTCCTCCAGGTCCTCCCTCATCACCACCCGCAAAGCAAACCACAGAACCAAATGCAAGATCCAACTTCAATACTACTCAAACGCAAAAGCCCGTCCAAGCACCTACAAGCGAAGACAAGCCACCTCATATCCCCAACGAACCGTCAGAAGTAGTAGTTGAGAATGTACGACAACCTCCCCGGCTTCATCAGCATCTTTTTCAGAAGCGGCACCTGCAGCAACAGCAGCGGCACGAGCAACACGAGGAACACGAGGAACATCAGGGAAATAAGGAACAAGGATGCTATAAACAAGGCACATTTACATGGGAACAAACCGGTCCCTGGACGCGCGAGGCATTCGATTTGTTTGATTGGCGACCGCCGGGGTTTTGTGGATGAAGTTTCTTCTTTCGTCATTTCATTTCATTTCATCTCATTTTTTTCTTTAAATAGAAAAATGAAATATAATGATTTTCTCTAAGATAAGAGTATGAAGAAAAGAATTCAATACTTTTTTAAAATGTACACTTGTCCGTAGGGAAGCCGTATCGTATCGTAGCGAGGCATGTCGTGTTTTGTCTCCGTATTGCTTCTGCTTCCTTTTTTTCTTTATTTTTACTTTTATTTTTTTCTTAGTGTGTGAAAAAAAAAAGGTCAGCTAAGATTGCAGTTGCTTAGGAAGGGGGAATAAAAAGGCATATTATGTATTGAGTAGTTAGTCAATGGGAGACTCATGAGACGGTAGATAACATAAAGCGCAAATGACAGATGACAGGCAAGCATGCCACGACCACGTTTCGTGAACAAGAGTTGATTTAAAACGGACGAGCAAAATTAATTAAATAGAATAGAATAGAATAAGATAAAATAAAATGGAGCACTGGAAGTAAGAGAGTTTATAATCTTGGTCTAGTAAACACAAAGCATAAACTATTACCGGAGAAGAAGCGTTTCGTCATGGTCATGATCATCATCATTATTATGCATTCTGCGGTTTTCATCGTTCCTTCGTTCCAATCATTCCCATTAAATCATAAAACGGTCAGAGAAAGAGATGATTGTGAAAATTAAAGATCAAAGGGGAAATCAAGGCGGCGCAATTGAGGTGAAAGGCGCCATTTGGCATCCTGCACTGGCGCAGTGGCTGCACTGGCTGCACTGTTGAATGGCTGTCCCGGTTGGGAGAAAGGAAATGCAGCACCAGGTCGGAAATAAATGCGATATTCGTCGACGGTAAATAAGGTATCGTGCTAGACCCCCCGGAAAAAATATTAAAGAAAACAAAGGAAAGACATGTTTAAAAAGGGTCGAAATATCGAACACAGATGTTCGTCCTCATCTGTATCGGCCTGGGCGACGACCCTCGTAAATGACTTCTCGCTCGAATACACGATCGTCGTACACTGCTGGCCGGTTCAGACGTTCTCGCTCCCATTGAATTTCGTACATGCGGTCGCGACGGTCACGGCGAATGTCTTCCGATAGCTCGACGAGTTCAAGTACATCCTCCTAAAATGACGCCCAAGCTCGTTAGTTGATTTTGGCTCTTTCTTTCTTTCTAGAGGGCCAGAGTTGAAGTGAGTCACTCACGTAGTGCAGATATTCAATCACATAAAAGAAATACTCGGTCTCTTCAAATTCATATCCCATGCGCTCAATTGCTTCGCGAACAACCAAATCTTTGGTGATTTCGGTCCACATCGCTTCTGGACGAGGTCGTGGTGCTGGTCTGCCACGAGGCTCCTCTGGAACGGGCGGCTCGTCGGCTTCGGGGATAAATTTAGATCTTCTTACGCCATTGTATCGTTGCCAGGTGACTTCTTGGCTGGCACCTCCGATGCCGTCCATCTGGACACGCTTGGTGCCCGGCGGCACATCAACAATGGCCCAGTCACGAGTGGCACCATTGAATGCTTCACCAATGTAGGCTCGCTCTGCAGCACGGCGGTTGTAATAGTCGGCCTCAATCTCAACATCGTCGACGATTTCGCGCTCACGCTCTCGTCGAGGTCCGCTCAGCGACCGACGCCGGCCACGTGCTTCCTGTGCGTGACGACGGTTGGTCTCCCGCTCAATGATAATATCATCGTCGTAAAAGGGCCGGGAGCCACTGGAATCTATTGTCAGAGAAGGGAAGAGTGTTACGAAACAACGGACCAGAGTCTTACCGCCTTCGAATTTCAATTTCTTCCCAGTCTCGGGGTGGGGGAGACGGCGACTTGGGCTTTGGCGGTGGGATTCTCTCAATACCTTTCAAATTTGTCAGCACAGAGGGCCGGAAAAAAAAAAAGGAAGGCCTCCAGCATAGTGCGCCTATGAAGGTTCCATACCATGGTCAATGGTGCGAAGGTGTGTAATCACTTCCTTGTGGATCGGAGGCTCGCGGATCGGCTCTGGTTCCTTCTTCTCCTCCTTTTTCTCTTCTCTCTCACCTCTTCGAATCGTAATTGTCTCTCTTTCAACTTCGGGACGCCGCTCAGGTCTTCGTAGAACAACCTCTTCCTTTTCTACAAACTCGCGCGGGCGCTCACCTCTCCGAAAAACAATGTCATCTCGCTCAATCTCTCTCTCTCGTGGTCTCTCACCGCGTCGAAAGATGAACTCGTCCTTTTCAATTTCGCGCGGCCTCTCGCCGCGACGAATGATAATGTCTTCCTTTTCCACCTCCCTCTCGCGCGGACGTGATCGTTCTCGAACTCTTGAGCGAGGCCGAATCACCAGCTCGTCTCTTTCAACTTCTCGTTCACGTGGACGCTCGCGCTCGCGGGGTCGTACAAATTCTTCTCTTTCCCTTACCACCAACGGACCAGAGGTCGTTTTACCGTAATCTTCTCGCAAAAATTCTGGCTCACGACGCCTGGAAGGCTCCCGTCGTCGGAGGACTTCAACATCATCGTAGGCACGTCGTGGGCTATAATAGTCCCTCTCTTCGAAGATATCTCGATAGGACCGAGACATGGTCAAGTTATCTGACAAAAGGCCGGGAGCGAAGAGCTAAGCAAATGAGGTGGAAGAAATATAAAAAGACAAGAAATCTCGTGACACAAGATAATGTAAGAGTAAAATGATTGACGCTTTGTCGCTGAGTGTTCCTTGCCGCTGTTCTTAAGACACCAGTAATGCTGACCGAAGTACGAATCTAAATCAGCAGCAAGGGGAAAGATTCTGCATAGAAGACGGAGCACCGTTGCTACCGGCAGCAACACAGTGAGAGGGAAATGAAGAAGCAAAGATCAGTCAGTGGTCATTCAAGACGATTCAAAGAGCCCAACGACGACAGGGACCAAGCGTTTCGCGACAGGGTGAAAATGAAGCAGAAAGGAACAGGGAGAGAGAAGCGGGAGTGGTTGGGCGATGATAGTGAAGAGAGTAAAAATCCAGGGAAACCCCGTCGTCATCAGCAGGAGGAGGTTGGGCGTGGGTTGACGAGGCGTTTCTGTCACCGACTATCGTGATTGGGCTACCGAGCTTGGGCGCTTGGCGGGGCAGCACACTCTCACAACTTTCCAAGGCAGTCCAGGCTGATCGAAATTGAAACCTGAGGGAAATGAAAAGTGAATCAAAAGGACGAACAAGCAAGGTGATTAGAGACGTAGATATGTAATGCACGCAGTGTGGTTTTAACGCGGGAAAAAGCAAGACTATGACCAAAGTTACGAGCGGAGCATAAAAGCCGGGAATATTATATGCAGTAGTAGAGATTATGTACCCCCGCAAGCTTTTCAAAATGACTACTGGCCTCCCCCGAGAAAACCAAATACAGAGGAAAAAGTGGGAAGAATGGGCGTGGGGAGCATCTCCCATAGAGTGGAGAGAGAATGCAGTGCTATTGGGTTCGAGCTGATTCACATTCATGGGCTGACGCAAGTGCTGCCGCAGGACGGCTGCGGGATGATGTCGTAGACGGCGCGTTGTCAAGCTTGTCCAAGGACACCTATAGGTAGGTAAGTCTTCTTGCTTTCCCATATCTGAAACCATGGGCACATTCATCATTGACATGTTTGAGGCTGACAGCCGTTTCATGCAGATGAGACCCTTATTCAAGTTCAACGCCTGCCCATTAATGAGTCCTCTGTTCTTCGTAGGTAAGTTCATGTCATTTTCCCCTCCTAATCCTTTAGAGGTTGTCAGTGACTTATCGACCCCTCGCCTGTCGGACACAACGCGACCCCTCCTCGCTTACGTAACAGATGCCATTCGACGTTGGCTTGAGGGGCAATACTTGAAGGTACCTTCCTACTCAGATTCTCCAGCCTTCCTCAACCGAAGTTGACTCTATATAAAGTACTATAAAGTATTTCGCTTCAGACTGCTTATCCGGCGGGGCTGTCGGTCCATCCCGCCCGGACGCCCCAAAGGGTTTTGTCCCACGGCAGGCTCTTGGTTGCATCCATGGGCCCGCTTCCCCTCGTCACTGCATCGACTTCAATCCACACTGTGAACCAATACAGTAAAATGGGTAGAGCACCCTGCTTTGATCATTTTAGCTGATGATCGACGTAATCCACCAGATATCTGAACGCCCACGGTGTTGTGGCTCGACATCTGTACCTTACAGACAAGCATTCTCCCTTACCATGGCTGCCTCAAATATTGAAACCTATGACAAGGTGTGGCTTCAGTTAATGTGGTGTCGCGTGAAGTACTAGGCACACATCCATGGTCACGTGCTTTAATTGACCACGTGCTCACCTGTCTTACGGACGCGTGCTCTTTGAACTACGCGGTCGCGCGAATGGCTTGGGCACAAGCAAAGAAACGATAACTGGAAAATCTCCGCCAAAAAATACCGTCACATTCGTAAAAAACAATGAGTGGACCTATTGATCTCCCAAAGTGATGCTAATCATTTCAATAACTCTGCTTATAAGCCTTCATCTGCTTCCAATGAGGAATCATCGCCCTCCCTGAATCATGTCCCAGCAATTCGTGTCGTCATCGCCCACGGCGTTGGAAACTGATGGTTCTCTTCGCCGCCGAAAATCACGATTCACGTATAAACACCTCACTCAACTCAGCGTTTCGTCTACTACAAATCCTCTGCGCACCATTGCTCTTATAGATTTGGATGCCTTTTACGCCCAATGCGAAACTGTGCGCCTGGGGCTGCCAGAAGACAAACCATTGGCAGTTCAAGTAGGTTTGAAAATCCTCTTATTGTGTACCCCTGCTGATTAGACTATCATTTAGCAATGGCAAGGTCTCATTGCCATCAACTATCCAGCTCGTAAATTCGGTTTGAGCCGTCATATCGACATAGCAGAAGCGAAGAAGCTGTGCCCAGAGTTACACTTTCAACACGTCGCAACTTGGCGCGAGGGCGATGACAAGTGGGCATACCATGACGATGCTGCCCAAAACATTGGGACCCACAAGGTCTCTTTGGATCCATATCGAATGGAGTCTCGAAAAATCCTTGCTGTAATTAAGGATGCGCTGCCGCCTGCCCCTGTGCAAAGGGTTGAAAAAGCCTCAATCGATGAGGTGTTCCTAGATCTGTCTGCCCAAGTCCATGGTATTTTGCTCGAGAGATACCCTGAGCTTGGGCTGCCGCCGCCTTATGATGACCCAACCGAGAACCTTCCTTTGCCCCCAACTACTGCCCTTGACTGGGATACCGATGCTTTGATTGATCTGGATGAAGCCGAAAGCGAGGAGAGAGACCCCGACTGGGACGATATTGTGATGCTGATCGGCTCGGAAATCGTGCGCTCCGTACGAGCCGCGGTACGTGATCGCCTTAAGTATACCTGCTCAGCGGGGATAGCCCGGAATAAGATGCTAGCTAAGCTCGCCTCTGGCTACAAAAAGCCTAACCAACAAACTGTTGTCCGAACTCGCGCCGTGGAAAAGTTTCTGGAGGACATTAAATTCACCAAGATACGAAATCTAGGAGGAAAACTTGGCGACCAGGTGGCCTCGACCTTTGGCACGGAAATGGTCAAGGAGCTTTTGCCCATCTCCAAGGAGCAGTTAAAGAGCAAAATCGGTGATGACACTGGAAGTTGGGTCTACGAACTCCTTCGTGGAGAAGACTATAGTGAAGTCAATTCCCGGACGCAGATCAAGTCAATGCTCTCGGCCAAATCTTTTCGGCCCAGCATCAACACTTTCGACCAAGCCTTGCGATGGCTACGTATTTTTGTTGCTGACATTTTCTCTCGCCTAGTAGAGGAGGGTGTTTTGGAGCACAAACGACGGCCGAGAACAATTAATTTACATCACCGACAAGGTGGACAAACAAAATCACGACAAGCTCCAATACCATCAGGTAAGACTGTTGACGAGACAATGCTTTTTGAGCTAGCCAAGAATTTGCTCAACCAGATTCTCTCTGAGGGAAACACCTGGCCCTGCGCAGGTCTGCAGCTCAGCGTTGGGGGGTTTGAGGAGCTAATGTCAGGCAATATCGGGGCTTTCGTTGTCCGAGGAACTGAGGCTAAAGCAATGAACGCGACGATGCGGGACTCCGGCAACCGTTCATCAATGCATACAGAAGAGCGCCCGGCCACGAAAAGGAGAAGAGTGGATTCGGGAGGGATTCAAAAGTTTCTCCAGCGGCGAGAGGAAAGCAAAGGCGAGCATTCTGACGCCAGCCCCGAAACAGAGGGTCTATCACCGGCAACGATGGCCTCCCCAAATGTGAACACACCCCAACATCGTCCTGCGCAATCACACCGCCATGATGTGGATCGTTCCATCGCACCTTTGACGCACGATGACTCGGACCTTCACTACATGCACAAGGAATCCCTGACAGAAGAACCATCTTCTGACGGCCTCGGTGCTAGTGTTGATCCTCCCGTTGCTCCAAAGTCTCCTTCCAATAACCAATGCCCACGCTGTCATAAGCATGTGCTACCGTTCGAGGCGGAAGAACACGAGGATTGGCATTTTGCCGTAGATTTACAAGCTGAAGAGGAAGGGTCGGCTAACTTGCCCTCCCATAATGTCTCGTCCATTCGACCGACGACAAGCATGCAGCCGCTGCCAAGCCATTCCCACCGCGGAGGATCCTCGAAGAAGTCCAGCTCTGGAGAAAAGGCAGGGCGTGGCCGCGGCAAGGTTGAGAAAGGGCAGCAACGACTGGCCTTTGGTCCCTCATGAGAACATGGCGCGGGCTGTGGAAGGCACGCCTTTCACCTCAACCGACGCAACAAATGCATGCACCCGATGAATCAGTTCACATTCCGTGTCCTCTTTCCGCCTGCCGTAAATTATCGTATAGCAAGTGCATCCCTAACACTCTTCGTCGAGATCTCCCTGAAATGCACTCCGCCATCTGTAATTCTTGCCATGGCCTTATTTGAGGATGCCGGGTGACGAGTAATACGACCTGCAGAACATATTGCACCTCAGCTCGCGCTGGCTAGAATCAAAGAAGGACGCGTAATTCTCTTGCAAAGCTTCTCTGTTCCGACAATCGCCCACGGAAAGGGAGAAGAGGCGCTTCCATCACCTTGAAGGCGGGGGACACTTTGCGTTGTTTCGTCCAGTCTCAGGCTACCATCCGATGTTTATGTCTGGCGACGGCCATGACCATATCCGTTTATGATATTGTGGTCATATCTTGATTGGGCGAGAAATGGTGAAATTCTACAACGTATTTACATTTTGGCGAGTCAGCTTCTCTCTGCTAGTCTTGTGGCTTCGGGCTTCGGCTGGGCGGGCGTCGATGCATGGCTGCCCGATCCAAACTGGACCAGTCAACATCAACATGTCAACCGCCAGGTCCGCCTGAGCTCTAGACATCCTTTATTCAACACCAGGAGACGAAATAATGTTGCCTTGTCTCAATCGTCATGATGACAAAGAAGCATACGGGCTAGAGGCATAACAAGCTATAGCAAACATACAAGGATTGAGCTTGATGGGACGTAGCCTAAGTGCGTCCCTGGACAGGCAATATCAGAGTGCCAGTCATGTGACAATCGCCCATGTCTCCAGGTTGGAGTCTGCGCAACTACGTTTAATTTTGCACGCAAGAAAATAGAATAACGGAGATCATATCTTAACCGCTTTTTTTTTTTTTTTTTTTTTTTTTTTTCCCAGATTGGCTCAATGGCTAATAGGACTGTTGAAAACAACGGCTCTTTTACTCCGATCTTCTAAGTGCATTCTTCTCGTACTCTTCAACACGTTGCAGGCAAAACCTCAACATCATATCACCGTCTCAAGCATGTGAACCTCGCTTATTTGTCTCCTAAGCACTGTCGTGTGCTTCTAGCAGAAGTAGAAATATCTCGTGATTATGACGGGATATCATTGCTGTTATGTAACCAACTCGTTTTCCCCCTCAGGCTTATACAAAGGCAGATTACTCCAGACTAGAGACCCTGACACTGAGAATCGGATCTGCGATGGATGATGCTTTCACTTGTCCCTTCTTACTGGTGCCAATCCGTTTTGTACTTCCAAGGTTGCTGATAGGCATCAAGTATTTCCAAGCGCAATTATGGCGGTGCGGCCCATTCTTCTGGGGCTGTCTTACGGTCAGAGCCCACCGCTTCCCGTTCTTGTCAGGGGTCAGTTATGAATGTTACTGCATGTAGGTAGCAAACATAACTGCTGTGTCCGTCACGGGACCCGGGAGAGCACAACGAATAAGACATCTTTTTTTCCCCTGGGGGATCTCAGCCGCTATCCATAATTCTCAGCGCCCTGTTCTTTTACAGCGCAAAGCATAAGCATATCGCTAACTACCTTAGTCATTTCGGGCAAAGGGTCGTGAGCACGACATGATGTTGATGCTGCAGCAGTACAATATAGGACAGTAGTCGGCATCTCTCCGAAACACAAAATCCTGCGGCTTGTACTCGATATAGAAAGAGGAAGGATTTTGTGTGGCGTGTTTCTCCGATCGCTGATGGTACATTTTCCATGCATGTTCCTTTGCAGTGATTCAGATGTACAAGACTCAGCTGTATGTCGCATCGTTGTTCGGAGATCGTGTACCCTACGCTTGATCGAAAAGGGGGTGATCTCTCGTTTGCTGCAGCATCTCCCTTTACTATTTGGACCTCCTGCATGCAGGTTGATTGTCTCTCCTTTCCCTTTTGGAGAGATGCGTCCGATAGAGCCAAGGATAACAATACGCCCGACTTGGTCCGCTATGCTTGGATCTTGGCGGCCATGCGATGACCCAAACTTTAAATTTACTTGAGCTCAGGCATCATCATCGTGACTATGGACCTCCTCCTCTTTCTCACATTCATATCATGATCAAGGTTAACATACGGAGGTGCCTTGGCATCAGCTTCACATCTTCCGTGGCATCAGTCAGACGTATTTAGACACCTGTTTTACTGCCAATGAGCCATCTTTGAACGGAATATCTCTATAAGTTCAAAATCAGCCACACTGGAATGTGGCCTTCTTGTCGTGTCTGGTTGATATTATCAGAAGTACTGGACAAAATCCCTGTCGTCGCTTGAGATTGCAGGGCTAGGTTGATTCTTTTTTCGGACCTAATTCGAAGGCGTACTCCGTTACCGCGCAAACGAGACAGGTTTGTCTAGTCTATCGAGGAGTACAATTCAGCCTCTACGGGTTTCCTTGACAGTTACGACAAGGTAAAAGATGAGCATAGAACAACTTGATACAAGAACGCTGCCAAATTATCGGCCAGAAACATTAGTTAATTTGTTGTGGGGTGCGCTTCTTGGTTGTTTTACGGAGATACACGGTACACGATGATGAAATATCAGCGAATGAAGGGAGGTGCAAGCGTTATTGATCTCAGGCACTCATTAGCCCCACCTCGCTATCTGCGTAGTGGGCGCTTTAGCTTTCCCTTTTTTCCCAATCATCATTTAACGATTGGAGGGGAGGTTGAAGGGGCGGCAATTCTTTGCAGGATACGAAATAGACCTAGGGACTGTATTGCTACTCTACGAGACGAGCTGAAGGCGGGGGCGATTGGGCGGTTTGTTTCTCCTGCCCTGCCTCTGTACGTAGTAGTTCTGATTCTTGCTCTGTCACTCGATGCGCTTAAACGCTAAGTGATTTCTACCCTACCCTTTGGGCAGCGTTGGACCCTCATTTTCTTCACGCTCATTTGTTCGTACGGCCAGAGGCTGCGTCTCCACCTGGTCTGACTTGCTGTCACGTTGGCCCCATGGCTGCCATGTTGTTCGACGCCCACTGGCTCGCCTCGCCGAACCCGCAGACACGCCGAACCAGATCGCTCACCGATAATTGAACTATTGATATTACCACACATGCAATGGCTACCGCACTCTTCTTTGGTTCCGGCACACAAGCCAAGGATGAATGGATCCAGAGCAGGCACCCACCCACCCTACAATTGACGACTGACGTGAAACTACGGAGTACTGGCGACGATACCACTTGTTGGATGTCATGATAGATGGCAAAAAGGTTGAGCCTCAACGCACTACCAGAATTATCCGTTTGGGTATATTGCACTTGACTAACTTGTCCAAAGTGTTGCTACCTCATTTGTGCAACTTCGTTCTATGTGTGCTCATGCATGATAGATGATCTTCCAACTGCCGAGCCCCGTGCGAAGCTGCTGATGTTGTGGCTGCTTTAAAGCCTCTGCCGTTGAAAGGACTCAAGGGCGGTTGTCTGCCTTGTTCTGCAGCTCTACATTCCACTCCTTTTGGAGATTTGGGTTTCAGTCACGATAATTATTCGCTGACTGTCATCCGCCTCGGGCTTTCGCAAGCTCAACCGCCAGGCACCAAGAAGGCTGAGACTCCAGGCTACTCTCACCGGACCATGGAGAGGTGAACATCTGTCGACCTACGACTGGGGAGATAATTCAAGGAACCTGAACCTTGTGTCGCTGCCTAGGATTATCTCGCAGGCTCGTCTTGACTACGGTGCCTGGGCCATTTTCGACCGTTTCCTTGGTCTCGGCAAACATTCATAACGTCGGTGGGTGGTCCTTTTGTCCCTCGTGCAGATCGCAGAGTTTCTTGGGCCTGGAAACGAACGGCTCGGCCCACCTAATCCGCTCTCCATTCCCCTTTTCCCCCTCGGGCCACCCGAACCCTCGCAAATGTGCACATACAATGAAAAACATTATTACGCCCACACATAGACACCGGCGTCCACGCACGTACCTCTGCACAAATCATCTCATCCTGGTCATTGGCCCCCCCCATTCCCCTCCCCTGTTGCAACGAGACGCTTCGGCCACACACTACTATTGACTGCTGGCGTACGTAGTAAATCATTGAGCCAAAATCTCTTTGGCTGGGTGGCCACAGGTTTTATGTGACATGGTTTCTTTCGCCTTCACCCGGACCCGCCTATAGATATTCCAGAAAGCCCAGCCCGATATTGTCAGTAGCCCCGAAGAGGGACTGAACGCCCCCGTCTTATTCCCCCCATCCCACCTTCCCGTTGACATTTCTCTTTAGTTCTGCCTCTCTACACTCCGGTTCTGCTCTCACTTTTACCTCATTTCCTCCTTTCACACACACTCCATTTCTCCGCCTCCTCGAACCTCCCTTCGTTCTCCTTCTTCTCCGTTCTTGCGCTCTCTCTCGAGGTGAATCCATATTCCCCATTCTAAGGCCCGCCGAGGAATATCTGGGAGGTCCTATCTTGCGCATTCAAAGACGAGTACCATCCCCTGACAGGGGCCTTTGCTATACGGCCATCATCCAGCCTTGGTCTTTGGCATATTTCCGCCTAGCCAGCCCCCGCACCCGTTTCACCTTCGTCCGGACTGCTGCGATCTTTGACCCGCCTACAATATTCTACAGTGAAGTCTGGAGACAACTATACCCTGAAATTTTGCCCTGCTTGTATTTTCACACCCGCTAGAGTAGAACTCTTTCGGTGAATAGTTTTAAAGCTCTGCTTTCGATCCGTTGCTTTTATTCTCCGAGGCAGACTTAGATCGCCCCACCGTGCCAAAACGGCTCTTTCTTTTTGCGAGTCAACGACCTTTGTTCCCCTTCAAATTTCGGTACAGCAGAACAATCTAGGTTCCTCTATTGAAAACCATATCCCTCCGACAGGATGCCCCCAATCAGAAACGTATACTGGATACCTGGTGATGGCATCGCACGAGAGGTGATTCAGGCGGACATTTGCCGCTATCTAGGCAACGACGCTCTGGTCCGGCCTGATGTTTTCGAGGTCTGCTTTCCCCCTTTGTCTTCCTCGAAAAGGATCCTTCATTTGAGTGTTTTGGCAGAGAGGTTAACATGTCTGCTTCGATAGGGTCGAGAAGGTTATCGAATCCAAGCCTATCGAAATCTTACTTCTGTATGTTCACTTGACGCATCATATTGTGACCGGGCATATTTTGCCCTTGCCGTTCGTTTTTGGTTCCCCGCTTTGAATATCACATGCTGTACTGTTTACCTGTCTTTCACTCGGAAATTGGCTAATGGGCGGATCTCCACTTGGCGGGAATATATAGGAAATGATTGCCGATCTCAAAGCAGACTCACGCCGGTGGCAGGAAGAGAATGCCACGGATAAGAGATCGAACTATCGTGCGAGCTCAATGAGGGAAGTGCCCGTGGCCGCCCGAAAACCTGCCGTTGGCCCTATGGATTATCCAGAGCCCAGTTCCCAGTCATACCGGCAGTCCTACGGACCTGGTGCTGCCCAGGCGCCTACGGGAATGGCCTATAGCGGAAGTATACCGGCATCTACCAGTGGTTATGATCAGGCCGCCTATACCTATGGCCAACCCTCTGGATATGGTGTCCCTTCAGGAGATCCTTACACTCCACCTCCGTCTGGATATGTCTATGGAACCGATTATGGATCTCAAGGCCAGCCCAGGACAGCCCCGTACCCGTATGGACAATCTCCCACTGGACCTACTGAGCGTGCCTCTTCGGTTGAGAAGATTGACACTTCCAGATTCTACCCACCAGGACCGCAAACGCAGGTGGCAGGCCGGGGTTCACAGTACCCGTCGCAACCTTACTCGAGGTAATCCTCTTTTGTGCTTTGGAATCCCTTTGGCACGCCGCTCCTTTTTTGTTGGCGTGCACATGCGTCTGTCTGCTGACTTGCGTCTCGTGTTTTGCTGATGATGGATGGGCCCCACAGGGAATCTCGTGGGCGTGGCGGTTACCCATCGACGGGCTATCCTGCCTAGTCTTGGATTGATGAGGCTTTGATGAGGACAGGATATCTAAGCTTACCTCTCTTCCCATAAAGCATGTCTATCGCCAAAGCAGAAAGGAGCTTTTGGCGTGGACTCCTAAAATGACGATTTGCAACGGCCGCTTTTACCTGTTTACTTTTACGTTCCATGGATTTCAATCTTCTTCCGCGCTGGGTCTTACAATTCCATTGAAATATTTGGTTCCTCGTGGGATTTCCAAAGCCATTTTACATTTCTCCTGGGCCCGCCATCCGGATCCTCTCATAGAAGTATCTTTTTTTTTTCCCCTTTCTATTGTTCTTGAATAATGCTCCTTTTGCTTTTGTTTCTTCATCATGGCGGAGCAACGACTACTACATCAACAAGCCTTTCTGGAGCCATCTTCTTATCTCCCAGGATCTTCTATGGTGGTTGTACCCTGCAACCATCGGCTGCTCATCTCATACCACTGGACTTTGCCTTGGGACCCATTTTTGACCTCGTTGGGAAGTCATTCAACTTTTTCCGCTGGACCCGGACCAATTCCAAGCATTTTTTTTTTTGTTCTCTAGACTTAGGCCTGGACTTTGCACTCTCTGGACTCTAACTGGACAGATAGCCAAATATAAATCTGGAATGCAACTCTTCCCCATATCTGTCCGTTTGGCAAACCTTGTCCGTACGAGGTTTCGTCAAACTTTCTTCCATGCAGCTGGACTTTTCAACTCAATCAAGTTGTGGCGCGTCTTGTATCCTCTTATGCGACGAACGAGCTTCTTGCAAACGCACAATGTACTTGGATCGGTTAAGCTGATACTGAACATTTTATATCAACGAGTGTTGAACGCACTTGTCTGTTCAACGTGCCATTGCTCAGCTCTGTTCCGGATAGGCAATTCTCTGGATTACACCCATTCGCCTCTTTTACTCCTGGGCGGGATTGAAACGTGGAAATCAACTCTAATCGCGACCATGACTCCCTTGCAAGCTTTGTATGGGAGAATCTCTCAATCCGCTCCCCCGAGATTCTGACACTTGGTTGCGAGAGGCGTCCTTGTCAGCTCGAATTTGGACCCTTTGGACCGGATACGTCGATTTGCAATCCCAAATAATATTTTGTTTCATTATTCTACCGGGTGGTTGTTTATCATTCTTGTCTTGCATTACGAAAAGGTGTTTAGTCTCATGTATCAGATGGCGAATCGTTCCAGTGGCAAATGTTCGGAGCTGCAAATGTAAATATAGTTTCATTTTTTTTTATTCATCTATTTCATTGGCATTTGCACACTTGCATCCTCTTTTTGCCTAATCTGTCGGTCTGTCGGTCTGTGTTTAGCCTTTCCGGGTGCAATATTATCTTGATTTCTTCTTGCCTGACTTTTTGTCAGTTGAATACTTTTGTCAAGTTCAATCCCATCCCAGTGCTCCTTTAAAACCAAGTGTCCCTAATCAATGTCTGTCAGATATATATAATACGTTGCAGCCTGGTTGTCCATTTGTCCGTTTGACGGTAAAGAGTAAACTCGGAGTACGCACGTTTCATCATCATCATCATCATCATCATCGTAATGTATACGGTATACGGTATACGGTATATGGTATAAGTATCATTTTCTATTGAAATGGCTGGTAAGGATAAGTGTACCGGAGTAGGTAGTGTAGGCAGTGTTAGGTGTAGATAATTCAAAGCTCTATAATCTCTAAATATTGGTATCGGTACTGGTATCGTAGCGGTATTAGTATTGGTATTGGTATCGAAAAGCACATATAGTGTATCCTGCTTCCTCGCTTCATACTTTGTACATCCAAACTCGTTTCCTTTGTTCTAGTTCTATCAGACAAGCCACTGTATTTCCTCTCCTTTCCCTTTCCCCTTCCCTTTCCCCTCATGCTTCACGACTCAAAGGCAAGGCAGAGGAATGGTTCGTAATAGAAATCGTGGCCCCGCGGTGTGCGGAAAATGGAAGATGGAAGAGCGGTAACGGCGGTAACGGTGGTAGCCAACGTAGCGTATCCTTTCCGATATATAGCAGACGAATAGGACGTTGTGAGCTGGCGATGCGGGCGATGTTGTTGTTGTTCCATTTTGCAGGGCGTTTCGGACAGCTGTACGCTAATTCGACTACCTTCAATTTGAGATCTTTGAATGCAATGCTAGATGCGTAGAGCGTTGAGGATAAGTAGTAGGAATAGTAGTTGGCATAGTAGTTGGCATAGTAGTTGGCATAGTAGTTGGGCATGTGGCGTATCTTGTGCCTCACAGACGAAGTAGGGAACTTGTGGTCTTGTGGTTGGCGCCGTAACGCCTGTCTGTCCCTCTCTTCTCTCATGATATCATGCCAGTGACTTCTTGGCCCGTCTCTGCGCCCTAGGGACAGACGGAGGGTAAGTTATGTTTCTGTCCCTCTTCTCTCTTATACATATCCCCTTGCCCCCTCTCAGCTCCCTGGGGAAGGAGAATAAGCTGTGTTTCTGTCGTTTATGCGAGCGAATATGTGGCGAGAGATTCGGCAAGATATAGAAACCTTTCCCAAATGAACGTGGTTCTGGTCCCGTATAACAAGCCAGAATCGATACCCGACGAGTCTCGCTTCATTGGCAAAAGGCAGGTTCACCAAGTATGTAGACCAACTATGCATTCTCGTTCTGGACAGGCGTCGAGGTGTCCTTGTTTTTCTTGATCTTCTTAACTGCCCCGTCTTTCCCAGCCGACGACGACGCAGCAGGAGGACGACGTCGATATCCCCTCTGATAAAGCGCATGCTTGACGGCCTCTTCGCCGACTCCGCCCTCGGGCCAAAGCGCCCTTGCGACCTGCGCATAGCTCATTTTATTGTTCGCAGCATCTTTGACGAATTCCTCCAGTCGATCGCCGTCTTCCTTGGTCAGTTTCGGCCGTCGACCTGCTCGCGAATGCTGCGGCGTGGCGTCTTGTTTCTGACACGTGTACTGCACTGCGCGCGGAGACACTTTGAGGAAAGTCGCTATGTATTCGTATGTATGCCCTAACTTGCGCAGCAGTAGGATGTCTCGACGCTGGTCGCGCGTCAACCGCTTGAGGGGAGGTTTGGGGGCTGTAGATGAGGGCGGTGAGGGCAGTGAGGGCGGTGAGGTGGCTGAGGATGGTGAGGGTGTCATTGTATGGTTGCCGTTCCCTTCTTTTCTCTGAATATGCGTTTGTAAGTGGAGTTGAGAGGATATTGGAAGAGTGAGCGAGCAGGGTGAGTGGAAAAGGTGAAGGGCTGATCGGAGGAAGAGGAGGAAGATGAAGACAATAGCGACGCGACGTGATGTTGGTTGAGTCGGAGACTCGGAGCGGATGTCGTTTGTTTGCCTAGGCGGGATTGGTGGACTGGCGGTGGTTCCTGGTTCCCGTGGCCGCACGACGACATTTATAGATGTATCTTTACATTTGTTCAGAGGTTAATTGAATGACAAATTTATTTTGTCTGTAATTGCTGGTGTCTTTTCTCTTATTTTGCTTTATTATACGTGTGTAGCTCTATGTTTGCAGTTGTGACTACTGATTCTACTGCCATGTTTATCGCTTACCTTGAAGTCACCGGCGCTCTAGACCCCTGGAGAAGGGTGCCCCTTTTCCTTGCATCATATACTGTGATATAGAGTTTATGCTTCCTTTTGCTTTGTCGAGGTCTCCGCATCCTAGAAATTAGTCTCCTTTGAACCTTCTCAGCTTGCTCTACTACTGCATGTCAAATCTCCTTTGGAATCTGTTTATTATGTCTGGATACTCAAAGTTGCTTTTCCACAGCGAGTTTTTCGAGCTTCTTCTTACTATACAACTTGTTTCTTTGCATGATTGAAACTCGTTTCTGCTTTTCAAGTGCATCTTTTTTCCAATTCTTGCATTCCGGCTCATCAAAACATATGCCCTTCTTCTTCCTCCTATTTCTTTCTGTTTTTCAATAACGCTATGAGCGGATGAGAAGTACCTGCAAATAACTACATCCGTATCCGAGTACACCACCAGCAGCACTCAATATGGTCTCTGCACCAGACATCATCACCTACATTGGCGTTCCACTTGCCGTTCTAGGCGTTCTTCCAATTCTATACACCTGCGTCAAAGTGCTCCTCACAGCACAACAGGTCAAAAAGGAGCTCAAAGTAAACCATCTTGCCAGAGAAGCCGTCATACGCAGCAGCACCATCTCAGGGGTAATTGAAATTGAGCTGCCCCGACGCCAGATAGCTTCATTGGACAGACATGACCCGGGCTACTGGGCCCTATCAACAAAGCCGTCGACATTAAAAGGAGGATCATGGAGCATCTTCAACTGGGACGCTCTCGTCACGGGACATGGTCTCTACCGTATACAATACAAGGAGGAACTTCGACAGCCACAGGCCGAAATTGATTTTGAACAACTTATTGCATTCTTGCTCGACCGTGGCGCGCTACCCTGCGTGGATGGGTTCCGTATGCTCCGCACGTCGGGGCTATGGACGCCTACAGGCACGACGCTGTTGCTGTCGCCAGATACCACGGAGGCGGTGCTGAAGACGGTACTTCCGGATGATTCGGACGGGATTTTATCTCTGGCGGTGCAGTGGAAGAGCGAATGGGGTTCCAGGACGGCTGAGTCTCTTCCGCCTTATTGGATGAGATTGGAAGGCGGGAAGTGTAAAGGGGGTCGACAGTGGTGGATGGACGGGGTAGAAAACGCTCCAGATGTGAACGGCCGCGAAGCTGATAAGGAGGAAGGGAAAGCAGAGGAGGTGAAGGGTGAGGAGAGCAAGGATATGCTTGAAAAGCAGCAACAGCAGCAGCAGCCGGAGAAGACTACTCCGCCGGAACAGATTGACATGTCGGCGATTCCGATCCGCATCCGCGTTGGTCTAGACGGAATCATGTGCGCAGAGGCGGAGCGCAGCACGGAATACCAAGAATCTTCCTCTCACCCTACGAAACACGACGATACCAACATTACTCCAGCACAAGTACAACCTCTTCCACATACATCTCCCACCAATAACCCAGACTTTTCACCAAACTATATTCCCATATACCACCTCCAGTCCTTTCCATTCTCCTCCTCTTTTACCCTCTCTTCCTACTCCTCTTCTGCCTCAACCATCGCCGTCTCCTCTACATCCAATTCCCACCCACGGGCCTCCATACCCGCAAGCACATGGTTCGCCAGCGCCGCGACCGCCCTGACCGCCTCTAAAGCCCTGCACCTATGGAGCTACACCATTCCCGACTCCATCCTATCATTCGCCTCCAAAGACAGCGTCCCATGCGGCGTCATGGTCCTGCTCGGACTCATGAACGAGTCCGACACCCCGGCCTGGTCCACGCCCTTCGAGGACCCCGAAGTCGAGGCCCAGCGCAAACACGCCAAGTTCCAAGACTGGTCGCGGCGCGTAGCCGCCGAGGGAGGCCTACCCCCTGACCAGCGCGCAGACGCGGCCAAGAAGCGCATGCTGGATGACCATTGGGCGTTTGTCACGGAGATGAATGACCGCGCCGCGCGCAAGAGGGAGTGGGAGAAGCGGAGAGTAGGCGAGGCGTTGGTGTCCCCGAGATTAAGTGTGGGTAGGGTCGCGAGGGAGGGGGTCAGGTGGTTGTGGGGTGAGTGTTTATGTTCTGGGGATTTGGGTTCTGGGGACGTACGTTCGAATGATTGTTCCAGCGCTTCACACCCTGGCGGCGTGCAAGAAGGACAACAAAACGAAGAAGTGCGAAATGGACAGGCCCAGCAGCAAGAGCAAGCCCCCTCGATACAAGAAATCGTCGAGTCGCTCCTCCACTCCATGATCCTCGACCCGGTCCTGACGCACAACGTCACGGAAATGCTCAATGTCTGGCTCCACTGGTCTGACAGCGGCGGCATGAATACGACGCAGTGGGAGTACTTGATCGCTGATAACTCTGCTGACAACTCTCATAATTCGAGCGGAGTCCCGAAACGTCAGACAAGAAAAAAAATGTTTGTCCTCGCGGCGTGTATCCTTGCTTTGATTGCGGGTGATGATGCTGCGGGTGATGCGGGTGGCGTTGGTGACGTGATGAATGGCGGGAAGGACGGAGATGGAGGTGGAAATGTAATGCCAAGCGGATGGGCGGCGAGTAGAGATAGATCAAACACCGGCTTTGCGAGTTGGAAGAGTGCGGGTTCTACGATGCGGACCATGAGCGGGTTGAGCGCTGGCATGCTGAACGCAGGTGGTGGTGGGGGTGGAAATGTCGGTATGACAGGAACAAAAACAGCAGTCAGGAGTACAGTGAGCGAGGACATGCGAGAAGTGATTAAAAGCTGGAGGAAAGTGAGATTGGGATGAGAGTGTATCCGGCTATAAGAAAACATTGTATCCGGATATAAGTGGACGGTATACAAAGCGAAATGGCTTGGAAATGTCAGATATTGGGTACCCTGAGTATCATGATGATGATGATGATCATGGTGATAATTTTGCGTCTAGAGCGGGGAATATATACAGTGGTAGATATACGATGATAATGAAGGGGGGGGAAAGCAAGGAATATCAATCAAATAAAAAAATGAGATATGGTCCAGAGAAACAAAGGGAAACATAACGCCGCCCAATGATGTTAATGCCGCTGATGATCTACCGTAACTCCGCCTGCTTTTCGCCCTGAAAATTAATGCTCAACCCTAAAGAAAAGTGAAGAAATGAAATGAAAGGGAAAGAACTGAAAAAAAAAAAAAAAAAAAAAGGCGGGGAGCAATCCAGAATTATGAATAATACAAAAGCGAGTTCAGACTTTTGTACAACAACTCCAGACCATGAAAGTGTCCCAATTGTATAATCCCCACTATGCAGTTACTCTCCCGCAAACTTCAACCTCTGCCTCGCCTTTCTGGCCTCCTTGTCTGCTTTTCGCGCCTGGTTCATGCTCACCATTCCGAGTGCCTCGTCTGCATGTTTTCTCCGCTCGAGCGCGTCGGGGGTGACTTGGTCCAGAAGGAACCGTCCCAAATGTCCCGCTCTCCAGCGCTGAATGGTCCAGAGCGCTGCGCCTTCGATATCGGGTATGCCTCCCTTTTGCAATCTCCCCGTTTTGCGCGCCACCGCGTCCAAGAGGACCATAACATCGTTGGTCGGCGGGTGGTAGTCTGCGTACAGAGCGGGAGATATTAAGTTGAGGTGGAAAAGCAAATAATCGACGAGCGTAGTCGGAGGGATGATTGTGTCTTTGACGCTGCCGCATAACGCCAACTTGAGCATCGATTCGGCGTCGGGAACGTACGGCATGAACACGCCGGGGGTGTCGAGGAGGTATACGCCTTCGTGGATTGCGCTGGAGGATGCGGAGGAGGACCCAGATGACGAGGGAGAAAGGGAGGTAGAGGAAGGATCCCGCGATGGTTCGACGATTTTGACGCTCGTTCCAATTTTCCGCGTCACGCCGGGCTGCGCGCCGGTATGTGCGACTTTGCGGCCCTTGCCCGTCCCTTCTTTGCGCAGCGCATTGAGCAGGGACGATTTCCCGACATTAGGCATGCCGACGACCATCATGCGAGATCCCAAAAGAGAGTCCGAGGCGTAGTCGATGGCGAATTGTTTGGTGAAGTCGAGGACTTTGCGCACGTCGCGCTTCGAGTGGTGGTTGCAGAACAAGACTTTGGAAGGGGCGTGCCATTGGCGGATAATGTCTTCGCGCTGGAAATCCGTATATTTAGCTTACTATTCCGAGGTTGATACAAGAAGTATATAGAGTATAAAGGAAAGTAAAGTACCTTTCTGTCTTCTGGGTTTCCGTTAAAAGCCAGATCCCGCTTCGTGTAGACGACAACTCGCTCTCGCCCGGCAAGGCTTTCTTCGAATAACGGATTGCGCGAAGTCACGGGCACGCGATAGTCGCGGCATTCAATGACAAGGTCGATGGAGGACAGCATTGATTTCATCTTGGACAGTCCCGCGCGGTGATGGCCGAGGAAATAGGATCGCGGAAGAGAGTCGAGATGCGGAAACACCGTCCGCGGGATGAAGGACATCCCGGCCATTTCGAGCTCTATGTACTGAATATGCAAATCTCAGGATAGTGAGGGCTAATCATCGTACGTAAAGGCTATAATGAGTAGGATTGTTATTTGGCAAAAGTCGTTTTTGATAACTTATGACGGTTGGAGTCGGACATCTCGGCGCTTCTCCGGCCGACAGCAGTGACATTTCCCCCCAAAAGGTGCCAGTCTCAGATGGTCTCGTTTATCGCCAAACCCTAACTGACTGATCTGTCGTCATGGCGAGGAGATAACGGAAAATCCTCCATATGGGGTGGTGTGGAGAACGTGGAGAACAGGGAAATTGCACGTGGGTGAACCAGAAATCCCATTCGCCGTCTTGACAAGATTCGCATTCAGAGCCAAGACTTTCATACGCATATCTACTTTGTTGAAAATTATTCTTACTACAAAGACAAAGACAACGAATCTTTGGTTTATCGTTTTGGACCAGATACAGAGGGTGTCCCGCCTTGTCGAGAGCCGCCGCTCATAATAGCCAAGATCCCGACGCAATTGCGCTCACGATACTATTCCGGGATGCAAGCGTTATAAGGCCGCGCATATAGACAAGATCTAAAGAGTACGGTGCGCAGAATGGCGGAGGAGATACTACCGGTATCAAGTCGCTCCGGGGCGGAAGAAGCATGGCATGAGAAGAAGTCGCAGCGGAGCGAAGTGGCGCATGACGAGGAGAGCCATGCGCCTTGCTCGAGGAATGATGGTATATGGCAAAGATGCTTCAAGAGAAAAAGGAGAAGGAAGTCCAGGGACGAAGGATTGGACGGCGCACATGAAGAACCATCGCTGTGGCGGCCGGTCGTCAGAAAGACTCGTCGAGCGTTCGCTCCTGGCGGAACCATGAGACCGTTTCGATTGTTACGCCAGGATTGGCGCAATCTGGCCCATCGATATGCATCGGACTGGGGGACGTTCAATCAACTTATTTTTGCGAGCGCCGTGTTTGTCTTCTTCACAAATCTCCTCCCTGGCATCACTTTTGCCAGTGATTTGTACGTCTTGACGGGGAAGAATTGGGGGACGATAGAAGTCGTTTTGAGTACAGGATTATGTGGGATTATATTTTCAATGTAAGTTTTCTTGTCCTGTATGAAGTGCGATCTTTTGATTTCGGGGTCCATTTCGTTCATATTCGTGGCGTGACTGCGGTTTTATCATGTTGCACCGGGAATCCTGGGCCGATCTCGAGTTGTCGAATTGCTCAGGACTCTCAAACGCACTTTATGATTCTATCAAGCGTGATTTAGGCGATTTGAATTATATTAAAGTGGTTTACTGACATGTTTAGATTCTCCATTCAACCCCTGACCATCCTCGGTGTTACTGGTCCATTTTCTATCCTCGCAGAAAACATCTATTCTCTCTGCGAGTCATCCTTTCATGTATGTGTCCAGCACTCCCTCAACTCATATTTTCCCCCTCACTGACGAGATCAGATACCCTTTCTCCCATTCATGACATGGTCACTACTGCACGCCGCATGGATGCACTTTCTCCTCGCCATTTTCAACGCGCACAGCTGGACTATGCACTATGTCACGACCTTTTCCACCGAAATATTCTCCCTGCTCAACAGCATCATCTACTTCCACAAGGCCATCCAAGAACTTCAGCGCGTACACGCCGGGTCTTCATTTGCCGCATTTCTCTACTCCATCATCGGCACCATTGGGACTTTTTTCCTTGCCGTCTTTCTCTCAACCGCCGAGCACTGGCGCCCGCTCTTCCACCGATATATTCGGATGGGTCTCGCCGAATACGCCGCAGCAATTAGCATCATCTTCTTCATCGGAATGCCACATGTGGGCGAGCTGGCCTCGCTCGATTTCCAAACATTGCAAGTCAGCACGTCGTTTCGGCCGACGAGTCCCGAGCGCACACGGTTCTTTGTCGAGTTTTGGCATCTTCCGCTAAGTTGGATCTTTACTGCAATTATTCCCGGGTTCATCATCACATTGCTCTTCTTCTTCGATCATGAAGTCAGCAGCATCATCTGCACCATTGAACGGTACGGTACGAAAAAGCCCGGCGGTTTTGCATGGGATATTGTGCTCCTAGGCATCACTACTGCCATGTGTGGCATTCTTGGGATCCCGCCTGCGAATGGACTGCTCCCGCAGGCCCCGCTACATTCGGAGAGTTTGATGCATACTGAAGTGGAACATGTACGAGTTGTTGCTGAGGACGGAGAGGAAAAGGTTGAAACCCGAGAAGTCCGCAGAGTGCATGAGCAGCGCTGGAGTGCTTTTCTTCATGCGGGTGGGATTATACTTTTTGTGAGCCCGCCGTTCATGCATGTCTTGGGATTGACTCCCACGAGTGTCCTGGCTGGGTTGTTTCTCTTCATGGGCGAGCAGAGTCTATCGGTGAAGTAAGTTATCTTCCTCCTACTCCTCCCCCTCCCCCCTCCTGCATCTGCTACTTTTTATTTTTTTTTCCCTGCCCCGCGCAGCCCTTACTCCTTCCAGAACTCATCATTAACATAATTACAGTCCAATACTTTACCGCTTCTTCTACATGCTCACGCCGCCATCCGAGCTTCCGCCCCTCCCAGAGACCCTCCTCAACCGCAACAACGCCAGTATCAACACCCCGCACGATCTTCCATCCAATACCCACCTTCCTCCCCTCCCTTCCTCGACTATTTCTCCCTCTTCCGAGAACCCCGAACATCCCGAAAACCCTACGTATCCCGAGTGTCCCGAAAATCCCGAATATCCCACATACCCTCCACACCCAAACCTGGCGAACCACACCCCTACCAGCCCGCACGACGAACTCGAATATACCGCTCGACGACAACCCTCTCACTACTCTTCCTCGCGATCCGCGCATCATCTCTCTCTATATTCCACCACTTCCCGCCCCTCCACCGTTTCCTCCAATCCCAATCCCGGTCTCGCTTCTACCTCCGTTTCCACTTCCACCTCCACGCCCTCTCCCAACACCAACACGGCGACGACCACCACCGTGAATACACTCTCCGCCTACCTCCCGATCCACATGTACACACTCACGCAGATCCTCGTCACGGCAGGAATCTTCATCGTCACGCTGACAAAGGGGGCGCCTGCGTTTCCCATCATCATCATCGCGCTCGTGCCTGTCCGGCTGCTCGTCATGAAGTATTGCTGGCATCGCGAGGTGCTGCGGTATGTTGATGCGTGGGCGTGTAAAGATGGCACGCCCGAGGATGACGAGGACGTGAAGCGCGGCATGGCCACAGTACCACCAGACGGCGTGAGTCGTGACGGGTGATTTATTTTTTATCTTTCCGTTATATATATATATATATTTTCTTTCATTTCCTTTTTTTGGGTCTTTTTTTTTTTTCTCGTTTCTTTTATTTCCTTCTTTGTTCCTTTTTTTCCCTTATTCTCTTACCCTTTTTCTTATATATTTACTTTGATTTTTTTTGTTTCAGGGAGTGGATAGGAAAGTGCATATTGGATCTTGTACCATTTATATCGTATAGTTTGCTTTGGGTTATTATATTAGGGTTTCGGATTAGGCTTTGGATTAGATGGTGGCGATTCTGGCGAATTTATGGTATAACCTCATTAGATTGATCGGCATGGCGCTTGGGATATGAGCTTAGATATATTAACACAGCAATGCTTCTCTTTTATGAATAAATAAATACATGTCTATATCTCATATCTCATAGTATAGCTTGAATCAAAAGTTCATGATCCTGTAAGACCCTCTATTTTATGGAACATGCTACCGCAAACATCTCTATTTGAGGGGGTCTCTTACACTTGGAATTTCAGAAAATCCGGGGGGGAAACAACAATTTATTAGTATAATAAGGTGTAATTTTCCAGCTGCTGCATGTCATTCGAATACTCGAATTTAAATGAAAATTATGTTGTCAGAAAGCGATTCTTCACCACCAGCTGTTCTTCTTGTTTTCTACACAATCCCGTAAATAGACCAAAAATGAGAAAAAAAAAAATTTAGATGAAATGATTATAAATTCACAAATAAACCACGCAAAGCAGCAAAAATGAAAAACAAAGAACAAAAATGTACGGGGTAGAAAAAGTATAATACCGACAAAAAGACAAAAAATAAGTGGTCAGTACGGGGGTCGAACCCGCGACCTTGGCGTCAGCTATTCCTTACAAAGTAAGGAACCATTGAGGTATTAGCACCACGCTCTAACCAACTGAGCTAACCGACCATTTCTTGTTGTTAAATGCAAGGGGTTAGAAGGATATGTATTGCAGAAAAGAGACTGTATCGCTTTCGGTCACCAGCCGTCCTTGGTCGTAGCAACTGGGTCAGGGAACGGAACGAGGAACGGCGGATTCGAATTAAGGAAACTCAAGGAAACTCAAGTAGGGAAACATTATTTGCGGGATGATGAACCAGGACACATATTTGCGACTTGGTCAGCTTGCTAGGACAGAGCCGTACAACGCCATTGAAATGGATAATCTGGAATTAAATTGAGCGGGCTGAAGGGTTTTTTTCTAAGAAGTTATGCCAAATGGAGAGTACTGATTTGATGACCGGAATTCGTTTTGAGGCCCAATTTTGAATTAAAATTGAAAATAAAGTGAATTGCTACTGATATAGGGTATATTTTGATAAATTTACAAATTTGAAATGCTTTTGGAGGACTTCTCGCGGTGTTTTGGTAGCGAAGCGTGGGTCCTGCTGGATGGTAGCATAAGGATTGGCTGCTTCTTCTCCGTGAAAATATCATAGCTGTAGCGATGATACGTAGAGCCTACAGTTCTGGTCAAATGCCTTTAGGGGCCGCTAGTCGGAGATAGAAAAGACACTGGCTTCGGAGTTTGGGAGTGTATGTCGTTGGTTCAGTTGCGCCGGATTCGTGCCAAGGTGTCGTAATGTAGATGACTGGTTGCTGCAACGACCATAAACGAGCGGCGCAAAGGCAAGACGTAGGATCCCGCTGAACGTTTGGTATCTCTGGAGATATTTCTTGGACGCAGAAATAGTCGATGCACAGTCCAAAGTCTGGGCGCCGCACGTCTGCAGTATGCTTGACAAAGGAAACCGGGAGATCCAAACGCCTAGACTCCATGCAACCAATTGGCTGTTAGAAATGCTTGCGACTTGCTCATCTTCCCTCAGATGACCTTGAGCGCGACCGTGATCGTCCATTCGCGCCATTTCTCCTCTCATAATCGCTTCCTTCTCGGCTTTCATCGCCTTCCCGCGCATCATCATTTTCGTTATCGATTGCCTCGATCTCATCTGCTAACGGACTGACACGTTCATCTAGCAATTCCAAGTCTTCCAGCAGCTGTCGCTTGGGTAGTTTCCAGAGTGTTGTTCCGCACATGCGGTCTTTCGTGAGAAGATCATCAATGAACTGATCCATGTGTGTTATCATGAAACCATCGTTTCTTCTCCGTCGCAGCTTTCTGTAGTCTGAGAGAAGGGGTTCAAGCGCCTTGTAGATTTCAACAGGCTCAAAGGTAAGGCGGATATAGAATGCAGCGAGCGCAGTGAGGTACCTGCATTTGTTAGCTAAATTGGTCCTTGGAAGACGCATTCAAAAAGCATAATGTAACATTTCAACGAATATGCGAGATTAAAAAAAGTAGCTGCGGCGAAAAACGTACTTAAATCCCTCCTCATTATGCAGGTAATAGAGGACAATCTCCCGTTCAGGTTGCAATTGTAGCAGCTTGAACACAAGACATAGAAATGGCGAGGCCTTCTGTTGTCCATACGTACCGCCAATGAAATTCATGTCGACAGCACGATCGCAAAGCGATGCCTCGTTCAATGCGAAACATTGCTCCTTCCAATAATATGTCTCGGTGATGCGGTCTTGGAGCGGCTTCTCGATCAGGTTTGCTGGGTTTTCGCCGCGGATCAGAGGGCCAGAGTATCCACGGTCGTCCAGCAGCGCCTTGGCATCGGCCTTGTGACCGCTCATTGTGATAGAGATTGGGAGGGAAATTAACGTGAAAGATTCGAAGCAATTACGTCGAGAAGCTTTTGTTGCCAGCAGCTAGGTGCTTAGGGCGGACTTCAGTCGCGAGAAAATGGCGAGATTGATGATCGCGATATGATATGATACGATGGGTTCCGATTGTTTCCCGGGCGACGATCACCCCCTGAGCGCCCTGTCAACACGCGCGCGGAGTTGCTGATATCCACCTGATATCGTAGTAGGTTATCGATGATAAGTTTTCTCATTCTTCTTTCAAAAATACGTTTCTTAGCGCTTCGCCGCTGAAGTGTCTGACATCACGCCTAGCTTGCGTGCAGACCGGCGCAAAAATGCTGCTCACAAGCGGGCAGATATCGGCGGGCATATCGTCATTCGTTGGTACGGCATTCCTCCATTCCTCGGAATTGAACATTGGAAACCTTAAATCAATTTCACTCCTTCATGCTCGTTCAGAATTCGCTAACATATAACAATGCTCAGTATTTCTCTTCACTTCTCTTCTCTTCCTATCCGGCTACGTTCTCCAACAACGGACGGTCCACAGCCTGCAACAAGCAATCAAGCCGGTGCAAGCACAAGCTCAGCATAATGCACAATCCGTACAAATCGCGACTTCAGTACCAAAAACATTTGGCAATGCTCCTGCTGCTTCAGAGAATGAAGCGCATCAGTCCACTTTATCCTCCAAGGAAGACGACATTGCCGCAGAGAAATGGTCACAAGTCGCGTATGTGCAGCTCGTGGCCGATCCTACAAAACTATGCGCAAGCGTGATGCTTTTCGGCACACTGCATGACCTGAAAAGCCCGGCCCACCGTGTATTAATGTTTCCAAAAACCTGGGCTATCACGCAATCGGGAGAGGTGTCGGATCCGTATCTATCTACCAGTCGGCGGCTATTGAAGATTGCTGCAAAGAGATACGGTGTTATACTGAAGCCACTTGACCCGTTGCTTTCCGGAACAGATGGTAAGTGCTCTCGGTGCTGCTTCAGAGAGACAGTGTTTTATAATTCTTGGATCGATGATGGAATAACTAACAAAGTACTCAACAGAATCTGCGCCGTCATCCTACCCGCTCTCTCTATTGTATTCCCTTACAGAATACACTCGTCTCATACATCTATCCTCCTCGAGCATCATTCTCGACTCTTCCCCTCTCGATAATATCCTCACATTTCCTTCCTCCCAAATTGATGCTGAAACAATTTCACTTGACGCACTTACTGCATCCGCGTCGTCAAGCCTCTTTCTAATCTCGCCATCCCAAGAAAATCATCAATCCCTCGCTTTCCTACAACAGCCGCAAGTCTCGAAAGCTGCTGCAACAACAATACTCGAGACTGCCAAGTTTCCTATCAACATTCCGCCAGCGCATGCTATCAATCCTGACGGCTCCCATGTAACCCTTTCCACCATGTCTTCTTCATTGCGCAACATCAGAGAGGATACGTTCTTCAACTCCACCGCCTTCTGGACCGAAACAGCATTCGTCCACCTCTGGGACCCGCCGCTTCGTGGGCCAGAGTATGAAGTGCCACGAGAAATGAAGCAATCAGCTCGTCCGAGAAACCAAGATGCCGCTAAGATCTGGGATATGCTTTACGACACATATAAAGGAAGACGATACGATCACTGCGGATTAGAACTGGATATATGGAGAGGGGACTAGTACCGATCGAAGGAGCAGGAACTCAACGCGATCTACCATCTTACCTATTTTCTAATGATGTTTTTATTTCCGCTCAATTCGCTGTCGTGCGTTCAAGCTGGCTTGCAACGTACAGTGGCATGACTGGACATATGGGTTTATCAAGCTTGTGTATTTTTCCAATGGCATGATTTTAAGAAGTGTCGGTCAGCTTTATTGTTTATGGGTCACATTCTCAGTCAATATGTCACGAGAGAGGAGCATACGTTTTGTCATGAGAGTTAAAGGATTATTGAGCTTATAGCATTCTATGACAGAGAAAGATAATACATGCTCACATTTTGCAATCAGACGGGTAAAGAATTATCGCTGAGTGCCTTAAATGTAGTAGCAGGCATCCTTTTTAATTTCCGTTTTTTTTATTGAAAAAACATATAATTAACTCATTTCTGCTCCGCAGCTTTCGAGATACTGAATGCCAGAGATTAAATGACTTCATCTCCTCAAGTTATCCACGGGACTACAATATCCGGTCCAGCATGTTTCTTATCACCACCCGCCTTGAATATTTGGGGGCCGTTTTCTCGAGCACTGTTGATCCGATTCCCTTCACTCCAACAGATACGGTTAAAACCGTACCATATGTTTGATAAAACAGACACAAGCGATCCTTCAAGGTCCTTGATAAGCAAGCCTCACCTATTATTCCATGTCCTCCAGGGGTCTTTCCTTGCGGCCCCGATCTATCGGCAGACAGGCCGAATCGGCCCATGCCTAGGGCTTAGATACGCACATCTACAAGGGGTTCTGTTGCTTGTAATTCATCAAAGAAGAATCATGGATGGGCTTGATATGCTTTGATACTCTTTTTGAAATATCCCTCACTGAGAGCCAACGAGGACCAATCCAGCAATATGTTATCAGTTCGGCCAGAATAATCAGAAGGTTGTGGTTGATACTCCAGCGCCAATTATCGCCAAAGCTAATTAAGAGTGCCGCTATAATTTAGTGATCGGCAGTGGCTTGCTCAAGCGTTAAATGCGACGGATAGGAGCCGGTAGGGTCAGTTTACAGTCACTACCCAGTTCTTCGAGGTCCAGCTGTCTACCAGGAGAAACAAAGATATGACTTGCTATTCTATTTACCTTTTGCGCAAACTAATAGCCTTGATTGATGCAGACGATCCAGTCCATCAATTTTTCAATGACGATCATTCCGTGAATAGGCAGGCCGTAGGATCTATTTGCACATTATCACGGAAAAAAGAACGCGGCCAGGACTTACGTTATTACCTCGCGCTTCAGGCTTTCAGCTCAGTTATCATGATTTTTGCAAACCCGGACCAGCCCTGCTCAATTTTGCAGCTGCAATACAAGGAGGCAGTGCATGAGACTCTATCTAATCCTCGCGAGCACCCGGGAGGGTCGTTGATACGATCTGCCCCACTTCAGAGAACCAAGCTGTATAATTTTTCCCAGCATCGATCAGGGCGGTCAGACAGTCTTATCCGTTGAAAGAGGGAAAAAGGAAAGAAATTGACTATCTAGCACGGTCACCTATCGATTATCTCCAAGCATTCCATGAAGCCGTTGAAACCATGCGGGAGTTCCATTGAATAGTTATCTATTTAAACAGCTTGTCTTCCTCTGCTCGAATCTCTGTACGCGTTGATCAAAACTTTGTTATTCCCAGGAGCAACTTTTAGGCTCAGAGCTTGATCCCTTGGCGCCTAAGATTGGTGAAGCTATAGATCCAGGCCGAAGGAATAAATAGAGAATATATATACCAGAGGTACGCCCTTTTTGCTTTTCAAACACACATACATACTCCTTGCCAATCAACCCTTGACTAGGGGGCCTATCATAGCTAATCAATTCTCCAATAAGCAATAAAGCAGTCGAGGAACAGCAGTCGAAGAAGAATAAAAAAAAATGCAGCTCTCCAACCTCGCCGCCATCCTTACACTCTCCTGCTCCTTCCTCGCAACAACCACCCACGCCTGGACCGTGAGCACATATACCAGCACCAACTGCGGCGCCGGAGGGTTCACGCACACGGGGAGCGGAGACAGCGGGTGCATCAACACCGACGGCGGGGTTCAGTCGTTTGAGTTTGCAGACATTGATGCGCAAAATTGCGCGTACTTTATCACGTACGAGAAGGATGGATGTCCGGAAAATTATGTCGGGCTGGAATACGATCCCTCGGATGAGAAGTTTTGTTATGCGAACAAGTATACGCTTGCGTCGTGGGAGGTTGGAGGATGTACTTCTTAGCCTTGTGGCCCTGTGACCCTGTCTCGAGAGGTGGAAAGCGGCCTGGCTCCTCAGGCTCGGGGATGAGAAGGACTTTGGCATGCTGGATATTTGGTTCTCAAATATATTGTGGCGATGGTAGAGATAAGAGAGCGAGGGAATGAGGAAAGGGGCGGGAGATCGAGGAAGGGGAAAAGTTGGGAAAAAAGAAGCAGAGTTCAAATATCAAAGTGTAGAAAATCCCTTGTTTTTTATGATATTCAAGTTAACATATATTTTAAATCCAATTTAGATATAATGAGATAATTAAAATTGGGAAGCATAAAAGTGAAGAAATGGAAATGGAAACAAAGATATAAAAGATGAATACATATATATAAGAAAAGAAAGAGGTTGTATCAAAAAAATAAATAAATAAAAGGTTAGGTTCCCGTTCCCCCATAGTAACGCCTGACCAATCAGAATATGTAAGGCAAACGAATGTACCACCGCTCGACAGGCACAGAATTTGAACTTGCACTGCAACATCCACTATGCCGAACCCCCGCAACCGTATTCACTGTTGCAAGGGTGAGGCATCGACTTTTTCCGCGCTGAACTAACTCCCAGCAATGAGTCCACTCTGTCTCCGTATGTTTTCGATAGGCCGGAACCCACAACGACCAAACAAAACTTGCGACACTCAAGAAAACATAATGGAAAATGTTCGCCTAGCTCAACTTATCCAACAACCTCCGACGTCTTCGCTCGACGAGTTCCTCTTGCACTTCCTCTTGCGTGGGCAATCGCCACGATTGTCCGTCTCCTGGATCTCCGGGTAGGGGTTCCCAATCTGTTGATTTGTCGTCGTCTCGACCGGAATGCTGCAGGGCCTCAAATGATTCTTTCTCCTTTTGGGCTTCATACGCGACCAGCGTTCCGTCTTCTTCGTCGAGATTGTAACCATAGTATCCAGCGTCAACTTGCTTGCGCAGCTCGGCGCGTTGTTTTATTTCTGCTGCTTCCGTGCTTGGTTTTGGTTTGGCCGCTTCGAAGAGTTCCTTGACTCCGGGAAGCTCACGTGCCCGGCCGAAATACCTTTTGTTTCATATGTTAGTTTATAATTTGCAGACAAGACACTGGATCGAACGAAATTCAACCCCGGCAAGGTAGACACTGTTCGTTCAAAAACGGGCAGTACGAAACCCGTGAAGGTAATGATATGACATACCGGTAGCCCTTTCCTGCTCCAGGTATTTCTCTGCCCTCGTCATCGTATACTCTCCCCCCGCGCATATAATTCGGCCCGCCTAAATTTCGTATTTGCACTTCCCACATATGCTTTTCCCGCATGGCCTTGTTGATTTCGTCATTGATATCACGAATTTGATAGTCGGATAAGCTCGTGTCCTGGATTTTTGACACTTTTCGCGAAATCTCTTTGAGTACCTGACCCCGCCATTTTTCGCAGATCGGAATCGAGTTACACTCCGTGATCATCTTGGGACGGCGGGTGCGGCCGGCGTCTACGATGCCCAGGTCCGCGGCTTGCTGCGCGCGGAACCTGAAGAGCATGGACTGCGCCTTTTCTGAATTTCGCGCCTGCAGAAAGCAAACTGTGATTAGTCTTTGAGGTCGTTTGAAATCATTGAGCTTAAGTGAGAAAGCCATGAGTTCGAGATGGAGAAAAGGGTTGAAAGACGGCGCCAAAGGGATGTCCTCGAGAGCAAGCTCGTATAAGATGTAAACAATGCAGTTGAAGTGCCTGCAGCTAGATGACTTTGCGGACAAGGATTTGGATGATTCGATCCAGCTCCATTCCGTCGATCAATCGGTTGAAGAGAGGGGAGCATGTTGGTGGAAGAAATAAGGTTCCGAAAAAATCTTGTTGACTCACCATTTTGAAAAGCGCTTAATGAGAATGGCCAGCTTTGATCTCAAAAAGTTGTTGGATGTGCTGCGACAAGAGCGCAGACTGAGAAGCTGAAGATGCGGGCGGCTTCGGGGATTTGCCCAAGCCCGAGAATCCTCTTTACGGTGGTTGGTCTGTGCGCCGGGTAACGGTCAACTTGGTTCTACTACGTAGTAGGGAGAGGAGCGGTAACCATGTCAGGGCCACAGAGCGAGAAGACGTGCAATTACAGATTCATATGATAAATTTTCTTTATCTATCTAGATAGATAAAATAACCTCATTCCATGCAGCAATTTGAATCTTTAATATGAAGAACCGATACGCCATTTATATGACTTGATGCTAAGTTATGCCTTGCCGAGTACCAATGCGCCTAAGGGTATCCGTAATTGATTATAATCATCAAAGAACGTAAACTACGCTCGCCAGTGCTGGACCAAGCCATGCAATCGATCAATCACCACCGGGAAAATGGCATTGACACTGTCGCCAATCAATGCTTCAAAATGCTTGATAGCCTCCTCTTCGCTCATTTCCAAGTGGAAGCGGTCGCGCACTTTGATAACGGCCTTGTCGGGCTCCATTTTGATATCTGGGATGTTGGCATCGATCATCAAGCTAAAAAGATTGAGAATCAGATTTGAGGACTTTCTCAAGGTTGTGTATGCTGTGAAGCAGTATTGCTTGAATGCAGCGTAATGAGCCGAATTTGCGCCGCCCATGCCTTCGACCATTTCTTTGCAGAGTTTCATTGCTGGAGGAAACGGTTTTGGATCACGCCCAAGGATAAAACCAAAGTCAGCGTGGAAAAAGTGACCTTTAAAGCATGTCAGTATGGTCGACAATGCGTAAAGTGCAAAGAGACTGAAGGATACTGACCATCAGGAGCGAGAAGCAGATTGTCCAAGTGGCGATCACCAACGCCAAGTAGATAAGTTATCACGCAATACCCCGCACAACTTTTTACATAGGTTTCCATCGCTTCTTTGCGTACGCCAAGTGGCTCACTCTCGTCGGGGTTATTAGCCTTAAGATAAGCAAGAATGCTTCCCTTGTATTTTGTCACTGCTGCGGCCAAGCTCATGGAGCCAACGAATTGCACCGCTCCAGCATTTGCACTGGTAGCAAGGATGCGGTATGGTGATAATTTGAGATCCAAATTTTCCTTGCGCAACAGACGGTCCATAAGTGTTATGATCTGGATGACCAATTGATCCTGTCGAAGATCGTCTCCGGTCTTGAAGATGATGGGGTACTTGCGGCCATCTGCTGTTCTGAATGGAATCAGGAGAGGAAACAATGAAGATTTGAAGACAAGACAGTCATCGGGGAAGATCCCAACAATAGATACTGATGGATCAAGCGGCAGCGGAAGAGGTGGATCAAATGAGTTTAGCTCATTCTTCGGATCAGCCAGGAATCGCTTGAGACGCTCAATTTTGTGTGGACGATCTTCACGAGAAAATCGAATCTCCTTTGAAATCTTTGATAGAATGGTGATGAGTTCGCCTTGCCGAAGAAGTGTTTTGCGCTGTTCTGGTCCATGCGGCGTCTATCGATGTTGTCAGATGCTCCCGTTCCACAAAGTTTCAGAATTGATAAACGGCGTACCTTGAGCAGTTCGGTCATGAAATTAAACTCAACTCTAGCAAAAAGCTTGCGGTATTCTTGCGCCTGATCAGGGCTGCGATCATCGCATTCAACCATGAGGTACCAATGCAGATAACTTCCTAAAACAATGTTCTGAGTAGCTCGAGATATGAGGAAGCCAGCAAGAGAGGAATCCTCCGCAGCTTCATCGGGGTTTTCAGTAGGAAGCTTTTCAAATTTGAGGGCCTGCACCAGTTGAAGCAAATACAATAAGAGTTCCTGGCATCTGTCAGATATAATTTGTCTGGGGCAAAGAACTCGGTGGATGTAGGTCGTACCTCATCATCGGCTTTTCTCAACCGTTCAACAGCGTACGCTCTGACAGCTGGACTGTCAAACGTCGGCCCAAGGAGCTCCAAAGCATCATCTACATCTATCTCGGTCCACTTAGGAAGAATTTGCACTGCCTGACGAGCTTCGCTCTGGTCATGCCAAGAGACCGACTTGACAAACTTTGTCAATGCCTTGGAACTGATATTAGTACATTCATGTTGAGGGAAGGACTAATAACAGCGTACTCTTTTATCACGAGTCAGGTGATGCCTGAACTTCCAAACCAAGTCTTTCTCTTCGGCATTGAGCTCTTGAGTTGGACCATATGACATGATAACCTTGAAATGATCAGCAATTTGGATCTGATAGCAATATAAACACAGCAAAACTTACGTTTAATTCGTCCCGGATCTTCGCATTCGGTTTCAAATCACGGTCTAGAACACCTGCACGATGGCTACGGACCAAGCGACGGTGCATGCTCTCTGCAGGATTGTCCCTCGCACCAACTTCTGGATCGTAAATCTTGATTAACCTTCCACCGAAAGGATTATTTTCATCATCTGAACCATGAATGCCTTTGACACCCGGTCCCAGTTGCACCTCTGGCGGAGGTTTGTGGCTTACGGCTGTAGGTACGTGGTGTGGATGCGAAGAAATGGGCGGCGGAGGATATTCATGATCCGTAAACACGATTGGGAAATCGAAGCGTGGGAGGTCGATGTAAAGGACAAACTGATCGTCTTCATCATTGTCGGATCCTTCATCTTCAGAATATTCATGCCCATCTGCAATCCTATTCCTATCAGAATGCTTCTTGACCGGCTTCTTTGGCGGCGGCTGTGCATTGAGACCTCTTTTCTCAAGTTGACGAAAGACGAGCTGATCGAGCCAATCCACACGCTGTATCTCTCCCATTTCATGCTTTTTAAAGAGTTTTTCTAAGCGGTCGGTCTCATATTCATCGTCGCCATTCTCCTCCACTTTGCGCTTGTCAATCTTCAGTTGGTAGCGTGGCCGACGGATAGAAGGAGTAGTTGTTTCAGATAAGCCATCGGCTGCTTTATGTCGATAGACACGACACTTCTGACGACCCTTTTGTAATGTATTATCACTGTCAAAGAGAGGAACAGTAGTACCGCCAAAAGGGATTGCATGTCCTCTGGCACTCTCGCCACCAGTCGGAGAAAGATCCCAGATTGTAATAGCGAGCTGAGCGCTGAGAGGAAGCGTAGCGTAGTCGATTGGAAGTGTGAGCCATTCGTTCCAAATCCTCTCCGTCTTAAATGCCTTGTAAGCAGTTTGGACGGGTACTGTGAGAGGCTTCGAGTCTGCCCAAAGCTGCACAGTAACATAAAGATCAGAATGAGGACTGCCAAATGTCAGCCGATCAATATATCAGTTGAACCTAGCTTAGCTAGAAAGGCATCTACCTCATGTTTGAGCCAATGTAGCGCAAGTCAGGACGGTAGACTAGCTTAGAAAAGGGTATCGGTGTCTGATAGCCATCTAAACTTCCACTATATGCTTTTAAATCAGCAAACTCCTCGAAAAGGCAACGAGTGGCACTTGGAAACATACATTCTTACGCTGACGGGGATCTCGAGCTCACCCGAGCTGGCAAATGTAAAAGGCTCCATCTCGTGAGCATGCAGCGAATGAGATGAAGTTTTGAAACGACTTTCAGCACTTCCACAGCTCACCACAATTTCATCAATCTCTTTCTCATCCTCTGACCGGATTGGTGTATCCAACTCCAAATCCGAGATCTCGTCCTCAGGAATGAGGTCGGCATATACCGCCTGCCCTCTCACCAGGGACGAGAACCGGAGATTGCCGAACGTTTCCATCCTTATCGTATACTGATAATGATAGCGCACGTGATGAGTTAGCAAAGGAACCGAGCGGTTAAGTTAGCTGGGGGGAGCGGCAGTGGAGTCGCTAATGTGGCCAATGGCTACTTAGCATGGAGGCGTGTTCTCTTCTGACTGAAAGAAACGCGGCACCAAAGGGGATTAGCTTTTCCCTTAGGTGCCACTTTCAATTACCAACGCGTCAAAACGCCTTTTGGCTCCTTTGTGACAAAACAACGAAAGGAAACATATTACTTTGTATATGCACGGCCAAATAAAACCCTATTTTTTCGAGGTTAACGAACAAAACCGACTTCTAGTATTTTATGAAATTGGTCCTAATTTTCAAGTCAGGAGCACGTGTTTCATGACCCCGGCTCTCTCGAGATAAAGCATAGCCTCATCGCGCGACTGAGCGAGCGCAACCCCATTCAACTTCACCGCCAGGTCTACAATTTGCAATGGCACGTTTGGCGCGCGTGAGCTCATCGCCTGAACCAAATTCAAACAACACATTGTCACAGACTGGTCGCGAATACTCTGCCGCGGATTCGCCCACCCCAACAGCGTCATTTTCGTCGGACAAGGAAAATCAAACCAGCATCGCGAGGGGCCGACAACACAAAGGCAAAGCCATCGCAAGGCCCGATATGGAATCGTCATTGCCGACCCCGGACTCGAATGCGGAAAATAGTGAGCGTGGAGCTAAACGACGAAAGGTGGAAGCCTTGCGGCAACGAGAAAACGCGACGCAACGTGCCATTTCCGACTTGGAAGATATTATCGACACCAAGTATTATGATCCGGATCAAGACCCCGAGGAACGCCGAAGGGTGCGCAAGCAACTACGCGATTTGTCGCGAACACTTAATGGTGGGTTTGAGATCACCCTTACAATCCAGCTCTCTGTCTTCGAGACCAGCATACTAAATCCAATTCCTTTAAGAATCGCGACAAGAATTCCTCAACCCGGATTCAAAGGGCCTCCAGGAAACTGTTAAGAAGGCCAATGACTTAATGCTTAATGTCCGCAACACGTCGGACGCAACGATTGATTCGCGACTACTTGTCACAGCCGCGGATCTCGGGCGCAAGAAGATTTCGCATCTTGCACTAGGTAGTGGTGGACAAGGCATTGAAATTGACGAATTTGTATCAAAATGCATAAATTTCATGCGGCATGGGACACAAGAAGAAGAAGAAGGCCAAGCTAGCACGCAAAACCATCGACACGCCCGACAACGCGATGCCCGTGTTGAAGACGATCAGGGCGAGAGTGACGAAGAAGACGAGAACGATGGCGATGCCCTCAACTGGGCCTGGCTTGGGCGGCGCGCATGCTTTCCACATAATGCCCGCCCCGCCGTCTCGGGGTTTCTTCTGGGACCTTTATCTGTACAAAAGCGTAGCAGAGTTCAACGGAGACAAGTGCGACTCCAACGACGCAATCCCTTAGACGTAGTACGCCCACAGGAGCTTGAGGCCACGGACTTGCAGAAGACGGAAAATTCGAATCTCACCACACTGTGCAAGAATATCCGTGAGCAACTCCAGCGGACGCAGAACGAAGGCGAGGCGAGAGTGAACGACGAGGCAACAGAGGACATGTCGCAGGAAGAAGTCGATGCGCTAATGGCCAAATACGCGATTTGCGATGACGGCGGCGTGTCCTTTTTCAAGTTTGTCATAAATCCGCTCTCATTCGGCCAGACCGTGGAGAATATGTTCTATGTGAGCTTTTTGATTCGCGATGGAAGCGCGGGGATTGGGCGTGATAAACACGGGATGCCAACTCTGCGTAAGTCTACTTTTTCTCTCCTCTGTTTTCTGGGTCTTTCGGAAAGGATCATATCTTATTATACGAGACTGGCTCACAAATTGTACAGATGCAAGTATTCCTATGAACAAGCAAACCATCCGAGAACAAAATGTGCACAAACATCAAGCTGTCTTCAGTCTCGATTGGGAAACTTGGCAGGGCCTCATTGAAGCGTTCGATATCACTGACTGCTGTATACCAAATCGCGCCGCCGATGCAGGTGCTCTGAAACAAGGTGCCGGTGGGTGGTATGGATAAAGCAGTCACTATAATCACTGGTACACTATACTTATTCACCTTTTGTGAGGGAACATTTATTGTCATGTGAGGAGCTTTGGTGATAACTAGCGATGGCTTTTATTTGGCGCTCTAGTCCGATGCTTTTTTTTTTTCCCCTTTTCCCAGATACCTTAAGAAGCTATTCGGTTGTTTCTCCTTCGATTTTAGAGCAAGTTGCACCGTTTCTCTCTACTTTTAATGCAAGCTTATGCCGCTGTCTGTTCAATCATTTTCATTGAATGCCGCCATTCGCTTGTTTGAATAGTAATAAGCGCTTTTCAAGCCCTCCGTAGCCTCGAAAATTGATTCTGACGTCAAAGACCATGAATGGGTATTTAATGAGGAATATATGGATCATTCAGCCCATTATATCCGTCTCTTACTTGCAGTCCAAATATGAGAGATTTTTGATAAGCGGATAAGTGACGTGGCTGAGGCCACGGCATACAGTGTGTTTCCAATACACAAGGCGTAACGCCCACGGCGTAGGCGATGACAACCGCTTCTCTTTGCGGCCCAACCAGACGAGGCGATCAATGAGAGATCAAGTAAATGCGCTCTGTCACTTTATATCCTCTAATAAACATGTAAATAAACCGATCACTCTCAGACGTTGGCTTTCTGTAGGAGTGATTGATGCAAGGGGGTTCTATGAGGCTGAGAGCCCTCAAAGTCGGCGTTACATAAATGATATAAAGTTGCAAACGGTGGCTCTATCTGCATGTATCCGCTCTCCCTGGCATAGAAACAAAGAGAAACCAGTTAAAAAGCAAAACGAACTCTCCTTTAACAGGCCATCTTCCGTCAGATTATTTGCTTCCCAAAAAGAAAAGCGATACGGACGCAAAAGAAAATGAACGTTGTTAAAGTGACTCTACGCTCAGCAGACCTTTCAGGTCCGGCATGTCACAAGTCTATAGGTGCAAAAGCCATCATATACAACCCTTTTTACGACTTTACGCCTTATCCGTCCTTGACAGTTCAAAAGATTGGCGATATTGAAGGCAAGTAGAAAGTTCAGAGCTGAACCAGAGAACGATTAGGAACTAATACAATACCTTAGACATCGACATACTCCAGGCACCGTTGCCCAGATTGCGAAATAAAGTAGCTGTGTACATAATTTACAGCGAAGGCGACAAAGTCACACCTCGTCCAAGATTGCTGGCCGTGGTGAATTTTGGGGCTCTGCGGTGGTATGATAATTTCCAACGAAGGTTAGGGTTGATTAGAAGGTTTTATGTTTCTTTTGACAGGATTGAGATTGAGGAGCAGGGGAAGGAGGAAGGTCATGCCAAGGAGATGATGTGAGCGAAATTAATCTTACGATGGGCAAAGGCGTTTAAGCAGCCATGGTGTAGGATTCTTGGTACAATAAACGGTACAAAGAACCATTGACATGGAGTAGCTGTAGATGCAAAGGAAAGAAAACTACAAGAAGCATCTACTCTGCAGGCAGGGTTTCCAACGAGACCGTACGAGTATCATGTGTGAAGCTCGAAAAACAATAACAATGGCACACGTGGATGTGTTATGCATTAAATGACTAAGCTGTTCACCGCCATTGAAAGTCACGTGCAATGTTTGAAATTCGAGCTCGTTATCAGTATGATAAGTCGAAGGGCGCAGATTAAGTAAGCACACGATGTAAGTCCGTCCAAGGTCTTTCGGAAAGTTTTCAAGACATGACCTTGTCTTACTGTCGAATAGACGACCGTTTGCCATCATGAAAGGCATAAAAAGTGTGATTTTCGCTGCCAGGAGGGCGTCTCAGGCGCCTCTCGCTCAGCAAAGAAAACCAGTCACATCTCGAATTCTGCCGCAGTCAATGCGCAACGGCCGATACAGCACTTCGCTCAACCCCGCCACCACGCGAAGCATCTCTACAGGACGACCTCGCAAGGCCCAGGAGGCTACAGCAGAACGGGAGTCATCGAATCCGGCTTTGGCCTTTCCATGCTTGGACGCTCTTGAGTCACGATCTGCCTCTCTTCGGTCCCGACCCTCCGAGCAAGGACCCGAACCATCTTATACGAGCGGCGACCACCTCAGATTTCATTCGGAAAAGCCTATCCTACTTGATTGGGGTGGCTTATTGCCTGAGTTTGATGTTGCGTATGAGACATGGGGCGAATTGAACTCGGATAGGAGTAATGCAATTCTGTTACATACCGGACTCTCGGCCTCGAGTCATGCAAAAAGCTCCGATCTAAACCCTAAACCCGGCTGGTGGGAGAAGTTTATTGGCCCCGGTCTGGCGGTCGACACGAACAAATACTTTGTGATCTGTACAAATGTCATTGGCAGCTGCTATGGCTCGACCGGACCCTCTTCAATTGATCCGGCCAACGGACAGCGTTACGGAACTCGCTTTCCAATCCTGACCATGGAAGATATGGTTCGGGCGCAATTCAGGCTGCTCGATGGTTTAGGCATCAAGAAGCTCTATGCTAGTGTAGGGTCTAGTATGGGTGGAATGCAGAGCTTGGCTGCGGCGGTCCTGTTCCCCGACCGCGTTGGCAAGGTCGTCAGTATCAGTGGCTGTGCTAGGAGTCATCCGTACAGCGTTGCGATGCGGCATACTCAGCGGCAAGGTATGTATCGCATGTTTCGAGCTCTTTGGTAATTGTATGACTAATTTTCATTTAGTTTTGATGATGGATCCCAACTGGAACCGAGGCTTTTATTACGACGGCATCCCTCCTCATGCGGGCATGAAACTTGCCCGAGAGATTGCTACAGTAACATATCGCAGCGGTCCAGAATGGGAACAACGATTCGGGCGCCGCCGAGCAGACCCAAGTAAGCCTCCGGCGCTTTGTCCGGACTTTTTGATCGAGACATATCTCGATCACGCGGGCGAGAAGTTTTGTCTCCAATACGACCCCAACAGCCTTTTGTACGTGAGCAAGGCCATGGATCTCTTCGACCTTGGCGTCGATAACCAGAATCGCATGCGAGCACTTCGTCATCAAAATAAGTCCAAGTTGGCTGCAGGTGAGGGTCCTGGTCCGGAGGGGCAGTCTTGCAACCTGACGCTGCCGGAGAGCCCTTATGAGGAACAGCCGTCGGAGACGACTTCGAGATCTCTGAACGATGCGGTCGATGCACCTGCAGGTGGCCCGCCGGCCGATCTTGTTGCCGGACTTGGTCCGATGCAACACCACCCGACGCTGGTTATGGGCGTTGCCAGTGACATTCTCTTCCCTGCGTGGCAGCAGCGGGAGATTGCCGAGACATTGAAAGCTGCTGGCAATCGACAAGTTACGCACGTCGAGTTGGGCGAGGATAAGAGCCTTTTTGGTCATGACACGTTCCTACTTGACCTTGAGCACATTGGCGGCAACCTGAAACGATTCTTGAATTAAGCATTGTTTTGACATTTATACCGTGGTAATCTGTTCTGCTTTCCCTCTTGCATAGCGTTGATTGGTTGGCGTTGTCTCGTTCCTGGTAGCATTGGGAAAAGTTTCAAGAACGTCTGGCAGCAGACATCTACGTTCATTTTCACCGTGTATCATAATTTCATATATTGTAGGATATACAATGGATAAAATCTCCCCTGTGTTGTGTTTTGAGCATCCAATGCCTCAATATTGAGTGTTTACATTTCCCCCCTTGCCCCTGCATATGGCTATCCATGATATACAGCGTGAGAGAGAATAATAGTAGGCTGTACGTCGGCAAGTACGTGTCTAGAGGAAATAGATTACATGATCGTAAACAGGGTCTCTTGAGATCATCTGTAAAGAAGTCGGCCCTTGTCGGGGCCACGCGTACAAAATCCCGGGCGTCTTACCCACACCAGGAGGGACATGTGGTCCGTGCATCTCCACCCCACAATCAATTTCTCTCCCACTACGTACGACATGTTTCCCACATTACAGTTGCAAGACTGAATTCAATTCTTCGACGAATATAGAGAAATTACGCATCTTCAAGAGCTCAATTATCTTGTGGATACCAAATGCAAGGCACTGGTTGTTGAATTCACATGATTATAACCAAAATCCGAGTTACAAGCGGGTTAGTTAACCATGGCTAAAGTGAAGCTTTGCCGAACGCGCGGCGAGTGAGACACTAAACCCACACAGTCGACGCTTGCCAGGTCCGAAACGGGTCAACGCTCTTCAAGCCATCACTGACGCCAGTCGGATTGCGATCTGCTCCAGCTGCCGCTCAGCCAAAAACGTCAGACCAGCACGCTGAGAAGAGAGGAGAGAAGGAGACGGGACTCGCAGAACCAAGTGGAGTGACCGGTCATTTTTCAGCTAGCTTTTGCTCACCAATTGATGGCCATGCCGACTTGGCTCTTATGTATCCTGACGCCCTGCAGAAGCTTGACTTGTCCTTGAACGAATCAATTTGGTGCTTCCCGACGCCCGGTTCGGGATCGGGTACAGGGGGATCGTTGGGATAGTCCATCACTAAACCCAGCGGAAACAGGGGACGAACGACGGAACTACATAACACGGGGTTGGTGGCCCATTAGTTGAGGTGGATTGCGTCTTGCAACGGACTGGAGCTACTCCAGATTCAGATTCAAGTCCCGGCCAAGGAATCGCATCCCAATCGCCATCCACTTATTCTGCTTCTTCCTCCCTCTCGATAAGTTCTTCTACCCAATGTGTGATTCCTGGTGATGCGCGAAGAGCCATTTGCTGGTTCCTTGTTCTTTCTTCCTCGTTACCGCCAGAACCCGGGCTTTTTGTTTGTGATTTATCGACTGAGCTCAGCGGGTCATTGAATATCCTGCTACCTCGCCTGTGAAATCCCACGTCGCATTCCGCCATTGGGTGACGATTCCATCCCGCGAGCTTGCCGCCCCCGACGCAAGGGCCTGCAAAACAAGCTTTTGGGTCCCGCCTCTTTCCTTGGGCGTAAACACGTTCTGACGATTTAGCGTTCGATTGGTCTCATCTGTCCGAAGTCTTGCAGGCAAACAATTCTTCAATTGAGCCGATCCAAAGGGCGTCTCTTTTCTCCGAGGTGACAGTCGGTAGATGCGTCGCAACTACCAACTTAGGTGACAAGTTTGGTGATACGAGTTCATTACTCGAGTGCGTCGCAATCCTAGAACCATTCGAACAAACCCACATTCCCATACCTGAAAGCTCTCTGACGAGCTTGCTGAGCATCCCGACTTATCGCTCACTCACTCGCCACGATGCTTACTTTCAAACGGGCGGTCGTATTCGCCGCCCTCTTCCTCGCCCTCATCTTCTTCCTTCGATCGTCGCATTCTCCGCCAACGAATTCCGATTTCACGGTACCGAATACTGCTGGGCTCAAGTCCACCGGAAATTCCGCTTCGCCGCAGGAATCAGCAGAGCAGATTGTCGCTGAAACGGCCCTCGCTCCTGGCAGCTCAAGGAAGAAGGAACAGACCGCGAAGCAAAAGCAGAAACAGGCAGAGATTCAGAAAACGCTTGTCGACATGGCCAACAAGCCGCTGCGCGACCAGCTGGCGTACCAATTCCCCTACGACGTTGAATCCAAGTTCCCTGCATACATCTGGCAAACATGGAAATACACGCCTGCATCAGGCGAGTTTCAGGAGAGCTTCCGTCCTGCAGAGGCCAGCTGGACCGAAAAACACCCTGGATTTGTCCATGAGGTCATCACCGATCAAGTAGCGGTGCACTTGATCCGCCACCTGTACGCCTCTGTACCAGAGGTCGTCGAAGCCTACAAGTCTCTGCCGCGAGCTATTCTCAAGGCCGATTTCTTCCGATACTTGATTCTCCTCGCGCGCGGTGGCATCTACGCCGACATTGATACTCTGGCTCTCAAATCAACCATTGAGTGGCTTCCAGAGACATTACCGCGGTCAACTGTTGGATTGGTGGTTGGCATCGAAGCAGACCCGGACCGTCCCGACTGGGCAGAGTGGTACTCTCGTCGCATTCAATTTTGTCAATGGACTATTCAGTCGAAACCCGGTCACCCCGTACTGCGAGACATTGTTGCCACTATTACCGATGCCACGCTGAAATTGAAAGAGTCTGGTGTCTTGAAGAAATTAGACAAGTCGGTAGTCGAGTTCACTGGTCCAGCCATTTGGACCGACGCAGTTTTTCGATATTTTAACAACCCTGAATACTTTGACATGTCAACAAGCAAAGGGAACATTACATGGGAACACTTTACGGGGATTAAAAAGGCAAAGAAAATGGGCGATGTTGTGGTGTTGCCGATTACGAGTTTCAGCCCCGGCGTCCAGCAAATGGGTGCAGGAGACGACGATGATCCAATGGCCTTTGTCAAGCACGCTTTTGAGGGTACGTCAGATATGTCCAATCTGTCCTTTTGTTTGCGTCATCTTTAACAGTCTCGTTTTCGTGAATTCTGTATCATGGTATTGACGATATTGATAGGAACGTGGAAACCTGAAAAAGAGCGCCATCCGGAACTGCACAATAAATAAACTGGTTGGCCGTCTTCCACTTTTTACTCGCCTGCTATGGTTGAGTTTTCCATATCCGTCAGCCTTGACACCCCTTGCGGTGTCATCCCGTACCGTCTTACGATAACGAAACCGGATTCGCAACTTTGCGTATCTAGCCAGCCTTGACATATAACTTACTCTTACATCTTGTTTTGCTGTCTCAAGACGCTTCACGAAAATCATCAAATCGTACTCCCTGGATACTCGTTTCATCCCTGATCTCTCTGTTCTTCCGCTTTGAAGCGTCAGCGCAAGGATCCATGCGCCTTTATTTAGTTGTTCATATTACGTTGTAACTCATGGATATCAAGCCCTGGTCAGAAATCATGTACTTATTAGCAATTCCTCCCCTTCCTTTCTTCCTCCTCCTCCTCCTCCTCCCTCCTCTTATCCCCTTACTCATATCACTCTCGTGCACTTTTTACCAAGTCTCACAATTTTCTTGTCCTTCCTCGCGTCTCTTTTCTTGCGCTGGTCAAAATGGTTATATGGATAAAGGCGAATGGGTTATTTCTACGCTTACGAGCGAGCGACCGTACAAGGTCATGGCTGCGAAGTGTAGCTGGGTAGTTTACTATGTTTGGGAACTAGAATCTACGGTCTCGGGCTTAGGCTTATGGGTTTCGTTTTACCTTTGTTCGATTTACTATGCTTTTATTTTCCTTTTGCCGGGCCTCTTAACTTCTGAGGTTTGCCTCCCTTTTTATATGTTATTATTCATCTATTTTATTTGGTGTTTAGTGGTTAGTGGTTAATGCTACTCATTTTTTCTCTTTCTTATACCTAGTGACTCACTGTCTCTTTTTCTGATACCTAGTGACTTTCTATCCCCTTTTTTCTTATACTTACCTAGTGACGACTACTAGAATTCTCTGCCGCTTCTCTATATCCAGTATTTATTAATGGGTTACTACTTTGAGCTGCCGAATTGATTAGGCTACATGGCAAGACGAACAGTCAAAGCAATAATTTTAGCACATTCCATAGCACTGTGACTCCGAAATCTGGCTTGGTCAAGACTAGATCTCATGTTCATTCGTAATGTTATGGACCAGTCGCTTTATGTGAGTCTGTGATTCCTTTCGTGGATTTGTGGTTTATTTCAAATTTCCGCTACAGTTTACGTACTTTCAATTTGTCATGCTGCGTGCAGTTGCATTGGACCCAAGGAACGGAAGAGTTATAAATCATTATATAAGAACAAAGTTAGAATGAAGATGTAGAAAGAAATGCCGAATTGGAGTATTCTAAATATTCGAAACCCGTATTTTCAAAGGACCGAGGCTCGGTCCCCCAAGTGGTATATATCCCGAATCGGGGAGGCGTCGCCGCGTCTTCCATTACACCTCTCTCTCTCTCTCTCTCTCTCTCTCTCTTAGAGACTACAATCTTCGTGAAATTTAGTTGTGTGTTGAGAATAAAAGAGACTTGTGCAGCTGTGCTAAGCAGTGAGCAGATTCTTATGGGAGTCTGGAGCCGGGACTCGGGACTCGGGACTAAAGTGAGACTCGAGATGTTAGTGAGAAAGTCGGTGAGATTTCTGTAAGACTGTAAGACCGTAACAGTTATGTGATTAAACTTTGTGTCTTTGTCTTTGTCTTTTTCCATGGGTAGCCGGGAGTCCGGGGTATAGAGCTCCGTCCTCTTGTTTTTATGCCCCTTGTTTTCCGTTTTATCTTACCTTCTTTTCTTTTTCATGACTGAAAAGATAAAAAAAAACAAAAAAACAAAAATAAAAAACAAACAGAATATAAACTAAAGGGGAAAAGAAAAGATCCACTTGAACTCTGGCATCCATATCGTCATAAGACACAATCCAGCAAAGGGACGCTGAACCGTCTTTCAGCATTCTTCCTACTGTATTCCGGCCCCAGTGTCTTTTGCCCCCTCTCCGTTGCTCGCGGGAGTCGAGACCTCGAGAGTCAAGTCTGCAATTTGGCTACGGACTAATGGAGTAACGGAGTAGCAATTCAGGGACAGTTGTGTGACAATGTGACTGTCTTTGACTCTTTGGAGAAAGCTGATGATCTGGATTCCGACTGTATAGTTGTTGCTTGAGGATCTGGTATTCATCTCGTCCAAAATATTTTAGTATGACCAGATTGCTGGCCGCGTTCACTGAGCTTTCAGTTCCTCGTTGGAAATATAACCAAAAGATCAATCAGGGCACGCCTGTCGGAGGGAACTCCACTCTTGTACAGTGTAGCGCGTCAGTAGCATTTGACAGTCTTTTGTAAGAGAGTACATGCCCATCTTCCGCGAGAGGATATCAGATATCTGCCGTTTGACATACCAATAGATCTCGAGCAAAGCGTGACGAATGACTTTTATTCAAAGCCAATAAGGACGGGACATGCATGAAAGTGTCTAGCTGCTTGTTGGACGCTGCCTTTTGATTTATTTTTCAAGATGAGATGTGGAAAATAAGACCGCTGCTTGAGGAAAAGATGCAGTTCCTAGAGGCATTTTCCTTCCCATTTCTTGGCCAGCAAAACCGTGGCCCGCCTAACAGGTTTGATTACAGATACACCGTGAAAGTCTGGTCCCACGCTTTATATCCCGTGTCTTGCAAAGTTGCACTGCTCCTTTTTTGAACGTGCCTGCTTTTCTTGGGAAGGAAATGGAGGTGAATTTCGGTCCTTGTGAGACTCCGACGGAGCATGTGTGAGACGGGATTGAGATTGATCTCAAGGTTTGAGATATTCAAGCAGGCTGCAGGTTTTGTACTTCATTCTGCGAATATTCCTGCATGAAGGTGTTCATCTCCGGGTTTCTCTAAGTTTATGCATATTATTCTCTTTTATGGACGCAGAGAGCTGCAACCTTGAGCTATGAAGCAGTCCTTGAGTATGAGCGGTAGACATGCATCTAATTTTTTTGTTGATCGCCAACAGAGGTGAGATATTTGTAAATTGATTTCCACCCGGATAACGGCAACGTTAACCATGAGGATTGAGGATATATGAGGGAAATGACTTGATATTTTTTGTCCATTTTGCGATGTACTTAAGCGTGTTAAGTTTCGAGACAAATTTAAGTGAGAGTATGGAAATCCACACAGAGTGACGTCTTGGCGTCTATGCAGAGGATAAGAGTGAAAATCGGATTGGAGTATGATGCACGAGACACCAGGCACCGGACACCAGTGATGGGGTCAGGAGCTGTGCAATGTTTTCTAGGCTAAAATTCCTTGTCAGTGGAGCCCAGAAGACGTTCTTTGAGTTTTATATTACCCAAAACATCTCCGACGTTGTGGGCAGGATGGATATGAGCAAGTTGTCAGATGTTGTTTGCGTGGCTAGTGCCAATTCTGTTAAAATTTAAATCTTCTATGATAGCATTAGTATGCTTTTCTCATCTTAGGAGCCATTATTTACTTGTCATAATGGGAGCTAAGAGCTCGGAAGCAGATACAACAAAGAGATTCATTTGTAAGGCAGGCGCGACTGTATTAATAGGATACTGAGATATGTTGAGATTTCAGGCTATGTCGTTAGGGTTTATATTTGACCAGAAACCCTTATCGAAATATCATAGTTCGTAGTTGATGAATTGTACATAGGGTGTCCGTTGGTCTGGTCTGGGTCGGTCTTTGAGGTAAAGACCAACCTCCAGACCAGGCGTGGGCGGTTTTTTAACTAAACCCATCTATGCATAAATCTGGTATAAATGCACATATTTTGGGCAAATCACCAGCATTATCGGCATAATTTTGCTGACTGATTGTTGATATATTTTCTAGAAAGGTAATGTTGGTGGTGATCACTGACCAGTGGAGGCATGTTCAAAAGACCGACCCAAGGTGGTCTGGTCCTACTCTCAAATTTCCCAACTTGGTCCGGGTTGACTGCGTAGAAGACCAAAGACCACCGGTTTCCACCGGCCCCAACGGACACCCTAATTGTACATGTGAGTGAACAATTGAGATCCGGATTCATGAAAGCATTATATAAATCAGCTCAAGGAACAGCTTTATCTGCTTGACAGGCCTTCAAAAATGATCCGGGAAAAGTCGCTTTGATGTCCTGATATCGATAAAAGTTAGTGAATTGGCACAGTGAAGATGCTATGACCATGGCAGGCGTCGTCAGAAGGTTTCCCAAAATATAAAGACATTGAGAGCGTATAATCATGTTAGACTGAGGCTGGAAGTTAAAATGATTGTAAATGAGACTTTTGGAAGTAAATGATTTCGAAGGGAAATCCTCTTCCGTATGGCTGATGCTTTCTGATTCGTCAGTGATAGTTACCAGGATAGTTACCAATGAAACTTACTATTGCTTGGGACCTTCCGCTTTGTGTAAAAATCTGTCCTTGTTGGCTCACGTGTAGTAAATGGCTGATTTTGTCTTTCTGCTTCCGCCCGCTGCTCTTCCCATTGCCTATGTTTGCGTTGAAATTTTGCAGCCAGCTGTTGTGTACGAGTTGATTTGACAGGAGCTCGTACAGCTATACGCTTTTCACGCGCCATCTCTGGAGACAAGGAAGACAATCCGAGAGCGAAGCCACGTTTTCATCTAATTTTGATATTTTGTCGGCATCGTTCTCTGCATCTTGGTTCAAAGGAGATGCGGTTCTGGCCTCAGTTTTATCGTTGACCGGTGTGGCTGGTGTCACTGAAGGTACTTCAGTGTTTGGTAACTCTGGTTTAGATTCAAAAGACGCCCAAGAAAGAGGTGACCACTGGCAGTGGGTACCTTGGAAATTCTCGTGGATTCTTTTGTCATGTACATGGCCTCCCACCGCCAGGAAATAAAAGTTCGACGAATGATGTCGAGGACCTTTACTGTTTCGTTCTTGCTTATATGATAAAATTGTGGCGTTTCAGCAATTCCTGAACCATACAGGGATATAGCCAATGCAATAAATGACTGATGTCAAGCAAAGTCCTAGAGATATCGGCCGTTGGCTGTTCGCTATTTTCTGCTGAACTCATATTGCAACACCCAATCACACAATGTATAACAAAAGATTGAAGGATCTCGGAGGCCCACTCATAAAAGTCGCCTCAGAAAGCATGCAAGTACCGCATACTTGGATTTGGAAAGACTCGAATAATTTTGAGTCTAATTCAGGGACGTTGTTGGTTTATATCTTGACGTTGTATATGTGAAGGAAGAAGGTGACGGAGAGGTTGCAGGCCAAGGTAGAATTAACTGCCTCAACGACAACTTCAAAGTAAATTTCCACTTGGGTCAATGAATTGTTGTATTTGCCGGTTCCTATTTGGCTGTTAGTGACGTTCACCAAGTAATTATTCAAATGGGAGACTTTTAGTATTGTAGTAACTGTTCGTATACTCAACTTGTATGATTGTATCTTTCCATGACCAGCGTAAATTACAAATATTTCTGCAAAAGTCCCGCAATCTATAAATATTATGTGGTATCAACATTTCATTATCCTAGATGCCGAATTCAGCCCGTGAATCCGTCATACAACGCTCGGTTTCGAGGACACGAGGCTCCATAAAGTAATTTGCTTTTATATTCGACCGGATCAGCGCCAAACCACCACCACTTTAGGAGTATGCTGTTTGCGAAGAAGTCATTATATTCTGCTCCATGTAAATGAATAGATGCGCTTCATCAACAATTGTATTCTCTTTCGTGTATATAGCGAATAGGGTCCGCTGAGCCGGCCAAACTCGCAGTCCGAACGTGATGAATTTCAGGGAGGGGAAAAAAGGTTTTATGACTATGTAGTAAAATGCACCTTTCACAATCCTCTTGTAATGCTCCATACAACTGAAAGCGCCAATAATAGACCCAGTGGCACATGACCCTCAAAGAAATTCACTCTAGAGACCGGAAAAAAATAAAAATAAAAACGCCATCCAGCCTTCTTCACCAAAACCCAAAAGGCACTGAGATATGTAAAAGCGCCGAGAAAGGAAAAGCAAGAAGACTGAAATTTGAACGGAGCGTAGAAGCATGTCCCTCATACGTCCATTGCTATCATGTCGACGATACTCGTTCCAACGTGGTTGCAGCCGAACTCAAATGCTTAGCGGGAGGACTTCCAATTATCGAACTGTTTGGAGTCCTTGCGCGCATCTCGTCCGGCCAAGCAACGTACATATGATTGATACGTCCAAGTCGTCTGAGAAGATTCTTTTGGAAGCCAAGCCGATTCAGGTGCACAGTGGCAAGGATTCTCGGACGATCCTTTTCGCCTTGAGGGAACGGTATTTCTTTCCGATTACGCCACCATTTGGGCAGCGGAACTTCATAGCTATCGTAGCCTGGAATTTAATTTTATGTCAGATTTGTCTTCCAAGGGTACTATCGTTTCTTTTTTGACTTACTTCTGTATATTTCTAGGTCTCCGTACCTGCATGTTGACAATGTGTGCTGGAAAGGGTCATAAACTATTGTTTGTGCTTGCTCGGTTGGTCTACCCTTGTAAAGGTTGGATTGACGACCTGTCATGGTCATGGCACAGTGTATTTCAATGCTTGCTCGATCGAAAATATTCTTCCACTGAACCGTTGATGGCAGTCCATGGTGAAAATGAAAAAGGGGCCGAAAACATTCTTTGGGTGCGAGCAACAGCCGGCGACTTTATAGTAGGTTATCTATCATCTTGTTCCACTTTTTCTGAATTTCTTTCATTACGAAGATGACACAAGGCGCGGGTCTTTTTCCCCGTGCAATGATCAAAAGGAAGATTCCATTTTTGTTGGTGTGGAGCCCGTCTCTCCGGATGTTGATCGAAACTTTGTCTTCCACTACATGCAAGCCACAGCGACAAAGTGGTCCGTCCTGTCCGGCGGCTCGGCACCGCATGCGAAATGAGGCTCTCGGCCTGGCTTCGTTGTTCAATGTCTGCGGCTCAATGTTTCGGCGCAGTAGATTAAGGATGGGCAGTTCTTATCGGAGCAGATACTAAACAAGAGTGAATGGCGGTGGCTATGCCCTCCATTTCCCACCGTTCTCACGTATGACGACCTTCATATGATCGGAAAGAGCTCACAGTAGGTTTCCAGCTGCTACGTATGAATCATTCGCTTTTTGTTGCACACCACTCCACGCGGGCGGCAATGTACCGGTGATGAACAAAGCTGACATCTGATTAGCTGCCTTACTTTTTTACTGCAGAAAGGTGGCCCGTATGAGCTATGACTGTGCGGGAAGTAATGATAGGCAGGTGACGAATATGCAAATGTGACTGTCAATTTCCCTTGAGAATGGATGGATGGGTATCCACTCAACGATCTCGACATTCGCGGACAAGATTTCCATGAATCTATAAGCGCTAGAATCACAAAGCATCATGGAGTCAATCAAGCATTTTAGGAATGGTATTCAGCCGCATTCAGAAAAAATGTCATGTCGGGAGAGGATTAGGGCTAGCAAGAACACCACACCAGAGTGAAACACGCCGTATCGCAGCGCCCGGAATTGATCCTGCGAGTTTGTGTCACCCAAACAACCTTGTCCATCGCTAAAAATGACCAGATATGGTTAATTTATAAGCCTCAGTCCTTTCATCGACACATCATCCCGGCTGATCGTGACACAGTTGCGACATTTGAGCGGCATATCAGAAGGTTCTAATTGTTCCCGCACGTGGATCGGATTCGTCTCTTCCGACGTTCCGCTGCTTGAAAAGGGTTGCAACTTTTTGGAGGTCATTTGCAGTTCATTATGCATAGCTACCGTGGATGCCCGGCATTCTATCGTCTCCGGGTTCGAGGTAAACGAAACTAATTAGGCTTCCTAAGTCTGGATAACATCCAACATTATCACGATTCTACCACAGCCTGAGCTGTTGGATTCCGACCCTCATTGCATTGCTCCGGTGTTCCCTTTGTTTGTTCTTATCTTTCTAGCATTTGCAGAAAGTGGCTTGATGGGCCTCCGAAAAGGGGGAGCTGATCAAACAAATCAAAAGGACAATCGAAGGAGCGGCTGGTTTTCTTTCCTGAGAGCAAGTCTTGTGAACGAAAAGGGGCCCCCCTTATGCGTAGCAGTGGAGACCTACAAGGAAAATTCAAGCAATCATATATTGACCGGACTTCTGTCTGCAGGGTACTCGGGCAAAAATTTACAGGGATATTGCATCTTTTATCACCTGCCACTCTTCATTTCTCCGCAATACTCTTTTCTCACGCATGCCGCGCAATTTTACAGGGTATTTTGGTCTCGAAGCCACTGGCGCACTGAGTTGCCAGGCTTCTTTTTGATCCGATATGGGCTGTGCCAAGATTGATTCTATTCTTTTTGAATCGCGCCTGTTGTTGTTATCGGCATCGCCTTCTCCCCCAAACTTCGTACTACCATGAGGTGTCATGATCGAGCCTCGCATTAAACGAAGAGATACATGGCGAAGCTCAGCTCGACGATCAATCTCAAGCATTCAACAGCTCTTTGCAGTTTTCCAGAAATGGAAACTCGATGTGGGGGCCACAGAGTATGAAAAGCGATTGGTAAAATTCGAAAGTACAGCCCCTTTATCTGTCGCTTCAGGACCAATCTCTCAAAGTACTGCGGTCAAGGTCTTGTTCGAAAATACTCAATCAGGGAAAAAGCGACTATGCAACCACCGTCAAACGTCCTCACAAGCGCCCATTTTCCCTTTTTAACCATAGTGGCGTCCCCGATGCATTCGACAGGATGCGAAAAGGACGATAGTGACTATGTACTCAGGATGAGGTAACTCTTGGCTGTGTAGTTGAGAGGCTGGCGGCTATTGATGATCGGCCGTATAGGCACTGAGCCTTCAGGCAGCGAAAGTAGTCTAGTATCAAAAAAATTTCGCCATCATCCCACGGGCTCGATACTCATCTTTCATCTATAATACTGTGGTCGTCAGCCAATCTTGGGCCAAGAAACGTATGCGCCCTTGAATGAAACATCTATTGGTTTAGGATTACTTCGATGGAAACTCAAAACGGTGATCCGTGGGGTGAAGAAACATTACTCAGTTTAGGTACGCGTCAATGATAAACAAGATACATGCTGCAGAATTCTAAGCTTATACTTGACTAGATGGAGGAGGAATCCGCGGTTACTTTAGTCTTCTTATACTGCAAGCTCTCATGGAAGAAATAAGGAGATTAGAGGAAGCACGAGATATTTCTTCTAGCTATGATCCCATTGAGTTCGTGCCACCTATCAATGGTAATCCCGCCGAGCCGCGAGCCGTAGGCTCTCAGTTTCTGCCATGCCACTACTTCGATTACATTGTTGGCACCAGTACTGGAGGGTGAGTACTCCCAAGCAGAAATATTAAGTGAGATGGTCGCTGAGATACGGAAAGATTGATTGCGATCATGTTGGGTAGACTTCGAATGCGAGTGAGCGAATGCATTGCCATATATGAAAGGTTAGGGGAAGAGTTCTTTGGCCAACCAAGAACTTTCCATATTCGCTCTCTTCTCTGGAGGCCCAGGTCCAAGTACAATGCCGACAAGTTTGAAAAGATTATCGAAAGAGTTGTAAACGACCGGACACTGGAAAGACCTGAACTGGGAAGGCGTGAATTTGGCAGTCCGATTTCATTCGAGCACGCTCCGCAGGCGCGTATTTGTCGAGTGTAAGGAACCAAAACCTTGAGAGATCGAGAAACAAGAGTATTGATATATGTCACCAGCATGGTGTTTGCCCACCATCGAGGGCCCAGTCGTGCTGCGGATCGTTTACATCTTTTCCATACCTACGATCGTCCCGACTATGTTGGACTTCCCACAGGAGGCCAAGCATTTATAAGGGATCCGGAAACTCGTCGTGCAACTTCGCTACCAATATCACAAGTCGCAAGGGCAACCACAGCGGCACCAACGTACATGAGAAGTTTCAAGACAAATGGTCATGAGTTTCTTGACGGAGGGTTCGGGTCTTCCAACAATCCAGTAGGTGAGGCATGGGAGGAGATGAAACAGATGAATCAGTCGCGGGGAAAGTTGATGCATGCACTTGTGAGCATTGGGACAGGACGAAAAGCCATCTCAAGGTTCCCGGATCTGATCGGATTGCGAAAATATATTTATATCATCAAAGCTGCGACCCAAATGGCCTCGGACGCTGAATTGGAAAATATCTCAATGGAACGACTGATCCGCGAATTGGGAGATAAGGAACCCCCAGAAACCTACTTTCGATTCAGTGTCGATAATAAGCTGGGGAAAATGAAACTTGACGAATGGAACAATGTCCGACGTGATGGAAAAAAAGATACATTGCTGTTTATTCGACAAGTTGCCGCTGAGTACATCAACGAGGATAATGTGCAAAGGATGCTCAACGCAAGTTCACAACGACTGGTTTCTTTGAGAAGGAGAAGGAGCACCACGGTTCGCTGGGCGCAATACGCTTCAGTGGTTTCATTCCACTGCCCTGTCCCAACATGCACCACCATTTATGGCAACCGTGATGATCTTAGACACCATCTTGAAAGAAGTCATGCAGACTGGCTCACGACGCACGATCTCGATGAAGAAAGTCTAACAAGGCTGCTTGATAGCCGACAGAGATATATTGGCTGAATGTCTGCATTGAAAGCAGCTCAGCGTATTGCTTGATCCCCAAACATGATGCAGCTGGCGTAAACACTACCCGGCTCCTTTTTGCTCGGATGATCGAAGCTTTTACCCTTTGTTCGTGGACTAACAAGCAGCACCATTGGTGTGTTTCCGTGCCAGTATTTCGAAGTCTATTAGCATTACCTCTTCGTATGAGTTAGCCTCTTTGGATAGGTATGTTCTTGATATACCTGTCCATTCTAAGGACTCTTTAAAAGCCTTATACTAATTCGCCTTCCCGAAGCGAAGATCTAGAGGATCACTGGAAAAATTGATGCAAGAATGTTGGAATGGGGTCCGAAAAATGGATTTGAGATGATATAATGTACATATAAAGAGCCCAGTTCTTATGCTTCTTGACGCCTTAACGATATTTCCTATACACTGCATCCTCCTTAATACGCGCCTCAACAAGATCAATGACGGCAGGATCATATATGTCTTCCGGCTGCTTCGAGCCCTTGAGGATTTCTCTTTCATGAACGGCGGCCTCTTCCTTAGTCACGCAGACCAGGTCCGTGAGGTTTAACCGCGAACTCTTCTGGCCAGGCCAACGGTCGTCAACCATGTCTTCCTTTGATGCTGGAGCTCGCCACCGCACAAGGTTCAGTCGAGTCGCGAGCCCACTCACAGCACTACGGCCCTTGAAAACTTCCTCGACCAAGTATCCTACGTCGTCTTGAGAGATGGGAAGTTTCAGTCCAACAACATCAAGACCATAGGACCTCGCCACACGCTCTTCCAGCCCTTGGAGAGTCCCCAGGATGGAATCGTACAGCTTCTCTCTTCCCTTTGCAGGGATATACTCGTGCGGGTAGCCTGTCAGTGCAAGGATGACATGATTTGCTGCCGTCAGACCAAACATGGCCGGCATGGTGCCGAGCACAGGCAGAATACGCACACGGAAGTCGGGCAGCACGCCCAACTCGCCCACGCCGCCCTTTTGGAATTCCTCCTCGGCAAGCGGGAGCAACTGCGCCTTGCCGGGACCTGGCTTCTCGGTCGAGTATACGACCGGAATGCCATCCTTGACACCAAGCGCACGGAGACGCCGCCGCGTAGATCGCGAAAGAGGATCTTCAATACTTGCCGCAATATCGCCGACAAAGATCCGGGTAGGGTCGGACTTGCATCCAGCGCCCATGGATGAAATGACTGGTATCGAATTTTTCGCACAGTAATGCAGCAGAGCAACCTTGCTGTCGATGTTGTCAATTGCGTCAATGACGAAACTCGGCTGCTGGCCGTCTGACCATGGGCCAAGCTGACTTTGAGCGGTGGACTCGCTGAATAGAGCATTCTGGCAATCGAACTGTACCCATGGAGTCACCTGTTGTAGACGTCTCTGCAGGGTATGCACCTTGGGAGTTCCGACATCGACAAGTGTTGCGACTGCATGGCGGTTGAGAGAAGATAACGTGACCTGGTCAAAGTCGATCAGGCGGATTTTCGAAACTCCTGAGCGTGCCAGGTTGGTGGTAGCATGTGATCCGACTCCGCCGCATCCGACCACTATGATGAATGATGACCGTAGCTTTGCAAGTCCCTCGTCTGTAAGAAACACGCGGTTTCGCGCGAGTTGTTCCAGGATGAGATCTATATTTCCATGGTAACGTTAGCCTCAAAAATAAAGCTAGACATGAATAGTAATAATAATAATATTATTATTACAACCGCGACGTTGTAACAAAGCAATCTGATATTTTGACCAAACATACCATCGTCATAGTCTCCCTTTTGCGCGCGCGCCGCCAGGGCTGCGCTACGCTCGTCCTCTTTGCTCATGCCCAGCTGCGATGCGGCGCCAAAATCTGTGAGCTTCACTTTCGCCGGTCAGCCTTATTTTTGTCTTAAATTATTCTCCAACAGTGTATTGTGCTTTGGCGTCATCTCCCAGCTTCAGCCACATGATCCAAAGCTAAGCCATGCTAACGCACGTCATGCGCCACCACCTCGAGTCCTTTCTCGCCCTGCTGCCTATTTTGCAGCACCCCCAGCGGGGAAAAAAAAGGGTGGGAAGTGGAAAGGTTGAAGAGGTCTAAGCCCACCTTGTTCGCCACATGTTCCTGACTTAGCTCCGGGATTGACGCCTTAAGATCGTCGACTCTATGTTTTCTTCGCGCGGCCTGGAATCCGAAAATGGCGCTCGCAACAAGAGCGCCGGAGATGACAGCCGTGGCGGCCAATTGCGCCTGATGCGATCCGCTGGTTCGAGAAATGAAAGAGGACATGTTGGAGATGCCCTATGTCCGTCGATTACCCCAAAAGTAGGCAGGTAATTTGGGGATCACTATCCCCCAGTTATGCCAGCTCGAATGCGCTGTTATAGAGTCGCAAGATCCTTTGGCAATATTGTCGAATGTCCCTGTCGAACGATATGACCGATAGGAAGATTATCGTCTCACAACTTTTTTGTTGCTTTGGCGGCTCTGCGGCAAAAAAGCGGCGGTTACGCCATTGCGCTTCATTAGCTTCCACTACACTCAGCCTTACCCGGCGGGCCGTCGTCTCAGTCACTACGACGTGATCGGCAACGTTGACGTTTCATTTGTTCTATAACAGCAACAGTAGCAGCACATTTCTCACACGGACACAGCGTGACGCGTAGGTACACTTTTTTATATTAGCATCTTCTTCCATATATGTATAGCTCGAGGCTAACTATTTTCATCTGCAGTCTTACCCAATGACGATAACCCTCACCCGAGCTTCCACGAGCCGCACTGGCCACCTTGGGGTATCTTCTTTCAGGAGCTTCCCTATAGGTAGCTAGTATAAAACGACGGCGTACCACGTATTTTACATACGGCGGAACGTTGGGTTTTCTCGCGGCAATGACTGAGCTCTAGGAACAGAAATCGAAGGGTTTTTCCACGCTCACTGTCCGTGGGAGATACTCGTGCAAGCTGTCCCCCGCAGCGCAAGCAATACCTTTACACCCCCATTCCTCTCTCCTGTTAGTCTTGGTCCTATATGTCTCCCATTTGCGGATTTGGGTCGCAGAGGACCGTGTTAAAGAGACTGCAGGTGCATAAGTTCAACCATCTTACTCTTTTTCTACCCTCTCCAAACGTCTTGTCTCTTTTCATTCTCTTCTCCTCGTTTTCGTGAAAGAAACGGTATTACCATCTTGTCTGTTTCTCGACGTTTCGCAGCCGCAGTGACGAGTCTCAGCACTTTCCGAGGCCAATACCTACCTCTTTTTCTTTGCTTTTCTCTTTTCTCTCTTTATCTCCTCTCACCGCCGATCTCGTATCCTTGCTTGTCTTTTATACTTTGTCCAGTTTAGATGGGAAGGGAAGAGTTTCAAACTATTCAAGATATCTAGAGCCAGAACGAGCCGCAACTGCTAGTACGCAAAAGGGGTCACCTATCTCTATAAAGGTTGTTAGGGAGAAGTGATTCCCGGCGTACCGAGGAAGCTGTTCGCGTTGGAATTTAGGTGTCTTGTCAGCTTGATATTTTCTCTGTTTCGCGTCAAAGACTCGAGGCAAAGTAACAAAAAGCGGGATGAGCTAAGCGGTGGGCAGAAGGGGAAGAAAGGAAAGAAGGAAGGAAAATTGACGTAAGGTGCCTGTGACGAAGTGTTTTTTTTATTAAAGTAGTTTTCAATCGGAGTGGCTCCGTCGAGAACACGCAAGACACGATACCGTTTCCTTTTGCGATGTAAGAGGATGGGGATGTGAGAAGGGAGCAAGTTTGGAGTTTCAAAGGGGGGGAAAGAAACCATGTAAGTATGGTATTATATACGGACTGGGGGGAAGGTGAAGCGCAAGGGCGGTAGAAGCTGTTGTGATACCTTCATGCTCGCCATGGAGTGGACTTTTGAAGACCCGGTGATGATGAAACGTGTGTCAAAAGCCAAAATTGTATGGCAGCCCGAGTCGTATTTCGTGCGGCATTCTTCGTGGTTGTCTATGAGAACCGTAAGAGAGCTAATCTGAGGGTCTAAGTCTCGTGTTCCTTTTATTTACTTAGTCTTCTTAGATTACATGTGCGCAAAATACATTTAGTTCCTTAATTTCTATATGCAATAGAGTTACAGAGCTTTTCATCCGTGCGTTTCCATGATATGCCCAGCTATGATAATCTTGCGAGCAGCAAAAGAATCCCAGGCCAGGTCGTACTCAGCACCAATGAACGGTATGCCTTTATATCCTTTTTTATTTTTATTTTTATTTTTATTTTTTATTTTTTATTTTTTATTTTTTTTTATTTGCCCTTTGCGCTCTATCCGTCGGCGCCGGCTCCAGCTGCTAAAGAGGTATTCTCGGTTTCTGCCAACCTTACTTCTAATCCACGTGGTCAATATTCGTGCTTCTGAATTACGGCGTGCCAGTAAGTGTGAGTGGTGCACGTTGTGCATTCTTTAGCAAGTTAGAATCAGCCTTCTACAGAGTAATTGTCAATCATTACTTGGTCCGTCAATATCTGCAGGCCCTCGAGGGCCGAGGCAATACAGAGTAGGCAATATTCCCTCCACCAAAGCTATTTCCAACTAATGAGCTTCAGCTTTTCAAGCACAACATGCTCGGCAGAACTCTGGCTCCTCAGGCGACAGGCAGGCAGTTTTTAGTCATGGTTAATGTGCTGGAGGTAATAAATACTCTCCAATTTTGCAAAGAAGGGTTTATTCGAAAGCTATTGAGATTGTCAAATCGACAATCCTGCTTCTCATTATAAAGCACGGCTTTTATACTTTCAGCTTGCGCCGGAAGCACATTGCGTGCAGCGTGCTTCATTGTCGCCAATATAAATAATATCTTTGGCCCGAATGTGGGCCGTGGTACTTTTGCAAAACGACGTAAGATAAAACATACAATCTTGGACTTTCCTACCTCATTTCTTTATGAAATAATCTGACGCCTCTTGGCCTGACGAGCATGTGAACCGTTCTCGATCAGCTTTCTGTATTTATGTTGAAGGAAGAGCTTGCATGCATGATAGTAGAAGCAATGAATAAGGGAGAGACACGAATTAATATTAAGGTTTTTCTGGGACGTTCAATGTTTTGGTATCGGTTCTTGACAGCTTACTATAGTGGACTTAGAATCCCTTTTCACTGTAAATGAGAATTAGGATCCCGCAGTCGAGGAAAGAAGGCAGCAGCTGGAATAACGAGCTTAAAATTCATTCGGACTCGCCATCCTGTGTATCAGATCTCGATTATATACTCAGATTTCTCGAACTCGGTGCAAGTTCAAAGGTTGGATACTATTTTAAGGGTTTTAACATGTTCCTTCGTGAAGTATCAGTATTGAGCTAGAACTTTGAAAAGGGTTTAGTGGAGTTCAACTCACGATCATTCTATCTATTGCATGGCTTTTATATACTGTATACCGTTATATGTATTGAAGATTTTTTGCCAAGCATATTGGTGTTGCTGTGAGTCCCAAAGACTCTGGTTAGAATCCGATCTGTATCTCTGGTATTAAGATAGTGTAAAGTAGTCCAATGAATTTCAGGGTCAATTGTCCGTCATATTGAGATCATTTAATATCTCCTGTGCACGTTGTCTCAATTTGAAAACAAATCCTGATGACTCTTTGACTTCTTTCTGCCGATTCTCTAGATAAATTACTCTCGTGCTGTTTGCTTGATTTTTTGTTAGGGCTTTAGCTCGAATAACTTGAACAAAGGCAGAAACAAAGATAGGAAAGGAGTAAGACGAAGAAATCTCCAATTTTTACGTCATATAGACGCTTCTTTTCGGAAAAACCGTATCGGGGCCGCTTTATACACAATATGCGGTAGAGAGTGCGCAGCAACTCGTGTGAACCTTTCTATATTCTACTCTGTTTCGCGCATTCGAAACGCTTCTCGGTACTTTTCTCGGTTGCCCTCAAATTTTGGGCAGCGCCATAGATAAAAGATTGACCACCGCAGAGATTCTGCTAGGGGTATTAATAGAGCAGTGACAAGAATTATCTGCCAGACGGCGTCTTGCGTCTGCAGAATTTGCCATGGGGCGATTGTTCAAAATCTCCCACGATTTTTCGTAGACGACGGAGGCGGCCATGCCACCAATCAGTGTGAACGGGGCGCGTCTCGAATCCTGGAGCAAGTTCAGGTTAGCCTTGAAATAAACACGTTGCTCCTTTGGCGTCAGGCGTCTTACACTGCTCCATTTCGGCTCCCTTAAATCCGGGCACGAAGCCGGGCACCATTTCCCCTAACTCTCCCCAAAATTATGGGTACGTGAAACGTTTGGGATTGTAATTAGGATTGTGGCTAGGTTTAGGTCTAGGAACAGGACTGTGACTAGCGTTGTGGTTGTAATTGTAATTAATCATGTAGTTAAAGCGACGAGGCAAGGTCTCCGCTTGAAATTTAAATTTGGGCGTATCGAATGTATAGAAGCCAAAAGTCGACGGAAGGATGGGTTGTCTTCTTCTTCTGCTGTTCTTCCTTCTTTGCTTCTTGTTTTACTGCGCTTTCAGGGAAGTCGAGCAAGCTGGATTAGAATATTATGATATTTCAACTCTCTGCACATTGTAGTTCTTTTGGACCACCCGCTCGTTTTGGATTATAACAGTCTTCTATTTGCTAAAGAAGTGATTCAGCGCTTCTGTAGGACTCACGAGATAATACCATTGAATCCTCATATATGATTCCCGCTCCTTGTGCAAACACCCGGATTAGTAGGTATTGTGTCTGGAATGGTTGCTGGCAATTGATTGTCTTCCACTAGGAGCCGGTCTGTGAGATCTTTGCTGACAGGACCTCCCTCATCATAGCAATACCTATCAGTTAGTCTGCCCGATCTGACAGGCTCTAACCGTGGATGGAATTCCAGTCCGTGTTGCCTCTCCATTCAAAGGCAGTCGTTGTTGGATCATGAGATCTTACTTGTCTCGCAGGTTTTCTGTCCGAAAAGGATCATAATAATTCTGGTATCCTTGCCTTGGATACATGGTGCATCCTTGACTGTATCCTGTTGATGAAATCATTCAAAACACAAAATTGCATCTTGCTGTTGCGGTGCATATGCTCAGGCCAGCCCAGGGCTTTTTTGGTGGTCTTGGTTGTATAAGAATGATGCACAATATATAACTGAAGCATCCATGTTGACGACAGAGCCAGACGCCAGGACTGAGACTCATACTGGTCCTCATTGGCAATGTGTGCTGCTATAACGACAAGTGCCATGCAATCTTTTCAGACTTGGCTTTGAGGGACTAGCCATCGAGAAGTGAATCATATTTGAAGCCGGCAGAAGCATAAGTTCTTCTCTCGTACACTGGTTGTGGTTAAGTGTCCCACTATCCTTGGCATAAATTTTGCAAGGGATGATGATGAGTTTGCTTCTATCTGCAAGCTGCAGCAGAAATGCATGTACCTCAATGATAGAGGAATCTCCTTCAATTAATTCTTTTGATCAAGTATCATCCATTCCATTGTGACAAATATTAAACCTCGTTTTTGTCACTGGAATGTCAATAAATCGCTTCTAAATGATTCTTTTTTTCCTCGCAGCTTTCCGTTCATACCAATATAGACGGTGTGAAATTTCTAACGTAGTCTGCAAGATGATACGCTATAGTACATCCTCGCTGGGGAGTAATGGTCTCAAAATTGATCTCAGTCTTCAGAAGTTACCACGAACAGCATATTTGCCAGAGGTATCGAATGAATCTAGCCTCATGAAGGAAAAGTCGACATGTCTTGAGTAAAAGCTGAGCTTGGTTCGCAGGTCGTTGTATGGTGATTCGATCGCCGTATTTGAAGCTTAAGACGGCTAATATTGCACTTGCGATAATGGTGATGAAAATTCATTACATCCAAGACCTACATAAGAAACAATCTCAATCACGTACTGCGAAATCGTTTGGTAGGGTGCTGCAAAGTCTGTCTTGTCAAAGTCTGTAGGATGAATTCCTCGCATAAACTAATCATTCTTTGTAGTGCGTCCCATTCCCATTCATGCCGTGTAGTTTTGTATGCCGCGACGACCTCTTCATATATTAGTGGCAATTATTTGCCACCGTTGCAGCTTTTCATGTGCTTTTGTAGCCGCAGCCAACTCTTGTTCCTTGATTTGGAGCGAATCGAAAAAGACGACTTGTGATTCTGTGACATTTTTTTCTTCTTCGTTTCTTCGTTGATTGTTTGATATCCTAGCACATCTTTTTTGTTTCCTGCCCGGTAGGAAAAGCGTTTCAACAGCTGCATGGTCACTGTGTTTTCGAGGCGTCTCTACTATACCTTCTCCGGTATGGGGGTATTTTCGTGGTGTGACAGTTTTCTATACATTTTCGTTTCTAGATTGCTGCGCGGCCTTTCTCTCCTCTGAGAACGGGTCATCGTCTCTGCCGCTGCGTCATCCAGTCTGCTGTTAGGGTCATTTTTCTTCGATCCTGTTCATTGGGACGAGCTTTGCTTGGGCAGATCTTCAGGCCGATATTCTGGAGTTCGCTGTAAACTCTCATTCGGATTGTCTGGCCCTGAGCTGTACGCTCTGCAGCGTGAAAAGTTTGCCAGTCCAATGCAATATCTCCTGCGCCGTGTCTACTTTATCATCAGTGAGCTTGTCTCTTCCAGGGATGGGTGTAGTCATGGCCAGTACAACGCTTTGGTGTGAATCTTCCCGATGAGACGGTTTCTAAGGTGATGACTGTGGTGCTGGCGGGGACATGGACAAATTCTGAGCCAATTCGGCCGTTCTATCAGCCTCTTCGAGAAGCCTCCCTACACTGTCACCTCCTGAGCTCTGTGAGGCGCTTCCGATTCGGAAGATTGGGAAGCTGAGCTCAACCCTCCCTCGTCGAGTCGATGACCTGGCTCACCTTCGGGCACGGAGCTTTCTGCTTCTCCATTCTCGCCGAGCATAACAGCAGCAAGCAGGTGGACGTATACATCTGCTTGATAAGAATTCTCAAACGCACACTTGTACTCCCCAACTATGTAGGCCTCAGGCATCTTCCTGGGTTCGGGTGCAGCTTGAGCTTCATCAGTTCCGGCCTCATCACCCCAATCCTCATTCTCAAATTGACGTTGGAGTTCAGCACTAGCCTCTCCCCTCGCGAGAATTCGGGGTTGGTAGGTGGTTGTTGTTGTTGGTTGATGGTCAAGTACCTGCCTGATCACCTCCATACCAAGGTTCTCGGAAACCATATTGCCTTGCTGTCGCTCTCATGCATACATTGTACGGCCAGGGCCATATCTAGCGGCAACGGCCCTTTTCTGCATGTACTCTGAAAATGCACCGGACTGGGCTGGTGAATCCGTTATGCCAAGCCCTCGCGGCATGGCAGCAAGAAAGATTGGTTTGGTCAGCACCTCTGTCATTACTTGTATAAGGTATGTACTCTATTGTCTTTGAGAAGGCTTTCCAAGGACGTAAAATGAGCAGGAGGCCTAAAAATAGCATATTCAACGAAAGCTAAAGCAGTAAATCATAAAAGGAGTTCAAGCACCGCTCCATTTTTGCGGTAAGTGATGAGATCTGAGAAGCAGAAAATGTTCACGATTGAGGGAGAAGAGAAGAGTTAAATAGAAGATGTGGAAAGGAATTCACCGGAGATTACCTGCACGTAATGAATACTGTATTGCCAAAGAGAAAATGAGTAATCACGGTGCAGAGAATTTTTTTCAATATCATGAATTTTGCATTCAACTTTTTTGGGTGAATCTCTGTCTGCGACATGGCGTTGCAAAGGGTGTTTAGCCACATGCGAGGGGTTGGCACGTTCTGCCAAGCCCAGGAACGAGCGTCGTCATCGTGAGACACGTTCCCATGGCCCAAGGGCAGGTAACCAAATGCAACGGCCATGCACATTCCAAAAGCTTGGCATAAGATGTCAAGCGGTAGAAAAAGGAAATTTAGTTCTTCTTTTTGCAGAATCACTTGGTTGCGTTGGTATGCAAAGGACTGAAAATAACATGTCGATATAAGGTACTACCGTACTCATACGCCCTTGATAGAGATTGTCAGCGCAAACGCATTCTTGTACTGTCCAAAGCAGACATACCTCTGTATTATAGTCTCCATATGCTCAATTACATCTGTTAGAGATCAATGTAGCTGTACTGAACGTGTTTGATGAAGCTAACGAGGTTATAACGTTGTTATGATGTGCCTGTTTCCGGACTGGTGACGCTATAGAGACGAACTAACTCGACTCGTAAACATCAACTTCTCCACAATGAACCAGCCAGCTCCGGTCTCTTCTCTCGTCCTCTTCCTTCCCATAGCCCTTCGTCAATCACAAAACAATTTTGCTTCTGACCTACTGCTGCTGCTATCCGTCAGAATTGTTACCTCTATCCGTGACGAACGATCGATTCCCCGCCGGTCGCAGTATGAGATTGGAAGAGTAAAGACGTAATTGTTATTTTTGGCCCTGCCGCTGCTGACGACGCCCGCGCTACGACCTTATTCCAACGGTACGATTCTTGTATATTATTGACAAAATTTTCTTTTCTTCATTCGATCTTGATACTTCTCATTCCATCAACCTCGTCATTTCTCCGTCACACCCACACCAAAATCCGCCCTGGTTATGGCACATTACGAACACCAACGGTCTCCGCAACCCCGAGATTCGCCCTTTCCGACACCTCTAATAAACCAAGTCCGCAACGAGTGGCAGACGAATCCCAAATACGGACAGATAAACGCGCTCTCAGTGGACGAAGAACCGCGGTGGATAGAGATGATAAAAGCGCCGAGATTACGGCGGCATGTATTCATGCTTGTCGCTGTGCTAATCGCCTGCTGGTTGACCTGGCGATTCTGGCTGGTACCGCGACTCGCCGAACAAGACGAGCTGCTCAAGGAATTCAACACGAATCATGAAGAGGACGAGCAATATGGCGCCAATGCATTGCCGCAGTTTACAGACGTGATACACATGCAAGAACTCGACAGCCGACTGCTACCACGCGCCGGATCGAGCGGAGACAGTCGCCGCCTCGTCATTGTAGGAGATGTACATGGTTGTAAGGAAGAACGTACGTCTACATCTTTGCTATCTGAACAAAACAAAAGAAAACGCTTCAGCATTACTAACATACTCGCCCGAAACCAGTCGTTGAGCTTCTCAACAAAGTCTCGTTCAAGCAAGCCACCGACCACCTCATTCTCACCGGTGACATTGTCGCCAAAGGCCCAGACACACCCGGTGTTGTCCAGCTCGCTCGAGACTTTAAAGCGTCTTGCGTTCGAGGCAATCACGAAGACCGCCTGCTACTCACATATAACGCCATGAGGAGCGGTCGCATAGCGCTCAAAGGCCCGGAAGAAGATCCCAACACGGAAGTCGACGACATGGATGAAGAAAGCTTCAACAAGGGCGACTACAAGTATCGAGCGCTCGTGAAGCAGCTGAGCAAGGAGCAGATCACGTATTTGAAGAGCTGCCCTGTGATTCTCCGCATCGGTCAACTCAGTGGCATGGGCGAAGTAGTCGTTGTGCACGCTGGCTTACTCGCCGGCGTGCCTCTTCTCCGACAAGACCCGTTCAACGTGATGCACATGAGGACGGTCGACTTGGAGACACACGTTCCTAGCGCCGGCCGCGAAGGCACCCCTTGGGAAAAGGTATGTATTTTATCATCTAGATTTGATATCCCTTCCTCTTTCTATTTGCGTCGCTAACAAAAAAAAACTCTAATTCAGCTCTGGAACAAGCACCAAGCAAAAGCCTCGAAGAAGTCCCGAACTACCGTCGTCTACGGGCACGACGCCAAACGCGGGCTCAATATCCAGCAGTACAGCAAAGGCCTCGACAGCGCGTGCGTCACCGGCGGACAACTCACCGCGCTTGTCATCGAGCCCGGCTCATGGGGCAGCGTTACCCAAACCCTCGTGCACGTCGACTGCCACAATCGGAAGAACAAGAAGACCAAGTCGAAGAATGTAAAGATTGAGGACATTCTTCCGACTGGAGATTGACTTTTTTTTCCACTTCTCTTTTTCCTCCCTTTCTCACCCATTAATCTTTTTTTTCCTTTTTCCTTTTCTTTTCTTTCTCAGCTTCCATTTTCAGTATGGCGACTGATTCATGTAAATTTATATTCCATCCCTTCTTCTTCTCTTTTGTCTAAAGGCGTATGCTGTTCTTCCCCCGTTGGCGCCGCGTGGCGTTTCTGTGGCGTTTTGCTGTAACTATCTCTTTTTCTTTTCTTAAACCAGTCTTCCATTTTTGCTTTTCTTACCTAGGTAAGTACCTATCCTACGGGGCAGAGCAGTAGTCACAGGTTGCAGGGCGACAAGGTCACCACCGAGCAGGGCAAGCACTGTAACTGTACACATAATCTAAATCAAAAATAAAAAGAAATTAAATCAACAAACTTAGTTCCAGTTCCATTTTTTTTTTGTATACTATCCATGTAAGTTAGTCTTGATCACACTCACCGTTTCAGTAAATAGAGTCATCTAGTTCAATAATGCAACACATAATTCATATATTTCTCCACGTTGTCTTGACTCTTAAGAGCAACGGAGAAAAAACGTTGGAGAAGAATACTTTCTGAGATTGCACAACATATATTGCCCGACGGCCCCCCGGGATCTCCTGAGTATATTTCACAGCAAAACCCTCACAAAATTAAAAATTTAAAAAGGGGATAGTTTCTCATGATATTATAACTATCGCAACTAAACAGCTTTTCATGTTTCCTATCGCCGCTTGCCAAAGATAAACAAGTGTGCTTTGTTAAAACCAAACACACACAAAAATTAAAAAAAAAAACGTGGGAAGGGTATAAAGGGGTATGATATGATAAAGGATATGGATACGTGTATTATATACCAAGAATCCGAGCATTAGGATATATCCCCCTCTGGTGACCAATAGAAACAAAAAATACAAGGGGAAAAAAGATGACAGGTATTAGATCGCATCCCAAGCATTAAGGCGAAAAGAAGCATAAGAAAAAATAAAACAAATTTCAGCGTTCGTCGTGGAATGAGGAAAAAGGTTTTCGTAAACGTCCGCTTGGTTTTCAGATTTCTTCATGCTCCGCCGTGCATGAGCTCGTAATCGTTGTTTCGTAAAGCAATTTCAAATAACGTTCTGGTGTGGTATTCTTTTTTTTTTGTTTTCTTGTCGGATTACTGCGACTTCGGAAAAAAAAAGCGAATGCTCGGTACTGGTGAGACGAAAGAGGGCGATTACTGCGCCTTCTTCTCCTCCTTGGCCACCTCCTTGGTCTCCTTGGCCTTCGGCTGCTCGTACTTCTTGTGCCAGAAGGCAGCCTTGAGCTCTCGGAGATGCCACTCCATGACGTTTCTGAAGATGGCCTTGCCGCCAATCTCAATGACGTCGCCGTGGCAGGGGATAATGCGGTCAAAGTTCCACTTGTCGATGCGCGCCATGCTCTTGCCGAAGCCGATACGGTCTTGACGGGTGACAAGGTACCACAAGAGGCGGCGCTGGACGCGAGCCTTGCCCTTTGTGCGCATGGCCTTGGCGAAGAACTTGGTCAGGAAGCCGGAGGTGGCCTTCTTGCCGGTCCGCGAGTACTGCTCGGTGGCGGGCAGGTTGAAGAGCAGGTCGGCCTCGATGAGGGTGCGGTCGGGCTTGTAGAGGAAGGCCAATTCCCGGTTGGCATGGGAAGGGACATACTCGTACTCAAAGTCCGAGTCGAAATCAGGGTCGATTCGAATATCCTCGTTGTTGTCGTGCGCGGCTCTGGTGAAGACGGTCGAGAAAGGAACCTCTTCATATTTCTGCTGCTTGCGCTTCTCCGGCAGTCCCTCGGGGCCGATGACCTTGGCCTCGGGGAAGGCCTTGTGCCAATCGCCGAGGAAAATGTGGTGCTCAAAGTCAAGAGCGGTAATGTAGCGAACGTTACCGCCGAGTTCTTCAACCGTAGTGCGCACTTCGGGAGTCAGGGCGACAGGAGAGAAGACGGCGAGAGCGCCAGATTGAAGACGGACTGTTGCAAAGTTAGTCGCGGAGTGATGGGGATTGGATATTGAGTAGCAGTATTGAGAAACATTGGAAGAGTGAAAAATGCAAGACGAAAAACGAGACCGGAAAAAAATGACGGGTGTGAAAAGAAAAAATAATCATGGGAAAACAGATTCACGTACCGATAGTTCCTCTGCCGCCGACCTTGATTCTGCCATATCGCTCAAACGGCACGGATAGTGTCGTGATGTTAGGGGTCACCTTGCGGATCACCATGACCTCGGAAGGGTTCTTAGGAATGAGTTTCGAAGTCATTTTTTGGACCGAGTCGTCTGGATATCAATTGTTTGTAATGTATGGTATAAATGTGCCTTGTCGGTTCAATCAAAATTGAACCAATGCTTGCTCTCTTTGAGAGAAAAGGAAATGAGAAAAAAAAAAGCAGAAAAGGGCAGAAATTAACAGTGTGGATTTGGCTGATAATTATACGCTGTCGCAAGCCGGCCTGTCGGTGTTGGGCCTAAACAGAAATTTTCTCTCATGAGCTTGACGCATAGGCGGAGTCCTATCTCATGTATGATGCAATGGTGAGGATTCTGATCGACGGTTCGAGACTGGCAGGGCAAGGTTCAGCGGGACCAACGACGCACCAAAACGTTAACGAAGACCCACTGCAAGGGTTGTGCGAGCTGATCCGAAAGGCTATCCGTAAGTTTTCGTTATGCCGGCATGGGATTTCAGTCTTGGCCCTTGCCCTTAGCTCGTGCTTTCCTGCCCGACTGTATCCCTTCTTCCGACCCGCCTATGACCAATTTTCCGGTCGTTCAAGGCACGGGAATCCTTGAAGATTTGGCACAATGATCTCAGCAATAATAATCTTCCTGTCGGAGAATCTTCCTAAACCGCGCCAGGAATAATCTCGAGCCCAATCAATTGACTCCCTCGTCACAGTGGATCCACCCCTTCCGAGTCTAGGGAATGCTTCGAACCGCAGTTGCGCCGTTGGCCTTTTGACAGTTGCGCTGCCGTTCAAACCTCTAACGTAGTTCGGTAGGGAGTTTCGATCCGGTCTTTTCGGTCCTATATCCAAGCGCAGTCTTAGAAATTAAGGTCAACGTCGTGACCGAACCTGTTCCTCGCAGGTAGGCGAGGATCGACGCCACAGGGCGACGTAAGCTTGGCTGATAAAATCTTTCCACGTACCTAATTGTTTGATCGGCAAAGAGCTATGATCGTAATGATTCAATAGAAGCGGAATGAACTTGATAAGATCCTGACCGCATTCGACTCAGACTGGCTTGATGATGTGATTCCTCAACGGGGCAGGTATTATAACAATTATGCACGAGCATACTCGTATCATTGACAAAGTTGACAAAGAGAAGCCGTATGAGACAAATTATATAGACTTGCTGTTAACTCTTTCCTTTTCACATTGATCTGCATATTTGTCACCAAAAAGCACTAAAATTTGAAGATTTGAGTGTTTCTGTCGCGACACTGCGACCGTGGATTATCATCGATTCCAAATCCTACATATCCGTCCCCCAGGCCCCATGTGCTTTGGATATCAAGCGCACCAATTTGATTGCTGACGGAGGAATAAGCATGTCAATGTAGGATATCGAAGCCATCATCGCCACCGCACTGATTTGGTGTGTTCCATAAAAAGTACCCAGAGTGGCTTCGTAGTAGTGTGGTGGAACTGGATTGCACTATGCCATGCTTTATCGGATTACTAATCTCTGTGGCGCATGCTCCTGCCCCATAAGCTTTGATGTCTGTGCCCGCGATAGACTGGCAAATTTCTAATTCAAAGAAGATACGAGAATAAATACAAGTGGTGAAGAAGAATTATCACTTATTCAATCCGGAGATGACACTTACTCTGTTCTACACCTGACATGGATTGCATTTAACAAGATCTGACAATGAGACATATAAGCCATGACTACAGCATCAATGACAAATATCTCACCATGCCTGCATCAAAATTATCAGTCATTTAGCGTTACAGCTGCTGCCTGGAACGACAGTAAGAATTGGACATGGAAACATATCCCTAATGACAGCTGGCTAAAGTCATACCACGAGGCAACTGACTGAAACCATCATTTCATTTCTCTACCTATAAACCTTCCTTCAATTCGCAAATCTATCAGTTGCTTTCAGAAGGCAAAACGCTCTCTGAAGACATTTGAAACAAAGGGAAAAGAAAAAACTAGATGCGCTAGCTAAAACATCGCGAGAGGCGTGTCTTGATTCCTTCCAAAATGAATGGTTAATCGGGGGTTGCATTAGCAACACGCCATCTCCATAACCCCAAGTGATTAATCTTTGCCAGAGGCCCGCGACGCTCGCAGCAATGTTATCCACTGTCACATTCATAGAGAGAATGCCGTTACGCAGCTCTAATAGACTGCCCATGCGAAAACAAGGGACCAAGGGAGAAAAAGAGCACGGGTACTCAAGTGATGAGAAAAGGTTGAAAAATGTAGAAGCCGACGACCAAGCTATTGATGAAGAATATCGAGAAATAGCAAAAAAAAAAAAAAAATAATTCGCATCAACAACTAGAATAAATGCACGCGGAATGGGAATATTAACGGGCAGTGTTTCAAAGTAGAGTGAGAGATGTAACAATAAAAGTAAGGCGATCCACGGAATATGTATGAGGCAGGTCGAGCCATTGTAGTTGGGGAATTATGATGGAAGAACTGAATAATACGCCTTCTAAGTTTGGCGAATGGAATAAGATGACGTCCTAAAGCGGCAACACATAACGACGCTTTTGACTTCATTTACTGAGACCGGCTCCAGAAGTCAAGGCTGGCTACTACATCTTCGCCCGATTCATCCTCGTAAGCGTACAGGATCTAGATGCAGAGTTAGAATTCATTTCAGGTTTGATGTTTATTGGGGGGCTGTCAGAAACTCACCTCTCTCGTTGAGGAATGCAGCATGCGAATGTTCTTCGCCGTAAGGATATGAACCAGGGCGCTCGTCTCAACGTGACGAATCTCAATAAAACTAGGCTCAAAAGCAAGAATATAGGGCGCAGAAAGAGCAAAGGCCTGAGGGTTGCCTTCCCAGGTAATCTTCCAATCGGGTCGGGCCCGCCAACCGTTGCGGTTGACAAAGAAGGAAAAGTCTGAATAATTGAGGAGAAATTCGCTGCTGAGACGCTCGATATGAATGGGCTTAATGTTTTCTTTGCGTGCGACAAAGTCCAACGACGTATCGGCTTGGTCAAGAAGAGATTGAGTCTCGAGCGTCTCAAGACTGACAACTTCAAAGCCACGGGCGCAACCAACACACAATTTGGACTTGAGAAAATGGATCGAGGAGGATTCGGTCGGAATGTAAAACTCCTGTTGACATGTGGGTTAGACGTTAATCCTGTCATTGAGCAATAAAATAACCATACCTTGAAGGGCTTGAGTGCGTCGGTTGTAGGAGTAAACATTTTACTGAGAGCCGGCTTCTTTTTGCTCTTCAGCATCGACTCCATTGGCTCAAACACTTTGATCGTTGTTGACAGTGCAGATGTCTTGACGCAGCAGACAAGATGACGCCCAAGGCAGACGCCAGCCTTGAAGAAGTTGACATGGCCAATCTTCTTGGGCTTCTTGGTCTGAGATGAGAGGCCCTCGTTCGGATCAAGAGCTTCCAAGGGATAGGAGAAGAGAGTCTTGTTAGAGAGCACAAGCAGCAATTGATATTCCTCTAGGACATCAATTTGGGTCACGTTGCTAACATCGAGAACGCGCTTGGGCCGCGCTCCCACTTCTTTGGGTTTTCGATCTGACAGATAAATGCCATTATCCGTTCCAAAGACCAGCTTCCGACCACCATCTGGAGAGAGCAAACAAGGATTAGATACAGCAAAGAACAAGAGAAACGAGAGTGTATGTGTCTGGAAGCGTGAGGGGGGTAATCCTTACCAATGGGAACAAGGCAGTTAACACGGTTGGCAGCACTAAAGAACCTCTCGCAAAGGTTGGTCTGGGTATAAATGTTGCTTCGCTCCCGCAATCGCCTCTGTTGGGCGTCGATATGCTCCAACCATTTCTTTCGGTGCATATGAGTGTTAGTATACAAGGTGAGGTCGTAGCCGCCTTTACCAAGATGCCTAAAGGTGATCGGATAGCTTTGCTTGCTTGAGAGGTCAGTCTTTGGCACGTTTGACATGCTCTTTGAAGAACCAGGTATCAAACTTGATGATGGCCGCTTTGCAATTCCCATTTTTGGATACAACTCGTCCATCTGCAACACGACTAGAAGCTCAAGCGGGATTGGCTTGCGGTAAACCTTGAGTTCTTCCCGCTTATTGACAACTTTGGTCCGAACAAATAAGACTGCGTGATCAAAGAGGTAGGCGTGAATATCGGCGCTGTCCGAAGGCCCCTTCTTCAGTGAGCCCTTGTAGAGCAGCTGTCGACTCTCCTCAGTCAATTTGAGATCGACATACTCTCCCTGTCTGAACTTGAGCTGTTGGTTGAGCTGCATAAGATTGAAGTGGTTCTCGGCCTTTCCAGACTCGACGTTGACACGGGATAAGAAATCCCTGATGAGAGAAATTGCCTTTGGGATATCATTGGTGTCAGGATTGTCTTCTGCAGTGTATTTCTGGACGTTTTCTAATAGTAGTGGATATCTCGCCAATCGAGTCGTAGGCTTCGTTAGATAGCCATTGAGCTCAAGCTTCCTTGACTCCTTTAATCGCTCCGTTTCGTCAACAAATCGAGAAAAGGCAGGGTTAGAAGCTCTCTCCTTTTCGAATTCATACTTTCCATAGAGCTGATTTGCACCATATTTGATAAAAGGGTCAAACCGTGGGACAAATTCCAGGAAAATATCGCCGACATTGCGAACAATTGGGTTCTGCTGCTGTCTTCTTGTGAGAGACTCGGCCATCTTGGAATTGACAACATGGACCTCGAGACAGTTTCCAAAGACGGTACGAATAAATTTTTCGCGTCGATGCTCGGGAATTGGAGAGGGGCTGGCAGGATTGGTCGATCGCAAGGGCTTCATCCAAAAGTCTCGTAGGTATTCCAGGTCCTTGACGAAATCGCGCTCGGTGTACATGATTTCTGCAATGATTTCTTGGCGCTTCTTTTCCTTGTCGCTTACACTGTCTGCCACCTCCTTTGAAACGGTATTGATCCAGAGCTTCTGTTCATCATTTTCCTCAGCGTGCAGACTCGACCGCGACTCCTCTCTCTTCAACCCTGGCTGTGGTTTTAGGTTTAGTCGTGCCTGCTGCTCCAATCGCCGAGGACAGGCAATGGAGTAGCACAGCCGATCGCGCGTGCATGTAGGCGAGTAGCACTCTGTGAGAAGTGTAAAAACACCATTGACGTCCGAGGAGTCCTCCATCAGTGTCTCCCGGAACTGATAAAGCTCAAAGGGGGAATCCCGCAGCCGATGATCGTAGGTCACGTCGTGGAAGAATTTTTGCGCATCCAGGGCTCTTCCGAGGAGGAGAGCGAGATTACGGTCCGTTGTCTTGATGATGTATGCAATCAAATCCACAGCCTCCTGTCCGGTAAACGCGCTCTTGTACGTCAAATCGTTCTTGCTGCGCTCTCCCACGTTAATGCGCTCTCGAAAAGTATCGGCCACCTTTGACAGGAGCGCCGGATAGACCAATGGTGCACGTCGTTGGGCGGTGGTTACGACTGCATTCTGGCTACTGTTGCTCATAGTCTTAGCGACCGGCGGTCGATTCTGCATTGAGTCGTTTCTCTCTGACGGAGAGGCAACTGTTGTCGAAGCCATTGACATGCTACGCGCGGTGCTTTGCGTAGAGCTGTAGCTTGGGAATCGGGCCTTGGCTGCCGCACTCAATGATGGCGCTGGGACGACGGATCGCTCCGATGAGGTCTCGGTCGAGTCCAATTCTGGTACAGACTCCCTTCTCCGGCTCGGTATGACTCTCCCGCTCATGGTCTGATGACGGTCTCGGTCTGAGGAGAACGAGGTCATTGACATGGCGCGTTCATCATGCCTCTCCGGAACGATTCTCCCTTGAGCAGTCGTCCGTGCTGTGCTTGATTGAAAGGAAGGCTGACGGAATGCATTGGCTGGAGCCATTGAATACTCGCTTGGAGGGCTCTGAAGCGGTGGCGGAGCCATGGAAGCGGCCATGGACCGTGATCGAAAGGGGTCCGAATTAACCGCGGGGCCTGCAGGATACCCTCGATTTGGCACAGGTTTGTTGTATGATTGCGGAACGGGCTGTCGTGGGTCGACACGTTGTGGTTGTGGGTATGGGCGACGGTCTGGATGAAGAGGTTGTGGAAGATATTGAGGCTGTGGCTGCGATGAGACCTGCGCACCGGGCAGACGTGGTCCCTGATAGTAGGAACCAGTCGAAGCTTGACCGGTGCCGTTTGGCGGTGGTCGCGCTGGGATGCCACCTCGTTGCATCCCCACCTCTGATGTCTGCAGATTCACCATCGTCTGCGAGCGTGGCAGGGAGATTGGTGCAGGTTGCGATGTCATGGTCTGGGAACGCCCCGTGGGGGGCGTCGCGCCAAAAATGGATGAGAATGCAGCATCCCTCTGGTAGGAAGACGCATGCCCATAGTTGTTAGGTCGGTAATTCCGGCCTTGTTGCGTGCCGTAGTCCGCCATGAACGATCTTTTGAGCCCTTCTTGGCCGCTTTCCGTGATTTCACGCCCTCACCTCTTATGGAGACGTGTATCCGTGCGTGTGGACACTGCTCAATCACGAGCTGAACAGGGCTGCGTGCTTCTCGGGCCCCGTAGTGTCACTCCTCCAGGGATCGGCCACTGGGGATACCTCGTTACAAGCCAAGCCGTAAATTTATTCCCTTCCAAAAGAGATTTGACTTATGGCACTCGTTTGATGTCCAGCACCGCTCGAAGATCCTTCTCCACAGTAGCAGGGACACTGTTCGAGAGGGCCGTGGCTGAAGGTGCAGGTTGGGGAAGCGCTACTCCTGAAGCAGCGAGGGACCAATGATGGGGTTGCAAGAGGGCCGTCTGTCAGGGCGATGTCGTTATCTCCAATCGCACGAGATGCACCAATGGGGCTTGTTCAAGCGCCAGAGGGCTGCAAGGAGGGGAATCGAGGGGAATCGATGGAGCAGAACAGGCGATCCAAGCCCGTTTCTCATTCGGGTTTTAGGCACCGTGGATTTTTGAATTCTAGGTATAATTCCGAGTGTGAGGTCGGGGACGTGCTCGTAGTAATACCGGTCAAGGCTACCAAAGCGAGGATTCCCCAAGGTCCCCTTGAGATGGCGCGGGTGGCCTCACCCGAGACCGAGAGAAGGGGAAAGTAGCAGTAAGTAGTAGTGCGTGTGTGCTGCACGCACGCGGAACCGGCGATTTGGTGACTCCGGACCGATCAATTTTGAGTGCTGTCAAACGTCCTGCATGAGTCCTGACAAATATTTCATCATGTGCAATGTCAAAAGCAAATTGCAGAGACTGGGAAGAGTGGCTCTTACAAATTTAAAATTAAAGCCCTTTGATCTGTGGATGAAAGTGCACAAACGGGGTTCAATGATCTGGTAACTACCGACTGCCAGTCAGTTAAACTGAAGACTGGGAGATTCACCCAAAAAGGAACAAGAAGGTACAGGTACCTCGACACACACTATTCCACCACGTGATCTCACCTTCAACTCGCGTCGTTATCATCGACGTCTCTAAGGTAGGTAGCTAACAGACTGAAGCTACTCGCCATTTGCACCTCTGAATCGTTGCTCTATCTCCGTTGAGCCTTTCTCGAAGGAAATTTTTTTGATTGATCTTCTAGTCCATCATCCGCAACATGGCGGAGACTGAGCTGGCGCCCAAGTTCGCGCCGTTTTTCGGCATGGTATGTCTTGAGCTCATGGACCTGTTGACTCTGATGGATTATTTTACTAATAAAGCATCGCAGGGCGGTATCGCGTTCGCGGTAAGTAAAGACTTGGCGATCTCTTGACTATATTATACGCAAATACTGGATGCCATACTTATCATGGAGCGTTACCTGGTATAGATGATCTTTGGATGTATGTGGATATAAGCTTCATATCTGCCCTCAAATCGCAGTATACTAAACAAGTTTGATTCTTTTGCAGGCATCGGAGCTGCATACGGGACGTCAAAATCGGGTATCGGTATTGCTGGAGTGGGAACCTTTCGGCCGGACCTGATCATGAAGGTGAGCAAACATCGTACGAACCCTTAAGACGGCACAGCATCTAAATCTGAAACAATATAGTCTTTGATTCCCGTCGTCATGTCCGGTATTATCGCGGTTTACTCGCTTGTTATCGCTGTGCTTATTGCTGGTGACATGGGCCCACCTCCAGGCCAGAGCTACAGCTTGTTTACGTGCGTCTCCCCTGGACCAAGCGAAACCTCCGAGACCGAGCAGAAAAGATACTGATTAGTATACGCGAGTAGAGGGTTTTTGCATCTGGCTTGCGGTCTCTCTGTTGGTTTGACAGGACTGGCCGCAGGTTATGCCATTGGCGTTGTGGGCGACATGGTTTGTGGTTGTTCATACACAAGGATATATATATGGGTACTAACGCCAGCTTAGGGCGTCCGATCATACATGCAGCAGTCAAGAATTTTTGTGGGCATGGTCCTGATCCTAATTTTTGCTGAAGTCTTGGGTCTTTACGGGTAAGTTAGAACCAACTACGACTCTCGTAAATTGTCGCTTTTACTGAACCACATCCAGCCTGATTGTCGCCTTAATCCTCAACACCAAGGGCCGAGGATGAGGCGAGTTCGCCAGGCGTAGTTCTTGTGTTTGCCAACTTCCATTGTATATATCGAAAAGTCAGCAATATCTTGACGACGCTGAGGTATCTGCAACGAAGGCAGTGCACATAATGGCGTTGCTCGAGGGGAGCCTCATGAGCGGATGAAATGAAGTTTATGATTTGTCCCGCGCTAAATAAGGAGACCCGAATGGGCGGAAACTGGTGATGAGGTTTGTCATTGCCGAGTTACCGCCTGTTCTCGCATCGGAGCATATGGTAAGGTAGCATCAAATCCCGCATCTATGATACCTCAATATTGAATCAACAATTGAATTTACGTCGACCTCAAATTTTATGTGTTTTGTGTTCTGGGTCCATTGCCATGACGGCGGTGCGTTTATGAATGCTGCAAGAGGTACAATGGCAACCGCCAATTGGCCATTGTGCTTACGTAATAGATCTAGAGAAGCAGATTGTTTTAATCAGCGGGTAACCTATCGTGGAGGGTCGGAATGACGTCGAGGGCACGTATCGATGAGCCAAACCATCGTCAACGACCTGCCATCAGATGAAATGAACTATGAATCAAGTACAGATCTTGACAGGCTCGGTAGGCAAGCTGGTGAAATGAAGAGACGTCATGTATATTTTGCAACGTGCTTTCAAAAATGTGACAAGATCAATTCATTCGTATGACTTTGGCCTGTGCATAACCAGCCGTCGTTGTAAGTTGGTGGTTTTTATGCAAACGTGAGCAGTGCGCCCGTTATAGTTCATGCATTGACAGAAACAAACGTTCCACAGAAGCAGGTGAAAAGTTATAAATCATCTCAACGCGCTGACATGCAAAATTATGGAAAGCGAAATCTCTTTCCACCCCTGAAGTGATGAATCTGATATGGACCAATTCAGGCCTTCGACATCATCTAGGGCCAAGTCCACCCTCCGCTGCTATTCTACGTCATCCCCGGGATTAGCCCGTTGCCATGTCAAGCTACGGAGGACGATGCGCTGAAGTCTTTCCATACTGAGCCCACCCGCCACAACGACCTTACCCACATCCCAACCAACCTAACTGAACCGCGGGCCAACCAGACGACGTACTCCCGAGAAATTCGGGGCGCTCGAGTCCCCAAAGAGCAGCACTGAGCGCATACCCCACCATTTGGTGAGCGTTGCCATTATTACGTCCCGCGCTCGAAGGGGCCGGATCCGCATTTCTCTACGGGCTCGCCGTCTCCCTCACACGTGGATCGCTTGCACGTTCAAAACTTGTCATTGCTGCTCCTGCAAATACCGCAGCTGTTTTCAGCATATTTGGTTTTGTTACATGGAACATTCTGCAATCTGATAGATTTTTCGATATTCCCAATTTGTGTGACCTTGTATAGGTTATACCGTACCGACGTATCGGCCCGAAGTGAGTTTCGGGGACAACAAAACGAGCATAGTCACCCCAGAGGCTCAAATTTCTTTTTTTAATGGCAGCGGCTAAGGTCAAAAGTCTCGCGCACGAAGGGAAGAGTTTGCTTAAGGGAGCGACTCATCACAACGACGAAAACGACAGGACCAGTCAAATCGACCAGCAGCAATCAATGCCTCACAAGCAGGAAGAAGAGAGGGAGAAGGATTTCGTCGTCCGCTCCTCCGAGCACTCGAAACCTCTCGCGCCAGAAGAAGTCGCCGAAAATCCCGAGAAGAAGGAAGTTGGCAAGTCTTCCAAGGAATTGAAGTTGGACAATTTTGAATTGATCAAGACTCTCGGAACGGGTGAGTAATTTCTCGCATTGGGTCTTTATGTGAATATGCAAAAGTCCACAAAGATTTAGATTGCTGACACTATCGTTATTCCAGGAACATTTGCTCGAGTATGGCTTGCTCGTCTCAAGGACGGACCCCAAGACAAGGTCTATGCATTGAAGGTGCTACGGAAAGCTGAGGGTGAGATATCGTGGAATTGCGATTGGCACAACACAGCTATCTAATTTATTAATTCTTATAGTCATTCGGCTGAAGCAAGTTGAGCATGTGCGCAACGAGCGCAGTGTTTTGGCCGCTGTGGCCGGTCACCCTTTTATTACAACGCTGATTACGACATTTTCTGACCACGATTGTATATATATGCTGGTACGCACGAGAAACCGCCTCTGCTGTTAATGAGGTTTTCAACCGGAAAAAAAAATTACTGACGGTTGGTCGCTATAGCTTGAATACTGCCCTGGAGGTGAAGTATTCAGTTATTTACGAAAAGCTCGACGATTCGATGAAGCGACGGCCAAATTCTATGCCGCCGAAATTTGCTTGATTTTAGAATTCCTTCATAGCCTTGAAGGCATTGCATATCGCGATTTGAAGCCGGAAAATATATTAATAGATGCCGACGGCCACTTGAAGCTCGTGGATTTTGGCTTTGCCAAGAAATGTGCAAACAGTATGTTGGGATCGAGGAATAACAATCATGGAACATTCGGCTCATTTTTTTTTTCTCACAGTCGAGACGTACACGTTATGCGGGACGCCAGAATATCTTGCACCGGAAGTGATCCGAAATACTGGTACGCAGCCACACCCTTTCCCATCTCGCCAGCATGCGCCTTTCCGTTTCTCTCCTTACCTCACAGCTTAGCTCATCAAAAAATGGCTTGTCAATGCTCTTCTACTAACAAGTTGACGTGGATCAATAGGACACAGCACAGCGGTGGACTGGTGGGCTTTTGGTATCTTGATTTACGAATTCCTCGTTGGCCAGCCGCCATTCTGGGACCAGAACCCGATGAAGATATACGAACAGTATGTCCCCCCATCCCACGTCCCCTGATCCAATCTTTCCCCCCGACGATATACATCTGCATATCCGCGTTTATTTATTAGTACTAAAAATAATCTGTATTACAGAATCTGCGAAGGCAAAGTCCGCTTCCCCAGCGGCATGTCCGAAGACGCCAAAGACCTCATCAGCGGCCTCTGCAGCGTCGACACATCCAAGCGGCTCGGCAACATCCAAGGCGGCGCCGAACGGGTCAAGTCGCACCCTTTTTTCAAGGACATTGACTGGGACGCGCTGTATCAGCGCAAGACCAAGGGCCCGATCGTCCCCAAGCTCAAGAACCCGGCCGACGCGTCGAATTTTGACGAATACGATCCCGAGCCCGAGAATAAACTGCCCTACACGGACGAAATGTATGATAAGCTGGACAAGTTCTTTGAGGACTTTTAAAGAGGGGAAAATATATCAAAAATCAAAAAATTCGGCCAGTTTTCTTCTTACCCTGTTCATCCAAAAAAATCTATACAGCCCGGCAACTATCATCCATCATGATTTCATCGTCTATCGTCTCTTGGAAACATTGATGAAATCTCTTCCCGTTGGCCTTTTTTTTCCTCTCTCCCTATCTCTCTATCTCTCTTTTATCTCTTATCTCTATCTCTCCAGTTCATATCGGGAGGCCGGATCCTTTTTTTTTTCATTATTTTGTTTGGCTTTTGCATGTTCCCTTTTATTTTGGTTTTTTTTTTTTTTTTGCATGTTCCCATTATCTTGTCATTTTAAATATTTCTATTTCTCTTTTGTTTGTGTCTTTTCCTGTTTCTCTCTCTTGGGCGTTGATATAAACGTCTATTTACTACTACTAGTATTGTTGTTTTTGTTGACATTTTGACATTTTCCATACAAAGAGAAGAAATACATTTTTTGGAATCAAAGAGTGGGGCAGCCAGGCGCTGCAATTTAGCTCGGAATGAATCAGACATTATCATCATCATCTTCTTCTTCTTCGTCTTCGTCTTCGTCTTCTCCTTCTTCGTCTCTAGTCTCTCGTCTCTCTTCAAGTCACGTAACTCGTTACTCATGATTTGTTGCGTCGTAAGCATTCCACGTGAAACAATGTGAAACCATGAAACCATGAATGGGAGATTCAAAGTAATCTTCTCAATTCAAAACGCAATATGGACTAACTATGTTATGGGAAAGTCTTGGGATATGGACTAACTTATGGGATATGGACAAGAAGTTATGTAATAATCCACTAACTAAAATATCCCATCCCACACTTGAATATATGTGCGCATCGATGCGGTCATTTCGTGAGGCTATACGTGATTCGTGAATTCCTGACTTGCCTGGCCATGGGCCATGGCCATGGCCATTAGGCAGGGGAGGTATTTTTTCATCTCGAAAGAGTGTTAAAAAAAGGAAAGTAATAGTCAGAAGAGGTTGTGAAGAAGAAAAAGCAGTCGAAACGTCGAATCGAAAAAAGAAAAAACGAAAAAAGAAGAAAGAAAAGAAGAGAAAAAAAAAAAAGAAAAGGGAAGAAAAGGGAAGAAAAGAAAAGAAAGGAAAAGAAACAATTGGTTTTGCAATTGCCGTAAACGCCGCCATGTCCCAATATTTTTTTGCCGGGCTAGACGAGGAGAAAGGACAGGATAGATAGGATAGGAAGGATAGGATAGGATAGGATAGGATAGTGATATGTAGTTACGAATTGTACGAGAGAGAGAGAGGGAGGGAGGGAGGGAGCAGCTGTACGGTTAAGAAAGGGGGAAACGTAATAAATGGAAAAGGGGAGAAAAGCAATTAGAAAGGGGAAGAAGAAACGGGAAGAAGAAAGGGGGAAAAGAAGTGGGGAGAAAAAAGGAGATAGAGGGAAAAAAAATATTTTCGACCAAAAAAAATAAATGTACCGACTGACCCTGACCCAGACCCTTTGGACAGACAATAGACACTCCCAGCCCAAACTCCCACGGAAACGCCACGGTATGAAAAGGAAGGAAGAGAGGGCAGAACAGTGGAAAGGAAATAGGATGAAGAAAATAATGAAAATGGAAAGAAGAAGGAGGATAGAATAGAACGTGGAGTAAAGCATAATAGAGCATGAAAGTAAGTAGTTGAATAATAAAAGATTAAAAAGGAAGAAAGGAAGAAAGGAAGAAAGGGTGGAATGGTATGAAGGAAGGCATATCAGGTCATGAATAGCCGTCGCCCAAGTCAAACGAATACTGCAATTTTTCGGGCACCTTCTTCTTGGCGGGCGGGAGATGATTATGTTTCTTAATGACAGGGACCTTTTTCGAGCGAGCGACCTTGCAGCTGTGCTTCGCCGCAGCGTCGACTATGGGAACGGATCCAGTTCCGTTTCCGTTTCCAGCTGCAGTATTGCCAGGCACGGATGATGGGATACTAGTAGTACTTCCCTGCCGTGTGCCGTTTACCGTGGGAATAGTACCGTTGGCATCTACGACATCGTCCTCGCATGCTTCAGGTGAGCAGCATTCTATCGTCTTTACCCATCGATCAGACAGCGCGTCATGGATGGAGATGCGTTTCTCGGGATCGGGATGCATCATGCGGAGCAGTAATCGGCGGATCGCGGGTGAAGGGAGATTAAGAAAAACCGGTCCGCATTTTGGGTGGCCCCCGTTGGGGTCGTCGGTGATGATTCCCTCGGGGTGGGTTTTCAGCCATGCTTCCCACCCAGAGAGGAATTTCTGATAGTATGGTTCGGTAGTCTTGGCAGCTCGCCATGGCGAGCCAGAGTAGTTCATGGTGAGGAAGACAATGGCACAAGACCAGACATCGAGTGCACGGGGGTCGTAATCGCCTGTGATTCCACGGATTAGAAAATACGGAGTGTAAAGGGTTGGAAAAGACGAGAAGAGGGACTAAAAGATTTTGTAGCAGTTGCGAGGATTAAAGGCAGAAAGAGGAGCAAGAAGGCAATTGACATACCCTCCTTGGCCAACACCTCTGGGGCAATGTATGGCAGACTACCGCATACGCCTGGTGCACATCGTCGGCATTCCTTCATGTTCCTGCCACACTCCCCGCCTGCAGCACGCAAACCGGGGTGTTCTCCACAGAACACCTCTGACACGCCAAAGTCGGTGATTTTCAAGTACCCTTCGTCTGTCATGAGCAGGTTCTCGAGCTTAATGTCGCGATGTGCAATCCCATGTGAATGTAGATAATCGACGCCCCTCATCAATTGTTTGAACAGACACAGATGGTCTTCAAGCTTAAAGTATTTCTTCACAATGAGCGAAAAGATCTCGCCTTGGGAACAATACTCCATAACATGATTCCATCGTCCATTATGTGTGCATAGCCGCACAGTTTCGACAATATTTGGATGATGTAGACTCTTGGCAATGCTGTACTCTGACTTGACCTTTTTCTCATACTCGACCTCATCCTCAGTTTGCCCGCGCTTGCGAAATTCTTTGACCGCATAGACTTCATCGGAGTTGCTCCCTTTTCGGGCCATGAGCTTGACAGTTGCGGTTGCGCCTTTGCCCAGAGTCTTCCCCCGCTTGCCAGGCAATATACTTAGACTTGTAAATTCTTTGAAAAGCTCAATTGTGTCGACGTTGAAGTCGTCGGGCAAGCTGGCACTCATGCGGCGCGCCTTGAGACCTGCTCCAGTTTCGGCAGGCATCGAGAAGAAATTGCCCTCCGGCTCCCTGGGTATATGTGTCATACTCGACGACCGTTTTCGCGACAACGGACGGCTATTGGGTTGAAGATGTTTTCCATCATCAGGGAACCCAGCTTCGTCGCCGTTGCCAGTGCGCTGCATCAGGTCCGTAGCCGCACGGGACGTACCGCGTTGTGGCTCGGATGGTGGGCCAAGCTCGAAACGCCGCTGTTCATGCCTGGCCGGTGAGTCGGACCAGGAAGCTGGCGTGACAAACCCTGATGTTGGGGGTGTGTTGCGCGCTGACTTTGAGTAGAAGCTGCGCGGGAGTGATGGGCGGCCATTGGCATGAGGAATACGAGTGTTCTCTATAGCACTTTGTGGCTGTACAGAATGCTTCGGCGAGCTGGAGTCGCTACTGTTTTCAGTGTTGAGATTCAACAAGCTCGAACCCGCTCTTTTGAGCAGGGATTTGATTTTAGTAGCGTTGCGTTTAACAGCGGGGAGGCTGGCAGTAGACGCCATTCCGGCGGGTGGTGGGCTGCCAGACCGTGATGGTAATGTTTCCGTTCCGTTTTTGGAAGGCGCCAGATGTCCATTGTGTGGTGCAACCGCTTCCTGCATTGGAGCGCTGTGGCCATTGGTCGCAGCGGGTTTCATTGCTTGTTCTATGCGCGGCTGAGGATGTGCATCGCTTGTCGGAGTTATGGGCTCTGTTGCCTCACTCGCAGTCTCTTCAACATCCTCTGGAACAGGACCTGGAAAATCAACGGGATGCAGGATCGGGGACGGTGGTGTTGGAACATGGGCGTCCTCCGCAGACGGGTAGATAAAGTCGTGGGGTACAGAAGATGCTATCTGTGTCTGAGGCTGCGCTGCGGTATCGTCGTTTGACGAGTACGGCACTTTGATCGCCATGACTGATAATGTGTATGTCCTTCGAAGCGATTTCGCATTGACACTGTCAGTTATGATGAGTGGCGCGTAACTGGATTATATCATAAATCACACGGCAGCGAAGATCAAGGTCTGAGCTCCTCTTCACGATTTCTCTCGCCCCACCACGTTCTCTCTTTCTCTCGTGACCGGAGATCCAGCTCGGTCTTAACAAGAGAATGGTCGAGGCGAGTGTATGGGACAAATTTTGGGTAACGATAAATATGCAGTGGAGAAACACAACAATTAAAAAAAAACAAAGAGGGGATGTAGAATCTGGTCTCGCAAGCTTTGATTGACAATCAAAAAGTGAGCGCTTGCAGGAGATTCCCAAATTATTTCTGCTAGACCACGGGACCCGTACAGGATCTGTCCACACCAAGCTCCCGGGGAAGGGACCTGGGGAAAAAAGAGAAAAGGTGACAAAATAATATGCAGCAGCCGGGTGAGCAGCAGGATAAGAAGGCTGATTGGGCGGGCAATAGTTTGCCGGGGAATCGATCAATTGGCGATTTGGTGTGGGACGTCACCCAACCCACCATGTGCAACCGACGCAAGACTGTAAGAGGACCGAAAGCTGCAGCAGGTCAGGGCCATTCCTCGCCGTAAGGGCGGAATTAATGGCACCTCTCGGGGTCGGAACTCGGCTGCCGATGAAGGCTGAAGAAGGGGGGTTGCAGGAGGGGGGCGAAAGTCTTGGCCACAAGCCGCCAACTGGGGACGGGAAGCCACGAGGTAATCCTCGGGAACGCGAAGACAAGGTACTTGTCGAGAGCGGGACAACCAAAATGGAAGAAGAGAAGGAAGCAAAAAGAGACGGAGAAGGAAGAGAGCTAAAGAGCAGACGATGAGGGAAATATATGCTCCATGATCAAGACAGAGGAAAGAGGTTCAAAATAGGACGGAGTGAGGGAGCGAGGCACACGGGTTGTCGGGATGCCGAGATGCGCGACGGGAGCGTGGGGGGGTTTTTTTTCAATCAACAACAAGAATTGAAAAAGAATAATGGGGGAATGCAAGATGCAATGCACAACCCAGTATGATTGCAGGTCAGCAGCAAGCAGTTGGGGAGGGGCGGGGGGGGCGGCAATAACAGCAAGGAATTGAGAAGAAGAGCTAAGGAGAAATGTCAGCTAAAGGCAAGCTCTGGGGAAGTGAGTAAACCGGGCCAAAGCCAAGCCCCCAGCCAAGCAGCCGCCGAGCACCAAGAAGAACTTTAAGAGGAAAAATATTGGTTGCGAAGAGCTTAAAGAGAAGTTGCCAAGGTATCCCAAGTATCTCGGCAGGGGGAGAAACGCAGACTTGTCAGGCGGAAAGGGTACAGTAAGTACATTGAAAACTGTGGCCGCGAGAAGAGTGTGGGAGATGACTGGGGGTTTTTCTGCGCGCTGGAGGTTGACGGACTTGGACTGGTCAGGCTTTGGCCGGATGAAGGCAAAGGCCAAACAGAAAAGAGAGGCGGCAGTTGTTGTTGGATGAGGGTGTCCTGGTCGACGTCGTTAGCTGGAGGGGGAAATTGTTTGTAGACAAGTCGCAACTCTATCACCGTCGTCAGTATAATAGGTAAAGAGACTTGACCTCGTTCGGCAAGAGAACACAAAAGACGCAAGCAGACAACCAACCTGCAATTCCCTTCAATCAACCTCCAGTCACTGTACCAAGTAAATTTTTATTTTCGCCGGTCATGTCACATAAATATGCGGAATGAATGGAGTACTATACTCTACTCCGTACGTATAGGTTCCCCGAGATGATCGTTCAATCGTAGGCTAATCCCAATCCGCATCCCCACCATTTTCCCCAGAGCACGAGCCAACCGAGACCCCACTATTGAAAACGAACCGTCACAGTCACATCTCACTCTCTCCCTTCCTCCACAATTGGCCTTCATCCCGCTGTCAAAATTAATTCCTACGAACACTAGACGACAAACTTTTACTGTATGATTGCCCCAACTCCACTGTGGGTTACAAGACCTCCAATGCATTTATATTATATTGTAAAATATTATTTTATTTATTGATTTCTCATTTTCTCTCTTTCTCGACCCTTGTTTATATTCCTGGTAGTATTTACAAAATTCAGAAAAAATCAGACATTGCTCACGGGTTATTATGCTAAAGTCATAATTCATCATTTATATCTATTTGTGTACCTAATGGCCACTTCATCTGTCTGTTTACTTTCAAATGTCATATTGGACTCGCATAATTGTCACTGTGCATCGTATTCCCCTTCCGTCACTACAGCGTTATGCACAATGCAAGATGACCCCCACTTGTATCCAGCCATTTACACACATCGTACATGCTGCAGTGTTACAAATAAAAAGGCCTCTTCCAGAAATACCTTATGTCACGAGTTATTTTTTTTTTTTACACCCATGTCCTCCCCGCAAAAGCTTGTTTAGCGCTACAGTCACGAGTTCAGGGATATGTGCATCTCACAGTGGTTTCACTTCCGGGAGGATTCTCCCCCACTTATGATACATCTATTACATCCCCACTTATTGCAAAAATAGGGCCCACCAGCGTAGAGCATACCTCGACAGTATTTTACACTTTACCACCTAACTTAAGGAATACACATATACAAATGACCAGATGGACATTACAACACTTTCATGTCGATGAACAGGTGATGACGTGTATATGTAAGATATATCATTATTTAGCTCAGATCTGCCCTCATCCTATTGCATTTATTTGCTTAGGATAACCTGAGGGCTGACGTGAAAGAGGCACAAAAGGATGAAATACTGCATACTCTGTAGACCTTGAGAAGAATAGGTTAAATTTCACGACATCCCGCGTCTTCTATTTCAATTATCATTGTCATCATGATAAAACTTTAACCCTCCGCCCCTGAAATTATCTACCGCTCTGTTTGATCTCAACTTCTTCTCTTATTCTCAATGTCGAACCCTGAATCCATATATGGCGGCCCTTCATTACATTAAAATGTTAATGATGATGACGATAGCGATGCAGACAATGACGGGGCAACCGAAGCAATAGATGCCAAATGTGTGATCGGAAAATGAAGACAAGAAAGGCACAGGATAGAAGACTCGAATCATGAAAAAAGAGCAATGGAAAATAAGACAATGCTGGATCGATACGGCGCTTGATGCCATTCCTCGTAAATAGACAGCGCAATGAAAAAAAGACAAAGAAGAGGGAAAAATTATAACGGCTGAAAAAGTAATAAAATCCAGGGGGATGATGAATCATATCAAGGTATATGTGAGGACTGCAACACCAGATTCATACAATGAAAAACGCTCGCCCGAAATGCATATGAAAAAATGCGCATAATAAAACCATGCAGAAAACCTCGAGAGAATGAAAACGATGGATGCTGAGCGCTCAATAGCTGAAATAATGTGAAAAGAAATTCGCAAAAGGAAAAACCCAGCCCGTTGTTGATTTCAAAAGTTCGAGAGTCATAGTTTTCACCAGACTAGCTCGAAGCGCCATCGGTCTGAGGCTCATCTCTAGACGTGGTGACCGAAGTCGAGCTTGATCGTGTCTTTTCCTTTCGTGATGCCTTTGGCTTCTCTGCCGCTGCCGAAGGAGCAAAGTCCTTCCACTTCCGCCATCCGTCAAAGTCGATGAGCGCTTGCATGCAGCCCCACTCCATGACTTTGCGCTCAAGCCAGACAAAGTTGACAGGCTGGGGAAAAGTCAGTACACGGGAAGAAAGTGATACGTGGGCTTCGCGGAGTGTAATAAGCAAAAGAAAGAGGGGGGGGGGGGAGTTAAACCAAGAAAACAGCATGGCTATCACATACCTTGGTCAAAAAGTCATTGCACCCGGCGGCCAAGGCAGCACGCCTGTCACTCTGCAAACTTGAGGCGGTCAACGCGACAATGATGACCGGAGATTTAAAGAGATCCGTATTGGGTAATTTGTCCTTGTCTTCTGGCTCCTGCTTCGGGCTGGTTTGCGGTGTAGTGCTGCTCGTAACGCTGGATGAGAATACACCCACGCCATTCACTCGCTCTAGCCGCCGAATCTCCTTGGTCGCTTCCAGTCCACTCATGATAGGCAATTGAATATCCATGAGCACCAGATGGAACCCTCCCGTCTGCCACTTGGTTACAGCATCTCGACCGTTCATCGCCGTCTGCCATCGCACGCGTAGACGCTTCATAAAGGCTTCCAACAACTTTAAGTTGAGCATATTATCCTCAACGATGAGCACATTGATGGGAGGTACAGTAATGTCCAAGATGCCCGTCGGGAGCTGTGGTTGTTCAGAAGACTTTCGATTGGTCCGTCTAGGTAGCTTCTGCGGTCTCGGAGATGCTACACGTGGTATTGGGGGTGTCGCGGCATGCGGCGGGTCAGCCTTGGGGGGAGTAGGCAGCGGCGGCGGTGCGGGAGGACCCTGTTTTGTTTCTGACGCGTTGGAGTTAACCCTCGGACGATGTTGGCGAGGATGCGGGGCCGTACCGTTGTTCAAGTTCGCCGAGGCCGTGGTGAGAATGGTCGGCGAGGTGGTGGCCTGACGGGGCATCTTCGGTCGCCCATGATGTCGGCGCGCACTCCCCGGCGAAGGAAGCGTTGGCACCTGGCCAGTATTGAGGATGGAAATGGAGTGTACGGGTGCATGATGCGATCCAGACTGGCCGCTCACATTTGAGACTGTGGTCGGAAGGTGTGGAGACGGAACGCGAGGCATTGGAGGGAAATAATCAGTCGCAGCTTCGTTCGGCCGAATGTCTTCGCCGTAATAAGATCCGTTGCACGGACGCGGAGATGGTCTCGGCGTACGGCGCTGGGGAACATCGATGATGAGCGCCTCGTCAATGGTTTGTCCGCCGGGATAATAGAGGTCCAAAGTTTGAGCCATCGGCTCCTCGGGTCCCAAGACTCTTTCGAGACTCCGTTGAAGCTGTTGTGTCTGTTCGCGAGCCGTGATGCGAAGGGTCACATCTGGGGCGTCATAAGTCCTCCCCAGCGAATTTCCATATTTTCGCAAAATGGTATCTCGCACATCGTCCACCAAATCATCCTCATTGATGGTGACCATGGTAGCCGACGCCTGCGGGCGCCTGACCCAAATCTTTCGCGAAATCATATCCGGGTTGATCGTCGGGGGCCGCTCGCTGAAATAATCCAAAGGGGTTGTTGCCGACGAGGGAGGCTGCTCGGCGTCGAGCAAGGTGCGAATCAGCTTGGTCTGCGTTCGCGGAACCAGCGACTGCTTGCGTACCGTTTGCTCGGTCGGACGTTGTGGTTGCGTGGAACGTTGGATGGTGATGGTGGTTGGGTCAGGATTGAGCAAGATGGCAGCAGTATCTATCGACGCAGAAGGGGCCCCTTCTTGGCGGCTACTTTCGTGGTTGGGTTGAAGCCCCGTATCCACTGCTGAAGGGAGACCCGAGCCGTTCTCTTGGTGGTCGCGAGTATCTGGTGTGGCCTCTTCTACTGTCAATTGAGGAATCTGCGTCCTGACAGCTGCTGGCTCTGCCGGAGGTGGAGATGGTTGTGGTTGTCGCGGTGGTCGGTTTAGTCTCTCGGCACCGCCGATGGAAGCTGCTCTAGTTGGCTCGCCGTCCACTATTACGGGTGTAGCATGGTGCTCCCGGGCGCGAGGCAAGTCGTCTTCCACTGAAGGGAAGGCTGTGGACTTATTGCTCACGTCCGCCGCTCGTCGTTCATTTTCAGTGTTTGAAGATGCCGAGGACGCAGCAGAGAGACTGGATGGCCATCGAATGAACTTGGCGCGAGCAAAAAGTCGTGACTTCAGGTCTCCCATCCCACAATCCCACGCGCTCGGCATTCACCCGGATGCGGAAACGAGAAATCCAAGAGATTTAGAGACACAGCGAATAGTATCTCAGCTGCCTCGTCACCCCCCGCAGCCCACAGAGTATGGATAGCGGTGACAAGTGGCTTCGCAAATGCCCAGCTGATCCAAAGTCAGGGCAGCGAGATAAAAGTGAGGGAAAGAAATTTGAAAGGGGAAAATAAGACGTGCGATGGTATGTGTACACGAGAGGGCTTTCCACCAAGTGAGTATAGTATCAAAAGTACGAGTATTCAACGGCTGTGTATCATCCCGGGACTTAATGCAAGACAAAACGACGGCTCGTCCGAATTGGCCCGTGTATCTTTGGGTCTTGCGAACACGTCTCAACCGGAGCAACACGTTCAGTTCACTTAATTCAAGTACATGGAGATGAAGCGGATTGAAAGAGATCAATTTGATAATAGAATTATTATTGCGGCAAAATCAAAAATATTGAATGGCAACTACGAAGTAGAGCTTTTGTCAAAAGGGAAGGAAGAACCAGTCCTGTCCATACCTAGAATCACATGAGGGTGAGTTGGGAAATTGTTCCGCATATATTATCTGACGCGTTGCAATCGTGACTTTTTGCTTGTACCAATTGCCCAGTGCGTCGATCGATCGGCGTCGTCCACGATGAGGGGAAAGAGCAGACTGGTCATCGGCGATCATTTTGATACATAGAAACATTGCGATCAATAATCATTACGAGCATTATTGATTTTATTTACAGTGGGGCCCGTACCCAAGCTACAGTGATGGTCCTACCGTTTGCCTGTTAGTGGGTCTTTCGCGAACCATTTTGCATTATAGTTTACGACTTTTCTATGGAAGAATCATCCTAGATCTCGTACCGTCCACGCCGCTGTTCTTCCACAACAATATCGCAGTAGGTAAAAGCTGCGATCTCGACGCAAAAGAAAATAGTAGCAATCCATGCATGAATGGTAAGTGTGGGGGGAAATAACGAAAAGCAAAGAGTCTTTAACTTGATTGTGCAATTCCGAGAAGAAGAAAATATCCACCGCATGAGAACATCCAGCTAAATGCATCAAAACTGTCAATCGATGCCAAATTATTCCAATCCAAAGGCATTGTCCTTCATTACATATCATACAGAGAAACATGGTCAATACCCGGATTCTATCCATCTCATGGACCTAAACGTTGCGTAGATCCCTGATAGGTCATGGGAACCTGGCCATCAGCGGCACCGGCAAGTGTTGGAGTCGAAGACGGCAACACTCCATATCGGCCATAGGTCTTCTGGTCCACTGAAACGTAGTGAGGTAGTCTTCCGAGCAGATCCAGCTTGCCCTCGATCCAGCGAAGGGCCTTCTCCGGCGGCGCAAACACTTTGAGGTAGCCAAAGCCAACTGTACAGTATCAGCACCGTATTATTCATTGCGCGGATGAAATCCCACTCACAGAGATAGCCAACAGCAATCGCGCAGATATGACCAAGGAAACTCGAGCTGGGAACGAGGAAATTAATGACCAACGTGAGAATCAACGGGGTGGACCACGTGGGGATCTTATAAGGACCAATGCTGCCAAGGCTTAGTATTATGGCCACCTCAACACAGTGGAAGTTGGACGCTACCTGAAATGGGGATTGGTCTTGTACGTTTTGATCGCCTCGGCCGCAAGGAGTACAAAAACCCATACGCTGCATTCAGTTATCCACCAGCCCTAGTCACTATTACCAAAAAATACATATCGATATCCGGCATACCTCGCGCCTTCAACAGCATTGTTTCCACGAAGAATCACGCGCTCAATCAGGAGGTACAAGCCGGCGGGGAAAGTCGATAGAGCTGCAATTGGAAATGTGAGCAACACTGTCTAAAGAATATGGTCCTGGTTCCAACATACGCCCAAGGAACATGGCCAATGTTACGAGAGTGCCATGCTCGGCCTCGAAGCGCTCCAGTAGTGGGGTCAAAGCCAAAGCGTTGAACAAGACATGGAAGAAGTTCAAATGGACCAAAGGGTACGTGTTGAGTCGATGCACTAGAAATCACGTAAATGAGCACATTGCGTGTTTTGATTGGTTGACAGTAAGAAGTCCGTCTCTCACGATCTCGCTGAGATCTTGAGGGCAAGACGTGGACTGGCTGGAAACACTCACTTGTGCTCAGATGTATCTCATTTGGGATGAGAGCACCCCATTGTTGTACGTCCCACAACGGTAGTATGCTTAAGAACCACAATGCGATAATGGCGAAAAGAGCAACACGCGTAAAGATGGGAAGTCGCAAGAGATACGAGCGTATGCGTGCTGGATTGAATTGCGGCAAGGCGGCGGAGACCATGGTGACAAGAACCCTCTGGGAATGTCGCTTCGGGCAGTTCCACTCCCTCGTCAGCTCGTGTTTGAAAGTTTCGAGTGGCCTTCGGTCAATTGCAAGAGCTTATTGAAGCGCTGAGACCAGAATCACGATAAGGACGAAGAGAGCTGTAGTTTATCTAGCCATAGTAAGAAGTTGAGACATGAATGATATTAAAAAAACACAGATCAAGCTCACCGAACTCGCGTCAGCGCCTTTATCCGACATGAACGATCCCACCACTGCGAGCCGGTTCAGGCGTTAGACTCGGGAAAGACCGACCGAAACCAGACCGCCCTCCCCAATGCAGCTAGTGCCCAAGCGTCAACGCTCCCTCAATTATCCATAGTATACGGAGTTTGTCCAAGACAGCCTCATCAAACATCAACAGTTCGACATGTCTAAAAAGGTTTCCTGCAGAGTTTATCCCGGCTCACATGAATGGAAGCAAAAATTTAGGTTACGTTCCATTTAAGATTTTTTTCGGTGGCTTTTGACAATGGATATGAGCGTTAGATTACCACAATGTTCTCACCAGGCCTCCCATACTTTGTCAGGTAGAACTATCCTCATCAGTGCCCAATGGCCCACCGCACTCTTTGTCTGCCATTCTTGAAGTCGCTTGGTATTTTCCTTTCTGAGAATAGAGTAATCTTCTCCGATGATAGCTTTGCGGTCCAGAAAGTCGCTCGGTACTTCATATCTTGGTTTGAGATAATGTTTCCTGGCATAGCTCCCCAGGAAATCACCCTCGACGGGGTCACGGAGAGAAAAGGGTGTAGGTAGCTTCGTGCAGATGATGACGAGATTTGTAAAATCAGCATCTTCCGAAAGAGGAGTCTCGTTCTCACGGAACATTCGACAATTTGGAAAAACCGTTTTGATCGTCAGGATGATGATTTGGGCCGGCGGCAGGGTTAGGTCACCTGCGTAATTCTGAAAATATCCCAAACAGAGGTAAGCAGGAAGCTGATTTAGGGAAATAGCTAAATTGTACAACCATTGAATCCCTGAAATGGGCTCTTTGAAGGAGAGGCAGTAAACATGGAAAGAACGTGTAAGGAAAGAGGAGTAGCTGGGATAATCGAGACAAGAATCTTTGAGAAGTCAAATGACACCTACAATTGCAATTACTCCACTGGGCTTCAATAGGCTGCTAAGGCCAAGCAAAAACTCATGAGTAAAAAGCTCGATAGGTTCTGCTCCTCCAGTGAACACGTCATGGATAATGTAATCATAGTGGATGGTGCTTTTCGCATTTGACTCTTCAACAAATGCCATCGCATCTTGGATCACTGTGGTATGATTCAAAGGAAGACCAAAATAATGCTCCGCATACTCATGGACAAGCGGATCAATCTCAACTGTAGTGGTATTGATACCATGAGCAACGAGAGCCGAAGGCGTAGTACCTATTCCAAGGCCACTGTCACGTATCATTAGCATGTTCTTTGACAACAGGCTGAACCTTTCTTACATGACAAGCGCGGTCTTATCAGACTCGGGAATTCCACGTTCCGCGACCGACTCGTCGACCTCAACTAATCTCACGGCTTCTAGCATGACGAAGACCGCGTACACCGGCTCTTTGACCCGAGACGTGTATTCGAGTCCATTGGGCGGTTGCTGCCACTCGCCGCCAAGTAAACTATGATCACAGCGAAGAACTCTGAAATGCTCCTTCTTGCTTTCTAGAACTGATAGATAGCCTGTCTTAGACTCATGCCGGGCCAAAAGCACAAAGTCGTGCTGGCTGAGGGTATCCCTTAAAACCACATCGGTGATTCCAAAGGGCACATGCTCATTGTACAATAGCATGTGTACAGCAGATGGTATTGCAAATAACAAAAGTTTCGATGGTGCAAGCACGCTGTAAAAGATTGCAATAAGAAGCTGCAGCCCAGATCGTGAAAGAAATTGGTTCCACCCAATATAGTGATTGAGAATGGAATTCAAAGGCCTCTCCGTAAATCTCAAGGAAAGAAAGCATAACAATTGGGAAATTATGCCCGTCACATATCTATTGATCTTCCCCAAGCCGCAATTTCTGAGCTCAAAAGAGATGGATGTTGTCGAAAATGAAATGAGAGCGAGAAAGATAGGAGCCTGGGTCACAACAGGACCGAAACTAGCTCCTAGGCTGGAACTGTACTGGAAAGCATAATACTGCACGGTTGGGATCCACCAGGACAGCAGAGGGAGATATATTAATGGACTGTCCCGTAATGAGCCACCGAAGTAATGCCAGAGCGGCCATGACAGCAAGGAAAGCGTTGTCACCAAATAGCCATGATACTGCAATGCTGGGATTTCTCCGTAAACTGGGGACAGTGAGAGCTGTGAAACTATGACAGACTCAGATAAAAGCAGCAGCACAAATGTTATCAGGCATATTCTTTTAATGACACTACCATTGGCAGCTGCCCTAGAATCGGCTGCAACCGCTGGTTGAAGGTGCCGCTTCCGTTTTTGTGAAGCCGGAGTCCGAGACATGAGAAATATCAACCGATGACTCTCCAAAGTTCAGTGGACCGTCAAAGAGAATCAAGAAGATAAAGTAAAGACAATTACTAGAGGGAAAAGCAGTCCATATAAGGAGAGATGTCAATCGGAAATATATTTGAAGGCGAAAGCTTTTGTAGTCATTACCAGGTTTCAAAAGAAAAGGGACAAAAAATGATTAAATAAATACCCTAGCTTCAAGCATCTGATACCAATGCAGTCATCAAATCAATTGCTCGATAAAGAGCTGCACGCTGAAAGGCAATCCATGTACTGTGCTGCTTGAAACTCGGAGGAAGGTGAGCAGAGAAGCGTGCTATAACTACTACAAACAAAAGGTTCTCGGTTGTGGTTAACTGCAGAGCTCAGCTGTCGGCTAATTTAGTGGCACGTTCCACCATCGCTTAAGCAAGCTTCGCTTCCCTTCGCCGCGTTCCGTAACACTGTTGAGTTATCGTTGATCTAATCAAACGCTCAACTGTTCCAATTACTGTCGTTGAGCACACAGGCCGGATCAGGGTTCCACTATGCCTTTCTTTCCGGCTAACATACCATCGTCAGAGTACGAGAGATCGGACACAGGTATGAGTGAGGTGCGACGTATGTCGAATGCGACGTCTGACCGTGATGATGCCGAACGTACCCATCATATCAGGGTAAAGAATCGGAGAAAGCATTATTTGGATGAGCATCCAGAATACTTTTCCGCATCTCTAGAGCTTGCAGGTCTGCTGCCAGGCCCGTCAAAAAGCACAAGCACTGAATGGCAGAACAGATCCCCTACTTTACGATAGGCTAGTTCGACGATTTCAAACGCCCGCCGAACGTGAAGCGGAAGGCCGTGCCAAAGGTTACTCGGGTATCCTCGAAGCGGATCTGCACCGGTCTGAGGCAAAGATTGAAGCTTTGGCACATCCAAGTTCAAGTCATGTTACATACAAGAGGGGCCCCCAAGGCGAAATATACCCAGAAGAAAAGGACGAAATCCCTCTAACCAAGGAGGAAGGCCGGCAGCGGTGGGAAGAGGAAATGATGTTCCGTTTTCTACGTGGCGAAGACGGAGATTTCGATTACGCCTTAGTAGATGACAATGACGAGTGGGACGACCGAAAATTAGAAGAGCGCGAAGCTCAAGACAGATACTTTGACGATGAGGAGCCGAGTTGGATGCTGGATGACGGGATCAGCTATAGCGGAGATGCCGCTGCGGAGAAAACGGTGATTAAAGGTGAAACAGGCGTGCAGGACTTTTGACGTGCTGCAGATCGACTCAGGTCTCTATGCGAAAGCTGTTTATTCAGACCTTATTTTTACTTTGCAGCAATTCCGCTATTTCCTGGCCGATTCAATGGGATCTAGGTTTGGCATGCGGACCGGCAAAAGGCACCATTGAAAAGTTGCAGATCATATGCACAAAATGTTGAAACGCACCATAGAATCCCTGCATCGGGTCAACCGAGTTTATTAAGTAAAGGTGGGTGAATTTTCGCCTGCATTGAGATGTATCAAAGAAGCTCAATTTCTGAAAGCAAGAATTGAGACTTTGGACGGGACTTCTTAAAGCGGCCTACATGATTCGCCCTTTTTACTTTATCGTTTACTTTCCTTCTTTGCCTCAGCCTCTTATCTTTGGATGTGGCGATCGAAGCCTCCTTAGGTGGCGTCATCTTTCACTGCTCAGTGAAAGAGTGAAAGCTTCACCACTCAAATGCACCTCTACTCGAGTGCTCGGCAAAGAGAACATACTCGTAAGGTGCAGCTCTCGCTTACTGTGAACCTTTTGAGGACAATAATGGCCAATTGCAAAGCAGAGGGTCATTAGAGGCTTGCGTGGGGGATAACGGAAGTAGCAGACAACGTCAACAGCCACATCCGCGCGTCGATTTATAACCGGTGCGTGGGTTGTGACAGTTGCCGGCTTTCCCGGCTGATCAATTTATGGAAACATCTCGCAGAAATCCTCTTCTATCCTGACTGCGACAGCTTGAGAAATGGCCTCTTAGCTGCACTTGAAGGGATCAGTCAGCTGCAGCACAGAAAATTATCGGCAGATCCAGATTCCTTACAGACTGTGGGGCGCAACTTTTATTTATTATTGTCAAGAGTGGTAAGCAAGAGCGGCATATCCATATACAGTAGATACAAAATGGCAGTCATTGCCTGAGACGCAATATTTGCATTGGCTAAATTTACTGAAGTTGGCCATGGGAAAGTTGGATTTGCATTTTTATGATCCAGTGTGCAGCTGAACTACCCCGGCCACGATGTGGACAACATTGCTGCCTGATGGATAAACGAGTCCGGGAAAGCAAGCGCGCATTTACTCCCAGGCAGCTCTGCTACCTCTAGGCCAGCCACTGTGGATAGTCTTGCATGAGCACCGTGGGCGCTTGCTGGTACACTCTCTTGAGCAACGAGCACATGCTGAAAACAATCATAACAGTGAGCTTCACGCGTCGTTTCTGGGTCGTTTCCGGCTGTGGGTCCACCCTGCCTCGAACCCGATAAGTTACCGAGCAACCGACCTTATCGAACTGACTTGAGATCTAAAGCCTGAAGCGGTTCCCGTTCTCAGCTCAACTCAACCCAATACTTTGTATGAGGGGTACCTCCGTACACATTCAGAAATATAGAAAATATCAGCCAAACGCCATTGAATTAAATTCTTTTTGTCGACAGCTTTCCCGGAACTACTCTTGGTTATAGCATTGAACATCGCTCAAGAATTAATTTTCTTCTCTCCTTTTTGTGCACAGCTTTTGCTCGACAAACAGATGAGTGCTGCCAACTGGTAAAGCTGTACAGAGTTACGAATGATGCTTCAGGGCAACTTGACCGGCCCATTATCTCTTAGGGGAAAGGTCTCAGTTTCGGCCGTGTTGAACGTACTCATACGAAGACAACCCCTCCACATATGGTGAGCACTTGAGTACATGAAAGTTGAGCAGGGTCGAGAACAGCGCGCCACACCGTGGGCACCGTCTAAACTGATTGCGAGGCCAACGGGGGACTGGGAGATCCTAAGGTAAGAGCCATTGCCGAAGGCGGGATTAGGGAGGCTGCGTGGTTGGGTCATGGTCCAGGCCATGGCGCGCAACGTTCGCGCCCCGAGCGTCTGGCAAGCAGCTTAGCGCAAGTGCTAAAATGCGACGGAAGTGCTCCGACACGCTCTTGCGACTTCCGAATGGACCGGCGATTCAAGGCCACCACGTCGTCCGTTTTTGGGTCGCCAGTGGCATCGCAAGGATCGCAGCCTTGGGACCAGGATGGTGTGGAGATGTGCCCGTGGATCAGGGGATAGAGTTTTGGTCAAGAGTGGCCGTCAAAGGAACCCGGCATATCCTCTGCACGAGCTTGCGTGTAGGTTTGTGTTATTTGATGGTAAAGACGTTTTTGACGCTTGCCGCTTACCCATGCAAGGAATGGACCTTGAAAAAGACCCCTCTGCGGCACGCATTTGATATGATAACAAGTCACTTTGAAATGCAGGTTCGAAGACAATGCCATATGAGGAGTGTCATGAGTCTCATGTGGTATTTCTTCGCAGAAAAAATTTCTTTGTGAAAATCAGACTTGGAAAAGGCACACACTTTCCCTGATCCGGTCCATCTATTCTCAATACACAAGAACTTCCCTGAGCACTTGGCCGGCCCTTTCTAAATAGTACGCATCTGGATTGCGTTGTTTTGGAATATGATAGCTCTGGGCAGACTGGATTCTATGGCAATTATTTTGCTATTGACTGTAAGTACTATCATCATCCGTTCAAAGCGGACGTGTTATTCATGGCATTCTGGTTGTCTATTCTACAGCCCGTGGTCGGTCAGGGATGAGGGCTCTTTGGGGCGCCAAGCTAAAGCAACCCAAGCCTCGATTGCGGTAGCCCGCAGCGATCCCCTAACAGGAACGATACGGGTTCAGGTACCAATTATTGGGACCAAATTGGCCTCGCCATATGGAAATATTTCACGAGAAAAATCATGCGAGCAGAAAAGACACTTCCGAAATGGAAATTTTTTGTTCAGCATACCATGTTATCTTTTTGCGTCTACCATTTCTGGCGGGGATTCTAGCTTTGAAGTACTGAACCTGATGGCAAGCAGCATAGGAGCTGCTTAGTAGGTTTTGGGCAACGAATTGCGAAGCCGACGAAGAGCTGGCGGAGACGAGAAATATTGGCAACGCGTGCAGAACAAGAGGGTGAACGGGAAGCTGGTACTTGTCCCCATCCCTGTTCACAGGCCTACCTACCTAGGTAATCGATGATGCTTTATCTGGATTATTCCTTGAACGGGAAAACGTCGATCCGTCACATTGTGCTGGGTTAGGGTGCGTGGAACCCGGCATTCAGCCCCGATTTTATCTTTCACTTTCTGTCCCAACCATGCGATAATCTCAATGAGCATTGAACGACAAAGAATTTGAATCCATGATCGTCAAATGTGTCTCGGTTGGAGAAGGCGAGTCGACGTGTACCCTTTGCGCCATCTCTCTGCACGTCATCCAAGGTGCAATGGGGCAAGGTGTGTGCACGCGTCTCTCATTCGATATCTCGATTGACTGCATCTCTTGTTCAAAGAGCTTTGCTATCGTTCCTGTGACAGGTCAGGGCGTTTTGTCCTAAGCCAGGGCCCCATTTGACTCGTTACTTCAACCCACCCTTTGCTTGACGTGCCAGAGCTGCCATTGCAGGCCCCTTTACAAGGGTTTGGTGCATCTTCATATGCATGCAGCGTCCGCATCATCGTTCAACGGTGGGCCTCTTGCATTGTTATACCCCCCACGATGGGATCCACTCCAGTAGTTGCCTCTATGCTTTGCGGACGCCCTTTTTCGCATCTTCTTGTTGCTGCTGTGCTGCTGATGCGTTAGTTCTGGCCTTTCTCCAACTCTGTTCCACTGTTCCAACGGTGGCTTTAAGCCAAACTGGAGAGACACAGCGGGGCTGCTTTACTAACTATTGTTCCGCGTGTCTTCTCCTCTCTTGACGAGGATTATTTTATTTTCCTTCCGTTTCTTTCAAACATTGCTTTCAACATCTTTTCACATTCCATCTTCATTCTCTTTACCAGTAAATTTCCCCCATTCTCCCTCTTCCCTTCCTTCTCTTCTTCTATCATTCTCTCCTGCATCTTTCCCCACCAAAGATTTTATCTGCTCTGAAAGCTCGCCATTACTCAGCAGGAGCTTTACCTTTGGTCGTTCGGGTCACACTACCTCCATCAAGTTGCTCTACTGAGACGCCAATCTCGACCTAAACTCGCCCAACCAGTGGTGTCGACACCACCCTGACCATTATTATTCTGTGCCCTTTTGCTTCCCTTGACGGAAGAAACGCGTGGGCGGAAGGAGTGCCCATCAGGACCACCACAAACCGCTTCCCCTCCTCCTCCTTCGTCCTTCTTCCCACCCCCAGAAACGGATCCATCCGCGTTTGGTAATTGACCATTACCATTGGCGTATCGACGATACTTTTCCCGCTACGATTCGGACCCAAGCTGGACTTATCGCGCTACTTAGATCGGCTGTTAATCCAGTGGTCGTGCGCTAATCGCTCGCCATACCTTAACTGGGGGAACAGAGAGCTCGACCTTGTATGGCGCTCTTCTCTCCCCTCTCTCTCTTTTCCCTCTCCGACCTGACTCTTCGAACTACTACGGATGCTTTCTAACCCCCATTCATCCAGTCCATCTCCAGAGTCCCACCTACAACATCGTTTCTCCCCCCCTTTCCCCTCGCTCGCTCGCTCGCTCACGCGTTTGTCTATACCCTTTTCCCTCACGACCACCGGCTTTCTCGCCTCGAGTGACTCGAAAACTCTCGACCTGTCCGTCCGCACTTGCGCATCTTTCACCCGGTCGCATCGCCAGAAAAGCCACTACCACCACTACTCATCCACGACCTAAACTACTACCCACCTTAGACTCCCCACCACCACACCCCCCGTTTCCGCGTGCACGCACGCACACTTCAATCCACGAAACGCCTCTAACTTCCCTTTCCTTCTCCCACATCTCATCTTCTTTCATTCGTTCTCCAAAAACCCCCCAACCTCTCTTCGGACCTATCGTGACACTCAGACCTCCCCGACTTTCTTCGAACCTCGTGTGCGACGACTCTCCTTTCTCTCAATAACCGCTTTGCGCGTCTATATTTCGTGCTTGTCCTCGGCGCGCGCGCATCTATAGTTTCTACTTCCCGCCTGCAGCGACGATCCTCGCACGCGCCACTTCTTCAAGCTTCACGCGCTCCCCTCATTTCACTCCGTGGAGATATTGCGACACGCGCGCTCCCTTTCTCTTGTGTCCAGTCTTAGTGGGATTCGACATTTTTTGCGCGTGTGGTTCTCTGCTGGATTGGGTGGTTGCGATTTTCGGCAGTGCTTGATCGGTTCCTGACGACAATTGACCCTTGCTGTCGCATCACATCCTATCCTGGTAGCACTTGGCCTTGACCCGACAGGCCTGCCGCGCGACTTGTGCATGCGAGGCATGGCCGGCGATTCTATCACTTCGACTGGTTCAAGTCCCTCCGCGTCCAGCAGCCTCCAATTTCAGCCCGGTTCTCTGTCGTCCTCGGCCTCGTCACCTCCCGTCGCGGGGACCAAGTTCCCGCACCTGTCGCAACAGGCCATGGCTGCCGAAGCTTTTACTTCCCCAACTGGAACGCAATCGTCTCTTGCCTTTTCGCATTCATATCCCTTCTCACAGAGGGGCGATATGACCGCAATAGATCGAACAGCCGCGGGGTTACAGTTCCTCAATGGGCACGACAAGCCGGTGGCATCCTTTGTCGCCAACCCAATGCCCGCCATTTTCATGCGAAGACTGTCCAAGAACGCAAGCGACGAGGCTCTTCGAAGCATGTTCCTCTTCGCCAAGGATTTCGTCGACGCCGAGTTCGTGCCAGCCGAATATCCCGAGGACAAGGGCTTCCTCTCCGCCATTGCCCGCTTCAAGACCTTGGCCGGCGCCCTGGAGGCGCGCTCCATGTTGGATGGGCGCCCGAATAGCTCGAACGAAGCGAACATGATCGTCGAGGTTTTACAGAGTCCTGTGGGAGGAGTAGGAGCAGGGGCAGGAGGAGCAGCCGCGGGCCGTCGCAATACGATAGAAGGCGCCTCCACGCGTCAAACGTCAAGCTCGGCATCGTCGACCGGCTCAACCGGTGGCCAAAATGTGCGACAATCATCACGATATAATGGTACCTTTCAAGCCATGGAGAAATTCTCCCCGCCCACCGCCGCACTCGGTGGGTCTGCGGGCTTATCCAATGGAGAGCTGCCTGTGCCTGATTCGAGTGCTCATTTCCAAAGTCTCTTCTCACCGCAGTCACCGATAGGTAGTGCGCTCAATGACCGTCCCCGTGTCACGGGCAAATCAGTCATTAACGATGACTCGGTGGACGAAGAGACGGGCGAGCTGCTCAAAGACCCAGTCGCCTACGCCAAGAGTGGCGCTTCTGCAGCCCTGCCGCGTCGCACCACGAACCCTCAGATTCCTCTGGCATCGCGCTTCGGTGGTCTCTCTTTGAGCACCAACAACATTGCATCCCCACCAGTGTCGAGTTTCACCACTCCGCGTTCAGGCCAAGCACCCGTCGTCTCCCCGACAGGACTCTCTGGCCTTGGCCCTAACGCCAACTACCAGTTGGCTACTCAGCATTATCCTCGCCACACTTACCCACCGGTGAATCCTGCAGATCAAAATCCTCCTTGCAACACCCTCTACGTCGGCAACTTGCCAATTGACACCTCTGAAGACGAACTCAAGGCCATTTTCTCCAAGCAGCGTGGCTACAAGCGCCTCTGCTTTCGAACCAAGCAGAACGGCCCCATGTGTTTTGTTGAGTTTGAAGACGTGTCTTTTGCCACCAAGGCTCTCAATGAGCTCTATGGTCAGCCACTTCACAACAGCGTCAAGGGCGGCATCAGACTGAGCTTCTCCAAGAATCCGCTGGGGGTTCGAAGCAACCAGAACACGGGCATGGGTCCCCCAACCCCCATGAGCCCTCCAGGCTCAGTTTCTAGTGGCATGAATGGTGTTGCCGGAATGTCGTCGATGCCGTTTTCCACGGCCAGTGGCCCGCCTCCCGGGTTGGCTGTCCCTCCAGGACTGGCGACGGCAATGAATAACGTCAGTAGCATGGGCAATCCTCTTGGCGCTCCTCCAATGTCCCTTGATTCCACTGCCCGTAATTCATCCTTTTCCGCCCCAGGCGCAGGAACTTATAGAGGATCATCATTCTCCGGCGCCGCTGCCAAAGATGGTTCGGCAACGGCCATTGGCGGTTCGGGCCGTGCATTTCAAGATTACATGATGGGTCGGTGAAAAGAAGCAGTCGGACTTGCATAGGCCCTACTTGAGGAAACCAATCCCCTGCAGGGCCACGGGCGCGTAGCATCTTTGGCGCTACTGGGAGTTTCTTTTTTCCCCATCTTTGCCTTTACTCTTCTTCTTATCTTTCCACAATATCCCTTTCTGCTCTATCATCATTTTTCCACTGAAGAATTTTTAATTACGGCATGTTCTTTGCACTCGCTCAGTCATTTCTGCTGGAGGTACAATCTTTCTTCTCTGATATTACCCATGGGTTATTCCCCCCAACTTTCTTATTGGCAAGCATTATGCAATGATTCCCCCTTTTGCGTCGTCTCGCGGAGCCACAATCAGAATCGGGGGCATGGAACTGGTGCTAGACTCGGCTTCAAACTGTGCTTTTCGCCTCCTTCTGTTGCGCTTGTGGAGTGGGTCGGTGTGGATTTAGTTTTGATACTTCATTTTTCTTTCCTTCTGAAATTGATCCTCATGTTCACCGGATGGAAGCGGTCGTTTCGAGATGCTGGTTCGTAGAGAGCATAGCATCACCACAGCATGCATAGTTGATTGGGTTTCACCTTTTCATCTTTGTTCACGGCTGCTAGCAGATTCACAACAAGATGCTGCTCCAACCATTTTATTCTACGTCCGCTTCGACGATTCGATGAGAGGCATTTCCGTTTTCATTCGTCTATTTCACCCCCTATTTCAGCGTCAGCACCACCTATTCGCTTCTCTGATCGAAATGTTTTCCAGCTACAGCTCTTTCTTTCTTCTAGCCCTCTCAGATATCATTTGAAAGCTCTGTTCTTTTCCTGCTGCATATCAGGCCTTAGTTATCAGCTTCAGTCATGTTCAACGGAGTGTATGCCTTACATGAATCTTCCATGCTCAGATTTTTACTCTAGCCAACTGTCATTTCCGCAACTTTTTATGTTTTACCCCTCGTGCGCATATTTCGCTCTGATTATTGAACATTGAATCGTTTTGGGCGGTAATCCCTTGTCATCGGCAGTCAAAAACCTTTATGTTTGCTACCCACCTCCCTACCTACCTTAGTTTTCTGGTGACCCAGTGCAAGTTTCCCCGCTTCTTGTCTTGCACGCGTGTTGTGGGAATCTGCTAGCTTGCTACTTTGTCCACCATCAATTCTTTTAGCATAGGGCAATCGGTTTTATTTTTCCTTTACAGGTCGTGTATACGCCAACGGCGTCAGGAGATGGCTGCACACACTTTTTTGGTGTTGCATTTCCCACTTTGTTTTACACACAAGGCATACTCTTGTCTCAAGGCTTTTAATGCATCACACTCTTCCTGTATCTTATCCTAATCTTTATCTACTGTCACCCTAACTTAGGGTTATCAGTTTAATTGCGCCGCCCATCCGCCACGAAAATGCATTGCAGCTAGACTACCTTGTGAATAAACGTGAAGGTTGAGCTTTATTCTTCTGCCAGAGGCAGACTTGAGATACTATTCCCATGACTAAATCATTCTATTTTGAGTTTGATCCAAGCTGTTTCATCGATAGCTCGAGGATTCGAGGACGCTGTAAAGGTAGGCTACATATAGAATGGAAGTATTTGAGACCAGTGTAGTATTATTTGGGGGCCCATAAGGGGCTAGGCTGCTGGCGAGATGTTCTAAATTTTCAATAACTACCCTCATTTATCTTATTTTATTCTCCTATTCTATTCTGTTCTATTAAAAATCATCTTTCTTGGCCAGTCTAGATAGGTCTGCCATTCCTCTTCTACCAGATTTTGTCCGACGTAGTCAAGGATGAGAGGGGGCCAGCGCTGGAAAAACCAGAGATTGGCGCGCAGCTGGACCAGGACGGCATAGTAAGCTAATATGACCATGGCAACGGGATGCTTTGCTTCCCAAAGCTCGAGGAGGCATGGATCGACATGCATGGGCCAAGCCTGGATCAGCCAAGCACTCGAGTGGTTCTCTGGACGCCGCAGGAGCAACGAAATGATGGCAAAGAGCCGGGTGGCAGCGTCGCGCAGCGCGGGCTTGTAGTGCGCGTATCTGTCGTTGTCGTCGTCGTCGTTGTCGTCGTCGTTGTTGTTGTTGTTTTCGGCAGCAGCGGCGGTGCAGCAAAAATGCGTCTCGACCAAGTCGAGGACGAGTTGGAGCTGAGGAAAATCAGCATCAAGAGTGGGCAAAACTTCGGGCGTCTCGTCGGACCAGGTTTCACCCTGGTTTGGCTGATCGACTCGCTCGAGACCGGCCTTGTTGGCCTCGATGACGACGGGAATGCCTCGTGCCACGTAGAATGCGCTCAACAGGTCGCGCAGACAGTCGTTGCCGTTGCCGTTGCCGTTGCCATTGCCATTGCAAATCTCGCTGCGAAAGGAAGATAGCGAGCGACGCAGAGGAGGCTCGGCAAAAGCGTAGAGCGAGGTCAAGGCGGAGAAGATGAAGAGAGGCTCGCTGTGGCTGTCGCAATTGGAGCGTGCCATGTTTGGCCGAGCATGGGAGAGCGCTTGCACATTGTGCCATGCGGCCAGGGTATAGTAACAATGTGGAGGATGAGAAGTTTGAGGCTCCCCCCGGTGGAAGAGCTCCAAGGCGGCAATCGACAGAATGGCATGCATCAGGTAAGGGTGCGCCAGCGCAAGCTCCAGCTGACGATCGCGCTCCCGTCGTGAAGTCTCGCCGGCGTGGTCTTCAAACATACTCCCCTCGCCCCGGAGCCAATGATGCAAAAGTCGCAAGTCATCCAGGGCCAAAGACGCCTGGTGACCATTATTTTCATCCAGACGAGCATCTGCGGATGATGGTCTTAATGCTGTTGCTGCTGCTCCCCCAGACACAGGCGACATGGACCATTCAAAACTACAAGGGATGCCAAGTCGGCGACAGGCACCGCAGACAGGATGGACTTCATCGCACTATTTAAGAACATGTTTAGCGGCAATGTAATCGTGTTAAAAGTGGAGGGCATGACAACAAGAAACCCCTTTGCTTACTTTTCGATGTCCTGACTTGCAACGCGCACAACCACGACGAGATTTGCGATGGGCCTGCCGTTGCCGCCGCTCGGTCATTGCATGCACGGTCTCAGCATCCGGGAGATTGGGTTATCTTTTTCCTTTCTTTTCTTTTCCTTTTTTTCCCCTCCCCTGTATAATATTTGCTCATCAGAGAGTCAGGAGGGGCAAAACAAATGAGACGTATCAGATACGGGATGGGTTTGTACAAATTGATAATATTTGCATCGCCGGTGGAAGTGTCACCATATGTCATGAGCCCCACTTCGTATTTGATACGCACCAAATCGGACTTAAACGGGAAAACTTTATCCCTACATACTAGCCTGCTTCGTAGGGTCATGGTACGCGGTAGATGAACTTGACGCGCGGCGCCTAAGTTAACTATTAGTTTGATACAGCATGTCATAGATACCTATGTTTCCTCTGTATTGGCCACCTACTGCAAATACCGAATTTGAGGCAAAAAGGAAATTTAAAAATAATAATAATCATAATAATAATCCAAGAAGAAGCTAAAGAATCCCATGTACTATTGATCTTTCAAAACAGTACATTTGTAGTTACTTTACATTATTTTGAACTGCAAGCAGAAGATACTCTATAAGAAGAAAGACAAGGATCGAAACCTCGTTTAGGTAATAGCAACACTGTTCTCTACCTTGTTTCCAGCCATTCCTAAATCCCTTGCTTTCCCTGAATATGATTTATTCTCTGTCGACAAACAAGGGAATAGAAGGACTCTCGGGCCTATTCTTCGACAGCCTCCGACTAGTCTTGGTCACGAATCCAGGATAAATGATTGCGAGAAGGAGGACAACTGCAAACATCGGGCATGCATCAAAAATGTACAGGAATGCCTCGTGGCTGCCAATTGTGCCACCACTGCCTTGGTTGAATTCAAGGATGCGGACAAGATTCCGGACCAGGACGAGGGTGCTACATACGTACAGTGCCCAGAAGGACCTTCTCCATTGGACCCTCGGGTGTGCTGAGATGAGCGTAGGTTCTCGGTTGAGACGGAAATGAACCCTGAGTGCCAAGAGGATGAAGACGACAAAGGCAATCAATTGAAAGACCAAGCCGCCTGTGATGAGCTTAATTGCTTTTTGCTGTTCTCCGGCCCCGCCATAGGCTTGTGTGACTGTCCCCATGACCTGCAGGACCAGACAGGCAATGTCAATGAGAATATAAATCTTGGACACCCAGCTGATTCGTACGAGCGAATATCGAACTGCATCGAGCGCTCGGACAAGGCGGGAAAGTGTCATGTAAATAGACGCAGATAGCAAAGGCGTTGCTCCAATGATAAGGAACAACTGCAGTATGTATGGATCACCTGCCCGCCGGTTGTTGTGTGCCCAGGCCCTGCCATAATAACCACCTGCTTCGGCTTTGCGTAATGTCAGCCAATCATGTTCTCTTTTCTACATAACATGTTTTTCATGGCGTGCTGGGATTTTGGACATGCTTTCTTAAACAGCGTGCCCTGGACAGCCGTCGACTGCAAACGGCTAGAAAACAAACTTACCAGAACAACCAAGTATAAAAGGAATGAAGAACCATGACCGGAATGGAAAGATATATGCGAGGTGCACAACGGTACCAATCGCGAAGAGTATCACAAATGTCCACGCCGCTGGCTTGTTCGGGTTGTAGGGATAGAAGTCAAAGTCCGCCTGACCGTCAGAGCGAGCTTGGATGCCTGGGCTGTTCATGCTGTTCATTATTCAACGATTCCAAGATGCCTGGATACCCAAAACTATTTGCCGTGATGCTCGTGTGGACTCAAGCCGTGTTAACTTGCAAAATCAAGGCTCGATAATGAAGCAAATTCAGAATTCTATGAGAGAAAAATATAGACAAGGAGCGGAAATTATAGAGAAAAAGTAACTCAAACATCAAGTAGGAGGCCGGGAGCGCTTCCCTTCTATAATATATATTTCAATCCCATGAAAAATTTGCTACATACTCGATTAGGTCTGATCGCCATCATGCTGAGATTAGCTTTGATACAGAGCCGGTAGTATCCCCAAAAAGGTCATTTCACAAGCAAGCAACATGTAAGAGTTTGTACAAGGAAATGTGGAACACATGGTATTAGTTGAATCTGGCAGTGGTAGTGGTGGCGGCAGCAGCGTATTCGATACGCATCATGCCCTTTTTTTAGCCCAGTAGGGTTTACGATACTCCGGTAGGTTGTTATTGTTTCTCACTCCGAGCCTTGTCCCTGAGCTAACCAAGCTTGTTCAATCCCCTTAGTCATCCAATACTTTCCAGATCAACCCCTCGCCAAAGCTTCTTCCTGCTACCAGGCTACTCTCTCATTCGCCCAAGCAGCTGAGCTCGCTCACCACGTGACCGTCGCTACATCGCCAAATTTACTCTTCGCTTCTTTTGCTTCCCAACTTCCTCACATACCTTTTTCACTTCCTCTTCTCTCATGTTATTCCTATACCCCTTTCCCATCCATTGAACTTTCCTCTCAGGTAGTTGATCATCCCAACCAACCTGTAACTGCATGAAGGAATAAGTTTCATCTTTTCCTCACTTGTTTTTTTTCCTTATCTTTGCTCTTTTCATTCACAGACGCACACCCATCATGCCCCCGAGGATACGAAAAGCCAGTCTCTCGTGCCCTCTTTCCCACCTGCCCCTATCCACACGCCCACAACCCTCATCTCTCATTCCAAAATACCTTTCTCAACATGGTGCTTGCTCAAGAGACTTTTCTACGTCCCTACAGCGATCCACAGGCCTGCGGCGGGACATGTTCAGATGGCTGAACGGACCCGGTGCGGTTTTCAGGGACCCTGCTGAAGGCTCCACCAACTACCTCAGTGCATACGACAGGGAGGGCAATTTAAATCGCAGAAAGAGGTCAGCCCGGTCGGATGACGCTGAGGCAGAAAACTCTTCTGTGCAGGAGGTGCCCGAAGAGGAGCTAATCGATCTGAAGCCGTTTCCAATGAATCGGAATTTTATAAGCCACAATGTGTTGAGTGAAGAGCTTCGAGAAGAGATCTACTCGCGGGTAGTGACCTTGGGAAGAAGTGTACGGGTCGTGAGCGCTGAGCTTGGCATTGACATGAACCGTGTTGGCGCGGTGGTCCGACTTAAGACCATTGAAAAGGAATGGCAAAAAGAGGTATGACATTCATTTTCTCTCCCTCCCGCTGAACTTTTTGATCACCTATTCCCTTTCTCGAGAATGCTTCAAATGATGAGCACGAAAAAATTCGATTAGTCTTGAAGACACCTACATGGTTACTCCAAAATTATGCATGGCTTACTGATAATCGCATTCCTCGAAACACTCTGTACTCTCACTCACACATAAAATTTGCCTCGCCGATCATTTTCGCTGACTATAGCCTGTTTTTGGCACATAATCTATAGGGTAAAACTCTTGCGAAGCCTTACGCCCGCGCTGTCATGGAAATGGTTCCGAAAACCCCATACAATCCTAACAACCCTATCCCCCACGAGTCCATCAATGACCTTCCTGTTCACAGTGCTACTATGCAGCAAATCTTTGAGCCGACATCTGAATCGCGACGATTCACGCGCGAAGACGCGGCTAAGGTCTTCCACCCCAAGCTGCTTCCCGCTGACAAGCGCATCCCGCATCCCGAGCTCATTGAGCTCGAGCGTGAGCGGCTGGAGTCGGTACCTCGAGAAGAGCGTATCAACCGCCAGCGCGAGCGTCTAGCCAAGGAAGCTCAACTGGCGACGTGGCGGAAGGAGAAGAAGGAAGAGTACGAACGGAAACACACAAAGGTGATTGCGCCCAAGGCTGGCCGCTGGGAATTCCGCTTCACGGACGTTAGCGTCGATGCTGCGGGCAAGGATGGCCGTGGCCCTGACGGCGTTGGTTGGCGGTACGGTATGCCCCACGAGGATCGCAAGCGGGGACAAGTCAAGATCCCTACCAGCGTGCCTGCCTGAGTGCAGCTATCTTTGGTGTCATTATCCAATTGGTTTGGAAGTCTTATGACATGACACCTCTTCTCTCTTTTCATATTTTATTGCGTCTATGCATCCACTTATACGAGCAATACCCAGCAGCTCGGTGTTGATATTTGATGCGGATACGTTAAAACGATTCTGCTTTTTGTTTCTCTTGTTGAAAATCTAGGTATGGGAATGGGGACATTGGTCTACTTGTACGATATAGTGGTAATTTCGCATGGGACTGGGAATCTGGAGTCGACCGGTGTTTTGATTTCACTTGACTCGTCTTTGGGACTAGAGCCTTCACATGGCTCTGAGCTTTTAGAGTTTTTACTCCCAAGTGTACGCAATATCCACCACTGTACTATATAGTTTTTATACATGACACACTCTTATCCAGCTGATTGTTCCGCTGGACTGGTCTCTATGAGCTGAATATCACCGAATCATAAGTGATAATTTTTCATCGTCCATGGGTGGAAAAGCAATGTATACGAGTAGTTACCTTAATGAGGTGGGTTTGGGAAGGTATAGATTGATCAGCGCAAGATCTAATTGGAGGATCTGTGCACTAAAGGGACTACATGCGGTTCAAAATTGGGAAGATCTGGAGATGATATAATAATGTGCGTGATTGGTGTTTGGCGCTGGAGTAGGAATATGTTTAAGATACGGGGGGTGACATGATTGTGCACCGAGGGAGATGGTCGTGGCTGGAAACGCATGTTCAAACGGAGTGGAATCATTGGGTGGGGTGGTCTGGACTCCACCATTGACGCAGGTGGAGTGACGGGAGAAGAGCGAAGGAGGGGGGGGGAGCGGTCAGTCGATACTTGGGAGCCAGCGCGGATGGAGGTAGCGATACCTGGTCTAGGCCACTTTTGTGTGCCTAGATCATGTACATGGTGACATCCAGCACGAGAGAGAGATACAAAGACGATTAGTTGGGGTACAGTACATTTCATAACTGACCGGATCGGAGTACAGTAGTCAGGGACTCGGGTAGGCAAATAAGGGTAAGGTGAGGGTGACCCCTGTCCAGCACCAAGAAGAAGTTAACGGGAATCAGTTTAGTTGGGGGCAGCAACTTTACTGGGCGGTAAGTAACTTTACTGGAAGGAATGGCAGGTGAGGCCACACTCAACTATCGAGATTCTTAACTAGAAAAGAATTGGGTTAACCAGGGGAAAACACGCATCCACACTCTGCTAGCACACGCCATCCCACACAACAATCCCTATATACACACCCACACGATTGTGAAACTACACACGCTGTACGCGACGACGATCACGAAGACGGCAACGACGACAACCACTTTCTCCCATCCAACTACGCAGCTGCTGCTCCGTCGTCATTCCTCCTCCTTCTCCTTCTCCTCCTCTTCTTCTTCTTCTCTTTCGTCTCTTTTTTTTTTTTTTTTCTTTTTCCTCGGCTTCCCTCGACGCATTGGTTTTTCTCTTCTATCGTGATACCCTCCAAATACCCCAATTTCCACAACTTTCAATTGGTCCCGTCTCTCAATTGGACCCCCTACCTTTGCCTTTTTCCACATGTTCGTCTGTTGATCTACATTTCCTTGCCTGCCCAGTCGTCTGTGCAAATCTCCTCCCTGGTTTCCCCCACCCCTTAACTGGTCCTATAATTTTCCTCGACGTCCTGGAGAGAGAGAGAACGCGGGACACGTCGACACTGAAATATTTCCAATATGGACGTCTCTGCCGCTCCCCCGCTGGATTCGTGGGAGAACAGAGATCACCGCCGACCCGAGGAGACTGACGTCGAAATTACTACTCGCCCATTGACTGCTAATGTGGCTCGAACATCATCCATTGCGTCCAAACATGGCGCCGGAAAATCACACGCACCACGACCGCCAGCCGTCGTGGTCAAGCGCAAGGTGAAGAAGCGCAAAACGAATGAGGTTAATTCCGGACCCTGCGCGTGGATTGTGAAGCATCAAATTGGTCAGTCTGCACCTTTGAAGATAAATCCTGTTCCCCCTTTTTGTTTCTTTTAGGATTCCTACCAGTTCCCATCTGACACGTTCATTGGATTCTCTCAAGGCCTCTCCACCACTCTGCTCCTCGCACTCGGCTTGGTACATTTTGCAATCCCTAGCGCGCGGCCACACACGCGCAAGTTCTTCGATCTATCGCATTACAACCCGACCTCGGGCCAGTATAACCGCGGATGGGACGATGTTTATTTTGTTGGTTTCTGGATTGTGCTGTTTACTGGTCTGCGAGCGGCGGCCATGGACTATGTCCTTGGACCTATTGCGCACCGGATGGGAATCAACAAAGATAAAGAGATTGTGCGCTTCGCCGAACAAGCGTGGATATTTATATACTATGTCATTTTTTGGTCTTTGGGAATGGTACGCCTCGCCTCTACTCTGGAGAAACTGATTCTTGCTCAAGGGCGGGGGTTTCTTAAAACAAAAAAAAAAAAAAAAAAAATTTGGGCGCCACGGAGAAGCTAACAAGATGCAGCACCTCTGGTACGACTCGGACTACTGGCTGAACGCGGCTCAGATGTGGAAAGGTTTTCCGCTTCTCGAAATGGACGGCCTGCTCAAATGGTACTATCTCGTCCAATTTGCCTTTTGGATTCAACAAATTGTGGTGGTCAACATTGAAGAGCGCCGCAAAGACTACCACCAAATGTTCACGCATCACATTGTCACCTGCAGTCTCATCGCTGGCAGCTATTCCTACTATAACATGCGAGTCGGCAACGTTATCCTCTGTCTCATGGACGTGGTGGACTTTATCCTTCCGGTATATTGCGACTCAACTCTCTAGAAAGGAATTTATCTAGAAAACTAACAGTACCTTTTTTTCTATTGCACAGGCTGCCAAGATGCTCAAATACCTTCAACACCACACGCTCTGCGACTTGACCTTTGTCATCTTCATGATCACCTGGTTCATCGGACGACACGTCATGTACCCTATGGTCTGCTGGTCCATTGCGTTTGACGTGCCCCGCCACATGCCATATGGGTGCTACTCCAGTCAAACCGGCCAACTCCTCTCTCCGCTATCCACGCCTTCCTCACCATCTCCCTTTAGTGCCGCCCAAGAAAATGGCTTCTTGAACAATATTTTCCAACCCTTTGTCAATCCCGACGGACCCGTCTGCTTCAACCCGAAAATCAAATGGACCTTTCTGGCCCTTCTCCTCTTCCTCCAGGTCATGGCTCTCGTTTGGTTCGGCATGATTATCGGTGTAGCTGTTCGCGTCCTCCGGGGCGGCAGCGCCGAAGACTCGCGCAGCGACGACGAGGGTGAGGCAGAAATCGATGAAGAAGAGGCAAGTATCCAGTATGCCGACGGCAAAAAGACAATCTCCACCAAGACCGCCATGGACGGGCTACCCGTCACCGACGAAAAGGGACATGACAGAATGCCAGCAGGATCCATGGTCTCCGCTGCCAGTCACACGCACGAGCAACCGCTGCTCGAGCAAGAAGTCGGTGTCGAAGATCTCCACTTCCGTGGCCGACGGTACGGTTCTTCTTCCACTTCTTCAGCGTCCAACATTGCGCGTCTCGGAACAAAGTCTTCCTCTTCATCTTCTTCTATTGTTTCTTCTTCTGCGAATACTCCCTCTTTATCTGCTTCTTCTTCCTCATCATCTTCTTCTTCTGGCGCGTCGTCTTCGGGAGTCACCCTGCCCGCGGCAGTGGGCGGGCATAGTTTGGATCGCAAGGAGTTGCTTGGACGTATTGGCTGCGATAAAACTTCTTGATTGTTGATACATGATGTTTTGCTTCTTTTGCCTTTTCTTTCTTTTCTTTCTTTTCCTCTTTTTCTCTTTCTTTTTTCCACTTTTTCCTTTTATCCTCTCTTTTCTCAAATGTTTATGTTGCAGCTACTTTTTGTGACGGTATATCACGGATCGCAATCGCAAATTCCAAATCGCAAAATTGGTATTTCAATAGACTTATTTTCCAAAAGACGGATTTTCTCTTTTTCTTTTATTTTGAAGTTTTCGTCTTGTCTCTTATTTTAATTTCTCCATTTTCGTCTTATTTTTATGTCTCCCTTTTCTCGTTTCTTTCAATCTCTCCATTTCCCCCCGCCCCCCTCGTAGTGGGTATCTGTATCAGTATCAGTATCACTGTACCAGTATCATCCCGATTCCCGGAGAGACAAACATCAATTTATATAAACTCTTTTTCAATTTCCTTTGTCATGTTTTCCCCACTCCTGTTTGTTTCTGTCGTCAATTATGTATTAGTACGAGCAATAGGGAGTATGAGTAAAACAAGAAGCATGACAAGATTGTCTGGTGAGTTTTTTTTTTTCCCCCCTTTTAATGAGCAATGAGCGATAAATAATTTCATTTTTTAATTGTGTATGCGTATGTGTGTATTTCTTTTTTGACAAGGAGGATTTGAAAAGAAACTTGAAAGAAACTTGAAAAGCAAAAATTGAATGACAATAAAAATTAAAATAAGACTGAAAATGAGATAATTGAAATCAAATGATTATCAGGACAAGTCAAGATAAGGAATGGACGGAAGTCAATAAAATTTTAAACTACAACCACTGAGCAGTAGACTCGTGGCTTCTGATATTGGACATGACTCCTAGCCGTGAGGGGAAAAAAAAAGGGAAAGGAAAGAAAAGAAAAGAAAAAGGGAGAGTGGACGGAACAAGGAGAGACAAGAGGAAAGACCTCCAGATATCTCAGAATAAAGACCATATACATGAAAAAACAAAGGAGGCAAAGGAACAATTCCCGAAATCACTCCCAAAATTTCCCGCCAGTTTGCCTGTCTCGTATCCATCAGTAGCGACCATCCGCGGCGGGTATAATAAGACTGATTAGTTATTCTGCTGGCTGTTCAAGATTCGCAGAATGGCCAAGAAGAGGTTGATCACGTCCAGGTAGAGCGAGATGCTTGCGGCGATTTCCTCTTCCACGTGATAGTGACGCATGACGAGCTGCGTGTCTACGAGAATGTATCCGCTGAATAAAATGGCTGCGAGTCCGCCGTATGCCAGTTCGGCGGTGCTGTTGTAGGGGAAGAAGGCAGCAACGAAGCCGAACAGAATCAGCGCCCACAGACCGCCAAAAAGGTACGGCATCCACGAGGTAAAGTCGTACTTGGACTGGCATGCAAAGAGCGTCAAGCCGATAAAGATTCCGAGCGTGAGCACAAGCGCTTGCAGCACGACCCGTGTCTCGAAAAAGGACACAATGACCGAAATGGAGTATGCTTCAAGTGCGGTGAATCCGGAGAGGAAGAGCAGATTCGTCGGGTAGGATTTGCGTTTCCAGAATGTGAGAAACTACATAAGCCGTTAATCCACAATATTCCTCGTCCTCCATTGAAGGAGCACAACGCGAAGTAAGATAGGGCAGCGTTGAGAGAGAAAAAGGCAAAATACCATGAAACCAATAGCGCCAAAGAGGGAAATCCACATCATCCATTGGTTGCTTTGAATCCAATTCTTGTAGCCCTTGCTGAAGAAGGAAATGGAGCTGAGTACTGTGGTGGCGAGCAGTTGGATAGTCCTGTTGCAGAGTTGAAAATGATTAGTCTATCTCAAGAGCTTATTAGATCAGGGAGGCAGAGGATTCGTCACGTACAAAATGGCATAGACTTTGCGAACAAACTGCATACGGATGCTAATGTGGGCTTCGGAGACGGATCCACCAAACTAGAATACGTGTTAGCTATCCTTTTATCCCCATTCAAGCAGAGTGATGTCGCGAAGTCCAACGAGTTTGTAAATGGCCTAGACGAACTGGACGATATGAGAGAGACGCCATCAGATATGTTCGTCAGATCAAATATCCGGCCGTCTCTGTCGTCCAATCCCCAAGCCATTTAACTCGCCCGAATGTTGATGGCAATTTACCTTGAAGTCGTCAGGCAGATTATCCTCTGAATCTCTAGGAGCGCCCAGGATATCATTATGCGCCGCTCCAGCTGCAGCACCAGTCTCAGTCTGGTACTGGTATGAGGGCGGAGGCTGGGTATAGTCATGAGATTCTTCAAAAGAATCGCGCTGAGGCGCAGGCGTATACTTTGTGTTGGACGACATATTGCTCGAAGGTAGGCCCTATGACCTCACCGGGACGGTAAATCAAACACTCGTCGATATGAAAGGCTCCAAACGAGGCAAGCTGGTATCTGAGTGAACTGGGCCCGCTCTAGGTGATGCTTATGATGGTGAGTAAAATCTAAAAATTGATAGTGGTGATGATGCAAGGGAGTAGACGTACAGAAATGATTGTCAGATGATCGAACGCTGATATCTTAAGGTGGTACGGAATAATGATACAGCTCCATTCCCTTTCATGGCGGGGGCGCAGCCGAGTTACAACTCGCCTCCCTTCTTCGCCTCGCTTCGGTTCCCGCTTCCGTTCCCCAGATTTGCAGCAAAGGGAACATAGGTAGCTAATGGACCCTGAGAATATCCAAGGCTATACCAAACTTTCTCTAGAACGGTCACAAGAAAAGCCATCTGTTCGATATTAAGAATGTAATGCATCGATTAAATGCTATAGTGTCCAGTATCGCTAGCAAATAGTACATCTGATATGGCGATGCCAAAGCTCTGCCAGAAGGAAAAAGTAAAAGGGGGTTATAAATGAAAAATAAGTTAAGAGGAAGCCTTGAATAACCAGGAGGGTGGCGCAAGCCGGCACAGAGAAGGAGATTTCATTAGACAATGCTGCCAATGATACAACCTTCCTCAAAGATGCTAAACATGTAGGTCCGTCTAGCCTCGGGCTTCTCCTATGCGCCAACGCCCAACGATACAGCAGTATTAGATCCCCAGGATCAAAATCCCATTCCGGCCTTGACAGCGCTCAAATTTCCCGTCCCGACGGACTCGCCTGAATATTATGTTAAAAAAGAAGGAGGATAAACGGGCGCCAAAAAAAGGTTTAGGCGACTTCAGCACCCTCCTCGGTCTGCAGAGCGCTCTGCTCTCGTTGCATCCGAGCTTCAATCTCACGAAGCTGGCTCTCGCGCGCAAGCAGCTCTTGTCTCTTCTCGTTGATTTCCCGTTGTACCTTGAGTTCAATCTCGCGCAGCTTCTCTTCCTCACGACGGAGCTGCTCCTCCTTGAGACGAACGGATTGAGAGGCGAGGTCCTCGGGGTTCATCGAAGAGTCGCTGTTTTCTAGTTAGAAGATTTGCAGGTGCAAAGATACAAAGCATCTACTTACTAGTTGCTACCACCATCAACACTCTTGCTGAGCTTCTCGGTACGGTAGTTTTCGTAGAGGAAATCGTGCGTAATCTCCTTGAGATCCGCAAGATGGCTGTGCAAAAGCGCGCTGCGAATAGCCAAGAAGTCAGAGTGACGAGGGTTATCCACCTCAACGACACCCCACGGGTATTGACGAGCGCGGACGGCGCGACCACCAATCTCGACAATGTCCTCGGATCCGACAATGGCAAAAGGCATCAAGCCTCGGAGTTCCGCATTTTCCTCGACAGTGTCCTCGTCGTCTTCTTCAATGTCATAAGGGAAGTTATAGACCGGGATGCGGTAGTGCTCAATGTCCTCCATGATGAGCTTCTTTGACTCGGCCAGCTCAGAAGGTGTCAGGGAGTCGGCCTTGCCGATGACAGGGATGACATTAACGCGAGGAGAGAGACGTTTCATAAGTTCAATGTCGAGTTCTCGTAGACTTTCCATGCGTTAGCCGAAGAGATTTCTGGTTTGCAGCCATGTCCCATTTGACTTACCCGTGTCCGGTTGGCGTAATGAAGTAAAGAAGGACATGCACTCGGTTGTCCCGGAATCTGGGATTACGCTTGATTCGAGACTCCTCGGCCAAAATGTCATCGTACTGGCGTTCAAGATAACCAACAATCTCGGCAAAGCTAACGCGGCTGTCAGCGACTCCGTTGTCAACATGGCAACGCTGCGGAACATTACCTGGCCTCATTATCAATTTGGTCACCGAAGCCAGGGGTATCGACAACTGTAAGAGAGATGCGGGTGCCCTCCTCGTCATTCTCGAGCTCTGAGATCAAAGATTAGCTTAGCGCCCGCTCATTTCTGTTTAAAATGGACTTTCGGATGCCTTACCAACCGTTACCGGCTTGATCCTTACGCCCTCCTCCAGGTGTGCGTTGGCGGCGTCATCGTCGTTGTCCTTACCATGTAGGACGGTCTTTCCGCAAAGGGTGTTGACAAATGTAGTGCGACCTGGATAGATTCGTTAGACCGTAGCCGCCGTTGTTCAACAGGTAAAACTGGCTCGTACCGGTCCCTGAGGCGCCACAGACCATCAAACAAAACTGGATTCCCTTCTTGACATTCTTCTTTCTGCGAATGCGAATCTGTAAACCGTAAAAAGAGCGATTAGTAAAATGTTCGGTCTGAGATGTTCTGGATGCAGGTAAAGGGGGATTTTTATGTGAACGCTCGAGACCCCTGGACAAGGTGGAAGGGGGTAACCCACAGCATTGGACGACATGTTTACAGTTGTAACGAAAGAGACGCGAAGGAGAGGTTGGAAGAAAAGAGGGTCGAAGCTCTAAAAAAGAGCTGAAATGAGGGTCAGAGGAAAGGAATCGAAAGAAAGGATTGTGACTTTTTTTGGGTGAGGATGGGGGTATCTCGGTGACTTTGAGTTGGACCAAGGTCAAAGGAGGGAGTGAAAGTTACGGGTAGGGGTTCGAGGTGTTGGCCAACATAACTGTAACCAACACCGACTGTCGAAGAAACGGGTAAGGGGGAAGGAAGCGAGATTCGGGAAAGCTGGGGTTCTCCTTTACCTTTGGTTCCTCCCCTGGATCAGTCCCGCTATGCAGATAACTAGTGCTTCAGACGCAAAACAAACTCAGTCCATGCGCTGTGCAAGGTTGCGTTTACAGTTAACCGTTAAATTATTGCAAGTCCATGTATGATCCATTGTATAGGACCCTAATCTATGAGAAAATCTTCGTGATATCTTGAACTTTCTGTTATTACCATTCTTTTCTGGTACATCATTTCCTATTTGGTCGCGCGTCAGGGGTTGATACGCGATCTCTACGGCGTGCCATTGAAGCTAAACATGCCACGATAGACTACGGCGGATGACGAAGACCAGTATGACACCGTCATCGTCATGACATTCCACTGCTGCTCACTAGGGACTGCTTGCCATCCACGCCAGAAGCTGCCTTGATGGCAAACTACATCTACAGTTCCTCTCTACGTCTCATATTTCGCTCCGGTTGTTGTCAGAATCTGATCATACTCAACGCGAGTTTACTGAAGCACCCTATCCCTCACAATGAATACCCGGCCAGCTATTGACGACACCGCTGGCCCGGTCTCGCTGTCAGCTGCCTTTAACCACGACAGCAGCTGCTTCTCTGTTGGTCTTGATACGGGATTTTGTGGTAAGCTCTACTGCGCAACCATTTACCAATAATTTGCTGACATACCCTCCTCCAGTCTTCAACGCCAATCCCTGTGAACTCAGGGTATCACGAGGTATGTAGATACCTGTATAAGTTCTCAGGAGGGTATGCTCACCAATTTCTTATCATAGATTTTAATGCTGGCATTGGAATCGCGGAAATGCTTGGCCGATCAAATTACGTAGCCCTTGTTGGCGGAGGCAGACAGCCTAAATTTCCTCAAAACAAGGTTAGTAAGCCAGCCTTGATCTCTATTCCTGGGATACGCAACTCGTTCATAGCAAATGGAGGGCTTTATGAATAGAATTTAACAGTAGTCAAGGTCATAATATGGGATGATGCCAAGCAAAAAGTGGTCATCACTCTCGAATTCCGCACTCAAGTTCATCGAGTCCGCCTCTCTCGCACACGTATTGTGGTCGCCTTGCAGAACAGCATTCACGTCTACGCTTTTTCATCTCCTCCAGAGAAATTATCCGTCTTTGAGACCGCAGACAATCTTCTCGGGCTTTGCTGTCTAGGATCCAAGATTCTAGCGTTCCCAGGCCGCTCTCCGGGTCAAGTACAACTTGTGGAAATTGCTAGTGGAAACGTTAGCATCATACCGGCGCATGGGACACCGTTGCGAGCATTAGAGTTGAGTCCAGATGGGGAGATATTAGCGACAGCAAGTGAGACTGTACGGTTATTCGGTTCTAGCCCATGTATTTGAGAGCGACATACTAATCAGCTTAGCACATAGGGTACTCTCATCCGGGTCTTCTCAACCAGTAACTGCGCTCGCATCGCTGAGCTGCGACGAGGCGTGGACCACGCAACAATCTTCTCCCTTGCTATATCGCCGTCTAGCAACCTCCTGGCAGTGACATCTGACAAGTCGACCTTACACATATTTGATATCCCACATCCCCTCAATCCCGCAAATAAATACAGCTCAACCAACACACCATCCCCAGCTGGTTCCGACGACGATGGACCAAGTCAGAAATGGGGCATACTCGGGAAGATTCCACTCCTGCCGCGTGTCTTCTCGGACGTATATTCCTTTGCAACTTCGCATTTTGAGATTGGAGATGACCCGCAAGTTGCACCTGGGAGCTCGCTTCAAGGACTCAACGCGCCGATCCCAGGCATTCCTGGAGGTCGTCCGCCAAAGGGTCTTATAGGATGGGCATCAGACGATACCATCCTAGTTATTGGTGCCGGTCGCGAAGCTCGCTGGGAGAAATTCGTCGTAGTCCCGACAGAGGATGGCCGGCGAGCCTGCCTGCGCGACGGATGGCGGCGATATATGGGAGGATGAGAGCTGTTCTCACTGTGAGACGCTGTCGATGGAGCCTCGCGTCGAGTATATCATATCGACATTAAACCTTGTCTCTTTCTCTGCATATCTTTCCCACTGCATTCTTGTTCTTTGACACGATCACAGCTGCCAGCGTTTGATATCCATATTTTTTCTTACTACCTTTGTTTCTCACGGCACCCATGCATTTCCTTCTCCCATATCTTGGGCCCGAAGCTCCTCACGACGTACATGACATATTTTTCTTTTTTCGCATTCCTCCCAGAGTTCGAATTTCTTTCACAGTTGCGGCGTTTTTCACAGGGAGATCCGGCGAGTTATGATATCTGGCCTTTTTCCCTACTTTAACTTCCTGCATCCAAATTTCTTTATCCATTTTTTACCTGATACCACAAGCGTATACTTTGCATTCTGCACCCTACTACGATAATAGTATCCCACTAGCAACATGATCACTCACGAGACACGATACTTTGTCATGCCAACTTTAACCCCTTACTTGTATATATTAACCGCTTTTACATAAAATGCAAATATCCACATGCAATCGGCAGGACACGGAGTCTAGAGTGTAGATTGAATATCTTTATCTAGTACACAACTATGCATGCATATTCCGCGGCCTAGCTAGACGAGATAAAACCACGAATTACTTTGTGAAAGTATGCCCGAGAAAATATGTAGGTAGGTATTTGAAAAGAACGAATGACGAATAATAATGCGAGCAAGCAAACTAGGTACCGTAGGTATTTGGAAGCAATTGCGTTTAACCTCGACGCCGCTTGTCCCATGGGTGAAATGAAACGAGTAATAGAGAAATGAAGAGAAAATCCAGCCAGCTAGCTAGCTTTATGCCGCCATATAACACATTGCCCTCGATACGCTTCTTCTTTGAATGATGACCATATCTCAATGCTATATTCCACTGTCATCGCCCCTCCCTGCTCCCCAACAATTTACCTTCACGCATTTAAAGGCTTGAACCTGCCCTTCTCCCTTTGCCTATCTACAAAAGGATGTAGCAGGAAAGTATGCACGCTAGAAGGGATGTAATAGAAAATTAGGCAATGGCGGGGGTAATTCATATCATTACCGCGGACTAGCGGACGAAGAAGCTCCTCCTCCTGCTGCAGCTCCGCCTGCGCCTCCTCGCTTCATTAAGCCTGCAAAGAACGAAGCGAGAGCTTCGTTTTGGGATTTGGCGTCGGGGGTGGACGGGGCGGGAGTTTCGCGCTCGCGCTCACGCTCTCGGTCAGTAGACGTGGTGGCAATGCCAGAGGATGTAGTTGTATTTGTAGCTTCACGGGAAGCTTCGCGTTCCTGTGAATGACGAAGAGGTATCATGTTAGACCAAACGGAGGGGAGAAGAAGGAAAGAAGAGGGAAAAAGAAGGGGGGGGGGGAAGGAAGAGAATAGAAAATGGAAGAAAATAACTATAGGAGTAAATACCTTTATTCCTTTCAAAACATCCTCGGCATCGACCTGAATGCCGCCCATGTTAAAGTGCACAGGGCCGATATGTTCATTGACTTTTCCATCATCCTGGACCAAGCGGTGAGCCTGGTCGCGGTCTCGCCCCTCGTCGTCGGTGGGGTGGGACATCGAGGGAGTCATTCCGTGACTATCCCTTAGCTCTTCTCGAATGGCCTTCATCTTGAGAGTATTTGTGTGGTCTTCTACGCGCAGTTTTTCGAGCACGTCAATCTGCTGCGCGAGAAAGTCTTGTGTGCTGGTGCTCTTGACGTCGTCTTGGCGGCCGGCTTGGCGGCCGAATTGACTGGTTGGGGCTAATGCGGCAGTGTGTTTGGGGTCTTGGACGGTCTGCTCGTAAAGAGAGAGCGCGCCTTGCTCTCCCTCCTCTACATCTTCCGCCTCTTCATGTTCGGCTTCGGCTTGGGGCTGTGGATGCGTGTCGGTGGGGTTGTTACCGTTGAGAATGGCGGCGTTTCCGGGCCGTTGGAGCTCCGCGGAAGCAGTCTGACGTGGGGGCTGGATGTCAACAGACCAGCCGGCGTTGATGGCTTCGACTTCAAAGCCTTCGCGCAATATTCGGATTTTGCCCCATGAGTCCCAGTTCGGAGGGATGAGAATCTTGTCGCGGTCGATAATGTTGTGCCGGAATGAATCTCGCTTGAGGGGCGACTGGATGCCCAGGGAGAAGTGGATGAGAGGTTGGAGAGAGCTGGGCACAGAAGGGGTTGTGTAGATGAGTGAGGCTCCGTCTGGTATGGCTAATGTTAGAAATGTCCGAAGGGGGTTTGAAAGTTAAAGGTATTGGGTACGAACGCTTGAGAAGAACGGTTCGGAGCGATTGGAGAACAAAGTCAAAATCTTCTTCTCTCCACCCGCGCTCCTTATCTAGAGTATCGATTTTATCGGACTGGAGAGTAATTAGTATGACTATAGTTGATATGGAACATCCTGGACAGGTCGTCTACTCACGTTTTGACAAACAACACATAAAGGCAGTCCTAATGCTTCATCCCACTCGCCAGGACCTAGTGGCAAGGGTGCATCCATTCTTGGGCCCCCTCCGCCACTATCTTGGGGTGCGCCGCGTCTTCGGTCTCGCCAGTCCATCATCACTTCCTCCATAGCATCATGTGCACCATTGTCCAGCCCGTTCGTCACTGACCGCAGCATGCGTATCCAATCCCGCAATTGGCGCAACCATAGCCATGGCGTGGCCCAGTCGAGAATAATTACTACAAGAGTATTCGGTATCGTGCGTTTCGTGAGGTGAGGCTTTAGAAGAGGAGCAAAGACTGGAGATGGATCGGCGAGGAGGTAGAGCGACAGACGGGCAAGAATATCTTTAATTAGATATTAGCGCAAGAAGAATCTTTCGGGGCTTTCCAAATAAAGTGTACCTTCGTGATCTGCATCAAGTATGTCGTGGTAGGTGTATCCCAAAACGAACTGGTTCGCAATTGGGGGAGGTCGTCTTGAATGCCGGCCTGTCGGCCGACGTGTTCTGGAATGGTCCTCTGATAATGATTCAAGAAAGTCCTTTTGAGTTTCCGTAGAGCCGCCTGTAGTAGCAAAGTATCAGTCTATGAAGCCTGACTTAGGAGGACCTCATTGCGTTGTGGAGCTTCACGAACCCAGGACCACAATATTCTTCTCCGGCAACCTTTTCCCACTGGCAACGCCGTCCAACATGGACGACCACATGTCGGATTTTGAATCATCTGAGCTTTTCGGCCTATTTGAAGTGCCACGGTCCGTCCATGAGGATGGCCGTTGCCCTACTTCGACCATTGTGGGGTTCGTTGGCCGATTTGTTTATACTAAGCTCTCCAACGCGTTGAGACAGATTGCGTTTCATGCGGGAGATGCAGGTGACAGAGTGGTGAAAGTGGGATTGAGGTGACGGACCTGGCACAGAGTGCACCCTCAGGTCCTCAAGGCTCCAATAGATATTAAAGAGACCCTTCCACCGCGTCGAAGAAAGTAAAATGTTCCTTAATGCTGAATGTTTAATCTCATGCGCGCTTCCTCCTGAGACCCCAGTTGGGATTGCGTCGGTTGCCGCGCTTCGCCTCGCCAAATTTCCATCTGCTGCTCTTGTCCGCCTAACGCCGCAACCACCAGGGTCTAGCTTCCAACTCTACACTCTATAGCTCCCTATCGCCATTTACTAAGCGCCGCTCTCCTTTTGATAATTTGTGGAGTGCATTTCCTGGTCGATAAGCCTACATCAAAGGCCCCAGGATGAACACCATCCGGGAAATCCAGGCGCTGAACAAGCGCGAGCTGGAGGCTGGCATGTAGGTGCATAGCTCAAATGATCTACGTCGCATTGATATACTTACATAAATTGAATTCCACAGAACCCCAGAGGGATCGTGGCATGCCGACTATCGCGATACAGCATATATTTATATTGGTGGTCTTCCATTCGATCTCTCAGAAGGAGACATTGTTACAATCTTCTCGCAATTCGGCGAGCCCGTACACATCAATCTCGTACGAGACAAGGAGACGGGGAAATCCAAAGGCTTCGCATTCCTGAAATATGAAGACCAGCGCAGTACAGACTTGGCGGTAGACAACCTAGGTGGTGCAACCGTCATGGGACGAGTACTTAGAGTCGACCACACCCGGTACAAGCGCAAGGATGACGAGGAGGTTTTCGATAATACGAGTGGCCCAGCGCCCGAAGAGGATGACTTGCCAGAGAGAGGTGCAGATGAGGAACACAGAAGAAAAAGGAGAAGGAGATCAGATGAAAGCGAGAGTGAAGAAGAAGAGAGGCGCCGACCATTACTGAAGGAGGAAAGAGAGCTTGCAGAACTACTGCGAGATCATGACGAAGATGATCCGATGAAAGAGTATCTGATACAGGAGAAAAAAGAGGAAGTTGAGGCGGCGCTGGCACAGCTCAAGCGGAAAGACCGAAGTCGCAAAGAGGGTCGAGGCAGCAGACATCATCATAAACATCATCGTTCGCATGGCAGTAGGAGGGACGAGGGCGAAAGAAATGATGACGAGGAGCACCGAGCGAGACACGGCAGGCGTCATCATCGGCCAAGATCTAGAGATGCTAGGGAGAGAGATAGTCGTCGCCGGTCGAGGTCCCGTGACACCGATAGAGACCGCTACCCCGGGCGAGCGGGTTCTTCAGAGAGAAGGGAATATAGACGTAGGTCAATTTCTCGCGAAATTGCCAAAGACAAACAGCGAAACAGAAACCTCTCTGAGGATGGTGAGCGAGTACGCCGAGCTAAGAGCCCGATAAGAAAAGACGTCTATGAAAGGACCAGAGAGCGGCGGCGGTCTAGGCGAGAAACAGAGGGAAGAGATTATGGATCGGGTTCGGAGGACGGGGATCGTGCTCCTAGAGGAGAAAGACGACAAAGATAACGGGAAAGGGCAAATTCAATGCGCTAGGCGGCGATGAATTTAGGCAAAGGTAGTTGAGCGTCACATAGATACTCCTGAAATATTACCAAGGCTGGATTTGAGAGCTGCTCTTACAAATTGAGCTGCTACCTTCTCATGCCTGGAATTTATGCTTTGGTTGTGCATTCATCAATGTGTCCTAATAACTGTAATTAGGTATGCAAATAAGGTCAGGGCTTAAAGCTTATCGAACCAAGATTAAAAACATCAACGGATAGGACAATATACTAAAAGACAGAATACTAAAGAAAGTCTTCCTCCCCCTTGAACGTTTTCAGATACATCGGTAAGCTTTTATCCAGCAGCGCTGGGAGTTGCTTGCGCAGTGAGTTTAAGCACATCTTTAAAGTTTTTAAGAGCAAAAAGCCGCCATCCCCGTATGTAGCAGTCCGTGTAAATGCCGAAAAAGCCTTTGTCATCTTTTGTAGCAGAAATAAACGTTGCAAACGAAATTCTAATGCTCGCTCTTTTCTGATGCAATGTGTTTTTGATCGCCCTTGTTTCCTAATTCAAGATCTGTCGACTGTGCTGAGCTCTGCTCGTATATTTTCGGCTCGTTCCCATGTTGTCGTTCGTCGAGGATTTCGTCAATAGATTTCCCAGAAAGTTTTGCTTCGTGGCGAAGTTTGCGTGTTCGAATAAGCCAGATTCCGTGTGAGAGGAAAATTCCAATTTCCAAAAGCATACTGAATAAAGCGGCTCAGAGCCCATCCAGAAAATAGGGCACAAGTAAACACTTACCAGACAATGTAAAGTATACCTCCTAGAATGTCAAACGTGTGCTGCACCGCTTTTCTAAATGTTAGCTATCGTACAGGCTTTGCCTGGCGAGCTTCATACCGAGAGCGAGCGTGGAGAAGAAAGCACCAGAGAAATCCACTGTCAAGAAAATAAAATCTAAGTGACTGTTAGCATAGGGCTTACACAATAGCCAGTAAATCATATACTTATGCCAATTACTCTGCCATTACGCTTTGCAAGCTCAAAATAGGGGGGTATTAAGCCAGCGGCAAGAAGAACAGCGGCAAGAATTCCAATGAGTGTAATTGGCCACGAGACTCCGTGGCTGTAGGGTATCTGAGCCATATTAGAATTCTGGATGCAATCGGAGTAGAAGAGGCACATACCCTCAGGGTGAGAATCAACAGTGCCTCAATTCCTGCAAATGAGATACCAATGGCCACAGCAAAGACAGAAGCTTTCCAGGGGCTCCATCGACTGAGGAACGATGAGCAAAATGTATTTAATGTGAACAACAGTTTGTGCTCACTTGTGGTAGATAAGAATCTGTGCATAGGTGACTAGTGATAGAGCGCAGAGACACTGAGGTTGTATTTGGATTGGGATATTGAAGTTCTGTGGCTTGTGAGCAAACAGATATCCGTCCGAGTCTCCCAAAACCTACCTGCACTATGGAGTAGACACCAAATGGCACCGCGCCTAGCATTATCAATGACCGTCCTGAAAAATCGTGGATTCATGAAGACCAACAAATTGCCCAGAGCAAAACCATAGGGCCTGGTAACCCATCCGTATTCTTCCTCCGAAAATTATACCATATCCTGAAATTAATCAGCTGCTGTCGCTGCGTTTGTGTCCCAGAACGACTTACTGAGGAATCAGCTAAGACATAGATGATATGTTAGTAAAATCGCATTCATCGTACTATCGAGGACAGATCCATACCTGAACGCACCAACAGCTGCGCAAAAGCTGTTAGCTTTGTGGCTTCGAATTTCGAGCTTCAAATATGCTTACACTGCATTTATCAGCATGATTCTCTTTGCAATTGTGTACGGAACTTACCAGTCCCTATTGTCTTTTATGTTTAGGGTCAGATTGGCTCAGTGGAAATACAAAGACGGCATAGGCCAACTTACACCCAGAATATTCGCGGCCTTTGGTATGTCAGCGCAACAGCTCAATTAAACAGTTTCACCAGTGATATCCAGAAACTTACCAGAGGGATATTAACTTGAGGTGACATCTCCGTCTTCGATGGAGATGTCTCTAAAAGGAGCAAACAGAAACAATATCACCGAGAGAAAGAGAACCGACAGGAGAAATTGAAGAAAGCACAAAAGTGACAGGAACGGGATTTCTTAAACCTCAAAAAATAATCTGCGCTACCAGGTAAGACAGGGCAGCAAGCGGATATACAGGGTCTAACATTTTTTTGGGACAGGATAATCCGTGTGTGGGAGGGGCAACTGGGGCGCCTTGAGCACATAATACGATAGTATCGGTGCATCGGCTGAAAACCAGCGAGTTTCTCTTTGAGCTTCAACCCATGCCGGAAAATGAAAGATTCAGAGCACATGGATCGTACTGTCTCCAGAACCAAGCTAAATTCGACCAAGTTGATCCCCAGGGGTGATCCTCATGCCTGGCCCGGTCGTCGAGATAAGTCTCCTGTGCTTCTGTCAATAATTAGTTGAAGGCAGCGCCCGGCGTCATGGGGCATCAGCACCGAGTGGCGCCTCTGTCATCAAGTTTACGCATCGTCTCTCACATAATTCGAATCAAGTCCGTTTTCGTCAATCACACTGGGAGAATCAGGAGCTGGACTGACTTCGCTTTCACGGATCTCGGCTGCACTGGTATAGCGTAAAGGATCCGGGAGACCAAGTGGCCACTTACACGTGCAGGATGGCATGTTGATGGGCCTCAGCGACGCAGGGGCAGCGGGCATGGAGGGGCACTTGTGGGAAATGTGGAGACTGGGGCTCATCAAGACAGAAGCCACGGGACGCTTTGATAAATCGCCTGCGATCAAGGCACCTCATAGATGGGCGCGCTTGCCGCTGAATGTCAATCCCAAAGTGGGTAGGCCCGAGCAATACATAACGACTCTGTCGACACCACCACTTTCTACTAGTCCTTGCTCCTTGTTAGTTCCGCTGCCAGCCTACAGTCATTTGATCGCGATGACGACTGGCCAGCGACGAGCAATAAAGCACACACAAGGCATCTGAGACAAACAAGAAACGACTCGTCAATTTGATCATGATCGACAAGGTCTGGTGGGGTAAGAGAGAAAGGAAGAATGGTTAATCCGCCGAAGCAAATACTACAGTTCACTCGCTGTACGAGTACTGTTCTGTGCTGGGGCTGTTAAGGTCAACTGGAGGGGCACACAGCAGGAGAGGCACGGTGACCCCCGGGATCTTAAGCCGAATGATTCGAGCTGAAGCTCACTCAGCCTCGACATCAAGGATCGCCACTTGCCGGTCGCTTGGCTGCATATGGGAAACGCGAGGAAGTTTTATTTCGCTAGCTATTTGATCCGATCTGCTTCAAAAAGCGCAGACGCGGGATGCGACTAGATTTGTAAGATGATTTTGCCGACCAACTTCCTGTGAAATGGAGGTCAACGAATGGGTAGGTATACCCAAAAACTTTACCGCAGTTATTCGATCAATCAAGAGAAATCTAGGGTTATGGCGTCGCTTGCTAGCGCAGGTCTCCGATTCTGCAACCCTTTCCCTCTTCTCTCGGCATATGCAGTGATTGGTGCATGGATTCGAGATACGGCGTTGGGATTTCCCTACCAAGTCATCACAGTGCATCATGCTCAACAACAAAGAGATCCCCTGCTCTTTTCTTCGTCCCTGGTAGCTATCAACACTGTTTCTGCATTTGCTTTTACAAAGAAACATAAAGAACGACGAATGAGCAAGGATCGGGGATCACGACTTTGAACAAAGCACTCAGACCGCCATTATATGTCATTAGCACCATGGAACTGCTGCGTCCATAGTGACCACTCGCATAATGTCTCACTTGAAAATTTATTCCGTGCCCAGTGGCACATCCAGCCGTTGTCGTGTAATAGTTTATGGGTGCACCATGTATTACTTTGAGCCAACTTTTCTTGCCTAAATTTGGCCGCGATCACACATCCTGACTGGATAAAAAATTTTATGTTTCGCGGACGAGTGAAACTGTTTTTGAATGCGATTGAGAAAGGCGGTCAATTCGACCTTGATTTTTGACAGCCTCAACTGTGTAGTCTGGCGCGACGGTATAGCAGCATCACAGCCCAGGTAGACTGGAGAAGACGTAATGAGCAAAATTCAAAATTCTCTTGCGCATAAGTGTTATATTCGATTGCAGAAGGCGAGACCTTTTGCCGCCAAATTGAAAGACGGGGAAGATGTCATTCCAAATATGGAAACATGTTATGGTGGACGATTTCCTTACTAAGCAACGAATCCCCTCTAGTCTCGGACTGGTTAGAGACACAGGAAACCGGTCGGCAGATGCCCGTCAAGTCAGCGAATGAGGAGGGAGCACTGGTAATTGTTTCGCAATGATTTGCTCAATCATCATGACGACTTCCCTAGTATCTACCTTATTCCCCCGCAATTTCATGATAGAATCTGTTGAAACCAAGAAGGATTGCTGAAAGATTGATTCTTCGTACATTTATTTCTAGAGCACGAGCTTTCTCCGCTGTTGATTATGCGTCCGACTTACAGAAGAATTGCTCAGTCATATGAACTTTGCAGAATTTTCCAATCTAAGTAAGAAAACGTCTATTCTTTCTAGGCCGTGACAAGAATATAAATAATATTCAGTACGGTTCAGGGTCTCTTATGTGCCATAGTTTATCTAACATATCTAAACGGCGGGAGTTTTTCCCAACCAATGAACGGTTCCATTCGAGCTTGTAAGAACCTACATTTGTTTACTCCTCTTTTTAAAAAGTGCATAAGGTCCTCACGTCACCCCTACGACACGACACACAGGTAGACATCATGTGAGCATATATAAGGTAGTCGGCGATGCCCTGCATTCCATAAAATGAGTGTAACGTCCAAATTAGCCTTGGGGCTGCTCAAATATTACTGAAATGCTTTCCTCTCGCCTTCCTAGGACTCCAATCACAAACCTCTACCGCCAAACCGTAGTTCCCACCTTCAAATCCAAGGCTGCTTTTCCTTGTCTCTACCACATATCCAATATGTCGACTATTTCGGACGCGATCAAGCAGGATCATCGCGAGATCGAAGAGTACTATGACAAGATTGTCAACTCTTCGGACCAAGACACGCAGACCAGATATCAGAACCTATTTACCTGGGAATTAGCTCGCCACTCGATTGGAGAAGAGCTTGTGATATATCCCGCTCTTGAAAAATATCTGGGTGATAAAGGCAAACAATTGGCGGATAGGGACCGTCAAGAACATCAAACCGTATGACGAGAATGCTCTCCCGCATCTTCTGCTTCAGTCGGAGACTAACTTTATACCATGCAGGTCAAAGAAGCACTTTACAAGTTCCAAGGCCTCAAAGCAAATGACCCCGACTTTATTCCAACTCTGAAGTCTCTCATGTCGGATCTCTCAGAGCACATCAAGGAAGAGGAGCGAGATGATCTTCCAGGACTTGAGAATGCTTTGGCCTCATCTCAAGATCAGATGAGTGAGGATCTGGTCAAGTCATTTGAACGGACTAAGCTCCTCGTTCCGACGCGCTCGCATCCCTCTGCTCCGGACAAGCCTCCATTTGAAACTGTCGTTGGACTAATGACAGCCCCTATCGACCACGTTATGGACATTTTCCGCAAGTTCCCACAGTAACCTAGAAAAAATTACCTGGGGAAAATAAAAATGCTCTTGGAAGAGAATGACAACACGCCTTAAGGCATGGATGGTGGGATTGTGGTTTGTGTTATGCATTAACTTCGTTTGCAGTACCAAGCCAGTTGCACTGACGTAGTTGATCTTTCAGTGATAGCAAAGCTAAAAAGTTTCGGTAACAATGCACTACATTCGGTGAAGGAATTGCCATTTATTCATTTACATCATCCTGGAATTTTACAAATTCATTTCTATCAACCAATCTTTTTTTATCCGTATCAAGTGATTGTGCTGGCCACTTTAAAACCAGGCAGCTAGTGCATTGGTTAGCTCAAGGTCACATAAACTCTTAATTGTCACTGCCAAATGACAGTAGTAGTATTGAACCAAGTACTCCTGACATTGGAAGAAAAATAAGCCGAAGCGGCTCGTATCGGATACCGAGAGACCAAATCTGCATTAATCCCTAGGATTTCCCCGGAGGCTGGAGCAGTGATCTAAGTTGGTGATTTTATCATTAACCCATCTCCAAGGAATGTGTCAAGTGACCTTCTTATTCACAAAGTTTGAAGATTCATCCGCTCCCTCTATTCTGCTATATATACTGGGCCCTTCAACGGTGCAAGCATCCGAAGCCCTCTCCAAAAAGCTTCATTAAGCTGATATATTAGTCAATTACAACCTTATTAATAATTATTTCACCGTCTTTGCCCAAAAGGATTCCTCTCTGGCCCTCCCACCATCCATCGGGTTAGGGCGGCGACATGGACGTGTCGACAAAAGTAACCAGTGGAGCTTACGGAATATCTTGTCTGCAATATATTCAACGATCAAATTGTCACATAATATCTGATGAAAGCCATATCAGGCATGCTTGCGGAGCTCAACATGGAACACCTTGAGCGGGGAGCTGTGTTCACATTGAAGGAGTTTTGGATTTTACGCATGATATCCATCTGAAAAAACAGTACATGGATCAGAATGAAGGACGTCAAATCGGTTCATGTCAAAACTTAAATTTTTACTTTTGCCATTTGACAGGTCGGCTGAAGCCGTTCCATAACTTGATCTATACATTCACCTCTTAACAAACCTCAATAAACCGATTGAGAACAATCTATCGCGTGTGGACTTATTTAACCGGATAAGTTCTGGACCGAGAGCGGGGCGATTTTCTCAGATTTCATGGGAATATGCCAGATGCTGAGAAATGTACTCCTCCTTCTAAGAAATTGATATTAGGCTCTCAAAGACGAAAGCAGTTCGAATTCCTCCGCAAAAGGGGGCCTCGTGTAAATTACATTAAACTTGGGAAGGTCGGTCCAAAGAAGCTACCGTTGTACGCATACCCGAGCTGGTTTTGCTTCTACATCAAGATATGTAGAAGCTGCAACAGGACCCGACCAACTACACTATTCAGCATCAAGGTGGATTAGCAATAGGATACGCAACTTTCAATTTGCACAGCCCTTCATCCAATCCTTGGCAAGAGTTCGGCTTCCTGTCATTCCACAACAAGTTGTTGATCCAGTCACGGTCGAGAATGACGAGTCTGCTTTTTGTGCAGACGAGATTGCAAATTCGATTCGGAAATTTAACCGAGTGGAAGCCATATATAAGGAATACTTCGGACTGAATGACGACGAAGTCATGCTCGAGAGTCACCAAGACACGGTTCTGAGATCAGATCCACGAGACTACAACTCAAGAAGAAAGCACAGCGGCCAATGGAACCCACGGATCGGTCTGCCCATACCTTCGCCATCTGAGAATTGTTAGCACCAAAGACTATGTTTGCAACCAAGAGAACGGATGTAAAATATATTTCCTCTAGTCATTTTATTATTCGTTGACAAAGTATCTCCATTGAATTCTTGATATTCGTTATTAGTCCCGCAGTGTAACCCCCAAATTGCAGATCACTATAAGCGAAAAGTCTAATGGCAGGAGAGTTTTTGTATGCGGGGGTTCTCCACTACTCCGGAGGACGAGTAGACTGACCTCGGTTACGAACAAATACAAGGGCAATCTCACACTCGTGGTGCCACCCACAAGTACCTACTCGGTCAGAGTTTTCTAGAAGCCACATATGGTAATTGAGCGGGGTGGCGGTCAGGTACGGGAAACCCAAAGGCGGACGCTCAAATAAACAGTCGAGACAATTTCCCATTCATCATAATTCCCTTGCTCCTGCTCCCGACTGCCGTCCTACGTAGTACTCCGCACTGCATCAGAGTATAGAAGTCTGGTCGTGCCGTTCCTGTATCTTACTTGCGGTGATTACTCCGTACTTCGTATTTCTGCTTATCTTCCACCTTGTAACTTAATCTCCCAGATGTGGGGACGACTGTATCTTAAAGACGGAAAGCCGCATTTTCTGTATGTCATTTCTTCCAGAAATCTCTTTCTTATCTCTGCTTATAGTTTATTTTATGTAAGGCCAAGACCATTTTATACCGCTTTGGCAGTAATCGCTCTTGGCATGTCAATGCAGCGCTGCCGCCAAGGGGCTAAAGGGCGCGCTTAGTCGGTGAGTAACTCTCACACGGACCGATTCTAACCGGACCGTGGCACGACCTCTCCAACCCTAAATCACCAGAGTTCCGACATATGTGCTAACCTGTAAGTCTGTAGCGCATCAGACAATGTTTCGAGAAAATCTTCCCCGCCACCCGCCTTAGATATCAGCTAACACTGGTTGTGACTGGTACATTTAGCCCAATTTGGCGTGGTTTTTGGCCTGGAAGCCGCGAAGAAGTCGTCCATCTTAACCTGAATGGGACCAGCCTGACTGCGGATTGGCCCTCAGGAACCCGTTCTGTTCACAAGAACTGACATGCGCTTTTCCCGGAGCAGCATCAAGACTCATCCACCATGACACGAGTTTATCTCTTGGCTCTCGCCCGAATTACTAGGGTCAGGGCTCAAATATCCCGGGATGATCCTCAACGGCACGCAGTCTTACTGATAAGGCGCGTGGCATCTTCTTCATTTCCTGCCCTCATAAGTCCAAGAGCTTTCCCATCTTGCAGGCGGTTCTGAAAGTAAACATTCGTTATTATTCATCCTTTCGCCCGGAAGACTTCTCCTACCCTTTTACTGAGTCTCAGGGGAGAGGCTCTTAAAAGTTCAGGGACTCACACACCTGTGACTGTGAGACGTGGGACTCGATCTATCTCCTGCCTCCATTTCCACCCGTTCAGCTGCCATCTCAGCTGCGTGACTATATTAAAAAATCTGCTGGGCAAAGCTGTACAATCATTTCAACTGCTCTATTGATTCAGCACCCGTTACGCCTACTTTTTCCCATCCACAGCTTTATCCAATCCTGCAAAGAAAAAATGGCCGCCATTGATCGGAAACCCTCCAATGACACGGTCGAGAAGGGCCCCGAGTCCGAGACCAAAAGCGGAGAGATCCTGCCCGCAGCCGGTGATGACCGAACTCAGCTGCACCGTGGTCTCAAGGCTCGCCATGTTACCATGATTGCCATTGGCGGTGCTATCGGCACCGGTTTGATCATTGGTACTGGTTCCGGACTTGCTCGCGCTGGGCCTGCATCGGTTCTGATTTCCTACTCTATGGTCGGCTTCCTCGTCTACCTTGTCATGTGCGCTCTGGGCGAAATGGCTTCATGGTTGCCTCTTGGAAGTGGTTTCACTGGTTATGCTACCCGATTCTGCGATCCCGCTCTCGGCTTTTCCATGGGTTACACGTAAGTAGCGTGATATTTCTAATGAGTATTTTCGATCTTTCAAGTATACTAACGATATGACGTCTTTAGTTATTGGTTCAAGTATATTATCTTGTCTCCGAACCAACTCACCGCTGCTGCCTTGGTGCTTCAATATTGGTGTCCGGCTGAGAAAGTTAATCCAGGAGTCTGGATTGCCGTCTTCCTTGTTCTCATCGTTGCCATCAATTACCTCGGTGTCAAGTTCTTTGGCGAGTTTGAGTTCTGGCTATCCAGTTTCAAGGTCATTGTTATCATTGGCCTCATCATTCTCTCTCTGGTTCTCGTGCTTGGCGGAGGGCCCGATCATGACCGCAAGGGCTTCCGATACTGGCACCATCCTGGTGCCTTTCACGAGTACATTGAAAGTACGTCTTATCTGAATCTCGCCCCGACCCTTTTGTAAAATTTTCAGATGCTAATTCTCTGTGTAGCTGGTTCCACTGGCCGATTCCTCGCTTTCTGGGCAACCATGGTCCAGGCCACTTTTGCATTCTTGGGCACGGAGCTGATCGGTGTCACCGTCGGCGAGACCCAGAACCCTCGCCGCAACATTCCTCGCGCCATCAAGTTGACCTTCTGGCGTATCGTGGTCTTCTACATCGTCACCGTTCTGCTGCTCGGCATGCTGGTGCCCTATGACTCCCCCGAGCTCATCTTCGCCAGCAAGAAGTCCAACTCGGCTGCTGCGTCTCCCTTTGTTGTCGCCATCAAACTATCCGGCGTCAAAGTTTTGCCTGGCATCATGAACGCGTGCATCTTGCTCTTTGTCATTTCGGCCGCCAACTCGGATTTGTACATTGCCAGCCGTACCCTCTACGGTCTTGCATCTGAGGCCAAGGCACCTCGCATCTTTGCCTACACCAACAATGCGGGCGTCCCCGTTTACTCGCTGGGATTGTCTGCGTCGATTGCTCTTTTGGCCTTTATGAATGTTTCGAGTGACGCCAAGGTTATTTTTGGTTATTTCGTCAACCTCGTCAGCATTTTTGGTCTCCTCACCTGGATCTCCATCCTGGTCAGCCACATTTACTTTGTGCGTGCTCGCAATGCCCAGGGCGTGCAAGACCACGAGCTTGCCTACAAGGCGCCCTTTGGCAAATGGGGCTCGTACGGCGCGCTTGCCTTCTGCATCCTCATCGCCATCTTCAAGAACTTCAATGTCTTTGTGCACAACCCCAGCACCTATGGTAACTTTGACTACAAGAACTTTATCACTGGTTACCTTGGCATTCCGCTCTATCTGATCATGATTCTCGGTTACAAGGTCCTGATGAAGTCGCCTGGTGTCAAGCCCGAATCGGCAGACATTTGGAGCGGCAAGGCTGCGATCGATGCCGAGGAGCAGGAATTTCTGGCTCAGGAGGCTGCCCAGCGCGGCCAGGAGACTCGTGCGCAGAAGTGGTACCGGTACACTCTTGGATGGCTCTTCTAAGCATGATGCCAATCAATGATTCCGAGACGCACGCTGTACATTTTTCTTTGAACTTTTATTCTTCTTCTTGCCGCTACGACTATTCTTCATCCTCTTCTCAACTACCCCACCATTGCATGACGGATATGGCGTTTTTCTTTTCTTTTCTTTTTTTCCCCTTGGGATGATGAAAATTTTACGGATTCTTGGTACTTATACGGGGCATACATATACTGCATATTTTTCATGAGATATCAAAACGATCTACGAATTTTTTTCAATACGTTGATCATCCACAGTGTTGCAATTATGGTGTGTGGTCAGATATTGCAATTGTCGTCCGACTTTTGACGTGATGCGGTACTCTAAGGATGGTGACGTCTGCTCCGTTTTATGTGTCTGCGGTGTTATCCCCGCACAACTCGTTGTTGCTGACTTTCGTTATGCATCAGGAAGATATCTGATTTATTGATTGATCCGATTTATCTCCTATCTCTGACCCCTGGTCAAGCTGAGATCTTCCCAATCTCCCCGGGGTAAGGGATTTTACCTTACGGAGGAGAGTGCTCCGAAGTACAATACTATACTGCTGAGGCCCGTCTCCGTTCCTGCATGAGGGCTACATCGGTACCTACACGCGCTAGTCACGTGATGACAGTTATTGTTGCCCCCTGTCCGGTCTCGGCGAAATAGATCCGATATGACTTTTACCACTGGGGGCAGATTGGAGGGGTTTCCTTGGGGGTGTCACTAAATATGACTCCGCGTAATATTGAGGGGCACATGGAGGGGCACATTTGGGGCAGGAGAGTACTCCGTAATACGGTACAAAGCTAGCTGCTCCATGTATGAGACAACGAGACCTCTCTTCTTAGTGATACAAATGGTCTCGCCCAGGCGCCCCGGAATCGACCCCGCAGAAAATGACTGCACCTTTGGGCTCGAATATTTGTTTTTTTTGGCAATCAATGATCGCTAGCGTAGCCAAGGGACTGGGGCAATGTTGCAGATTAGCAGGCTTGGTCAATAATCAATATATCAAAAAAAGAAAATCTATCAGTGGATACTTCGGGGGTTCTTGATCCCGTCGGTTTAATGTCCAATGTGCGTGGGGGTAACCTTTCGTTGTCCCCCTACGGAGGAAATTAAAACAGAAAGGGAAGTCCGCTGGAAGAGGTTGGACCATAGAGTTCCAAATAGAGGACCAATTGTACCAAAGAAGGGTGACAAAAAAGGAAAAGAATGAGAATAATTCGAACCCAAAAAGTGATACAGAAAAGGGTGCCAAATAGAGAACATTTCAACCCAAAAAAGGATACAGAAAAGAATGAGTAGCTTTATACGAGTGCTATACATTATGGCAGATGAAGGCGAAAGTACCACTACTTGCATCATCATGAACATTTATGTCTCGCCAAAGATACCCAAAGGAGGGGCGGAGTCCCTTGATGCAGGAGTTATGTCAAAAGGGCCTGGGCTGTGTATGTGTTGACTCTGGCTGACATATTTTGGCACATTTGCGGTAATCGGTAACCTAACTCACCACTATACTCTGTCTAGTTGATTCGTTTCGATTTGGTTCGCCTTGGATCTGGCTGCGAGAGCGTTTGGCTGTAATGAGTAAATTGGGGCAAAGAGGGTGCGATGACGAAACTCCTCGGAAAGGTTTTCCAGCAAAGTGGATCTCTCAAAGGGGATAGGTAAGCGAACCAAGAGAAGGAAGATACCCCTCCATCACGGCGTAATTCTCGTACCATCTACAGCTGTTACGCCAAAGCACAATCATAGATATGATGAAAGCGTAACTACTCAATCGCAATGAGAGGGACGAGTATCGGAAGAAAATGATGGGAGTGAAACTACTGTAGAAAGGTCCATTCTTTTCCCTTGTTCTCTTCTCCGCCTCGTGCTGTTCAGAGTAATTACGGTGTTTTTTTGCACAAGAGGTAATTTAACGTAATCAGGCACTTTTGACGTCGCCATGGCTACGAGATGGTTACTGGTACTTCGTGGCTCATCAGCAGGCGGCGCCGATGAGGTAACCGGGCCCATGGCGAGTACCCATCGGTGACCCCACCATCCCACCCAGTTCCAACCAACCATCGTTCACGTTGCCGCCATCTCTCATCATGGGCCAACTCTCTTTGCCTCCTCACTCCTTATTAAACTAACCCCGTTGCCGTTCCTTCCTCCTGCTTCTTCTCTTCCTTCAGTTCAATTCATCTTCACACGTTTTTATTATCCAGATACCCCCTCTCCTGCATCTTCAAAAGGATCTAATCCTCTTAACGACCACTACTTTTCATCACTTCACAACTTATCCAAAATGTCTTCTCTCGACCAGCTCAAGGCCTCTGGCACCGTAAGTCAAATCACCTCTTATATTTTGGAGATGATTTTCGCATCACATTGAGCCATTGGCTAACACAATTGCTTGTCTAGACTGTCGTCTGCGACTCTGGTGACTTCGCTACCATCGCCAAATACCGTCCTCAGGATGCTACCACCAACCCTTCGCTCATCTTGGCTGCTTCCAAGAAGCCTGAGTATGCCAAGCTGATCGACCAGGCCGTTGCCTTCGGCAAGAGCACTGTACGTTTGAACATCTCTTCTGCAGATGAAAAAGTGTCAATCGGTTCTAACACCACATTTACAGGGCGGCGACCTTGACGCCCAGGTCGATGCCACTCTCGACCAGCTGCTTGTTGAGTTCGGCAAGGAGATTCTTAACATTGTCCCCGGTAAGGTCTCCACCGAGGTCGACGCCCGCTTCTCTTTCGACACCAAGGCCTCCGTTGAGAAGGCTCTCCACATCCTTGAGGTACGCTTCCGATTACTGTGTAATTTTTTAATATCAATCAGCGACTGACAGTCTTTGCAGCTCTACAAGAAGATCGGCATCTCCAAGGACCGTATCCTGATCAAGATCGCCTCCACCTGGGAGGGTATCAAGGCTGCCCAGATTCTCCAGAATGAGCACGGTGTCAACTGCAACTTGACCCTCATGTTCTCTCTTGAGCAGGCCATCGCTGGTGCCGAGGCCGGTGCCTACCTCATCTCTCCCTTCGTCGGCCGTATCCTCGACTGGTACAAGGCCGCCACCAAGAAGGACTACACCGCCTCCGAGGACCCCGGTGTCAAGTCTGTCCAGGACATCTTCAACTACTACAAGAAGTACGGCTACAAGACCATTGTCATGGGTGCTTCTTTCCGTAACGTCGGTGAGATTACTGAGCTCGCTGGCTGCGACTACCTTACCATCTCCGTACGTTTGCCCCGCCAATACTCACACGTGCCTCGTGCCTTGAGCTAACATTTGCTTTCCAGCCCAACCTCCTCGAGGATCTCTACAACTCCAAGGAGGCTGTTCCCAAGAAGCTTGCTTCTGAGAACGCCCACGTTGTCGACCTGAAGAAGCGCAGCTACATCAACGATGAGGCTCTCTTCCGCTTCGACTTCAACGAGCAGCAGATGGCCGTCGAGAAGCTCCGTGAGGGTATCTCCAAGTTCGCCGCTGACGCCGTCACCCTCAAGGACATCCTCAAGGAGAAGATCCAGGCTTAAATTGAGTGACTATGTGTCATCTCAGTTTTCTGCGTCTCTTTTCCTTTGATTTACATTTCATCCCTCATATACTCCCTTTTTTCACTTGAAACCTCTTTGATCAAATCGATCGACTGAACTTTTCCACCAAGTTGAACATCTAGACTGGAGCTTTTCGTTATTTTGCATCTTTGCTCGGACCTTTCTTCTCCATCTTCTTTTTGTCACCATGGGAAAAATAGGAGATGAAAAAAGGGAAAGACTGGTGGCGCGTGTGTTTTTTTTTTATTTTGAAACTGCCTCAAGCGTCTAGACTGATTTGGGATTGCGAGAAGATGTCGTATCGACTTTGATTCAACATGACGATGGACTTCTCCTTTTGGCGGCGCAGGAGTTTTCTTGCAAAGCTTGACTTGCTAGCGTCCGTTCAATTTCCCGCCTTTTAATTTTTACTCTACCCCTTCATATCTCCATCTGTCTTTACTATCCCCCCAAATTCGTCACGATTGAACGATGTATTTAACGTCTTCAAATGATCAATTTGTACAATTTTTTTTATGAAGAAAAAGGTTCATTTCACAAATTTTCATACAACGTCAGTCATAATCATATGTGAGACATAACGAAACTTGTAGCATGTGATTGTGAAATTTCATTAAAACGTTGGAAGATATGCATGCCATGCATAAATAACTTACTCCACGACTTGATTATGAAGATGAATCACGATTTGCTTTGTAACCTTTTGGCACACTTTGGCAAATTAGACAATGTCCCACGCGGATAATTTGAGCACTTTAAATGTTTAACTCGATTCAATTTTTAATTTTGTTGTCTTTAGAAAAAAAAAAAAAAAGCCTAGCCAACGCTTGAGAGACTAGTGATAACCATCGAATTGATGGTGATAAGCTGAATAACGATCAACAACACAGTTGACAACGATGATAGATATCATGCAAGAACTAATTTTGGAAGAAACCGTCCAGCATGAAATATGACCTGGTAAGGGAAAATTCTCCCTTCGGCACAGAGAAAGAAATAACTTTGAAAATTCCTTCAATCGCCGTCCCTGCAAATTCGCCGTACAGAGGAAGATGAAGGGGAAACGGTGAAGGACAAGAAAAAGAAAAGAGATGAAGAGGAAGGGTACCGTTCTTTCGGGCGAGGAGAGAAGAGGGGAAAATTAGAGAAACGGGAAGGCAAAACTTTTTTCAAGAAAAAAGAAAAAATTGCGAATTCCTATTCTTGATCGACTTTAATCCTCTGTCAAATCGCCGTATTCCCACATTCCTCTGCGTTCGTGCTTGGCTTCTTCCTCACGGGCCTTCAAGCCAGCGAGCACATCAGAAGCTGCGCGTTCCCAGGCCTTGAGCTTGCGGGGCACCATGGCGAGACCGTCGGCGATAAAGTCGGCATTGAGACTCTGTTCGAGAGAAGCGCTGCTCTTGGGGTCAAAGAGCGTGACGTGCAATGTGCCATCCTGGTCCTGGTGGTCGACATTGGCAACAAGCTGAGCGCCCGAGACGGCGGCAGAGACTCCAGCGACGGCGTCGGCAAGGTATTCTGGCGAGGTAAGGGGGAATTGGAGGAAAGAGAGAACGGCGTCCTGCGCTTGAGGACGGAGCTTGGACGGCAGGAATTGCGGCTGAGTCAAGGGACGGAGGCGTGACCAGGGGACGAGCTCAGAGTTACCATAGTCAATGTAGACGACCTCGGCCTGCTGGTTTTCGCGATCGTTGCGGCGGATGCGGGCACGGTACCACTCATTGTCCTCGGTGAACTTGGCCGCAACAAAATCGCCCGCCTTAGGAGCACCAGGAAGCGAGGTAGCGTTGGACAGATGGAAAGTGCGGAAAGCGCTCATGAGCTCCGTGAGAGCGGCAGTGCCCGTGCCAATCTGCTGAACCTTAAGCTTGACGCTGTCGTCCACGTTGGTCACAACAATGTCGCGGTAGTCTTTCCGGCGCTCGACGACAGCCTCTCCATTACCTGCCTCGTCGTCGGCGGCCTCACCAGCTTCTTCATCGTTCACCTCTTGGCTGGGATCCCATTCGTGCCACATGCCCTTGCGAGCATCCTTGGCGTGCTGTTCGGCAGCAAAGTACTCTTTCGCATTGCCTGACTGCTCTGCAGAGTACGCGTGCACGCTCGCAAGGCCTTCTTCAAGGAGAAGCTTGGCAAAGTTCTCACGGTTGACGTACAGTGTACCGATGAAGCCACCAACCTTGTCAGTGGTCTCTACGTCAATTTCAACATCACGCTGCATGCAGCGGCGGTTAGCAAACTCGTGAGCTTCCTGTCCAAAGGGTTCGGCCTTGTCCTCAGGGCCTCTGGCGGAGCGAGGAGCGCGAATGCCGGAGAGGACAAAGGTGAGCCTGGCATTCTCGCGAGGAATCAGGACAGTGAAACGAGATCCGCTCTTGACAAAATCCACAATGGCGGGAACACGCTTCTGGCGTTGAAGGACAGAGGCCTGGATCTTGGCCTTCTGCAAGGTTTCGGAGTAGTCCTGGTATTGCTTATTCGCAGGAGGCTTAGGAGACCACATTCCCCTTTGTTCGGCCTGGGCAGCCTCCTCGGCGGCAAGCAGATCATCGTAAATCTCTGAGCGATCTTCATCATCCCGACGGTGGCGGATCACGGAGGCATAGCCATTCTCGACAAGAGTCAGGGCAACATTCTTGTTGTTGAGGAGAAGGGTGGCCATCTCCCGCTCCTCGTAACCCTCAGTGGCGGGTCGCTTGCCATCAATGGTTGCAAGCACGTGCTTTCCAATAAGTCGCTTCCGCAAAAATTCCTTAGCATCGGCCGCGAAGGGAGACTGCTTGGGATCAGTAGGCCTAAAGTTGCAATCCGCGTTAGTGAAAATCCATGCGTGTCTGGTGGGGAAGTCTCCGTACTTGGGTTGCCTGATGCTGCTGAGGTTCACTCTCTTCTCCTCACCAGCCTTGTTTCTCAAAAAGACGGTATCCGCGCTCTGCACGCGAACAACAGTAGCCTCAATATTGCGGGAGTTGTTGGCTTTTGTGGAGACAAGGCCTTGGAAGAGACCTTGACGCTGCTCTCTCGCTGCTCTCTCGGCTTGTCTCAGCGCGGCCATTTGACTTCCTAGCATGGTGGAGTGGTGATCAGTGCACCGTGCCAGACCCGACTTCAGCAAAAACTCGGATATGTTGCCATTAGGATGGATAACAGTTCCAACAAGCTGACCCTGCGGGCTGACGCCGAGCAGATCAACCTTGACGTTCCGCTGCAACAGTCTCGACTCCACAAACTGCTGGGCCTCCTCGCCAAACGGTTCTGCTGGAAGTTCCTTGCCGTCGGCGGGGTTCGTCCGCTTTGTCGTGGGTGTCCGCACGCCGGCAATAAGCAAGAGCGTTTGTACATGTTGCGTTGGAGTAACCATCAGCCGGACAATCAGACGATCTCCAGTCAGGACTCTCTCGACAATGGCTAATATATATTCTTCAGCAAGCATAGAGACAATATCACATTACAACTTACAGTCAATTGTCTTTCCCTTCCACTCGTCGACAAACGCTTTGGGGTCGGGGACCTCATAGATGTTATCCAGCTTGCCACCGCTGGCAGCCCAGACACCTTTGAATTGCGCTCGTGCGCCGGCCTCCGCGGCTCTAAGCTTCTCCAGCTGAGCTACAGATTCTTCGGAATCACCTTTTCTCTCGGCATCGTCTCGTAGACGCAACCATCCCTCAGACACGAGCAGTTCAGGAAGTGTATGGCCGGACGGGAGGAAGACAAGACCGTAGTCGCGTTTGACGCCGGTAGGAACAGTGTAGATGACAGTAAATTGAATGACCTTTCCAACGAGTAGTCGTCTGAGGTAATCGCGCGATTCGAAGGCAAATGGCTAGAAAACGTGCATTAGCATTCATGATCCTTGACGGAAGAGGTGGAGGCAAATTGTTGCACCGAAGAATGGCGCGCGGAACATGGTGCGGGTTAAAGATCAAGTACGCTTTATGCAAACATAAAGCAGTTTGGGCAGACAATGTTTCACTACGTGAGGTAGAAGTCTTCATCTTCTTTACAAGCAAAAGCACTAACCTCATCGCCTTCTCTGCGGATTCTTGGGGCCGAAACAAAGGCCAAGCTCAGGATTCGTTCTTGGCTGGGATTGTGGACATTGGAGAGCACCAAGGTGTCACCGGAGGTGACGCTCTTAACCTTGGCCTGTGAAAGAGGCATGTTGATAGAAACTGCCGAAGAACTAATGCGAGGTTCTGAGAGAGGTTGTCAGTCTCAATGGTTCAATTCTATACCTCGGTTGCTTGAAAGAGCCAAAGGCAAATGTCAAGATTTAGAGCTTCCATCCCGCAATTGACGTTGAGAATGCCACTTTGGATCAAGGAGACAAGAGGTCTGTCGGGGTAAACTCACTCCGTTAGGGACAAAATGAAGCTGCCCAATCTCGTACTTTATCTGGCAAAGGTACTGTATCTGTCAATCAATGATTAGTCCTGCCCCAGAGGAGAGTTTCTTTTGGTGGAAGCTGCACAGTGATGAACGAAACGATGAAGCTAGAGTGCAAGGGAAACCGCAGAGGATGATGCAAGGAGTTATCCAAAGGAGGTCCCACCAGTTCGTCAAAATGGAAATGGTTGAATGATGAAAAGAGACGAACAAAGGGAGAAGGGAAATGATAGTTCGAAATTGGAGGAGGAATTGTTAGGGGAGCTGTGGGATTCTGGGGATCAAGGCGCAATAGTACACACCATTCACTACTAAACTGCTAGGGATGGCGATTCTCTCAGAGAACTCAACGTGTACTGAAGCTCCTGACTGGACCTGGACCCGAGCACCGGGCCTTCTAAGTACCGACGCTATGCCGTTCTAGATCTGTCGGACCCCTCGTTTCCATGCATGACCGGGTCTAGCGCCTTTAGGAAAGATATCCTCCGTCCCCTTCAGCATCTGGAGTAAAGGAGAGAATATACGCAGCACATGGCAAGCTTATCCGATGTCACAACTACTGTTGAGGTCCGTGAAAAATCCCGAGAGTATTCCAAGTGATTTTTTAGATATCAATTATCTACTTCACTATTAGGAAAATATTGACGCCAACTACGGTTTTCCAAGCCAAGTTACGCTCCAACTAAATTCGTGTTTCGTAACATCGGTATCTTCGTTTGATTACAGAGTCATTTAAGCAGCAATGCCGATGACACCTAATATTTCTTGTTAGTATTGAATTATCTGGGGCTATAATTGACCGTGCAGAGTATATAGCACTTACCGCAAGCGGGACGGGCACCAGCGTTGCCAGTCTTCTTGGACTCCTCAGTGCCACCCCTACCGAGGTCATCGGTGCCGGCGTGGACAACAATGGTACGCTGCAACGAAATGGTCAGCCAGATTTGATCTCTGTATGATTCATTGATGGTTGTAAAACGTACGCCAACGACGCTGTCAGGGCCGATCAGCTTGATAAGGCGGTCCTGGACTGAGCCGACGGCATTACCCTGACCGTCGGTCTTGAAGTTACCAAGGTCGCCGACGTGACGTTCCTGATCGGCAGGAGCGCCGTGGGTCTTGGAGTAAGGGTTGACTGTTTCGTACCATGAGCATCGATTTCACCCCTAGGGCTGAAATAAAGTTGTAGAAGACTTACAGTGAGGACCAGCAGAGGTGCAGCCGTTGGAGTTGTCACCGAACTGGTGGACGTGCATGCCACGCTCAGCGTTGGCATCGTGGCCAGTAATGTTCCATGAGACGGTGGTAGGGTTGGACTCGGAAGTCTGCTCGAAGGTGACAGTACCGCCAACCTTGGAGTCACCTCGGAGAACAGCGACTATATTTCACTTTTATTAGCAACAAAGGTCCGACATGCAGATCATTCAACCGATTAGCAGGGGTTCATTGCTACGGGGAAGCGCGTCCGTTTGCTAATGTAGGTATAATCGGGCAAGCGTGCAATGAAGAGAACCTTGGTGGAAAGACAACCATCAAGGTGGAACCGTGGACCAAAGGGATTTAAGAACCGCAACACTCGCCCCTCGTCGAGCATCCTCCATCTTCAGACGTTTTCCTTCCAACTTTAAAAAAGCAACGGAAAGCGATTGGCAGCAAGTGATAGGAACTCCACAAAGATCTCACAGATAAATGGACCCCAGAGCTAGCAACGAAGGTTTTGAGAAGATCAGGTAAATGACAGAAGAGAAACTTACCAGCCTTGACCATTTTGAATGTGTAGAGTTACTTAGGAGAAGAACAAAAGTTCAATTGATTGATGAAGTGTAAGGAGGTTTCTCTTTTAGAGGAGGAAAGTCAGAAAAGGAGTCAGATGTGGAGATTTGACTTAAAGAGAGGAGGGGAAATTGATTCGAGGGTTCGGACGGTCAGGATTACAGCTCCATTACTAACAGTGGAATTTTGTTTGCGAGGGGCCTTGAGCTGTAGCCAATCAAGCAGCTCGGAGCCATCTTTGCTGCCATCTCCGATCAGGAGCCTGGAGCGGGGCATCACGTCATCAGCAGGCTAATCACGTGAAAGATACTTCTGTCACGTGCCATGCCCTTTCGGCGTTCGGATCTTTTCAGTACTCCGTACAGCGTACGAATAGTACAGAAACCATGAGCTGCTCAGCCTCCACTCGCATTTATCATTCCTTCAGGGTCAGTGCAACAGCGTCAACAATAGTGGCTGACACTTGGAGCCCACGAATCTTTGAATTACAACAAATAGAAAATTGAGAATCTTTTTGGTTGGCCTGCAGTAATTTTATTTATGAATATCATTTTGAGCTCTATTCAATCCTATTTGTAACGACAGGGAGAGGTGATACTTTTATGTCTTTCGTTTTTAAAAGAATATTTTTTAAATCCAAAGCCGACGAGGGTTTACAATCTGGAAAATTCCAATGACTGCCGATTTGACACCGCAACTAAACCTTCCGATATCTTAAGACACCTTCATACTTCTTGCAATGCATGTGACTTGTTTCGCTGGAGCAGTGGCACAGAAGCCTGGAAGGCGGTGAGAAGGCGAGGATCTCAGCCACACGACTTGACCGCCCTCAGTTATAGCTTACTGTAGAGTGTGATATAGTCCCAAATTTCATACCTTGACCTGTACGAGAGTCATCTATAGAAATTGATCAATTTTAATGGTCGAATCAATGTAATAATAACACTCCGATAGCAATGCATATACGCTGATCCGAGATTTGAAAATATGGCTCAAAACGAAAACAATTACGCGTTTGGTCGTACCTCATTATTATTGTTCAGGATCGTGACGGTACCAACGTACAACATTACGCGCGTGGGCGGTAATAAGCGAGCGGAACCATGTTCGGACATGGGGGGAACCTTAACGCCTTTCCCCGTCCTCGCCCTGTCGCCTGGAGACGGCGGCTTGCACCCTTACCGTTGCTTTGCCTTGGGCTAAAACCTCCAACATCGCCAAAAATCTGTATGGCCGTTGATCTCGACTGCTCTCCTAGTCAGGGCGGTATTGCCGTGAAAGGAAAGGAAACAGTTTGGAGGTGACAGGAACTCTTGTATTCGTCTTCCACCTTTCCACGACCTCAGGTTGCCGCTCCCAGATGTGAGACCTTGTCGCATCATCCTCCGCTAGAAGCTCTCACTCCCACGCTCGTTTTCCAGATTGCCTTCCCAAATCTTTATATCAAAAACTTATAATACGAACTTCGATAAGGCATTGTCAACATGTCGTATTACCGAAATGGTCAGAATTTTCATTTCCAGCAGACCGCAACTGCTTTCCCTCCTCCGCCTCGATCAGGCGGACTTCAGTCTCCCACACAGCCATTTCTTGAGCGGTCCCCTAGTTTTGACCGTGGAGATGACGCTTCATATGTTGGCGAGAGCGCCGGTAGGCCTTCTGAATATGGCACAATGATGGGTGGAAATGAGGTGCCTCGGAGCAACCAAAATACTCTGGGAATTGCAGAGGAGCCTTACATGGGCGGCTCAAACCCACCATCCGGCCATCCCCCTCCGGCGCCATACATTCCCACTGGGCATCAACCGCAATACCAGGCTACATCGCCACCGGGAGGTTATACCGCCTATTCTTCGCAGCAATATCCTGTCCCGCCTTCCGAATATAATCCGGCAGCGTACGGCTCGGTGAATGCCACTCAGGGGCCGGTTCATCAGCCATACAATCCAGCTGCGTATCGTTCTTCGAGCTTTTCTTATCAGGCAACATCCCCAAACAGTGTATATGGAGCATCCCCGACGAGTTTTATATCTTCCACTTCCTACCCCTCACCGGCGCTTGCATACGTTCCCCAGACACCGCCCCAACGCCACGACTCTCAGTACAGCCATCCGAGTAGACCGTCTCCATATGTAGGAAGTACGTCAGCGCCTTATGCTCCGTATCAGCCCATTTCGACAACATATGCCTCCTACTCCCCAGAGTATGCTGCGCACCCTCCACAGTCTGCCCGGCGAGGTAGCGACTATTTCGATATTGACGAGTACTACGCCGCAAATTCTCCGCAGAGGTCCAACTCACAGTCTTATTCTCTACATTCACCTGCATCTAGCTTTGACAGTAAACGTATGAATCTGCAACATCACTCACTTCCTTCGCCGCCTCAACATGGTAGCCAGACTGTGGCTGGCGTGAATGGGCTCTCTGGCGCTGGACCTGGAGATGATGTGCCTCCAATTCCTCCGCAGCACTCGCCGCAACGAACGAATACAACGGGCAGACATCCTCAATTACGCCCCTTGCCTGGGCCGCCCCCTGATGCATCGATCCGCTCGGACCTGGGCGTCTCGAATGGGGGATCCGCTGCGCCAACAATGCAGGGTATGGTGCAAGATAACGTTTGGACAGAAGTAGAGGAGGAGCTCATGAGGGCGGATAGTCGATCCCGTGGTCGACGTCGAAGCCCTGTGGCGCCGATGGGCCGCCATTCGCCCATTCATGAAGAAGCCGAGCCAGATCCGCTCTTCGCCAGCAGCATCACCGCTCCAACTGCCAGCCACCACATTTCGGAGATTGACGAAGACTTGACGAATGGGATTGGCAGCAGTGATGCGTACAGCGAGGGCAGCGATGCCGAAGCGGCGGCCGGGCTCGCTGCGCTACGCATGGAAGAGGAACGTGAGATGGCCGATCGGGCTCATGGACGGGCCGCAGACTATCGCCTGTTTCCGGGCTACGGCCCAGCCGCGCCGGAAGAACACCCTGTGGCTGGCCATGAAAGCGATAGTGACTATGCTCACGTAGACATGGGATTGTATGGTGGGGGCTATGACGTCCAACTTCACTACGGGGACGATCCATCCATCATTGCAGCTCACACTCAAGAAGATGTTGGACCATTGGAAACTCCACAGCGACCGTTACCAATGCCCGATGTTCCCTGGAGTACCGACGAGCGCTTTCACGAGGGCATTTACGATGACCTTGGACAGTATGGCCCTGACAGCACTGGCGCAGATGGTTTTGGGATGGGCGGCCTTTCGGAACCTACGCCGGAGAGACGCAGACTAAGCTTTGAGGAAGGAGACGAAGGTACTCTCGTAGATGCACAGGGATTTCCCATTTCGCCGAGCGCACTTCCTTCCCAAGAATATCCCGAATTGTTTTACCACCCCGGCATGTCTTCCCAACGGCCCTTGCCTTCGGTTTCAGCAGCTTCGACAGCAATCGCCCCGGAGCAGCATGATGCTCTATTCGATATTTACGATGCACGAGCCGAGATACCTCCTAGCACCGATACCTTATCCTATCTCTCAACAGCTGATAGCCGAGCATCAACGCTTGTTACTCCCTCAGGAACCATGGTTCCACGATCTTCGTCGTTATCAAGCTATAGCAGCACCCCACAAGCGATTCCCCCCATTCGGTCAAAGACTGATGCGGATGAGCGGCCCTTCCGTCTCTCGAGACAGCAGCAAATGAACGTTCGTCTGGCTGGTTCCAAGACGGACTCCGTTTACGATAGCTCTGCCCCACAAAGCACGGTGGCGCTGGATCTTCCCGAGATACCAATGGGCAAGGTGCTTAATCCGGCCAAACTTTCTACGTCAGATTTCAAGAAGTGCTCAGAGCCTTGGGCGTTAAGCTCTGTAGTCTCCTGGTTGAGGCAAATGAGTGAAGGGTCAACTGACCTGAAAGAACAAACGGTAGTAGATGGAATCGTGGCATTATTTACACACAAAGTGCCAACAATGAATGTTGCCGATGCCGAAACGCTTGCAGCGCTTATAGTTAAGCAAATGCTAAAGCACGGAGTTCTTGTCTACGATGAAGAATGGGTTAAATTCACATCAGAAACAATGTCCGGCGTGATCTATCAACTCACTGGGACCGGTTGCTACTCTCCCAGAGTTCATATGACCAATGAGTCCGGACGCTGCTATGCTTCGCACTGTCAAAGGACCCTCAAGAAGGTCAACCTTCAAGCGCACGCTCTGGAACCGCAAAAGAAGCTGGAAGACTGGGTCACGTTTTATAAGATCAAGATGGAGGATCTGGAGGGAGTGAATAAGAAGGAGATTGAGCGTCAAAATATTCTACATGAGATTGTCCAGACAGAGGATCAATTTATGGATCAGCTTGACGTTGTTCGTCAGCTATATCGCGATCAACTGCGTGTCTGCAATCCGCCCATAATTTCGCCAAAGCGAATCCAGCAGTTTCTCTCTGACGTCTTCGGCAAAGTCGACGCGATTCAGAAGGTTAATGAAGATTATTTACTCGCGCAGTTAAAATATCGCCAACAAGAGCAGGGCCCTTGGATTGTGGGCTTCAGCGGAATTTTTCGCGAATGGATACGCAAGGCCAAGGCAGCTTATATTGATTATGCTGCAAGCTTCCCCAATGCATCATTCCTTATTCGTAAAGAGTCGGAGAGGAACGTTCTTTTTCGTCAATTCCTTGACCAGATCAGCAAGCATGAGCGATCCAAGCGACTCGGCTGGGACACATATGTGAAGGCGCCCATCACCCGGTTGCAGCGATACAGCTTGCTTCTCGGAACTGTGCACAAGAATATGTTGCAAGAAACGGAAGAGAAGAGTAATCTTCTGATCGCAATGGGTGAGATCAAAGATGTGACCTTGGAATGCGACGCCCGTGTCGCAGAGATGTCCAAGAAAGTTGATCTCCTCGAGCTTGGCACGAAGTTGGTGTTGAGACCCGGAATGGAACGAGTGGAACTCAACCTAAATCATCTTGGGCGTGAGCTCATATTCAAAGGGGAGCTTCAACGACTTGGAGCGAACCGATTTACCTGGCTCGATACATACGCGATGTTGTTTGATCATTATCTGGTCCTTGCGAAAATAATCACGGTGAGGGATGCGGTAGGCATCAAGCACGATAGATATGACGTCTCGAAGCTTGTACGTTATGATCAGCTTTGCGCTTGTTGAACGACTTTACTGACTCTGTTCTGATAGCCCATCCCTATGGACCTTCTAGTGCTTGAAAGTACAAGTGATGACCCGGTAGTGAAGTCTTCTGTCAAGGGCATTGGTACTGCGACAGCCGTAAGCACTCGCCCTCAGGCGCCGACGGCGACTGTCAGCTCGGCTAGTGGACTCACTCAAACGACATCCAATTCATCGGCCAATGGGGTTATGGTCACCAATACTGTGCTTGAAGGTTACAAGGAAGAGAAGATCCTCTATCCATTCCGGCTCAAGCATCTTGGCAAGTCCGAAGTGTACACACTATATGCACCGACGGCACAGAGCCGGCAAGATTGGTGCGAGAAGATCATTGAAGCAAAGACAAAACATGCTGCTTCCCTGTACGCTCAGAATGCTGAGCCGTTCCGACTGCGGGTAATGGCTGACACAGCCTTTGCATATGATTCTCTATACGGCGGCTCCAAGAGCGTTATTATAAGTGGCACGCCCCTTGATCGTGCCATTCGTGAAGTGGAACAAGAATTTGAACACATCCCAGGTCCGCGACCGGGGCCTGTCTGCAGGGCCTCGGTCAATTGTGCTACCACCTTCACTCAGTCTAACGGTACTCAGATGGTGGCGGTGGGAACAGATTATGGAATCTACTTGGCGGAGCATGCCAACCCCCGGGGATGGAATAGGGTAAGTAAAACATCAGTCTTGCTTTCTGGAGAGCAAATTACTCACTATGCATAGATCATCAACATCCCACGGGTATCGCAGGTAGCTGTGCTTGAAGAATTCAGCTTGATGTTGCTGATCTCAGATAAATCATTGATAGCGTACCACCTTGATGCGGTTTGTCCTGTCAATGGTACACCGCCTCCGAATGACTCTGCTCGACGTGCGCCGCAGAAATTGTCCGGTACTCGAGATGTTGGCTTTTTTGCAATGGGGCATATGAAAGATCGTATGCTTGTCTTTTATAAGAAGCGGGAGGGTCTCTCATCTACCTTTAAGGTATGTCCACTGTCGCAACGCGTCCAGTCTCACCTTCCCTTTCATTCATCACTCCCAATCTCGAGCCTCTCACGCTGACAAATATTTTTCTTTTTTTCCCACAAAGGTCCTTGAGCCCATTTTTCAAAAGTCAACCGAGAAGAAACACCGCTTTCTGCGTAAAGGCGCGACGGAGTTCTTCCGCGAATTTGACGAGTTCTATATCCCCACTGAATGCTTTGGCCTCAACCTCTTCCACTCGTCTCTTTCCATCTCTACGCACCGCGGCTTCGAGGTCCTTACCCTTGACAAGAAACAACCCTGGTCCGTACCCGACCTCAAAGCGCCCCATGTCGCCACTATTGCCAGCCGCGTCCGCGACCAGAAGCCTCTTGGTATGTTTCGTCTCAGCGAGACCGAGTTCCTGCTCTGCTACGAAGAATGTGCCGTCTACGTCAACAAGCATGGTGATGTGTCCAGATCGGTCATTATGGAATTTGTGGGCAAAGCAAAGTCGGCAGCGCTTTTCGGCCCCTATATCCTCTTATTTGACCAAGATTTTGTCGAGATTCGCAATGCACAGAATGGGCGGCTTAGACAGGTCATTGCTGGAAAGGACGTGCGGTGCCTAGACGACGCGCAGCATACTGGCGGCGTCTTTTCCGGAGGCAAGCGCTCAGTTAAGGTTGCTCTGCAACATCCCGAGATGGAACGCAGTCAAATCGTTGTGGAACTGTTACTCAATGAAGGCTTGAAGGAGTAGTAATCGTACTACTCTAGCGTCTTATGGAAGGCTCTACGAGCCGCCGATCCCTGGGCAATAAGCAGTCTTGATCTCTCTGCAGTCTTTCGCGCAGCGCAATCATATGAAAGTCGTCTAGCGCCATTTCCCTCCATATTTCATCTCATCTGCTCATTCAGGGCTTTTTATTAATTTCGTTTTTTTATTATCCAGATTTTTTAGAATCTACCTGAGGTTTGAGGTGCAATGTTCAAGGTACATTGGAATGGAGCTAGGAGCTGGTCTTGACAAGGTTTCAATGGGTTGCATATTAAATTTCTCATCGATTTATTTTCTCTTATCTTCGTCTTTATCCTCTGTCTTACTTTGTGTTTTCTTCCTTCATTGTAACCTTTTTTTTGGCCGCATTTGCATTGTAAGGTCTTGTTTGGCCACATTGTTTGGTGCCTCCACCGCCCGCCGGGCAAGGACTTGTCAGAATAAAGATTTGCATTTTTTCCACTTTGTATTAACTTACTATAGCTGTAAGCAAGTTTGGCAATTGGCCAAGAAAATAAAATTAATTCTTATTGATTCTGATTTTACTTCGTCGTCATCCCTCTGATGAGGCAGCTGCGGACATTTCACTCTATTGCAACCATGCTTTTGCTGGCTTGAACAGTATCTGCTCAGCCCTTTTCAGCCTCTGTACCATTGTTTATATAACAATTTCGACTCACCACAACCAGCCATGGGCCACAGCAACTATGGTAATTGAGTTGCCTTAGCATTGACTGGCCTTCTCAAACTAGTAATCCTGGTGCGCTCTGTCCTGCTGAACCGTAGATGTGCATGCCTGGCCACAGCGGCTTCAGGGCTGCTTGGGCTTAAGCGACTACAGATATAGGTAGTTATACGGTAACCTAACCTAAGGGATACCTCTAACCCCCGCATCTGGCTAACTTATAAACGAGACTAGCTTAGAGGAGCTCAGGAGAATGTTGCATACTCGTTACGATGACTCCAACATTTTATAATCTGGACATGCATGCTCTTTATTTTGAACATCCCTGGAGTTGACACCTCTCCTTTACGCTGAGAGTGTGCAGAGGGAGAACAGAGTCATGCTGTATGCGGCGGAAGGAGTGGGATATATTTTCAGGAACTATTACTAGACCATATTCGGTGTACCAGGCTGCATGACTGGACTTCATGGTCGGGTCATTCGATGGCCTTTATTCTATTTTTTTGGTGCTTTGTCCTGATTGAGGTCAAGTCTGTGGTGATATGGCGATGACCCCGGGTAGCTATTGATAATTCTGTCTCTATTGAAAGAGTGGTAGGATACAGTCATAGCCAATCGCATGTGGCAGTTATGGAGAGTATATTTATTTCTGACATTTTTCACTCCGCAGTCATTTTCAACGCAGAGAGCAAACTCTATACTTCACCCATAAATCTTTTTCACCATACATTCCTCATCGAGTCATCGCAATCGGCCAAGAAGTTGCATCATCCAAGTATACCAATCTTCGACCTTTCCGACGACAAAATAAACTGGAAGAAAACAATCCGAACGTACACGTCAGGTTATTACATTCTTACCGAAAAAGCGATCAAAAATAATTCAGAGTATAGCTGGCATCCGAAATGCCCCCACAAGGTTCCCAAATTTCTCCACAGTGCCGAAGCAATCGAATTTTGCGGCTTCAACAAGAAAACCTCCAAGACCATCTGGAAAGCGTACTGTGATCAAGTCAACAGGCTAGGCGTTGAGCCCACCAAGAAGACTCCAAATTTTCCCAAGGAACCGTTTCGGCCTTTCAATCCACTGAATCTATTCTTCACCACCGAGGATGCGGCACCTCTCGAGTGGAGGATAACTGTAATGACAAGCCGCAGCTACCTATTCCTGGATTACCAGACGATCTCATTGATGAATTTCTCGGTACTGGCGATCCTTTTACCAATTTTATATTCTCCCAACTTGTGCCTTACCCAAAGGACGCCAGCGAGGAAAACCTGCAGGATTGGGGCCCCTTGTTCCGGCGCCTGGGAATCGGAGCACAGCTCGTAAATCAGGTCTCGTCTTCTAGCTTCAAAGACGTCTTGGACGAAGAAAAATACGAAACTACTGCATTGTGCTGGATGGTCGAAAGGGTCGAGAGTAGGTATCATCTACTGGAATCCATCCAGTCGGATGATCAATACTACTGGAGGGCTTTTTAGTACCGAGATGACGACGACTGGTGGTGGAGAAGGTATTGTTTGGACACGAGGGGAAAAAAGGCGAAGAGGGAAAGAGAGGATGAAGAGAAAAGGAGACTTGAGGCAGAGGAGAGACAGTGGAATTGTGAAATCAACCACTGCGAGAAATGTTTCGGTGAGGGATGTGACGGTGATAGTCAGAGTGAGCTGGACGAGGATATGGGGAACGTCTTGCCCCGCCGGGGAAAGTGTCGTATCAGGAAGGGAGGGACAGTAAATTATCGGTGATTCGATGGAATTCTGAATTTTCGAGAGAGACACAGAAACCCATAACGAAAAGCTGGGATTCTAAGGATTCTAGGAGTTTACAGTAGAGTACTATCTTGTCTTTGTACTCAATTTCACACAACTTAGCACCCTTGGCTACTACTGCCAATTTATTTTATCTTGTTTTTTTTTTTTTTTTTCAATTTTTTTTTATTTTTATCTCATTTTTCGTATCCTTCATCTTTTACTTTTATTTTTTTTTTAATTATGCTACTAGGCACCAATACAGATACTGGGTTTCACTACTAACAGCCATAAACGACGAACCATAATGTATGCATTCCATCAGGACTCAGCTGTGGCAACACTGGCAGGTACAGTATATACTATATAGCGACATCACTACCGCATTTATCAATGACTCAGCCAGGCACTAGAACTACTATACTTTATTCTTCAGCCCTCATCTCATAAATTCATACTTGTAACTTGTGGGCCGTGGCATTTTCATAGGCTCGCCGCTCGCTGCTCATGAGTCATGATCTAATATAAACCAGATCAATCTGGCATTTCCCCCCCTTTTCGTACAAACATCCCACTACTAGTGTACTCTACAAGTGTACTGTCACTACTGTATGCAGTGTGCAGCGTGCAGCGTGCCTGTATGACAGCAGGATGCCGTAGGCTCGTAGCTGTAGGACCGTAGGTAATGCTATTCTACTTCGTACTAATCCTGCACAGTGAGTCAGTGACGATTTACATGCCAAGTCAGCCAGCCTGGCTCACCTGCTTAGCGACAATACAGTACTAGGCTTCTAAGCTACTAGGCCAAAAGTACCGGTAACTGGTTAGACCTACAGTTTACTCATACAGTATGTTTTTTTAAAAGATGATGCTTCTCCAAGTTGGGCACACTGTACACCATACACCGTACACCGTACACCGTACGATGACGCATTGACGGTTGGATTCACAGTGTCACCACGCGGAGCAGCCTGGCTGCCTGGTTTTCTTCCTCCTACATACTACAGACTACAGTCTACGGGATATTGCGGCATTGCCCGTTTTAGGATGATTCTAGAGTAATGCTGCATGCATAAGGCTACTTTGTTCGATTTTGGACTGTTGTAGAAGTTAGAACTCGTTGAGTAAGTTAGAGAGATTTATATACTCGAGAGTCGAGAAGCGAAGAAGCATTTTTTTTCATATTCCTACTTCCTTTACGGCTTTGTCTGTTTGAAAACTATCTTGATTTTTTTTGTCTTCTGATACTGGATTGATACAAATCTACAACGTCAAACAGTAAACTACCTAATTTGAAGATTCGTTGTCTCAAATTATCTGATTCTCTGAATATCATATTATTGTTAATCATACAGTGTCATCTCTATAAGAGCATCGGGGGACGATATTTTGATGACCTTGATATCTTCAAGAAAAGGCAAATTTTATTAAAAAACACACACACACACACACACACACACAGACACACAAAATCATAATAAAAATAACCAGAGTAAAAATAAATATATCAACCAGCGCACAAAGAAGACGCGTCACGCGCCTATCCAAAGTTACAAACACTCGTCGAGTCGTCGGCCTACGCTTAACAACTGTCAAGTTTCAACAAAACAACAAGATCTTCAACAACGTTACAAGCCCATAATACCCCACCAAAGAGTCAAAGACCAAACCAAAACCCTCAGAAGCCAGGAGTCAGGAGTCAGGAGTCGATAGTATACTATACACAACATGGCCGAGCCAAAAGTCCTACACGTCCCAGGCGTTCAGACTCGCGACCCTGCCACTCGGGACCCCATCCTCACGGCGCCAGCCTCAGAGGCGCTATCCGCGCTGGACGGACCCGCGCTGATGCCGACGGGTAAAGGCGCGCGATGGTACCGCCTCACGTCCCGCGTGCTCGCAGATTGCTGCGCAGCTGGATACGGACCGTACGTTACGCTTGTGCCGGCCTACTGCGTCAGTCCCGAGACGCTGCTCTTTCTCGGGCTAGAGCCGAGCGTGGCGGCGAAGCTGTGGAAAAAGTACAGTCTGCAGTGCAAGGCGCTGCTGCAGGCCGGGTATAGCGAAAAAGACCTCAGTGATGCGTTTGTCCCAGAGCCAGACGCGGTGTTTCCGCCAGGAGTCGTGCCTGATGCGCGACGGCAGGCGGGGACGAGGGTCTTGTCGAAGATGGAGATGGATGGAATGCGGGCAAAAGGAATGGGGAGGAAAGAGGAAGCGGCAGGAACAGCAGCAGCAGCAGCAGCAGAAGAAGAAGAAGAAGAAGAAGAAGAAGAAGAAGAAGAAGAAGAAGAAGAAGAAGAAGAAGAAGAAGAAGGAGGAGGAGGAGGAGAAAAAGGAGAAAAATGAGAGGGATGTGGTTGTCTATGTGCCCAGACAGAAGAGGTTTAATCTTACAGATGGGGGGAAGAAGGAGAAATATCGCATCGTGTAAGAGTCAGGAGTCTAGGCAAATGATATGCCTTTGGCGCTTTGGTCTTTTCGAGCTCGGGCTTTGGATTCTGGAAGGATTGTTAATTTGTTATGATCATCTCACAGCATAAGATTTCTTTGCGTTGAACGAGGTGATGTTCAATGGAGGAATGAAATGCGTGAAGAGCCTCAAAGAGTGGGACTGTGGGAGGCAAAAATAAAATTTGCGAATAGAAACTAGAGCTTGGATTCAGCTGGATTCTGGAGTAAATTTGAAAAGCGCCTAAGACTAGAGGCGCGAGCATAAATAAAGCAAAAGAAAGATATTTTTTTTGAAGAAAATCTAGCTGTAGAAGGAAATGAAGATGCTCGAAAGTGTCATGAAAAGGAAAAAAGAGAGAAAATAGGAGTGCGCCGGTGCGAAGCTAGCAGAAGAAAGACAAGAACCGCTTGAGAAAATATATCAGAACGGAACGTCGATTTGAAGGAAATAACTTGACGAAATAAAAGAAGAAAAAACTATCAAAAAAAAAGGAGATTCGACCAGTAGAAGCTCATCGCTTACTACTAGAGAAAGAAATTGCGAACGTATGGCGAAAGAGATCGAGAAAGCAAAGGAGAAAATCAGCGATAGGGCCACGCCGGAGAAAATGAAACCGAAAATTGCTAGCAGTAAGTTTGAAAACGTGCAGATTTGGCAGCATATCCAGGAAATTGCGAGCTGTAGACAAATTTAATTCTCAATAGGAGGATCTCCCTCATCCCCATTGTACGGCTGTCGGACAAATTCGCCTTTCCAGCGGCGGTCCTCAGCGATGAGCTCAGGCTTGACATGGCGGCACGTCAGAGCGAAACGAAGGCGGCCCTCGGGAATGACAGAGTGCTGTGGCTGAAGTTAGTATTCGTACTTTGTAAAGCAGAAAAGTAAGAGCAGGAACGTACCTCGAAATACTTTTGCAACTCTGCACCATGCATGACCACAATGTCTCCATGCCGGAGTGTCATAGTTAGGAGATTTGGTGGATTTGTGGCCCTGGATTTCTGATGGCATTCATACATCTCGTCCACCTTTTTGTTCCACTCTTCCTCTTCAATTGTGCCATGTTCGAGGTTTAGAGCAACGCGCTCTTCGTACGCTTTAGCACCACGTAGCACAGGCGCAGAAGGGTTGTACTTCGGTCGAGGCGGGAGATGATAATAGACACCCTTCATCCGGATTCTCATTACGGCAGATCCACCAAGTGAAAGTGTCGCTATAGTTGGTCCAAGTGTGGACTCTCCATCATCATGATACTATATATGTCAGGAAAGTTTGTCGAAAAGAAGGGCACAACATGGCTTACGCTGATCTTCTGCCCTTCAAAGTATCCAATGGCAAGCAGCTCATTGAAATTCATAAAAGATTCATCGTTCACGACATATGCGCCTGCCCAGGTGAGTCTGTTCACCGCATCGGTAATCAACTGTGGAGCCTCTTGGAAGCTTTTGGAATCAACGTCAACGACATATTTATAATCCATGCCGAAATTCACAGAAAAGTGCTGAGTGACTGCTTCTCCGGTCACTGCAAGACATTAGCTCAGGTCAAGATGGGTCTACAATAACACACACGTACATCCATGACTTGCAAGTGGAAATCTTCTCAATCCCATCTCTACCGACTGAAGCTTTTCAAACATTTCGTCTGGGCCACCCGCTTGAATGTTGACGTAAGTGTTTGCCAGGAAGTTTGTAATCGTACTTCCGCCAGGCAGGGTGTAAATTTGTACGCGATAATTGTCCAGGAACGTAAATTTTTCCGTGACCCAATCCTCTTTGACTACCTGAGTAGGAGGCTGACCGTTGTATGGTATATCGAATGGTGTTGCAGCCATCTTTGGTGAAATGACGGTATGTCTTACGTGCTGAACAAACCCACAGTCACTGGTGGCACACTTCCATTCATGCCAGCGTATGCGAGAATTGCACCGGCCGCATCTGGGACAAACAAACCCCTTCCAAGCATGCCGGGAATAGGACACCATCGGATCATTATCATCTTCAGACAGCACCGAAGTTTGCAGCTCGTAAGGAGGTTTGATCTGCTTGGGCCATTCTGTTCTTTCGTTCAGGAATGCCTCTGTATACGCCAAATTCCCTTCGGGCTCAGTACCGTCAATCTTAAAGAAGGCCTGGCATGTATCGTTGAGGCACATCCATCCCTGCTGATACATCTGCGAATAGACCGCTTGGCAACTCTGGCAAGTCCGACGTGGAGCGATTGGGCCGTACTCGCGGTGAAGCGGTGGATTGGCTGAGCTTTTCGGAGACCACCAGCTTTTGGATGCGAGGTCAATCTTTTCAAAGCGAAACTTGTAACATTTCCTCTTTTGAATCTTTTCGCACCACACTCCCGTCACTTGAAAGTGACCGAGGACACAGTATCTGTGGGGTAGTTTCGTGGGACAATTTGGATTCAATGAACCTTGAATCAAATCAGTATTCGGTGAAGCCATCCACGTTACGTCTTTGGTGTATTAAACTTACCCACAATAAGCACAACCGGAACGTGACGACGTTGGTTACTAATAAAGCTCCTGATTGCCGCATTGTCGATTCGATGGTCATCAGTTGCTTCCATATCACCTTCCTTATTTTTTCTGAGACATCCACCGCTGCTCAAATTAGCTATTTGATCCGGAGAAAGCTTCTAATAGCAGAATAAACCTACGCTCGAGCAATAACGATCTCGTCATCCATGTAGTCTCTCCGTCCACATTGTTTATCAAGAAGAACGCCATAGGCAATGTCATCATGAACATAGGCCCCGCTTTGATATGACCGATAGTACGGGACACTCTCACAAAGAGCTTGTCGGCCCTTGACTTGGTAAGTATATCGGAAGAGTTTTAAAGCCACAAAGTTGGTAACCTACCTCTGCCCATACTTCTGGCATCCCATGTGGCTCCGGTTTTCCCTCTTGTTTGGAAGCTACATCGACAGTACCGGTTGAGGCATCCTCATGCGCAACAGAGTCAATTGGTGAATCTGAAGGAATTTCTTCATCGATAGTGGCTTGCAACTCGGCAGGTGACGATAGATCATTGGCGGAGTCACTTTTTTCAAAGGTAACGTCAATCTTTGCGCGTTTGCGACGTTTAACCTTTCCTCCACCATTGGCATTGCTTGGCTCAGCGACGGCCACGTTTGCAGTTTCACTTGAGTTCATGGATGAATCATCAGTGCATGACACAACGTGATTTTGCTCCAGAGATGAATCCAGACTCATCACTGTCTCAGAGTCTGGACGAACACCATCAGAGCCATCGCCAAGGCGCGTAGGTCGCTTCCTGTTTCGACTTCCGCGACGGACAAAGTTTGACGTGTCATGCGATGCTGAATCAAAATTAGTGTCTGGAATATCGCTGAAGCCCTCTGGCAAGCGATCTTTAGATGTTTCTCTCATGCTGCGACAAGAACGCAGCGGGGTTTCAAATTGTGATGAAAGGAGAAGAAAAGGAAAACTACACGACAGCTCTGAGAGCGACACAAAGTGGACTGAGCAGATTGGGAATCAAATTAAAGACCAAGGACGGTGACTTGAGGCGTGGAAACAACTCCTGCTCTGAATAACACGCATGAAACCATAAGTTGAGAGGAAAGGAAACAGCAGAGGGCTATGGCTACGCGTGTTGAACGTGAAACGGAGAGGATTGTCGAAGAGTGCGATAAGGGTGGAGACAAGAAAGAGATGAAAGGAAAAACAAAAGTAAGGACGAAAGAAGGGTCTATTTAAATTGAGACTGAGAGTGAATCAGAGGGTACTGAGATGATATGGATGCATCAAAAACGACGTTAGATGAGGGCCAGAGACTCAGATCTGAGTGTTTGCAGGAGGAAACATGAACGAAAAGTGATGGGGAGACAGTGGGTGGTTGAAGATGCGGGGGAAAACAGACTGCAATGCGGGGAGATGAAGTAAATTGAAATAAAAATCATACCTGACTGGATATATTCTGCAATATTTGGCACTAACTTAGGGTTTTTCCACGTGTGGCCCACGCGTTTCCTTTCCCACCACTTTGCTCTCACGTTGGGGTCAGTTCCAACCATGTCGAGTATAGATGCACAACTCTGACTTGGTTGATATAGTTGGCAGAATCCTTTTCTAAACTCCTAAATCAAAGGCACGCTGGGAGGCAAAGGCAAAGATCGTTGTCAACCCCTCACATAATCTAGATCATCCGAGCTGTAAGGTTAGCTGGCTCTAGATAATTGCATATGAGCCCAAGCACGACTCGCCTTCAGTATCACGCGTAGGAATCGTTTCACAGTTCTAGTTAGAGAGCAATCACATATGATTAAACATGTCTTGAAAAGAGGAGGGAACGTAATTTCTTGATCAATGGCCATCAAAAAATGAGAGAGTTTAGTGGTTTGCGTTCTAACTAGCAATTGATTTTGTCTTGGGCAGATTTTTTCTTGCTGTCAGACCAGAGTAATGAGAGTCGAGCACTTTCATGCAACGAACATGAGGTCGAAAAAGGTACGTTACCGAGTATTCTTGATTGCTGTATGTCGACAGACGGGCCCACCTGAGTATCGAGAGATTACAGGCGAAGCACAAGCACACAAGGATGCTACCATCGCTGCGTGGGAACTTCCAAGGGAATAGACTAGTTGAAAATTTTCCTAGGATTGAATCAGGGCTGAGAGATCTTGTGTGCGAAGTGATGTACAGATTAGGGCTGCTGTCGGTCATTGGCTCATTGCAATCTTTCAGGGTGAGGGCACGTAGCATGCTTTTGCCATATCAGAACCGACCTGGCTCGATTCCAAACAGCCAGACATGCCGAGACTAAGGCTGCACCTGACCTGGATCGCGTACCCTTAACAGCAGTCCCCAGGGCACAACGACATTTGCATAGGCGTCATCGTCGAAGTTGTCTTGGCGCAAAACATTCTCCGCTTTATAGCTGAAGCTTCGGCAAAGATCTATTTACAAAGTCAGAGCTTTACGTCTGTTGGGATAATTGAGATGATAGAGACACTCGAGTGGGAAAGATGCCGTTCAATTGAACCAACAAGCTTCTCCAAGACTTCTGTCAATAAGCGGAGAAGTCCGTCACCACAAGCTTTTGCAGTCATGAGGTGGTGATTTTGGGTCAGCAATCATGCAATTCCGTACTTGCTATTACTCTGCGATCTTTTTGGTTTAATTTTGATTATTTTGATTTCATTTATGTGTCTCCGGTAATGGATTTTTTTTTTTTTTTTAAATTTAATCGTACGGCCAAAGTATCGCATATCTGATGATGCTGATGATGACTTTCCCATATCGTCCGGTCGTGTAAATGAGATTGGAGAGGGGCAGGCGTTATTGCGGGGTTCGTCAAGGGTTAGGGGTTATACAATTGGACAAGATCTACCCGTGCGGGCTAATATCATCCGCGGGGCTTAACCAGGTACAAGTGAATGCTGCTAAAAGTCAACCAACCAAGTATAATGCAGCTTCCTGGTGAATATGCGCGCTCTTGAAATTATGGACTGGCTTTCTTGATTACGGATGATGGATGACGGATGACGGGAGTCTTAAATAGCCGCTCACTTGGAGACGTCATCTGGGTTATCTAAGGTATAACCTAGGTATGTCTTTCCAGTCGAAGCTCTGGTTTCTATTAGACCCCTGTCATGCCTAAGCTTGAGGTCGGCAGCTTGGCATTGTGCATTTACCCCGAGTGACAATGAAGACCCCCGCCAAGGGTCTGTCGCGCTTTATGTGCTTGATACCCGTCGGCGTTTGCATTCTTCGTTGAACAGTCTCACTATTCCAGCCACTTGGTAGTTTTTTGTCGCTTTGTCTATGATATTTGCTTGTTCTTCCATCTTGAGGTGAGGTCACCGCAATATGGTATTCAGGAGCCCCGAGTGGGTGCCAAAATTGCCGTTCGATCCACCTGATTCAATTCCTATTTGCGATTTTGTCTTGAGAGAACAGTATGGCCGAGTCCCATTGAACCAATCTCGAGCACCTTATACATGTGGTTTGACAGGGAAGGAATACTCGACAGCAGAAGTAACCCAACGAGTCGATTTTCTTGCGAGAGCTCTCGCCCGCAGACTCGGCTGGGAGCCAAATCGGGGTTCCGAATGGGATAAAGTCATTGGCGTCTTCAGTCTGAACTCTGTATGCTTTTCTTCTTTTTGCTTAATTCGAGACCTGCCTCAAGAGCTGAACGCAATGCTACTGCTTAGATCGACACGCTCTCATTGGCATGGGCAATTCATCGACTTTCTGGAATCTGCTCTCCAACCAATGCCGCATACCCTAGATCTGAATTGACATATCAGCTCAAGGCGTCCAAAGCAAAGGCCCTCTTTACCTGCGTCCCGCTACTACCAATTGCACTTGCTGCAGCGCATGACGTAGGAATTCCTCAAGATCGTATCTACATCCTCGAGCTCCCAGAAGAGTTCGAGACCGGCAACGACAATCAAAATAACTATGAGACTGTAAACCAACTGATAGATTTCGGAAGAGGTCTTCCGGAGCTGGAACCGTTACAATGGACCAAAGGTCAAGGGGCAAACCAGACTGCTTTTTTGTGTCTTTCGAGCGGGACCTCGGGCTTACCGGTAAGGATTGCGCTCAAAGTCTTTCCAACAATTCAACTGAATATTTGGTCTCTAGAAAATGGCGATGATATCACATCGGAATGTAATTGCTAACATTATGCAAATTGCTTCATTTGAACGTCCATATCGGGATAAGATGAGCCGATCAAGCAACCGACCTTATTACACTGAAGTTGCTCTTGGCCTCCTTCCGCAGAGCCACATCTATGCGCTGGTCATCATTTGTCATGCTTCTACTTACCGTGGCGATAACGTTATCGTGCTACCAAAATTTGATCTTTTGCAAATGCTCAGGTCAGTGGAAAAATACAGGATCAATATATTGTATATTGTAAGTAACGTCTATGCCGCATATTGCTCTGAGACGATACCCCTCTCTTGTTTATTGGAACTCGATAAATTAATACAATCCCGTCATAGGTTCCACCAATAATCCTAACATTAACGAAGAGCGAGAAAGTCACGAAAAGGTTTGACCTCAGCAGTGTTAGAGCCGTTTATACAGGTGCGGCTCCCTTGGGCACAGGCGCAGCAGAGGACCTACAGAAACAATTCTCCCATTGGAAAATTAGACAAACGTACGGTATGTACACGCCGAGTAATCTACTTAAGGGGTTGCCGAAGCAGACTAATACTTTTGCAGGCATGACTGAAGCATCTCCATTGGTACTCTGCACAAATTATACGGATATCTGGCTAGGGTCGAGTGGGTCGCTACTCCCATCAACTGAAGCGCGTATAGTCTCGGACGAAGGGCACGACATCGAACAATATGACCAACCTGGCGAGCTTTTTGTTCGGTCGCCAAGTGTGGTGCTTGGATACCTCAACAACGACCAAGCAAACTTGGAGACCTTTCAAGGTGGATGGCTCCGAACGGGGGATGAGGCTATGGTCAGGGTCTCACCACAAGGCACAGAGCATTTATGGATTGTAGACCGCCTCAAAGAATTGATTAAGGTCAAGGTAAGTAGATTGGATCTCAAGCTTGATATATAATTAATCGCCTTTAGGGCCACCAAGTTGCGCCAGCAGAACTTGAAGATCATCTCCTATCTCATCCCTCAGTACTTGACGCAGCTGTCATACCCGTTCCTGACCCAGAAAGCGGCGAAGTGCCAAAGGCATTCATCGTTAAACAACCTTCTGCTGGTGTTGTCGTGCCTAATAGCGTGATAAAAAGGGAAATTCTAAAGCACGTGGCAAATCATAAGGCGCAGTACAAATGGTTGAAGGGTGGGGTGGAATTTGTAGAGGAGATTCCCAAGAGCCCGAGCGGGAAGATTTTGAGACGGCTTCTGCGGGATCGGGAGAGAGCTTCTCGGCGCCAGAATTCTTCAAAGCTTTAACACTGCAGGAGGCTTGATCTGTTATTATAATTTAATTAATGTTATTCAAATTTGAGAGATTCGAGGGCTCTTGGCTTCAGTAATTGAATGGTTGGAGTTGAAGCAGTTACGTTGCCTATACTGGAGAGTGTTTGCATCGTTTGCCCCGCATGACGTGAAGCGAGGAAGATTACCGCCGACGTTGCCCGCGATAACCATGAGAAATTCATGCGGTTGCGATTTCTAAGCCAAAAATCAACCCTTGAGCCTTACAAAATCACAAAGCAATTCCACTTTTAAGGAGGCCCTCGCCTTTATAAACAAGGGCCCAAACAAAAACAAGCTCCCTGAGTCAGGCTCAGGAAACGACTGCTCACGAATTATTGCCCATTTTTCTGCTCGAATTTTTTTTACCTAACGGACCCGTCTTGCGCACTCTACCAAACATCATGTCTTCCTCAAACCAACCCTTCCAGGACGACGAAACGATGGATGAGGAGCATCAGGACGTCATGCTCGATGCCGCAGAGGCTGGCGAAGAAATTCTACAGGATGACGATGCGCATATGGAATCCGATGACGATAACGAGGATCCTTCAGCTCTGCAAGAAATCCAGCTTCAAAACGACAGCGTAGCCCATTTCGATACTCACAAAGACAGCATTTTCTGTATTGCGCAGCATCCTCGTCTACCAGATATCGTCGCGACCGGTGGAGGCGATGACCTAGCCTACGTTTTCAACAGCACACCTCCGGACCAACCAGTCTTGCCTGCGAGCTATCAAACGCAACCTGCCGAACCCACCGAACGCGAGACTCTCAACACAATTTCTAAGCTCGAAGGCCACACCGACTCTGTCAATGCTATAACATTTACACTGCCTCACGGCGAATTCGTCGTTACCGCGGGCCTGGACGGCCGACTACGTGCATACAGAGATACTTCTGGAAACGCAAGCGGGCAGAAATGGACCTTCCTTGCGGAGGCTCAAGAAGTTGAGGAAATCAACTGGCTCGTTCCCTGCCCGCATCCTGACTATCCTAATACTGTGGCTATCGGCGCCAATGACGGTTCTGTCTGGGTGTACACCATCAATGCGGCAGACAAGGCTTCTCCCTTGACAATCGTCCAAGCATTCTACCTACACACCATGGCTTCGACGGCAGGCGCATGGACGCCAGACGGAAAGCTTCTGGCGACTGTCTCCGAGGATGGCACCTTCTACGTGTGGGACGTCTTTAGCGAGGCCGCTGTGGCGGGTGTTGGTCAGGGCGAAGGTGGTCAGGCAGTCGTTGGTCTCACCCCAGAGGATCAGCGGTTCGCTGTCGAGGGTGGTCTGTATAGCGTTGCTGTCGCCCCATCAGGAACATTCGCCGCGGTTGGTGGTGCAGGTGGTATCGTAAAAATTGTCGGCCTTCCGCGGATTGGCGCCGACCCTTCTGTCACTGCTGGCGCTAAGGGTGCCGGAGCATCAAGCAAGAACCGAGGTGGCAAGCGCGGGGGTGGACCGACTGGAGGAAACTCCACAGCTTCCTCAACCGGAGCCGGCCAGGCCGGACAAATTCTTGCTTCGCTCGCCACGCAGAGCGATGGAGTCGAGACGCTGTCATTCGCAGCTCCGCCATTGACTCTCCTTGCTGCAGGCAGTGTAGATGGATCAATTGCGCTTTACGATACTGCGCATCGATTTGCCGTACGGAGACATATCAAGGAGGCCCATGAGGAATACGCGGTTGTCAAGGTTGAGTTTTTGCCCCCCAGCTCAGTCTCCTCCGCTGGTGATGCTGCTGGAGTCCCTGCGGGCAGCTGGTTGCTGACTTCGGCTGGTATGGACGGCGTGGTCCGTCGATGGGATACCAGAGGAGGAACGGCCGCTGCAGCACAGGGTCTTGCAGCGGAGTGGAAGGGCCACCGAGGTGAAGGCGAAGGCGGCGGTGTCCTTGGATTTATCCAGGGTGGCGGTATTGGACGCGTCGTTACGGCTGGAGATGAGTAAGTACTTTCTCTAATCTCAATCCCACTCTCGGCTACCTCTGCCCTACTTTCTCTTTTTCCATGTTTTGCTTTTCTCTCTCTCTCTCTCTCTCTCTCTCTCTCTCTCTCTCTCTCTCTCTCTCTCTCTCTCTCTGTCTGTCTCTCTACGCGAGCTATCATGGCTAACTTTATCTGTCCCAGTGGTGTTTCCCTCGTTTTCCCTGCTACGACATCATAAATTTCCTCCTGCCGATGACGGTCTATAAATTTGGCTTTGTATATATGTTGGACGGCATCACGCTAAAGAGATGATTGCATATTTTCGTATTAACAGGGCTGGGGTTCTAGACTAGATGAATATAAAATATAATCGTCTGGCAAATATGGTCCGTTGTGCTCTGTTTACTCATAGGCTTTCTGTTCCCAATTCGAAGTATGATGCGTTTTCTTTTCATGTTCCAGGCACAATCCCACGAACACAATCCATCTGGTACAAAGACATCCATCGGAATCCCATGTATCGATGCTGATGCAAAGTCACAAGAACGTGAGTTAATCAAGATCGCTTTCAATTGTAACAGATGAGGGGTATTATGTCATATAATATTATAACATCAAAACTTCCCATTACAGTTAGTGGCGTGGTCTAGTGGTATGATTTCCCCTTCACAGAATTCATGCGAATTATGTGCGAAGTCCGGGGAAGGTCCAGGGTTCGATCCCCTGCGCTACTATTTTTGTTTTTGTTTTTGGTCCTAGGATCGATTCTATTTTGCTTTGGTTTCCGGATGCCTTCCTTTTTCCTTTTTCTTTTTTTCTTTCCTTTTTTTCTTTTTATTAAATATATATATCAATAGAAGTTCTTTAAATGTTGAAGCTCATCAAAGGAAAGTCTGTGTATCGGTAGTTGGAAAGCTCACCCGGGATATTTCCGCGATTAGCCTCTAAGAGCCTCTCCATTCTAAACCCTCAGCAAAACCCCCAGAGCGACCTACGTCAAAGTCAGGTGCTCAATGCATTTTCCTGTGAACATCATTCCCTCGGAGCCGCAATATCCAGGGATTATCTAGCCTTTGTTGCCTAATTGAAGCCTTTGAAGCCTCTAGAAACCCTGGCACAAAGCGGGGGAGGCACAGCATCTTGGCAAAGATTGAGTTCATAAGAGATGTTGTGAGTAATTCACAATGCGCGTATCTGTGAAGCACGCTGCACTCATGATAAGGATCGTTTGGCACTGAATGCCGGCAAACCACACCAACAACATAGACACCATGACATACCTAATCTCTGAATCTGAAAGTCGAGTATGAGTCACGACTGGACGAAGATTTGACTTGACATTTTCCGGAGTTTTCTACCACAGTCTACTAAGATATAGATTTTGGGTGGTTGTTCTATGTGTTGAACCGGCTTGCTGGAGTCCTGGACTTCCCTGTGAAGAAAATGTCGTCGCTTTTTCGGAAACGGCCTTCCTGGACAGCAAGGTCAGGAAGAAGAGCCATATGGTCTAGCTGGTGGTAGAAGTTTAGAACGAACTCACAACACAATCTCGCAGGCAAATCGTCTTCGTCTTCGGCGTCCAGTGCTGATGAATAGGAATGGCGCAAGACTTTCTCGACTTCTTCAGCCCGCTGCCCGGCACAATCCCTTCACCGACTCCGCGCTTGGTCAGAGCAGTCCGAGAATAGGTCCATTTTGCGCCTTTGATAAATCTCCTGTTCACGATCCAGTCGGGGAACGAGAATTCCCTTTTTTAAGCCAAAGACTGAACCTCTTCTTCACGATTCTGTTAGGGAACGAGGATTTTTTTAACATTTCCAAAATCTCCACAACCCAGGGACGTCTTCGCCATAGCTGCCGCAGCGAGCGGAGCCGACAGTCAATTAAAGGCCGGACGACAGCCATCTCAATGCATCACTTAGAAACCTCTCTTTAGAAATCCTCAGAGTTCCCTTGCCAATTCTGAAGAAGGGCTTTCAACCCACATCTCGCCAGCAAGCGGCCCAGCAAGACCACAAAATGCCTCGGTTCGTACCCCGAATCGTTCAACAGCAGTCTCAGACTCTCAACATAAGCCCCAAAGGCCAACAATGTGTCTCGGTCAGCTACCTTTTGATTGGCATTCACCTTTAACATTAGTCAATCCAAATCCGTGGCCCAGAATATGGACTTGCAGTAAATTCTGTCCTGCAATTGAAGGAAACCCGTAGTGTCGGGACCTCGAAGACGCAGCGTTGCTTCTAATCCAATGGAGCGGATTCTTTGCCCTGGACCAAAACTTCAAAACTCTTATGGATTCAACATGATAAAGAGTTTTCTTTGCGACAAATGTCTCTAATCGCTCTGTCTCCTCCAGGCTCCTTTACACTGCTGATTCCTAAATTGGGCGGGCTGGGAAAGATATTGGAGGTCATTTTCTACGAATACGAGTGTACGCTCTCGCACTCTGATGTGTCTGCACTCTGCAATCATATCAAATTTCGACCATTTTGCACAACGTCACAAGCTCCGATGGGACATTAAATTACGGCCAATGGCTTGAAAAAGATGCTCCACATCCGGGCATCCCCTTTCTGAACGGAGCAAAATCCGGGATTCCGAGCATATCTGCAGCCGGTCGTCTACGTCACTCTCATTCAGAGTCCTGAATCGATTTACAGGACTTCATTAACGTTCGCTTCCGAGCGGGCTTCTCTTGAAGCAGCTGTTATGGCCAGCAGCTCTCTCCCTGTTCCTGTCGCCGTCCAGACCCTTTACTCTTTATTTTTTTTAGGTTTTAGTCCTTGGTCTTTAGTCCTTGGTCTTCAGCCCTTAATCTTTGGTTTTTGCAGTATAATATTTCTTTGTTCTAATCACATCTATGTCCATAGAACCATGCATAAACACTATAGTGTAAGAGTTTTACGGTATACCAATCGCTCCATACCCCAAATTCCCCGGATTCGGCGGCTGGATTGAAGAGGAGTCTCCAGAAGCCAGTAACCAAAAGAGACAGGGGTTAGCAAAGGATCTTACCTGCGTGGGCCTGGAGTCCTGGACGAGTCGCGGTGCGCGAGCCCAGTGGTATAGAGAATTTGCAGGCAGCAGATGACTCGGGAGTTGGGACACTACGAACGGCTAGGACATGTGGGAGCTACCGTGGAATTTTCTCGAAGCTCGTTGGTACTTGGTACCAGTTGCTGGTGCTGAGTCACGGGCATGTTGTGACTCAGGCAAGGGACTATTAATTTTTGTTGTTGTTGTTTATTATCTATAATCTATTAATACCTATATACATATATACTTTTTTTAAGAAAGCGCATCTAATCTGGATGAGGCTCTGAGAGCCTCAAAAAACCCCTGACGATAGCAGATTATAGAAATGCTAGACGCTAGGTCCCTGGTCCTTGTAACGGAAAATCCGGGGACCTTGCACGACATGGCTGCGGTCGAGGCGGGTGTGGCGTTTTTCGGGCTGTGGGGTGGCGGCTGCGGCGTTTACCTTCTTGCTGGGCCTGCGGAGAGAAGGGAAGCTAGCTGCGGCGCTGCGGCGCATTTGAGGCTCTGCGCAGTCGGAGTATTCGATGTGGTGAGTCATGGGCTGTGCAGAGACCAGGTGGAAGCTGTGCCTCTCTTTGCGGCGAAGGTGGCGGAAAAAGAGGATGATGATGATGGCCAAGAAATGATCCTGAGAAGACGTGTATTACAAAACATATGACCAGCAAGGGTATGACATTCTCGTCCGAGAGCAGTGTCAATCCGGGTTTTGACGATGGGATTGCACAAATAGTAAACAGTAAACCGAATTATTATGACGCAGTCCGCATGGGGTCATAAGTGACTCATATGAATGTGGGACGGTGACTAGCAATAATGATTTTGAAGAATTTCAAGGAATTCCATGGAAGAAGTCGATATTCTGCTAACAAGATGCTTTGAAATGGGTGAAAAGAAAGAGAGTGTAGTCTATGAGAGATGCAAATGACAGAAATTGAGGTTGGAAAAAAATTGAAACGAAGATGAAGTGGGAGAAAATGAAAAGCACAGACAAAAAGCCAGAATCAAAAAATGCTATGCAAAGAAATAAAAAGTCTAAAACGAGGCAAACATTCTAACAAAAAAAAAACAATTGACCCCAAACGATTTGTATCCTGCCCGCCCAAATTCTCCAGCGCCGGATATGCCCGTGCCCAATGCAAGAAACCGTGTCCGCTATGCTAAGATTGTTAATAGTTCTTGTCTGTGTTCATTGAGGCTAAAGTTTCATGCCAGTACGTTGCTGGTAAATCGTGAACAATTTCGCATGACGCTTCTGAGAGCCTTGCAGACCAATTGAAGGGGTAAAAAGAATGTTGGGGAGACAGATTGCTGGTATAGCTGATGAGTCAAGATTTGGGTGCTATCAGATTGTCAGCTACGCTTCGAACTAACGTACTAGACATTGGGACAGTGGGAAGGCAGCAACTGAGGACTGATAAGGACTTGCTTACCGGCTCATTCAATCCCGTCTCTCCGGATGACTGAAGAAGGGGTTAGGCTAATTCGCAGTAGTCGCATCTATGGTGGCCGCAGAGGGTACATGCTGGCGCAAGCTCTGGATTGTTTGATCCTTTGCAGCCGCAGCAGAACCACGCAGTAGCATTTTTCGAGCAACACTGAGCGAAGGATAAAGGATCAGTGTCAATGAACTGGTGGTTCCACGACCTCGCTCAGAAAATCTCATGCATATATACCTCAGCTGAATGCTTCAACTCTTTTTGGCAGCCATGGCCATGAACAAAGGTGATTTCTGGGACAAACATGATGAATGAAACAGATATGAGCAATGCAGTCACAGGGAAACAAGAAAAGCCTTGAGTGAAGGTTCTTTAAGGTGAGGAACAGAAAGCCAAGAGATGTGCGCGTCAACTGTATGTTCTCGGATGAATCAAAACAATGTCATTGTGGGGTTTTGTCGAGCATTATATACTAAAAATCTGAGAAAAGCCTCTGTACAGAAAATGCGGTGCAGCCGTTGACTGGGTAGACAATGAGAAGGTCCAAGGGAATAAGTCCGATAATGCTAGTATCTGGCTTCAAGACGGCAATGCGAGGGTAGGATTATTGGGCATCGATCCTTGCCTGTTGCTGCTGCGAACTGAATACGGGGAAAAAGCCATACGCTGCGGCTGACAGTATGCTGAGGAGTTTGTTCACCGATGGCTATTGCTGTGCATTGAATGAAAGACTGGGAGATCCCGGAGCATGATATCGGTGAAAGAAAGCATCATCAAGGGCGAGTGCGTATGGCTGGATAGTTCTGATGCAAATGTGTATTGGCATCTGCCAATAAAGACGTAGGAAGAGAGATCTCTTTTTTGTGACTAACTTAGACGTTAGATTATTTTCACAATGATTGGTCAGGGAAATGAAGATGTGCGTATCCCTGCCACCCACATGCCAAAAGAAAAAAGCTTATCCAGTAAAAGGAGGTAGAGTGGATGTCCAGGTTGGCTTGTGCTAGGCAGTAAGACAAGGGGGAGGGGGGCATGCATCATACGAACAGATTGACACCGCCTTACTGCCTCTTCGACGGCAGAAGTATTCAGTGCATCAAAAGGCTTTGCCCCTTTCTGTAGCCTAAGGTGCGTATGCATTTGGCGTAAGGCTGCCCTGGGCCGACCCTTGTCGAGCGCGGTAATTCCGTCATCAGACCTGCGGTTGCCTTGTATTGCGATCTAGAAAGTGATGGATCTGGAACGAATTCGTTCGTTGATGAGGAGAAGCTCTCCCTGAATCTGGATATGACTAACTGAGAGTCAATCCGTCGTATATCACAACCTCGCCATGAAGCCTCAGCCATAATCTCCGAGAGGGTCTCACTGGCCTCACTTGCAAAGCCTCGTTTTGTAGCTCGATACCCTTGAAATCAGATGCTTCGCGGAAAGCGCCAAGAAATGAAAGGGAAATCTAAGCGCTAAGCTGCCACTTCATTGCCACGGCGAGAACAGACTCGGACACGTGAGAAATCGATTTCGCAAGACGAATTCTGAAATTCAGGAAAGCGGCAATTTTGGCAGCGGTTCATCTTGCATTTCTTCCCAAAAGGGGTTGCAACATAGGTTTGAACGGCCACAGGTTGTGAAAACAAAAAATCAAGACTCGAGTAATGAGGCTGAATTTCACAGATCCTTGTATCAAAGCGGGATGCCTCAGAAAGTGAAAATGAACTTGACAAATAGGCATCGCAAGACAGTGCCTTAGTCAGATAACTACGCAAAAAGAAACAAAAAAAAAGAAATCGAAATATATGCAATTATATTTAACCACCAATGGAGAAGGAACTGCAGCAGTATGCATGGTATAAGCCACTAAAAATAGATGCGGTGAGGTTTCTGCTTCGATTTATTCCAGCCAGTGGGAGGGAGATAAAGATTAGTGTAGGAAAGGTAGTGCTGGTAGTGCTGGTAGAGACTTCCCACGCTCAGCATGACCGAGGTATTGGCAGCGGAGACGAACACGGATACGTCGTTCGCGCCCAATAGGGTAAAATCCGCTGAAGAATCATTCCTAGAGGTTAACAATGATGAGCGGTTCGAGAAGTCCTCAAAGAGCCGTGTGACTCTGACATATGGGAAGAGGTATAGTAGCTCTGGCTATAAGGATATGCCACAGGCATGCAAGCAGGATGGCATCAAAACGAGCAGCCACACACGAAATGACAGCAAGCAATTCAGGAACCAAACTATTCTGCGGCGATTGGCGATATAATAGGTACGGCTTGAAAGGACCGGTGGATTAGATTCCCTTTATCGAATAATTTGTGAAATCAGTATTGGATATTCAGTGAAAAAAGAACAGAGACCACGGGGAAAATTTGCAGCCTAGAAAGTTACAGCCTCCTCTCGTTGCATCATGCAAGGCTCAGCTACGTCTTCTGCTTCGCCGTAAGAATAGAAGTTGTCCCAGTGGACTACGGAGTAACGAGAATGCGGGGTGTAAAGCGGATAAGGCGGAGATACCCAGAAAACAGTGAAACCTAAAAGTAGACCTTGGCAAAACGATGTATGCGCAAAGACTATCCACACAGATTCAAGAACCTTGTGTGACCATGTCTTGTTAGGCATATTGATATCGAATCGTTCAAAAGCCGTATTGACGATGTTCTTCCCGCCACTCGATTTGATGACGAGTTTGGTACATTATTCGAGCCGATTTTGATGCTAACAAGGATAAAAAGCTGGTGCTTATGCGGAGGAATTCAGGAATGATGACACAAAATTATCAGGAATCCGAAGAGCTCCTGGGGGGGTGGGGGAAAGGACACCTTTAATACAGCCTCGTCGGCTGAATTGAGCCTCATTGTTGCCTTGTCGCCCTCCGAGGCTGCCCTTTCAACCTTCAGAGGTCTGAGCGTTTCAGGGTTCCTGAGACTCCCCATAGAAAATTTGCAATTGCGGAGAAAATCTCGTAGAAGTGCATGTAGTGGAGAAGCTTGGAGCTTCTAAATGTGAAACTAGCCAAGACATGAGGTCGATAAAGCCTCTATCGGAGGATGTTAGTAGAGAAACGTCATGGTTGATCCGGGAGCACTAAGCTTTAGTTAGGGGACGTGCTAGTTACTCATAAGCGGAGCAATAGTGCGGTGCTGCACAAGTACGAGTAACTTTGGCATAATTTATACAATGACGTACAAATCATTTGATTATATAATCTCATGATTATGCACGCGACGACATCGGGTGCATCGTCGAAAACAACGGCAACGAACATTGTCAGAATCTGTTCCATCTCCAGCATTGATAGCATCAAAGAGTTCTCCTCATTCTGTTGGCAGAATTGATTTCTCTTTTGTACAGTACTGTTTCCCCATTTTTGCTAGCTGTAGGTTCATTCTCAGCTCAATTCGGCCCAGCTCGGCCCAGCTCGGCCCAAGAAACCTTCCTTGCCTGCGCACTTTTCAGCATTTTACGAAACGTTGCATAATCTGCCAGATATGTGGACATAGGCACGATATCACCAAAGCCGCAATCATACTGTTCTAGACGGCACAATATATCTTAGCTTCGACCCTCTTCGTTCAGATGATATCCTTTTACCTTAAGGGAGAATATCAATAGAAGCCGAGTGGGGGCCTTTTTTCTTTTCTGCGACGAGCGTCCTCGGAGGTCAATGGCCGGCAAGGCTAAACCTCTTTGTGATCAAAAGACTGCAAATGTCTGGGTTGCACGTGTCATACCGTTTATCTTGGTTGGCATTGTTGGATATGTCACCTGGGTTTTTGTAGCCTTACTCTGTGGTCTGTCCGCTCAACCTTCCAAGTCTCAATGCTTGACTGACCTCAGGACAGTAAATTATCTCCTGCATCCTTCACCATCTCAGTCCAATCATGGCGTGCGCCGGGGAGCCGCCATTGCCGGGCTTGTTTTATATTTTATCCTGCTACTCAGCATGACTTTGTCTTACTTCCGACTTGTTTTGGTGGTCCTCACAAATCCGGGATATGTTCCGCGGGGCTCACGATGGCGCAAAGCTCCAAAGAATAAGTCAAATAGCGGCGAGAAGAACCAGAACCATCAGCCGGAGACGGATAACGGGAGCTTGCGGGAAAACCCACAGAGGTCATGGGTAAATCAACAAGCAGAATCTAGGCAGGTGACAGGTCACAACGATGGGGAATGGAGCGGTGCTATGGCCGAGGATGCCCCTACAGAACCCCAGCCTGGCCTGGAGCGCTTCTACACAAAGAATATCTTTCTGTGTGAAAACGATGGTAGACCAGCATGGTGCTCGAAATGCCTGAATTGGAAGCCTGATCGAGCACATCATTGCTCCGAGCTGGATCGCTGTGTGCGAAAAATGGACCATTTCTGCCCCTGGTATGTTCTCAACCTTTTGTTTCACGAGGCACTCTGCGAGAATTGATGGCACTTGCTGACTTGTAATTTAGGGTCGGCGGTATCGTGTCAGAAACAAGCTTCAAATTCTTCATCCAATTCGTATCATACGCGACCTTCTTTTGTATTTTTGTATTGATATTCATGGCATACTTTGTTGCGGAACGGCGTAGAGAGGTATGTCCTGATCGGGTTCGATATTTGAATGCCACTCTGACCCTACCTCAGACAGGTTACACGCACGCCAACTGGGCTGTTACACTCGGTTTGTATGTCGCCTTTTCTCCTCCCTTTACACCAGACTCAACAACTGACTTACAATAAGTGCTGGGCTATTTGGCCTATTCGCGGGTGGCATGGCAGGCACTTCTCTCCATTTGGTTTTTACAAACTCCACTACAATCGAGAGCTTGACCAAAAACGTCAAGGTCTGGCGGTTCGCCGTATTCATCCCGCGACCGGATCTGCTTCCCCGCAGAGACCCTGCCCAAGGCTCTGGTCCTGGTACAGCGTTGGATTTGTCCACCATTACTTATCCGCTATCACCAACAACTGGCCTTCAGGTGCCCATGGCGGACTCCAACAGCAATGACTCAACTCGAGGAATGTACGGCTCGCAACCGACCTCGCCTGACGCATCTGTGCGCTCTCCGTCAAACACTACTACCACTCACAATCCTCACTACAACGGACCTCCCCGCACTTTTGCTATTTTGCGCACAAAGCCAGGCGAGAACCCGTGGGATCTGGGCTACTACAATAACTTTAAGACCGTCATGGGCAACCACTGGTATGACTGGTTCATTCCGGTCCGGCATAGCCCTTGCACAGACCATGAAAGCGGCGAAAGTGCGTTCGCAGTTGGTCCTATTGTAGACCGTCTCCGTGCCGAGGCGGGAATCCTTCCGAGCACATCGCCTCTGGGGGGACCTGTCAATGGAAGGAAATGGCCTCAAGATGGTCACCATTAACACCATATGGCTGAGCTGCTTGATTAGACAGCGCCCTGCATGGATTCATGGTGTGTAATATAGGGATTTCGACTGGCGCGTCGGTGCTCCAGTCCCCTTTTCACTAGTACCCATTTGGATTTCGTTTCTGTTCTGTTAATAATACAACAACAACAACAACAATAATAATAATAATAATGTTGTAAAAAAAAAAGAAAGCTCTACTGTAACCCTTGTTATCCAGCTACTCTAATACTCGAGTTGGATAACAACCCTACCATGCTTGAGCTCTTCCCTTCTCTCGCGTGACACGCTTTGCACTAATAGGTATAGTTCCCTTCCTCCCGACCACTCCCCATCATCAATCGCGTCATCTATTTTTGTCTCCCAAAATCCACTCTTCCGGTCATACGCGCTCTCCGGCTTTGCCCACCTCCAGACGAGTACTTGGCTGCCGCCGCTGCTGCCGCTGCTGGTGGCGGTGTTGGTGGTGGTGGTGCCGCCGACGTCGCTGTGATTAAAAAGCGCGTCGGGGGCTGTACCCAGCACCGAAATGCTAAATAGCTGAATCTGAATCGATAGGCTTCCTGTGGATGATGAAGAACCACGGCCGCTGCTCAGATGATGTAAATTTTGCAAAATGGAGGATACAATGTAGTCTTCCGCTGTAGTCGAAGCTGGATGCCAAGGTTCTTGTTCATCACTGCTGTCGTTTGTTGTCGCTTTTGTGTTCTTTGTGTGTTTTGTTATGTGTCTTGTGGGATCTTGTGTTGGATGACTTGTTGGATGTTTTGTGGGCCTTGTGGGGTTGGGATGGGTAGAGATAAGTGTCGTAAGGTACGCATGCAATCCCTCCGCGTCGTCCACTATTTTCGGAGGTTTGGTTTTGATTTTTGCATCTGGTTCAACGTCAGGTATACTAAAAGTCCCTAGTTTTTGGAAACCTCGTATCAGCCGGAGACTGCTGACGCTGAGACTGCACGGTATAGCTAGTGAAGTAGCTGCCGTTGCTGCTGTCTCTTCTGCCTCTTCTGCTTCTGCTTCTGCTTCTGCTGTAGTTGTCATCGTTGTTGTTTGAGTAGTAGGAAGAGGAGGAAAGGTAGAAGAGCCTGGCCCCGGTCCCGGTCCCGGTCCTGCATGTCCTGGACTCCAATAATGAAGTACAGTACTTGACTCACTTGGCCTCCTCGACCAACTTGGTCCGCCCTCCTCCTCCTCCTCCTCCTCCTCCTCCTCCTCTTTATCGCCAACAATTACACCGACAGCAGCACCAGCAGATGAAGAAGAAGAAAAGGTAGCACCACCAGCAGCAATGGCAGCAGTAGTCGTAGAAGAAGTAGTAGCGGTAGAAGTATGTCGAGTTGTAATACTAACAAGCATGCTATGCAGATACCGACACGCTTCCATATCGACATCTATCGCTCGATGGTGTTTTGGTGTTGGCCATTTTATAGGCGATTTGCATTTCTTTTCACATATCTTTTGGAAAAACGAGTTAGCAAAATGATACGACCTTGGTTCAGCGGAGTAAAGAATAAAAAATAAAAGATAGAAAATAGAAAATAGAAGCTGGACTTACATCCTCTGCCTCCAAGACATGACTCCGTAAGTCCTCTAGTAATCCTGGCTACGCTGGGTATCCTGGATCTCCTGGGTACGTAGGGTACGCTGCGTACTCTGCGTACGGAGGCGGTGGACCGCGAATACTGTGAATACTATGATTGTCCATTTTATCAGCCATCAGCCATCAGCCTTGACGTGTATTCCACCTCTACACACGGGAATTGACACGCTCGACACTTCACGCGTAACTTGAGAAACCCCGAAACCGGAAAAAAAAAAAAAAAAAAAAAAAAGAATGGGATTGATGGATAGAGGGATGAAGATGAAGAAGAAGAAGAAGAAGGAGAAGGAGTAGATTATAAAAGGATGTAGCAGATGTGAGTAAATGTATATACAAGCTTAAACCACCTAACTTGGGTAAAACTACCGTACAAAACCCAAGGTTAGTTGTCAACTTTCCAGTTGGTATCGTGATGCGTACTAGCCCATAACAGCTGACTTACTCTCTCGGAAACCAACATGATGTAACTGACCATACAAAGTCATACAAAGTGACTGAAGACACAAAACAAAATACTGGAAAGTAAAGAGTTAGTGAAATAGATATTAGGAATAATCGACATATGCATTGGGCGACGACCTCATGCGTCGACTCATGCATTGTAATACAAGCTAGTTTAGGTAGGTATAATTCTACCAAGGAAAATGTACAGTCCAAGTGTACAGTCCATGCAACACCAATCCAATAACGTCCCACGGAGTATCTTTAAAACCAAAACGAGAAAACCACCAAAGAATATACAAAACACGAGACATGCCGACATGATCTCGTCAGAGAAGCCTCCAGGCTCTCATCTAATAAAACGCCTGATCCTGCGAAATGCCCGAAAGTATAATGCACCATGTAATGAAGTAGACGTCCGTGAAATGCAAACACGGATACTTGAAATCAGCGTGGTTAAGAGAAATAAAAAATGGAACGATCATCTGAATGAATCAAAGTCGCCGCCATTGTCGCGCTTGCCGCCCAGCCGCCGGAGCATGACACCGAGCCCGGCATCGACCTCGTGGGCGCGGTGTACAAAGAAGAGTTGTAGTTTTCCCTTGATCGAATTGAGTCGGAAGCTCGAATGGGATTTCTTTGCCTTGAGGATGCTCAAGGTGCGGCGGACCCCACCGGCGGTATTGGACTTTTCGACCCACTCAAATGCTCTCGGAATCATGCCGGCTTCGTAATTGAAGACGGATCGTTCGAGGAGTTCATTGTTGATAGGGTTGCTCTGGTGCGCCAGCTTGGAAATGTACTTGCAAACCTCACCGGCGTCACACATGGCTTGGTTTCCGCCCATCGCTCTAAGAAGGGTCAGTCAGTCATTGCGAAAACAATAGGGACGAAAAAGAGATGGTGAAGACAAACCGAGTCGGAAGCATGGGGTGGAAACAATCTCCAATAAACCAAATTCTAGGATGGCCCTTCTTTGGGTTTCTAGAGTTGACCGAACCACCGCCTGAGCGTTCTCGCCAGTCTAGGGTCGGACTACAGCCGACTCGACCGTAGAATTGATACAGTTCCTCGCGTGAGACTGAACGGATAATCTCGTGTCTGTAACCATGGTAAGCAAAGAGCCACTAATCCAAGGTGCGGCAAGGGAACAATATCCAACGAAGGAAAATCGTATACGTACACTGAAGGATCCCAATGCCGGATGGTGTCAATGAGACGTTCGACCGGATCGTCGGCCTCGAGGTTCTCGGGGACTCGGTCAGTGGGCATGTTAATGTTCCACATGAGACTTGCAGCTTTCTCGTCGAAACTCAAGTCGGTCTCATCACTCGAGCATGAGTCGAGTGATCGCACCGAGACCTGCTTCACGGATGACGTTGTTGCTCGCTCAAAATCTTCAAAGTTGGGCGCTAGATGAGCGGGACGCGGAGCCCGTCTCTTGAGCTTATCCGGCAGATACGCCGAGGCTATAAAGACAACGCCGTCGTCTTCAATCACCAATGGACCCGCACGAAGTTGATGAGGAAGTCTTCGGAGCGTCTCCTTGGGAAGTTGACCTTTGGCCAAGAACCCACAACGATCCCGTTTATCCACAATGTTGTCAGGGCCGGCTTCAGTATTAATCTGTAAATGTCTCAGTCAGACAAGTTCCTACTTTAGCCATGCTGTGAAAATCTCACCTTTGATCCTGAACCATCTGCTGCAACGAGCATATCACCCTCTGCCACAGTTCCGTCCTCAAAAAAGGCATGAACCTTGTCCATGCCATCCGGGCCGCGGACAATCTCTGAATAAAGATATTTCTTCTCGTATCGAATGACATTCTGCTTGATCAATGGCTCTGCCAGAGCATCTCGCAAGATGACACGGCTAATCGGTGCGCTTCTGTGGTAGGGTTGGCTCTTGCCATTGAAACCTCGAAGCGGGGTGAGATCGGTGCTGTAGAGAATGGGCGTCGTATAGACTTGTCCACCGCTGCGTCCAAACTTGCCAATAATTTCTCGACAAGCCGTCTCACTGAGGCAGGTATGCAGGCCGGAGAGCGCCATGGCGCCAAGACGAATCTGATATCCTTCGCGCTTCGAATAGGCTACATCTCGTTCGAACACTTCCACGTCGACATTGTTCTTGATGAGGCCATTGGCCAAGAGTGATCCGGCGAGTCCACCCCCGACAATAATAACCTTGAACGGCATGATGACCGATGATGATCTCTCAGATCACCAAAACAATTGGGTTCGTCAAAAGGTAGCGGTGACAGGCAGTTTCAATGCCCCGGGACGTTTGTTTACTCCTTGTTTCGTGGTCAATTGGTTTCTATCACTCTATAAGAAACAATGACGGCAAGTCGAGATGGAGATCACATTCGGGGGATATTCAAAAAAAGCGGGCCGAGGAACTCGAAATATTTGGGGTCTTGGGAATATCAAGTAATGGACATGGGGGAGGGGGGATTCATTAAAAAGCAACAAAAGAGGCCGAAACCAACATGACACACACGCAGACACGACGGCCAACATTCCATACTCGTTCGTCGGGGATCCTCCGTCCTTGCAATTATTGTGGGGACGAGCAGCAGCGTCCCCATCGGGCACGCGACGGCCATAGAGTAAGTTATACGGTCCAGTTCCTGCATGCCGATCGTAGACGATGCGATGAGGGCCAGAACCGTGCCACGCCATTGCCAGGCCCAGTAGGCAATGTGTCGCATGGCTTCATCGACCCGAGCCATTGCTGTCTTGGAGATCCAGTTCCATCCATGCTCGGTCCGGCATTCCGGGAAATCAGCGTTGCGGGCGAGAGAAATTTTTCCTGCTCAGTCCATGCTCGGCGTGATCTCTGAGCATTGGCTGACCAGGGCCAGTGACGAAGAGTGAAGCCGAAAGGAGTGCGAGTGGGGAGTGGTGGAAACGAGTAGGGACGACTAAGGGTCGTGGTGTGGATGAAAGTCGCGGCAGTGGAGCGGGAGGGGGGGCGTTCCCAAACGAGTTTCCTTTGCCAAAGCTTGGAGGAGCACCGTTAGTTTGCCCGTAGTGCGCAATATAGCTTGGGATAGTGTCATTGCCCGTCGTTATGGTTCCGTGACGTCGGGTCGACCCATCCACGAACCTTTTTTGTCACAGACAAGTGAGGAGTAGGAGAACAGACCCTCTTGTACCTCTGTACTGTAATCAGGCGAGCAGCCGGCTCAAAGAAAGGCGAATGAGAGCAAAGTAAAATGCGAAGGATAATACTCCGTACCCTCCGTGCAGTAATAATGCCATGGGTCCACCAAACTACCGGGCTCAGGATATCTTCCCCCCAAGAAAGACCAGTCACGGATGGGACAGGCGCCCCTTCAAAAAGTGAAGAACTTGAGAGACTCGGCTCTGGGTCGAATGACCGGATACAAACCTTGGTCGGCCAAAGCAGCAGCCCTGCCGAATCATCCTCAAAACTCACTTTTTCAAAAGCCACAAATCACATCATGCATAATCGTCCCTGCAGAATAAAGCCACTGCCAGGGCACGGGCATCATTATTGACATGGCCAATGTCCAGTGCACGAGTCCTTGAGATGGGCGCTTTGTTTCAACCCTAGTATATCCAATCCACGCTGCAAGACATTAACCTTTGGCGCGGGTACCTTGGCCACAAAAGACGCCTTGAAACGCAACGAGAACAAAGCATCCGGCCAAACCATTCCCTTATGCCCGTCCAAAAAGAGGACAGTCGGGGAAGCTATCGGTAAACAGGGTTAGGACGGTGATTGTACTCCGTAATTTGTCGACCAAAGAGGTCATCATCGTCAGATTATTTCGAACGTGTCGCCAGCTTAACCTCGGTCCCACATCTTTTTAGACAACAACCAGACCGTTAAACGTTAGCCAAGCCTTGGCACAATTCAAAAGCGCACTGGCTGAAAAGGGAAGAGAAAAAAAAAAAAAAAACACTTGACGAACAAAGAAGAAAGAGAAAAATAATCCCCGTTCAGGGATACCATGGGCCTCACGCCCTGTTCCCTGGATGGGGCGGGTAGAAGGTAAACGGGCCTAAAGTGTCCCCTGCAGTAGTCGACACGCGTCCTACGATGTATATGGAGCGTACTGTACTCGTTTGGTGATGGTAGACAGGAAACCCCCCAGTCTAGCGAGCTCAGTAGCTCTCCGTGCGGGAGTTGGGTAACCGTTGTAGTCGACGGCGCCCTCTGACAATTTGGATGCCTTAACCGTAATAGCGAGTTGGCCTGAGGCAGACCAACAGACGATAGTGGGGACGTAGAGAACCCTTTCGCTGCGGTTTAGTGAGGCTTTAGCGTTTGCTCTCTAGTTCCCAATGGCTCAACGGTTTCCGCCGACTGGCTTCCGTAAACCCGCCCCGTCTGGCTTCACTTAACCTCTCGTTGGCTCAGTTGAGCGACAAATAAGAGAACTACTACCGACACAATCCCTGGTACTGCAATACCTGGTTTGACGAATCGGTAGAGAAGAGTTGCATGATGAGCAGCGAGGAAGGGAGGTCGGGGAAAGGTGAGAGAAATTGAGAGAATGCGCAGACAAGGTGGGGCGGGCAACAAGCAAAATGGGGCCCGCCAAGGGAAAAGTGTCAGTCAAAAGCATGACAGGTACCTAGGTTACCGCACGAGGGGAATTAACATAACGAATGCCTCGGTAAGCTTACCCATCTGCCAAATGTCAAATGCCAAGGTTGGTGTGCTCCGTAGCCGAGCCGAACCTTTTCCTTGGGCACAAGTCTCTTTTTTCTTTTCTTCTCCCTCTCCCTTCTTCCGAACAACGTCGTAGCTGGCCATTATGAGCAGACATGATACGGAGCAGATTCTACAAACGACGTATACGTGTATAGCACTGTAATCCATCGGCACCGCAAGTATCATATATGACAGATCATTCATCACCTACCCTATACCTAAGATAATTCACCCCAACGTCGGGATGAAACACCGCGCTCGCCGCCGTTGCAAACGAAAAATCTCCGTGTTCAGAGACTTTTCCGCACAGACAGGCAGAGCACCTCCCTCCTCCATCCATACTGTCTGTGCCTCTTCTTTCACCGCCGATCACTGATCCCATGTGCAGTAGTAATCCTCCGCCCTGGACTAGAGTCTAGATCGTACAGTATTATTTATACTACGATCTGAGATGGGGGCAAGGCGGTGGCCGTCTCCGAACTCGGAACCTTCCGACGGTAGGTATTTTGCTTCTGCAAGACAGTACCTACCAAACGTTCCGTCATGTTTTTGTCACGTACTCTGTCTCGAACTCGATTGCACCCAACCGAAAAAACTCCGACATACATCTCCTAGGCCTAGTAACATTGCTTTTGACTCATTTAATTTCTATTCACCCGCAAAATGCTTATCCTGAACATGTAACATACTTTGTACCTCTGTGGGTACAAGATATGTAGGGAAAGATGGAGATGCTATCTGAAGGAAACATGAAAAAAGAAACGAAAAGATAACCACCGAATACGAAGAAAAAATACCCATGCACCGGAACGTGATATACTTTATGCAGTGACAAGGAATAAATCCTCACGAGTGGGCATAAACTGAAGACATTGCAAAGAGGCGCCGAATAGGGAGTCGAACCGTAAAACCTTACCACACTGTAAACCTAGTCTGCTCGGCAAACGCACACCCCTTTGGGGGCCGTGCAGCCCTGCTCGATGATCCACACGGCTCGGGAACAAAGGAGACATGTTCCCGGCAGTAGAGGCGACAAGGGGAGGCAGTGAGCGACGGAAAGGGAGGCACAGCGGACAGGGCAGACAGGGCCACAACTCGATCCTGGTTCCCCTCTAACTTAGCATCGTGTCCCATCGTCAACACACGGGCAAGATCTCTTGAAAATGTATGCCAGATCCCAGAGTGTGGGAACAATTGTTCAGAGGCGGAAATTGCATCTTACGGCTATGATTGCTGGACCCGAAGTAAATCGTTGCATCTGAGATCCGGCCGACAGATCCATGTACCGATTGCACCCATGTTCGTTTAAATGGACCAGGAGGTGTGGGATAGACAAAGAAAGAGTGGAGTATGACAGTGTAAGCAAAATGGATGTTGGTCTTGGAAATGGATTCGTCTATGGGCATTTCTTTCAATCATCGTTCAAACTCGACGACCTTTTGCGTAGCCGAGCTGGCACTTCTCCGCCGAGACGGTTCTGCAGGTAGGTCCAAAATATGAGATGATGACTGAGGTGCCGTCACTTCTCCCGTAGACCCGCTTTCGCCAATGCCTCCAAACTCCGCTTCAGCTCCTTCAAGGAGATCCCGATCGCGTTCCATGACGCTTCGCGTCTCTGCATCGCCGCGGGAGCCCAACGACACTTTACCTCCTTCCTCAATTTCTTCCTCTTCGTCCTCTTCATCTCGGCCAAGAGCATTGCGTTCCATTTCACGTTGCGCCTCGTCCATGCGTTTTCTCACTTCGGCCGCCACCCGCATGCCATCGGTCACGAGGTTATCCAGCATACCTCGCAAGCCTTTGCCTGGTGGAACCATTCCTCCAGTCACAGGCGACCGAGATAGGGGTGTAGGTATGTTGCCTACACGACCTCCGGATACGCTTGCAAATGTGGTGAGCTTCGAGGACGAGACGTCTTCCATGGGACGTTCAGAGAGCTGGAATGAATCGGGGAAGAATGACTCAAAGAATCGCTGAAGCAACTCATCAGCGAGAATGACCATTCGGAAGGTTGGAAGTATGATGTGAAGCGGATTTGCCGGATCAAGTGCAAGATTTGCAGAATTTTGATTCGCCCTTGTCGCTTCAGATAATTCAGACTGGTCTGCCGCTGCTTCAGAACTCGAGCTTGCCTTTTCCTGGGAATCACCTTCACCCGTGGAACGGTTTCCACTGGCATCATCTAGATCTAAGAGATCTTCCTCATCCTTGCCAATGCTAAATGCAGCTAGACCATCATTCATATCATTGACATTTGCGCTGGTCGAATTTGTAGCTTGTTCGTGTGAGCGATCCGGATCAGCGTATTCAAAGCAACGACGAATGAAGGCGCTGACGCTGTTCAAAAACCTTTCGTCAATGTTACCCAGTGCTTGATCATCAAGGCCATTGTCGAGATCACGATCGGACTCCCCAGGCACTCCAGTGGGCGCAGGAGTCAAAAGTCCTTGCAAGCCACGCCTCGACAAGAACAATAATGCCTCGGAGATGCGTAGTATTCCTTCTCGGTCAACTTTTCCATCCCCATCGTCATCGTAGAGATCAAAGAAATAGCTGATGCTCGCGAGAATATCTCGCGTACCCTTAATCTGAGCGAAACCTGCCACCACATTTTGCAAGCTCAGGGCTCCGGTCTTGTTCACATCCCATTTCCCAAAGAGTCTTTGCACGAATTCATGATCTGCCGGTTCTGGATTTCCAGCACCCCAGGGCGAGAGTGATCGATTTCGGCCCTTGAGACCTCCACCAAACGAAGAGAATGGCGACTTTTCAGAAGCCAGATTATTTTGAGATGGACTCGGTGTATCGGAGATGGCCCATGGCGCGATGCCGGCTAAGAACTCTCGGAAGGCGTCATAGTCCATCAAGGTCGCACTAGGGCCCAGCCCAACTCTTCCCTTTTCGACTTCTGTATTGCCACCGACTCCAGTAACAATTTCATTGGCCTCAATGTTACCAGACCTTGCTCGTCGCTCGGTCTCGTCTCGAATCATCTGCATCCGCTGTTGTCGCTCGTAGAGAACGCTATAAAATCTATCGTAGAGGAAGCCCAGATCGTCTTGACTGAGGCGCTTGCTGTCCGGACCGAGATTTCGTATTGATGTTCGTTTGGCAAAGCTTTCAATATTGTTCAGAACTGCGTCCTTGTGCTTGGCCCGCTGCTCTGATATGGTGTGTTGCGTAATGTTGGAGAACTCCTTGAAAGCAACAACCATCAATTCCTGGAATTTCGTCACGGCTCTCAGTCTCTCATTTTCCGAGCGAGGATGAGCAGATTCGTTGAGGCGAGAAAAGTACGATTTCAGAATTGAGATAAAGGCCCCGTCGTCCGTAGCATCAAGCAGCTCCTCGCCGTTGATGCGAAGGATCGCTAAGCCAACTTGAAACAGGACCTTGGGTCCTTCCAAGAAGAACACATCAAGAACGCGAAAGGCGAAAATGAGAGGCATGGAGTTTATGTAGAGCGAGAGGAACCAGGGTAACGAGACCACAGATAGTTGCACGTCAGATTTGACGAGGTGGTCCCATAAAATCGGCATCGTCTTCTCCACGAGCGACTCAAATACTCGCTGATCGAGTAGGGTCCCGTACATGGTGGTAGAATAATACCCTGGAAGAAGTCTGTCACAGAGCACAGAGAGGAGAAAGAAAGCTTGGGACTCGGACATGTAGCTGTTCGTGGGAGAATTAGCATCTGCACGACGCGGGGAGATTAAGGCTCTACAAACATGAGAAGTGCTGCTACGACAATATTCATTGCCTGGCAGTATCCAACTTGTTCATTGGTCCAACTATACGCCGTCAAAACTCTTCGCAGTCGTCCAATTCCCTCCTCGCTCTGAAAACCAGGATATTCTGGAAGACTTCGATTCAGATCTTTTTCAATCTCATCAATGGCCAGCGAAGTCCTCCCAGAATACTTTAAGAGCGTTTCGGAGTAGAGCTTTGGATCCTGGAGCCTGACGAAAAAGGAGCCCGAGGCGAGTTCCCAAATTTCACCCCGTAGCCTGTTTGGAAGACCAACCCGGATAAGTTTATGGAATGTGGATTGCCGAATTAACGTGGCATTACGACCGTTTTCTAATTATCCCACGTCAGCAACGCATCTTTCAAAATTTGTTAGTCGGGAAGGCGATGCCTACCTCGCAAATATTCCCCCCAGAGTCTCATCTTGCTCCGATCTCGCAGCTTGCGAGCATCACCGGGATACTTGAAGACCATTCCCAGCCCCGCGTCAGGAGGTTCACGTGCGGTTGTGTCATCCTTGGCTCCATCTTTTGCTTTCTTTGGTTCATTGGAGAGGAGATACTCTGAATAGCATTCAGCAACAACAGCTTTGAGGTTCTCGACCTCTCGGATTCCCTCTCTGAGCCCCTTCTTTAGGCCGTCACAAAATTTTTCACATGCTTGACGACTCCCCGCGAGCTGTATCGTAAACCTTTGAGGCTCAGAGGCTGCGTTGCTCTGCCCGGCTGAGGTGAGGCCATTCCAGGTTGTGATATTCAGAGCAAACATATAACTTTGGCTATGAAGCCTTTCCACGCGTCGAATAGCGCAAAGTGGAAGGGTGAACCCATTGCCTGCTGGCCCTTCTCCATGTGTTTGTCCGGTAAACCCACTTGATGAGCCCAGACTAGCGGACGGTAAGAAACTTGTCGGCTGCGTTGAAAAACACAGGAAGCTTTCGCTCAGATGCAGCTTTCCTGGATAATTATTTCCCCGATCACGGTCTCGATCGTAATCTTTCTCAGTTCGCGGCTTGTTTGTTGAGCTGGTGGAATGCGGAGGCGGGAGGGTTAGCTCTGCAGTGATCTCTTGCAGAGGGTTTTGGGAATCGGGCAACCGAAACTGATGACGGAATAGAGCGGATTTGGAGGGCTTTCGGTCAGAGCTCCCAGGGACAGGAGCAGACGATGGATCAACGAGGGATTGGGCCTTCTGGACGAGAGACGATATGCTGAACATGATGGGCGCTTCTCACGCGCCCGCAAGCACGGATGCGAATGGTCTTGACTATCGTTGGGATGTAGACCTCTAGTTCAATCGACAGCTCTTGTTTGCATGATATCAGAGGTCAGGGTACGTCAATGATTGAGTAGATGTTTCACAAGAGACCTCCCACTGTCCCCTTTCCTCGCAAGCCAATCAGAAGCAAAGCGGAAAAGTGTGAGGTATCTGCATTCCTGGGGCAGAAGAGTTGCTATCGTCTGTTCGAGCTTTGGCCGACCGACGTAAGGTACGCGATAGACCCGAGCTACGGTAGGATTGATGTACGTACGCAAGCGACGGTGCGTGGTTTATGCTCGTTCTGAGAGAGAGAGCAAAACATAAGAATATTGGGCGCACAATGATATACGTTTCCAACAATTTGTTGAGCAACAGAAATTATAGAAACTGCCAGCAATATAATACTGCAAATGTATGAACGTCAACTCTCCAGCTCAACCTTGAGGTCACTCCAGTCGGGATAACGGCTATGGCGTCGAGCCTGAAAGTAGTAGTACTCTACTCTGACGAAAATTATGCCCTTCTAGAGGTAGTTGTACTTGCTTTTCAGCTGTGGTTATGCTGGGGACAACCCCACGGAGATTTCTCCGACTTGCCCCACGAATATATTTAGAAACATCTCACTTCTTCAACCCGCGATAAATATCAATTCAATTATTCCACCTATAATATTCTAGATTAATTCATATTTACGCTGTTGATATGAAATATTCAGTTAGGTTTGTTTGCTGTTTTTTTTTTTTTCCTCCTTGATTAGGGAGATTTTAATTAACAAATGTGCGTCTTATACCATAAATATCATGGTAAATATGTATTACTTCAAATATATTTCTGAGAAGCATAGATCCATATGCTTAAGACATCCAAGGGAGAAAATAAATATATGTCTCCACAGTCTAGATCATATAAGTAACTAAAGCATGCCAGAGACAAATAATTCTATGATGCTTTACATTCCAAAATCCGGAGTTGAAAGCGGCCTACCTGCCGTCTATACAGACATTATCCGTTCAAAAATTACTCAGTGTAGATCTCTACCCGTTCAAAAGCACAGTACAGCTATTATCTTATCTGCTTGGATTAGCTTTCGATTTGGAAAAAATAGCTCGGACCGGATGAGGGTGGTTCTTTTGCGCCAATCCATCTATGCATAAATTCAGCGATATCTGCATAATTGTGCAAGGTACGAATAACGTGCACAATAATTATACTGACAACTTGTTTACCCCTTTCCCAAAGCGTAACCATAACGGTGAATAAAGACCATGGTGGCATATTCATGGTGGCATATTCAATTGATCTACCCAGTTTGGTCTGGTCCTTTTTGCACGATTCACACTTAGTATGGCTTTTCTAATTGAATGTAAACCGGCCTATTATTCATCATTTCCAATGGACACCTTAAGTACGCTGAAGCCACGTCGGTGCATACCTGGCTAAGAATACCTGACTCCGAGATAAAACAAGCTATAGACCTACATCGGTCTTACTTCCCCAAGCCAAATGCTTTGCTTCAATATTTTAGCTATATTAATTTTTAATTTGATCGAGGTTCCTGAACTCTCATCAGCTTCGACTGGCTTGCCAAGATGGGCACTCAGAACAGACAAACAATATCCGAAGGTGTCGCGGCTTTTCTAGAACAAAAGAATCTATTATCTCCAATCAAAGGGAACAAGCGCAAGATCTCTCCTCTGGTAATAATGTCACCTACTTCAACTATATCCAATCAAGCCTTTTCACAACCATCACATAACACTGTCACTTCTCGTGATTTCAAAGCATCATGTCTGAAGATTGAGACAGACGAAGTGGAAATACCTGCGGACTTACATAGTCAAGAGACCTACGAGTTCATTGGCTTCAAAACTGCCGCGGAAATGTGGCACAACTATTCTACTGCTCTTGCTGCCATGGATGATCCGTATTTCCGTGAACATGTCGCTATCGGCGAGGTAGATTTCCTTGATTTTGCGCTCTCAAGGATCACCATGCTCGGGCCTGGCCCAACGAGCTCCTTGGATGACTGGAGTGGCCATCTGGACCGCTTGGGAATCAACTCGACGCTCAAGGAAGCAATTCTGATGCCTGAATTTGAAGGCATCAGATGTACAGCCAGCTGTGAGTTCTGGGTGTTGGATGCGGCACAGGCTGCTTTCGAAGTAGTCGAAGCCCTTGACGAGACTGTAAAAGATCTGGTCATCCATATGCAAGAGATGGATGAGACGTCGGACCATTCTGCAGAGAACGAAGCTGCTGAGCAAAGGTCATCTGCGCCAATTTCGGCGGAAGACGTTGTTGCGCCAGAAGTCGCACCTAGCGACACTACTCTTTGGCGTGCAGAGCATGGATATAGATGCAAATTGCTCTGCAATAAGGAGACGCGGCGACTGGAGCTGGGTAAAATTGCCACGGTGGAAGGAGACTTTGGCGGACTTATAGCATTCAGCTATTTTACTCCACAGAAAGAGACTGCAGACCTGTACGCAGCGTGGGGTAAGCATAAGGTACCTCTAGATGATCTGCGAATTGTACAAGTTGATATTCCGGAAAGTTTGGCCAGAATTCTGTCTGTCAAATATCTCTGGTCAGGCTCTCAAGAACAGTCCTTATGGAACGAGTGGAGAGAAGTTGCTCTCCTCTCGCGAAGAAGAAAGGGTTTCCTGGATGAACTTGAACACATCCATGATAAAGACTTAATTATTGGTCATGTGGCTAGCGGCCTCAACATCGAGTTCTTGAGAATGAATGACCCAACCGAGATCAAGGATAAACAGGTTTTGAAGGTAGAGATTGATGGCCAGGAGAGGAAGGCTATCCAATGGGGCTTTCACCATAGGTCGTTTGCAAAAGTGGAGGATGCTACAGAAGGAAAGTTCTGGGTGCACCGCGTTGGTGCTTTGAAAGCTCCCAAACAAGCACAGCATTAACCAAATGATGAGAGGCAAAGAGAACCGCGCAATTCAATTTCTGTGATGCTTGCACTCCTGATTATTGTAACCTGCGCACATGGCTAGGATATTTATTGGCCTTCAGAACCGAGATTTTGCTCCCGCTTTGCATCACTTAGTTAACTACCTAACACAAGAGAATTATTGCTCCTTGAATATTAGAACCATTGAGCTCCTTTCGAAGCTGAGACTGACCAGAATGTATTATTCGTCATGCTGAAACAATAGAGTAATGACATGACTCTCTAGCTCTATTCGCAGTCAAACTCAAGTCACTTACTATTGTATTCAGAGCCGTGAATTCGTCAATAGCTCTATTCGGCCGAGCATCCCCGCATCTCGGCCGGTATTATTTCAAAACACGTACGTAATAAAATGGACAAGCGAGGATATTCACTCAATGATGGTCAATGGTACAATACTCTGCCGGAACTTTTTCCGATAGCCACTGGGTGAAGTGATTAAGTCATTGTCCTTCTCGAGAATGACGACAAGTCTACCACGAGATGTAGCTTCGATTGAGAAATTAAAGCAAGGTAGCTTTGATGAACCAGATATGAGAATAGCTTCGAACCTGTGATTGAGAGTGAGCAGTCATCAAGTAAGCGTAGCAAAACATCAAAACCTATTCATTAATAGAGAGGCTGGGGTAATAGGGCCCCATGATCGCTTAGACGGGAAGGACGGGCCCCGTAGAGTCAGAATGAGCTCCGGTGCCATGCAGGTCAAGCGCGCCTAGCGCACCGCGAACCACAACACCGGCAACATTCACGTATATTTCCCGATTAGGCAATATCGAACCAAAACTCGGACTCAGATGCCCCTCATCTCACTTACCGACGAATAGTTGCCAACGTATCATTTCTGCTTCAAATCGATCGATAAAATATTCGCAAGATAGCCTGTATCGAGGAGTAACTTGCCTAGAAATTTGAGTGGAATTCGTAGCCATCTTGCCCTTCAAATGCGGGAGAATAAGAGCAGCCCGTCACTCGAAATGAAAACCAGAGTAGCCAGTTCCTTCCGCAGGGAGCTCATATTCACCACTGTCGGCCCCGACAACGCCCTTCTCAAGCGAGACCAGCCACTTTTGCCTTCAAAAGCACTCCTTCCTCTCTCGTCTCCCTTCTTCTTTCTTCCACCTTCTCTCCATCCACATCTTTCTTTTCGTCAGCGAGGAACAGCTTTACCGTGGTTGATCTTTGATCTTTCTCGTTCGTAACTGTCTGCTCTCAAGCTGATATTCTTTCCATTCGTACCTTTCTCATCTTCACCTGCTTTCAAAAGTTGTCTTTCTCGTCATTGTTGATCTCGCGTTTGAGCTCAGTTCAAACCGATTCTCCGGTGACGGTAAGTCCTTCTGATCTTGATGAAGCTTGTAGCACAGAGCTGACAACTTCGTCCAGATTCGAAATCCTCTTTTCATTCGTACCTCCATCTTCTCATTTTCATCAGCTTTCCAAAGCTGCCCTTTTTGTCGTTGTTGATCACGAGCTTGAGCTTAGCTCGCAGTGATCCTTTGTAACGGTAAGTCCTCCTAATCTTGACAACGTGTGGAGCAGAGAGCTGACAAGTTCGTCCAGATTCGAAATCCTCCCCTCCATTCGTACTTCCATCTCCTCTTTTCATCGGCTTCGAAAGCTGCCCTTTTTGTCGTTGTTGATCACGAGCTTGAGCTTAGCTCGCAGTGATCCTTTGTGACAGTAAGTCCCCCTAATGCCGATAACGTGTGGAGCATAGAGCTGACAATTTCATTTAGACGTAAAATCCTCTTTTCATTCGCACCTTCATCTTCTCTTTTTCATCCGCTTCGAAAGCTTCCTTTTTCGTCGCTGTAATCTCGCTTTTGAGCTAAGCTCGGAGTGATCTCTTGAGACGGTAAGTCCTCCTGATCTTGACAAAACGCAGAGCAAAGAGCTGACAACTTCATTTAGATTTCAAAATCCCCTTTCCTTCGAGAAACACCCACACACGTCATACTTAGACAGTGCTTGTAAGAGACCTAAAACTCATTAGTCCAAAGTAAGAACGAAGCTGACAAACCCCTGCAGATCCGAACCTCTATTCAAGAAGCTCTTGCTTACCGTCATTCGAAATGACTAGCATGAACATGGACGCTGATGAATTTGCCGCGAACATCTTGCAAGGCATCGAGGAATTCCACATTTCCGAACCATCCTCCCCCGTTCCTAACGAAATGAACGAAGTCGAGATGGATAACAGTCCATTCTCCATGAAAGCCCGTGTCAGCCCCAGCGTTGGCCCTTCCAACGGCGGTAACCTTGCCAATCCGAGCACTGCCAATACCAATGACGTTGACATGGAAATGACTCCGGCCATTCAAGCTGGAAACAATGAAGGTGCCCTCAGTGGCTTCAACCTCGTCAACTTTGCCCCCGCTAGCAATGCTGGCTTTGTCAATCCAGGCAATTTTGAACTTGGCAAGGTCGGCAACGACAATGTTGTCCATACTGGCAATGTCAATATTGGTATTTCCAATCCAGACAATCAGAGCAACGTCACCCTTGGCAATGTTCGTGACAATACTCTCGGTCAGGGCCCCTCTGAGACCGTCAATGATGCCAGCGGCTCCGCCGATACCACTGGTAAAGGCAAGGAGAAGGCCAAAGAGCCTGAGGGAACTGGACTTCCAGCCAACCAACAGTCGATCCCCGCGAGTTATGATGCCCAGGGAGTTCCCATCGAGTCCCGCATTGATCCTGCCCTTTTCGCTTTGGATCTTGGACAACCTGATCATATGGCAATCACTGATGCACAGCTCGAAGAGTTTTTTAAGAGTTCCCGCATCATAGGTACTCCGCCCGCAGTCACACCAGGCCTTCAATCGCCTTTGCTGGAATCAGGTGGCGGTAGATATGAAGTGCCGAGTACCCCGTATGGCTATGGCTATGGCTACTCTGGTTATCCCGATGACGAAGGTCTCCTCGGAGCAGATGGAGCTCCCATTGAGCCGTACCAAACAGCCGCTACTCCCGAATGTGTGGAGGAACGCGAATTCGCGCTTTTCGGTGAAGATGACGTCTTGAACTTTTCACCGCCAATAAGCCGCCCGACCTCGCCCGCGATCCCGTTCACCGAGCAAATCGATCAGGTGCTCCTTCCTGTTACTGAAGGTAGCCAGAATTTGCAGAACTCCGAAAGAGATTTGTACGGCTTGCCGATTCTTGAGGGCCCCGTCGATTTTGACGATGATGGAAAAGTTTATACCTTTGAAGACCTTGCTGAGTTTTCACCCGAACCCGGATCTCTCGAAGAATCCAAGGGCCGTTCACTTGCCGATTGGCTCAATTCTCATCCTGATTTCATTGATAACTTCGCTGTTGAGGAGCTGCCATTGCTCACCGCAGCCGAACTCGACGCCCTTACGCGGGCCAGTGTCAATGCTGCCACTCCCAGTGCAGCCCCCAGAGCCGCCCCCAGTGCGCCTGCACCTATCCCATCTGTTCCGCTCTTCGCGAACGATCCCAACTCAGTTCCCAAGCCGAACAAGGGCGTTCCAAGCATGTTTATGCCGCAGCCGCTCAGTCTTCCGGATACCCTTTTTCTTCCCCCGGCTGCCAACCCCGACTTCAACTTTTTTGGACAAGGAGGAATAAGCGGCAGCGCAAGCAAAGGCAAGAAATTCTTCAAGGACCTAAAGGATAGACCAATTAGAGTCCCCACCGGTGTGAAGCGTCAATCCGCGAACATATTATTCGGCTCTGGCAAAGAAGACCTCGAAAAAGAGGCACAGGAAGCTGCACGGCTTGCCGGGTCGCCTGTCAAAGTGAACAGCGCACCGAAGAAGCCAGAACCCATTTTCAAATTCAACGCACCTCAAACCATCAACTACGCCAGCGAACAAGTTCCTGATCCCACGATCCCTCCGGGATTCGCTTTTGGAGAACCCACCTTTCACCAGTTCCTGAATCTTCCGCCTGAGATGCGAGTAGATGAGCCTCGGAGCATCAAAGTCAAGGAAAGCGATACGACCCTTGTGGTCCTGGGCCCGAACTCACCTCCGCAGAGCACCAGAGACAGATGGCGACGTGAGCTAGCAGAAAAACTAGCGAAAGACAAGGAGCAGCCGAAAGCTCAAGTCGCTACCCATGGCGTCGGAGAGGCCACAGATATTTTCGAAGGCACGCCCGTCAGGGCTAAGGAAGCAGAAGCTAAGCTAGCTGCAAAAGAATTCGAATGGGTACGGGAACGCGAAAGCTTCAAGAAGCAGATCAACAAGTTGGTCGAAGATGGAATTCTCCGAGCCAAGGAGCTCAAGGTTAAAGGAGAGGCTGCAGCTGTACGCGAAAAAGCACGCGCCGAACTCAAAAAGGAGTTCAAAGTCTTGGAAGACGAGCTTAAGAAGGAGAAGAAGGAGCGAGCAGAGGAGACAACGAAGCTCCAGCACGAAAAATCTTTCATTGCCGATCAACTCCAGCGCGAGAAGAAGCGCTACGATGCAAGCGCCGAACAAGCCCGCCCGAAAATCAGGGAAGAGCTTCTCGCCGAACTTAAACCCCATTTTGATGCGGATTTGAAAAGACTTGTAGAAGCCAGTCGCGTCGAAACTGAACGACTTTACAAGGAGAAGGATGCTCAGCTCCAAATGGAGAGACAAGCTTTTCAAGCTGAAAAAGAAGCAGCAATGAACCAATTTGCCGCTCAACGCCAGGAACTCGAAGTTCGAGCCCAATCCGCAGTCGCTGAAGTTGAAGTGTATAGGCAGAAAAGCCAAGAAGCCGAACAGGCATACACTAGCGAGCGAGCGCAAATGGAGAATCAATTCCAATCTATGCTGAAAGAAGAACAGCAAAGGTTCGTCGACTATAAAGCCCAAGTAGAGGCTCACTTCGAAAGTGAAGTTGCTCAACGAGCAGAGAAGAAGGCGCAGGAGGTTCTTGCCACCGCAAAGCCGCTAGAATCGACAGAACAGCTCCAAGCTCAATATGAAGCTGCGATTGCGGAAGCTGAAAAAATAAAGCACCAACTGGCTGTAGCTCAAGAGACAAACCGAAAAGAGCGAGAACAGATTAAAGCTGAGCACGCCACTGAGATGTCAGAGCTCGAAAGCAAATATGCTGAGCTGGATCACTTCCACGATCAGAAGTATGCCGATCGCCTCAAGAAACTCCAAGAAGAGATTGCCACAAAGCAATCTGAGACTGAGGAAAAGCTGAAGGCTGATTACGCGAAAAGAGTCGAAAATGAGCGCCAACAGATCAAGAGCGAGCTCAAAAAGTCTTATGCCAACCGCGTCAAGAAAATGGAATCTGAGAACGCCGACCTCAAAAAGTCCCAGGATCAAGCATTCGACGATCGTCTGAAGAAACTCCAATCGGAATTTGACAACGCTGTCATTTCAACAGTCCAGGAAAAGCTTCGCGAACAGACCGCTGAAAATGATGCAGGTCAAAACAAAGTCGACGAAAAGCTGAAGCTTGAAATCAAAGAGTCGTACGATCGGGAATACCAAGCTAAGCTGAAGGCACTTGAGAATGAATTCGACAATACAGTCAATTCCAAGGTCGAAGAACAGCTTCAGGTGCTCTTCGGTGAAGATACCGCGGATCAGAAAAAAGACGACGGCGAAAACCTCAAGCTTGAAATCAAAGAGTCGTACGATCGGGAATACCAGGCTAAACTGAAAGCGCTTCAGGACGAATTTGACAATACTGTCAATTCCAAGGTCGAAGAAAAGCTTTTCGAAATGTTTGCTGACAATGACGCAGATCGACCAAAGGGCGACGAAAAGCCTAAGCTGGACGTCAAAAAATCTCAGGACAAAGAGTTCGACGATCGTCTGAAGAGCCTACAAGACGAATTTGACAATACAGTCAATTCAAAGGTCGAGGAAAGGCTTCGCGAGCTGTCCGGCGAGGATAACGCGGATCAAAAGAAAGACGACGGCGAAAAGCTCAAGCTTAAAATCAAAGAATCCTTCGATCAGGAGTATCAAGCTAAGGTGAAAGCACTCGAAGATGATTTTGACAGTACTCTCAACTCCAAAACCAAAGCACTTGAAGACGAGTTCGACTCTCAAGTGAAAAAACTTCACGAAAACTTCGATGCCCAAGTGAAAGCACTTAACGATGAATCCGCCAATGCTGCAAAGCAGCTTCGGAAGCAAAAGGCCCAGAATGCCGCAAAGCAGGCCAAGTTTGAAGAGCAATTGAAGATCGAGAGTGCGAACAAACTCGAAGATGAGCGCCAGAAAATTCAAGCCAAGCTTGAATGGATCAATGATCAGAAGTTTAACGTCCGCGTCAAAGAAGTCGAGGAGAACATTGACAAAACCGTCAATCAAAAGCTAGAGGAAAAGCTTCGGGAGCAACAAGCTCAGTTCGATGCACAGCAAGCGGAAAATGAAAAGGAGGTCAGACTGGACAAAGCGCTACAGCTCAAAGAAGAGCGTGAACGGATCGAAGCCGATTTCAAAACAAAACTCGACAATGAATCCAAGCAGCTAGAAGCCAAGTTCTCAGAATCTGTCGATCAAAAAGTACAAGAGAAAGTCAAAGAAAGACTCTCTGAGATCGAACAGCAGCGCAAGCGCGAAGTAAAGCAAGCTAAAGAAACCGAGCGGCAAAGATCGGAAGCAGCTAAAACGAGCGAAAAACAGCTCGAAAAAGCTCTTGAAATGCTTGTCAGGCAGCAAAAATCCATTGAAGAGTTGACAGCTTTGTATGAGGAGGAGGCTGATGAGAACGAGCGCAACGAAACGGAAGCCGAAGAAGCTGAGCAGCAAAGGTTGGAAACAGCCAAAGCGACCGAAAACCAGATCGAAGAACTCCATCAAAAGCTTGCCGCACAGCAGCAATTCATCGAAGAAACGAGAGCTCGGTATGAAAAGGATCTTGAGAAGGAGCGGCGCGAGCGCGAAACGCAAGCTAAGAAAGCTGAGCAGGAAAAGCTGGAATCAGCCAAAGCGAGCCAAGAAGAGCTCGAAGGATTAAATAAAAAGCTTGTCGCGCAAGAAAAATCCAACCAGGATCTGAAAGCTCGATATGAGGAAGAACTCGAGAATGTCCGTAACGGCATCGATGCGACGATCAAGGAAAAAGTCGACGAAGAGAGTCGGCAAATGAGAGTGCTCTACAAAGAAGAGCACGACAGCCAGATACAAAAACTGTCAGAAGAATATGACAGAAAGATTGCTACTGCAAAAGCAGAGCAGAACGATCCACCGGCTGAGAGCATCCCGTCCGACATTGACGGACTTGAAGAGGAACTCGAAGCAGCGTTAATGGAAGATCTGGCTAGAGAAAATGTAGTCGCAGCCGCGGAGACGCAACCGAGCGAAGATTTACCTCCAGTACAAGTTCCCGACACAATCACATCGGATTTCGAGGAAAAGCTCGAAAAGCTGCAAAAGGAAGTCGAACTCATGCAGGCGTTGAATGAAACACTCAAAGGCGACTTGATCAAAGAGAAAAAGTCGATAGAGGATCTCGAAAAGGATCTAACGGAGACAAAGAACTCTACCTCTTACTCAGCACGCAGAAAGCTCCAGCAAAAGTATGATAGCACTGCGAAGAGTCTTGATCAAGCAAAATCGAACCTTCTCCAAGCAAAAGCATCCGAACAGACTTGGAAGGACAAGACCGCTTCAGCTGAGAACAAAGTCGCCAATCTTCGACGTCGCATCGAAGAGTTTGAAAAGGACAAGCAGCAGCGAAGGTCCAAACAGGACGAAATGGCAAAGTCCCTCGAAAATGAGTGGAAAGCCAAGTTGGAGGAGCAGGCGAACCAGCACGCCGAAGAGCTGGACTTCCAGAGAAGAGCGCTCCTGGAAGAGTATCGCGAGTGGGAAGCCACCGCTGAAAGCAAGTTCGCCGGCAAGCTCCGGCAAAAAGAGCAGGAACTTGCAGTTGAATTGGAGGCCATTCGAATGGCAAAAGAAGAAGTGGAGGCGGAGAAGATGACGTGCGAATCGAGAGCATCCAAATTGGAGCTCGATTTGAAGGAGATGCAAGTCGCCATTGCCGACAACGAGGAAGAGATTCTGCAGAAGAACTCTCGACTTGCAGAATTGGAGCAGAGCTCCCGTACCCTTCAGCGCGACGTCACGGACGCCGACACGGCCAACAGGCGATTGCTCCTAGAGGTCAAGGACCTCGCAGCTGCGGTGGATACGAAAGCCGCACAGTTGACAGAGGAGCGAGGGAGGAGCAATCGCCTTGCCGAATGCGCCGAAGAGCTCACATTGCAAATGGCGGAAGCCAAAAGTGAGCTCGAAGCCGCTGAGCACAAGTGCCAGCGATTGGAAGCCGAGTCTGCTGAGACCAGCAGACTGCGGGCTTCATTGACCGACTCGGAACGCGCGGTCGACGAGCTGAACGAAAAGCTCGTCAAGGAAGGCCACGAGGTGGCCAGGCTGCACGAGCAGCTAAGTCTCCTGTCGGAGGAGCAAATTGTCAAGCCACCGCGCTCGCGGGAGCTTCTCCGACGGCTGGCTGCGCCGCTGGAGCGTGCGCTAGGGGAGGACCGATTCCCCCAGGAGTCCACGGACTCTTGGGCCATCTCCCCAATTGCGTCTCCAGAGGCCTCTCGTGAGCCTTCTGAAGCCGGCGACGAAGAGCTGGCAAATCTCTGGGTGTCCAACGACAATGGCGAGACACCCGCAGCCCCCGCCACCGACAACTTGCAGAGTCGGTCCGAACTGGTAGAGGAGCTGAAACTGGAGAGGGAGGCGGTTTTGGAAGAGCTCGGTGCCCTGGAGGCACTGACTCATTCCACCACTCCTGCTACGGGTCTGTCAAGTGACCCATTGAATGGCCAAACGGACGCCATGAGCACCAGCTCATGGCGATGGTGGGTGCAACTATACCTGGAATTTTTCTGGGTACTGGTGACTGCCTGCCTCCCGGCATTCTTTGGACTCACGGAACAGTCCGTAGAGTTACACGGTGGGGTCATCGCCATGTTCGCGATGATCTTTGGCTTTTCGCCACTGATCATCGCATTGGCATCGAGGGTCCAGGCGAGAAGCCACCCTCAACCCATGCGCAAGTCCCTCCAAGTTTGGCACCTCGTGGTGTACTTGGTTCTCGCTCTCTGGTTATTCCAGTGGCGAGCCGCGGTGGTGGAGCGGCGGCTGTGGCTGGAGGCTAACGACCTCACACGGCAGGCCCTCCTACACTGGCGTTACCGGCACACCGCCGGTTCGCAGACTCTGTTGGCCTCGACACTGGCCAAAGTGCCGGAGTTGCTCACGCAACTCTGGTTTGCGGTGTCGAGGTGGTCCCGCCTCCTCTGGGCGTAAGGGACCATGGCAAGGGGGGCTGCTTTTTCCTTTGTTTGGAGTTTCTGGAGTTAGGAGTTTCTTTGTCTTTTTGGGTAGTTGAGAAACTAACAGACGGAATAGTGCTGGCTGCAAAGCCACGCATCATTCAGCGTTAGTTTCTCTTCGGCCGCCCTCACAAAGTCTTGTATCGTCCCTGGCTTTTCTTTTGTTGTTGTTGTCATTTCTTTTCCTTTCCTTTGTACTTTTCACAGCCAGGGAGCACGTCATGTAATAGGAAGGATCTCGTGTTGGCGCATTACTCGTGGTATTTCTATCATTGCCCGTTCTTGCTTTTGCCGCGCTGGGCTCGCAATCTTTGGAGTTTATTCTCTGCATCAAGCGGAGTGAACATGATGGTCAGAGTAAGGAAGGAGCGTTCTTTGGTGCGCGTGTTCGCTGGTACTGCTGATAGCCAGTTTCCCTGTCGGTCGCGGTGAGTTTATCCCGCTTGATCGACAGATGTCTGGTGGGTAGGCAGTATCTCGCGATAATCCGCCAGGGATACGTGACCTGAAATGCCGATTGATTCGCCGTCTTTGTGTTGATTGCATTCTGAGCTCGTTTTCAGGGCCGGAGGAAAGAAAAAGAACGATCATTGACCAGAAGCCACTAATGTGCCGACTAGAGAGATCTCCTGAGGGTCCGCGCATTTCTTTTTGCTTTTATTTTTATCAAGCATGTGTCGCGATAAATCATGTATTCCCTTTGTTCGGGCTCTCTTTTTTTTTTTTTATCATGTGTTGCGCCAAGTCATGTACTTTCCTTTGTTTGGGTTGTCTTTTTCGAAGCATGTCTAGCGCTAAATCATGTACTTTCCTTTGTCTTGGGTTTGGGGTTTTTTGACTTTTTTTTTCGGTGGGTTTGTCAGGAGTACGGATCCGGGGCTGGGCTGGTGTCTGGTTTTCTTGGGTCTGGGTTTCTTCTGGCGTGGAATGGCGGTGTCTGGTTCTTTCGGGCGGGTTTGGGTTTGGGTCTGGGTTTTGGTCTGGAGTCGGAGTCGGAGTTGGAGTTTGGGTACTGCGGTAACGGTGTTGATGACGGGTGGAGGACTGGCCTTGAAGCCAAACGAGACAAAAAGTCTTTCAGGACGCAAAAAATCGCGTCCGCCCCTGCTCCGGTATTACCATACAGCCGCGACAGGTCTTTTCAAAAGCTCCAGCCACCAAAGCGAGCGAGCGACCAGGGACAAAAAAAAAAAAAAAAGAACAGCGAATCGCCTGATCCTTTTATTCTTTCGGCTTCGCGACCTGGGAAACACTTGAAAGTGGTGTCACTACAAACCAAAAAAAAAAAAAAAAAAAAAAAGAAAGTCACAGGCTTTCAGACACCCACTTCGGCCAAACAAGCAAATAAAAAAAAAGAACAAAACATATGACGCCCTGGCCGACGTCACAACCATCTTCCTTTCTACCAAGAAGAAGGGGAAAGGAAGATCAGGAAAGAAGTAAAAAAAACAAAAATCGCAAAAAGCGAATATGGCTCGGAACCAAAAACGGCCCGAAGCAAAACCTGGAGGATGGACCGGAACGAATGACCACGGAAAAAGCGGCATTCGAATTTCGAGTCCAAGGTGGGGATTTGAGAGTTCAGAATGAAGTCGAGCGGATGATGACGGGGTCGAGTGTCTGCTAGACAGCACCGGCCGGACTGGCGGACAGATTGTGCGAAGGCACTTTGGTGTTGAACGGATATTGGACAAATGTTTTCTCTCTCGGTGGATGTACTCCGTACAATTCTTTTTCGGCGATATCAGGTGTTGGTACGGAGCTGCGGATTTAGTTCACGAGAAACATACTATGGAGTTTCGGTCATGTTGATCTTCCTCTGATTTTTAATAGTCCCTTTTACCTCTATTCATACAGTTCCTTTACTTCTGTTCAGGGACTTGTTTTTTTCGGGGAGGCATCGGGGAAGCATCGGGGAGGGCTCCAGGGAGGTTTTCTTCCCCCATTGCAGGGCAAAAGGATTAGTTTTAGATATAAGTCGGAAATATCATCTCTTGTCGCAGCTGGTCTGCGACGTATTTCTGGCGAACCCATTTTCCCTTCCCTCATGCAATCTCGTTTCTATAATGTGATGTCTTTTTTCGTCAATGTCTGTATCGTGCATGTTTCTTTGAGATGAGCCGTAGGCCCGTAGCGTCTATGGACTTTGGTTTCAGTCCTTTCGTACATGAGTTTAAGCCTTTTTCGTAAAAGCCTTTTTTTTTTTCGTAAATAGCGTAGGCATCTTGGTGTTGTGATAAGAACGGATATACATTTTCTTTGTTCCTTTCGTTGTCGGCGCAGTGCAAAGGTTTGATGTCGGACCAAGACGACCGCGGACGTTGGCTTTGGGTGTGTGGTCTGTGCGTTCTTGTTTGACCTTGGCTTTGTTGGCTGCTAGTTACTCCGGTACGTTACGCTGCAGCGCTTGCGGTTGGCAGATCGAGGGCCTTTTGTTGGTCTGTGTTTCGCTCGTCGGCGCGAACCGCCAACCGAGCACCAGCGCACCCTGACCAAGGACCAGCCAGGGAGCCATCCTCGCATCATCCTCGCCAGGCCACAACTCCATACTGCCCCGGCAAATTGAGCGGGAGAGGAGAGAGGTTCTTAGAATTATTCAGTGTAGTATTGATCACGACACAAAGTATAACCTAGTACCACAATAAACCCCTCTCAGCTCTCAACCAAAGAGGGGACTTTATTCAGTTCTACGTACAGCAAGGTATTTTAACTACCATTGTCTTTGATGGAGTTCCCAGTTTCCAGTTTCCCCCAACCGTAGCCCCGTTAGTTATCCATAAGTTAGGTAAGTTAACTACTAAATACTTGACCTTGCGCCTTTCTCCACAGCAACCCGGTGCCAGCATTTGCAGATTGCAAATTGCCAGGTCCACAAGAGCGTCTTGCGCCGATACATTTCAGCTCTACGACTCGAGCAAATGTATGATGTCCAATGTCCTTCAATTCGTCACATAAGTTATTTAATTTCCTACTGAACTGCTGCAATAGATTTAGGTCAATTGAGCAAGGTCTCGGTATGGTAAATAAATAAATAAACACACAAGGCAAATTAATTACATTGATGTGACATATTTTATAGCGCACATTTTGAAGTCTCGTCACATCTTGCAGTGAGCCTAACTAACACTTGAAGCATCAAGTTTTGCCACATACCGCGCTATAACGATTGGGTTTTTTGACAGTCTGTGTCTGGAAACACAGACTTAAGATCGCATAAATTGACAAAGTCTTAACCTGTATACCTTAGCATCGCTCAGCGTCAATTACATCACTTCACAACCTCAATATGCTTGCATGAAATGCAATATTAATTGCCATACACTAACACAAGGTCAAAACTAGATTCATAGAAAAAGTGAGAGAGCAAATTGATCAATGCCTTTTTTTTTTTTTTTTTAGATTTCTTTGGCGCTTCAACGCTAAAACTGCAGACTGCTTTATAACACAGAAAAATTGCGGGTTGATTTGCAAAACTTCAAAGTGTGCAAAGAAATGCAAGAAGCAAAAATCAAAAGGGGAGGAAGATAGGAGCCAAGGAACTGAAAAAGAAAGAAATATAAAAAGGAGCCAAGTAACTTAAAAAAAAAAGGAAAGAAAAAGAAAGAAAAGGAAAAAGAATTTTTTCTAAACGAGTGTATGTATGTCAATATGTATGTGAGTGGATAATTTTCAAGTTAAACGAGTGACTGGCTTAATGGTTAAAATATGTGAGAAGGAATTGATGACCGGAAAAGAGAAAAAGAAAAACAAGAAAAAAAAAAAAAAAAAAAAAAAAATAGGAGAAGGAATATGAGTAGGTATGATTATGATTAGATGAGCGGATTGTCTGGTTCTTCCAGCGGCGTTGCGAGGGATATTTCCCCCATTTAGGGACCCGAAATGGATATAATAATAAGTGATCAATTTAGGAGCGGAAGTAAAAAAAGACGCGGAGAAGAACCAATATTGAGAACGACGGAAACAGGAGAACCAAGGTTTGCGAGATCTTAGTGATAATTAATGGCATTTTCTTGGCTGGGGAGGCGTATTTAGTATCGGCGGATTTAGCCGGGCGCGTAGCATTTGGCTTTCATATATCTGCTGCGACTCTATTCATGTCCGATGTGAAGGCGCGCCTCGCATTGAACCCTGCTGGGACGGGGCGTGGTGGCTATGGTTATGGTGATGGATGTGGAGTGCAGAGTGGCGTCCTCCTCTACGTGTCAGAGACCCGACGTCATGCTTGCCTGAAAAAAAGCAATCACGTTAGCACGGAAGATGTACGTAATAAATTAATGTATCGCATCGTTGATATCCATCTTACCATCACAGCAGGCTCGTACATTCTCCAGCCTGCTTGAGTCGCGCTCCTGCCTCTCAATGACCTGCCTGAGATCCTCGGCAGAGTCATTCACCATGCTTGCGTCATAGATACTATCGTCCCTAATGCTCTGCTTGCTTCGACGGCCTGAGAATGATCCATGCACACCGCCAGGAGGAGCGCCAGAGCGGAACATGCTGCTAAGGCGAGATAAAGACCCATGTGGTTGAGAGGCGCGGCTACGAGAAACGCCAGCTGGCGAGGGTCGCAGAGTCGCTACGCCGGATGGGTGCCTTCGAGGAGATGTGTTTCTAGTTGTGCGGCTATTGTAAGATGACAGCGATGCGCGAGACGAGACTCCAATCGTGCGAGTTCTGGTGCTGGAACGGGCATCAACCGACTGACCGTCTTCGCGAGTGGTGTTCCTGCTTTGCGAACGGTCAGGACCACCGGCGTCTCCAGAAACTTCGCCCCCAGTCCGAAGAAGAAGGTATGAGAGCGCATTGAACCAGGTCTCGTGTCGCTGTCCGGTAGCGGCGGTACACTTGATCGCCCGTCCAGGAGTAACAACAACCAAACTCTTGCGGTGAAGCCCGGGGGGCATTGGGTTGTCGTCGGTGACAACTCGTACACCTTCAATCTGCACACTCTTCGCCTTAAGTTCCAGCCTCCCAGCTGTTGACGGGTCCCGATCACTCCAGTACAGTGTTCTCGTGTACGGGTGGACCCAGAAATACCGACGGTGCCGGTTAGCAGAAAGCTCTCCGCGGCCAGCCTTGCGCGTGTATTTCCAAAGATAGTCGCCTATCATGGTCTGAGTGATGGCTTCAATCATCCGCGGGTCTGTACCGCCGGCCATGTCATATGGCATGAATCCATCCGGCCGAATGTTAAAGCGCTCGTCCAGCTCGGACGCAAATGACGTAACAGAAGATCGCCGCGTGAGAGCCGAAGACATCTCACTCCGAACTGACGATAGGCGTCGTGGTCGGGAAGCTGTACCGGCCTTGGAAGCTGGGCTATGCTGCTGCTGGTGTTGGCTGCTGGGCGTCTGTGGGCGCAGATGAGGTTGGCCTTTGTACGCCGAAGCCGGCTGCAGCGGCGGACCCATAGTAATTCCTGAACCTTCACCACCAGACATTCTTCTCGAGGCCGCTGCAATTGTTTGCTTGTGGTCCACAGGCAATGGAGGATGATTGCTGGCAAGGCTACGTATGCTTCCTGGGCTTCCTGGTCGCCTGGGAGCCTTGACGGGGGACGCCTCTCCTGCCGCAAGGCCAACGCCGGTTCTTCGCGTCCGGGATCTTGGGCTGCTAGGCATGCTATCTTGGGAGAATGTCCGCTCAAGTCCGCCGTGTACACTTTGATCAAGTGTTGATGCTGTAGGGGATCGAACAAACGAGCCAGCAGCCATTTCAGGTTTATCGGATATCTCTTTGAACAGATTGTCGATCTGGCTTGCTGAAAGTAATGTTTGCGAGCTCTGGTCTGCCATATCAAACGGTTTTGAAGCGGTCGCTTGTAAACCAAGCTCCTTCTGCTCTGGGCGTTTCGAGGCAATATTACTCGATACACTTTGTAACGGTAGCTTTGATTTCTCTGTCTCAATGGGAACTTCCCCAGACGACTTTTGGCTCGTTTCGTCTTCCGCAATCTCAGGTTGCCGGGATGCCGATCCTTTGCCCCAGCCGAAGATTGAGCCAAGCACTCCTGCCTTTGATTCCTCTGATTTAGACTCATCCTTGACCGTTGCAGCATTGGCTGTGGTTTTCTCGCCATTGACATCGGAAGCAAATATCGCTCTAGCAGTTGCAGGCGTAGAGTCTGCGACTGGTTCGGTTTCTTCAGACACGATGGTTGAGAATTCCAATGAAGGTGGTGTTGGTGCAGTAAGATGGACAGGCGCTTCTTCTTTCAGCTCAGGCACCAACGGCCGGGTATCTTGTGTGCTGATGGCTGAAAGTTCTAAAGACGTCGGTATAGGTGACGTAGGACGCTGTGGCTCTGTAGCCTGCGCCGAAACATTGCTGAGATCCAGTGGCGCAGGAACAGGTGATTGAGGGCGCACAGGCTCTGTCGATTGCGTAGAGACATGGCTGAGGTCTAGCGATTCCGGAAGAGGGGATGACGGCCGGACAGGTTCAATATTTTGGGTGCTGACACCGCTGAATTCAAGCTGGACAGGAGAAGGTGACTCCTGGTATTGAGGCGCGGCAGACGTCAGAGTGCGAGGTTCGTCGGCCTGAGGATTCTCATGGCTCGAATCAGCCGGTGCTGAAACAAGGACCACGGGCTCCCTGGGCTCAGTATGCAAGGATTGCACTTGCGAAATGTTCAAGGACTGTGTCACTGGCGATGGCGGGCGAACCGGCTCGGTGTGTTGTGCGCTGACGTTGCTAAGCTGCAGAGGAACCGAAGGCGGAGGCTCGACATGCTGAGGCTCAGTGTGTTGAATATTCACCTCCGAAAGTTGCAGCGGCGGTGGTGCGGGGACTTCAGGAATTTGAGGCACAAACTCTTGGGCACTAACGGCAGAGATGCCGAGCTTCGTTGATGGATCAGGGACGAGTGGCTCGGTATGTTGCGATTCAATGGTTGACAGCGCCGAGGAAGGAGTCGCAGCAACCAGAGCTGCTGTTGCGGGTTCCTTCTCGTCTCCTGCTTCCTCATGAATCGCTGGCTCAGGGTTCCAAGGCTCAGTCATGATTCCCATGTCTGACATTTCGGGCTTAGGATGAAGTTGGGGCTTCGACACCGAAAACTGATCCCTCGTAGCACCAAAGCTTCTAGCTAGTGTAGACGAAGTTTGAGACACTGCTCGCGTTCTGCGAGGAGTCAATTCGACTTCCTCGCCCTCCTCCTCCTCTTCGCTGTCGTCACCACCATTGAGATCCCCAAGCTCCGCAAACAAGCTATTACCTACAGGCGCAGCGGGGCTTTCATTGCTCAGGACGCTTACAGGCGAACTCTTGGCGCTAACTGAATCGCTTCTGTAGAGACCGCCATCGCTTCCGACCCTCGACCTGCGATGGGCGGCGCCGCGGTTCATTCGAAGACGGAATCTTTCCTGCTGAGAGTGCAATGGCGTCCTCGGTTCACTGTCATAATCCAGTTCGTCTGCAGAAGTCGACGCAGTACTCAAATACGAGTTGCGGTTCGCAGCGACTTCGAGGCCAGAAGGTTTCCGAGAACGAATGGTGCCGCCTCGAATTGTGACGGTTTCAGTCTCGGTGAGCTCGTCGCTGGAATCACCACCAAAGCTTTCAGCTCCAGTCTGGAACGCATCAGTCTCGGTTGTCGTGCCCTCCCTCTCTTCCGCCGTCTCAAAGGCATCACTGGTCTCGTGAGCAGTCTCAAAAGCCTCGCTGAGATCGGTACCACGAGCATGATGGTGAACAGGCGGCACCCTGGACATGGAATGCCTCTTGCCTCGAGGAGAAGTCAATTTCTTCTCGAATCGCTTGTCATGTTCCGGACTAGCTCCCTCCTGATGATCCTCCCACTCTTCCTCGTCATCAATGATCTCATTTTTGCTTTCTCTTCCTGCGCCGAGCATGTTTGGTCTGGGAGGTTTTTTGAAGCGGTCATTTTGAGCAGCATTCTTCTTGCGCTTGCCTGCGCTACCAGAGAAACCTGGGTTGGCTTCAGCTTTCTTGATCTCCAATTCGTCTTTGGCCTCCTGCAAGACACGCTTCAGTTCAATCTTTTCTGCCTTCTCTCGGTGGATAGTGCTCTTGAGATTCTGAATCATTCGATGCGCGTGGTGCAGTGAACTCCTCAAAGTCTCGGTCTCCAGGCCAGTATGTCGTGGTGTGCCCTTGGCGGGTGAGGCATTTGGAGATGGGTCTGACGTCGAATCGTCTTCAATATCTTCTTCACCAGCCATGGGCACCTCAATAACCTGCCGAGCCTCATCTCCACGGAGTCGTCCGGCGACTGCCTTGGCAAGCTCATGGTTTTGCGACTCGAGCTCGCTAACCTTTCGATGCAATGCTCCTTTTTCGCTCTCGCCCATCATAAAATTTCGCCGCATACCCGCAAGCTCCGCCTCGAGCTGCTTCCGGTTGGCCGCACTCTCTTCGGCAAGCTTTGTGTTTGTTTGTTTGAGCTCATCCAGCTCCCTTAGTATGGCTGATTTTTCAGCATGAGCAGCATTGAGACCTTGATTCAGTCGCTGTTCGCGACCCGAGGCTTCCTTGGCAGCCGCGATTAGCTCATGAGTCTGCGTTTCCAGGTTCCAATTCTCGTCTTTGAATTTCTGCTCGCTCTCGTCCAGGTTGTGCAGTCGCTCGGCGAGCGCCTCGCTTTCAATTTCGAGCTTTGACTTCTCCGCATTGAGCGCTTTGAGCGTCTCATCACGCTCTGCTATAACAGCCTGAAGCTGTCGTACTTGCGCTAGCAAGGCTGTACTGATTTCGGTGGCGAATTCAATGTCATGGACGCGCCCCGAAGGCTGGTTTCGTTGCCTTCGGGAGGGTATGTTCAGTTTGCTCGGAGAATTGGTCGCTTGGCTTGCAAAGAGCGATGGGCTCGTAGCGCGAGGATCTTTTGGAGACGGAGCGCCTAATCCAACCTCGCTGCTAACCACTCGCGATCGCGGAGGGAAGAATGCCCGGGCACTCTCTTGGCCAACCTCGATATACTCTTTCTCAATCTCCGCCAATTTCTGCCTCAACTCCGGACCCAATTCACTGCCCCCTTGTTGCTTCTCAATTTCCTTGATTTGCTCGTCCAGATCCTTTCTTTGACGCAACAGCGTGGTGCCTAGCTTTGAAGCTTCCTCGATTCGCCGCTCGGTTTCCGCAAGGTGTGCCTCGAGTGCACGCTTCGCCTGTGCAGGTGAGGTTTGCGCTTGGATTTCAAACGCATCGTTGTCGAAGGGAGCGAAGCGCGGCGCGCGATGATTATTTTGCGGGGTATTCAAGAAAGGATCGTCAGGAGAGCGAGGGGAGTCGACAGCATGCTGGGTAGGATCGGTGATGCGTGCTCCATCTCCTGGAGACAGATACGCAGCCATATTGGCCTGGGGGCGCTGAAATCCCGTGTCACCTCTTAGACTGCTCAGTCACAAGGGTAACACGATGAAACTCCGAAGGCCTCTCAGCGCAAAGTGTTGGCGCCAGAGAGGATTGCTTTTTGGAAGAGACGTTGGGGCAATAGGTGAAGCCTCTCCCTCTACGATCGTCGCATGATCGTCGCACAAGCTCGATGGTCGTGGAAAGTTAAATCTAGCGAGGGTGCGGCAAGTTGTGCCAATAATGAGAGAAGCCACTCCGTAACGGAGGGACCTCAGAAGGTACAATCAAGTACCTAACGTAACGAAAGTGTAATATATGAAATAAATGTATTCTTTGTTTAAAGAGAGAAAAGAACCATCAACGATCACTCGTGACAACGAATAGAAGAGGTGAATTGAAGTGGGGAAGAAAGAGTAAAAACAATACAAATCGAGGGAACAGTCGCGATGGGCGACCCGTGGAATGCAACAACGTGAGCCACGCAGCTGCACTGGGGGAGTGGGAGGAGGGAAAAGAGGAGAGTCGAATCGAATCTGGGCGGGCAGTAGTTGTCGGGGGAGTCAAAGAGATACAAGACGCAATGGATCGTGTTTTCCCCCCGCCAAAACATCAAAGGGTAGGGTAACTTGATGTTGTTGTTGTTCGTGGGCCCTGTTGGCCCCTGACGCGTGAAAGCTGTCCCCTTGTCTAGTCCTAAATGGGAAAGAGGGGACCTGTTTCTGTCATGGCCAACTCAAGCCTGTGACGCGCTACCACACTTTCTCAGACGTCAATTCAATTCATCATCCGCTCAGACATATGGGATTCGATATGCTTCACTGCTAAGTCTAGGAATGCTTTACAGTGAGATCAGTGATTATGGTGGCTGAGACTGGTTCAACGAGCCCACACAGTCTGTTGTTAAGCTCACCAAGTGCAAAGCGCAGACTTTCTTGACGTCCAAGTACTCTATCAAAGTAATGAGTATACCTTCGGACTAACATAAGCAATTCCAAGAAATAATATGTATCAACCGATTAATCAAGATTTTTGCTAGTTGTTCTGAATAGAGTCTTTTCTTTACCCTATTATTCAGCATTTTATCATTGTATTGGTGCTGTATGGCCAAAACAAGTCGATTCTTCGTGTGGCACGTGCTCTTGCGCCACCTGCGCCACACTTCCGCATTAGTCAGCCTTCTCGAACATGACAAAAACGTCCGTGCACTCGACATTCATTGCCCCCAGCCTCACCTTCAACTCTTACTCCTTTGCATTGTTGAGTCCTCAAATCGCATCGAGCATGGATACAGAAAAGTTGGCTTCGCTCAATCCTCCTCAAGGTGGCGATACTGCTACAGAAGCTGCGCCACCCGTCAGTCTCTTCAAAAAGCGATCTGCAAAGTCCAAATCTAGCTTGCGCAAAAGACCTGCGACGCCGCCTCCAGCCTCCGATTCAGACTCAGATTACACAACGTCGGAGGAAGAAGGCGAAGATGGACGAAAGATTAAGAGAAGACGCAAGCATGGTGGAGTCGTCACTGCAGGGGGTGCTGCGAAGACAAGCTCCGCCGGACTTGAAGCCAGCACATTTACTGCAGATCGGTCCGGAAATATTTCCTCCGCCAACGACGCTACCAAACAGTCAAATTGGTTTGATGAGAGCAAGGAAGACAATGATCAAATGAGCGCCAAAGAATTACTTGGCAGCACTCGTGTTCGACCCGCAGGCGGGGAAGAGGGCAAGAATGACGGTCTCTACAAAGGATCGGGCGCGTACCAGAGCTTCATCCAGAAGAACCCAGACGCACCGAATAAGCAAGTGGGACCTGTGAAGGCACCAACGAACATTCGGACCATTACCGTTACGGATTACGCGCCCGATGTATGCAAGGACTATAAGCAAACTGGATTTTGCGGCTTCGGCGATAGCTGCAAGTTCTTGCATGCGCGTGAAGATTATAAACAAGGCTGGGAGCTAGATCGAGATTGGGAAATAGGGACAAAAGGGAAGAAAGTCCAAGGAAAGGCGGTCTCGTCTGCCGCAAAACGGCGTGTTGGGGACAATGACGACGAAGACGAAGAAGATGAAGACGATCTGTTGGAGAACATTCCGTTTGCTTGCATTATCTGCAGGAAACCATACAAGTATCCGATTACGACGAAATGCGGACACTACTTTTGCGAGCCTTGCGCACTCCAGCGGTATCGAAAGAACCCGTCTTGTGCCGCATGTGGTGCGGGTACTGGAGGTGTGTTCAATACCGCAAAGAACCTCAAGCGGTTGTTGGATAAGAAGCGCGAGCGTGCTAGGAAGCGAAGGGAGAAGGCGATTGCGGAAGGAGAAGAAGTGAGCAGCGAAGAGGAAGGGGAAGGCGAAGGAGGAGATGAAGAATGATAGTGTCTTTTAGCAGAATTGGGTTTATTTGTCTCTAGGGTGGCGGAGAGAAAAGTTGCCTTCAATTACTTTGCTTGCATCGAGCATCTTGGCTACTGATATATCATGTTAATCTCGCTGGCGAGCATCAAACACATCAATTTAGTCTTGTAAATCTAGTTGATAAAGATTTATTACAATTTATCCATATTATTTGAACCATGCTTGAAGCTCCGTTTCGTGATTCAGGGTGTTACAGTAGTGATACTCGTGATGAAAGACTCCCAAGTCTTGCCTTTCCATTCTATCTTACAGTCGTATCTCGTTCTCAGATTTACTTACAGCATGGGATTACTATAACAGCCATCGAATCGGAGAAATGTCCATTTGCGGTAGGCCGTAAAAAGCAGCATTCTGGCTTTGATGTTTCGCGTTCACTAAAAGCTCTCGGCCAGGCCGAGGGCAGTAAGCCTCGGTTCAAGTCCAGCGGCAACCTAGGGCGGTCCAACCCCAAGATTTTCTCCCCAGACGGGTAAAGATACCCGAACCCTACGACAGACCTCGGCTTACTGACAAACATCACTGTAGTCATACGTCAACACTTCCAACCTGAGACTTTGTAATTAATAAGTGTATTATAAGCTACTGTATATATCTATATTTTGCTGACTTGGAATTGATTCCAACATTGGAGCATATCCTTAATCGGATTTCTCCGCCGGAATTACTGGTTTTTCTTCCATTCCTCGCAATAACACATTGTTCAGATCAATTAGCACTCTCTTTTCACGACTGCAAGTTTTGAAGCATCAATTAACGTATCTGTGTTTTCCTATCGTACCTACCCCCTCGACAGCTCTCCTTAGCCTCAGGTTTCCTTATTTGAGTCTTCTTTGACTTGTCTGGTTTCCATTTACCTTGCTTTTTGCGACGCCTTTGATGCTCAGCAGTACAGTCACTTATTTACGACCGCTGAATACATTGGATCTTGCATTTGCTTTTTACGCCGTCTAAACATTGCCTTATATTCTCAATCAATTTTCCTCCAAGGCTTCAATTGCGATAACACCATCATGCCACTCACCAACAAACAACTCATATACACACGCAAACCAACTCCTTCAATCAATCCCTCCGTTACTTCCAATGGAGACGGGACATTTGAACTGCGCACCAGCACCTTTCCCGACCCGGCAGTCGATGCTATTCCTGAGAACAAGATTCTCGTGCGCATGCTCTATTTATCTCTTGACCCGGCCATGCGGCAATGGCTTACTGCTAAACGGTCGTACATTGCCCCTGTTAAGCTTGGCGAAATTATGCGCGGACAGGGCATAGTTGAAATTATTGGGCTTGGAAAAGGGATTGATACCAGTACTATTACCATTCCTTCCCTTTCGCTTTTCTAATTCCCAATTCCAGCATTCTCGACTCTCTCATGCTTCGCTCAAATTTCAAGGATAATATGTCTAACGATCACTAAAAGACAAGTTTAAAATCGGCCAATACGCCCGCGCTGCCACTGGCTGGCAAGAATATGCTCTTCTTCCAACAGACCGTAATGCCATTGAACCACTTGGTCCGCTTCAGACCATTTCTACCGCATCTCAAGCCTCGACCGGGCCAAAAACCAACCAGCCTCAAATCAGAGCAACCGATTTTCTCAGCACACTCGGAACGACAGGCCTAACCGCATACTTTGGCTTCTTACACGTCGGGAAATTCGACGCATCGCGGGACAAGACGGTCGTAATATCCGGCGCGGCAGGCGCAACAGGAATGGTTGTCGGCCAAATTGCACGTCTCAAGGGAGCCAAGCGTGTCATTGGTCTTGCGGGGACACGTGTAAAATGCGAATTCCTTGTCAATGAGCTCGGCTTTGATAAGGCGATTAATTACAAAGATACAGATTGGAAAAAGCAACTTCTGGACGCAACACCGGAGTATATCGATGTGTATTTTGATAATGTTGGTGGAGAGATTCTAGATGCGTGTCTCCTGCGGGCGAATCAGAATGCGAGATTCGTCATGTGTGGTGCTATTAGCCAGTATAATACTGGAAGTGATTTCGGCGGAGCGGGGAAAAGCGGTGGCAGTGGCGGCGTAAGAGGGTTGCAGAATTACATGATGATTATTGTAAGTTCCTTGCCTTTCCCCCTTCCCTCTCCTTGATTCTATCCTATATGATTTTATTTATTTTATCTTATTATTTTTTCCCCTCCATTTCTCATTGTTGTTTTTTATTACTTTCGTTGATTTATTTTATTATCTTGTTATTTCTTTTTCGATTCCTTTTATCCGTGCTGCACAGCTGTATAGACATACCCAAGCTAACAATCTCAATCTATCAGTCCCAGCGCGTTACGCTCCAAGGCTTCATCGTATTCGATTACGTCAAAGAGTATCCACGGGCGCTCAAAGATCTTTCCGCGTGGTTGGAACAAGGCAAAATCAAGCGACGCGAGCATGTCATAAAAGGCGGACTGGAAGCTGCTCCGGCAGGACTAGTGGGTTTGTTTGCCGGCGAGAATATAGGCAAGACGATGGTTGAAGTGGCTTCTGTTTCTGGATCTGGATCGTCATCGTCATCATCACATTCTTTTGGTACGAAAGCTCCGGTAGCGAAATTATGAGCGTGTAAAACAGCGTCAGCCAGCAGATTTGAGTTTCAAATTCGATATCATCGCCATGTGGTAGTGCCACATAAATGTCGATAATCCGGAATGACAATAAGAGGTTTTATCTAGTGACGCCTCAATAATCCGACGATGAAAGAGCATTTTGATGCGACCCTTGAAACGCCGAATGGGGAATATCAAACATAAATAATTATCACTTATTCTCGAAATATTCTTCAACTCTCTCAACCAGATCCGACTTTTTCCCGCTTGTGCTAAGTCCTTTGTTTTCCATCCAACTTTTGAGAATTGGGACCGTGAGCTTTTGCAGTCAGCGGACGAACCCTGTAAGCTAAGAGCGTGTGGGCGGTTGTAGCGTACCTTATTAAGGGAGTTTTTACTATAATGCTGCTTGATGTCATTATCATTTATGGAATTAGGACCGTCACCCGACTCCACACCATCGGATGGTTTTGTTCTTTTCTTTGGAGGAGCACTTTCATCCGGAGCTGATCGTTTCGCGCTTGAGGTGCGAGGGCCGTTCTCCTTTTGCCAGGCACGGAACTGATCCTCTAGCTCATGTCCCCAATCAATGACATAGCCGCCTGCACGCTGTGACAATATATTAGCTGAGCTCGCGAAAATAACACTTGGATGCACCAACCTTGTCGATCTGTCGATACTTGGGTATGGTTTTATCTTCAGGTTTCTCTGGCAAATCTTCGTCTAGGGCAAGTACTTGTAGAATGCGATAGTGCCATTGCAGTGCTTTGAGTCAAAGTTAGCAAATATTCCTTTCGCAAGGAAATTGAGACGCACCTGGATTCGGATACTTTTGCGGATCATATCGAGCCTTGGGAAGCTGAAGCTGTTGGATCACTGTGCGCATCATATCTACGAGCGAATCTGGAGCCTGTATGAGAGTCGTATCTGGGTTGCTGCGGACATCATCGGCATAAGGCAAGGGCACGAGCCACATGCCTGGCGGCATGACCTGCTCTCCAATGTCACCCAATTGCTCTGGCCCAGGAACAAGAGCGGAAATAACGGGAGCAGCGTTCTTTCGCGCAATGAACCAAACAATTGCAACTTTTTCGTCGCGCAGAAGCTTTTGTTGAAGCGCAGCAAAGACGCGAGTCGAGCCAACAAAATCTTCTTCAGACGGATAAATAAAAGTTGATTGTTTGACGGAAGCCCAGAACGGCACCGATGATAATGGCTTAAAGCCGATAATGCGAATGACTGGGTCTCCAAAATTGCGAACTTTCTTGATCTCCTCGGGTGTAAATGCGACCTGGTCACCGCCGAATTTATAAGCCTTCTTAATTTCTGCCTTTTCAATGGTGCGCGATGTGTCATCCGCCATTTGAGTTGTTACTCCCTTTGCAATCTGGGCCTTTTCACCCTGAAGCCAAACGTAACAGCTCCTGGCCGGAACTTGGCGCTTGAATATGATATATCCTTTGACGGAAATTTTGAAGCCGGGCCCAAGTTCCAATGGCAAGTTTGCAAAGAGAGCGCGCCTTGCGACTGCTTTTGAATTGATCGAAGACAGAAGCGAATGGAGGAGAGAAATGCCATCTTTCGCCAGAGAAGGTTTGACAGTCGGTGCCAAGGGCGCAGGTGCCTCCGGGTCAAGTGGAGATGAGCGATATACAATGTCCTAGAGCTGTCAGTTCATGTTGAAGACAAATAAGCAGGAGCATGTTGTTTACATCATAAAATTTACTGCGATCAAAATCGTGGTCAGGTTTCGATATCGGGAACAGCTCAATTATAACGCCCAGGTCATAGAGGTCTTTTGCACGGACGGCCGCAGCTGACTTGAGAGCTTTGTCATGTGTATGTGGATCATCGTTATCCGTCACAATAAAAAGCCGTCTGGAAGAGAAATTGGGTGCTTTGGTGGTGAATATTTGGTTGGCACAGAAGAGCACATTCGCCATTGATACTGGCTCCTTCGATGGTACCAGAAGCGACTTGGACTCTTCTTCATCCTCAACAAGGGACTTTAGTCTCTTAACATCTTCCGCGGACGGGACGTCTAGATCGGCCAACAGATAGCAATGAGGGTACGCGAGTCCGCCTTTGCTGCGTTCGTCAGGAGTCTGAAATTTTGATTGCTCTGTACCAAACAGAAGGATGCCCATCATATCAGAAGGATTAGATATGATTCGTTGTTGCATCAAAGAAAAGGCGCATTTCAGCGCCGCAGCTGCCGGACTGTCATCCTCTCCCGGCTTCGACTCCGAATCCGAGGAAGCCTTGAGCATGGAGGAGCTGATATCAATACTGAAAAGTACAGCATCTTTGACAGTCTTGTAACCCTAAAAGACCGTTAGGATCAACGGCATATATCTATCCTATGGCTTGTCCTACTGTTTCATCTATCTCCTCTTCATCTTCCGTTTCGTCCTCCCGCGACTCCCAAGGCCGTTCATCTCCCATAGTGCACGATAAGCATCTGGTGATTACAAGTGAAGCAGCTTTAGTTGAGTGGTCACTACTTTGAATTAAAATGTATGTTTTATGTTGATTTCTACCTTCAGCAAGCCCCCAGTTTGGTAGGCAGACGCGTCGCGTGCATTAATGACGGGTGATCATGTGACCAAGTATTCTGGGATGACTTTCTTGTAAGTTCTGACTGGCTCCCATTAGCTTGGTTTGGGTCTGGCACTTTCCGTCATCGATCAGCGAAGGTCGGCCGATGGTTAGTAAAAGTCGAAGTAGTCTGGGCCCTGTAGCGATCGGTAAAGCACCTCTTTAGATCCTGGGTTGATTTGTTATTTACAATCTTACGACATGGCTTGACAATGGTTTGAGTCGTTCTCTCCAGTTCTCAAAAAAGTTCCTAAGGATTTCAATTGTTGCTGTTATTTTGTTCCTTTGGCGAGGAGATCATGGCTCTCCGACAGGGGATAAAACATCTATCTGTGCAGGGCCCGGCGCCTTTGCGGAGATTTGGGACTTCAATACCCTCAAGGCGGTCTTTTTTTCAGAAACAAACCTTAGGAGCGAGTCATTGTCGTTCTCTTGCCACGATCGTTCCTCCTGTCACCCAGGATGCTACCGGGTCTAAAGGGCCCACTGCGATGGTGTTCATGAACATGGGAGGTCCATCGACAACTGAAGAGGTTGAAGATTTTCTGAGCAGGCTGTTTGTTAGTCTAAACAGATTTCATCGATCAAATGTTCTATTACTTATATTTTGAATGACAGGCCGATGGCGACTTAATTCCACTTGGGCGTTTCCAGAAGTACCTTGGGCCTCTTATTGCTAAGCGTCGGACTCCTAAAATCGAAGCCCAATACGCCGCAATTGGCGGCGGCTCTCCAATTAGAAAATGGTCGGAATACCAGTGCGAGGAAATGTGCAAGATTCTCGATAAAATCTCACCGGAGACGGCCCCGCACAAACCATATGTCGCTTTCAGATATGCCAACCCCCTAACGGAGGAAATGTACTCCAAACTCTTTGAAGATGGATTCGGCCAGGGAAAGGGTGGCCGCGCAGTCGCTTTCACACAGTATCCCCAATATTCTTGTTCGACTACAGGGAGCTCATTGAACGAGCTATGGAAATGGAGGCAGAGACTGGAGGGAAAGAGAGCAACTGGAGAGATGAACCCGCCGGGCGCTATTGACTGGAGTGTGATTGATCGATGGCCCGCGCATCCCGGCCTGGTCGAAGCATTTGCGGAAAATATTGAAGCTCAGCTTTCAACTTATCCAGAAGACAAGAGGAAGGACGTCGTCCTTCTTTTCTCTGCGCATAGTCTCCCCATGAGCGTCGTGAATCGAGGTATGTACTTTGAACTCGGAAATTGCGGATAAGATGGTCTCTGACAAGGAGCACAGGAGATCCGTATCCAGCAGAGGTTGCAGCAACCGTATACGCCGTCATGCAGCGCCTCAAATTCTCCAATCCTTACCGGTTGGTTTGGCAGTCACAAGTCGGACCCTCGGCTTGGTTGGGTGCCCAGACCAGCGATGTTGTTGAAGAATATATTCACAAGGGACAGACGGATATGGTCTTGGTTCCCATTGCGTTTACTAGCGATCACATTGAAACACTCTACGAGCTCGATCAAGAAGTCATCGGGGAGGCCGGGCAGGAAGGAATCAAGCGCGCAGAGAGCTTGAATGGCAGCCCTACGTTTATCAGAGCGCTTGCTGACATCGCCCGCGAGCATCTCCAGTCAGGGATAGTATGTTCGAGCCAGATGGGCCTAAGATGCCCGGGCTGTAAAAGCGAACGGTGCTTGGAGCAAAAGAAGTTCTTTTTGGGACGAAGCGATCTACCCTGATATTATCATTCATAGTAATCTTAGAAACTGTATATTAGCACGTGAAGAATATTCATATTATACATAATTTTTTTTATAGGCTTTACTACTCGTTATCCTGCTATAAGGAGTAATATACAGATTGTACAAACTGCTGCAATGTCAGTACTCGTACAGTATTCGTAGGGCGGGCCTTCCATGCGGCATGGTGTCTAGCGATCGTCAGGGGCCAGGGCGAATCAGTCAAACTCTCACTCGCTGTGGTTCGTTTTTACCAAAAAGTTCAACGTACGGGGGCCGAGACTTCTTGGCAAAACAAAGTGGGCTGCAGTTGAGAGAGAGAGAGACGGGCTGATTCTTCAGGCAAGGTCTCTCTCTCGTTCGCTAATTCGCGTACCGACGCCACCGGGATTGAATGTATTCCCTTGTTGACAACCCCTTTATGACGCACCCGACACAATTGGAACTCCCCTGCGCCAAGGCTATTGAAATAGTATTGAAGATCAGTGGATGCGTGGAGGCTTTCCAGGGGTCAATTGGAACAGTGTGCGTGGCCCTGGCTTTGAAAATATGCATCACTTCATGCAATTAATATGGCTTCTCCCCGGAGGAGAGGATTTTGGCTCCTTTCTTCCTTTTCTTTCCCCGGCGAGAACAAATAAAATAGAGTCTTCTACGACATGTCTCCAGTTGTTTAAACGGTGCCTAGCTAAGCTGGTGACTTTGCGAGACATGGTTTTGTTTCATAACGCTCTTTTTCGCAAAAGATTTTGAAATTCAAAGCACGCGACATCTTGCCTGTTCTTCAGCAGAGCAGCTTGTTTATCATGGCGTTCAAACGACAGCCCATCCTCGCTCTTTTGATCGTTGGCTGTGTCCTGTTCATTCTACACAAATGCATATTTCCTCCGTTGCCTCCGCCTTTTGAAAATGAAGACCATGCGCAGGCAGTACCGTCGCAGCAGCATTTTTCCTGGAACAAAATGATAATGCAATATCCTCCTACCTCGACCATCTCATTACCGAAAGGAAGTCATGCTTTCATTCCGAAGGTTCAATACAATTTTGGGCAAGAGGGCCGAAGAGAAAAGAATGAAAGAAAAGGGCGGCAAGACGCGGTCGCAAAAAGTTTCCAGCGATCCTGGGAGACTTATCAGCGATATGCCTGGCTAAAAGACGAGGTAAATCCCGTGTCTGGGGAATCTAAAAATGCTTTTGGCGGCTGGGCCGCGACAGCAGTGGATGGTTTGGATACGCTTTGGATCATGAACATGAAACGAGAATTTGAAGAGACCGTCGATGCGCTGAAAACGATTGACTTTTCCACCACTCGGCAGACCAAAATAAGTGTCTTCGAAACGACTATCCGTTTCCTTGGAGGCTTGCTTGGAGCCTACGACGTAAGTGAGGGACAGTATCCTGCGCTGTTAGAAAAGGCCGTGGAGGTTGGTGATATGCTTTATGCTGCTTTTGATACACCCAATAGAATGCCTGTCGCTCACTGGGATCTGAAATTGTGAGTGCCTCCGCATGAATTCGCCATCTACCGCATGGATGGAGTTGCTGACGGCGGGACAATCAGCAAAGCACGCCTCCAGACAAAAACAGAAGGACAAGAGAGTGAGAATCAACAAATGGCTTCTCTGACTACCCCTTTAGCGGACCTAGGGTCGCTTACTTTGGAGTTCACGCGGCTTTCTCAGTTGACTAATGATCCGAAATATTTTGATGCTGTACAAAGAGTTACAGACGAATTGGAGAAAGCTCAAAACAAGACCCGACTTCCCGGAATGTGGCCTACTATCGTTGATGCCGAAAGGCTCATATTCGACCTTGGTGGCACATTTACGCTTGGTGGGATGAGCGACTCAGTATACGAATACTTTCCGAAACAATACATTCTTCTCGGCGGCCGCAAGCAACAGTACCGCGATTTGTACGAAAACAGCTTTCAAACGTTCAAAAACTTGTTCTATCGACCAATGACTCCTACCAATCAAGATATTCTCCTTCCAGGCGACATCAAAGTCTACCGAACTGGAAGCTCAAGCCTCGTGCCCAAGAGCCAGCATCTCAGTTGTTTTACAGGCGGCATGGTAGGCCTAGCTGCCAAAGCTTTTGATCGGCAAAACGACATGGAAACAGCTCGAAGGCTCGTGGATGGTTGTATATGGGCTTATGAAAGTATGCCCAGTGGCATCATGCCCGAGAAGTTTGAGAATCTCCCGTGCACGGATGTAAGCGGTTGCGAGTGGAACCAGGAAGAATGGGAAACGAAGAGGATTAACGAAGCCATCCCTCCCGGGTTTGTCAAAGTGGATGATGGGAGATATCTGCTCAGGTGCGCGAAGACTCGAACTGGTTGACCTAATCTGGTTCATATATGCTGACGATTCTTACTTAGACCGGAAGCGATAGAATCAGTTTTTGTGCTCTACCGCCTCACCGGCGATAAGATGTACCAGGACAAGGCTTGGAATATGTTTCTCGCTATCGAAGAGCAGACAAAAACCAATCTTGCCTACTCCGCCATTGCAGACGTTACCAGACCCATGTCAGAGAAACTCGCGAACATGGAAAGCTTTTGGTTTGCAGAAACGCTCAAATATTTCTATCTCATTTTTAGTGAACCGGATCTGGTCAGCTTGGATGAATTTGTGCTGTAAGTTTGCATTTAATCTTTGAACGTCTGCCAGAACTAATGTGTATATCGTCTAGAAATACCGAAGCGCATCCTTTTCGGCGATCGCAACAATAAAATAGACGTATATTTTCCATCTGGACCTTGGATATGTCGCTGGACGACAGTCATATTTTTGGAAGACACTGTACATAGAAAAGCATTTGGGTGGGGAAACATAGATTGCCATGATTCAATTCAGCATCATCTTCGACTTGGATTCGTGATATGGCACATTGTGCTCGTAGAATGGGGCTATCCGGGGACCGCTATCATATGGCCCGGAATGATAACAACTCCGGTGTCCGAGATGCATCGGCTACTTTGGGACGGGAAGGGGGTAAGCATGCTTGTCTTTAACTGGTTCGGGTAAAGGGTAATTCCACCTGGATGGGAGACAGTTACGTAGTAGACTCGCGCCATCCCCGTCGCAAGTCCGGTTCCTGTGCGTATCAGTCAAAGTCAAGCTGCCGTGACTAAAGTCTGCTATCTCGCATGCCATGAACGTGGTAAGCATTCCAGCCTGATTAACAAGCACACTTAGTTTAGCAGCATCCTGACGTCCCCCATCCCCAGGTTTGAGATATATCAGTGGCGGCTCGCAAATCCACACCTTTCGCAAAGATGGATCGGTGATTTTACCGAAAACCTCCCCAATTACTGTAGGACAGCCCTGCAGAATCAAGAGTTCAGGCTGTAGGATAAATAGTCAACAACTTCGGGGAGCGTTTCTCGTTGTCTAACTGTACAAACCCCCTATCAACATGGAGAACGACGCAGCTTTCGAAGCTGAAGCAAGCGCCGAAACGCGGCTGCGCTACAGCTCTCCTGACCGGCATCGTCGAGGTTCTCATATCGGCGTGGACGCAACTGTCGCGGCTCAAGGTGGCTACGATAAACATAATGTTGTTGTCTCAGAGGCATCGCCTTTGCTTGGGCAACAAAGTCAGGAAGACGATACTGGCCGCGTCTCTCAGGACGAAGGAAGCTCAGATGGCACCGAGTGGCATGGCGTGATTGACTTTGAGGGGTTACCCTGGTGGAAGAAACCTTCAGTAGGGTTTTTCAAAGCATGTTCAATTCCCTAGAAAATCACTGATCATGCTCTATAGGTCGCATGGATCCTACCACCTGTAATGCTTTTTACGCTGGCTTTTGGAGCAACGGCCGTACCAAAAATAAATTTCATATTGTCGCTCATCTGCCGTAGATACTTGGCGGACCGGTCTGCGGAAGATCCCAACTTTCAATTTCTTCCAGTTATTCTTGGCGGCAATAATCCACAATGTAAGATACCCGAGGTTCAGACGCTGGTGTCTAGGTTCACCCTCTATTGCAACCTGATGGTCGCCATCCCATGCGCAATCTTGAGTCCCAAATTGGGCGCTTTATCTGACCGATATGGTCGCAAATATCTTCTCGTACTTGCTGCGACAGGTTCGATGATTACAGATTTAATTTTCACGGTGGTGGGAACGAACCCTGACAGGTTCTCCGAAAATTTGTTGTTGGTTAGCTACCTGATTGATGGCATTTGCGGCTCTTTCATCGCTGCTATGGCCATGTCATTGTCATATTTGAGCGATTGCACGCCTCCTGCAAAGCGGGCCGTCGCGTTTAGTGTCTTCCATGGCTGCTTTTTTGGAGGGATTGCCGTCGGTCCGGTTGCCGCTGGTTATATCATTAAAGCTACAGGGCAACTTGTTTCCATCTTCTATATTGGAGCCACCTGTACTTTTACCGTGGTAATCTTTTTTGTCTTCTTCCTCCCGGAATCTGTTTCAAAGCAGAGGCAGGCCGCAGCCAGGGACAAGCATCGGCTCGAAAAGCATTTGACCCCTACTCAGTCATGGCTTGACACGCTGAAAAGCGCAAATATCCTTGCGCCACTAGCTATCCTCCTTCCAACAGGTCCAGGTTCGGGTCGACCGCTTCGGATCAATCTACTGCTTCTCGCTGCGATTGATACTATAATTTTCGGTGTGGCGATGGGCTCGATTACGGTAATCATTCTTTACTCTACTTACCAGTTTGGATGGGGGAGTCTAGAAACAGGCGTCCTAGTATCGGTCGCGAATACCTCCCGGTCGGTTTGCTTATTGATAATTCTACCACTAATTACGAGGTTGGTTCGCGGGCCTCAGAGAATCACGCGGCATCGCAATGAGGGAGCAGATGGGCTGGAGCTAGCAATCATCCGGTTTGCGATTGTATTTGATGTGATAGGCTATATTGGCTACACCCTGGTGCGGACTGGCAATTTATTTATTCTATCTGCGGTTGTTGCTTCCGTTGGAGGCGTTGTCTCACCGACACTGCAATCAGCTTTGACGAAACACGTCCCATCCGACCGGACTGGTCAGCTGCTGGGAGCCACCGGTCTATTGCACGCGCTGGCGCGTGTGGTGGCGCCTACCGTGGTTAACCTCATCTACGGAGCGACAGTTGGAAAGTTTCCTCAGACGGTTTTCGTCTGCTTAGCATCTCTATTTGGCCTTTCCGCCATCCTTAGCTGGTTCATTAAACCACATGGTAAGCTTTCCCTTCTACCCCGTTTCCTAACGGCGCGAGTATTAACAGATACAGTCTATCTTCACGCAGCAGAAGTCCCGATCCACAATGTATCATCCCATGACTCTGGAGAAGAAGGCGTAGAGCGATCGGGCTAATGTTGTTGGTTTTTAACGTTAATGTTTCATCTCTCTTTACTGCCTCGCGGCGGAGTTCTTTCTTGCATCTAGGATTTTATAGATAGACATTCTTGTGCGTTTGAGGGGCGTTTTGTTCGCGGAATCGAATGCTCCTTTGCATCCCAATATCAAAGTACCCATAATTGTGATATGGCAATTGAAGCATTATACATACGGGCATATTTCTGATACAAGATTTTAGATTTTCTGGAATCATTTGGCTTATTTAGGGAGCTTTGTCTGTTTGATATATATCTGGGGTACTCCGTATAGAGCACAGCAATTGCGAGAACCAATGGCGCCGGAGCTTGTAGCGAATGGTGTGACCAGGTGTGCACATCCGCAGTATAATTTATCATTAGCGTTTGCGGCTTGACTCCCTGACCCCCAAAGCCTCAAGCGACAAACCGAATTTCTAGGAACCCGGAAAAACATCCGTGATCAAAGCTCTCTCTAGCATGAGGGCTGCGAATCGGTCATGATTACACCGTTCCCTGTGCCCTCAAAGGGCGCACTGCGTCTGCTTCGCCAGATTGCATATGCCGGCTCTTTTGCTGGGTCAATTGGTGGAGGGGCCGTGATCTTGGAGGACCGACGACGCAGGATCTGTGCCGCCAGAGAGATCCATGAGACGACGAGGAAGCTTAAATCGAGCCGCAAATACCATAGTGCGGCATCCGCAGCAGAGAATGAGCGTGACTCGAGTTCCGAGCATGCTATATATAAGCATTGGGACATCAATATAACGCCGGAAGACGATCCATCTCGCACGCCATTCCTCCCCTCTGAGATTAATAAAGCATACGAGAGCGTCCATTTCCCATCCAGTGCAAGTCACAAGCATCACAAAGAAAGAATACATCGGAGCGAAAAGCATCAATTAAGAGAAGATTTCGCAGATAATTCAGATGTTGCCGTCGGAAACAGATCCAAAGCTGAAGACGTTGCAGTGGTGGGGGGATCAGATTTAACACCGCACTCCCCACAGAAGCTGCACAAATTCGTCCCTCGCGGCATAGACGAACAGCTGAGCAATACGGCGTTGAAAAATACTCCTCCCTCGAATAACAATGTCATCGAAAAAGATTCAGCTCAGACAGGCAATCTTTCATCGACTCGACCGCATACTACATCCGGAAGGGAATCATCCGCAGAAGCGATAGCGACTGTTGAAAAGCCAGGGTCACAAAGTAATCCGGAATCTCTGCTTCAACACATTGACACAAGACTGGCGCGAAAAGATACCCGGAATGCCGTCGCTCTTTTCTTGGAGACCTTCTCTAACCAGACTTCGACGGAGCTTAGACCACGCTTTACGAAACTTGCGTTCAAACTCGCGTCTGCTGCTCTTCAAGAGAAGAAATATAACCTGGTGGAGAATATTTTTTGGAGAATGCGAGAGTTGAACGCTCTTGATTGGCGCTGCTGGTCACTTATGCTCAAAGCACTGGCGGAACAGAAACAGCACCGGCAGCTGATCGACATCTTCAAGGATTGGCGGGGAACGTTTAGGCCAAATGACGAGTCTCATGTGCCGGCAATGCAAGCTTTCGTGGCTCACTCGAAACTCGGTGAAGCGGAAGAGATATTGCAGTCCGCTTCAAAGCAGAATTCTTCACAGTTGCGGGCCAGTTATGTTGTGCTACTCAGCGGGATATGGAGAGCGACAAGAGATCTTGAGAGAACAAAGGCACTTTTCTCGCGAATGCTTTCATGGTCAGCGGACTTTCGGCCTTCTGTTGCGCTGTACAACAGCCTTATCCGATCATGCGTCGAGAGTCACCAAGAAGAACAGGCAGAGGCATACGTCCTTGAGATGAAAGAAAAGTGGTCGCTCCAACCTAACATTCGAACTCTCGGTCATTTTGTGTTGTCTAAAGCTCAGAAACAAGACTGGCCAGGCGTACAAAATAGTCTCGATAATCTGAAATCGACGGGCCTGATTGCAGAGGCAAAAACGCCAGCTGCGCTACTTAACCCACTCTTGATCGCATACGGTCGACAAGGCAATTCCAAAGATCTGGTATCTTTCTCGCGCACTATTATCGAGGCCTACGAATTACGTCCTGATCAATCGACTTCCGATATTGTCGTTGGCATACTTGCAGAGAATGGACTCGTCTCTGAAATCGAGGAATGGATGGAGTACACTCGACAGCAAGGGTTCAACTTGAAACTTGACGCTCAATCTTTTGGTCAGAACCTCGAGCGGTTCTGGGCCCGGAACAAGAACGGCGCCACCACCCGTGTCGAAAAGCTACATTTCGCTCATCGGCAACTGAAGAGGTCTGCAGTGAACGACGAAGCTCTTCATGGCATCCGTAAAGTCATTGCGCGCTGGAAGAGCCAAAGGCCAAGGAAACTTAATTCGAAGCCGCTGAAGGACGCTCCCAACGAAAAACTGGAGATGGGGGTGGGAGTAAGAGGCGTCCATCGGCAAATGGACCTTGCCATGATCGACGGTCGACCAGCGGAAGCTGTGCGAATCTACGAACGAGCTGTTGCCGACGGAGTTGTCATCTCGCGGCAATTGCTTGAGACGGCTGTCGAGGCCAGTCTTCGTGCCACCGGTGATGACTTTGCTCAAGCACATGGTCTCGTACTTTCCGCACGCGAGTCTGGGCTAAAAACCGAAGATGCTCTTACTCCTTTATTCATTCATCATCTCTATCAATCGGCCAGCCATATTCGCCGCCATGTCGGCGAGGACCTCAAGACCGCTGTGCTCAATGTTTATCGCACCATGGAGCAGCACGGCCTCCCTATCAAGCACCACGTCGCCATCACCGCTGCCAACCGGTTGATCAATCAGGGGAAACCATCAGAAGCAATCAGTCTCCTCACCAACATCAAGAGCCTTCCTCTTTACGAATCAACCCCCTTTGATATCGTCGGCATGACCACCTTTCTCCGCGCCTACGTCCAACTGCACCAGGTCGCTGGTATTCAATGGGTCTTACACACCGTCTTTTCCACCGACATGCCAATCGACGAACCATTCGTGGATGTCTTGAAAAAGGCAAAGTCCGGATTGCGAGCCATCATGACCAGTCATGGTGTTCAACATCATTCTCATGCTTCTTCTTCTCATTCCTCTTCGGCTTCATGGGCAATCAATGCGACTTCAAAATCCTCCCTGAGCCAGCGGAGTCTCAGTACCGTCCCCTACTCTCCTCAGATGGTTCACGATTGTCGCCGTTTCTTGAAACTCCTTGACACCTGGGTCGTGGAAGTCAGTCAGCGGAAAAAGTACATGGAGGCCGAATCGGCAAGGCAGCAAAGAGCCATTGTCAAACTGATTAAGAAGACTTCTTCTTCTCCATCCTCTTCTTCTTCTACTCCTCTTTCTTCATCCTCTTCTTCTTCCGCTTCTGCTTCGTCCATCTCCCCTCCTCCTACTCCTTCTTCTTCTCGCCCCTCGATTAATGTCCCAACGCGTCAGCGCAAGTCTCTCAAAACGGCCAGGAAACCGTCCAAACACATTACACCTACCGAAAGCCAACCAAAACCAACCGCTCAATCGACCCAGGCGTCATCAGACAACCACGCTTCTTCCGTCGTCTCATGCGAGGCATAGAAGCATAACGGCATAAAATCATATGCTTACTTTGCCCTATATATTTTTTCCCTTTTTTTTTTTCTTCTTCTTCATTTACATATTGTCCCCCTTGCTTTTTTTCTTTCTTCATACATATATATTGTTTCCCTTGCACTTTTTTCTGTGGCCTTTTGGTTTACATTACCCGCGTATATATAACTATTTATACCTCGTACATATCACAGTTTATACCAACACGGGCGTCTTTCGCCAGTTTTCATCTACATATCTTCTTTCGTTTATCCAATAGTCCTTTTCCCCTCAATTGTATTGGCTTTGGCGTTTCGAAATGGTCTTGCTTGTATATAGGAGTCATGTTAAATTTTCTAAATGCACAACTTTTTGAACCAACAACAAAATGTTAATAAGTTTGATAAGTCAAGTGTTGATGAAAAAAAAAACAAAAGAGTGTCGAAGGTTCAACGAGAAAGGTTATGTGCGATTCTATTATTGATATTCTGACTGTGAGATCGGTCTATCGCGTCTCGATAGAATGAATTAGAATGACATGTAATGGTATCTTTTGTACATGTTTTCTTGGGAATAAGGTAGCAAAGACGCTATTCAGCTTTGCGATTCTGCAAAATTTACGAGCTTAATTAAAAAAAAAAAAAGAAAGAAAGAAAGAAAGAAAGAAAGAAAAAGAATGATATAAAAAGTAAAGAATTAAAGAATTAAAATATTAATAAAAAGATAAAAAGAGGGATTTAAAAAAATTCCGCTTTAAAAAGAAGCAAGAAGATTAAAAGAGAAGATTGTAGGAAGACAAGGAGCTTGGAAAGAGCTTAAATAAGGATCGAAAAAGAAGAAAGAAAGGGAGAAAGAGATTATCATACTCAAGTCGCTCGAGGAAGATGCTGTTGATCTACCGCTGCGCCGGGCGGAAAAAGAGGAACAAGTTTGAAAGCAATTTGATCCAACGGAAGTCGCGTACCGGGAGCGCAGGCGACATATCCGGTTACATTGCCATAGACTGTCCCGGTATTTTCGTTGAAGACTTGAGCGGTTACCGGCATGACTTGTTGGTTCGGATTAGGAGGAGGGAGGAGATTAGGATGGCCCATGGTGAGATGATACTGGGCGGTGACAAGTGGGTGTATTTCGGTCGCGGTGTGTGCTTGAGCGACAGTCGGTGTTGGAGCTGGGGCTGTTGGAGTACTCTGAGGCTGAGGCTGAGATACCGATGGGTCTGGGTAAAAGGGTAATCCTTCTGCCTCGAGGGACTGCGCGACCGGCGGCGCATTGGGAACGGAGTCAGAAGGGTACGTGCATTGGCGGTTGCCTTTGCGGCATGATGTACAATTGGGTCGAGACTCATCGCACTGAATGGGGGAATGTGGTAAGCGTACTGTACAAGGCAACCTCAAGAACGAAATAAAGAAGTAGAGCGGGGAGAAATTCACCGGTGCAGCAAAGAAGATGTCATGAAGAAGCTTGTACATACCTTTATTTTTCTTGCCCGACAGGTTAAACATCCCGTCTTGGTGCGTTTATGGGCTCTTTTGATGCGGGCAACTTGTTCTCCGTCATCGGGATGTGGATGCTGCTGCTGCTGCCACTCTATAAAGGAGCGTGGACGGGCTTGTTCAGGTCGATGCTCAAATACGCCTTCTTGTATCGGAGTACCGTTTATGGTAAAACCGTTCGTGGAGAGCCTCTGAGAGCCTTGAATTTGCGGATCGTGAAAGGGAGGAGCATGAGTTGGGATATGTGCTGGATATGTTTCTGTTTTAATTGGAGAGGGAGCTCGGGCAGGAGCATCGCCAGTGTTGAATTGCCGATGCGGTGGTGCAGCAAAACTGTTTTGAGGAGCTGGATTCTCGAGTGTGTGGCGCGAAGGCGATGCATTGGCAATAGTAGAAGAAGAGAGTTGCGGGTCAATTGGCGTGTTGTCCTGCTCTGCATGGCCTTGAGGCGCTGACGGGGCATAGAGCGGCAGAGGCGGATCAGTAGGTTTAAAGGCAGAGGGAACTCGATTGGTTAGTCCCACTCTCATCCATCCTGGATCACGATTGGACGTGGTCCGATGAATTGGGGCATGAGTGTAAGTGAGCTCGACGGCAAAGTCTTCTTTGGAAAACCGAAGGGTCACTGATCCTTTGCAGTCGATGAGTGCATTTGAATCGGCCGAAGCTATATTTTATTAGTTAGATCTAGAACCTGTTTCGTGTGGAACATGCCTTTAGTTGCTCAATGGGGTAGTGGGAGGCATGTCATGTGAAAAGAAGGTAGTACTTACTCTCAGAGACCTCCGCGTTAGCCACACTGCTTCTTTTGCGTTTACCACTATGTTTTGATTCGCCACATGTATAATTGAACCGACTCCCTTTCGACGTACTCCAAATGTTTCGAGTATTATATTTGAAACCGTCCACATCTTGCACAGCCTTGGCTATAACACCAGATACCACTCGTTGTGTAGCTTGGACCACGTGATTTTCAAGATCGTCATCAAAGGTTTCACGCAGAGTAATCTCTTGGTTGATTACATGTGAAACTGTTTGTCGCTTCTCATTTGAGTTGGCTGCGGCCTGTCCAGCTTCATGTTGCGGTGTTTCCGGCGGGGTCGCTTGTTGAGATGTGACAGTCCGTGGGATGATGACCTGGAAAGTCGGGGCCAGCCAGAACGTGAACGTTGCAAGGCTGGGGAGAGGAGAGGAAGCTTCCTGAGCAAGAGAGTGACCCAGTCGTTCCTGTAACTCTCCTAGAGTGTGACAAAAATGCATCTCAGCAGCTTCAGGTCCATTGGTCGCCATTATGGGTTTGAATCTCGTAAGGAAGTAACGCTAGAGGAAGCTTTGTCGCTCAGGTCTCCAAGCTCAACTTGGCTGCCCAAGCGACAACCATGAAATTGACGGGGTTGAATAAATTTCTCCTGTCAAATTATCTTGTATAATTAAATTTTTAATTCAATGGGAGACTCCAGATCAAAGTAACATTGTTGGCATAACTGGTGGCCCCTTATCATAGTGAAGTGTTGTCAACACGCCAAGCCGCTCGGCCGAATCATCGGACAAATAATATTCCTTCCTGCAGCTCATTGATCCGTCTGGATGAACTATTCTCCGGACGTTACTGTATTTGTCCTTCCCCGGATTTCATATGGGTGGCACCGTCACGCTTCACAACGTCAATTGGGAGTTGGCAGAAAAGAACCAATCGTCATTTTGAAGGCTGGACTCTCTCTCAGTTGTCCTTATCATATGAAAGATCTAGGGTGCAAGAATTGGAACAATCTCTTGGGAGATGAGCAAAACGACTCTGACGTTATCTTTGGCTACCCCGCAAAGTCGCATGCCATACTAGTGTGGTGATCTCCATACCCATTACCGTCTCCACTCCTCAAGTCTTACATTCTCCCTTTTCCACATTATTTCACATCAGTCACGAGTTTCAGAGATTTGATTTGGTTCTTTCATCGCATTGTTTCAAAGTCTGAAACACTGAAATATATTTCCTTTCGAGAACTTGTATCTTGAATTCCCACTATATCTTTGGAAGCAATTGTTAAGCAAGGAACTCGCAATTGCAATATATCAAATATTTGCTTTCTTTCTTTGTTTTCTAAGCCATTTGCTAAAGCAAGTTTGCATTTACTCTGAGATTCATAAATTTCATCATGGAGCTGCCTAGCTCTCCTTCGCCTACTGACTATCCCGGAGACCGGAGGCGTTCAAGTGCAAGCTTCTACGCAAAACCGCAACTTCACTATCCTCAGTACAAGTCATTTGCCCCAAGGAGAAAGGACTCGCGGCTTCAGAGTATCCAGCCTGAGCCACAAATACAGCCCCGAAGGCAGTCTCGCATATCAATTAGTAAATCGTCACCTTACGACGTACTTGTCATTGGCTCCGGCGCTGCCGGTCTCACGGCAGCTTTGTCTGCTCGCGCTCACGGGGCCACTCGTGTGCTTCTGATTGACAAATGTCCGCCAGACTGGGCTGGCGGTAATGGTTACTTCACCGCCGGAGCATATCGAACAATCCATAATGGACTCGAAGACTTGTGGCCACTGATTGAAAATAACGGTACCATCGATTTCCCTCTGTCAGAGAATGATGCGCTCAAGGGCAAAAGGACACATACGTTTGATGAAGCTCAAAAATCGTTAAGTCTTGAGCCTTATACGATGGAAAAATTCCGTGCGGATATTGATCGAGTCACTGCCGGCAGAACTGATCACCATCTCTCTGATGCATTGATCACCGAAAGCTTGGATGTTCTAAGCTGGTTGAAATGGATAGCCCGCATTCCTTTCGCACTGGGCTTCCACAGGCAAGCATATGTGATCGAAGACAAGTGGAAATTCTGGGGAGGGCTCGCACTTACAGTCGACGGAGGAGGCAAAGGCTTAATCGGTAGCCTGCTGACGGCTGCAAGAGCAAAAGGAGTTGATCTATTATTCGATACTCCTGCCACACAGCTGGTTACTGACGAAGAAGGAGGCAAAGGCGTCACTGGTATCCTGGTACAGATGCCTGGGGGCTCTATCGAGGAAATTCGAGCCACTAGCGTTATTCTTTGTGCCGGTGGCTTTGAAGCCAATCCCAGAATGCGGGCGCAGTACCTTGGACCAGGATGGGATCTGGCATATGTGAGGGGAAGCCCTTACAATACCGGAGAAATGTTGGAGATTGCGATTCGAGATGCCAATGCAAAACAAATGGGAAATTGGTCAGGCTGCCATTCCGTAGCATGGGATGCAAATGCTCCAACCGAAGAAGGCGATCAAGAGAAAACGAATGAGTTCACAAAGAGCGGATATCCGCTAGGACTAATGCTAAACAGCCACGGCAATAGGTTTGTTGACGAGGGCATGGATCTTCGAAACTACACGTACGCAAAGTTTGGGAAAGAAATTTTGCACCAGCCTGATGGGATAGCGTTCCAAGTGTGGGATGCACAGACTCTAGACTGGCTCCGCCCGGAGGAGTATAGAGATGAGACCGTGCGGAAGATTTATGCCGACAGTGTGGAAGAATTGGCTCAAAAGTGTGGTTCATTGGGGCTCGTGGATGGAGAACAGTTTGTCCGAACCATTGAAGGATATAACGACGCTGTCTACGCCAGCCAGCGCGAAAACCCCGGCCGACACTGGGACCCTGCGGTCAAAGATGGTCTGTCTACGCAGTCAAGCTCTCGATGGCTGAATCCACCAAAGAGCAACTGGGCTCTACCTTTGGATCAGCCACCTTTCGTAGCTGTCAAAGTGACTGCTGGGATCACTTTCACATTTGGTGGGCTTGCAATCAACCCAAATACGGCAGGAGTGCTTTCTAGAGTCACAGGAAAGGACATCCCGGGACTTTACTGTGCCGGCGAGATGGTGGGGGGATTGTTCTATGAAAATTACCCGGGTGGGAGCGGCTTAACTGCAGGAGCAGTATTTGGCCGCAAAGCCGGAAGGTCTGCTGCTGCACTCGCTCTTTCCCGAAAGGGAAGCATACCAGCTCCGTCCGAGGGTGCCGAATGATTTATTAGCTCTGTGTACTTGGAACGGCACAGATACTGGAGGAATCTAACATCTATCTCTCCGTTGCCACAATGATCCTCAATTGCGATCTGTCAGTTCCACCCTCAATGCATTCATTCGATCAATGTTCGTGGTCTAGCACCCTGTCATCGCGACATATTATTGCGACTGAGAGCTGCAAGACTTGAAGCAATGGCCTTACCGCAAAGGACAGTTGCGCTGAGGACTTGTTCCACTACGCGTCGAGCTGACCCATTTGAGAAGCTCAACTTTGACTGCCTTCTCGGCGTCGTGCTAGAGCTTGACCCCATTAGTGCGCTGATTATAAAAAGAGTTTCCACTCGTTGGAAAAATCTCAACCAAGTACTTGTTTCCAAACAATGCCTTTTGAAGCATTTTTCCCATTGCGAAGGGACTTATCAGCGATTTTGTTCCGTATTGGAGGCACATCTAGTTTATCGAAGACTTGGTGAGTTGTCTACATTTGAGGAAAGGCATATCGAAACAAAGGCTAATGCCCTTTCAGCTTACTATTATAATGCTCTCCAAAAAGGCCGGGCAAACAGAGTACTCCGCATCGGCGAATGCCAATTCTATAGTGTTGCCGGTCATTGGTTAGCGTATTCTTCGTCGTATGGCCTCGTATGGATAAGGGACCTTAGACCAAATCAACCTCAGCGATCGCGCCCAAGGTTCCTTATGATAGAAGCATTAGGAGGGATCGCCGGGTACATAATCTCTCTCAAGGTAACAGTAGAGGGGGATGTGATTATCGAGTACGAAGCCATGCTTTCTCCCTCTGATCTGACGCAACACCCAGTATGGGGTACAAGGTGTGTTTCTCCCATACCATTGTGACTTTTACAAACTTTTTTCTGTTGCCCTCTTTGAAGAGCTAGTAGACAGTGTACTTATCCGTCTTTCAGTTCTTTAGCAAAAATGTTCAAGCTCACCCGAGATGGCACTATTGTCTGGTCGATTGATGTGGACTTATCACAACGAGAACACGTCGAAAAGGGGGTTGCCACGAGGGATGTATTTCATGGCCCGAGCATATATGGGGACAAAATGTACATTTTCAATAGAATCGGCAACCCATGCCGCACACTTCCAGAGATTATTGCCAGGCGTCTAGAGGATGGTCGTGTTACAAGGCGGATCCGGCTTTCATTCTCCGACTTGGAGCTTCCAGAAAAGGTGGATAATCCTACACAGTCGAAATCCTCGACCACAACTTCTCCGCCTTCTCTTACTTCGTCTGCATTATCATCACCCCTATCTCCTCCACCCTCTTCGCCATCTTTAGATGGCTCTGACGTCGAAAGTGCACTGGGCGCGTACACCAGCGACGATGACTCCAGCGATGAAGATGAGGAACGACAAGAGAGAAAACGGAACCTGAGGTTCGCCTATAGCTTCTCCCCCGCAGGAGACTATTTCGTTCTTCTTATGCGCACAGCTCCAAAGACAATACAATTACGAATTATGTGCTCAAGTACATTGCGACTTTTATACAAGGATGAATTCTCAACTCGGACCGACAACGAGGCTTGCCCTATATTCAGATTCGCCTGCAACGCTCAACAGATTGTTATCCGCAGCTACCGCGGCCGGCGCCTAGCCGTCTATGAAAAAGAACACCACCGATTCTCTGGCGAGTTTTTCTTTCACCGCAGAACCGACAACTTTGCCGTACGGCGTGACGCCTTTGCAGATGGCTGTTTTTATCTGGAAGAAGGCCTCTGGCTAGACAATGCATACAACGACACCAGAGCCTATATTCGACGAGTCTCTGACTATCCCAGCGACCATGAAGCTACCGCGCTATCAGCAAGAATGAAACGCGAACATTTTTACACCCATCTCTGTAACAACAGCCGCTTGATCACTGTCCCATCCCACCTCGGCTCTGCTACCTACTTTCGCATCAGAAACCGCGGCTTTATAGAACGACGAGTCCCTGTCTGCTGCGATCCTGAGCTCTCGCCGGGCTTGAGAGTCACACAGGTAGGATTCTACCTCGTCCTTAGTGGGCTCAAGCCCGAAAGTGAAGGGCCTGACAATTACTGTGTCACTATCATTGACTTTAACCCGCATTTCTGACCTTTCTCTGCCCCGTTTCCGGTTTTTTTTTTTTTTTTTTTTTTTTTTTTCCTTCCTTCTTCTGTGTCCAATTCTCTTCGGCCTTTTCTTCATTTTCTCTTTTTCGTTTCCGCGTTTTGTCTTCTTCGTTCTTCCAAATTTTTGTATTCCCCTATTACTCTGTTGTTCTTCCTGTCCCAACTTTTTTGTATTCCTCTTCAACCGAGCTTGAAAACAGCAAAAGCAGGCATCACAATACCGCATCCTTGGCATAAGATTCAGGATTCAAAATTCAGGATTCAGGATAGAAAGCAAACACAAAAACTCCAAGATTGTACTGGTAATATCAAATGCTTCCATGTGAATTCCCATTCGAGCATTTACTCTGACGTAGCTATCCTATACTACTTTGCTCAACTTCTCAAGTCACACAAGCTGATGATATTGAGTCCGGCTGCAGGCATCTAACCCGTTTTGGCGATCAGAGCTGTTCTTCGTCAAACGTCTAAGGATGGGCCTGCGATACCTCGCATGCTTTTCGCAGGCTATGTGGTTCTCGGTCTATTGATCGGGCATGTCGTGGAGTACTCTGTTACCCGTATGATATTGATGCAGCTTATTGGAGGTATTGTACAGGTAGCTACGGGAAGTAAAACATACATCGAAGCAGTATAATGATATAATCCTCTGGCAAAAAAAACCTATCTACATTCATTAACTATATATAACATTGCGCTAGGCAAATGAGCCTGCTGTTTCCACCGACCTCAGGTCTTAGTAGATGTTGTCAGTGGGCAGTAGCAACAATCTCGAAAAAGAAGCAATGTTTTATGTTTGTATGTCTATATTGCTACATTGCTACATTGCTACCTGTCATGTGATTTTGCTAAAATTAAAGTTATCGATTGATTACTACCTCTGTACTCGTGCGGTTCAGAATGATTATTATACGGAGTACCGAGCGAGGGAGCTCCGATCCAGCACCCTCGCACCATTCTCCACTGGCTAACTTACCTACCTAAGGTAACTTACCTTATGTCGAAGAGTCCCTTTTGGTGGAACAACCACGGGTAACACCGTCTGTTGCCTGGTTTCGCTTAAGGTAGGTATCTTTTCGTCCATATGTGTTTCGTCTCTCTGTGGGACGTATTATTTCTCTCTGCCTCTCTGGGCTTTTGTGATTAAGGTTGCAACGATAAATACTAGTTGTCCCGCAAGGCCGCAACTAGTTGTCCGGGCGCTAAATGTCGGGCGCTATAGTGGTCCGGCGCGTGTATACGATCAATCATTGGTCGCGTAGTGTAGAATCGTACCCAGAAAATTCATAACATGGTTGAGCGCGACAATTTTGGTGTGGGTACGAATTACTGACATGGTACAATAACTTTGTAACAACAAGGTCATGGATCTATATCTACTTATCAAACAAAGGGTTCCCGTGAAAGAGCCCCTCTGAGACGGGTCACAGGTCACGGGCCACGGGTCACGGCAGAACTCCCAACTCCCAACTCCCCATTTTCCTCAGGTATCCTCAGGGAAGCTGATCAGGACCGACGAGTCCAAAAACCCCCCCCCCAGTCACCTTACCCATGGATTCCATATGAGAGAGCCGTGAAAGGATTCGGCTCTCCTTTGAGCCCGATTTTCCACGAGTAACAATACAAAGTACTAACGGATAATCTTTTCTTCGTGAAAGGACTACTCCGAAAAAAATAGGGGATCATTTGGGGTGGTCTTGATGGGTATTGCACGAGTCTTTGGATAGGGGTCTACTTCTCCAGAAGAGAACTGTGAACTGCGAGGTCCAGGATAAATAACATGGATGCAGCATGCTGGTAAACGCTGTAACTTGTAAGCTATCCGACCATCCATCATCCCTGTTGCAAACAGAAGGGGCAGTACGAAAAAAAGAGCCTGACTTTGATGAACCAATCCCCCAACCCGAAACACATACCCATGCAACGACTCCACGGGCAATTTCGAAATGGCTGTTCTTCTTATTATAAAGGGGGATCCTCCAGATTCTGGGCATTCTGGGCATTCTGGGAACTGAACTTCAACGGTTCAACCTACCTACGAGTCTACGGTCTACCAGTTGAAAAATAAATAAATTTTCTTATTTCATTTGAAGTTATTTGTATATCACGAACCATGATATCTCGATTTGTTGCCAAGTTATGCATATTCTCCATAATTGCTGCAGCAATCTTCACGACAAGCAGACACCTTTACCACCACCACCACCACCCTGCACCTTTATGGCAGCAATCTACGCCAATGCCCGATTATCCCAAGAAGATATGGCAGACGTGGAAACAACCATTTCTATCCCTGGAAACAACCGAACACGAAAACGTTCAGCAGTGGAGAGATCTCAACCCGGAATTTGAACACCACCTATTGACCGACGAAGACGTGGCCGAATATATATCAGCCAATTTCAAGGAGTTTCCAGTGTGGCAAGAAAATTTCGGACAATTACAGGATAATATCCTTCGTGCAGACCTCTTCAGATATATGGTCTTGTTCATGGAGGGCGGCGTGTATAGCGACATTGACACAAAAGTCCTGAAAGAAGTTGACAACTGGATACCATCAGCTTTCAAGTCCACTTCAAACATTGCCATCGGGATCGAAATGGACCAGCCTGAAGGGAAGGTGTGGCCGGGAACGTCTCGGTTTCAGTTATGCCAGTGGACAATGATGGCCAAGCCAAAGCATTGGCTGCTCTGGTCTCTTATTGAAGGAATCTTTAAACGACTGCGAGTATTGTCAGAGGAGCAACAGGTCCACATTTCAGCCGTGAGTTTGTCCTCTGCACAGGTGATCAACATCACTGGCCCTGCTGCTGTCACGGCTGAAGTATTCCGATACCTAACGCACCACTTGCAACGAGATGTCACTGGCGCTGATATGACAAGGCATGCCGGACCACAGCTGTTACATGATGTACTGATCCTGCCGGTGAATGCGTTTGGTTCTGGACAGCCCCACTCCGACAGTGGCGAACCAAGTGATGATACGGCGCTTGTTCAGCATCTATTCAAGGGCATCTGGAAAGAAAATCATATTCATGAATCTATATAGCCTGTACTGTATTGATATTTAGGAATATGCCAGATGGTGTATAAATAAAAAGGGAATATAACTAGAAGCCGATTAAGAAATGAAAAATGTCAAAGTCACCATGGCAAAAAGTGATTGACCTGTGGGGTTCAGAAAGATAGAAGGGCGAGAGAGCTGTGTGACTGTGTCGGAGTCAAAACAATGCCAGGCAAGGGTGTACCGTGTTTATATAATAGCAAGGGTGGCACCATGGCCAAAGGGCTCCAGCAGTACGCATTCGATCTCGTCCTCGAAGGGACATGCGGGCAACATCGCCGGAGCAGTATAGACATTGTGCGATGCATCAAAACTAAGGAAAGTATTACACTTCTGATGAAACGTCCAGGGTACTCTACAGCACTTGTTTAATCACAGTCACGGAATCACGGAATCACAGAATCACCGTCACCACAAGATACAAGAAATCCATGGATATATCCGATAGAAAATCCCACTATAAGCTCCATTTAGCAGAAAAACACACGCAAACTAACCGTTGAAAACTACCTAGGTGTGTAAAACTAAAGAATGGAAATCACAAAAAAGAAAAAAAAAAGATAAAAATAAAAAACAAACACCCCATGTTGTTAAAAAAAAGTGTTGGTGGACGGGTATAAGACGTCCAGCCGTTTCCCTTTTTTCCCTGGCAGATCATCAACCTGGCACTGACCGACAGACCAGCAAGAAGATCGGGGGGAAAAGGGGGGAATCGTAGAGCTGAATAAGATGAGAAGGGACAAACAAACGGAGATGGATGAAACCCTTCTCGCCAGTGTTTATGAATGCAGCCAACGAGCAACGCAACCCAGCGACCTGTTGCAAAACCCAACAACCAAGCAACACAAGCAACAAGAACAAGAAACAACAACGCGCCATGGGACATGCACGGCAATTTTTGTCCCCGCCGCATCCGTCGAAAACAAAAAGAAGAAAACAACTACAGCCACAAAAGCGAGATGAGGGAAAAACAAAAAGGCAATGAGAAAAAAAGGCATAACAAAAACAGTACCTGAAAAAGCCAGACCAACGGTAAGAATAAAGTTGCCAAAAGGCAAAAGCCGAAGCCGAAAAGGAGCCCAACGCAAGCAACAAAAAAAAAAACAAAACAGCCAAGCCAAGCCAAGCCAAACCCATATCAATTCCCAGACGAAAATTTATTATCCATATGCCCGCTCCACCCGCTAGCAATGAGGAAAACAAACACCTATGCCCATGAGTGGAAGCACTTTTGATTTCAGTTTGATTTTGTCGAGTTTTTGTCCGTTTTTGTCGTGCGAAATAGCTTTTATCCCATCTTCCCGTAATTACCAAACGACTGACAGATCATAAGATGCTCTGCCTTTCGTTCTCCTGTTTTCTTCTCTCCCTCTGCATTTCTTCCTTGCCCGAGAGATATTGCTTTCGAAATGTTGAAATCGAGTACGCAAAGGTTGAACAAATGAGACTTTCAAAAAAGAAAGACAAAAGAGACAAAGAGTCAGAACACCTTGATCCCTCAATGTACCAATCCCGAGCAATTGACGCAAATCAGCACCGAAGGACCCATGACGGAGTACCCAGTCGCCGTGTAATCCGAAAAGAATAGATTCCCAACTACCCTCACGAACACCAAACTTGAAAAATCTTCACTCCCCAAACAAAGCAAACGGCATGTGACGAAGAAGAAGAATAATAATAATAGACAACGCCCCCGCAACATATGAGTAGCCGCGACCAGGGCGAACTGGAAAACGATATTCGCTCTTGATGGAAGGCTGAACGCTAAAGAGACACGAACTGCAACGCTGATATATGCCTAGAGCAGGTGATAACCATCGTGTGCAGAGGCGTACGGGAGCGACGGGAGCGGAAGAGATGATATGGGAAAGGCAACCGGCAAGAGAAAACAATCCAAACCAAAATACACCCGCGCCCAAGAATGAAACAAACAAACGTGATTTCATGTTTCCCTTCAAATGTAAAAGCAGCAACACCATTCACCACATACCCACCTTTATCCCAGAATCAATACGCCTAGCCCCAAACAGACGCTTGCACGCCCAAGGGGTTCTTGGTTCCCCAGACACCGCCGCTCTTGCTGCCCCAGCCAAGACCAACATCGGAGGCTCCAGCAGGGTTAGACGCCGACGAGGTAGAACGCTCATTGGCCCGATCGTTTTGAGAAAAGCCGTAACTCAGGGGAGAAGGAAGAGGAGTCGTGGATCGCTTGTTGAGCGCGGGGTTGACAACCGGGCCCTGAGAAGCGTGGACAGGGCGGGTGCCAATAGGAGCCACGCCAGCAGAGGCACCAGGGGCTTTGCCAGCTTGGGCGGGAGGGGATCCACCCGGCGACGAGTTCGAGGTGCGGCTAGACTGCTGAGCAGCAGATTCGAACAGGCTGAAGCTATTGGGGTTCGACGAGGGCGAAGAGTTGCTGTTAGCCCGAGAGCGCTGTTGAACCTGAACAGGCGAAGGGCCAGCGCCGCCAGCTACTTGGGGAGTCGGAACGGCATCCTTGGAAGCATGGGCAGCCGCAGCAGCAGCGGCCGGGTTCTGGGATCCAAAGGGGTCGAACGCCAGGGGAGAGGAGCCACGGGCGCCAGCAGCGCCAGCGGCCTGAGAAGCGGCATTCGCAGCGGCAGCAGCACGAGGGGTGTTGGCATCGCCACCAAAAGCACCATTCTCGAAGAAGTTGGCGCTTTCATTGCCGTACAGAGCTCGGTGCTGACGGGCAATGAGGTCACGACGCTCGTCCTCGCTCATGGCACTGGGGCTCATCGAGCGGTCAACCTTGCCGCCCTGGGTAGTGACTTCTGTAAAGGTCGATAATGAGCACGTCTACTTTACAGCTAAGCCGCAGACTTCATGCACTTACTTCGGTTGTACTGCTGCTCTTGGTGATAGTTGCGAAGCTCACGTTCCCGCTGAGCCGCCATGCGGCGCTTGGCCTGCATCATCTGCTCAGCTTCGTTGGGCCGCGGCTGAAAACGCTGGTTGGCATAAAAGTTTTGCAGGTTGGTTGCAGACTGAGGGCGCATCTGCTCAAAGTCGAGGGAATGCGGGCGTTGAGGGGCAGAGCCGCCAAGTCTCGGGTCTAACTCGAAAGTCAATATATGCCTGGCATACTGGGGTTCTCAATGACCATACCATATTCAAACGGGCGTGGGGCGCCAGAAACAGGCATTGAGTCCCGGCGGGGAACCGCGTTGAACATTTTGCCGCTCTTCATGAGATTGTCGACGGCCCTATCAACCTCTAATCCAGTTGTTAGCACAATTCCACTCAAATAAGTCGATCCAGCGCGTTGATGCTGCCATATTGCCTCGACAGTTTTCGGAGAATTGAAAAGTATTTCGAGGAAACAATAGACTGGGAATCAAGGGCATCGATCGGAGGGCGAAAAGGGCTTTCTTACCATCGAGCTGAGAGCTGAAAGCAGTGTTGTCATCACGCTGAACAGCAGAGCTCGCTCCTGTCAAATTCCATCAGAAAAGAACCATTGACGATATCCTTGAAGTGTATTTCTCTTACCGGAGCGAGAGGGAGGTGCGGGCTGGTCCCACGATGTCTGGCGGACAGGAGCCTGCCAGCCCTGAGGTTCGTAGTAAGACATGATGCGGCGCTATGTCAGACGACAGAAGACGCTGGGGATAAGGATAGTCTAGGCGTTTTGAATGGCAGACAAGGTCGGACAAGGAGTGTGTTTTTGGACGGTGAGGGTCCGAAGTTAAACCAAACAGCTAAGAGGATGCGAAATAAAGGTCAGTACGATGCTGCCATGCCACCCGTAAACAAAATGCAATTCGAAGAGCGAAGATGGTAGTAGTGATGGTGACCAGCTCGATTGCACCAGAGGTGGGAGGGAGTCAGACGAGATCGAGGAAGAGAAATCTGTGCCCACAATCGTCGGCGTGCGCCAGATTTACAGGGTAGCCGAGGAGTCGAAGATTTCAATGTGCATTTTTGGCGAGCGGAGGCGTCCCGAGCCACGGCAAGCGACGGGGGCGAGATTAAGACACAAGGGGACTGGGGGGGGGAGGGTTTTCTGCTTTTTTTCCTGTGCGGTGTTTGGGTGAAGGGTGTGCATGAGTGGTGGTGGGTGGGTGTCCGTGTGTATGAAGGTGGTGCGAGCAAGAATCTGGTAGGCTAAAAAAACTTACCTTGCAGTCAAGAGCAACAGACAGAAAGGAACTTGATAGCGAGAGAGCGACGCGATTCTCTGCGAAGCATCCACGGGTATGGACGACAGAGAAAACAGGCGGGTAAAGACAAGAGGAAGAAGAGAGCAGGAGGAGGGGAAGAGACGGGGGAGTACAGTAGGTCTCGAGGATAGGAAGAAGTGGTGGTTCAGGCCCCGTTGCGAGAAGAAGTGAGTGGAAAGGGTTCCGGCGGGCTCAAGGGTGAAATGAGAAGAAGAGTCGGGGTGAGTATTTTGTGGGCCGCAACGAAAAGCGAAAAGGGAGATTAATTGATGGGCAAAAAGTAACGGTCCCACGGTTTTTTTCCCTCCTTGGGTTGTGTTGCGGTAGAGCGTGCGAGTGAAGCTAACGCTGACTGGTCCCGCTGCCAGAAAGCAGAAATCCACAACCCCCGGTCCAAGGGATTCGCTACAGTACCGTACCCTAAGGCTTACTACGGTGAGAGATGCATACCAATGGCGTAATCCGGCAATCAAACTTTTTTTTTTTCTCTTCGCCGTCGGCACACCTGTCTGCGACGTCAGAAGAGAGAAGACACATCCATAATCCACGAAAATGCAAGAGACCGTGAAAAGACTACATTAATCTTTAGGCTCAATCGTAGATATGCCTGTAATATACATACTCGTAGATGGCTCAATCACAACTTGGCGATATATAATTAAACTGGAGTGGAGATATTGTACTCAAACGGTAAAAGATGACCGACCCAGCGGACTACTACGGGCACCTTTGTGGCCTAGGCAGGAAGCGAGCCGACGAACATTTTAGAGCCATTTGAAGATGGTCGGTGTCAGGCAATCTACCGCCAGCGCAAGAGCACGACTGGGAACTTAGTCGTCTGCTGGTCCGTGGCGTGGGGCCGGACTGGAGCACGACTTGATGGTCAAACTTGGCAAGATAAGTTAAGTACGTACGGAGTACAGGATGGAACAAGCCCTCGGAGATGGGACAATGTGCAACTTTCTGTCAAGTCGCAGTGATGAGGAAAACCGCTATTCCCGCTAAAGGCGTCCCAGGGAAATCACACGAGGAACGGCCTGCCTTTTGACGGGGGGGCCCCAAGAGAAGGCCCTAGCTATCGTGCTACGAGATCGATACCTGTCGATAGCCATCGGATCTCCGATGACAGGAGTATCGCCAGGTACCCCTCGTGGTCTTTGGCGACAACATGCGATCGGCTACATGACCCCTCATGGCATAGTCCCACTTTGGATAGTCTCCCGGACCCTGGAGCTTAAAACCCTTTTCCCCGATCCCTTCTCCTCGTGCCGCCTGCCCTCAGCCGCCAATAATTTCGCCGTCATCGGCGCCTTTTCCTTTTCTCTTTCTCATTGATATTTGTTAACAGAAGTGATTGACGTGATCTGAACGGATAAAGCCGTCCTCATACATCCACTAGGCTAATCCATCGGTGCGCAGCCAGAGGGGTACCCTTCATGTATGGAATGCTGAATACTCCCATGGAAACCATTGCCATTTCCGAAACCTGCACCGAATTAAGCTATCGTTACCGTCAAGGACGATGATAATGACCCATCTTGTAGCCGTGTTACGTAGGAAGAAAAAGTAGTCATCACTACAGAGTAGAGGTCATTATATCGAACTGACCTCGTTCAGAGAAGTGATCCCAATTTTCGTACCAAAATCGTCGTTAGTGGGGTCAACCCAAAGCCACAGCAACATTTGGGACCAAAAAAAGCTCGGAGACGGCCTCCATCCCCGCCCATTGTAATGATAGCGAGCCGAACTACTGTAGCCGTGATAGAGACCAAATTGGCCCCACGAGTTGCAAGTCTTGAAAGGTCCGCAAGGAAATGGAGGTATGCAAAGGTAATTCGGATCATATTTTCATATAAATTGTGCGACGCAGGACTTGGCGATACGATCAAGTACACGGCGCGATAAAAGTGAGAGTTGCAACATGGAACCCTTGAAAGCCGTGGGCTGGCGCCACGAACGGACACACCCGACACGCACCGGCTATCGCTCAGGAAGGCAGGTAAGGAAGCATATCCCACGCACCGCACGAGTATCCAATAACGCCAGGAATCTAGAAGTCTTCGAGCCCGGAAGAAAAAAAAAGAGTCAGTCCCTCAATTTTCTTTGCAATATACGCAGCCGTACTCCGGTAAGTCCATCACGCGCGCCCTGGCGCCACTTTCAGTCTCCATTGGCTTTTATGTGATCTCCATATCCGATTCGTCCGCGGCCTTGGGCAGCTCCCCTTTGATCTTTTATCCTTCGTGGGGAATCGGGGCCACGACGATCACAAGGCAAGAAAACACTATACATGAAGTGATCTTCCCGAGTATCTAAACTCACGGCCATGCTCGATGATGACGCCAGGCATCGTCATGATATGGAACTTTCCTATTCTCGGTCCCGAAGGGATACAATCACTACCTTCTTCAGTCTCCTTCCCATCACACCTCATGCAATCTGCATGTTCATCTGCGCGCAGCATCAGCCAACGCTTGCGACACGGATCATCGCTGCTCGCCAACGCACCTTCGGCCCTCACTGGGACCAATACTTGAAGAGAAACAAAGGCGACCCCGCAGGACTCGACCCAACCATAATGCCGTCAGCCTACGCACAGCATCCCTCCCTTTTGCCTTCCTCCAAAAGCTTCCCTTCCCCAAACAATCCGAGATCACGGACCACAGACCACGAACCTCGACATTGGGTTCTCTGGTTTCATACCTGTTCTCGTTTCCCGCCCCCCAACAGGCCCCTCCTCTCTACAGGAACTCACATGTGTGCTATAGTGCAGTACATTACAGTGCCGAAGAGCTTACCCCTCCCCCCCCTTTCCCGGCTCATTTAAGACAGAACCCCTCTATAATACAGTAAAATTAAGACGCTGCCTACCGCTTGCCGCACACGCGATATGATGTGGGGCACACACGCAGACACACACACATATCTCCTTTCCCCCGCTACGGAGTACATTCTGCTAGATGACGAAATTACTGCCCGCATTGGCCTGGGCTTTTGCTTACTAGACCGGGCGTGTCGTTCTTCGTCTGCTTTCCAGAACCGTAGATTTGATCGACATTTATGTGTGGAACAAACAATCATATTATTACTTTATATCTTGTAGACGCGTCGCCTTGGGATGGATCCGACCCATGCAATTAATACAGAAAAAGACAAGGGGGAAGTCGAGATACCTTGAATGCCTTAGGATTACAGTACCTCGAACCGGAACCTTTCAAATCAAGAGACCAGAGGTGCGGCCCGCGACGTCGGTTCCGAGGCCATTGCTTGGGTTCCGAGGGCCAAAAGGGCCATCGTTTTCCTTGTCAAAGCTTAAGCTTAAGCGTCAGCTTGGAAATTGAACTACTACGGTAGATCAGGACTCGGAACTCATGCTCAGACTCAAGCTCAAGCTTCAGTTTCATCATAGAGACGGATAGTACGGACCGTAGATGAACTCTATTCACAAACATGTGCCGGGTCTCGTTCGCCCATGAGAATGCCTAGATTCTCTGCCATAAGCTTTGGAACTGCGGCATATGCGATGCTGCTATTTCGTATATATATTTTCCAAGTCTCCCAATAAGAGGAATATAGTTATTAGAAATCTCCTCTTACAAGCTGACACAAGGGAGAAAGAGAACCCCACAACCCCACCGAGATAATGGCTTGTGGTTTGTGGCGCATGGCGCATGGTGCAGGCTGGCCAAGGGAGGGATAGAAGCAAGCTCGTGTTCGGCATAGGCCGAACATGTGACAGCAATAATCCGGTAATTTTTATCTCGCAGGGCAAATAATGGAGCTGGCACCTACTGGTGGGCTTTCACGGAATATCAGCCAGGCGGTCACAGGTACCAGGCTTATGGATGAATTGCATAAAGAAGAAAGTAAGAAGGAGCCAGGAGCTGGTTAGTTCCTGAGCGAGCTTGATTGCGTGTTGTGAGAAGTGCAACGGAAAGTAAGATTGAGAATAGGTAGATTGGTAATTTAGGGGGGCGGTAGAAAGTTCAATTAGCGAGGAGATGACGAGGATCAGATAGGAAATGGTGACGAATAACATGATCTTGAGGCGCGAAGGCGTTTGAGCATGCTATGTTTTCGAGACAATTAGTCAATTAGAAGAGATCGAGGCTTAAGTCAAAAGAGCAAGCAAAAATGTCTGCACGAGACGAAAATTATAGTGGAAAGCCATTGAGTGAAGAGATTAATTTGAAGAAGCATAACTGAATTGATCGGTACTGAAGAGCTTAGGCAACGTGCCGATAAGCTGAACATGAAAACTTGTGGCTCCAAACCCAAAATAACCTGCAGCTGAATCGGAGGAGGGGGATGTGCTGAAGGAGTGATAAAATGCAATGGTATCTTTATTTGGCGGTATAGCTGAAAATGATAACGTCATTGGTTGCTTCGTAAGGAACGTGATAATGATGAAATGGTATCTTCAAAAGGACATCAGAAAAGAGGTACAGAGATGAGCTTAAGCAAAGGGAAATCATGCAATAAAACCAAGGAGAAGGCGAAAAAAAAGGGGAGGCTAAGCATAGATCGCAACGCCATTCGTTTTCTTCGTTTCAATCAACGCAACGCCGGCGGTAAAAGCAATGCGAAACGCGGAAAAAAGTGGGGGAATCGATCGCACAATCGTGCCCTTCCAAGCGCCGTGAAAATAATTCAACGCATCAGTATAGCATGAATTCCCTAAAGTTTTCCCGTAAAGGCGGCTCGTTCTTCGTACGGAGGAACTGGATCATTATCCAGATCATCCGAGCCAATCTCTACTTTCTCCCAGAGAGCACCAACGCGCGGACGTTCATTGTCGTCTTCGTAGGCAACGCCGCTTTGCTCAATTGCCCGGACCCTTTCTTCATCACGCGCTTGCTCGCGCATAAAAAGCCTGTTCGCATAATCTCGAACTTGCAGGCCCAAATAGAATTGGACTAGCGTTGTTCCGACGATGCCGACAAAGGCAATGATTTGCACCACCCAAACGACGCGTAAGCAATGTTCGAGGGAGAGCTCTGAATCGGTAAGAGCGACCGCAACTGCAGCGGAAGAAGACCGACGTTCTCCATGATCAAACTGCTCCAGCAAATTCCGTGAAGGGCCCGAAGACGACCCTTTTTGAAAAGCAAAGCTCGAATCGGGTACGCAGAAGCTATCGCGGAACCCCGAGAACAAGGTAAGAACAAGGAATCTGGGTATTGAGCACAAGATAGTATCGATCAAGTGGTAATTCGCAAAGATGCCCACTAATGTCGCATTTTCCTATCCATTTGTTAGCCCAATTGCGAAATACTGTTATATCAATATCACGGTCGCAGTATCCGTGATGATGATAGCTTACCTTGACAACTCCGACTAAGCCAAGAATGCTCAAAAGCCCAGCGAATGATGCATAAAGAGAGAAATTGGAAGCAAGATGGTATGGGTCATCGGGGAGTTGGTAGAGAAGATAAGCCGAAACGGCATTGTAAATTATCGCTAGGGTTGTAAGGGCCGCGGCCGTATTTCTGAAAGATGAATCAGTTTTATCCCCGGTTACACGATGTCATCGATGGAACCGAATTGACATACCGTTGTCTATAGGAAGACATCTCTAAGGATAGATTGAAGGAATGCGTTGCGATCCGTGGAAAAGGAGGTGGTTCAACGCGTCTGTAATACTTCGCTCGCAGGATATGATGTCAATGCCTTGCGGATCGGCTGGGGGCGTTTCGACAGGGGTAAACGAGTGATTCACGGGAGCAAAAGCTGGGTCTGCCTGCTGTATTCCACTAAAATCCTTTTCCTGATGCTTTCGCGCGTCTCTTCAATCCTTTTCCGTCGAAGGTTGTCCCTCGGTCGCTTCAGCTTCAGGCTTTGCTTCAGCGTCTGCGGCTGCAGTTGGCGCTTCCTCCTGCTCAACTGCTGGATCGCTTTCTTTGGGTCCGCCCTCTGCTGCAGCCGTTTCAACTTCGGGTCCAGCTTCGGCGGTAGCCCCTTCTGGTGGTGATGGTGATGGTGATGTCTCTGCCGCTGCGGGAGGAGGCGGTGGTGGTGCTGAATCCTCTGGTGCTTCTCGTTCGGCAGGTGGAGGGGGTTGGTCAACCGGCTGCGGCTCTGCGGGTCCTGCGTCACCGCCTGCGGATTCGACTCTGGCTGCACTCTCAACAACGCCCGCGTTCTCGACTTTCTCTTCGTCGTAGTAACGCGTGACAAGCAATTCTGGATTGCTGGCACAGATGCAGAAAGAAATAACAGCGATGCAAATGAATAGGCAGCTGAAGACAACCGGTAAGACGACGGAGAGTGTAGTCATCGTGTGTCTTGGAGCACTCCAGGACGGCTAGGGCTTATCCAAATGCGGTATAGTTCTGCCGACGGATCCGGCTGAATCGCTCACCAAGCCGTTGACTAAGCAAAAATAAACCGTGAATGATGCCAAAGCAAACAGATTTGAACCAATTAGAGGCTCTGGCCTCGAACCTTTGTTCTTGCCTGGCGTCAGCAAGCCTAAAGTCCGAGGGGTTCGGATGCGAAAATGTGATTAATATGACCTCAAGCACGGCAGAGGATTAGTAACACATTCCATTCAATGCTCCACTCTGTCGGACATTGCCTTTTTCACATTGAAAGAATTTCAAATCATGAAGTTGGGCTTTTGTCAATGGCGATGTAGCGGATGATTGATGATATTGAAGACACATCGAGAAAGCGAAGAGATGCTGCTTTATTGCTTTAGACTAGCTGCACCGTCTTGCAACATCTCAGGGGAACAGTAGCCCAACAAGAACCACGTCACACTCCCATCGTAGCTCATACATAGTATAACCACCGACCCCTGCCCATGTCTCCTCTGTTGTTGTCAGGTTTCCGGCTTTATGAATGGAGTACATTTACCCTCCACATTTTATAAATTCCCAAGAGGAGGGTTCTACTTGGTTTCTGAGCCAATCAAGAGCCCGCGACAATGCGGGTGTCGCGCGGCACGCGGCTGTTGGCGCTCATGGCTGCTTGCCAGCTGTTCAGGCTCGTAGGCTGGGCTTGATTATGTGCCAAGGGGAGAGTGAGGCTCTGAAAGCGTGGACATGATTTGCAAAAAGTGCTTTACGAACGACGCAGGCAGAAATCACAGACCATTGAAGCTCTTTTAGCTCCCGTCACCGCCTGTGCAATCCCTGATTGTGTGCTGCTTTGGTGCTAGCACAGCCGTATAATGGCTGTATTCTTCTGCGCCAGGACAGAAACTAAGCCACACCTCCTCCAGTACTTTGTAGACAATATCCATTGAGCTAATCATTACTCTCAGGTTCATCTAAAGCATCTCTCCTGGCTTGTACATTCTACCTGAACCTTCCGCACCCAGTCTACGCGGGTAGCGGGCATTTGAGCCCAACTACCTACTTTGTAATTCTAATTTGCCCGCATTGAATGTTCAGGTATTTGGGCTTCTCTTGTTGTCCATCTAAGCAAAGAAAATCCTTACCGCGTAAAGAAGGGACCTGAAAACATGGCTAGGGCAGAGGATAAAGAGGAGTGTCAGTCATATTTTGCGAGCCAATGAAAGTATAGAAGGAGAACTTTGACTTAGCAATTTCCGGGCGATAAGAGATGCCGCTTCGTGTTCCTGGTCTTCTCAACCATCTCGCTCGCCTGAATTGCAATATGATACGAAGTACCGTATATAGATTGAAAATGGGCCGACGTCCGGAAGTCGCTGCTTGCGTGGTGAGGAGTGTCGAAATTGATGACACGTTGTCCACTATTGTCGAGAAAGTTATTGTACAAAATAGAATCTTGTCCCTCAATCCTCGAGCTCCTCGCTGCTACCTTGATGGCTAGCGTTCAAACTACTGTAACGTAATTGAGTAACAGGTTGGCGGACTAAGAATATTTAGGTATTACGAAGGGGCATGAACATGTATCAGATGCGACCCAGAAGCTGCATCTGCTAAGATTAGAGATAAACATTCATTATCATCGACAGAATATCTTCGTCATCTTGTGATCAGGAATGACGTTACAAGACCCTTCTTCCGAAAAACATAGTACACTTTCAAAGGAGCATCACGAGGCCAAGATCGAGTTTGCAGCAATACGCGAGCCTATCCAGGTCGGCGGTGACGGGCAGCAAAAGGGCTAAGTCGGCGAGGCTCGTCCAGGTTCGGCATATTCTACGCCACAAGGCTCGAACAAGGCTTATATACTCTGGCGAAGACGGAGATGAAAGGCGCGAGTCCTTACGGGCTTTGCCTCATCAGCTCAAGCTGATGCTGAAAGGAGCCTGAAACAGTAATTGGCGAGAGGGTCTTTCAATAAGCAAAGGCCACCAACGCCAGGCCACTTGTGCCGTCTGAAGGTAGGCATGTAGGTCTCCTCCCAAGGAAGGTAGGTCGAATGATCGTAGCTAGAAGGGCGTCTTTCCCTTGTAAGCGTTTATTCATTCATTGATTCACGATGACTCGCGAGGAAGGCGAGATTAGATGCGACTTCCTGATTGGGAATATCTGCCCGTCCTTTATGCGGGACTCTCTGGGATTTTGGCACCAACAAGTCTATACTGCACTGCTGCCCTGTCTCACATCAAATTCAACCTTTTACCGTATCTCGAACCGATAGTTATCACTTTCCATGAAAGACAGCCTCAATCTCGTTTCATTCCACATTTACTCTTCATAGTCATCATTTTCTCTGCTGCCCTTAATTAAGCCCGGCAAACACCGAGGTCGGCGTTGGGTGTGCCAAACCGAGTGGACGGTAGTTAGCGACTCCTGTCCAATTTGATTAGTTTAGGCTATTGAAAGGGTCGCGCTCACACGAAGAGAGGGCAGAGACACAGAGAGAGTGGCACTCCATCAGAGGGAAGCACTTTCAGCTTTGCTCGAGGAACGCCCTATACTTCCCTGTCGGCGCATACTCACGCGTCACTCTACGGCACTGAACCCCTCCAGTATTCTACGCCCAGTCTCTTGGAGCAAGGCAGTGTGGAGAGAGGCTTTTCATTCACTTTGTTCTCGCCTCTGTCGTCACTTTTAGTTTGTCGGCTTCCACATTACCACTTTTCCTTTCTACTCCCGAGTCGAAAATCGATTCCTGTCTCGACTACAAAATACTCAAACAACCACTCACACGCTCGGAATTTCTTCCATTATATTTTCGCAATCTGTCCGTGTCGGAAAAATCCATCATTTGAGTTTGCGGACGCTTAGTGTTAATTTTAACAAGTCAAGCGTGCCGGTACTCTGCGAGGTGCTCATCCCCGTGTTGAAACCTTCACGGTGTTAATGGGGTTTCAGCAAGACGCTTCTACAACAGCTTTCTTACAAGATTATCCTGCTCAATCCTTGCCGTATTCACCTGCATCAAAGGAACAGCAATTTGTCTATACATTTGGTATCCCAGGAGCATTTCAGCCAGCCTTTTGGCCGGTTTCTTTGGTACCGCCAGTCGTTTCTCCTGTCGTCCTCCCTTTCAATCAGTCTCTGGGTTTACTTCCACAAGCGCAGGATCCTTATCGACGCACGACTCTAATAGATCCACAAAACCAATATCGGACAACCGCACGTGGAACACCCAGGGCTCAGTCCCATCTGACATCAGACACTGCTTTACGCAGAGGTGGCCAGGCTCCAGGGCCACCGCGGTATCGATCTGACATCCATGGGAATACTAGCGGCTCAGGTTCTGAGAACGGCGGTAGATCTTTTATAACAGAGACCCAGACTGCAGCCATGCCCCAATTAAGACGCGAAAACCTCCCCAGTGCCTTGCCTACAAGGCCGGCGTTGTCGTCGCATCAATCGAATTCCCTCCCATCCACGCCGCAGCAGCGAGCTCGCAAGCTCTCCTTTGGCTCAAGGTCACCGTCACCAAATGATGGCAACCACAGCCACTCGCCAAGATCTGCATATTCCGAATCCAATAGTACGCTTCCCCCGCTTCGAAGGCCGCCACCAACAGGCTGCAGATTTGAGACAGGAATGGCATACTTTAGAAGGAGAATACCTTACTCAATTGGTGGAGACACACTAGAACCAGCCAAGGAGACGCCCAAAGCGCGTTTAAGTGAGGAAGAGGAGAAGAAACTGAGCGGCGACATGAGGGAACTCTATGACCGATTATTACCGTCAAACGAGAGCGATGAGCGAAGATCTAAATTTGTCCGAAAGCTGGATCAGCTGCTGAATAACAAATGGCCCGGGAGCAATATCAGGGTCCACGTTTTTGGGTCTTCTGGTAATCTCCTTTGTACGAGCGAGTCGGATGGTAAGTATGGATCACCACGATTATGAGTAAATGTAGCTAATCGTATCCAGTCGATATATGTATAACGACCACAATGAAGGAACTTGAAAGAGTTTGTTTACTAGCAAATGCTCTGGCTGAACGTATGAATTTCCCAACCTTATGAAATCAAAGCGGCATTTCTCACAATTGATTCAGATGGTATGGAACGGGTCATCTGTATACCCACTGCAAAAGTACCGATAGTGAAGTTTTGGGACCCCGAACTTCGCCTAGCCTGCGACATGAACGTGAATAACACGTCGGCGCTGGAGAATACTCGAATGGTCAAGACTTATGTGCAGATTGATGAACGGGTTCGGCCGTTAGCAATGATCATCAAACATTGGACCAAGACGAGGATTTTGAATGATGCTGGTAGGTGCTATAGCATCTCTTCGGCATGTCTAGCATAAATGGCTAATTTTGACATAGGTCTTGGCGGCACACTCAGCTCCTACACGTGGATATGTATGATCATAAATTTCCTCCAAACTCGAGATCCTCCGATTCTTCCAGCGCTTCATCAGTTGCCCCATCGAAAGCGTCCGGCTGTCCCTGGAAAGGAATCGGCGTTCGCTGACGACATTGACTCCCTACGTGGATTCGGAAAAAATAACCACGAGACGCTTGGAGAGTTGCTCTTCCATTTCTTTCGCCGCCACGGGCATGAATTGGACTATGAGAAATCAGTAATTTCTGTTCGGCTCGGGAAATTGCTCACAAAGGAAGAAAAAGGGTGGCAACTACTTCTCAATAATCGGCTCTGTGTTGAGGAACCTTTCAACATCTCCAGGAATTTGGGTAATACTGCCGATGATACGTCCTTCCGAGGCGTCCACATCGAACTGAGAAGGGCATTTGACCTCATCGCCGATGGGGCCAAACTCAGGGAATGTTGTGATCAATTTGTATTTCCTGCTGAAGAGGAGCGAGTATGGGAAAAGCCACCCTCTCAACCTCGGCCGGCCGTCCTGACCCGAAGTCACTCGCAATCTGGTGGGCGCAGCGGAAGAGCTCAGTTTACAAATTCACGAGGACATCGACATCCAAACAATACATATTCTCGCGGCCAGCAAGGAGGACGACGATCTTCCAGTGCCACTGCATACGGAAATGCTAATTTGAATAATTTCCATGGGCCCCAACCTGGGATTCCGAGTCATCAGTATTTCCTCTCACCACAAGCGCAGAATCAACTGCACGACCAATTATTTCAACGCTATCAGCTGCTTCAAGTCCAGGAGAGCGAGCTGAGGTTCCAGCTGATGCAGCAAGCTCAGGCCCAGGCTCAAGCCCAAGCAAGCGCGTATGCCCAAGCGCACTCCAGAGGGCAGCCTTCTTTGGACACTCAAGCTAATTTGAATGGGCGTCGCTCAAGCTCCCAAGAGGAACCTCCACTGCCCAGCCAGCTTGGATCCGATCTATTCTTACACCCTCTGCAATTCGGGCCATTGCCCCATGCAACCCAAACCACCCCCCAGACGAATCCGGCTTCTCCAGCAGCACCAATTGCGGTGCCAGAATTGCGGCGGAGTTTGCAACGTTCACCTGGCCAAGAGGGTTTTGCGACCGCATCTTTGAGATCTCACTCCCAACCTGCTAGACCGATTACTACTCTGAACGGATTTGTTCCTACGCCATTTATCGTCCCCAGCATGGGTGGCTTTCAAGCAATGCAACACAGCCAAAGCCTTCCGGCGACGAGTCCTATGCACGGTGGCGACAATATACTTTATGAATCTAGTCAACGGTCTCTAGCTGAGGATCTACCGCACGAGGACGACTTGCGAAAGGAATATATCGGATACTATTTGGGTGGTTCCCCGGTTGCTCCATCTTCTCAAGTTGTGCCCGTCCAAGGTGTTTACCCGTTTGGGGAAATCTGCTCTCGAGATGGGAGAGATACTCAAATCATCGCTGCACCTTTTGGGCATTTCCAAGAGTCTTCCAGATCACCTTCGCCCCTAACCCATCGGAGAAGTCTCTCCATCGATCAACAAAGGTTGACCACTTCAACGTTCCCAAATTTGAAAAGGTCATTGGCTACAGCGCGGGCTATTGATACCAGTGGGCCATTAGTCGTCAATGGCTCGAATTACGCGCCACCTACGATAGATAAGGAGCATCACGGCGTGCAAGCAAGCGGGAATACTTCGGCATCAGAGGATCACAGCTACGACACGTCGGCGACTATGTCGGACACGCAATCCTCAGATGCAATTCCGGAGGGCGATTATTCCGAGCTGTCACAGCAGCTTCATGCTCAAAGGTTATTGGAGCTTCACAATCAGGCTCAGAAGCCAGCTCATGACTCGGGCTCACGGATCAATGGAGTTTCCAGCCAACAGGTTAGCCCTCCGGATGTTCCAGCGACCAAATCTTCTAGCCAAAATGCACAGACATCCAATCGCTCTGCGTCAAAGTCAGGTCTCGCAAATGGCGTCGAAGAGGAGTGTAAGGTACACCGACCTCCTCCAAAGGAGAAAGGTTTACGCGCTGAAAATATCCGTTCAGGAGCGCTCTCCTCCGAAGCTCTTCGAACAAATGCAAAAGGCTACCATGACCCGGCCTTGGCCCCCACCTTGTCTCCAGTGCGCGAATCTAGGACACCTTCTCCCACAGTAAGTCGGAAAAATGAACCTACAACCGGTGGGGGAAAGCGGTCCAAGTCACCAAGCCGTGACATTCAAGGTGCATTTCTCAAAGCTCAGCAAAAAGCGGCTGCTGTGGCAAATAAACATTCGCATGTGGATCACCGAGAGAAAGCATCCGGAGCGAACTCTGTGAATTCCCATGGAAAGGATCGGCATGGAGTTAATACCGCATCAAATGGCTGGCAGCAGCCTGCTAGAAAGGGCAACAAAAAGGGAGGCAAGTCGCATGGAGCACCAAAGAACTCTGACTCCATGAAGGATCGCAGGGAGCCACTTCCAGTCAATGAGTCAGAGCGGAAAGGTGGCTAAAGGTTTCTGCGTCGAGAAGCTAGAATAAGGATTCAGTCGAATATACGCTCTTCCGAATTGTCTCAATATGGAAGCCAACTTCATTCGACTTTCTCGTCACGCATCCGGCTCCATGCCTGGAAGACAATGTGGAAGGCGGCAAATGCTGCAGTTTTCAGTTCGGTCATTCCATTTGGGTCGTTGACCGAAGCATTTACTTAAAGACAAATTTCTTATGGGACCGTCAAGATCTTTTGCGTTAGGGTTTGTCAATCGGTGTCGATGACGCCAGAGATGTCATACTGGCTGTTTACCGGCACTACATTCACTCATCCTCGCTTTATTTTTCCTTAAAAAAACATTCCAAAATTATCCGCACAAAAGGCGTTCCAGCGTTGTTCTTCGACATAAAAATCCTCATCCTATCCGATACCATGGGAAGATCATCTTCTGCTGGAAAAACGACCGTTTTTCTTCATTGCATTATCATCTGTTCTTGTTGAACATTTTACACGCTAGTACATATGCAAACTCGGAAAAGGCGAATCATTATTGCAACAATACCTTTGAATTGCACCAGTCGAACTGATGCCAAAAACTTCTTTTTTTTTTCTCTCTTCATATCACGGATTTGCATGTTTGACATGGTTCAAGGAGTCGAGAAACGGAGTATTGCCCTTTTTTCCCCTGGGAAAGACTGTTGCATTTTCAATCATTCTGGATTCTTTATTTTTATTGTCTCTATTCACTGGATGAGGAGCAGGTCATCTTCTGGCTCATTTCTTGAAAGCATTTGATATCTGCACGTGTTGTTCCGTTTATGGTTTTTTTTTTTTTTTTTTTTCCCTACCTCAAAACTGTCGGTTGGGCATTTCTGTTCGATGCTTCTTCAATTAAGAATCATCTTTAGGGCGCAAACACCCCAAGATGTGCCCGCATTGTTTATCTAGCATTTCGATGGGTGGATGTGCTGCAATCTTGTCGAGGTCAGCATACCTTTGTCCTTTGTGTTGTTGTTCCCTGCGTCTATGGCGGTTCTCTATCAAACTTCCTAGCAGCATTGTTTATTATATGCTTCTTCCGTATTGTCTTGGCCTGCTTGACCTGCAGTTTTTCTCCCGTGGCATGTTCGACACAATTTGCGGAAGTGAATGGCAATCTATCAAGAACTGCTGTGCAGAGCCAATCACCCTCGGAGCACGCAAGAACTAGATTCACCTTCGACTTTGATTATACGACGAAGAGACGCACCATCTCTTGCATTCAGATGCCAATTTAGTAGTTGGGGCAATGACTTCATCCAACATTGGTTATGCAAGCAAAGATGGGGTTCTCTTATCTTCGCACCTTTGTTGATATATCCAACGGCTCAGGGACACATCGCATGGGATAGCGCAGAAGCAGATGGAAGCGGGGCTCAGCCGACAACGGGTGAACATTGGGCCAAGGATTGAGGGTTTTAATATTGCAAATTATGGACGGCGTTGGGTGATTCTTTTTTCATGGGCTGGTCGATACTTCATTGTCGGTATTTCACCGCCTGTCGTTTTCTTCATTTTCAATGAATTCAACTGAAATATCCTAAAACGTTCAAACATGTTCATATGGAAGGGGGGAATCAATAGACTTCTTTTTCTTCTTTTTTTTTAAATAAATAAAGCATAGCAAAACCGGATAAAAAAAAATTCTAAAAAATTGTCTAATTTGATAAATCAAGGTCCCGTTATAATCGTGGTTTCACACTTTTACGTTGTTTGTCTCTGTCTAGGGATGGTTGACATTTCGTGGCCGACACTGGACTGTAACCTGTAGGAAAGGACACAAGCGTCGTCGTCGTTTTTTGTCGTTGTCACCATATCACGCACCATATCACAGCGCAGTAGAGCAGAATAGGACAGTGTAGAACAGGATCACATCCGTTTGGCAAGATACAAGATATAACAAAGTATGAAGAGCAAATGAGAAAAGATGAGAGTAACAGAAGAGAAAACAGGAGGGGGGGGGAGAAACCAATAATAGGAACAGGCAATCCTCACGACAGAAAAAGATTTTCCTTTCTTGAAAATGAAATGAGGATCAGTAATGTTATTTAGTGGATTGGATAAAAAATAGTTGGCCAGATAGATAGATAGATAGATAGGACAGCTTCAATTCATTATATTTTGCTAAACAAATAAAGAGATAGATAGTAAACTAGATAGATAGGTCAAGTAGATAGAGTAGATTGAGTGAATAGAGTAAATAGACTAGAGCTGAGTCGCTGACTGAAGCCGAGTAAAGCCAAAGCAAAAGCAACAAAAGAAAAGGGATCAAAGAAGGGTGATGGGTGAAAAGGATGAGGGCGACAAGGGTGCAAAAGGGTCAGGACCAAAGGATAAGCAAGAAAAAACAATGGAGTAGAGGAACTCGAAGGAAGGGGAATTATAACAATTTCAGTATCAAATCCATTCAGAAGAAATACACAATACACAATATGCTTCGAAAAGCATGCCTAATTCCCATTCCATGATACGCCATAGCGCCAATTTTCGCCTATACGGAACAACAGAGAGGGGAGGGAATAGAAAAAATTGGTGAAAAGAATATAATTTAGGAAGAATAAAAGAAGAGAATAATAGAAGAGAAAGGAGAATAAAGGAAAATAAAAGAATAGAAAGAAAAAGAAAGGAAAATAAAAGGAAAATAAAAAATAAGAGACCAACACAAAGCAAAAAAAAAAAGAAAAAGAAAAAAGGAAAAAAAAAGGAAAGAAGAAGAGAACGAGGACTGAATAGCAAGCAAAATGGTAAAAAAGGAATGAAGGGAAGAGATGAAGGGATGAAGAAAGTAATCGAGCAAGCAGCTCTGCTGGAAAGAAAAAAAAAGAATGATTTGGACCAGTGCTTGCACTCCGGCACCTGGTCACCCAATCACAACATACACACAGAGAGAAAAAAAAAAAAAAAAATAAAATAAAAATAAAAATTAAAAAGAATAAGGTAAAATGAAATAAGATAAAATAAGATAAATAAAATAAGAAGAAGCCAATTAATAGATAACACGCAAAGAACGATTTGCTCTCGTGATCAGAGCACACGCCACGCAAGAGAAACAGGATTGGGGGAGGGGGGAGGGAGAGAAAAGAAGATGCTCCGCAGAATGCCAAATGTACAGCAAAAACAACCAAGGTCAGCGGACTGCAACGAGATACGAAAAAAAGTAAGACGTCATTTGACGGGATATGACAAATTTAACAAAGCGGATACGAAATATATGGCAAATGTAGATATACTAGAGCCGAACGAGAGACCCAAACGCTCATGACAAGATTTGAATCAGAAAACAAAGACTGGAGAGAAACAGACACAGAGTCAAACACTAGCGACGACCAAAAGTGATTCCAGAAATGGATGCAAGAGAGGATATTTTTCATCGATAAGATAGATATCAGACAGAAGCAAAAAAATAAAAAAACCCCCGCCCCCAAAAAATTAATCACCGGTTCCCAAGCGTGATAGCAGCAAACCCAGCAAGGAAAGAGAAAGAAAGAAACGTAGAGCTGCCAAATTGCAAGTTTCTTAGCCAAACAGCCCTTTTCGCTATATGAAAGGAAAAGAGAGAGAGAAAGAGAAAGTTGAGGAGTGCAAGTCGTAGTTTTAGGCTTTTTAAAAGCAGATGCACGCATGCATAGTAGGGTAGCATTTTCTTTTTACTGGTTAGAAGCTGGATTTATCCTCCTTTGTCCTGACGCGAGGTCGAGGTCTCTACGTTTTCTGCGGCCGCTTGCGTAGAATCTGGGCTTCCGTCTTTCCCGCCACTTTTCCCGCTTCCCGAGCTCTTGATCGAAAGTGATATCGAAATCTTCTTGGGCCCGCCCGCGGGGGAAGAAGATGACGAAGGTGAGGCAGAGCGGTCTCTGCCAGATTCAGATCCAGATCTAGCTCCAGCTCCAATCGAGGTATTGCTGTTATTCAGACTTCTCCGGCGACGCAATAAGCTTCCTCCTTCGCCCTCTCCCATACTGGGAGTCGTTCCACCGACGGCAAAACTCGCGCTCACGCTGCGAGCACTACCGCTACTTCCAATTGACGAACTACGTCGTTTTGTCTGTGACAACTTTCCTAGCTCGTCTTCTTCGTCTTCTTCACGCCTCCGTTTCTCGGAAAGGCGCTCGGGAGGAGGGGCAGTTGCAGCTGCAGCAGCGGCGGCAGATGCTGCCGCTGGTGATGGCGACGTTGAGGAGGCGGATGGCTGTTGTTCTTCTGCAGGCAGCGATGCGCTTGCGTCGGGCTCACGATCACGAGAAGTATCCATTGCTTCGCCACTCTCGTCGTCCTCTTCGTCATCCGGATAGTCCACGAGGGGTCTGACGGTTGTAGAAGAGGCACCGTTCGCTCCGCTTGTCGCGGTGGCTGAGGCGGGTGTCTCTTCTTCATCATCCGATGTGTTAAAGTAATCTTCTTCAGCGGCGTCCATTTCTTTGACGCCTTGCCAGCGCTGGCCACCATTAATATGCGCCCTGGGAGGTGGAAATTAGCATCCACAAGCTTAGAGGAAGAGCTGGGGCCAAACGAGGTGACATTACCTTGCTGAAGTCTCTGGTTCTTGCTTCCCGACAGTATTCGCCAACTCTGGTACATATCCCATCATTTGATCGTAGCGAAGAACCAGACCTTGGAACGTGTCAACGTAGGTTATTTCCTCCAGTCTATCCCGATAATTATCAACAAGATGCGTTATTATTTGTTTATTGTTTTCCTGAGAGGAGGATAAGTAACATAGTCAGCTGATAAAGATGGTGCATCAAATACCCGCTTAATATACTCGAACATCTCTAGGCAGGCTGAGTTGAGGAGATTGTCTCGAGGCATTGTCTCGAAAACGATATTGAGTATAGGTTCAAAAAGGTGATGTTGGATGAGCTGTCGATTGTAATATTCATCTCCAAGTCCGATGCAAGTGCGAAAAAATTTCAACGCCACTAAAGACCGTCAGTATCGAAGAAGGCCACTATTTGTCCAGTAGGCTTCGCTCACTTAATTTCAAATGCTTCTCTGGAGCAGCCAGAAGCTGTGCTACACGAGATGTAAGACCCTCAGACAAAATGAAATATTTACTCCGGAACATATGCTGTCTAATGAAAAAGCATAAAATTTCAACAAGATGGGAAAAGAGTGACACTTCTTGAATGCTAAAATTGCGCACTGAGATTCAGGCGCCGTTAGTACAGTTCACGATTGAAGGCCGAAATGTGGGCACCCACTTGATTCTCGATGTTCAAGGTTCTTCAGAGGCTGGAACAGTTTCTTTGCCGACTCGTCGTAAAAACTTTGGATGAAAGATTCGGTTTGGGGGTTTGTCGGAGCGCCCCCACGCATTTTAGAGAGAAACTCGCTCCCTGCCCTGCCAAGGCCTTCGGCCCCTGGTGGGCTCGACTGAGGATCTAGTAGGATTTTGATGGCGTCGGCGATCTGTGATTTGACTCCTAGATCAACTTCAACAAGTAACAGCTCAATGAGTGTGTCTGTCAAAGGTGTCGATTTTTCATTGATGGCTCGAAAGATGTGCGCTCGAACCATGGCAGGGTCATGGTCAATCATTGCGACTAAAACGTCGGTACCGGCTATTCGCACTAGGGTATCCTCGTGTCGTAGTGAAAAGTTGATGACCGGAAAGAGCCCTCCTTCAATAAAGTGTTGATAGAGCTGGCTTCTCGCTGGGGCTTGGAGGTTTTTGGCGATTGCGCAACATTGCTGAATGAACTGGACACCGTGCTTTTTTCGTTGCTGGTTCTTCTCCTGCGGACTGAAAACGGAAAAGAGCTCTTTCAGGAATGGGCCATTCGCTTGCAAATGTTGCACAATGTCGACCTGATTGAAAAAGATGAGGGAATTGAGGACGGAGAATGTGGGGTCGTCAAGTATGCGGGCAAGGACGACATCCTTCAGGTACTGCAGCCGATAGGTGTGATGGATCTTCTTCTTGATGACTGGATCGTCAATGGGCACGACTTCTTTAAATTTCGATTCGTCAGACAGATACTGTCGGTGGTTCGCTTTATGGGTCGGAAAATCGGGATCGTCTGCCGCGGAGTCAGCCAAGCCATGAATGAGGACTCAGAACGAGGCGGAGGTTGCTTACATTCCAAAGCGCCAACCACACCGAGAACCATTTCGTCCGTCACGACCGATTCAATAATCGCCGTATCGTTGAGCAGGATCAAAGTTTTCATAATGTTGCAGAGGCGGTGCAGGTCAGTTAAGCTCTCCAGATCTTCGGCAACAGATACAAGAGGGAGCAGCTTTGTAATGTAATCTTCGGCGATGATAAATTTTGACAGCGAGTCACGACCTGGCGTAGTACTGCTTGCAGCTCGCATGATTTGCTCAATTTCTGGCAGGTTACCAAGCTCGGGCGATGGTAATGTCACAGGTTGTGCGAAGCCGTCAACGGCATCATCAGAAAGCGCATCATCTGTGTTAAAGGGTCGTCAGCAACGACGTCTGCGGAAGAGGAGCTTTGGTCATTTGTCCAGCGACTGGCGACTTACCAGGTCCAGCCAAAGCAATCAGCTGCTGCTGCACATGGCTTACAAAATCCCTGCATTGATAACATATGTTAGTACAGAAATTGATATCCCCGATCGAAGATGCTTTCAAAGTGGAAATGATGAAGAGAAGCCATATGAATGACTAACCAAATAGTTGCGCATCCCTCTGCTTCTTGAAAACTCAGAGCCATGTCCGTTCCATTGGCTTCCGTCCAGACGATCAAGGTGTCTATCGATTCTTTTAGTAAAGGTCCAGCTCAAATGTCGCCATATCGCAATAACCTTGTTGTTTCTGGTAGCCATCATCCTTTGCTATTCTCGTCTCCAAAAGCATTCGGTCTGGTTCGTCTTCCGATTCAACGTAAATGCGAGGTTCATCCTGCTCACGCGACAGTATCAATCAGCAAGTGCGACTAAATTGATAAAAGCGCCGACAAAAGTGCAGCTAGACGTGAGCACATCCCGAGAGATCAGCATGGGGATTGTAGACGGACATTAATAATTTGGCCAGTGCAGAAGCCTGTGCCTCTGTCAAACCAATCATTGTTCTTCAGCTCATAGACCTTGACTCGCTTGCGGTCATTTGCCGGCGGCACAACAAGGGCCATCTTGGGGTTGAAGAGGGCTGCGTCCAGCGGCCGGAATAGCGCTCGACCTCTGTAAGGCGAATGCCAACTTCAGGTCGGGATTTGAGGGCTAGCCGCCCGCGTGGCCGAGGTGCCGGAAGGAAGAGCCAAGGTATACGTCAATGTCGACACCTCGGCGTCGCGCAGAAATCAAATTTGCGGTGTTTGCCGCGCAGAGTGACACGCAGGTGCAAGAAAACGGATCGGTCAATTGACGCGAAATGGAATCGATGTCCGAAGAGCCGTCCAGCGGTGCCGATAGGTTGGTGTTGCCGGTGATGGAATCGCGTTGCGCGCGACACAAATGCAAGAGTTGCTGTAGTGTGGGTGCGGATGAGGCTCAGGGGAACTAAGCCTCAAAGTGTGGCTCAAGCTATGGCCCGGGCGGGGAGGAGGGAAGCTTGGGGAAGTTGGAGGAACGTGACTGGATCTTTCTTTTTTTTCTCGCTCGGGGCAAGACGTCAGAGGTAGGGCCAAAGTTGGGACAAGGGACTGATTGATGGGTGAGGCCGCAGTCAGATCGGGTCAGGTATGGTGCGGCGAAAAGGACCGATGGAAGCTTTGATTCTAGGAGCAAAAGTAAAGATAAGATGACGCGATCTAGCGTTCTGTAGGCAGGCAACACTTGACAAGATGCCTTTTCTTTTTTGGGGGGGGGAAAGGACGGCCAACAGGTGGTTGCTTCTTTTGGGTCGGGTACTCCGGTACTTCAGCAGTCAGCAAGTTTTAGCTTGGCGGGCGGTGGGGATTTCCGTCACTACCTTAAGCTTTTCCCTTCTTTTTTCGGTCCCAAGGGAAAACTCGTGGCTTCGGCCCATGAGCCAATCAAGCGAGATTCTAGTTCGGCACTGACTCATGACGTTCCGGTATATCGTCTTATCATACCGCAAATCAACATCCTCAAATCGTCGTGTTTTTTTTATCTTGATAGCAGTCTTTCCCAATGTCAATTGGCATTTTATACACATGTAACAGTGTAAATGAGAAATTTTCTCAAAGCTATGCTCTCGCATTAAACGACTCGCACGTCCGCAAAGAGAAACTCGAATGATGGCACATAGTATCTGATAGGCCGCGTTTTCAGACTGGTTGGTAACTTTCGTGCAAACCCAGCATTGTTTTCTTGCTCATGATTTTGCAGTTCGTTCTGGAGCCTACAATCACTATCCTTCATTGTTTAATCGATAATATTGACTGATGGCGGGCTGCCACGAGTTTATTAAAGGAATTCTCGGGCCCATTGGCCAACATGGCAAAATACCTAGAGAGTGACATCTTCTCCACGTATCAATCATCTTTGCTTGTGGTAATAGACCTCATTACCCCCCTTTCAAGGCAGGCCTTAATAAGATGAACCTTGGATTTATGTAAATTCTTTTTTCGCCTTTTCTGGCCCTGACGATGTCCATCCCCCGTCTCTCTTATGCACAACCCCTACCAAACCGATCGTGAACGTCATTTGGGTGGAAAAGGTGCCCTCAAACTGCCACGATAAATGCAATGTTATATGCATTCATCACCGCAATCACGTGAACTAGATATACTAAAGATTGTTCCTAGCTGCAGGCCTCAAAGTAGCCAATGTGGCAGCTACCCCGCTCAATCGATAATATTTACGAAAAGTAATATTTTTTCTGTTTTCCTACCCCGGGAGACTGTAATTAGAAATGTTAAGAGCGGCCCTGCCTGCAGTTGCATGACTGCGGAGCTCAGGGTGAGATCCTTACTATACCGAACTCCTTTCATTGACTTTGCGATGAAGAGCCAGATGTTTAGGAGCCGACCATGTTATTGCACGAATCATTTCTTGGGTATGTCAAGTGGATAGCAATATGATGGAACGGTTTCGATCATTTCTCGAACCCGAGCACCGAGAGGATTCATCACAATATCCCCAAACGGCTGTCGGCTCGGCGCGCCTTTGGTCGAACACTGAGAAGCCATGTGTGATCCTATAGGACAAGGCTCCAGAATTGCGCGGCTGGACAACGCCACCATAATTGGGTGGATAACGGACCCTAGGGTCCGCACATCCCTTATTCGCATTTGGCGGTTACCATGGGAGGTCCCATGTTGTTTTTGGAGGGAGACATCAGAAGGATGAGATATCAAAATCAGGTTATAATCTATAATCTCAGCGGCATAAGGCTTCTGCAGGGAGAGGTTTCGAGTTCGCCAATTGACGTGCTCCAGCGCTGGACAGGGCCGTCGAAACTCGGCTACGCTTTGCTTTTCAGGGCCAAGAACGGCCATGACACCTCCCAAAGAGGAAATGAACGTCGGGACCAGGAACAGAACCACCGCGGGGGCTCCTAGCCTTCCAGTGTTTTAGTCTCCCCAGATCAATTGATGGTGCGCAACGATGGAAAGCTCAGTTCAGCCAACGACGAAGTGGGCGCTGGCACCGCACACACTAGCAAGAAAACACTTTGTAAAGCTTCCGCGCAGTTAGACGCAAAATACTGTTCTATCTCTACGACTTGGACTTAAATAGTGACGCCACTGCGGCTACGCTCCTTCTAAGCTATCGCCTTCTTTATGAATGAAACGGGGAAGGTAGCGAGAAAAGAATATCATGGATAGCGGCAAACGCCATGATCCGCCTATTATGACCTTGCGTATCAACTCTCCCCTATCCTTGTCCATGGCAATATGCCAATATGCAAATCTGATGTGCTTCTGTCAGTGGGTGCGAGCTGGGTTTGGATCGAGGACCCGCATCAATCTGCCCATTGATCCCTCTACCTGTCGATCATTGGACAGGGAAAGCGTCCCAGAGAGCGTGGAGACAGACTTGGCAATAATGCCACGCTTTCCCATACCTGTAGCGTGCAACAAGGGAGTAATCATACATGAACCTATTGTTGTACTTATCTAACCAGAAGGCCATGCAACCTTCTGCAGCACATGCGCTTTTCGCTGCACGGAGTAAGAGAGGGCCGGATGAGCGGTGATGCGCCCTCTGTCGTCACTGGAGACGGAGTCGGAATGATATGTCTCCAGAGGACTACGGAGACATTGGCTTCCTACCTATGAAGAGACATCGCACCTGGTGGAATGGCGAGTGCCGATGTCGATTCCGTTGTGGCGGATGCTTGGCAATAATGTGTCTCAGGCACCGACAACGCATCGAAAACGTGCATGGCTGTCGTGGTATGGTCTGCTTCTCTCTCTCTCTCTCTCTCTCTCTCTCTCTCTCTTTCACCATCCAAGTACAATGATACGTAAGACATGTCACCGCGAGCAGATAGGATAAAAGGTGGGCCTGAACTTGACCTCCAATGAGAAGTTGAATGTCCATGCCTATGGCTTCAATGGCTTAAGAGCGGGCTGGCTGGGGCAAGCCAGGAAGCGCTACACGAACAACTTGATCGCTTAACGTGTGAATAGCCACTCTCCTGTCATGGGCAGAATACGGCAGTACAAATCAGTACTCGTAGTGTCGAGCTGGACTTGGTCTGCTTTGGTTCGCTGACCTGCTTTCCTGGGCGAGAATCCAGTAAAGAACCAGTGCGTTCTTAAGCCAGCAGATAGTCTTCGACCGGGGTCGTTACTTTGTGGGCCGAATTAGGTCGTTCTGGCTTAAATGGATCGTTGTTAAGCGACCGTCAAGGTTAAGAAGGCTCGGAGAGAGGAACTTTGGGGGATAGACCCACCAAATAGTCTCGGCTGGACGAAATATTGTTGGGCGACGCCTCTCGTGGCGTCTTTGGGCAAAGTGCTTGCTTTCCCAATTGGGTTCTCGCAAGCAAAGCTGTCGGATGTGGTGACACGGCACATTGAACGATGCTTCCAACGGGCACTGCTCCCTGTCCTTTCTCTGCTGGCTAAGGACATGTGGGACGAGCTAATCTGTCCGGGGCTGTTTCTCGATGCTGTTTCCCAAAAATATGCTGACCACTATCATACCGCCCCAGTATGCCCTAGCTCATGGCATGGCGATGCTACTACTGCGTATGCCGTGCATCCCAGCATCGTCTGGATTCGGTCATGTAATGGCCAAGGCTGAACTGATCGGGCGCGCTCATCCTTAGATTGGTTTACTCGCAGTTCTCTACGTTCTCGCCCTCGCTCATCTCTCTATATCTTCCACACCGTCCGCCTCCATTGAAGCTCTCTTTCTTCCCCCCCTCGTTCCTCTGGCAATCCCTTGACTTTCGTGTTGCAAACCTTCCATTACGCACGTGGTTGCTAGACAAATATTGTGCTACTTTACAGAGACTTTCACGTTTCTGCCACCTCAGCCCATTGGCAGTCCAATTCTTGCTCGGGTGAAAACTAGGACCGGTACCATTAGCCGTCCCAATTGCCGTCACCAGGTCAATTTGATTCAGAATTCAAGTTTTTCGGCAACATAAAAGCAGCTTCGGTCATCGCTCCGCTCTCAACTGTAATCTGCTCGGACACTTTGATCCAAGCACAAGTCATCATACTATACAGCAAACATGTCAATCTTCTCCAAGCTCAGCAGTGCCAAGAAGGCCGCCGAGAAGCACAAGAGCGCTCAGCAAGCTCATGAGAAGGCTGAGACCACGGCACCCGCTCCTTACAAGCATATTATTACTCATGCTGCAGTTGATGCACTTTCGGGTGCTCCTTCGAGCTGGAAGAATGAGGACCGTCAGTTGATTCGTGAGCATCACCGCCGACGCAGTGCCATGATTCGCAACAACAGCGGCCTCTCCTCGGTTTCAACCCTGCCGCGCACTAGCAGTTACCACGGCTCTGCTTGGAATTACAGACCCAGTGACTCTACCAAGCTTCTCAAGGTGCCTTCGGAGCAAGGCATGGCTCGTAGTCCTGTCACTAGCACTGGTAAATTAACATCCCGTGCAAATACGACTTGAAGAGTGTTGCTAAAATGTTCTTTTAGATATTTCTCCCATTGCTAGCTCAAGCCAGTCCACCACTTCTGATTCATCTTCGAGTAAGTATTGCGAGATCTCCCGTGAGACTACAACCTTTCTAACGGAACCCTTCCTAGGCCTTGAAATACAGGGCGAGGTCCATTTTCCGGAGCAAAATGTGCTCAATCAGCTTCACAAAAGCACTTACCGTAAGGTCGGTGAGGCCCCGCTCTACGATGCTCCTCCTCCGCGCCCCAAGGCTCAGACGAATGTGAGCGTTACGCCAATCGAGAATAAGAAGCGATGGCGATTCAGCAAATCGGGCCCAGCACCCGTTGCAGCGGCATCTTAGATGCCCCGGGAAATCCTTTCCTTGCTTTTTTACCTTGATTTAAATTTTTACCTCATTTTGGACCAGCGTCGTATGGGTTTTGGAATATGTGGGAGCGACAAACACGCACTCCTCTGCTGAGTTTCAGGCAAAGCGATTGAGCATATGCGCACATTTGCGACGAAACACCTTTTATTCCTTTTTCTTTTCTGGAGCGTTGGGGTGCCATTGGATGATTATTTTTATTTCTTTATTTTTTTTATTAATTGAAGCCTTGTGGTTTCATTCTATTTTCAATTTCTCCGAGTCTCATCAACGCTGTGTAATTTGATCTGAGACATGTCAACTGTTTTCATAGGCTCGCTAAAATACTTCATCGAATTTATAATGAGTACCCGGTGGGAAAGGATATGCTTTCATTAATTTTTTCTCGTTTTGATAGTATGATCCTTCTTATGTTTTTTGTAGAATCTCCCGTCGCAGCAACAATTACAAGACCGCCTAATTTAATTGTCGATCACTGGGGTTGCCGACCACGGTTGGACTGATCAGCGATCGTTCCGAGTTAACTGTCGATCACTCCCACAACGGCTCCATCTTCACATCATTCGGCCCCCAAGAGCAGCCGCAGCAAGGGACAAGACGGCAAGGGACATGCACTCAAGAACCGGGTGGTAACGCCTTGGTCCTTTTCTTTTCCGAGCAGAGAAACTTTAACTCTCGTATTTTCTCCGTGTTGAGTCCGCGAAAACAAGCTGTGAAGCTCGCTTGACATCCCGAATCCATCATAGGCCGTTTTTAGAACTTCCACTGGTTGACACGGTCTCAACAAGGGACTGGGAGGGTAAGAAAGCCACAACCCACCAATGTGGTTCCCCAAAGCCCCGTATCCGACTAAGACGACCGCTGGTGTCCTCCAGCTGCTCGTGAGAAAAATGTGGGACAGTCAACACGTGTTGATTGCAAAAGGTTCCAAATCGCACGCTGGGGTTCCTGGAGCAGCTTCTTGGCCTCTTTCTTCTGCTTTACTAAACGTGGCAAGACCTGAATTGGGGCCAGACCTTGGAAAGAGCATATCTCGGGTTGGTATTCATTATTGACCAAGGAAGAAGAAGTGCACTGCATAGGTCAGTATCTGCTGTGTCCAGCGTTATTTCATCGACAACAATTCCGAACTACGGGACCGCTACTTCCCGTGTATGCTACGGAGCATACTGGTGCAGGTCCGCCTTTTCTGCGGTTGTATCAGAATGTCTCAGGCGGATGGGATACCTGAGTGCAACGCCAAGGAGCTATTTTCGTCTTTCTTTCTGCCTGCGAGTCATGCAGGACGGGCAAGGGTGGGCGAGCAAAATGCAGGATCCTCTTGACTGAATGGTGACAGGCTTACTATGTGCTAATGGCTTCCATACATGACGTTGCAATCATGTATAATGATTGCGTGTTATCGGCTTTACGTCGAGAAGTATTTGTGTCACACATGTCAAAACCGTGACGGTCAGTCAGATACCAGCTCCTTGTCGCCGATCGCTTGGATAAATACGCCGTGATTGATTCGGTTGTCTGTCAACTCACCAAATGTCCCTTGCGACATGCAATTTGTCATCATTCTTCCGGAGCAGATACGCTGCAAAGTGTTGCGATCCTGCAGTCAGTGCTTCTCTTGGTGACTAAACACGGCACAAGACGGAGATTCAGCGAGCCAGTCATATCTAGATTTACCTGTCTTTGCAGAATGAAAGGAACGGCGGTCACGGTGTAGGTTTTCCAGACCGAGGTGACTCTCGATCTCCCCGGACCCCACAACCCTCTTCATATTTGCGCAACAATAAGCTAGGCTCCAGATTCTAGCACGATATGCATTGTACTACTAATGATTCCAGGCAAATCACTCTCAAGCTTTTCTAGCTTTAGTTTGCCAACGAAAAAGAAATCCGGAGCTATTGCTCTCTTTCTGGTACTCACTTTCCGGTCTTCTTTCTCGTTGGCACATTATCCAGCTCCGCATTTTTTCAGTACCAGGCAAATCATATCGACTGATGGTTGAGTCGTAATTTTAGACGTGGCAACTAAGGTAGCTAAGCAGAAATCTTGTGGGCTGAGTCAACTTTATTGACTGCTTTCACTATGCCATCGTCCTCAAGTACACACGTATTATCTCAATGCTCAGTAGGTGTAGCCCCTCGTGGGGAGTGTTGATGACGGCAAAAGCAACATTTCAAATCTAGGTCAATCGCGTGGGGAGACGTCAATGCAGCTCGTGGATGCTGAGACGGGATGGGCAGAATATGGTGGAGCTGCGGCAGACGCATATGGCTGGGTTCTACTGTACTATGTGGACGATGGGTGTCCCGGAAGGAATATCATGATGACCAATGGACTAAAAACATATATGTTTCCTGCACGATGATTCTCAGACTTGAATATGTCCTCTGTTAGGTGGCTCATCTATCTCGTCCAATTAGGCTTCGAACCCAGCTTCATGTTACTCGGTCTGACAAAATAAGTAGTTCCTCCATCATTCGGTTCCACAATTACGGCGGAAGATGGTGGCGTGCACAAAGACGGCTGATCTACAGCACAGAAAAATGTGGCTGATGATAATCCACAAAATCCGGAGCGGGATCGCCCCGGAATGATGCCGAACATAGTCAGGCCGGATGCTGGCCTTCCGGAGACCCGTTAAGGCCTCAATCTGTTAACCACCCTGACGCCTATCTTAAACCATCGGTTACCCCGGCAGGTTATTATACAGCTCCAACTTCAATCGATGAATTTACCCTTTACTCCATTGTCCATGCCGTCCTACATCGCGTGTTCCTTCCACCTTTTTGACCTCGGCCAGATGCCCTGCTCTATCTCTAAAAGCCAGGCGAGAATAAAGTCTCGCCATCTCTCTACGCGTCCCGCGCGTGGCTTATCTGAATGGATTTCCTCTGACGGCTATTGCGCCACGGCGTTACTAGACTGAGTTGAACTTGATAGGATGATGGAGTCCAACTTCCTCTACTTTTCGTTCTCATGGCACTCTGTGTAGGAATCGATTTGCACATCACCGGGCATGAGAACATCTCCGAAAGGATGGAACAGGCTTCCTAGTCTGGCCAATCATTGAAGCGGCCGTACCTCAATATTATGCAAAGCATGGAAATGATTTCAGTCTGATTGAACAGCATTTTCTGCAAATGTAGGCGCAAATCGTCTTGGCAGGCAGGGGAACAACAGCCATCTGCGCGTGCTCAGATCTCCTCATATTATTATTCACGACATGATGGTGGCAATTGCTCTCGAAAAGAATACTCTTTCTAGACGTTATTACGCAGCAAGGTTATTCCAGGGTTTACACCATAGAGCTCCCATGCTTGATCAGAATTGTTTTCTGATCTGGCAAAAGCTCGAGACAAAATGATTAGAATTGGCTCTGAATGGCAAGGGCAGCCCCCGGATTGACTCCTCGCGAGCTAGGGTGAGACCCAAATACGGTCGAGAGCAATTCTCTTTTGGGAAGCTCCCCGAACGATTAATGGTCTGTGCGCACTTATAGCGAAAGTTTGCAGACTATTTCGATTAGTACAGCCAGCCGGCCCACCAGGGGCAGTGAGCCTCGGGAAGTCTAGATTTTCGGTCTAGCTCGTTTAGACTCTCTTGTTGAAAATATTGCGGGGACGGCAAGGAAAACAACTTCGCGCAATCCTTGTCATGAGCGCCTATACAAAGAGTACAACCATGAAAAATAATAGGAACATGTGAAAAATTCTTTTATGTCCATTTCATGAGGCACGTGGCATTTCTTGTGGCTTGCCCCTCCCCCTCGTTCTGTGGCTAGACCGTGGTGAAACAGCACTGATGTGGGGTTTTTGCATGGTAACCACCCATTCAGAAAACTTTTCATCACACTGGCCAGCGAAGAAGTACTCTTATTACTTGAAATGCAGAACCATATCTTTGCGGTTGTATCTCCGCTTTAGACATGAATCTTGAAAGCGCGGATTGTGTAATTTTCCGAGCAGTTTTATAATTCCAGTTTCTAAGACGCTCCCATACTTTTGATGCCTCAGCCATTATCCAAAGTTTTCCGAAGGGCAATACTCTCCTGGCCACCAAACACATGACATGCCCCGAGGATGTGCCCCCTGTTTTCCCCGCCATGTGGCTTCAGCTCTGCCAGGGCTGATGTTCTCGATCTCTCAGGACCCCTGACCATGGCTGGGTAGCAAACCGACGCTGGTAGATTCGGCCAAGAATTGGGGTTGCAGGGATTTTCGAGCTTCATCGGCTTCTGGAGTGAAGCATCATTCGAATACTCTTCAGTAATATGTCCTCAGAATCCTACCAAACGTCTCTAGCAGTCTCTCCACCGCGCCGTGGAAAGTGGAATTCATCTTTACGAGGACAATCATTACTTTATTGCTTTCTTACCCGGCCTATTTCGTCACATGCAAAAACTTACTTTCTTGTTTTATTCAGAGAGGAATTTGCCATGATATATCTCCTGTTGAGCAATGCTCCTTGTGAGAATGCTTGTAACAAGAATCTACATATGTGGTTGCTATGCTGTGATGACTTATTAGTATTGATTGGCGGGCTCTTATGAGATTTATACATGAGGATCGAGGATGAGTTGGCAAGAAATGATCGGACAACGATCTACCGGGAGATTTTTCTGTACGAGGGGCAATCGAAGCCGATTAGATTGTCTATCATTCTTTTGAGTGCCTTGTTTGCAATAGTTAAGCCGTGCACTTGATCCTTTGTAACACTAGCGGGGAGTCTTATTTCATGACCTCATTCTTCGCAATGAGAGGTATTGAACCAAGCATCATGAAAAGTACTGGTTAATATTATGGATATTTGCTGCACAAAATTAATGCCTGTGATGCACAATTGCGTCTTTGCACTTGGCGATCCTGACGATACGATCGATAAGAAGGATGGTGCGATAAGCTGATAACCTTCCTTTCTGGGTTGGGATTTTCGTGGGACTCACGTGTAGTGTGGGAATTTTCTATTCGCTAATGATAAGTTAGGTCTAGATTCCCCGTCCCGCACCTGGAGATATAGCTAGAAAAGATACACACTTTTTCTTCTTATCCTCTACAAACTACTCTCTGCCAATTGGCAAATTTACCAGTGAGCGACTTCGGGAGTTTTGCGCTCACTACACAGCTACAAAGCTCCAATAAAGTAAAATAGAGCTATAGAAGAACCTTTGGGTTTCCCCGCAACGTGTGGACTATACCAGCAATGTCGTACTATGCGTCCGCTGGCAAATCCGACGGTGGTCCGGAGCCCGTGAAGACCGCCGCCGAGACTGATGCTGTCATCACTTCCAACGAAGACCACAGTGATGCCATTAGTGGCAATGGTAACGTGGGCGAGCCTCACGGCCGTCCTGAGGTTGTTGGCGTCGTGGACGAGAATGGCAACCCGGCTGGCCACACCATTGATGAAATCAAAAACGAATCAAGGGGATTGTTTGCTTATTTCAAGACTCGCGATTTCTACATTGCTTTGATTCTTGGGTATGACACCTGTTATTTCTCTTTGCGACAACAGCAGCTCTCTTTGAAAGTAATGTGGAAATTAATTCGCCGTTTCCCTCATGCAGGCAGGTCCTTTCGCTATGTATTACCAGCACAAACACATTCTCTAGTTTGCTGGCCATGAACAACAACTCTATCCCGACCTTGCAATTGCTTCTCAACTATATTTGCATGAATCTTGTCTATTCGCTTTATACCATGTATAAATATGGCATCAAGGGCTGGGCCCGCATGGTATTCCGCGACGGTTGGAAGTGTAAGTTCCAACGGGGATCCCTGGTCTAGGATGACCCAGATATCTAATCGAATATGCAAAACAGACTTTATCCTTGCCTTCATGGATGTCGAGGGTAATTACTTCACCGTTCTCGCATACCGATACACCACCATTCTTTCCGCGCAGCTTATCAACTTCTGGGCCATTGTCGTCGTTGTCGTCGTCTCCGCTCTCCTGCTCAAAGTCCGCTACCACTGGACTCAAATTATCGGTATTCTCGTTTGCTGCGGTGGTATGGGTCTGCTTATTGCCTCTGACCATATCACCGGCGCCAACGGCGGCCATGTGCCCGACCAGCTCAAAGGCGATCTGTTTGCCTTGCTGGGCGCCACCATCTACGGCCTCACCAATATTACTGAGGAGTTCCTGGTGAGCAAGCGGCCCTTGTACGAGGTGGTCGGTCAGCTGGCTTTCTGGGCTACGATCATTTGCGGTGTTCAGTCAGCCATTTTTGACCGCACCGCTTGGCGCACCGCTTCCTGGGACGGCAAAATCGGAGGCTATCTCTCCGGCTTTACCATCTGCCTTTTCATCTTTTATTCACTGGCGCCAATCATGTTCCGCGTTGCTAGTGCTGCGTTCATGAACATCTCCCTCCTCACGGCCAACTTCTGGGGCGTCATCATCGGCATCCACGTCTTCCATCTTACCATCCACTACCTCTACCCCATCGCCTTCGTCCTCATCCTCGTCGGCTTGTTCATCTACTTTATGATGATGTCGCGATTCGGTGACGCCGTCAAGCCTTGGCTCGGAAGCAACCAGGAGCGTGGCGTCAGCGGTATTGGGACTGCGAAGCGCAGAGTCGAGAAGCCTGATGCGATTGTCTAATATCGCAATTTCGCAGCTTAAATTTATAGGGGTGATTGGGATTGTCCCCAGTCCCTCCTTTCCGTTCAAAAACTCGTATAGGACGGAAGAATCGTTTTGTTGGTTCTGTTGATTTTCTTGTTTAAAATTCCCGTTTTTTCCTGAACGCTCGTTATGTCCAATGCCTGTGCTTCTTATATATATATCTAATTGGGTCTTTGGACGTTCTGGGGGGACTTTGAAGCAGAGTCCATGGCTCAATTGACTTGGTTTCCGGTACATGTTCGGGTTTTTTCATTTATATATACTTCGTTGGAACCATGTCCATAATTCGCAAATAACGACTATTTTCCTGTAATCGAGGGGTCTCAGGGATATATTATATAATTTATGAAGTCGTGATAAGGTACTAGAAAGGGTATCAATGTTTCTTCAGTAAAGAAATACATGAATAAATGGGGATATCAGACAAGAAACAAGCAGAAAAGTGAAAAACCAAAGCTGCTTTCGCCAGAGGAAATGCACCGTGGCTATGCTCCAACTCGCTTCTGATATAATAAGGACCAACAGAGAAGATTGCAATGAACCAATGATTACAATATGCGCAATGTCATCATCTGCCTCCATGTAAAGCCCACGGGCATCTCACACTCCCTGCAGAACGCTCCACGACCAACTCCCGCCTGCAGTGGGCCGGTTATACTCGTGGACATCATCGCCATTTAATTGGAAGAAGACATGCAAAGTCGAGGGCGTATCGCCGCTGGGATATGACGTTGTCGAAGTAATCTGCGTTCCTGGGAGAGCTTTGAGGTTATCCCCGACGAAAAAATTGTCGCCCCAGGACGAGGACTCAGCCTGGGCGTTGCTCTTGAGTCCAACAATGTACCCTGACGCATCTTGGAAATACACGAAATTGCTGTTGCTTAAAGAGGTGTTTGGTCGCAGGGCATAACTTGTAGCGGGACCCGCATTCCAGATTCCAGTCGGGTGACTAGTCGTGTTTGCAGTCGCGTTGACGTTAAAGTCTTTCCACCACATTTGGATCTGATTGCCGCCGTCAATATCAGTCGTCGGAGTTGCTGCATACAGGTAGGTTATCCCCGATCCGACACCGGCGCAGGCAACGCCGCCTTGTCCGTTGGCGTTGTGGAATGTATTGCCTTCTTTCCAGTCTGTTGTGCCGTATCCCCATTCGAGCTCTTGGATGGTGGTCGCGCTGCTGCCGTAGAAGAGACGTAGCCCGGCGCCAGAAATTGAAGAGGAGGAGGAAGATGAGGACGAAGGGCTGGTGCCGTAGTAGTCGTCGTTGTAGCATACCATGAGACCAACACTGGGGCCTTCTGCTGCGACGGCCTTGAGCTTGCCTACGGGACCTGTGATGTATATTTTGCTAGAGCTGTTGCGGGTGGCTTCCTGTACGATGTTGTTCGTGTCGATGTAGAAGACGTGCCACTGGTTTGGGCGGAGTAAGTATTGAAGAAAAAGAGATAGAGGAAACGGGGAAACAATATCGGAAAAGAAAAAAGGAGGTGAAGAACTAAAGGATTGTATAGAGGTATTATGCAAGTAGGGCCGTGGGAATAATTGAGGTTTGGAAAGGAGAAATAAACGTACGGTAAGGGTATTGTTTTTGTTGTATGAGATGGCTGTTAAAGAAGTTCCATTCCTGGCATTTGACGGCACGACAATTTCTGCGTCTTGCCCAGCTGATGCGTTGTTCTGCAGGATGAGGTTGCGGATTTCTCCAGTGTAATGCTGATAGAAAAGATCAATGCCCACGTCCGAGTCACCAAGATCAAGCACAGTAAAGCCGCTGCCGTTGAATGCGCCGTCGTGGGAAAAGATTGTCGGCGTCGGTGTTATAGTAGCTGTGCTGGACGCAGAGGCAGATTTGTTGCTCGAGTGCGTTGGAGTGGCCGCTTGTGTTACTGTTGATGCTGTTGGAGACTGGGAATTTGCTCTGGAAGAAGGTGCGCGTAAGTTTCCTTGTAGTTGTATCGAGATATCCGCCAACAGGGAGTTCTCTGTTAAAAAGTGAGTGCTTACTTTGATGAGGGATGTTTCCGACTAAGTACAATCCCTAGTACAACCCCAACCGCTATCAGGACAATAAGGACTGTCACAGCCAGAATCCACCATTTTAGACGTCGACGTCGAGTGTCTGGTTCTGGCTCTAGGACCTCCTGATGTATTACCTCCTTCCCTGCTTCGCCTAGACGAAGTTGTAATAAAGGAGTGCTAGGCAAATGTTCCGATGGTACTACTTCCACTCCAGGATGCACTGGAACTGCTTCGATTCCGTGGCCGACTGGAACAACTTCCAGACCCTCGAACCAGTTGGTTGTCGAATCCCTGGATGGCGCTGGCGTAGATTCAGAACTTGGTGGAAGAGGTTTGGAGTCCTTGCCGAAGATGCGCATGCTGAGAAGCGCATAGACTGAATGCTAGCTCAATATAGGAAAGACTTATATTCAAAATCTGGTCGTTCTTTGAGATTTTGCGTACTATGAGAAACTTCGAAAAGTCGAGAACATGAGCATCGAGTATGGTCCAGATTTGAAAGTGAAGTTCCCTAGAAAATTGATGCCGATACTAAGGGTTTGACGACTTGTTGAGGTAGATTAATGCCGAGATCTTTTATTTGGAACGAAGCAATGTCATAGGATGATCATGCAACCAGGCAGAAACGATGGCACAGCCACGCCTGGAGTCAGAATAAAGCAAGGCGGGAAGAAAGTATGTGATCCTTGTAGTGACATGAAGCAAATGAAAAACAGTAATGGAGAAAAAGACAGGTCTTGCACCCCAAAATTCAAACAGAGTTAATTATTATCAAAAATGTCCATTTGCATGGCGATCAGATTCCATGGGACTGGAGGTGATATGCAGTGTATGACAGGGACAGAAAATTTCAGAAAGAAGAAGAAAACGTGGGAAGACAAAGAGCAAGAAAATGCTCGCGGGGCCCGCTGCGGCTTCTGAAACAGGAAGTTCCCTCTTCAAAGTGGAGTGGAGAGGTAAAAGTATATCCACATCCCCTCGGCCATGGTTCATGGTCATTTTGTATGCAATGGTTCGCTAGCAAGCTGGAGTGATTGGGCAAACGTCCGTTGTATCCAAGGGACGCCTGACAAGGCGCCTACCATAACTCATGCAAGGGTATGGAAAAGATCCGAAATTAGATGGCTGTGCCGCATTGAACTCTGGTTTAGTTCAATCATTCTCGTGCAATTGCTGCCAGAATCTCGCGATAGCCTTCGATGGACACTTGATTGCTCTTTGATCTGAATCTTCAACTTCCTTCGAGCAAGGCTTTCATACTTGGTCGGCCGTCACTTTGCTGGCATATAGCCTGGATCTCAGTGGTTTGAGTTCCAACTTTATGATCAAACAGAGGAGGATTTGGTATCGGTTCCGAAGCCTCGGACCGGAGCAAAGGAGGTATCAACGTTCTTTTCGTTTTCACAGCGGCCCCCTGCCTTGGATGAGTGATAACAACCAATAAGAGAAATGCCGGAAGCGCCGCTCTTGAACCAACCTCTTTTGGATTGCAAGCTTCCCAAGCCCGGACCATTGTTCTTAGGTATCCTCTCTGTAACTAACGGCTTGCTTGCTAGGACGCAAGCTTAAATGTAATGACAGAAGAGATCTTGATAATATAAAAGGTGCATAGATCCCTGTATAGTTATTGTGGGTATTAATCTGGTGCAGTTAATACACAACATCCAATACCTCTACCAAGTTAGCTCTCAATAAATCTTCTAAACGCAGCTCATTCTGAAAGTAAATGCTATGATAATGACTAACATAAAGATTATTCTAAAGAGAAACTGAGGTTTGATTATTGTAACGATGCATTCAAAAAATCTGATAGAATAAATGACACTTGGCTCCCTTCGATGTTGGCAGGCCAGTATTTTATACCGAAGCGAAGCGAATCTGTCGTTGCTGTACTGAGTATATACTTGAATGCCATCACTTGGCGATTTAATAAACAAAGCTTCAACAACCGCTCTTGCGGCGATAGTGGATACAATGACAGGGTATTCACCTCCTTCAAATCTATCGAATCCGCTTGCGACCATTGAGCAACTGTCTACGTCAACCTCGCAGCTCGATGGAATACCCGCAGACCTGGAATTATCCGTTCGATTTGTCGGCGCACGCTTAACACAAGCAGCGGGCATCCTGTTACGGCTCCCCCAGGACACTGTCGCTCAAGCAATTGTGATTTTCTACAGGTTCTGGATCGGCGCTGGTGGTGGCAGCTTAAAAGATCATGATGCCAAGGTAAGGTTCACGCACAAGCAAGCTTTGAAGCTCTGGAAAGCTCCGTGTCGAGACAGACGCCAGCTGTTGCTTTTCGGCCAAGAGAAATTATTGACAGTTCTAATTTAGGATGTATCCGCAGCTGCTCTTTACATGATGGCAAAGCTCTCGCCCTACCCGCAAACACCCCGCAACGTCCTGAACGTGTATTCATACCTCCTGTCTGATTCCTCGAATCTTCTGAGCCCGGCGGACTCAAAAACTCGAGATCCAGAAGCATACTACCTTTCCGAAGGAACGTACTACTCGCAAAGGACGCAATTATTTCAGACTGAGCGAAAGTTGGCCTTTGCAATGGGTTTGCAAACCCATGTGGCGCTTCCTTATACAATAGCAATCAACTACCTTCAGGCGCTGGATACCTTCGGCCAGCCTAAAAGCAATGCGCTTGCACAAAGAACGTTCGCGCATCTGAACACCGCGCTACTAAGCCCCCAAATGCTTTACCTTACGCATCAGCCACCCGCCCTAGCCACCGCTGCCATCTATCTTGCCGCTCGGGAATTAGACATCAAGCTGCCAGATGATAACTGGTGGGAGGCATTTGATACGGATAGAGAAGAGCTTGGGTTTCTAGTGGTTGGAATGCGCAGCGTTGAGGGTTTCGCGGTCAGCGAGAAAGAGAAATGGGGAAGAAGGTCCGTTCCGCTGACGGTCGAGGCGATCGATGCTGAATTAGAAGCGCGGAGAATGTTGGAAAATGGAGAATAAACGAAGAAGAGCATATTTTCTTTCTCTCTCCGGGCCGCGAGGGCGTTGGCGCACAATACTTAGGTTTCAACGCATGCGGAGAATGGGCGTTCAGGAGTCTAGGGACAAGAGAATCTTGTAAGTGAACCCTAGAAGAGACATACGAACGTCATTGCTGACTACTTAGTACGATTACACGTTCGAATTATTAGGAATATTTTGGTGGAGCAATTTCACATAGGTCAAAACAACTAGACCTTTTATTTTTCTGTCCTTGTACTTATTTTGTTTCACGAAGAAAAAGAAGATCAAGCCCACATCGTACATCATACATCAATAGATACATTCAAAATATAGAAACTCCTATTCATGGACTGTTCTTTTGAAACAGTCAATAGCACAACCAGAAAAGACAATGGGTGAACAATACTCAACAGTTTCAACTTTTTCTTCAATACCTCTATAAATCCCCTCACCATCCTCCATCAATTTATTCTTTCCGCGCAGCACTTTCATAATCCCAATCTACAACTTCTCCACTACAAATACATTTGCACAAATTCGCTGTTCACTTTACCCTTTTACGCTCTATTCTTTTACGATTTACACTTTTACTGCCATCGTTCCTTCTCCCACTTCATCACCACAGAGAAACAAAAAGCCACTCACAATGCCAGACCACCAAAAGACCACTCTCAAGGACAACGCGGAAGCGGAAGAACCTACCGTCTACGTCGGCCGTGGAAGCCCTGACTGCACGCCCGCCGGCCGCTTCACGCGCCCGCTTCCACCGCGCAAGGTGCCCTTCAAATCAGCGCCTAGTGCAGCGAGCAAATTCGAGGCCTTATTTTCCGGCGAATCCCGCGGGTCTGTCAATTCCAGTTCTTCCAAGTAAATGGTGGAATAGCATTGCTAAAGATAGTTGTAGATCTAGGAGGATATCGCTGTCCCGGTATCTCAAGGGCGAGCTTTTTTGGCGGAGATAGTAAAACCTAGATGGGAGTTTTGGTCATATCTGTTTTGAATTACTATTCTTTTATATTTTTTCTCTGTTTCGTCCTTGTATATTTTCACTGTGTGGATTGTGGATTGTGGATTGTGGTTCTTCTTTTATCTTTCCGGGGTTGGCTTTTAAGGGCTCCGGAGAGGAGTAAAGTAGATGCTCTAAAGGTTACTTGACAAAGGGCATTGCTGCGTTACAAAAGGATGGAAAGGCTTCTTTGATAATTTCTGGTCTGGGAAATATTGCTATTGACGTTGGTTGGCAGGTACTATTAGCGTGTGTAAAGAATGCATTGTTCATATGTGACAAAGAAATTTCCCTCCCAAAAAAAAGGTGGATCCGGAAAAAGAAAAAGGTCTAGCATTTTACGAAATCTAGAACGCCGGAAAGGGTTCATCAAACGCTGTTTAAACCTATGCGCTCTTATAAAATGACACCATATAGCATCACGAGGGAGTTCCTCTCCGAAATAGTATAATACAACGGCATTGACGCAAGTACCATACTCGTTGTGGTCTGGAGATCTTACATTCGCTAGATATAATTAATAAAAGACTACCTGGAGGATATATTACAGTTCTATTTCTAAAATCCAAAAAGGACGTGAAAGCCGCGGCTTAAAATCCACTGAGCTCGGCCAGTACGGCTTTCTCTCTGGGTCCAGACATGCGCTCGAAGCGGTCTACGCTCATTACAAAAGTGCCTCTACCCGCAGTCAGACTGCGGAGATGCTTCAAATATCCAACCATTTCTTTAAGGGGGACACGAGCGGTGATATTGCGTTGGCGGTCGCCGGAAGTCATTCCTTCTTGTAAACTTTCGCCGGCGCTTCCTGATGTGAAAGGATCAGGCGGGGTGTAAATACGAGCAACGTCTACAGCGGGGAGGTCATCCTCCTCACTAGCTTCGCTGCCACTGCTGGGATTGGCTACGCTCGATGACGCCGTATCGAGCGACAGCACCTGTCCACCACGCGCCGAACTAATATCGTGGACTACAGCACCAAGACTCGCTTCGTCGACATTGATCACGACGTTCATGACTGGTTCCATGATAGCCGCGCCTGCTCCATCGAGAGATGCGCGAATAGCAGCTTGAGTAGCTTGTCGCGCGGCGGAGGATAAGGCAGCAGGCGTGGTGTCAGGACCGAAAATGTGCGCGAGGGCATCAAGTTCGAGAGATACATGGATACTGTGCATGGGAAAAGAGTGTACTGGACCGCGAGACAGCGCGGCGAGCGCGCCATCAATGAGTGATGTCTTGATAGCCTCGACGGGCAATAATGAACTTGCGGGATCGAGTCCAGCGATGTTGAGGGTGATAAGATTGCCATCTCGGAGAAGTGTCGCTGACGTCTCATCCGCAGGGAGCGGCGCTTCAGTCAAGTCTCTTTCCAGAGGTGCGACGGTGGCAGTGCAGCCGGCTTTGGCCTTCTTGCCTGCTATGTCTCGATCGAAAAATATTGTTTCCGGGTGTGTCTCACTAAGGATACTTTCGCGGTATCCAATCTCCACGCGACCCATGGATGCCTTGGCCTTGTAGTCGCCTATGAGGCGATCTCGAGCGATTTCCAAGTGTAGTTCACCCATTCCGCTGAGATGGGTCTGACCGGAATCCTCGTCGACAGAGACGTGAAGGCTGGGGTCTTCTCGGAGAAGAAGAGCGAGGGTGTCTGCGAGATTCTTCTCCTCGCTGAGACTGTGTGGCTCGACGCTGGCGAAGAAGACTGGTGGAGGGACTTCGATGGGTCGGAGTTGAAGAGTGTTAAATGGTGCTGGTGGGCCGGTCTTAGGGTTGACGCCAGCATAAGAAATTAGAGTATCTCCAGTTCGAGCATGTTTAAGACCAACTATGACACCAATTTGTCCAGCTTCGATGGAGGGAATTTCGATGGCATCATTAGCATACATGCGCAAGAGACGAGGAGGCCTTTCTCCGACATGTAGGTTTGTATTGTAAAGAGGAGCATTCCGGTGGATAGTGCCCGAATAGACCCTGACATAGACTAGAACACCACGGCGAGGATCATTGACCACCTTGAATGCAAGTGCACAGGCCTCAAACTTTTCAACCGACGCAATTGCTCGAGTCTTTGCAGCTCCGACAGCCTTTTTGTTCTTTTTGCCATCCTTCTCCAGGAGTTGCTCAAGGACCATTTTGCCGTCGATAAGCTGCTGTAGCCCTCCCTTGCGGTGCCCGAGGCTGATTTCAGCATCAGGCCGCTCTCGTGGCTCGGGCAACAAGTCGACAACAGCATCAAGCAATGGTTGCACGCCGATATTCCGGAAACTGGCACCTGCAAACACGGGAATAATTTGCTGCGGGCTTTCATTGCAGATGCATCTGCGGAGGCTCTCTGTGAGCTCGATTGCGGGAATGGCTAAGTGATCTTCGTCGTATTCGAGGAATTTCTCAACCATCTCTTCGTCGTGTTCGCTCAACAATTCCACCAGTGCAGCCCGACCTTTCTTTATTTCTTCCGCGAAAGCAGGCTCGGTCTGCTCGAGGTCTTGTAAGGTGGACAGCTTGAGTGTTTTCCCGTCACCGCCTTCCTCCCATTTCAATCCGCGAAGGCCAACAACGTCTCCAATGCCGACAAATTTCTGATCGTGGCCTTGCCACCATGGGATGTGGCATACCGCGGGCCAACCATGCAGCCGTGCGCCAATCTGACGAACTGTCCGGGCAAAACCGGCGCCGTCCCGGTCCAGCTTATTTACAAAAATGATCCGTGGAATGCTGTATACACTTGCTTGATGCCAAACCTTTTCTGTCTGTGCTTCAACTCCGGCCACACCATCTAAAATGCATACTGCACCATCGAGAATCCGGAGTGATCGTAGAACTTCGAATGTAAAGTCGGCATGTCCAGGTGTGTCGATTAGGTTGATAGTATGTGAAGTGAGAGAACGAGGTAATGCACTCGTCGATTTTGTGTCTTCCAATAGAGTTGAGCCTTTTGCAGTTGCTTGCTGTTCTTCGGGGAGAGGGGGCCAATGGAAAGTCACGGCCGCTGACTGGATGGTGATACCTCTTGCCCTCTCAGCGGGCAAAAAGTCCGTCACAGTAGACCCTTCATCGACATCTGTTGCCAGGGTTAATTATAGTGACATTCGTGAAGGAACAACCAGACAAAGAGGACACGAAAGATGCTTTGTTAGAGGGGAGCGGTATCACGTGCTATGACTTATTTTCGCCGGAAAGTCAAACAATATGAAATAAAAACAACGGAATCCGACCGCGGAGAAAATGAAGGGAATACTAATGGGGTAAGCAGAAAGATTTACCTCCTAGTCTGCGGGTGAAGCCGCTATAATAAAGCATGCGTTCCGTGGTGGTTGTTTTCCCCTACACATAAAATTAGTCTCGTCCAAATCTAATACAGTATTACTCATCGCCAAGTCAAGGCTTTCTTTTGTTCTATCGAACTTACAGCATCAATATGGGCAATGATGCCAATATTCCTGGTTCTTGCCAATTCATCCTGGGAGGTTGAATCTGAGGCCACTGAGACCGTTGAAGAGAAGCATCTAATTCTAATCCATCCCGCTGATGCAGGCCGGAATGAGCCTGCTCGAGATACTCTCCCGAGAAGACTCAATGGACGATGCATAGTCCAGGGTATTGCGATGTTGACTAAATAGACATGAGAATGCCCCAAAAGGAAAATGTTCAAGATCTTGCGCAAGCGTCCATCTCAAGACTTGATTATCAATGCACACAGGCAATTCAGAGATTTTCAAGCAAACAAAGAATAATGAGTGGACGGCAGCTACGCCTTGAAAACTTGATGGAGATGAGCTTGTTAGTTGGTTGACGATATTTCTGGTTTTCCTGGAGGTCGCTTAAAGTTTGATGCGCCAAAATCTCGTTGCAAGTATCATTATGCATACTGTATAATGCACTTAATTATGTCCCACAACATTGGACAAAATCTGATTGATATCATTTCTTTTATTAAGAACATATTTATGGAACTTATATCATTGAATTTCCTTGACAGAAATCCACGTAAAAAGTAGGCCTGGCCCGTGAATGATGTAAAGTCCTTATGCATCGGTCAAAAGGTTACTAACCGCGCGTTTAATGGCGGTTCGAGTCGAGTTGGTGGGGTTCGGAATGTGGTGGACTGGAGATGCCGATCAGTGATTACAACGTAACCGCAACCGCAGCACCGACCACCCAGCTCCAGCCACCATTCTGAACAGGAGTCCGGTGCAACTCTCGCCGTGATAACAATTCAGCGCTTAATCCCGAAATTTCTATATCATAGTATTTGTTGAATACCGATTCGATTGATTTATCGTAATGGATTATTCATCGCTCCCTCACGACCCGGATAACCCAACGGGTGCTTCCCCGTGGTCGTCATCGCCGCAAGCCAACAGAGCGAGCTTCCCACCATCCAGCAGTGATGGGCCTTCTTCACCATTCTCCGGTCCATCTCCCTACAGCTCCGAAGTTGGTCCGGGACATCAGCCAGGATACTCCAGCGACCAAGACACAGCTGAATCGTCAGCATTCGGCCGGCCCGAAAGCGCTGGGCTCGAGTCACCGTCTGAGGAAAGCGGTGAGCACGGCAAGCCTGATCTTTCTGAGCGGCTTCAGAGCCCACAAATCGGAGAGCATGATTATCCAGGACATCATCAAGTTCGGCAGCATTACCAGGAAAACATTCGCCCCGATCCTCAACGATACCCGAGTGGAAGGCAACCGCCGCGACAAAACCAGCCCCAATATAAGTTACAAGCAAAGATAACTGGCCTCGAACGTACTGGTAGAAAAGATCCTATTCTGAGATTTGATGTTCACGTATGTTGCGTTCCTGATGAACTACATGTGCAAATCTGACAAGACTTGATGGCAATAGACCAACCTTCCCAAATTCCGCACGACTCAATTCCGCGATGTCCGAAGGACGCATTCCGAATTCGTCAAGCTGGCTGAGCATCTGATATCTGCCAATCCTGAAGCAATCGTCCCAGCAGTCCCTCCTCCGTTGACCTCGGCAGGCGCGGGCACAGACGAGGATGAAGCACGAGTCAAGGGATCGATGCAGCGCTGGCTGAATTACGTATGCGGGAATGAGATCCTTATGCGCGATGAGGAAATGATATTCTTCGTGGAGAGCGACTTTGGATATAGTCCCGTGGTAAGACGCAAGCAGCCAGCTACTGGTGTACGAAGAAAGGTCATCAAGCAGTTCGCTCCCCCGCCAGATGATACTCCAGAACTGCAAAATGCACGACCTGTGGCCAAGCTCTTCTACCTTGGGACAATGGAGACTGGCCAAAAGGTAGACAAGCTTGTCAAGGCTAGACGAGGTAAATCACTTAATTCATACAGCTCGATCTACCTCTGAACAATGGCTGACAAACTTTCCCACAGCTCTTGGTCTCGCCGAATCCGACCTCGGAGTGAAGCTTGGCACAATGGCCGTGCAAGAAACCCACACTGGCCTTTCATCCGCATATCGTAAACTCGGAAAGACAATCCAGACAGTTGGTGACTACCATGCTGCTCAGGGAACTATGGAGGCCACGACTCTGGCCGACCCATTGAACTACCACTCATCCGATGCCTTTATCGTCAAGGAGACGCTTACCAACAGACACATTCTCCTCCGGGAGCTACTCCAAGTCCAGCAAACCACACGAAGCAAGCTTGCCGCTGCGGACCGACTCAAAGCCTCATCATCTGTGCGTCGTGAAAAGGTTGACGAGGCCATCGCAGCCTTGTCAGAAGCCCGAATGCACGAGACATTCCTCACCCGCAAATGCCAAGGTGTCACAGACAACCTCGTCCACGAATGCCGGCGGTGGTTTGCCCACACCACCAATGATCTCCGCCTCTCTATACGCGAATACGTAATCCGCACTATTGAAGCAGAACGCCGCACTCTCGCCACTCTCGAGAACGTCCGTCCCGATATCCGCGGCATCGACGCCAGCGGCGGCCTCAGCCGTCTCGGCCGCGAAACTCATCCAGCTACTCGCCGAGCACTCATGGGCACGTCACAGGGTCCCAAGGGTGACGCATGGAGCGGTGTGCCCCGTCGCCCAGATGGCCTCAACCGCAGCATCAGTGGCGGCTTCGGTATCCCCGCTCCAGAAGAAACTGATCCCGCCAATGGCGACGGCGCCGGCACCCGGAAGAGAGCTGTCAGTGGCGCAGGCAGCCTCAAGGATCTCATGGAAGATGACCAGGACCGCGTCGATGCCAGGAATGCCGCAAGTCGGTTGGCGCAGAGCACGTTTTGAAGCAAGTAGATAAATTAGCAGTTCGCTTTAGGTGTAGCACTTGGAACCTCTCTGTTCTGTCAGATGTTTTTGTTTGTACTCCCTTTTTTTTCCTGTTTGTTAGTCGGAAAGTTTTTTTTTTTTTTTTTTCCTTTTTTTATTAACTGCATGTATTCTACCATAAAGCGGCTTTCTGATAAGTTGATAAAGTTTTTGATCACCACCCCACACACACATATACGCTATCAGTCAGATCTCATGACTTTACAGTATTCCAAAGAGACTTAGGAACCGAGTATGATTATACAGCCGTTATATACTATTTTGCATCCCAAAAAACACGTAAATGAAATAGAGGTTGCGGTAGTGATAACCCTTTTATTTTTCTGTGTCGTTGTTCTTCGTTATTACATCTGAGATCGATGCGGGCTATATTACCGGGGATCTTTTTGGAGTTCCCATCTCTCTCTTTCATCTAACTTTACCCATAAACTTAAATTATTTTCCTCTCACCGCCCACACATACGTAATTATTATTGGAATTGTTTACATCTTAATTTTTTTTTCTTTTGCAACCCCCACCGAATGTTCTTTCAGATCTGCAGTTTCCTTTTGCCCTCGTGTCGTAGTAGAATCGAATGATTCTATGTTTTAAACATTACACCAAAACATCACGGGTTATCGGAGCACAGATCCGTACCAAGCAAAATCAGAAAGAGGGGAAAAGGGAGGAGGGGGTGCCTTCGAAAGTGACGTCATCCCGAGCGAATTCCCCCATGATATGGGGCCCGTCGACTTTTGCGGAATTTACTAAAGTAGAGAAGAAATAAAAAAAAATTATCCAGATGATAGCAAATTTCGATTACTTGGCATAAGTTGTAACTAAAAGCGAAGCGGGATCAAAATGTGACAAGATAATTTTCAAACGCCCAATCTATGCTGGCCCGAACAAATAGAAAACCAAAACCACAAAAAGAGAAAGAATGAATGAAAGAAAAGAAATGAACAGAAAAAACATATAATACAAAAAGAGGTTCAAAAGGAAAGCCAGAGCCAAGGTTTTTATTGGAGTTGGGTGGCGCAAAACCGAAACGGACGTGACTTACTCTCCATTCCCTCGTCCTTTTCGTACTCCAACCAGGTAAGACAAAAGAGAGGAAAGAGAGAAAAAAAAAATAAGAAAAAAGGAAAGAAGACAAAAGATGGGTATGAGGCAGCATAAAAGAAGATGGGAGTTGAGCGCTTGAAGAATAAAGCAGAGAAGGTCATTGCGCGAGCATATTGCGGTCATGCGGCGCAAGAGACCTCGCGAGCAAGTTTATTGGAGATGATGGGGGCAATGCCCAAGACCTATACAAGGGCTCAATAATTTTCCAGCTCCACAGTGCGATGCCATCGACGCGCCGCATGTCGTCAATCCAGTCCAGCATCAAGGTAATGCTTTCTTCAATCTCTCCAGGAGCAAAATATCTTGTGCAGATGTACTGGAGGATGCTGTTTGTCTTGGTCTGGTAGAAGATGAGAAGTATGCCAAGCAGGTGCTGTGTCCAGGTAAAGAGATATGGGACAAGGCGCTTTTTATTTTTTGGAGGCGCCATACAGACAGTCCAGCGGAGGCATGCCTATAAAAATAGCCCCGGTGGGTTCGAGTTAGTTTTGAATCTTCGCTACTGCAATTGAAAAGAAACAATTTGACGTCATCTGGTAAGTGAAAGGATGTAAACAAACCTTAAGGCACGCAGTACAATATTCAATGTCTTCATTCGTCATCTTTTCTGGCATGTGTAACGCCTTGTACACAAACGGGCGATAGGTGATGTAGCGTGTATAGTAAAATCGCGTACGAAGCGACGCGACTACCACATCGATGTTGTATTCGTAGGTAACTGGCAGAGCTCCTTGGTCTTGCATAAACATCGCCTCGACCACACTGCCATCCGCAGCGATCCGGTGCAACGAGTTTTCATCTGTCCATTGAATGGACTTTGGAAGCGTGTCACGCCAAAGATCGAGCTGCCGTGACAACTCTTTGATGACGAAACCCGGTGGCCCACTACTGTCCTCACTGTTTTCAGACTTGCCTGGTCGAATTCAGCAAGGCTTCCCACCAAAGTGCCAGTCTGCAAGTCTGGATATTGCAATAGAACAACTCACCATCATAGATTGCGGAATGAACTCGACCGCACAGTTGTCTCAAAGCAACCTGGGCGAGGAAAAAGTATCGATAGTGACATTTGTCATCAGCCACAGCATCCTCTCGGGACGGAGGCCCAATAAAGCTGGGCAGTGGTACGCTTTCTTCAAACTCGTTTATGCCCGTTGTTGGAAGTTCTAACTCGAAATTTATACCACTACGCCGCCAGAATAAGATCAGCAGCAGAACTAGACGGGAGCTCAGCACGACCTGCACTCACTTTTCAATTATGAGACAGTGCCAAAAGACTCGTTTCAGAAGATCTCCGCGCTGTGAAGACCAGTCGATGGTATCGCTAAGATGACATGTCAAACCCAATCCTTATGAAGCCCGCACATCAATTGTTGGCCGATTGTAAGCTTGGAGAGACATACGATTGAAGAAGCGTCCGACAGGTCGATGAGGCAAATGCTGACAGTCGCCAGAATTCCTGAGGGGAAAAAAAAAATTGTTAGTCGCGTATGAACATCGCACGATCTTGTCAAGAGACTTACAATGTGACGAGAACAAGACGCAAAATACAGCCTAGTCGTGCAATTGAGAATTAATACAATGCCGCTGATATACGCCGCTTTTATGCGGCCCTGCCACAGAGAACTTACGAAGCAAGAGACAATGTTTGGATGATCTCGAGGGTACAATCGGTCAAAAGAAAACCCATCCGCTTACGAGCTTCATTGAAGAGATCAATGCCCGGTGGAGTTTCAATCGTCCCGCCCCGAAAACCACTCACTTTGCCATTTTCGCTTGCCACTGGTGCTCCTATGGATCCTTCGAGAGCGAGTTTTCCGAGGGCAAGTACAAGCAGGACGATGACTGATTCAATATCTCCTTGTCCGAAACCTTGTCGTAGGATAAGAGGGAGTGTAGACGAGAAAAAAGTCTGACGGCACATGAATGGATAAGCTATATTGAAGGTATCAAAAAATACTCCGGCTAGATTTCGCATAGAGTCTTCCGATAATGGCGAAAAGGTGACGCGATTGCCACCGGGTGAGACGGGATGTGCGTCCAAACAGGGCTCTAGAGGAAGTGGATGAAGTCCCTCCTGATCCTGCAACCGCATGATCCAGGCCGTCCCATCCTCGGGGGCTTGAGGAAGCTCTTGGGCATGCGGCAGGCCGCTGGCATCGAGTGAATTTAAAATTGCGGGCCAGAGCAGCACCCTTTGCGCGGCAGGTAGTCGCTGGTGAGGCTTAGACGGTTGCTGAGGCAGACGATCCCCAACACCAGCGTGGGAGCTTAGTGAACTTGGTGTCTCTGCCTGCATTAGTGGTTGGGAAAGATTGTTAAAGTCGTTCAAGAGGCTGCTGGATGTGTCGCTTGCGGGTTGGTTTGCTCTTGAGCTAAAAGACTGCGACGAAGTTGATCGAGAAGTATTCATGGAATCAACCTTCAGCTCGAGCCGCTGGAGGCTTTCGAGAATGTAGGTCAAGGTCTTATCTCGCCTATGGAACGATCAGCACACTGCCCACAAAGTGGAAGATTTCCCATCCAGAAGGGGACAACCACAGGCAGATTCTCGAGAGATGAAGAAATCACTTACTTTGTCGGCTGAGGCTCGCGGTAAGTGCACGCTGATGTTCAGAGCAGAGGTTGATCAGTCTCCGTCTATGCTTGGTTACTCATTTGTGTTGATTAGAGACTCACGAATTCCTAATCTTTGACACAATCCACATTTGGGACGTTTCTCGTCACACTAAATTCGAGTGAAATGTTAGTTTCTTCCACGCCTTCCTTGAGGCTCATGCATTGTGCACTACGTACCTTGGTTTTCCTCGATCGACATGTTTCGCACGCCTGTCAGGTTCAATGATTAGCGGAATCAAAAGCACGAGATGCACGTTCTGCGGTGAGATTGGACGTACCTGAGCAGCTATTGCTGCCCTCTCCCTTCTATGAGCGGCGAGCTCGAGAATATTTGGCCCAGGCCCTTCCTCGCTCATTGCTGTGGTTCGTGCCGTAGTGAGCTTGCAATTGGCGTTGTAGCTGCCAGCTCGGCAGGCGGTCGATTTGACCGGGGGGGTCCAAGGGATAATTCCGAGCACTCTGTGCGTGGGGAAGCGATCGACAAGGTTTTGCGTTCTGGAATTATAAAGACTTCAGGGACGAATGAAAACACCAGCAAATCGGAAGGGGCTGGCTTGTGAAGTGGACAAGGGGAGCACGGATGAGCTTTGGCCGAGCAATGCTAATAGGACACCGATATAGAGCGCCGGGGAAACTACGTTTGACTATGCTCGCATTTGCTTGATGGACGCCATCACTGTACTGTAACGATCATGTATTGTTGTCGAAAGCTCATCATGACTCTTTGCCACGAAGGTAGGGTCGATCAACCCTGCAGTGAAGCTGGTTGCATATATGATTCCAATGCAATTGGACAATGTTATGGTTGCCGAAGCGAGGGCGAAAAAAAGAATCGAATATCACAAAGACAAGGGCATTGCATTAGTATTTTATGAGAGAAACTTATTCATCATAATTGGAGGGGGGCGAATTGGCATAGTAGTGGGGGACGTGCTTTTTCTCTATTCTATTATATTCTATTAGCAGGAGAGTAACACAAGTAAAAAGAAAAGCTCCAAGGGAACTTTTGGGCGCATCCAACGCCCCTTGGTTTTTGGGGGGGGGGAGGTAAAGGTGTCGTGCGGAGGAAAGTCCGCACCAATTAACAGCCTAAGAAGAGCTAGCTATGGCGTACTCTCTACCTGTGGCGTCTCCACATTGCCCTGACAGTCGGCACGAGATCGCTGGACCCTTCGCTAGTATCCGGTACTTTGCGTGAAAAGCACGCAGGTGGCGGAAAGTCTAATCTCTCTGCTCAGATGGCCTATTCGTCCGTCGGAGGTGTGTTCCTAGCCAATGAAATCCCCCCATCTCCTTTGACAACCTGAGCTGTCCCTACAATGGTCCCAAAACGCGGCTGTGGCAGCAGGGCGCTTTTAAACCTCTCCAGAAACCTAGACTCATTTTGGAATTAAACTTTTGATCGGAAAAATATGACAGCCAATACTAAGCATTGTATAGTTATACAGTTTCTACCGAAGCTACCAATATAAAGGTTGCAACCCTTATTGGGACGTCTTCCTTGATTGCAGGGGGAAAAACGTCACAACGTAGGAGTACCTACTCCGTAGTCAGGGTCCCATTTGGGAAATAAAAAGTGTGGCCTCAATTGCTCCATTCTATCTACTCATATTATCATCATCTTCTGGATCCTCTATTTCTAAAATCTTTATAGAGTAGGGGGAAAAACACCGTATAAATTAAAGTGATTCTGGTCCGCGTCAGACTTCTTCACTGAGAGAGAGCTAAGCATAGAAGAGTGCCTTTAATCGCCAATGTAAATTCAAAGTTCCTGACACACCTGTTCTCTACCTATGAATGAACTTGCCATTCTCATCACAGAAGCCAGCATTGATGCATGGGTTCGTCTGCAACACCTGGTCCCGTGACACAGTACTCAAAACCAGTCTGAAAGGAATTGACCATTAGTCCTGACAGCTCGCCTACTACGTATTCTTGATGCAAGCGGGATCGAGCTTTTCCATCAAATTACTCCGGAACTTTGAAATTGAACGAGCACCCAATTCACTTTACCAAACTAACAGCGTAGAATTGATTTCAATGTAGAACTGCGCTGGGTAGAGCGATGAGTAATAAATGATGGAGCAACCAGCAATGGAGCAGAAAGAGCAATGGGTAAACAGAGGAACACTAGGGGTAAAGTGGATGGAAACTCAGCTGATTTGATGTCTAATCGCGAGCTAATCGTCTTGGCAGGTGGTTTGGTAGAGCCTAGCGAGACTCGGCAGACTGGGGTAATTGGAGCTCAGGGGGCTTCCTCCTGAGTGACAAGCAAAATATCTTCAGTATCTTCATGTCCAGCCAATAATCACGTGGCCCTTTTTTTGGTCCATTCTTCCCTCCGGGACCTTGAAGCAGAAGAAAAGAAAAGTTTGGTGGTGGTGGAGAACCTGTTGACCATCGGGATTGGCTTCTTGATTCAAACCACCATGACAGCAATAATCTACCGAAAGGAAGATTCTCATAACACTTGAAATTTTAACATCCTTTGGCATCCCTTTCCAAACCATGGCCGGCCTTTGGCGCTCTAGAGTTAATCACAAGTCATGGCCCTAGCCTTGATCGCAACACGACAAACCAGAGCCAGTCCCGGTCGAACCCCTCACTGCAGACTGGGCTAAACCGTCCCTTGGATGAGCTGCTAATTCGATTGTCATGGCGCTGCTCGATTTGCCTTTGGAAATCTTGATTTTTATTCTGAATTATTTGCCAAACTCTGATTTCCCTTTGATCGCGACCACTTGTCGGACGTTCCAGGGTATCGTCGAGCCCAGCTTGTTTGCTAGTCTCGATTTCTCATCATGCGATTTTGATACATTTGCACAAATCGTCAAACACGGGCACGGGCAGAAACAAAGATATATTCGCTCTCTTCATTATTCGCTCTCTTGGACCCCGCCTCGTCTTTCTTTTGATCCCGCTGATGGAGCCAACAACCGTGGCGAAGATGCATTATGCGCCATTGATGCTCCATTTCATAACAGAGCATTTTCTATCGAGATTAACAAGCTTTTTTCTCTATTATCACAATGGCACGGAGCAGCTCTCGAAAGTCTGACGCTCGAGATCCAACATCCATTGGCAGATGCATACGCGGACGATAAAAGCTGGAACCAAGTAAACGGGCCGCCCTATTTGCGATTGGACGACGCATACTTTACAGAGAGAAAGCTGCCCTCGGTACATATTTTAGACGTGTTTGCAGACAATGCACATTTGTATCCGGAATCAGCATGGCGACTTGCCCGATGCTGCCCGAGTATTATCGGTCTTGGAGCACGTTTGGATGACGAGTGAAGACGAGGAGTCGAGGTTCGCCGCGATGCGCGACTGTGTGAGTCAAAACTTTTTCAATTCCCTTACAGAAATTTTTCGCCCGCTAACGTGTCAATTCTTGTAGCCATCGCCAAGCATCTCTGCAATCTTCCTGCTGATTTCAAGGATTTCGGCATGGTCCTGCAATACGAAGCATCTACAGTTCATGACCAGCTTCCACCAAACCTATGCACCGAATCGGCCGTAGATTTGTTTTCCATGTACATGCGTCAATTTTCGCAGCGGCTCACACGCCTCTTTTTAGAAGTAGGGCAGCTTTCGGCAGAACTTTTCTGGCCTCGACAGGCAGTAAACGAGTCCTCCCTTCCATCATGGCCCGCTCTCGAATACGTTGAAATTAAGACACAAATGGATACTGCCGACGGTCAATGGATGCTGGAACGCGACCCGCTGAACCCAGATCGGCGGAAACTCGACTTAGGAGTTCTATTCCGTGCAACCGACGATGATTATGATGAAGGTTATTTAATTGACCCTAGCTCTCGTCCTTCTCCCTACCATCGAGCGAAACCGCGACAAGATTGGTTTGACGAGCTCCATTTAAGCATTGCGCTGGCAGCTAGGCGCATGCCTCGTCTCAAAGATTTCTCTCTACGCGTCGAAAACGTTTACGGCGAGGATGAGAGATTTGGTGCCCACAGTTTTACCTACGATTGTGGCAGAGACCGGCGTGGAATCAGCATATATAAACCACGTATTATCTGGTCCAGTCATTCCCAATACATCCCAGCTGAGAAAATCATGGACACTTGGAGAGCAAGTTTTGGCCCTGATCTTGACCTCGAGATTGTGGAGTGGTACCCAAGGGATTGCCCACGCGGTCCAGGCGCTCACGCGGGCTGGGTTAGGTTTCGTAATGGGCAAAAAATTCGCGACTACGATTAGATTCTACCTACGTTACGCTAGAAACGTGCCTGAATTCTACTTCGTGTATTTATTTGTTTTTATCTTCATATCTTGGTATTACAACTCTGCTTCAATATGAGCTATCCTCGTTGCGATTCATTCGTGACCTTTCGGAATCTGAGGAACTGGTTGATCATGATCTTAAACCTGAATGGCCAAAAATTTCAAGGTTTGTTCGACTTGCTTTGGTGTTCTCTTTTTTTGGGCCCGAAATACTGGACCGAATGCTTAGCTCCATTTTTCTATCCCTTTGCTTCTGTGCCATTCTGCACCTAGACAAACAATACCGATTAAGGAACTGAGAATTGGGCACAGCAGGGCAATATCCGTCAATGATGACGGGAAGGTCGGTTAAAAACAAGCAAAACAGTGTGCCCTTGGTCACTTATGGTAATTAGTTAAGGGAGTCCCTTCGGTAGCGAAACCAAAGCCCCGTGGCGCCACTGTACCCGCCACTATGGGAACCGGCAAAACTACCAGGCACTTTCCTATTACCGTACTGAATGTTTTCGCATTGCCCCATGCAGACTTAAAGTTTATTACTTCAAACGAGCTTTACGGCACCTTGTGCAGACCGCTTTTTCTAATTAAATACTATGCTTGCTTATCAAGTTATCTACCTAGAGTACCTTTCGGAAGAGAGAAGATCCCTGGCTCAACCTATCCGTTAGATTTCAGGCGTAAAACCCCCGTCAACGTTCAAGTATTCTAGCGCAGTCGCTCCCAAGAAAGCTGCTAACCTGATATCACAGCCTCCGAGAATTCGACCGGCATGGCTCAGATATGGACAAGGGCTTAGAAGGGCCGGGTGGAGTTCTGAAAAGGACATTGGTTCGGCACTTGACTTCACAGAGAAGCGGGGAAAGACATGTGCACTCACCAGCGTCCATTCAACGTATCACAGCAATGCACTGGCTCGTTGATCAAATGACGCCCCGCCATGCTCAATAGCCTTCCTAGAGGCACTTTGTACAGAGACACAAGGGCAATGGCTCAGGCTATAGAAGGAGATACGATCGTGCAGCTTACTGCTATTTTACTCGTTGAAGTCCTCAGATTTAGGAAGGTTACTTTGTACATATTGCAATCGCCAAACCGAGCTTTGTAAGTCTGACTATTGCCTCAGCGCGCTCAGAGACTTCAGCCTTCGAAAAATCAAATACGCATTCGTATTTCTAGATCTGATGCGAAAGAAATCCGATTGGTTGTGACTCTCGGCGAAGGTTTCTAAAATGGCAAAAACTAGGTTCACACATCCTGACAGCTTCATCCACAAAATGTAAGGGTGACGAATCGAACAAGGAAATGAACTGATGCAGGTGAACTGTTGCCTGGAGCTTCAGCGGGAAAGGAATGCGCCTCAACCGCAGGGTACCGTGAAATGTTATTTGAGGTGGGCAAGAAGTTACCTATGTACTTTCCTGGTTTTAGTTATGATGTTCGGGTTCGCTTACACAGGGTTACCGCTGTTGCAGCTAAGGGAACCTAATCTCGGGACCGATGACGCTGAAACGTAGGGTGTATATCCCAGCGGCAATTGCATATACAAGTGCTCAATCCGACACAGGTTTTGGCACACGAGCCCAAGCTTTCCAAGATGAAACATCATTATATAAACCAGGACGACTTTCCCATAGGCGAAAGACTTCTTCTTCTTCTTCTTCTTCTTCTTCTTCTTCTTCTTCTTCTTCTTGGACCGACAAGGTAACAGAAGACAGAAGATGAAACCCGCGTAATTCAGTTTAATCATGCAAAGTGCTGTCGTTGTGGTGGGGGAAGCCTACCTTGAGACTTACAGGGCGCCATGTGCCACCGCAACCCACGTGGTTTGGATTGGAGAAAGGGAATTTGCGGCCATAGGGAACCAACCACATCACAATCATCCTGCATGGAAGAGGAATGTGATGTTGTCGCAGCATCCCGTGGAACCAAATCATGATTCATGATCACTTTGTCTGTGCCGCGGAATTTTCTCACTGGTGCTTCAATTCCCGCTGCCGGTAAACATGCCTATCGATGCTGGTCAAATTAGGAGATAAACTTTCTCCTTGGCCACTGATTCGAGCATAAATGGCTCTCTCGTAGCGGCGAGGTAATGCCTCCAAAGTTGTTACCTTCCAGCAGCGGGGACCAAGGTCCTTTATCACGCCTCGCTGCCTCACGCCGCACAGGATAAATGCCTTCCAATCAGAGGTTCAAACAATGTCGAGAAGTCTGCTCACGACTTGAGCGACAAATATTTCAGGATAGCAGATGCCGCGTCTGACAGTTAATTCCGGGCAAGCCGTCTCTTCTTCATCTCAACACGTTTAATTTTACGCAGTTGTCCATCAGCAAGGTTGCCTTGCCGCGTTACAAGCCTGTGCTGGAGCCATACGACCAACGGGGTTTTCTTTCGATCTCCTCAGGCAACCGCATTCTTTTCCCAGCCCTGCCCCACTGTGCACAGGCTGCTATTATTTGCTTAGATACAGCAGCAGGACATGGCGCAAGGGTTGGCACAAGGATATAGGGTTCCACATCGGAACAATAAATACTGGGCCTGCCACGAATTTCAATAACATACCTTAGTTGGGCATCAAGTTCCTTGTGTGAAAATTTGGAAAGGAATTATAAATAACATGAAGCTTAGTAACAGCGTGACAGCAAGCTTCTCGAGTGGATGGATATCTGAGATGTTCCAATAGCCCCCAAATTCCAGTGGTCATCGTTGGCCCTAGCGCATAGATAGAAAATTCCTCGAAAAGGTACCTTATCGTATGTGTGCAGGTCTCTCGGATAGGCCTTGCTGTTCTTGTGATCGGAAACATATTGTACTGAGGCAATTTCAGAGAGTTTTGCTTTTTACCTTTCTCGGGTGCAAGTTTGGCTTGTGCAGTTCGAGGTCGGTCCAGTTATACAACGTAATGTGGCACACCTGCAGGTACGATCCAAGCGTTGCTCAGAATTTAGATAATGCATTCCGTGCTTACGACTAAAGCTAGCAAAGAAGATCTTTCGGAGTAGGAGGAGTGACGACTATAATAAGACAGCCTGTTTCTCTCTCAGAAATTACAAGCAATCCCCACAGATGCTCTGAGCGAGTCTCTGAGCGCATTCACGCACAGGCAGTGGTTAAAAGAGGGGGGTTGAACAAGAGATGCTTTAGCGAAAGGCAACAAGGCATCAGCGACTAGTGCATTGTGGCGTGGTTGCCTAAATGCGAGGCGGCTGGCCGGTATCACCCACCCACACACACATAGCCTGCCAAGTATTAGATTTTTACTTGGGATGAAAAAGCGAAATCATCTTGTAGCAGCTCAGCCGGCAAAGTAATGTTATATAGACGGAAGCAATGGAACTGCCAGATGTTGCCATCTGCCCTGCAAGCAGCGAACCCTAGCTTCTTCACTCCCTTCTCCTCTCTCGGTTCATGTCGCGCTTAGATCACCCATTCCGAGCGTTGGTGACTTTTAGCCCGCAACCCCCACATTACAGGGTAGCCGATTCGCCGACATTCGTATGTTGAATGGGAGCCAGAACCCTCTTGCCTGGTCATCTTGCCATCCCCCATGATGGCGAATAACGAGCCGCATTTCTTATCCAAGAAGTTTGAAACTCACCTGCGACAACAATCGGCGAGAGGCAGTCAACTTTTTATTTGCCCATTTTGCAGCGATGAACGTTCTTTTCAGCGCGAGCACAACTTATGGACCCATGTGCAAAGCTGCCATGCGGACCAGCTTCCGGCACCCCATGAACACGCCGCTACCATCGAGCTCAGGAAATGGCTAAAGCAGCATGCGCATAGAAAATTGTAGGTGGCTGGCCAACTACAGCCGTGGATGGATCGGATCTATAGCTAACAAGCTATTCTTCAGACCTGCGGCGAACTCGCAAAGTAGGCCCAAGGGTGAAAAGGTCCATCTTCCGCCATCATCATCATCATCACCTTTCAAATCTGCTTCCGATGAGCCCAGCAAAGTCGCATACTCCCCTGGCGAGACCGCAATTGAACAGGGTATCACTTCGGAATTGAGCGATATTGGGAATCTCTCCCTGGAAAATCGGCCTGACGAAAAGGTCAAGGAAGACTCACGGCCCCGAAATGCCAGGAAACGAGCAACTGGTGCAGCTCGAGCGGCAGCAGAAGAGGATAATAAACCAACGGCTGAGCACGGAGCTCCCAGGCGCTCCAAGGCTCGCTCCTATGAGCCCCGAACCCGGCAGGTAGTAGACCCTGATTTTGACCGCAGTGCGCCACTGTACGGGGGATCAGGCGATGGACTCGCTCGGGCGCCGCGTTCCAATCCCAAACGACTCTTCGATCCGAATCTTGATGATCCGACAGTTAAGATGGACGCGAATAACAAAGCCGCAGCGAGCCCGCGTTTAGAGACGAACGCCCATGGCTTTCTGGAAAAAGATGACCATCCCAGACGAAGAAAGGGAAGGGATGCAATTCAGGGACAATCTGGGCCACGAAATTGGTCGAATCACAAGAAGCAGCCTTCTCGGAAACAACCTGGCAACGCTCAAACAGCCTCGGGAAATCCTCGAAAGGAAGCCGGATTGCGATACAAGGGCGCAATAGCGGAAGGGCCTGGCGCTGAACTCTTTCTCCAACCGGAGACCCGACCTATCTCGGAAGAGCAGCTTGCGGCTGAGCTCAAGTCAATCTACGCTGCATTGGAAATGGCCGAGGCTAAAGCGATTGAGGTGGACAACAACCAAATGCTCTCTTTTCGGAATGCTGAGGGAGAGAAACCCAAAATGAGGCCGGAAAGGTGGAGAGCTTATTTTGATCTGCATCGCGCTTTGCTGTACGAACATCATGATTTTTTCCTTGCGTCACAACACCCATCTGCGAGTGCTTCACAACGCAGGCTTGCGGCAAAACACGCCATGCCTGCACGCATGTGGAGATATGGCATCCATTCTTTTCTCGAGATTCTTAGGGATGCCTTGCCGGACTCTAGGGATCTGATGCTCTCCTTTATTTACCTAGCTTATTCGGTGGTTGCACTTCTGTACGAGACCGTCTCAACGTTTGAAAATACTTGGATTGAATGTCTCGGTGATCTTGCTCGTTACCGTATGGCCATTGAAGATAAGGATCCGGAAGACAGAGAAATCTGGACAGGTGTTGCTCGTTTGTGGTACAGCAAAGCAGCCGACAAGTTGCCCCAGGTGGGCCGACTTTATCACCATCTGGCTATCCTGGCTCGCCCGGACGTTGTCCAGCAGCTCTTTCTCTATGCAAAAGCATTGTCGGTGGTCCATCCATTCTCGTCCGCAAGGGAATCTATATTGACCTTATTTGACATGATTTCACGTCTTGACGAGCATCAGAAAGGCTTTGGACATATATTTGTTCAAGCACATGGCATTCTTTTCGCCAAGGCAAATACAGATGGATTTCTCAACCTAAAAACAAAATTTCTGAATGGTTTAGATGATCATATAGGGTGTGTAACAAAAAAGTGGAAAGAGCAAGGTGTATTCATTGCTATTTCAAATTTCGCTGCAATGTCTGGTTTTGGCTCGGAGGATATCTCCTTGATGCAGAAGCTGGAATGGGAGAAATCAAATCCTTCCGGTGCTAAGCCTGTTGACACTTTCCAACCCCGCGACTCTTCTCGCGACACTTCTTTTGCAAGCTTTAAATATGCAAAAGAGTTGGCCTTTTCAGTCCTGAAAATTGCTCTCGAGCGGATTGGTGATGGAAATGTTTTACCACATGTGCATGTGTCACTCGTCTTTCTATACCACTTATCGAGTCAAGATGGGGCATTAGCAACCTTGGCATCAGACATTCCGTGGGGGGCACTTGTTACAATGTTGAATTCGCTATTATTATCCGAAATACCTCTCAATTGGATGGAAGGACCATATTTTCCAGCGCAGGAGGGAGATGATCGTCGGCCGCTACCTGAAGATTATCACATGAGGGGACTGCTCTGGACCATTAATTACTTTCCCGACGCTTGGTTCACCGACGTGCTTGTGGATAACTCTGAGAGATTTACTGAACAGCCTTCTATGACACCAGTTCGAGAGGCGCGCATTCTATGGCTTGCCCATCAGATCTCCAAGGTATGTAAATTCTCTATTTGAATGTTTTCCTTTGATCCTCTCGCAGCGCTGAACATGCCTTTTCCAGAGTTGCGATGCTTTAAATTTTGATCAGTCCTTGCGAGCTTTCACTACGCCGGCTGTCGCTTCCCAGGCTCTATCGACACCTTCAATTTCACTTGGGCCTGAAGCCCTCAAGTTCGAATTACCCCAGGATGAGAGTGAAGACCTTGGGACGGCAGCTGGGGATCTCATTAGGAGCCCCACTGAAGAGTCGAATTCGCCATTTCGCTCACCTTCAGTTTCGCCTGGGTTAGAGGGATCTCGCAGCAGTATTCTACCCGACGAGGGCTGAAGCCATTCGGTCCGATAACATTTCGATGAACACAACTTCAGAATCCGCAATTTAGGGAGAACAAGATCCCAAATGTGGGTTTAGATTCACAACAAGGCTCTCTTTAGGGCGTCCGGAATCCTTCAATCGCCGTTTTCACGCGTCAAGCGTCGGTCTTAGGCCTCGTCCTGCCATGTGCTCAGCGAATTCGCCATCCGATATGCGTAGGGGTGTCTACTCAGATTGGATCAGATATTCAGTTGGGGGCTCTGGTTGAAGGAAGCGCAGAAAATTTCAAATGGGGATTTCTCGGTGTCGTTACACGGTTACTCTGACAAAAGAACAAAACCGCACATTGTAACGCATAAACGCTGCTGGTCGCAGGAAAATATATCGGGCATACTCAACTGCTTAGGTTGTACATAACAGACAGTCTTTTCGGCACGGTCAGGTCAAGCTCTCCTCAGAGAGCTCTTCATTAAAAGAACTATCCTTCTTCAACCGAAGGCATATGCGATTGTTTTGTTTCCGGAGATTTTTTTTTTTATTCATATGCGCCCAGGCTTTTACACTTTGTCTCTTTTCAAGCCAATAATCTAGGACAATAAGGGCGGTTCACATCTCTATGCAAATTTTAGACTAAATCATCTCGATAGGAAATGCCGTACATTTTATTCACACTCGTTTGCCGAAGTTCTCGCTCCAGTAGCCAGATCGTCCTTGAACTAGAGTGTTTCGTGTTATTGTTCTTTTTATATTCTTTGCCGAACCTACGTTTGCTGATCATCTTTTAGATCTAGCCGCATGCTGATCCCGCCTGTTGATCGTCCAACATTCGCATGGTAGCCTTAGACCAATCATGCTCAGCCCGACGGCTGCTGAATTCGAGTGGTTGGTGAGACACGATACTCTTACATATCAACATCTCAGAATTCTTCCTAGGAACGGGATGTCATGCCAATACAGCCTCACGTAACGAATCTCGCATTCCGTACCCACATCATACATCAATCAAACATACTTACTGAGCCTTGCATCCCGCTATCTGCCTTTAGTCTGGCGAATCGCCGTTCTTCTCCCTCGTTTCCCCCACACTCATTGTGCATGTAGCCGCAGCATCGCAAATTTCAGCCTTGTGCAACACTGAGTGACTCGGCCATTGTTTTTTTCTAGGGGGGACCGGTTGCCCCCCGGGTGGATAGATTGGACCAAATTTCAGATTGGAAAACAAGGCTCTCTGATTTTAAGATGCAGAGAGTATCGGCCCGACGCCAAAGCGGGGAAGGTTTTCCGCCATGGTGAGGCAACCTTTCGGATATCAAAGGGCCAATGATTTAAAATGATGCCGCGGGAAACGCGACAACGAGGTCTAATTTCGGACAAGGATGAGAGACTCTATTAATGCATGGAAATGGAACAGTGCGCTAATGATGATACGTGTTCCCCTTTTGACCCGTTACAGGTCGCATCTCTAGGCAGCCCGGGTCCATTTGTTTTTTCTGGGGGGGGGGGTAAGTAAGAAACGTGGGAAATGCAACGTCGTACAAAGGCTTTTAAAGTAATTCTGAGCTGAAGCGTTTTAAGCATAACGGGTAATATCCGGGAGTACCTAGATACTGTGAGTTTGCTTCCACAAATATAACTGGAAATTAATGCGCCAGTACGGCGTACGCTGGATAGTAGAGAAATGAAGAAGAAGCTTCCGTTCAATCCTCAAATCAATACTTAAAGACGGTAATTTCTCACAAGAGTGGTCTACATTTGTCTCTAAGCTTACGAGCCACCATGTTAAGCTTGCTACAATAAGCCACGGTTGGACTTATCGCCGCCAGCGGCTGGAAGAGCATGAGATTGCAGATGCACCATGATATTCCTCCAACTGAATAATTCACATATGACTGACAAAGGAACCAGAAATTGTAATAAAATAATCGAATTATCTATTAAGCAAGTCAGCTTTCTTTTTCTGTGACGTCTTACCTGCTTGAGTGAAACAAATGTCACAAGTCACATGTCAGGAGGCGGTGAAGGGTCCACGTGACCGATAAGCACCTATCAAGATCTCGCCGCCTCCGGTTGGTTCTGTTCGCTGGGGATTAGCTTGGCCCTACTTGCTCATCCATCGTCACCGGGTTTCCCCTCGCTTTATCAACCTGTATCTTGAAGGCAACCAAGATAGTTCCTATTCACGATCAACGCACCCCCCTTGAACATAACATTACCTCAACTTTAACTTCTCAATCTATCCTTTTCCAATCATTTGTTTATAATTTCCTCTTTTCCTCTACGAGAAACATAAAAAGACATGAATATTCTACACTCCACTCTATCCTCATGGCGGGATAAGCTCGCTCCGATCACGCATACTTCAACATTCCGCTCAACAGGCCAGATAACGCCCGACGAGTTTGTTTCTGCGGGCGACTACCTAGTTTACAAGTTTCCGACATGGGCATGGGAGCCAGCGTCTCACCCGAGCAAGCAGGTCTCGTATCTGCCGCCAAATAAGCAATACCTTGTGACTCGAGGAGTCCCTTGCCACCGGCGCCTGGACGACAACTTTGCCGGCGAAGCTGGACAAGATGAGACAATGGTCCGAGATGGATTTGGCGCAGGCGAAGGCGGAGACGACGATGGGTGGCTGCGAACGGGCGGATTGGCAGCTAGTCAGGAAGCACGCATGAAGGATGTCCGCACGGTCGATGAGAGTGGAAATATTGGTGAACATGAAGAAGACGAGGAAGAGATTCCGGACATGGAAGATGAAGAGGATGACGAGGAGGCAATAATACGGGATCCAAAAGCCGGTGCTGGCACAACCGCGTATGTCCTTGTCCTTACTTTGCCTTTCTAACGTTTCTCCTTTGCATCTTTGGCATTCTGCAATCATATAATACTAACAGTGGCTTTTTTACACAGCCCGCTACGGAAATACAACCTCTACATTACATATTCACCCTACTACCGCACGCCGAGACTGTACCTGTCCGGCTACCTGTCCACGTCTGAGCCTCTCGCGCCTCAGGCGATGATGGAGGACATTGTAGGCGACTACAAAGACAAGACAGTCACGCTGGAAGATTTCCCATTTACGCAAGAGAGCGTGAAAATGGCGAGCGTGCACCCGTGCAAGCACGCCTCCGTGATGAAAGTCTTGCTCGACCGCGCCGACGCCGCGCTGAAGATTCGTCTGCTGAAGCAGCGCCAGGCCCAAGTACAGGGTCACGGCCATGGCCACGACACCGACGGCAGGGTGGAGTCCGGCCTGGCGGGCCTAGTGGATGACACACACAACTTGAGCCTCACAGACAAAAAGGGCCACAATGCAGGCGTTGCAGCCGCGGGCGGAAACGGGGGCGACGAATGGGAAGTCCTCCAGCACGAGGGAGGCAATGAGGAGGAAGAAGTCGCCATTAGAGTCGACCAGTATCTCGTCGTCTTTCTCAAGTTTATGGCCAGCGTGACTCCCGGGATTGAACACGATTATACCATGCAAGTATAACTGGTCTTTAGTTACTTTCTTTTCTCTCCTCATTGTCTCGCCCCCTCTCTTTTTCTTAAATTTCTCGTTTGTCAAGTCGTTTGATATCTTTTTAAATATCCTTTCTGGCTGTTAATTTCTTCATTTTTAATTTTTCACACATTTCTATCCATGATAATACGCATATAATGACTTGGAGAAGCTTGGCGTTGTTATTTCGTTTTTTTTTTCTTTCCCAAGTTCTTTTTCCTTTATTCTTGTTTTCTTTCTCTTAATCATATTCGGTACTTGTGTGCATCTTTCTTTTGTATTTGGAGATCTATAAGAAATTCCTCTTGCACTTTTGCGCAAACTTAGATTACTGCTTATATTTCAATGTCATAATGTCGTTACTTGGTTTGCCATTCCTACTTTCTTCCCTTGCTCAGTCCTGGCGAATGCCCCTGCGTCGTCCCTGGCCGCCAATATTCGATACTCCCCCCGCAACTACCTGCAACTCAATGTGGCATATGTGTCCACTGTCCAGTGTTTTAGTTTTTTGCACATGAGTCTCATATTATTACTCATTTATTACTCATTTTCTCTCACTATTCGTTCAGTGTGTCATGCATATACCAAATACAGAAAATCTTCAATTCCCAAGTCCCCCCTTTTTTTTTGGTTCTCGCCAAATTAAAAAAAAAATGATTTCATTCTTCGGAAACCTAGGGGGAAAAGAAAAGAAAAGAAAAGAAAGAGCCAAGTGAAACGAGCGTGGTTATGCAAGAGATCCAGCGAGAGAACAAAAGAATGAAAGGATAGAAAGATAAAAGATGGCGTAAAATGTGTAAGAGTGTATTTCTCTATAATTCCAATGGTCATACCCTGCACCATGCATCATGCATCATCCACGCCAACACATCCACAGTCCAGTCCACAGTCCAGTCCCATGATCCCTCATCTTCTTCGTCCCCCGGTCTCTTCATCTCTTCAGCAACCCCCCCTCCAAACAACAACAGCAAAAACAACAACAGAAATCCGGCCCTTGGGGTGGACTCGAATCATTCGACCTAACCTACTGCTTTACTTTAAGAGAAACCCCAGGGCTTATCCTTCTTATTGAGCTTCGAATCCCTTCGCAAGCGCAGCCGGGAATTCTCAACCTCGTCAACGACCTCCTCGGTGCATGGGCCCAGATTGGCGCCCACGGTGCCAAGCAGCTTACATACAAACGCGGCATTACTGCCACGCTTGGCCAACGGAGCTGCGGGCAGAGCGCGAGCCTTGACTGCGCCGTACGCGGTGGAGGGGGAGGCCGAGGCGAACGTTTCGCGCTTCTTGAGCACTCCGCCGGCGTCGCGGAAGCGCGAGAGGATCGATGAGAAGGTCGTAGTGCTGCTCGCGGATGAAGAGGCTGCGCTTTCGGGAGAGGCTATGGCTTCGGCGAGACGTTTGGCGTGTTGGCTCGACATGGTTTCAAAGATGGAGTGCTAGAAGGGTTAGCGTGGATGTTCATGGGGTTTGTTTTTGTTGTCTTTTTTAGTATGATTGTATTCTATCCTTTCATTTCAATTTTCTTTCGAGAGAGGGAGAGGGGGAATTGAGAGAAAGGACAAAGGAATAACAAGAAAGAAATAGATGAATGAATGGGTGGATGGATGGATGGATGGATGAAGAGAGACAACGTACGTCAGATCGACCTTCAAGTCTCATAGCCTCAATCTGAGCTTGTTCGGCTTCAGAGAATCGGACAGGGCCAGGCAAAGGACCGCTCTGCACGGCAATGACCAACAGACAGACTGTCATGGCGAGATACACGACGAAGCGCGTCCAGGAAGTGTAAGCCATTTTGTCGAGATGTCGAGAGATGACGTTTGTATATTTTGGTCGTGGGGAGTTGATATATATCCCTGGAGCCGGAGTCCGTATAGGCCACAGAGCAAGAAGTTGAGAGCGAGACAGAGTAGTGAGCTGATCCCAGACAATGAAGAAGACAAAGAATTCGAAGATGAAAAGAAACCCGCTCTTCCTCTTCGGCACTTGCTTTCCACAAAAAGGCTCAACAATGAGAACAATAAGGAGACAAAAGAACACCTGACAAAAGGAGGGTACAGAATAACGACAGTCAAAATCAATCGAGGGCAGCGAAAACTTTTAATTGCATATCCCTTGGACTTATATCCTACCGTGTGGTATTATCTTGGCTTCAGCCCGGGGAACAGGGCTGCTGCGTACGAACCCAAGCGCACGGTAGTAGGCTGTAGCGCACAGAGGTTTGCAAGCTTGCAGGTCTGCCGGTCTGCAGGCCTGCGTCCCCGTACATGAGACAAGACAGGATAATCCTGATACATACATCCATACATACATACATACATACACCTCGAAGCGAAAATGCATCGTATGGTGGTTCCCCTTTCTTCATACATCATATCACACATGGATGTCTTGGTCAATGGTGTGTAGCCGAATCCGTATGTGTCTGACGAATAGGGTCAACGTAGGGATGAGATAGAATAAGAGCAAGTAAAGAGCTGTTGTCGTTAGCTGATTGCTCTGCACATTGCAAGTTGGGAAAGTTAGGTAAGCCCAAGGGACGAGGATCGAAAAGGGCATCAGCAAGGAGTGTTTCAACTCGAAAGGGACGCCCGTCAGGAAAATGGCCCAGGTAAGGCACAAAAGTAGTAGAAACGGGGCAAAAAGGGACATGGACGTGGTCCTTGGCGAGCCTTGGACACTTGTCTGCTAAAAGTATCGTGGGCCCTTTTTGGGCCATGGGTGAGCGTAAGAAAGGAAAAAGACTGCGTGTCTAAGTCGAACCACAGGGATGAATCAGATGTTTGGGATGTGTATAAAGACATCCCGAGAACCCCCGCGCCAGGTGATAAGCAACGCACTCATTCGAGTCGGGGAAGCAGGATAGAGAGCCTTGTTTCGTATTGCGCTAGGGCCAGACAATTTCGGGGTTGCATTTGTTGCAAGATGAAGCAGCCACAGGTTTGCCCTATTGTGTGCCTTGGAAAGGAAAAAAGAGAAAAGGTTCAGACGAATATGGACGAAGAGAAATAAGGCGACGAAAGTGGGTGGTCTTGGTGGCACAATGACGAAATCACCAAGGGATTGTAGTGTGTCTGGCGAAACGCTGGAGCGTTTTTCATGTACTCGCACATTTGTGAAGATTTGATATTGATCACATCTGAGATAATAAAGGTGGGAAAAGAGAGGCCTTGAGGAAGCACGTCGAAAGATGATCAGCCTTGCATGTAGACTGTGCGTTGAATAAGCCGGGCCCCCTTGACAAGGGCTTGCTTGGCTTCAGGGCTTGCGTCGGTCGATACGGCTGTAGGTACCGAGGATTTCCGTCTCTCTGGGATCATCAGGTAAGTAAAAGGCCATTATTAAATGCGAAGAAAGAAAACCCTGCATAAGCCACCAGGGACAATACAGTAGCAGCAATGTATGATTCGCGTGGGGTTGGCTTTCCCTTGAAACGGTTGGACGCGTTGGATGCAAGGGAAGCCCAAGGAGAGGTTTGAAGTTAAGAACCCGGAGCTACACCCCAAGTCCAAATCCGGGCAACTGATAAAGGGCCTGGTTTGCGTACCACTTATTGATGCGATATAGTTACCAAGCAATAATAAACTAAAAGAAATCGGCTTTGCTCTTATATCAGATCATATCGCTGTTATCAAAATAGGCATTGTTCTAAAGTCTAATTTATTCTCGCTGTTGGGTATGGACGTTGGTGGAGATGATTTAATGCGTGTAGTGAAAGTGCAAAGTTTACCGGCATAATTTAATAATCTTTGAGCAAAGCGCATATCAAGTGCAAATAATAAGTGACGCTGCGCTCCCAAAACCTTCTCGTTGGATGATACAATCAGAGATTTTCAGAGTGAAGCTACCTCCGTTGCGACAATAATACAAGATTGCCCGCGAATGGTTCGTCGGCTGAACTTGAAATCAAAGCATCTGCTCATAGAAATGCCATCAGAGAATGCCACATGAAATTCTTGTAGGTCAGGCTGTAACAAAACGTGCGCAAAGCAATCTTAATGCCCGAAATGCCATCACTGCTATGAAACTCCTCCCGTGTTCTTTTGACTCTGAAAGAAGATAATCTAACCATAATGACGCAACGATTACTGCCCATGTAAGCATCACGACCGCCCCACATTCGATGATCCAAATGCACTACCGAAATTCATGCTTCTTTTGAACTTGAGTTTGACTTCTGGCTCCTGACCGGCTGCAGAACCTTCTTGGTTGTCGTTCGTATTGGTTTCCGAACTTGCATCGGTGGTCGAGCTGGTTTCAGATGCCAGAGAAGCCATTTGCTCTGCAGCTTGAACCAGTTTTGAATTCAATTGGTTGAGGAAAATTTCGTCCTTGGCAGTAACATTCGTCAGGCCAAGCGGTCCTCGCAGCTCGACGTCGCCATCTGTCTCCTCTTCGGGGATGGGCGGTGGAAGTTCTTGGTCATTTGCTGATACCTCAGCGCGAGTTTGTCTTGGAGTAGGAATAGCACTTGTGTTTTCGTCCAGAGGTCGTGGCGCTGGAGGTGTATGACCGGCGTCCATAGTGAGATTATCCACTGGGGGAGCGAGATTTTCAGAACCCGTGTTGCGATCATTCGGAGCACGCGACGGTGATGAGGATCGCAAGGGCGAGGCCGCTGAAGGTGAAGTGACCTTCGCCACTATCTCTGGGGGCAACGCGGTGGGTTTAAGGCTGATGCCATCCAGTTCCTTTTCCACTAGCGAAATATCTATCCCGTTTCCTACCACACTGTTTCCGGCTGGTGAGAGACTGGCTCCTGGCGAGATTTCCTGGGGCTCTTTGCCCAAAGACGGAGCATTCTCCGAAATACTTGGTAAATGGTGGTCTTCCCTCATTGCAGAAGAAAACGTTCTTGATGTTCCTCCAGAGCTTTTCCGCGAAGACCCGCCCTCCCAGAACCTCTCGGTTTGGTCGAGTGGGGTAGTTTGCCTTGAGCTCTGGCTGCTCAGATTTCCGGCACCAAGCGGGACTTTCGTTGAAAGACTAAGTGCTGGATATCCTTCTAACGGTGTAGAAATCCCGCTTCTTTTCCCAAACGGTCCCGCTGCCGATTCTAGTTCTGCAATACGTGCCTGTAACACCTTACGTTCAGTCTCCCACATAGCACGCTCCTGTTGAAATAGCTGCCTCTCTTGCTCAAACACCTTCCGCTGTTGCTCAAGCAAAAGTCGTGACTGCTCGATGTAATTCGTTGTGAGCGAAACAGTAGGTACCGATGCTGCTCTCGCAGGAGGAACTTGGCTGGCTGAGGGGATAGATTGGCGCGGTGGACACGAGTCCGCGCTGCGAATGTCGGTCGCAACAGGGGACCGCAGAGGTGAAAAGTATTCCTCGACAGGAAGCAATCCATTGGGAGAGCCAACCTGGCGGAAGGCAGTCGCGTTCGGTGACGTCAAGGACGGCGGCGGGAAGATTGGTGGAAGATTTTCATTGTTGGGATTGGCAAAGGCTGGCGTGGGAAGAAAGGACAAACTATGTGATGAAGACGTCGACATGATGGCTTCTGAGGGGAGTTTTTCAGGGGAGTGGTAGAGGGTTTCCTATTTTTGTGGCCTGTTAGCTCTAATTTTGTTCGTTCTTTCGAACTTGCGATTACCTTCGGCCAAAGCTGCCGTTAGGACAATACCACTGAAATCGTGCGCTATGGAAGCTCTCGTACCATAGGAAGAAGCGTGACAAGATCGGGTTTCAAATGAAATCGTGAAGATCAAAGCAATTGGCAATGAAAAAGAGTGAAGTAATGGAAGGGAGGATGAAGGCGGTGAAGTAGACCTGTAGCGAGCACACTCTTTCCACAGTCAGGGACTAGAGCATTCTAAGCGCTTCATTTGGAAGGGCCCGTCGTCGACTACCCGAGCTGTCTCCAGGTGGGGATGCGACGCCTTTCTCCACTGAGTTATAGTGAGTCTTGGGCCAGGTCAACTTCGGCCACTTTCTCGGTCGACCTAACTGAAGGCACGATCCCCACTTTGTTAACAATCATGAGAGTCTCTACCCCCATTTACACCATACTATTTCAAAGGCCTTTTTCTAATAGGTTCTAAGCCATTTGCCACGGCAAACGATGCGGGCTTGCTACGGTCACTGAGGAACAGCGCAAGAAGACCGTGAGGATCGTTCCGCCAACAGGAAAAGCTGAAAGGACGTCGGCCTATCGCTTTGAGCGACAGGTCTGGATGATCTGTCAGATCGTCTTGGATTTGCTTGACCATTCGCTCGGCCCTATCAGGGCCCGGTACCTGGCGAGCCCCTGGAGAATGGAAGAATCGCTAGCCAATAATATCAAGTCATAAACCTGTGAATCGCCCGTTCGAACTAGGAGTGATACATTGTATGAGACCCGAGTTCCTGCGAATCTGGCGGGGTATCTGTCCCTTGCACAAAAAGTCTCCGCTTCATTGTCACTTGGTCTACATTTATGCTGGTAAATTGTTTATTGAAATAATGGTCCATTGGAAATAAAGCGTCTATGAATGATATCAAAGACCTATTCTGTCAGAGCTTCACAAGTACCAATTCATCTTTGTCGTTACGAGTTTGAATTTCATTCTACCGTGCTGAAATCCATCTGGATGGGGTCGCAACATCGGTTTCTTTTATATATCCCGAGCGTCCATCCACTTCAACAGAAGAGAAAGCTCCTCTGCAACAAACAATGGATCGTCTCGTTGGATGAAATGACCACAACCTTTTGCAAAAATAGGGCCCCTTCTTTGACTGGGTGGAACAATGTTCACCAAGTCTTGATTGTACCGGTGCCAATATGGGTTTGTATAATTCATTGTAAGAGCAATGGGGGTCCTAGTGCGCTGTAAAATGGTCAGCATTTATGCATAACTATAAAAATGAAGCATAGCACAGTATTGTTAGAGGAACACTGATATCATTCTTCCTCGTGTCTCGACCATTGGCGGATACAGCTGGTATTACCTACCTCCAAACCCTCTTGCGCAAATGCCTCCCAGTCATGTCCCACAACCGTCAACAACGGTGTCCCGTTCCTAGGCCCTACTAACTGAGGCCCATCGGAATAAGGGAGGAGTTGAGCCAAGTTTCTTCGACTCAATCCTTCACTATTAGGAACGCTGGGATGGAACATGGCACCAGACTTCTCACATGCAACCCTAATATCCTCAACAGTCACGCCCTTCGGAAGTGCATTTGCATCAAAATCCGCCGCATCTGGGTCGGGCCAAATGGATACGAAATCTGAATTTGCCATGATAGAGTCTAAGAAGAGAAGCCCGGACACAGTGTTTGGATATGTCTGAGCGTAGAGACGCGCGATAGCGCACCCAATGGAGTTGCAGACGAATACTAAGTCGAGGCTTCCAAAGTCGCTCTCTGCAATATCCAGTTTCGTAGCAGCAATGCATTTGATGAGTTCGTGTAAGTCAGCTACCGCGTCAGACACATCGTGGCCATGACCATCTCCGCTCCTGTCGGCCGGGTCTTTATCGGTAGTTGCACCCTGCCCGTATCGGTCATAACAGAGCATAGATGGATAGCCCTTTTCATCGTGCTCCCCTTTGGATATGAGGGCTCTGGTCACAGGAAGCCAGAGTATTTTGGGGAGCATTAAGCCGTTTAAAAAGACGACGAGCCTCGTCCGCGGTGATGGCAATGAGGTACCTGGAATGAAACTGTAACTGATCGTTGCTGAAGGTTTCGACGGGAGGGCAATGTACCCTTCCTCCATTCCCTGCGCCATGATGTCTGATGTCTGAGGACAGAGAAAAGGGTTTCTTTTTCACAGTCAATAAGGTACTATTTTCTAATTGAGTGGATGTAAGAGCTTGGTTTTATAGCCAGCTGCTTACTCGACTGTATATAGGGGGGGTGTTGCCAGGCAAGCAAGCTGCTGACAAATTCACCAACCACCCAAGTTATATGGATAATTGCCCCCTTGGACCCCTGATAATTCATATATCACTCCATACTACTCGCGGTCGACAGTGAGAGTCGGAATCCACAATGAGGGTAACTAATTGCCAGGCGCACCTGCTGCTAAACTGCAGGTGGGGGCTGAACCAATCAGTACCTCTGGAGCCGATAGTTACATTACCTGCAAGTAGTGTCCACTGATCTGTCGGTCAGCCAGCACCGCAAGCGAGCCCCTCCTGCTAGATATCACCACCAAACAACCCCCCGATATCGTCTGTATATACACCACTGTAGTCACCTAGAATAGTCTATTCCGATGCGGTAACTCATGGTCGATATTTGACTCCCATCTCTCACCATAGCTACCCGATGTCTTCCTCCAGCCAATTCAGAAAGTCCAATTTGGGTAATCTGAGATTAGAAAATAATATGCATGATGGAATTTTGGTTCAAAACAAGATAATCTAAGACCGTCTATAAACACCAACGCCCCATGCGGCTCTGAGGACAGCTAGTCCCCATGCCATCCCCAAGCTATCCCAGATAACGTTTAATTTACTACCCTTAATTTCTTTCCAACATACGGCTACCTCGGCCATTGGAATGTTAGCACTCTCCGCAAGCATAAGCATCTCCACGTCAAAAATCCATCCTTCAGAGTGCATATAGGGTATAATGTATGGAAGTGAAGCCCGAGAAAATAGTTTGAAGCCGCACTGTGTATCCCTGATAGCTGCAGTCGCAGGCGGAGTAAGGATACGGAGTAGTAAATGAAATGAATGCATAAGAAAATTCCGCAGAAACGAGCGCTGCATAAAAGGGTAAGCAAATTTCATCAAGAAATGGAGTGGACGTGTATACCTTGACAACAGCTTCGCTGCCAACCAAGTGTGCTCGAGAGCCGATCGCGATGCCTCGACCCTGTGGATCTTCGACCTTTTGGCACTCCTTGACCAGCTTTCCAAGGTCATCAAATTGAGTCGCGCCGTCCGCGTCAGCGAAAATTGCATAACACCCTCGTACATGCCGAAGTCCATGCGTCACAGCACCACCCTTTCCGCGGTTCTCCTCTAGTGATACAACTCTAATAGACCCTTCCACGGTAGCAGAATCTTTTGCGCTAATGACTGTCTCATCGCCTCGCTGCTGCACTTCTGAGAGGTGATGATTGCGCGCAAATGTGAGCGCCGTCTCCACAGTCTTATCCGTCGAACCGTCCGAAACAACAAGTATTTCCCATCCGTGGAAAGGCTTCGGGATCGCTCTGTTAGGTGGAGTATTTTTCGATTGTGCGTGGCGGGCGGCGGTATTTGTTACTTCTCTTCGCTCAGGCTCCAACTCGCCGTTGCTCTTGTTTGCACCATGATACGTCGATTTGAGATAAACCACGGCTTCCTCAAGCATAATAGCCAAGCGTTCTTCTTCATTGAATGCCGGAACAACGACAGACATGAAAATCTCAGGGGCCTCGAGCTCTACATTTTCTTCAGAAAAGTCCCCTTTTTTATGCGCCGCCTCTTTCTGCGCATCGTATTGATCTTTCCAGCATGGCAATTGCTTGGGAGAGCTGGTACTTCCGTCCGGCAAGATAGTCCTATATGTCTTCTCAGATCGACGAGGCGGTCGAGGCGTGGGAGCGACTATCAAGATAGCAACGTAGAGCTAGTATTGAAGAAAAAATTAGCGTAAGCTATCTAATTGCAAGTCATCAGGTTTCCTACAAAGGAAGCACCTCCAACAGTCAAAGTCACGAGAAGGAGGATTAACAAAGGAAGTGGAGCTGCTTGGATCAAATTGAGGAGCTCGTAGAGAGTACCCGCAACACCATTGGCGTATCCCATGTTGCTGCTTGAAGGTATCCAATTGCGCCGAGCTCCAGTTAATTTCAAGAACTCCGCCCAATGTCAGTAATAATTAATCCATTGGAACATGGCAAATCCCATGTGATTTCAATTGTTTGGATAGTACTAGGGAAGAAGCAAGTCCCTTGCGTGCAATGTGTCCTTGTCGAATTGACGGCGTTTTCCGCTGCCGTTGTCTTTTGGCTCATCTCTAGTGTGGCTCTGGTGTGGGGAAAGACCCGACCGGTTCCCCATGAGTGGTGCTCGGGAACGTAAATAGGCACACCCGCACCACCTCGAGCCAGCCGTCCCCAACGATATCGGATAGCGAGGACAGACCCATTCTACGGCTGCTTTCTCTAACAACTGGAACGCCTCCTCCGTATTGCAATTAGACCTGGAGAAATAAACAGAATTAACAGAAATGTAAGTTGCAATTGAGATTAGCTAATGTGTAGCCCATTTCTCAATGATCTTGACAAGGCACTGCACACATTTGCATGAAGTCGTTATTATTCAGGTATCGAAAAAGTCTATTTCTAGATCGCCCCGCGAAGATGGACCAGACATGTTGGATAAAAGTAGTTGCAATTGAGTACAATTCAAGCGTATAACACCCTCACTCGTCCTGCATTAACCGTCTACCCTCTATAAATCAGAGCCTGTGCATGAGTCGTCAGTATACCTCGTGCTTGAAATGACGAAAAACCCTACTTACTCTCTGCTTGACCTTCTTTCGACACAAGGGGCAGCTGGCCGTCGTGGCTGGTCTCGTTTTGTCAAGCCGATGGGGAGGAACGTGCATGTCGGCGCACCATTGGCACATAACCAGATGCCCGCATGGAAGCACAACCGTATCTGCAAGCTGCGTATAGCATATCTTGCATTCGAGGTTTACGGTTAGCTCCTCGCTCTCTTTCGGTGGCGGTCTTCCACTTGATTCATTATCTAGCCCTTTGCGCTCCCCTTCTGGCTCTGATTCTTCCTCTTCATGGTCGTTGACCAAGTCAAATCGAGCGCTTGCTCTGATGCGAAGCCATCTGAGAAGCGATTCCCTAGAAGGAGAATCCAGCAATGAGAGCTCGCGCAATCTAGGTTCAAACCTAGTCACAAACAGGCCATCCTGGGCAAGCGTTTGATTTGCCGTTGCAGTCGATGAACTGCTCTCGTTTCGATTCCGATCATGTGGGCTATGACCCCCAGATTGCATTGTAGGTGATAGTGTCTGGGGGACCGGTACATCTCTCGCCCAGGGCATTTGTGACCAACCTTGAGCCCGCAGCCCCGCATAATACTCATTAAGCATATCATCGTCATCATCGGCCTCGTTGTTGAATCTCGTTTCCTCTAGCGCTCGATTTGCTTCGGCTACGCTTGAAGGCTCTCCGGTGGTTCCTTCCATGACTTGCTCCTCAGCTGCAACGATTTCTCGTAAGATACGATCTCGTCTTTGTTCCTCTTCTCTTTCTCTGTAGCGACCCCAGGCACGATTGAACATTCCTGTAATTGGACTCTCATAATCGGCTCCTTGCCTTTCGACCTCTTCCCTTGAGCCAAATGTACGAGTGTAATTCTCTACGGTGCGATGCTCCCGTTCGAGCTCTCGCACACGTTCTCGCGCAGCTTGTACGTTACTTTCAGATGCCTCAAGATCGTCTGCCGCTCTCTCCCTTGCACGCCGAGCTCTCTCAAGAGCCGCATTCGCTGCATCAAGTCGGTTTTGGATGGATGATATCGACACCATGGGATCGTTGACTTGGCTACTGTCAGGCTGGCCAACTGTCGGAACCAACCCGCTTCGCAGTGGTCTCTCCGAAGGAGCCCTCCTTTCATGGGCAAAGAAACCTTGCTGGCGAAGTCTGCCCAGACTTGTTTCTCTGGAGTCAGATCGTGCCAATGATTCTGCGGATTCCTCGGCGCGTTCGCCTAGGCCATGTAGGCTGGCCATTACTCTCTCGGTGCTGCTACGAAGCTGCTCTAGCTCTCTTCGCAGTGCAGTGATGTATATTGCCTGATCACCATGTCTCCTTCTCAGGTTTCTGTCAATGGCCGTGAATCTGGATGAAACATCCTCGGCGCTTTCGTCTGGGTCTTGGTCCGGGTCCAGATCGGACCCGGTGGCTGCTCGGATTTCATCCAAAGCTGCGCTCAGCGCCGAGGAAAGACTCCCCGCTGTCTCTGATTCATGCTCTCGCTGAAGCGCTGAACTCGCAGCTTCACGTCGCTCCGCTTCTATTTGGGCCTCACGTAGTTCTTCCAAGCTTCTCGGGAGACGGCCTGGAGCGACCTCTTGCAGAGGCTCACCGGTAACTTCAATTCTCCCTTCCGAGCCATCTTCATGCTGCACTCTCCTGTACCCTCGATGGTGATCATACCAGCGCTCGAGAAATTCGGATTGGTCGGGTATATCGGGAATCCTCGTCTGAGATGGCGGAATCGGAGGGCTGGCAGCGTCTATTCTCGCGTCCCAGAACTCTGTAGAGCCTATGTCAGCTAAAAGGTTTTAATTCACGATGACCATTTGCTACCTTTACACATCCAACAATACCGCTGCCATCGTGTAGCGCGACGGACAAATCCCACCCCATCAATATAAACCGAATAAGATGAGGAGTGCGAACGACGATCGGCGCATGCACAACAGAGAGGTGTAGCTGTAAGCAGGCAAGAGGTAGGCAATTTATGGGGACAATGCTCAGGAAGGCGTGGCGTATTCGCTGTTAGAGTTGCCATTCTAAAGTACAATAAAGCGCATCGTGTATGAATGAAGGGTAGATTAATAATGATATGATGTGTGTGTGCTTTGCACGATAAGGTCAAGAGGTACACACGTTGCGGTGTTTGGATGATCCACCGGGGGTTAAACTCCGAGCAAGCTCCGATAACCCCTCCCTAACTAAAACCAGTCAGGCAATGATAACTAAAGTCTGGGGAACTCGTCTAAAATGGATTGACTTGTGTTATGACCTCTTGCTAACGTCATTATTGTTAAAGCTGAGGAGCCAGCACATGGAGCTAATTCGGTCACAATCTCTGTCAATTTCAACTTCAACTTTTAAAGAATTACAATTCCAGTCGGCCGGGTATTCTTGGCTATGTTTGCTCGCTCCTTACTCATCTCAAGACATATACCGAAATTAAACTCATCAATTCTGCATCGCACAATGTCTTCCTTCATCTTGCCGAGCTCTTCACCAGCCGTCAACGTCACGGTTCCCGAAGACTTGTCTAAAGATCAACTGTTGTCATTTCCCGCATTCAAAAATTGGATTTCGACTCTGCAGCATTCGCTGTCTTTGCAACAGAACAAGGATCACACATTTCATGATTTACCCTATAAATTGCGGAGGATCAGGGTCCAGTCCGTCGATTACTTCGGCGGCGAACGTCTGGGCTTTGTAAAATTACAGGCCGAAATTTCAAACGACAATGGGGAAAAGCTGCCTGGATCAGTATTCCTGAGAGGCGGTAGTGTTGGAATGATGGTGCGCTGCCATTCCGTGCCCACTGTTAGGAAATGGAATTCTAACTATATCGACAGCTTGTTTTGCAACCCGATGACGTACCTGAGCACTCCGAAGACGAAAAGTATGCTATTTTAACCATTCAACCTCGTGTGCCTGCCGGCTCTCTGGCCCTGACCGAGCTCCCTGCGGGCATGATTGACGATGCTGGAAATTTCTCTGGAGCAGCAGCCAAGGAGATCAAAGAAGAGATTGGTCTCGAAATTCCCGAAGATCAACTGACTGACCTCACGAATCTTGCTCTACCGTCTACAGAGGAAAGCACCGGTGAGAAGCTGCAAAAAGGTACATACCCAAGTCCGGGTGGCTGCGACGAGTTTGTACCCATATTCCTTCATCAACGGCGCGTTCCCAGAAATCAATTAAAGGACTGGCAAGGGAAATTAACGGGTTTGAGGGACCACGGAGAAAAGATTACGCTCAAGCTCGTACCATTGGAGTCACTGTGGAAAGAAGGCGGTCGCGATGCGAAAGTCCTTTCCGGATACGCACTTTACCAGGGGCTGAAGAAAGAGGGAAAACTCTAAAAACTTGGCGCACGGGATATATTCGGTCATCATGCGGCGGTAAAGATGATCCGACCATGTGCCTGAATCAACACTTGAAAATAGCATTGCCAAACCAGCACACTTGGGAAAGGAACGAGCTGGATTGCGGGATAATTATTTTGCATCCTTCATAATCTTCTTAATATTATGCGTGTTCTATGTGTGTCTATGATATGATGTAAGCGCCGTGAGCCCCGCATGCAGGTAATTTCTGGAGATTCATGTCTTGCGAGATTAACAAAGCTTCCACTTTTTGGCGACCTCGAAGCCTTCAGCTAATGTTCCAACACGAGCATCGATAGCGTAACCCTCTTGCTCAAGCTTGCGGCATTCCGAGTACAAGTCCTTCAATGGGACCGAGAAGCACTCAATGAACTCATTCTCTTCGAGCTCAGTTTTGAGATTCTGGTTCTCGGGCCGGGACATGTCAACCGTTACATGTACCATGTTCAAATTGGTATTGCAAAAGCCGGGATCTGTAGTAAAAGTTCAATAAATGTTACAAATTGACATTTTCCGGACTTACCGTTGTACATCACCGGGCTCACTGCACTGGATCCCTTTGCAACCTCGCCCACATAACCCGTCTCCTCTTTAAGCTCCCGTAGAGCGCATACCTCAGGGCTTTCTCCAGCGTCAATTAATCCAGCTGGAACTTCAATGCACACTTTGGCGACTGGTGGCCTATACTGCTTCTGCAAAAGGAGTTCCGGTCCAGTAGATTTCTCGAGTATGGCAATTATCCCTACTCCGTCAATTCCCGAGCCTTGCGGCCGCGTTTGACGCTCTGAAGACTCCCACGTGCGCTCCACACCATTGGGATCTAGGTATGTGGTTCTTTAATTTTCGAAAAAAAGAAAAAATATCAGCTTTTATCACAAAAATTTATGGCCAGATTGGCTGTGGTGCTTCCATACTTGACTAGCCTCGCCCAGCGAGCTTCTTCATTACGCTATTTTTATCTCAGCAAGCCAAAGTCTTGAGAATAAATGATCACTCTGCACGAATGAAACTTACCAGAGGCTCAGTAGAAATGAACTTGGATCCTGAAGCCGACATTTTATTTTTCTTATATTAATTCCACGCGAGTAGGGTATTCGGTACAATTCAATGTTTGATGTCAAAAGACGGTTGAAAGTGTCGTTATGATTTTGAAACCCGGGAGTCTCTGCGCTGACGTAGCCTGGAGCTACACGTGATAGGCGCCAAAGTAGCGGTACCGCTCGGCACGAGTACCTTACTCACCTTCGGACTCCCTTTCCCCGCTACCTTTTTCTTCAGGCCCTTGGAAAAAATACGAGAGCCATGTACCTGGTCTGATCTCCCCTCAGACGAGACTTTTTGTACGCGAATTCACTTTACCTGTTCCTGAATGTGGCCCCTGTCGCATAAGTCACCTTTTGGTCCATGCTTATTTCACCCCAGACCATGGCGACGAGTCGTAATCCATTCAAAATCTTTCGGCTCGGTGAAACTTTGCTGAAATCATAATGCCACCAATCTGTTATGGTCTTGCATGATTCATCGTCATATATGCGGATCGAATCATACGCAAAGGGGCTTCCACAGTCTGCTCTTGCACATGCATTCTGCTTGATAATAATGATGCGTATTCCCTGAAAACGTGGTGGCTTGGAGCGCTCATGCTCCACATTGATCGGCACACTTCTGAATAATTACTCGAGTGACCTTCTAAAATTGAATGAGCTGATACCCTAGTACAAGCCAAAAAGAAAATATATATATATATACGAATAGGGGGCCGCTGTGTGATTGCTGGTGTGCGCGTCCGGCTGAGGATGGTGAGCTTGACTAAAGCACTGGATTCGAATATGAGCTGTCAATTGAGACAAAGCTGTTATTGGAGGTGTTCTCTCTTCTGCAAATTCTCCACAGGTCCCAGAACAAGAGATAGCACCTCCGCCTCTGTTGCTCCTACAGGACATTATTTGTTGTACTTCCGAAGAGTCAAACTATGCAAGCTTAGAAAATTCTTTTCCCATGGCTTCGGCGTATAATAGTATTTGATGAATTTGCGGTCCTCACAGCAAGCAATCCTTTTCTAAGAGTGGCATTTCCGACATCACGATGCAAAGAATTTGAGGGTAGAAGATATTAATGAGTAATAAAATATCGGGGTAGCGTCCAACAATGCGAGAGTTAGATTGTGTTGTACTAACCACAGATATCCTAATAATACAGTTAACAAGTAATAGAATCGAATCACAGGACATGACCACAAAGGTACCGTGCGGATTGACTCCATTCTCCCGAAGATGAGGTTTATCAGAGGGCAATATAAAATGTGCCCGAAGCATATTCACATGGCAAATCCCCAAACAGAGAATTGTCAGCGCACCAATCAGCAAGCCAATAACAGTAATTACATTCGGCGGTGAAGCTGTTCATTTTATTTCCATCGCGTGGTGAGTGGTATGATATGGTGTAGGATCCAAGCAGACAAGAGGATTAGCAAGGTTGAAAGAAGAGTAGCGTAATCACGATAGCCAAATGCATCGGATGATGTGCGGGACTTGCCGTATCTGGAAAATTAATCGAATCTTCTCCAGAGTGGGTACTTACTTGTACTTTTCGTTCCCCTCGCTATAGGGGTCCCTGCGGGTAGGGGTGGCTTCGACGATAATTTAGTCTGGCCCGTCGCCATTCTTCAGACTCCATCCATTGATCTGGCATTTTTGCGCGATGAGGGAAGTGAGCGCCCAGGTTTCCGCAGAAAAGTCTAAAGCCGAAAGGCGCCATCTCCATCATGAGGCCGACGTCGTCATCATCGGCGGCGGAGTGGTGGGATGCGCCATTGCTGTCGCCTTGGGCCGACAGGGACGCAGCGTCATTCTGCTTGAGCGAAGTCTGAAGGAGCCGGACCGGATTGTTGGCGAGTTGTTGCAGCCTGGAGGCTGTGAGGCGCTGAGAAAGCTTGGCATGGAAGGTAACTATCTATCGCCCTTTCTCAAGACCAAATATGTTTTGCCTGCTGACAGTGGTTGAGATTGTCTTGAGGGCATCGATGCGGCGACGGTGAAGGGCTACCAAGTCATTTATCACGGTGCAGGCGTCCACATTCCTTACCCGCCCAATGCCGAACAAAATACGAAAGAGAATGCCGAGGGCCGAGCTTTTCACCATGGCCGCTTCATCCAGAAACTGCGAGAGGCTGTCAAAAGAACGCCGAACGTCACGATCTTTGAAACAACGGCGACTGATCTGGTCCGAAACGGCTGGACAGGTCAGGTCCTCGGTGTTGAGGCGCAAACACAGGGCCAAAAGGACTACGTATGTTACGACAGGGAACAAAACAACCTGGAAGACGTTGAAGAACCTTACTGATCGATGACAAAATTAGTACTTTGGTCACCTTACAGTCGTCGCGGACGGATATGCCTCCAAATTTCGGAAAGGGAATCTTCAAAACCAGCCAATTGTCAAATCAAAGTTCTTTGCTCTTGAGCTTATCGATGCTGATATGCCAAACCCCGGACACGGTCATGTCGTTATCAGCGATAACCCACCTGTATTGCTCTATCAAATCGGCTCACACGAGACTCGAGCCTTGATCGATATTCCTGAGAATCTTCCCTCAGCATCCGTTAAGAACGGCGGAGTAAAGGGGCACCTCCGAAACGTTGTCATCCACGATCTGCCCAAATCGGTTCAGCCGTCTTTTGAGAAAGCTCTTGACAATGGCTCATTGCGGTCCATGCCCAATTCATTCCTTCCTCCGACTACCAACAAAGTACCCGGACTTCTGATTGTTGGCGATGCCTTAAACATGCGACATCCTTTGACTGGCGGAGGAATGACGGTTGCATTCAATGATGCAGTATTATTGGCAGAATTGCTGAGCCCTGAGAACGTACCGCACTTTGGCGACACGGGACTCATTCTCAAGCAACTTTCAACATTTCATTGGCGCCGGAAACATACATCCTCAGTGATTAATATTTTGGCGATGGCGCTTTATGCGTTATTTGCTGCGAATGGTATGGATTACGCTTGATCATTCCCTGCCAAGTCACATTAAGACTAACGTTGCTCTAGATCCGCAATTGAAGGTTCTCCAGTTGGGTTGTTTCCGTTACTTTTGCAGGGGTGGCCCATACGTTGATGAGCCTGTCGGCCTCCTGGCCGGTATCATTCACCATCCGCTCATACTTTTCTACCATTTCTTCGCCGTTGCTTTCTATTCGATATGGATTCTTCTGTCCAACTCCAAGGCTTCCCATTTGCCAATTGCAATACTGCAGAGTTTTGCGGTTTTCTACAAAGCTTGTGTCGTCATTTTCCCTTTTATCTTTGCTGAATTGAGGCGATAGTTTTCGTCGCGCTCTGCTGAGAAGCGTGCAACATCGTATTGGCCACGGCAACGGCATTGGATGCGGCGTCTATATTATTGTCATATTATTTTTACTGTATATTATAATTTTCTTTCTTATTTCACGATGGACTTGATTTTCCTACATAGATCTGTTGGTGCGTTTACTCCATTTCTCAAGTCGATACCTGGTTCACATCCCTATGCGAAGATAAAGAAGATTATTTATTATATATAACGATACTAATATAATACAACATCTGAATGTCAAGGCTGTAATTATGAATTTTTTTATGGAAAGTACAACTGGAGACAAGCTTTCTCGTGGAATTAGACAAACCATTAGGCAGCGCTCGAGCCCACTAGCGTCACGTGGGGAGCGGAGGCGGCGCCAAATCCGCCGACCTGAGTCGAGGCAGATATACATGTGGTCGGCAGGCGTCAATGCACAGCTTCTCAGCTCGGTCACTGCAACATCTAACTCAGATAACACCACTATCCCTCCGGTCAGCTATATAGCAACCAAATAATTGAGACATCTTCTCAAGAGGAGTCTTATTCTTCTTCTTATATAACCTTCGATAGCAACACCACAATGTCACGCTGCCCGATTGTCGTTGTTCCCAAATTTATCGGGACGATAAGTCTTGGCCTTTTAACGGTTCGTTCAAATCCGATCTATCTTCTCCATTTAAAATAGATGCTATTATTCGGGAAGCTTGAACGTTTTGAAAGACTGATCATGATCGAAACTTATAGGGTGTATCCTACACTCTCTCCACCCAGACTCTTCCAACCCTCCTTGCTTTCCCTTCCGCCGCGACAGCTCACCACAGTCTTCAGAAGCTCCAATCTGTCGCAAAGCGCCACCTCCATGCACTATCTGGGCTTTCAATCGTCTCTTTGAGCACGGCCTACTTTTTCTCTCCTCCGCGTGGCCGACACCCTTACCTGCTCTGGACCAGTCTCATGGTGGCTCTCAGCGCCGGCGTCGATTTTGCTCTACAGAAGAATGAAGCTCGCCTGTTCTCTCTCTCGAAGCGACAGGAGCAAAGTGGCTCAGAGAGCGGCGAACTCCCTCTTCATGAAGCCAAGAGGGCAGAGGAGGGTTATGCTGGCGCCATCAACGGCGAGGAGGTGAAGAGCCGCATGGAGGCCTTCCAGTTGGCTCAAACTGTCCGCGCGTGCGTCGCTGGCATTGGCTTTTTGATGGGCGTCGTTGGCATCTGGGGCGATGGTGCCTAAAGGCTATGAGCCTCTTTGTTGGGATATATATCACCAGATAAGAAAGTGATGGGGCACATATATCATCTCAAGGAGACGGGCTTCTCATTTCTATCCGGCATTCTGAAACTTTTGAGATTGAAGCCCGACTTTACATTCGCGAGGCCCGCTGAGGTTTCTTCATTCGGGAGCGATGTGTCAGCTTATCTTGAAGATATATTCACATCTTGACAGGATGGCTAACTGAGTTTAAAACATCTCTTGTCATGCCTTTTTTTTTCCTTTTGGCGTTGGGAGCGTGTATTAGGGGATGAATTGAGGGTTTCCGCGGCTGAATATATTCATGTCATTCTATGTAAATAGCACTCTTCACTCTTGCTTGCCTGCAGGATAAGCTTCCCATTTTTAATCCAATCTTATCTCCTTATGAATGCAACCTTGGACACAATGTGATTGTTCAATGCATTGGCAGCGACATGTTTTCACAGACATAAAGCAAATCCATGGTTCAAATATTTTTATTTGGAAAATATTTGATTTTTTTTTTAATTGGTTTCATATGGTTTTTAATCTCAAGGCCTAATCCAGTTAGTGTAGCGAAGCAAGAAGCACTGAAACAGAAAGAAACACAAGACGATAACAAAGGAAAAACCAGGACACTACGAGTCACTTACCTGAAAGGGCAGGACTTACCTTGCACCATCGAGATATATCTTCACTAGGTCACTGGAGCAATGGGTGAATCTCACTTACCTCTTCCCAAATGCGGGATTCATACCTTGACCACCTGCAGTAGAAGCAATTGCTGGAGTAGGACTTACCTTGTCCATAATAAAGGACTGTCGAAGCCTCACTCGAGGACATAGCCCTCCTCATAGATATGACCAGAGTCGGAATTGACGAATCTGTACCCTGTGGTTGTCGGCGCCTTGAGCGAAGTCTCTTTCAATCGAGCAACATCGTCCCAGAACGCCGTTGAGTGTACGGCCTGAACCCAAGTCATGGGGATCAGATACCTTGTACTGAACGCAGGAACGGGGATATCAGTGCGCACCGGGACGGGGACAGCGCCCTCTCTGGTCACGGGAACTCTATTGCCAGGCCAACCTTCGATGATCAGCCCGTAGCAGCAATCTGTCTGTTCTGCCATGGGGTCAATAATGCCGCCGAAGACAAAGTCCTCAAAGGCGGAGCCCAACTCTGCCAAACGATGATTCTCAAAGAAGGGTTCGACGATTGCAGCACCAATCTCGTCAGGGTCACGGGGATAAGCCGCAAACCCAATGGCATGTGTACACTCGTGACAGAGGGTAATTGCCAAGATGAGCTGAATACGTAGGCGCTCCGAAACAGATAGTCTGCCGGAGCCAAGATGATAGAGAAAGATAGGGTTAATATCAATATACGAGCCCAGGCCGCCCATGGGATGCACGATGTCCGCGTTGCCGCTTGTGCAGCCCCAAGAGTTCATGGTTGTCAACAGGGGATTGGTCCTGAACTTGACAAAGCTTGCCAGATTCTCCAAGGTGTCAAATGTATCTTTGAACTGCAGAGGCGTTAGCGGAGTCTCCTGCCGATTAAAAGTAAAGCATGGGCGCCCGTACGTCTCAGTCATCCCGCCTCCTAAAATATCATTGCGGCCGTAGATCAAGGCATGGAAGAAGGTGATGGAGCTCATATCCGTCAGGATCCTCGAGGCCAGACGCAAAGTCGGCATGAGGACCTGATATTTCTCGTCGAAGACAAGAAAATTCTCCCGACTAAAGAGGGGATGGATATCGTTGGTCAGATCGCCCAGATTGGCGCCGTTGAGCTCTAGAGCATCGTGATCCTGCAGGAAGAGATAGTTGAACTTTGACAGAAAGATGTCGTTGACTGGCCAAGACTGGCAATCCATTGTAACTAACTGTCAGAAGAGGAAGAAGAAGATACCGCTTGCCTTTCCAAATGAAATGTTGTCTGCGTTTTTTTTTGATGACCTGTCAGAGTTCAAAGGTTGTGCAATGCCGAGAAGTTGTGGATGTCGATAGCCTTGGGGTCTGTAAAACGTTACAGGTCGCTGCATTTTATACATGATTTTCATTTTGAACAGGATCATGAACTTGAAAGAAACAACTTTTGATCAATTAAATGCAGTGAGCTGAACAGAGGAAGAAAAAAAATTGCAAGCAAGCAGAACAGGAGATGACAACATGATATGAATTTAAGAAGATATTATGAACAGTAAAGAAATAACGATGAACAATTATCTCAATATATCCATATGCAAAACTGTTTTTTCTTTCTCCTTTTCGAAATGATGGCATGCTCAACAGGAGCCCTATGTGTTCAGTGCCGGTCAACGGAGATCTGGATAAATTGTAAATTGGACATGTTTGCTTTTGCTGTCCTGCATATTGCAGAAGTAATATGAGAGGGCAAGATCTTAGGGTAAGTATTCATGCCCAACCCTTATCGACATAAGGCGGCGCTGAGAGCGCGGCCCCTTTTTGCTACAAGATACTTCCCCTCGCTCTGTACTCCGTACTCTTTGTTGTTTGCGTTGCAGACAAGCGAGAGGGGCGATGACCTCATATGGCTTGGGACTAGATATTCCATCTGCTTTTTGTCGGGTCGAATCTCGCTTAGATCAGGCCGCTGTATAAAGGTAACTTTGTCAGAGAATGGCTTTGTATTGATATCGTCGTGAACAGAAATGGCCTTTTTCTATGCAGCTCCTCGAATAGCCATTGTAAAATCTTCTCATTCGCTGCTTAGCGGAACTGGCTCCGTGCTGAATGAAGTGAAAGAAACTTGACTATTTTGCAGATGCTTCTTTGTATGTACGGCAGATACAAAAGTTGTGGATTTCGGCATCGGCAAATGAAGGGCAGCCGTGCCAGGTTAGATCCGAGTCCAAATGGGGAGTTTGGCCCCTTTATGAGACATAAACTTTCCACTAGCTTTACCTGATCAGGTGCTAGGGAGCGCAGGGTTGGCCAAGTGTGCAGTCCCAATCCGTCCATGTTTTGTCAACAGCACCCCACATTTGGCTCGTGATTCTGACACCCAGCCAGTGACATTGACGGATGAGACGGCCCATCATGAAGGATCGACAGGGAACCCCGGTCTTTATGTGATTGAATCACCCGCGCGCGTCGAAACCGCTAACCAGGGGCACCCATGAAACAACGGATCCTCAATAGCTATATTTGGTGCGGGTTACTCTCTTTCAGCCAAGTTCAAAGGGCAGGCCTGGCAGATGTTGCGGTATCGAGCGATCGCCACCCAATTTCACAAGAACAGGATGCGCCGATGGCGCGAGCGAACACGGGAAACCTGGTCGAGAAATGAAAAAAGTCGCAGTGGGCAAAGTATTGCGGTAGATGAGCTGGCCCGGTTTTGAATTTCCCCTTCCCGCCTCCGCTCGCTCTTTTTACATGGGCGATTAAGGTGCCTCTGATCATTGCATATACGGTCTTCAGCTTGCTCGAGTCGTGGGGGGGACAATTTTGCAGAATGGCCTGAAAGTATTTTAAAGGGGCTCGGGAAGGCAAACAAACAACTCTGTGAGAGAAAGTAGGTATGCTCCCATCACATTTCTGTTTCTTGTGTTATTTTGGATCTTGGCAGAGAGATAAGAACTGGTTTGGCTCCTTACTACCTACCTACGTAATTCTGCACGGAAATACGCTTTGTACAAAGTACAAAGTACTCCGTAAACTACTGCACAAACCAAATGGGTGCGACATTCTGTTCTGCTCCGGACGTTTGCAGAAATTCCAGCCTTCGGCCCCGATGAGCGCAGCTTGTCTCTGGTGTTCCATCGGGGTCTCGTGGCCTTTGCAAACGCGGAACTCTTGAATATTTTCTGTCGCTCTTAGTTGTATTCGTAGAAGAGATCTGGTTAAGTTAAGCTAAGACGTAATTTGGGTTGAATTGAGATATCCCTTGGATGATTACATCCTGATGGGGGATTGTTATTAAAGGTTCCTCTATCTCGAGGTTGGCCCAGGTATAGTCCTAGAGAGAAGAGAGTACGGCATCGGAGCAAAATGACGGCTCTTCGGCAGTGCGAGGTCGTAACCAGTCCGTCCAAGATAATAACCTGCAGCTTGCTTTGAGGTGATTTTCAATTGGCATCTCGCTTAAGGTCGGTCCGTTCCCTCTTTGTGGTCCACCCAACCGCTTCTTGCCAAACCTTCACGTTGTCATCCTCCATCTTTCATTATTGCGTTTTCGCATCTCCATCTCCTTTCAGCTCTCACTTCTGTGCTCATACTTTTCACTTGTCTTGTGCGATTTTGATGACTCCCGCTCGGCGATGACCAGGGTGTCCTCCGCCTGCTGAGGCATCACGATCTTCCCAACGGCCGAACTACACACTTCGCTTTTGTCTCCTTTATCGAAATTGGGTTGTGCGCAAAATATAGACCGGATAGAATGTGGTAGAGGAGGAGTGCAGGACGAAAAGAAAAAAAAAAAAACTTAAGAGTCTATATCATTAACTTTGCAAGAGATCATCGTCACATCGAGCGATGGGCAAGTGGCCTGCGGGCCCTATCACCGACAACCCAGCATCGATCCCGATTCGAAGGTGCTTAGACTGCATCCAAACGTGGGAATCTGGTTCACAGACTCAAGTCCCGTCCATCGAAAGAATCCTCCATTGAACTGCACCGAAAAAGGTCGACTTTCATTCTCATCTGATACACACCCGTGAACTCTCGAAAATCTCATTGTCAGGCTTCTTTCCTCCATTCGTTCGAGTTTCATACCCTGTTTTACAACCACCGACGTTCAAAACGAGGACGACTGCACGATCTGTGACTCTCTTTACGCTGATACCACGCCGCTCTCGATTTTCTTTCTCGGGTTCTCGGACTCTCGGATTTACGCTTTTCGTTTGAGGATTATTCTTGAGGGATTGGAGATTCTCTGACAAGACGACCGCGTTTGAGTCAAGCCTTTGCTGCTAGAATCGACTTTTGACACGCTCGGCGATTCGTCAAGAGTGCTTCAACCAACCCGCCTCTTCTACTCTACGATCGTTTATTCAACAACAAGCAGCGTCAACAGCTCGGATCTTACGGCGGCTCTCTCCCTAGAAATTACGCAAATATGGCACTTTCCAAACTCCACCCGTCTTCTCGGGTCCACTCCGCCTGGATCGTTGTATTGACCATTCTTATGCTCGGCGTTCAGGAAGCCCTCTCTCTCGACATCAGATACTGCTCCAGTCAGAATACAGGCTCAAGCTTCAACTCAGGTTCGTCTCATCAGAAGGATGCTCTCGATGATTACACAACGTGACTAACGCGAGCTGTTCTAGTTTCCAACATCTATCAATCTAATGGAGCCTGTTCAGATACCTGCAAGTCAAATTACGCGTTTGCCATCCTTCAAGGTTCCTCCTGTTGGTGCTCAAACTACGTTCCGTCGTCTACCACTTCGACTGGATCGTGCAATCAAAATTGTCCTGGATACCCTGATGATAAATGCGGTAATGAGTCTGAAGGGCTTTACGGCTACATTGCGCTTGGGAACAGTCCCTCTGGTACTGCAGCGGCTTCTTCTAGCTCCCAGTCAAGTGGTCAAAAGCCGAGCACCAGCTCAACTAGTACCTCTCAGGCGGTTAGTAGTCAAACACACCCTGTCAACCCCTCGACACCAACCCACCTCACCCCATCTCTTCAGTCAAGTGTTCTTGTTATTCTTGTTCAGCCATCTTCAGTCTCAGTATCACTGAGTACAACCCGTTTGACACCCTTCTCAATCCAGACTACTCCAAGTGCGAAGCCTTCGACAGTGCGGGAAACCGTCACTGCCTCACAATCACCCTCGGTTATCATATCCGTCATAACTAATGTATGCCTCGCGCGAATTTCCTTTATCCCATTTGACTTTTGAATGCTTCTTGCCACGAGTTTGGTCCCCTGTTTGAGTAATTTTGTGCTAAACCAGTTCTAGACTCCTTCCACAACCTCCACTTCATCTCAATCGACGAGCACTTCCACTTCAGCCGACTCCACATCTACCTCTTCGTCGTCGACCTCTTCGACGCCAAGTCCTACGTCCAGTCCTCAACCGGCTGAAGAATCTCCTACAACATGGACTCCTACCCCGGTTACTACTGTCATGACCATAACTGGACAGGTTCGGACTGTAACTATGACTCCCACCGTGGCCCCGAGCTCGGTTTTGCCAGTCAGTAAGCACAGCGACGGCGGATTCTTTTCCCATGCAGGAAAAGTTGCGGGTCTCTTCGTCGGTATTGCGCTCATCATCCTCCTCGTGGCTGGCATGATTTTCTTCTGTTGCTGGAGGCGCCGCCAGCATCTGAGGGATGTCGCAGCCGAGTCTACCTCGAGCGAGGAGGGGCCATCACGTCGGCCAAGCCGAACCATGAGTGAGAATGGGCTCCTGAGCGGATTCATGGGCGAAAAAGTCCCTTCCACATCGAGCCACCGGGCAGGATCCTCTGAAAACGATCCTGAACCTGGTCGCTCTGGTCGACTTCCTCGTGTTGTTGACCAGCGCCTGGATCCTACCAGCCTCTACAGCCCCGTGCACGATAATTCCAGCCGCGCCAGTGTCAGGAGTCTCCGCGACGACCAAGATTATTCTAGGCGTGTTCTCCGGGTATGTTAAAATCATGACGATGTGTCTGGACGTTGAAATTGACAGTTTTCTACAGCTCACTAATCCTGATGAATCCGCGGATTAAATCCAACCTACACCTTATTCGTTTACGACCGAGCACGAACTTTACTTCTCCTTCTCCTTCTCCTTCTCACGACCGCCCTTGGGCGTTTCAATCCAATCTTGATCAATTACCCATATATTTGATTGTGATAGCTCCGATGCGATTTATGATTATCGCGATTTCTCCGGCTTATTCTCCCCCCCCTTTTTTTTATTGGCGTTTACGCTAGGTCGTCTGATCCAGCCTCTTTGCGCACTGTCGCGAAATTATATGATGGTTGGCAGGCAAGGTATCAATTAGCTGAATATTTCCCACCTTACAGTTCGGACGTAGTGAAACGTTCGTCGGCGTTCTCCTTGGGACTCGTTGAGGCCCCCGAGTTGACATTGTGTCATATGCAACACTTTTTTTATGTATTATACTTCTTTTTTTAGACCCTTTTCTTTTCAATTTAATATTTTTCTCTCTCTCTCTCAGACACTACATTCTCGCCTATCAGATGATCGGTGGCTGTGCTGAACCAGACACCAGCCGGTGTCGTTCTCTTTGCAACCGTCCCTGCGTGTAAAGTGTGTGGTTCTGCTCAAGAGAGGCACTAGATGCGGCGCACCAGTTGCAACCCGTGTAGAGAGACAGGAAAGGATAGAGAAGGAAACGGGAAAAAGCGGCGCAGTAGCCAGGACTGATATGATGGGGGGAAAGAAATGACAACGGCAGCTAATAGGAAGAGTGTCAAAGTCTTTGGAGGATGGACTTTGTCTGATTTTTCCAACCTGAAGAATTTCCGAGGCTGCCGCAGCTTATTCTCTGCTATTTTAACTCTGTATGTAGTAAATATTGCATGCAGCCACATCTCCAACGCCAGCCACGAGGGCTACATAAGTGACTGGACTGCACATAGCTTCCTCATGTGGTGGCAAAAGCCTGTGGCTTGTACAAGCACTCTACTACGTATAGCTCCTTATCAAGTTGATATTCATACGAGGTTGGTTTTACGTGCTGGTATATGAGCAGAGATAGAGGATTATCAAGGTATACAGCGATACGTTGGTTGGTTGTGAGCCATTGGTTAGATTCTTTTACCCGTGCCAGCTACCTTAGCGTGCGAGGTGCGAGCGATAAGCAGCCTCACGCCTACTTTTGGTCCAGTATAGTTCAGTACGGTACCGCGCCGTAGGGAACCAAGGCGACGGCATATTGTTGTCACTTGCGGGGTATGATCGTTGTAGACTCCCATGCTTCACACAAATACCTATTGATGATTTTGCTATATGCTGACCACAAAATTTATTATCATAGTCATCGAATTCTCATTAAAAGATCATAAAGAATGGTCAAAACCTCTAATTCTCAGGCTCTAAAATGGAATTTCTTCAATGTCCATTGACGACGCGCCAAGGCACAGACCGTTGCAGATTCGAAAGGATTCACATACCGTATTAGGGCATGGTATCAACGGCACCGCCAAAGTCACGGGCACTTTACCCAAGGAGGCCAACAAGACCTGTCCCCCACCATGAGATAACTGACCACCCAAACTATCCTGATGCAGGTTATCTGCTATCATATCGTTGCCCGCTTGGATTCCGTCACCTCTTGCGTTAAGAGTTTTGCACTCTGATCAAGTGAAGTTTGCTCCAGACCAGATACTGGCATTCCTCCTGCTGAGACATGCTGAGGTCTACCTCGCATTGGAATTGCAGCTTCTGGGCCAACACTGCTGATCGGAGACTTTCTCTACTCCACTATCATTGGACGGGTTAGATTTACGGAGGAAAGTGGTGGCACACCCCAAGGGGAAAGTCACGTCTTCTTGGCCGGATAAATGACCTATCTCCCCGCAGTGGGCTTCAAATAGTCTACAGAAATGGCAATTAGTCGCCTTCATGCGCCGGGGTGCTTTATGAGCTTTTAACTGATCTTGCCCCTGGAGTTTGTGATTGCTCTTACGAAGGTACTTTTCTCGAATCAATTATTCTTATACTGATATAACTTGTCCGGTGCTCTCTGCTTCTCACTTCTCCACTGGTCATTCGCCATACTAGGTGATAGACCTTGTACCTCTTTTTTCTTTTCTTTCTGATAGTCTCTGGTTTCCGCTGCTTTGGGCCTCCGTTGTAGGATGGCTGTGCCTTTGTTGCTGGGGTTGGCAGTTGCTTTCATAGCCACTTCTCTTCTCCTTTTATCAACAAATAAGAGGCGGCGAAATATCGTTCTAGAACGCATCAGCTTTCACCGTCGCCGGAATTCCGCCGCGGCGACGCCTCCTCGATCCCTGTCACCAGGAAAGAAAAATGTTTCCGCGCAGAGTGAGCCTGAGTATACCGATGTGCTACCACCTTCTCGCCGAGATGCCTTGAAAGATGCTGCAACGTCATTGGCGCCAGAGCAACGAGGCAAGCTCGAGACTCTATCGAAAGCTGTAGATGGAGCACCACGACACGGCGTTCCGCTGCAAGGACTGAATGAGAAGAGCGGGAGCGGCTCTCAAGCATTTCAATTCACATCTACAGATATCTCTCTTGCAGAAGTTGAGGCGCTTGGTGATTTTCCCGATTATGCGGCCCTCAGCGGAGTACCTTTGCCATCACCATACAAGGACTTTGATATCACGAAAGCGCTGCCTCGGCCATATCGGCCTTTCAGGTGGGCATATCACCAGACCATGTGTAAGAGGAACAATGTGAAACACCATTTTTACTTGGCATGATAAGCTTACCATGTGCACATAGCGTTGACGAAGATGGAACCAGACTGGTGGCTCGAACTAGAGAATACCTACGTGACTCGAATCCAGCAACGCAGGGACCTTTTTGCGCAATACGGAAAGGCTGTGCTTGACCACCTACCGGGAAGTGAACTTGCGTGCAAGGAGCTTATGGAGATGGCACTACAATTTCTTTGCAGTCGTTATCCACAATACTTTTCTCTATCTTCAGACAAGAGAATATTGCACAACAGGATTCTTGGAACGGAGACGGATTTGAAAGCAATTCATCCTCTCCATGTTCTTCTGGAGAACGTTCCAGAGGATTTTGGCATCATGTTACGTGACCCCACCAATGGTGCCTACTATCTGCGCGCCGGCGTTATCTGCTCTAGCCTGGGCTGGAACTTGGGATTAAAAGTGGGCAAGCGGCTGCATGAAATTCACGAACCCGTTCCCGATTACAAGGAGAAGATGCAATTTTCCATGGACAGGTAAAAACCACAACTCATTTCCAAATCCTCGGTGCTAACGAATTCCGGGAAACAGATTCTTTTCTAAAATGCCCACTGATCGTCCGATCCAGCGCGGATCCTGGGGTCTCGAGATAGACGAGCCGCTCTTCATGCCGCCTGGAGATCCGCATGAGGCGCACAGATTGACGCAACACGCCGACCTTCCCCTCTCTCGATGCAACCTTCGGGTCGACTGGCAGACTTTGCGCCGGCTCCCCTTGAGCGGCGCTATTGTTTTCAACTTCAAGGCTTTGTTTACACCAATCTCAGAATTCCGCGACGAGCCCTATGTGCCTTCCTTGGTCAGGACGGTGCTACTCCACGGCAAAGAAAATCTCATGAAATATAAGAGCACGTGGCATGTTCACCATGTCGTCTTGCCGGCCCTGGAGCAATGGGAGGCTGAACAGCGCGAAAAGGGTCTGACAGATCCAAATTGGACTTGCCATACATTAGAAGACACTCCGTATTTTCCAGGCTGGGAAGAAAAGTGGCATCGTCAGCAGGGATTTTAAAATATTTTATCCTTGCAGTACATTTTTTCTTTATTTTTATTTATTTATTTATTTATTTATTTTTTGATGATTCATATGAGGATATTACAACGACTTGGGTACATAGAAGAACAAAAAATACTCCCAAATATGAACATACCAATGCTTAGAAAATGATCGGACCTGGATATTGAAGATGCGGAACCCAACCTCGTTTCCCTTCACCTTATTAATCTCATCATTCATCGAATCATCGAATCCTCTTGGTCGTGCTACGTGTGTATATTTCAATGGCGAGCAGACTTCAGCAGCCAGCTATTATAATAATTCAATGACGTCTCACGAATCAAGCCCTTTCATCCATCCACCGTCCTCGTATAACATCATCTACATCTTATGTGCCCAATTACCAATCACTCATTGCCCTTCGCCATGGCTCCCGCATTCACACCTGCCCTTTCCATGATCTATTAAACACACCGCCATCCGTCTGCCTATTCTGCATATTCTGCACACCCGTCGCCGTCGTCGCCTTGCCCCCACCTGTGACTATATTCCCCGCTCCCGCCCCCGCCCCCGGCGGCGCTTCAGCCTGAGACATGCGCCGCAGGGTCCTGCGCGCGCTCGGCGACCTGCCGTCCTTTTTATACGTCGCGGCATAGAACAAGACAAACAGCACGAGATATGAGCTGAGGATACCCATGCCTGCAAACGCGGCAAACTCTTCTCCCGCGCATGTTCCTTTGGTGCTCGGTAATACGGTAAAAGGAAAATACGCCGAATACGTCGCGGCAAAATACGTATACGACGCAAAATAGACAAACCCGAGATCAATCACAAACTGGATAATCTGCAGGCGGGTGACCCATTCTTTCCACCCGACGCGCACGCCGCGCGCGCTCTGGAAATAGTACCAGTACATGACGACGTGCACGGTCAGGTTCAGCGTGATGGGCACCCAGGAGACGGCGGTGTGGCCGATAAGCTGGGTGTAGCATAGGACGGCGGTCGCGCCGTGGTGGTAGCAGTGCAGGAAGGTGAGCGGTTTCTTTTTCAGGAATAGGAAGACGGTATCCAGCAGCTCGAGGTATTTGGTGAGATAAGTCAACTGGGGCGCCGAGGCAAGTAACGTAAGTTAAGTGTGAGCATCACCACCTTACGTATTGCGTAGAACGGGTTCCGGGTTCCTCGCCCAGACAATGTCTCTTTCTTTCTTTCTTTCTTTCTTTCTTTCTTTCTTTCTGGCTACGGAAAAGGCTGAATCAACTTACATAGTACAGGACAACGAGATGCTGCGTCCAGCCACCGCCATGATTACATATAGCGTAGAATACACCTTTTCGAGCAAGAATCGAGACGAGCTCCTCGATATACAGCGCGAGGAGAATCGCGCTAATGGCGGTGAGGTAGAGATTGTGAATCAGGAAGAGAGATTTCAGCTTGAATGGTTCTCGGTGCCGCATGAGTTCTCGGCCGCCGAAGATTATGGTGTAGTAGACGGCTACGAAGAGCGAGGTTTCTGTCAATGTGGACATGGGCGTCGCTCCGACGACAAAGGTAAAGTCGTTGGCCGGATAGCCGGTGACGAGCTCAAAGGCATGGTTGAAGAGCGGCCATAGGTGCACGCCAAAGGGTCTGTCGATGGTAGGGATAGGGAGAAAGTCCAGGAAGGAGGTAGTGTTGTGCGCCATGGCGGGCGACCTGAAGAAGGAAAAAAAAAAGGCAAACGGTGGTAGAAAAAAAACTGGAGGAAAAGCGTTGGACAGAAGCTCAAAATATTCAACGGTTGAGAGATGCAAGTGGATTCGCGGACATGATTGAGATAGGGGCTCCGGAGAACAAGCAGACCCCTGTCAAGACGGTCGAATCAGCTCTAGGGGCCCATTGAATATCCCGTGATATGCTGGGATACATATCCAACGGATGAAACATTGAGCATCGCAATGAAAACATTGAAAAAGCACAGATGAAAAGACGTGTTTGTACTGTAGTATTTATTAGAATAAGCTTATTTTATAGCTGCGGTATGAGAAACGACTTAAGATCGGTCGGTAGGTTCGTTAGTGGGACTAACTCCAGTCCTTTGTTTTAGTTGGGCTTTTGCTCGGCAACTCAGTTTCTCCTCAATCAATGTGTACGGTGACTCTTCGAAATTAGCAATGGCTTACGTCAATGCTAACTGGACTTTTGATTAAAGTTGTCGCACTGCTTGTGCGAATGGCGGTGACAACGTAGGCTGGGATAGAAACAGAGAGGCCTGTGATGAAGTCGGCAGACATTGTGTTGTGTCTTGTCGTGCTGGACGCGTCGAAATCCTGTTTGAAGCAGATGTGAAATCTTTGAAACACTGCAAGTATTGGAACATGGTGGTATCTATAGTTGTCGTCTCGATATTCTAGTGCGAAGAATCAAGAGCATATTGATAGCTGTTCAAAGGAATGAGGCGGCACTTGAAGTAAACAGCTTGTAATAGTCTGCAGTGTCATTAATATGAAAACACCTCGGTCTGCTGGCTAACATTGATGCAGGCATGATGTTGCCAGGATTATTTCATAGACTGGCTTGTGTTTCTTGTTGCACTTTTCTTTCATCGATGGTTTCATGCCGGGAGTACGATAACTCTAAGGTTTTCGTTAGAAGCGGTATTCTTGGAAAGTACCTAACGTACCTTGAATACTGTACTACAGCAAATTCCCAGGTAAGCAGGAGGTGGCAGCATAACTGGGGTTAACCGGATCTAGCTGAACCGAGGCACACATCGGCCAAGCTTTTCACTACTCGTACCACTGCGCCCACTTATGAAACCTCGCAGCTTCTGGCGGGGGGATGCCTGCCCACGCACAGATTACAGTTCTCATTCCACCCAGCGAACACGAGGTAAAGTCACTCCAAGTGACGGAGGTGGCGGTATCCCCCAGGACGCCATTACCGCCCAGCTCAAGGTGGACGAAAGCTTAAATCGACCCTGGGCAAATTATTTCCACACGACTGGCTCCTTGTACGGGGATACCCTTTGTAATGTGTCCCTTTGGATACAAACCATCGTGCCTTTTCAAAGTCTTGGCTTTTGGCAGGCATTCGTTATGTTGAAATGCGGAGAGAGTTCATTACGGGAGGGCTGGCCTCGATGAGTAACATCTGTTCCTTTCGGTCCGACCCCGGCGCCCCGTGACAATTCATGATGCAATAGCTTTACTTAAGCTTGACAACAAGACGAAGGGCAGGTCCAGCCAGGGTTTCAGCCGGTTGTGGGCTTCCGTGTCGGGGGCCCCAGTTAGGCCCCCAAAGCAACCTCTTTTGCTCACATCACAGGTGTTCGGAGTCCTGGCACTCTTTTCCGAAGTTTTCCCATCAGAAGGTGGCTTGGCCCCAAATATGCATAATCACTCGACACCGTAGATCGGGTCGGGGCCCCGAGAGGGAATTACATGATTGATCGACAAAAGGCTGAGCAGTGGAAACATGTGCTGATGTCCTTTTAGTCCACTCTTTTGCTGCACGGCAGAACAGGGTTTCTGGAAATTGGTTGCCGATGGAGAATTGCACATTCCGTTCTTCAACACGGAGAAACTGTGGGTCCGAATAATATGAAAAAAGTGGACCTGGAGTAGTCAGTAAGACTGACTTGGCTTTTGGTCTAAGATACCTGCTAATGCCCCACGGTGGTACAAAGATCTACGTAACGGGTACCTGAAAGTTTTCAACCCCAAGGGGATGGCCGAACCGCCCCGCCTTCTCCTTCTTTTGCTTCTTCTGATTCTCCAGAGCCACTCATGTGGTTGCGGAAAATTGGCTTAATCTCCAGAGGTTTCATAGGTTCGGTCTATCTCCCCTGCTGTCAACTAGCGGAGTAGGCGCGCTGTTTTCTAGTGTAAGCGGCATCCCATAAGGAAAGATTGTTGATTTTGCTTCCTACCCCGTCTTCTCTCACGTTATTGTTGGCCTAGAGTTCGCCAGACAACACCGGACACCGTTTGTACGACGTCATGTCGACTCTGGAGGGGCTTTTCCCCCCTGGTCTGAGCCAGGACGCTTGGTAGACGTCATCCCAAAGCCTCTTTTAAAAGTACCTTTGTAGAAATGAAATCGACGCCGCAAACGCTGAAGCCTTCACCGTTCTTAGATAGCAAAGCGAGCCTGGGCAAAGCGCCCAGGAAGGTTAGGTAACGGCTAAACCTAGGAAAAAATTGCGCAGGGGGATAGTGCCCAAGCAAAGCCTTTTAGTGGACAATCATCTGCAGAAAAAGTCTAGGGCAAGACCTAACATCTGTGACGAACCTCAAGGTTAGACCATGTTGGGGAAAGGCATGGCCTGAGCCCCGACATAGTTTAGTTGGTCTGTGTTCACGCGTTGGTTAGCGCCTTGCTAGCGCCATGTCGGCATTCCACCATCACAGCTTCTACCATAATTTTCTTGCGTACGGAGGTACTTTTCAGCGTATTGTGATATCCCCGATTGCGAGGAGATGCCAAGGTTCAGACCACTCACTGGGGGGGAATGCGTGGAGGATCAAGAGGAGAGAGAATTATGGTCCAACTAATCCGGGATGTAAAAAATGTCATACATCGAGTTCTGACAGGATTCTGTCGACGAGCTATATTCAAGAGATAAACTGAGCAAATGCTCGAGGGATGCGGTCTGACGGCGCCAGGTATAGATGTAATATCGACAGCGATTCGATCGCCCGTGCGAATTATTTTCTGTGCTCATAGTACCTTTTCATTATCCCGCACAAATTGATGCTCACGGATCTTGGCCAGCCACGGCTCTTGTTCCGTCGACCACCACCCTTACTGTCAGAGTTCGACACTGACGTCGTGTACGGCACCTGCCTTACCACCAAACTCCGGGAGGACCTCCGCCTCTCCTCCTCCTCCTCCACAGCCTACTCATTGCACTATTGTCCCATTGCCCTAAAGTACAGTAGTTCCACCTCTCTCCTCCATCTCCATGCCCTTTCTCCGACTGCTCCACCACTCCACTCATCGTGCCCACATTTGATACCCTAATTCTCCACTTCCCCCAAATGACCTCTCCGACCCCAAAAAGAAACGACTGATCGTGGGACCACTAATTGCACCCGATATTTTCCGCCGAAATTTTCTGCTACAAATTAAAAGAGATCCTCCTGTCCTTTTGGACTTGGCCTCCGTCTTCCCGAACCCGTTCAATCCGTCAATTAGATTTGGAGAAAATGGCAGACGACCGTTCATCAAAGGACCTGGAAACAGGCGAGGGCTACTCCAGAAAATGTATGCTTTGCTTCCTCTCTCTTCCTTTTACCATTCGGTCAAGTGCAATTCTAACCTTGCCGTCCTACAGTGGAACAACAACCCAGTGCTGATGGTGCCCAAACTCAGAACCTCGAGACTGCCCAACATGGCGAGAAGGGTGTCGAGGTTCTCAATTGGGACGGGCCAAACGATCCTGACAACCCGTAAGCGCCTCATGTCGGCCAAAGTACTTTTTTCCTGAGCTCTAGCTAATGTTGAACAGCTTCAATTGGTCCCGGAAGTACAAATGGCTACTTACGATAACTACTTGCTTCATGTATGAGCCCTAGGAAATTTTCTTTAATCAGCATATGGAGAGCTAACTAGACGTTTAGTTCGATCCTGACTGGTTTGCCAGCAGGCTCCTATGGTGCAGGTGATGCGGGTATGGAGGCGAAGTTTCACATCAGCCAACAGCATTTCCCGTGGTTGTTTTGGGCAACGACCTCATGGAATATTGGAGCTGCGACTTTCCCCTTACTATTTGTTCCGTTGACGGAGAATTCTGGACGAATGCCTGGCTACTTTGTACGTCTGCACCCCAGAATACTTCCAAGGTTGGATTTTCTTAATTGGACAAATGCTAATCATTCCCACTACAGATCTCTTACATTGTCTTCCTCATCTTCTTGTTTCCGTCGGCGTTTGCGCAGAACTTTGCCACCATGATCGTCACACGTCTGATTGGCGGTGGAGCTTCGTCTGTCTCGATTAACATTGTCGGTGGCACAATTAGCGACATCTGGAAAGGACCAAAAGAGCGAAGTATTCCCATGTCAATTTTCGGTATGACCTCGGTCATAGGTATCGCTTTGGGTCCTTTTATCGGTGGTGCTATCCAGCGAAACCTTGACTGGCGATGGTACGCATTCAATCTCCTATTTTTTTTTTTTTTGGTATTAGACGCTAATCCTAGTGTCTAGGATCTACTATATTCAGATCATCTTCGACGGTGGCTGTCTCCCAATCTTCTGGTTCATTCTCAAGGAAACCCGTGGCGACGTGATTCTTGCTCGAAAAGCCAAGAAGCTCCGCAAGTCCACTGGCCGGAACATTTATGCCAAGGCTGAACTGACCCGGGACAGCATCCCCAAGATGCTTAAGATCTCTTTTACTCGTCCAACCAAGATGCTTTTCACCGAGTGGGTCGTATTCTCCTTCACAATCTGGGTCTCCTTCGCTTGGGGTATTCTTTTCCTCTTTTCCCAGAGTATCAGCCAAACGTTTTCCACCAATTACGGTTTCTCTGTCTTCCAGACCAGCATGATCCAGCTCGCTATCTCCTTTGGTGCTATTGTTGGCACCATCATAAACCCTCTCCAAGATCGCCTCTACCTATCTTCAGCCAGGAGGAACAAGGAGACCCCTGGCAGGCCAATTCCAGAGGCACGTCTCTACTTTTCCGTTCCGGGTAGCTTATTGTTCACGGCAGGCCTGTTCTGGTACGGTTGGTCTAGCTATCCCCACGTCCCATGGCCTGTCCCCGCCCTGGGAATTGGCTGTGTTGGCCTGGGAATTTACTCAATCTACCTGGCTGTCGTCAACTACCTTGCGGATGCGTATGAAAAGTACGCTGCCTCTGCCCTGTCCGCGGCCAGTTTGGGCAGAAACACGTTTGGTGCCTTCTTGCCCCTAGCATCCCCCGCTCTTTATACCAATGTGGGCTTCCAGTGGGGCTCGTCTCTCCTTGGGTTTATTGGCCTTGTTCTCTCTCTTGCTCCAGTCCTTCTCTTTTTCAAGGGTGAGGAGATCAGACAACGTAGCCCGTTCATGTCTGAGGCCACCTTCGACGAGGCAGAGGGCCTATCACGACGGAGCTCTCTCCGACATCCTCCAAAAGAGCTCCGTCAAGACCACACCGTGGGTGGGGCAGTGCCTAACGCACCGCAGATTTGAATCGCACGAATGTAACGAGGAAAATTCTTGAGCTCATCGGAAAATCAAAAAAAGGAGCCAAGAAAGGGTTTCCCTCCCCTCTTCTCTATAAATATGAGAATCTAGGACTTTCTTATACGCTCTCAGATTCATTTGGATGCATTATGTTTTGGCGCTCACGGAGAGAGTCCTATTTTGTTTTACATGTATTTGTACCATCCCAATTTCTTGATAGGGTGTCTTGTAGTTTTTCTTTTGGAATACTGAATACTATATGAGGACTGTATATATTACTGGTCTCTTCCTATCTATACCTGCTCATTCCTTATTTCTGCCTTCGGGTTTATTTGCTCTACAAAGACTGTACAAATGTAGCCGTGAAACATAAACTCCAACTATGAAGAGATAGTGTCCGTACAATGATACGTCTTGCACCCCTGGTAGGGCAATTCCAACATCTCCTGTCAATCTATCACATGCATTTTGTCCATGTAATTTTTAACTACAAAATAATGCATTCCGTAATACCATTTACCTCTCCAAATGAAGAAGCAGCAGCCATTTTCATAAGTGTTACCACTCGCCCGTAAACACTTTCTAATACAAATCTGGGCACTTTATGCATTTAACATTCATATATCGTTTTAGCATATCTTCGCTAAGAAGTGCTAGGGCACATGGTCTAGGGGTATGATTTTCGCTTCGCATGTTGGACCCAACGGGAGTTGACGGTCACGTAATGCAAATGTGAAAGGTCCGGGGTTCAAATCCCCGTGTGTCCATTTGTTTTTGCTTTTTTGCACTTTTTTATTTCTCTATTTGTCTTGCCATGAATTTTCCGTTGGTTTTGAAGAAAAAATGGAGCGATTTGGATGAAGAAATGGTGATTTAATTGTTGCTTGTTCGATGGTACGTCCAGGCAGACGAGCGGGATTTTTTGGTGGGGTGGAGGTTAATGGGGATATATGGTCACGGTAGTGGGTATACTTCAGAACATGCGGTAGTGAACGGCCTGACGGTAAAAATAGCCATACTACGGTAACCGGCAGGATATTCCGGTAATGCGTGGCTGTTAATCCTTGTCATGTATCTGAGAATGCGTATGCCTCGGCTGGAATATGATGTTTTATTTCATCTTTTAGATATATAGGAAAAGAGGCGTGGAAGCTTGAGGTTTGAACATCCATTCGGGGATTTAACCAGAATATAGGTAATTGAATGGCAGAGGTGACGAGTCTTCTAATATTTTTCCACGCAGAATCATATGTCCATGTCTGCTTTGCTAGAATGTAGTAGTGGGACGCGAATGACATCTCTAGGGTCTGCCATCAAGAAGAAAGGGAGATTGAAACCATTGAAAGGGGAAAACGCTTCATCAAAAAATCAAACGGGGAATCTAGAGAAGGAATATTATTGGGGAATAAATGGTAGGCTGGAGAATCAAACATTTGAGCGGCACACTCGATAGACGACGGTACGGAGAATAAACATTCTGATATCATTCGATGAAAGTTGAATGTCATTCTAAATACTGAAAACTGCACAAGGTGATGCCATAATCCCCTCAATATGAGATTCGAGATATCAAGCAAAGGCGAATGACATACAGTCTAAAGAAACGTAAACGAAAAAGCAGATACCCCAGGCGCCAACGCTTCCCAAAGTACGCTCAACCCAGCCCATAGCAGGTGACGTATGAATACTCCATGATGCGAATAAGAAAGAAGAGAAAGAAGACAAAGGCGGGACAAGACACGCATGAGAACTGTGACTGGTATTCACTGACCCATCCTGCACTCACAGAGATGAAGTGCCTTCGCCGAGAAGCCGTGCAAGCAGGACATAGCCGAATATGACCAGAGCACCAATAGCCACCTTGTTCCTTCGGAGCCAGCTCCCGCCCACATTGCGCGCCGCTGCCTGATGGCCCTCGACGACGGTTCCGAGTCGGGGATTCGTGCCTGCAGGTCGCCTCCTGAGAGCTGCAGCTTCGGGTGAGCATGGGGCTGCGTTTGGTCCTTGCTCAGGGACAACGAGTCCGGTCGACGGGTCGATACGGTTGGTCTTCATCCACTTCCAGTTTTCTTCGTCCAACTCTGGCCATTCTGTTCGGAACTTCGCGCCACCGTCGCCAGCTCTAATCGCACCCGCACCACCGCGGTTGTTGTTTGCGCTGCTGATTCCGGGAATAACTCTTGTAGTTGACCCGCCACCCGTCGAGTTCCACCATCGAGTCCTCGAGGCGAACCATTTCCGTTCCTGTTCGCTGGCACTGACACTTCCGGTTGTCATTTCCTCGCTCGTCATGAAAGACATGAGACCGATCAAGATGGTGGACACTTCCCAGGCCGGGTTAAACGACTTTGGGTGGAAGTCACTGATCGAAAGGCAAAGTCGAGTCGAGGGCTGGAAGCGGCCAGAGGGTGTGTGCATTCGAATCGCCGGCGGGGCGAACGGGTAGTCGGGGGGAAACATTAATGTGCCCCAGTATTGTCCTCCTTCATAGGGAGTATTTGGAGGCCCTGTCAGAATATAGTGCCATCTAAAAGTGAAGAGAATCTCAGCGTTAGTATGCCACAACTGGTAACGTGGCAGTGAGGAAAGGAGATCTTACTCTAGGATATTGTCATCAGATGGATGCGCAACGATATACGGAGGAGGGTTTTCTTGAATCGCTTTGTATTCTCGAGCGAGCTAACAGATGAAACGGTGTCAGATTGGAATGGGCGCATGAGGTGATTGTGCAATGCGGGCTGCTTACTCTCTTGTTCGCGGCGCGAGTGGCCATTTTTAACGATGGTACAGTGGTAAAGTTAACAGGTCTATCAATAAACTGGAAGTATAACAAGAGAAAATCAGGGAATGAAGAAAACAAGAACGTGCTCCGAAATGAGCCTCTATTTGTCTCAATCAAGAAGATAAATGGATCGGTGTCGTAGTTACGAGTCTCCCTTTAATCACGTTCTCGGCGGCGGTTGATCCGATCTGGCCGGGAACTACTTTGCTTAGTCATCAAACCTGTTGCTTCGTCCACGGATGGATACCAACTTCCCCAAGGTGCGATAACCCGTTGTTTGCAGATCGGCGTTTGAGAAAAAGGGCCACAAATGGCTTCAGCAATTGGCGGCGAAGATGATGTATGTATCTAGTTTGAAATTTGTCTTGATACCTTGTTGTGATCACAATGGCTATTGACCTATTCATACTAACCTCCGTTTCCCTGAGCAGATCTTCGAAAACCTGAAGCAGAGGGTTGATCCCAAGGTGCAAGAGGAGCGTGACCAATCGCTGAATGCACGGATTCAGGCGCAATACCAGAAAGCGCAAAACAGACTGGCGGAGCTGGTACGTTCCAATTGGGCGCTTTTTACGCCATTGAATGCTGGATTATAGCCCGCAACGAGTGGTTTCATGTGTGCTAATCAATTGGCACAGCTTGATAGCAATTCGACGCTGCCCGTAACGATATCATCTATCAGCGTTGTCAATGCACCTCACACGAGGAAGAGCTTTTTGCAGCGAATCTTCAACCCTCTGTTGAGCGTGAACAGAGACCAGCCCTATACGTTGTCTGAAGCCCTCCGCGAAATATCTGTCAGCGCGGATAAACTGAGCAGATTTGGTACGTCAAAACTCGGAAACTGTTTCTACATGGATCGGGACTGACACACAGTTCAGACATCTTCCACCCTCCGATTTCTCTGTACATCGACCAGCCGTCTGCGTCTGACGCTTCCACAACCCCATCGGACATTGCTATTTACCTCTCCGTTCGCGAAAAGTCTCGGCTGCTCCTCAAGACAGGAACCGATCTCGGAAATGCGGAGGGATCTGCCTATGGAAACCTTCTTTGGCGCAATATTTTTGGCGGCGCTGAAACCCTCAACCTCAACGCATCGCTTGGAACCCGAACGAGGTCTGCTTACTCGGCAAGCTTTGACACTCCCATACTGAGCAACCCAGACTTGAGATGGGAGATTGGCGGCCTCGCCAGCAGCACTCACAAATCATGGGCAAATCACGAGGAAGTCCTCAAGGGCGGAAGCACCAAGCTTCGGTGGTTGAACAGCCAAGGTCATAGGTTCGAGCTTGGCTACTCTGGCATCTGGAGACAGATTACTGGCCTGGGAGGAAATGCCTCGCCTACCGTCAGAGGCGATGCTGGAGACAGCGTCAAGAGCAGCATAACATCCACATGGATCAACGACAGGCGCGATAACCCACTTTTACCCTCCAGCGGTTACCTCATGAAGACTATTTCCGAGGTGGCTGGCTACGGCCCGCTCAGAGGAGATGTTGCGTTCTGGAAATCGGAGCTCGAAACTCAAACGGCTCTATCCGTTCCTGTTCCCGGAATCAACGGTGTGACATTTACCACCGGTCTCCGTGCAGGACTTTTGTGGCCTCTGGCCTTTGCTGGCCAGGAAACTGCCCAGCCTTCACGGATTAACGACCGCTTCCAACTTGGCGGCCCAACCGATGTTCGCGGATTCCGCCTGTCAGGCATCGGCCCTCGCGACGGCTCAGATGCCGTGGGTGGAGACGTCTTTGCCGCGGGCAGTGCAAATCTTCTTTTCCCTCTGCCCATGGTCGGCGCCGAAAAGCCTCTTCGATTGCAAGCTTTCGTCAACGGAGGTAGATTATTAGCACTCAAGGACACTTCTGGAGAAGGAAAGATGGACAGCGACACAGTCAAGAACAATGTCAGTGAGACGATCCGGGAGCTTGCCAATGGTTACCCTAGCATGGCCGCAGGTGTCGGCCTTGTTTACGCGCATCCCGTCGCTCGATTTGAGCTTAACTTCTCCCTGCCGCTGGTGATACGGAAAGGCGAGGAGGGACGTAAAGGACTTCAATTGGGCGTTGGCATTAGTTTCTTGTAGAATATGTATCATACTACATGGCAGCAGATATACTCTCGATAATCTGAACTTATTAAATTTCGTCTCTACTTTTATTTTCTTAGTCCTTCTTTCAATGGACGTAGGCAACAATTGATATGCTGAGTCATCCACGCGACGACGTTTCAGTTTGGTGGTGAACCAACTTGTAGCTCGGGACACGTCGCACTGCCGAAGCATCAGGTACCTGCTAAGGTTGCGATCCAACATCATTTCCCTGACGAAACTCTGTTTCACCTCCCCACCGGATCTTCTCAGAATAGATAAAACCTTTGAAGCTGTAACATACTTCTCTCTTGGCCGAAATGGCCCAATTCTTTCCTCAGAACGCCCAATCACCTTATGGGTCCTCTGCCCAGAACCTTCAATTCTATCCATCTTCCTACTCAACTGGCCCGGTGTCAGGACACACGACACCCTCTCAAGCATATGGCGCATACGGCAGCGGATCAGCAGCGAGCGCATACCCGGGTGCCGGGTTTGGAGCTGGATTTGGAGCTCCTCCAGCAGTGAGCGGACGCATGGGCGAACAAGGTGGCTTAAGGACGGGATGGCTTGCAGCTTTTGGTACAGAAGGCTATGACGGTGAACCCCCGCTGTTGGAGGAATTAGGTGTCAATTTCGAGCATATAAAATTCAAGGTATGATGAGATACTTCGGCGTCTCGAGCTTCTGAAGAGGAGCGATGCGCATGATATTTCTCTTTGAAATTCGTCAACCTCATCTGAGCCCCAGCTAATTGGTGACCAAACAGACCCTTACCGTCTTAAACCCTTTGGCGCGGATTGACCAACACATCATGGACGACTCGGATCTGGCTGGGCCGATGCTCTTCTTTCTGCTGTTTGGCACCTTCTTGCTCTTCGTAAGGGAAACCCTCTTCTTCATGTCGGATGTCGTATAGTGGGAAACACATTGCTAATCATGTAATTGCTTTGTTTCTAGTCTGGTAAGGTGCATTTTGGCTACATCTACGGCCTGGCCCTTTTGGGAAGCGTATCTCTCCATATCATCCTTTCGTTGATGTCACCTCCGCTGCCCTCTACGACCGAGACGCAAGATTCCCATGACCATACGGATGGCTCGGGATCACACTTCAGCTCGACCCTGACATTTCCGAGATCAGCTTCTGTGCTTGGATACTGTCTTCTCCCGCTGGTTATGACGTCGTCGATCGGCATTCTGGTTCCAATGGATGGACCGCTGGGCTATGTCCTTACTACTGCGGCCATTGTCTGGTGCACGTACAGCTCAAGTGGCATGTTCTGTGCTGTTGGAAGAATGAAGGGAATGCGAGGCCTTGTTGCCTATCCTCTGGCATTATTTTACGTTGGTTTCGGAATCATGGGCATCTTTAGCTCGAGAGGGGCCGGGAAGCTCGCTGCTAAAGCTGCTGGAGCCTGAAATTTCTTTTTATCAGTTCATTAGAAATCACCGAGTGTTACGCATTAGAATCACGACGGGCCGGAGTCGCGGTTATCTATATATATCCAAAGCATATGAGTGTTACGAGATTGTACTATTACTCGCGAGAAAAGAAAACCCTTTAATTAACACAGCGACTTTCATCAAAAGAATCAGATCGCTATCATGCTCACATCGTCTCTATAACTCTATGTGAAACTACGGTATCACGCCTCGTTAATGCATTAGATCGAAAACAAAATCCGCCTGAAATCATGCGCCATATATCACATCAAAAACCCCGCGCCAAACATCAGCGCACTGCTTCGCTCCTTGTTGATGCCCAATTCTTCAACCAGCCTCGAGTGCGGTCCAAGTCACCACTTTCGGCCTCGGCAGCAGCGATACACCAAGATAGGTCATACCCCCCGCTGCCTGTGATACCACCATCTTCAGCAGCCAACATTTCGGCCAAGTCTCGGCGCTTTTGGCTTGCTTCGTCGGTACAAAAGTGAAGCGGTGACAAAATATTCGTATAGGCGTCAACAAATGGTTTCACCAGCGGTAACGCATCCTTGGTCGTGATTGCTGCGCCCGGCTTCAGCAGCCCAGTTTTGGTGCGACCGCTCTTGCAAAATTCATTCTTGCACCATCCTTTGGCACACCCTGAGAGAAGCTGAGTCAAGTAGCGGCGCTCGACGCGCCGTTTTAGCGCTTTGCCTTCAGGATCGTACATGGCGACATAGAGCGGACCGAAACAAATACTGCACAATCCAATATCGTTACCGGGCCCCTGGCCCATACGAGAAGCAGCTCCGATATCGCCATTTTTGCCGACCCCGTCCAGGGTGCGACCGCAGTTGACGTTTCTGCAAACCCGTGGAGACGGGCGAGAGAGCCTCTCTAGATCGTGGTGCTTCAAATGGGTCGACATATCTCGTAACCGAACGATTTTATTGCATAAATGGCATTCTGTCGTTCTTGCGCCATCGGCAAGTTCGTGAGGCGTCAGGCCAGAGAGAAGGGCTTCGGGATTAGGTGTATTGGGATCGCCTTCCTGGGGTACCAGGAGGTGGCAGAATCGACAGATGATCAATTTTCCGGGGCAGGTGGTGGTGCGGTGATGTGACAAAGCTGGAAGACTAGGCGCTTCAAAACCGCAGGCTGAGCAACTGCGTGGCTTGTGGAAGACCGTATCATGCTTGGCCTTGCTACCTGGATTGTTGCCGAAGAAGGAATCGTGGGGACAGTGCCAATGGCTGTTCCATTCCGGAGATGACTTTTTGAAGACATTGTTGCACTTTGGACACAGAATGTTGTTTCGGTAGCAGAAACTTTCGTGAAGGACCATGGTACGACTTGGTACCCACTGGCGGCAATTCTTGCAACGGACTTCGTCGGGGTTGGGAGGCTCCTCCTCTTTCTCTCCAGAAGGGCCATTGCTGACACCATCGGGCGTAGAAGGGTCGAAAGCCGTCCCGCGAAGATAGAATTGTTTTGGACCGTCTTCAGCATCAGTAGATGATGGGGATTGGTCGCTTGGTTTGTACGCGTGAACAGACACCAGTACGGCCTCGGCGTCTTCCAATTCAACATTCGTGGGCCGTATTCGGACCCGTTTGGGATATGTACTCGAAAGGTCTCCGAAAACATGCTCATCGATTCTGGGCTTGGCCTGTTGTCGGGGAGAAAGGGGGCTGACGAATATGTCCAAGTCGTCGTCCTCGTCCACGCCGCTTAGTTCAATCTCAAGCCCCTGCGAACGAGCCCATGAAGGTATGTCGTAATCGACGTATTCGCCAGGTCTGACCTGACCCTGTTGGCCCTGCCAGAGTTCTAGCTTTCCACCGGGTGAGCTCCCTTCTTTTGAGCCAGGAGCTCGTTGAGCCTTGGCAAACTGCCGTTTGAGTGTCTCTCTGGCTTGCTCCTCATTCAAAGCTTCAATATCCACTTCGAGATCCGTATCTACTATGCATACCCCGTCGCCTTCTGGTTTGAACCCGTCTATCAAGAACTTGTAATCGTCGCCCGTCGATCCCCCGTATCGACTCTTCGGGACGACCAGCACCTCGCCGTTTGTGAGCGTCGTAAAATTACTTCTAAGGTGCTGTTCTAATAACGATTTCCAGTCTTCGACGTCATATCCTGCTTCTAGTGGACGAAGTCGCACGTATGTCCCTTTCGGAAGCTGTTTGGCATGAACTGTAATCCTCAGAGCCTTCTCCGACTCCGACGTATGATCGCTGACATCTGTCACGCCATTCTCAACCGTTGGCGCTTCTTCGGATTCGGGCAAACCGAGCGCCTGGAGAAGAAATTGACTCAGGCCGATTTGACCTTCTTCGGCGGAGAACTCTCGAATACCGGCATATACAATGCGATCATTGCTTGGGTTGACAAGTCGGAAAGTCAATGGATGAGGTAGTTGCTGGTGATGATCGCGGAATTGCGCTCGCGCTTGACGTTCGGCTGCATAGGAATAGGGATTGTAGGGATCGAAGTTAGACGTGTGCGATCGAGATGATTCTGGAGAAGTTACGGTAACTGTCGCTGCGCTCAGAAGCTGCTCAAGAGCTGATGGAGGGAGAGTGATCTTGTCGCCGCTCAAGATCGCGGAGCTTTGGTATTGCCTCGAGAGTTCGAACTGCGCCGACCAACGCAAGGATACTGACTCCTCGCCCATATTGACGCTGCGATTCCAAAATATCGTAACGTTCAAGGAGAATAAGGGGGGAAAGGCCTCATGAGATATCGGGTTCCTGGAGAGCTCATAAGCAGATATGGCTTCTGGAACCTTCGTGACATGCAGCCAGTCTTGGTCATCAAAAGTCGAGGTACAAACGGAAAGGCACGTCAGATCTTATCGGAACGCTAATTCCGCTCCGCGCTAAGATAAGAGAATCAAGCTAACGCTATTTCGACCTTTCCTAACACAGTAACTCAGGCCATTGGGGATTGCATGGCGCTGGGATCTCCAACCAGCATTTGCCAAGTCGTTGACCGCCAGGGCCGCCTCATCCGATATTCTTATATGGAGAGAATACGGGCCAGAAACTACAGATTTTCTATGGAGTAAACGCCAATTAGTCTGTTTCATTTTTATCCGTATAATTCTCACGGCACATGGCAGGCGACGGCACTGGCCATCTTACGCTGCTTGACTTGCTGTCAAATTCATTGATTCTATCTCATATTGCGCCGTACCTGGGTTTGACATCACTCTATGCATTAGGATCGACATCCCATGCATTTAAGTCATTGGTATTTGAGTCACATAATGCTTTCAGATATCTGGATCTCTCGACGGTCAAATATGCCTCTGGCCTCACCTCAGCGGAAGACCTTACCGAATCAGATCTACAACAGCATTTTGGAAGGTCTTTCGTGACAGAAGATGACTTCTACTCGGACCCTTTGCGGCAAATATTTACTCGACTAACGAAGAAGAATATTCTAAGAGACGTGCAGACCCTCATTCTAGACGGTCTTTCGGTGCCCGCAGATTTAATTCGCGAAATCATTTGCGATGAACCCTTCAATGTCCGCATCCTGTCCGTTCGAGAGGCTGAAAATCTAAACGAGCGAAAGTTGATGCAAGTCCTAAAATATGCCATGCGGCCGTCCAGGCCTGAGGGCACGCCGAAGCTTCGAGCATTATACATCTTTGGCCCTAAAGACCAGCCGCCCATGTCCGATAAGGACGATGACGCTTTCACTGACAGCTCTGCAAACCGTCAAGAAGCTGTGTCAAGAAATTTGCGTTCTTCGGCTTCTCCTGGTATCCATATTGCCTCAAGTTGGAATCACCGATCCCAGCATGCGCTTTCATCTGCGCTTTCTCGCAGCGGTAATGACTGGTGGCAGGGCAGCGGAAGGGTGATTGCACGACCACTACCAGATTGGGCCGAGATCGTCCAGCTCTGTGAAGGCGTTATTGCGTTTGATGCAATACTATGCCGCGGACCAAGGCATAATCCTCGCTCGATTTTGAGACCTGAGGATCAGGTTGATTCTCGGTCAACGCTGCCCTTTTTACGACCGGCAATCGCAACAATCGCCTTGGGGCCAGAAGGTTGTAACAATTGTCACTCTTCTCCGGAAGGCGCTGCCATCTACGGGAAAAGCAAACCGAAGGAACTCCCTCTACTGGCACCTCCGCCTTTCCACTCCTCGTCGGTGCGCGCAGCCCAAATGCCTCCCCCGCATCTTGCCGCGGGAGACGTACATCTCTTTGCTCGTTGCGAAGAGTGTCTTCGAGAACGCTGGTGCGAAAGCTGCAACAAATGGTGGTGCGAGTCATGTTACGACGGACAACCAACAGTCACCCTTACAATACTTCAGCAGAGAGAACTGTATGAAGAGCTCCTTGCAGCTGGAGCGTCACATTCTCATAGTTCCGAGGAGAGTATAAAGGTACATCTTGGTCTCTGTATAGAGCGCTGCTTGTCTTAAATGAGATGCTGGCCGGCGCTGGTTCTTCGGGCGTCTGGGCCTGAGACCTCAAAGGCAAAGTATGCTCTGCACAGTTTCTATTCAAACTTCAAGAACATCAAGCAGCTGTTAAAAATACTCCTCAACTTAACCCCTTGTATTTGAATGCGCTGACTCTTTTGCCATAGGGTGTGAAACGCGACTGCTGGGAATGTGGACGAACAGTAAGTTCCTGCATCTCTGACTTGGTCCTTTGAAAACCTGCTTACATGACCTACTAGTGTGCAACTTGTATAGCACGCACGCAGCGCAAATGCAAAAGCTGCACCGGTGGTTACTGCATACTCCACAATGAGGGTTCATCCGCGACGTCAGTACGTATATACTTTCTTCAAAATGCTTGTCTATGTTGACTAAAATTTTTGGCAGTGCGACTGGTGCAGTACAACAAGACCGCAAACGCGCGATCTGTATTAATTGCATTCACGGTAGTTTGACAGCCTGTTTGGGATTATGCATGGACTGGCACTTTATACCGTTGAAATTATTAGACCAAGCTTTCTCAACTCTTTTCTATTCGAGCAGATAGAAGTCATTTTCCATGTGTACATTTCGTTCGAATTTTTGACTTTAGTAGCGGTGTGATCTACGAAGCGTATAGACTTTCGGAATATCCAGTGCAATTTCCGCTCCAAACATAGCAAGATAATACCTATAACAATGCGCGCATAATAGAATCGCTCAAACCAATCAAGTCGAACCTGATTCAATTTTACCAGCGGCCGGTTCCTCGGCTCGCTATTTAAACGCGCTCCCTGATTGGTGTTGCTGTTCTGCGCTCATGGACTGCTCGGGCTACTGTACAATATTCAATTCCGGAAACCCAACTTTTTCCGCCTGAACTCCCTGCTACATCCCATCCAAGACCAATATTGACTTGAGAATAATCAAACATAATTGTTTCGAACGCTTGAACAAAGCGAATTGAGAATTGATCTTCTGCTATTCTCCAAAAGACACCTGACACTCCTAATCTAATCACTTTTTGCAGCAGCTATGGGTTGGTTTTGGGCAGAGCCGGTCAAGGCGAAAGAGCCTATTGCGCCCCATCCAATTCCCGCTACAAATGCTCAACCTCCGGTAAGTAGAGTTGCTTTTCATATTTTGGCTTCCAAATCTTACTGTTTGTTTCATATAGCCCGGCTGCCCAATGCATGAGAGCCAAGCGCCAGCACCAGTCCCCGCTACCCCTGCGACGGGAGGTTGCCCTGTCAAACACGACTCAGATTCTTCGTCGACGCCTTCTAAAGCACCGCCTTCGAATTCGACGCTCTCCAAGCTCAACCCATTAAATTACATGCCTGCATTTATTTCACAGGAGCGCTCCGCAAATCAGACTGTCGATCTCCCGATCGAGCGATCCATGTCATCGATCCCCAAAGGCGATGGTCAAGGAAATTGGGAATACCCCTCGCCACAACAGATGTATAACGCTATGCTGCGCAAAGGCTATGATGATACGCCCCAAGACGCTGTGGAAGCCATGGTCGCTGTTCACAACTTCTTGAACGAAGGCGCATGGGACGAGATTGTGGAATGGGAACGGAGGTTTTCTGGCGGTTTGGCGAAGGGATGGGAAGAGTGCAGGAAAGGCGAGGAAGCGGCGGCAATCAATGCGCTTGATGCTGACGCTCAAAACTCGGCGAATGCGCCGCGATTGATTCGATTCATGGGACGACCAAAGGAGATGACTCCGAAGGCGACTATGCTGCAAGTTCTTGGCTGGGTTTATCCTTCCAAGTTTGGGTAAGGATTGACCGATGAGACGCTCATATAAACGAATAACTAATTTCCTCTTTTACAGGAATGAGCCGCCTTTTGACCGACACGATTGGTTTGTGCAGCGACGCAACCCGGACGGAAGCCAAAAAGAAGTCCGTTATGTAATCGACTACTACTCCGGACCCCCTGAACCGACTGGGGAGCCCGTTTTCTATCTGGATGTTCGCCCTGCTGTGGATACACCAACCGCGGCGGTTGAGCGACTCATGCGCTGGGGCGGTGACGTATGGTGGAGAGCGAGTGGTGGGGAGGCCAGAGAGTGATCTTTATTCTCATGGCTTTCCGAACATTATTGTCATATCTGAGAGAGGCGTTCAAGGGCTAGTCAAGAACTTCATTTTCTCCTGCAGACGTTTTGATATATTAATAGGAATGGGTTGGGCGCCAGCGACATTCTCGCCCAGCTGCATTGATTCATATACGGGGACGGCATAGCACTCTGTTATTTCGCGGCACCTTTTCTCCTCTCCTTCTTCCTTTGTATGTAGTGCTAAAAGCATATGGTTTGGTCAACCCATGCGCTCTAAGTTTTTGGAGTATTGGATATATGATTTTTAATGAAGGCTTATTGCCGCCATACCAATGTAATGAAAAGTAAATGCGTGTATCACTAGAAGGCACCCAATTCCTTGATTGTATGCTTAAAGACACAACAGGGGGTGATCAAGAGGCATGACGGATTAACTGCTGAGCCGGACGAAAGTTATACCGAAATTCCAAGCCATCGCTATCGATAACCGCCCGAAACGCACCAAGTGCGGCTCTCCACAAATACGCCACGGGGATAGTAAGCGAACACTTATGAAGGGCAAGCTATCCTGTTCAATAAGCATTCGAGATTGCACAAATTACGAGGATAGTAAACATGCCCTCTGCATCAATATCCGAAAGGCGATCCATTCGCTGGGTAAGAGCCCATATTAAGACGCAAAAGTGAGCAATTTTACTGACACCATATAGGTTCCTGAACCGGCGAGTGAGCCTACTTCTACCCTCGTATTGACGTCACCTGGCTCTCATTTTGTGGACATAAGAGTCCTCAAACTGTCTTATTTCAAGCAGCCAAAATTCGCAAATGATAGCAGCTCGACAGCTCGCATAGACTGGGCATTTGCTGGCCAATCTCACTCAGAAAAAGCAACTACAGAGGGTGCAGCTTCCCATGGTCGCTGGGAGCACTGGGTGGACTCAAGAAGCGATGATCCGCAAGTTGACGAAGGCGATATGTTTCCTCAACCAAGCGGTCTAGTTCTTGAAAAAGGAAGAGGCCCTCACCCGACCACTGGCGAGATTACCGATTACGAAGAGACTTGGCGCGATCTCAAAATTCAGAGTACAGACGACGAAGACAAAAAATGCGCCATTGTTTTGCGAACTGCCGGAAATAATAAGGACTCTATTGGTATGGTTGTGCGTGTTGGGTCTTGGTGTCAGGGAATAATTAAGAGCGGTGGCAACCTGCATGTCGAGAGGTGGAGATGGAGGTCAAGAGACACGTATGCCCCTGTTTCGGTAGGGGCGATAATAGGCAGCGAGGACGATTCAGGTGGATGGTCTGTTCAGACCTTTCCTACGGAGTCTGGGACCTGGGAAAGGGTGGTGGGAATGGGTCGGGGAACACTTCCGTGCCCACTCACGTTCAAACCAGAGGGCCTCGAGCAAGGACAGACGACCGATGTGGGTGACATTACGTGGGAAGTGATCGAGAGGTCAGAATGGTAGAGGTGCAGAAATCCCTGTGCTGCGAGACATCGTGGCACGAAGTTAGTTCCTGAACAATACGAACGGGCCTTGTTTGGCGCGAAACCCTCGATGGACCTGCAGACCAATTACATGTTCACTCTACCTTCCTTGTCCCACCAGAACGCGATGACGTCGCATTACATTAGCGAATCAAGAATAGCGATCTGGCGAAAAACAAATCGACAAAAGTCCTCTCTAAAATCATTTCCACCGGGGCTCTCAACCATTCAACAATATGCTTGAAACAGAAGAAACATCATGTTTTTGCCGTTCCAAGTGCGAGGACTCCGAGGGTTCGGCTGTCTTATTTTGGTTGGTCAGGCGCTTCGGCAGGACGTCATGTGAAGCATATCACAACGTGCCTGCCCAAAACTCTCAATACATCATAAATCGTGCCCATTCTGGGGTCCCTCGTGGCCCATTCCCCCTCAAAAGTTGTTCTAAAAGTTTCCCTTGAACATGCCCATCTTTACATCGTAACTTTTTTTTCCCTATCCAGTGGCTTCAATCTTTGCGTGGCTTCTCTATTCTTCCGCGTCTCTAGCGTTTCCCTGACTCCTTCAAGCCTTGAGTTGAATTCATAAATAATACAACAGTTAATTTTGACTCGAAAGACCTCACCTCAATCCGAATTATATTTACCAGAACGCCTGTGCAATCTGCATCGCCGTCTACATTCTCAAAATATGGCCAAAGATCCTGCGTTGCCTAAAGTACCCGACGCCGATCGCGCGGCCGCCAGCGACAGTCCTCTTCGTCTCTTCGTGGGCGACATAGCTGTTCTGTTAGCACAAATACCTTACATCATTGATGCTTTTCTGCCGCTCCGCACGAAAGACCATCTGGCAGAGCTTTATCCTACGCCCAAGAATATTAGAAATTCGATTATCCTCCTTGTCGTTTCCGTGCTGGAAACTGTTGTCCTATTTGCACTTTTTCCGGCCTTCTTCCTCTTTCCCGGACTTGCATTCGCCGTTGGCATCTTTGTGGTCTTTCTAATTCTGTACCTGCTCTGTCTTCCGCTGCAAGGGAAAAGAGTAGTATTCGCCGCCCAGAATCCCGCCGATTGGCAGAAGTTTAGCAAAGAGCGATGGGTCTTTGTCAACGGTATCATGACCAGGTAATCTTCCCTGCTGGTGGAAACCTTTTGCCGCACTGATGCTTTCATTGCTATATGCATCAGAGTCCATGAAGCCTTTTCGTCGATGCAATGATTCCTTTCTGTCAAGATGACATGTGCTTTCCCTTCTGTTTTTCCAACTCTTTCTATTTTCCAAGCCACATAAGGCATTAGTGATTGATGTTGTTAACGCGACTGCTCTACAGCCATTACGGTCTCCAGAGGAACTGTGAACGACTGGCAGAGACATTCGGCAGGCCAATTGTCGGCGTGCACAATAGAAGGTAAAGCCTAGCAATGAAGTCGTTTTGGCTCACTCAGAAGTCATTGAAATTGTTCAAAAGCTAATCTTGTTTTATTTTTTTCCCTCCGCTTCAGCTATGGGATAATACACGACCTTATAGAATGCCTGTTTCAAAGGTGCTTTTACCTCAACACTACCGACGGCCGGATCACTTTTGCGTATTTGCGGGATTACGTGCTTGACCCCTCTGTGGAGAAGGTCGTCCTAATCGGGCATTCTCAAGGCGGCCTCATTGTGTCGTTGGTGCTTGATAAGATGTTTACCACGTTGGATTCCGAGAACCTCAGTAAATTGGTAGGTCTCGCTGCATTATTCCATTCCTTTATCTCTCCTCCCGCTGTCGTCATATTTCCAAGATAGACGCTCTTTTTCCACTAATAAAACATGGGCTACAGGAGGTCTACACGTTCGGCTCCGCTGCTTCGCATTTTGACAATCCCCGATCCAGCGCGAGTAGACCGCAGACCCGCATCATCCGCCATATAGAACATTTCTGCAATGAAAAGGATCCAGTTACCAGATGGGGCGTCTTGTACAATGCGCACAAGACAAAGTACGACTTTGAGTATCATGGCAGAGTATTCTTCCGTCGCAATGCATCTGGACATCTCTTCACGCAGCATTACAATGACGTCTGGTTTCCGTATCAAGATGGGTCCAATGGCACCAATGGTCTGACTCCAAACGGAAACGATAATGGAGTTGACGTTGAAAGCCCCGAAGGAGATGAAGAGCGGCAAAATTTGTCGAACGCTAGGCAGATATCGCGACTCTCGGAATACGTCGGTGGCAGGGAGCCTGACAGTGCTTAGTACTTTTCAAACATATCATTACTGGTAATTGCTTCTCAATTCAATGTCAAGCTGGCTCTTGTTTCACTTTGCCGGCTCCGTCAAAAGTAAGATTTTTTTGGCAGAAAAATATTTGGATCATGCTAAAAGTTTGTGAAGGAACCGCACGCCTCGCCTGGAAGTTGAACGCCTCGCTCAAGTACGGAGTACAGAAATATCTAACGGGACAAGAAAGCCTCTATCAACCCCGGATGCGTCTAAAGTCCTCAACTGCCTCAGGTCTGCAGGAAAAGCCAGCGGAGCATCTTTTGGATGCTACCAGTGCCTGAGCGGATCCCCTCGTCGCAACGGTCGCTTTCCACATGCTGGACGAGACCACTAACGCTATTAAATGTCACTCCGCAATCGCGATCAGGACACTTGAAGATGTATGGTCTGTGAGCTGTGGATTCCAGATGTTGTTTTAAGCTTAAACCATGGGGAAATGACTTGCCGCAGTAGGGGCATTCATAAAATTCGTCATAGTAATCGCGGTATTCTGAAAGATCAGAGTCGATTGACAGGCGTCGCTCCCGACTGAGTCCCTTGACCATGTACTTTTTAGACTGAAAGCATTCCGCTGCAATGTCAATTAGTCGGTCGCAGTTCATGCCGGAAGGGCAGTTTCCAGATTCTAGATGAATGATCATGGCTGAGTATTCTGCAAAATCTCTAGTACATCCGAAACATTGTTTATCTCGGCTCAAGTGAGTTCGGGAGTGCTGAACAAAAAGGTCAACATGTGTATTTTGAACAATGGCTAGTGGCTTTAAAGATCGGATCATACCTGGCGATAATTATCGTAGCTTCTGAACCAACGACCACAGTCATCGCACCTATAATTACACAAGGCATATTCAATCTTCCCGTCCGGACCTGCTTCAATGGCCGGGCTCGCGTTGAAGAATTTGGCCTACCTCTCACCCATGATCGGATAGATAAGAATTCTGCATCAGAAACGATCCGATCAGTCAGCGAGTATTCGGAGATAATGCCCAAGCTACCATACCGTACGTATCGTTTCCCCAATATTTCTTGTTCGTATCACGGAAATGTCAATTCGGCTTTCCCAGTTGGGAGACTAAACCTTTGTCTAGGCTAGGCTAACTGAACTTTGTACAAAGTTGGCTACAGGAATTGTCAGGGTCCGGGTGTAACTTTACCAGAAATAGTGAGGAAAATTAGTTAAGCGAAATCTTAGCCATCAGGCCAACTCCAAACCCTGGTCGATGGGCGCGACAAGTGTGCGTTCAGTGGACCTGCGTCCCTCGGTACCTCTGAAGCGTGTACCTTGTAGCAAACTAAAGACCATTCTGGAAATCGGTAGCCTTTGCATGGGTTCCTGAGTAATTACATAATATTTCTCAACCCCTCATCTCCGTTGAAAGAGAAGCAGAGAGAAGCAAAACATAAATTTACGTCATTTGAATATTTTTCCATTTTGCATCGTTGTAATAAAATTACAAAACAATCCTACTCCCTTGCGCTCGGAATTAGGAGCGGAGAATGCAAGAGTTGTGAAGTAGGAGGTCAACAGCCCTCATATTTTTTGTTGCCGGATAAATCCTATTTATTGTGATGGAAGGCGGTTCCTTCCGTGGAAAAACTCACCGTCCGTTACCCGGTCTCGCTTAAGGAGTATATTAGCTGATAAGTTAGTTGACTTCTGAATTAATCATCATCCCGCTTTCCATACCATTTTCGTGTGTCTTTCTGTGGGGCAGCATTACTATTTATCGCCGATATCGAGATAAGATGTGGGGTTGTTCGGTGGCAGGTAACGCCGATGGACGCGAACGGATAGTGCAATAGTCGAGTGTCATCATGCAATGGCCCCACGATTGAGGCCAGTATATAAAGCTTTGGTATTCCTGAATTGTTGCTCGCCGATTTCTACTATAGACTTCATTTAAATTATAGATTGACCGTGCTTGATATTATCCTTTCATTCATAATGACTCGTGTTTTGCTGACTGGTAGGTTCGAACCCCCATTTGGACCTTCTTAAGCTAGGGGGCATCGTACCAATTGACATTAAAAAAATCCAAATATAAAAGGGAATTGACTCTGCTAACACCTGGCAGGGGGCTCTGGCTTCATCGCCGCTCACGTTCTTGACCTTTTACTGAAGAATGGGTATGCTTGAGCCACGATACAAAACTAGACACATCTTCTAATTGCTGGTATTAAGTCACTCCGTTGTCACAACCGTTCGCTCTCTCGAAAAGGCCCAGAAGATCAAGGATGCCTATCCTCAAGTGTCCAAGGACAAGCTCGACTTTGCGATTGTCGAGGACATTTCGAAGCCCGATGCTTTCGACGAAGCCGTGAAATCCGAGCCCCCGTTTGAGGCCGTCCTCCACACGGCCTCTCCTTTCCATTTCAACGTTACGGACGCAAAGAAGGATCTCCTGGATCCTGCGATTATTGGAACCACTGGTATTTTGAAGGCAATTAAGAAGAGCGCACCATCAGTGAAGCGAGTGGTACGGCTACCAATTGTGGACTTATATGAGAGGCTGCGACTAACATGGCATGTTAGGTCATTACCTCGTCTTTCGCGGCTATCTGGGATCAGACCAAGAAGCCCGGCCATGTTTACTCCGAGCAGGACTGGAATCAAGTTACATTAGAAGATGCAGAGAAGAACCCTGCCGATGCGTACAGAGGTAAGCTTACTCCAGAACTATTCTTCTTGGGACTCAAACTCATTTCAATGATAGCTAGCAAGACCTTCGCCGAAAGGGCCGCCTGGGAATTTGTGGAAAAGGAGAAGCCAAACTTTACTGTTGCCACCATTAACCCTCCAATGGTTTTCGGTCCCGTGATCAACTATCTCAATGACCTGTCAAGCATCAACACCTCAAACAGCCGGGTAGCAGATCTGATCCAAGGCAAATGGAAGAACGAGATACCCCCCACCGGCCTCATCCTTTGGGTAGATGTTCGCGTATGATCAGACTCATCCATTTCAAATTCTAGAACTTCTACTAATCAGTCGATAGGACGTGGCTCTCGCTCACGTTAAAGCTTTCGAACTGGATTCGGCAGCAGGAAAGAGACACTTCATCATTGCTGGCTACTACAGCAACAAGGAGACGGCCGATATTGTTCGAAAGAACTTCCCCGAGCTGGCATCAAAGCTCCCTACCGAGAGTACTCCTGGTGGAGATTATCCTGAGGGTGCTAAGCCTGGGTTCGATAATAGCAGAGCGGTCAATGAGTTGGGCATTAAGTTTAGGCCGTATGAGGAGTCTGTCGTTGACCTTGTCAAGTCATTGCAAGCTATTGGAGCGTAAGATGACCGGGCACGTGTTTTGTATCAAGTTCTAAAAATATCCCAGCGCAAATAAAATTTCAGTTTCCCGCCTTTAAATATACTTACATTCGATGCCTGATTTGACGTGGTATGTGGGAGCAGCAAAGAGATCTACGTGTCAACCTTCGGAAGAATAGAGGAAGCTTTACCTTATGATCTGTTTAAAATAGTAATAGTGTCCACATTTCAGCTCTATCAGAGGCCTACGAGCCTGGTCACAGAACGGCTGGACGTTTAATTTCGAACAACGTCCGCGTGACATCATGTGCATCTGAAGGGGCGAAGTTAATTTTAGAATAGACAAGGAACTGATGATAGATGAAAAGAAAAGTATGGTGAGATAGAAAGTTGTATGGTCATCACTGAAATGCATATTACCTTACCCCCCTAAACAACAAATCAGAGAAACGTGAATGCTTTATCGCTTCAGGCCAAGCCTTGTTCAGTAGAGAAGCTTCAAGCGAGATTGGTTGAACCACCCAAGACACGGGGCAAGTATATCAAGCCTCCGAGGCTCGGAACTAGCCGAACGTGTCGGCTATATCACGTAGTAGCACGGAGGCCACCAGTGATACCGGTCGTCCACGCTCATAGTTTCAGCTTCAGCGACACTGCTGAGCTTCGACGACCTTCTCTCAGCAGATTGAGAGCTCATCAATACGAATGGAAAAGTGATTTGAGCTTTGATCGTCCGGCGGGGCCTTTCACTGAGAAAATACCGCCCGCCATGGCTCAGCCGGATACCCTGAACCGTATCTTTCAGGAACTCAAGTCAAAGTGAGTGGACCAGAAAGGAGTTCTCCTGTTCACACGGCGGTTGGCTAATTTTTCTCACAGAAATGATGAAGTGCGCCAAAAGGCAGCATATGAGCTGCTCGATCAGCTTTCTACCGCCTCTAGGGGTACGATATTTGGTTATTATACTTGCTATCGGATATTAATGCTGTAACAGAATTAACCCCGGAGAAATTCCAAGAATATTACAATCTTGTCAATGGCAGGGTCGCGCAGCTAGTAGTTCACAGCAATGATACCAACGAGCGAATAGGTGGCATCCTGGCCCTGGATCGCCTCATTGATTTCGACGGCGATGACGCTGCGCAAAAGACCACCCGCTTCTCCAGCTATCTGAGAAGCGTAATGCGAAGTAATGACACGGCGGCGATGGTTGTTGCTGCTCGCGCTCTAGGTCGTTTGGCTACTCCGGGAGGGACCTTGACCGCGGAGCTGGTGGAGAGTGAAGTCAAGGCCGCGTTGGAGTGGCTCCAGTCCGATCGACAAGAGAATAGACGATTTGCCGCTGTTCTTTCCCTTCGTGAACTTGCTAAGAACTCACCGACTCTCTTGTATGCTTTCGTCCCTCAGATATTTGATGTCATCTGGGTCGCTCTGCGGGACCCGAAAGTTCTTATTCGGGAATCTGCCGCCGAGGCCGCCAGCGCCTGTTTCGAGATTATTTCCGCAAGAGACGCTCAGCTCCGCCAACAATGGTTTTCGCGCATCTACGAGGAGGCTCTGCAGGGCCTCAGGCTCCCTTCTACCGAAGCCATCCATGGCTCACTCCTCACCATCAAAGAGCTGTTCTTACGAGGAGGAATGTTCATGCATGACCATTACCGCGATGCCTGTGAAATCATTCTACGATACAAGGACCATCGCGAGCCCTTGGTTAGAAGACAGATAGTCGTTCTGATCCCAATATTGGCGGCTTATGCCCCAATGGACTTTGTCACGAATTATCTTCATAAAGTGATGGTTTACCTTCAAGGCCAGCTCAAGCGCGAGAAAGATCGAAATGCGGCTTTCATTGCTATTGGAAAGATAGCCAGTGCCGTGGGTAGCGCCATTGCTCCCTACCTTGACGGTATTTTGGTGTACGTGAGGGAAGGACTGAGCATGAAGACGTGAGTATCTTTTTGACCCTTTTCCCTTTGATCTCATTTTAGGTGACTGACTCGTTTCAAGGCGCAATCGGAATGTGAATGAAGCCCCCGTATTTGAATGCATTAGCATGCTTTCGATCGCGGTAGGACAAACTCTCAGCAAATACATGGAAGCTCTGCTCGAACCCATCTTTGCTTGCGGATTGAGCGAGTCTCTCACTCAGGCCCTTGTTGATATGGCTCATTATATTCCACCCATCAAGCCTATGATTCAGGAGAAATTATTAGACGTTTTAAGTCAGGTACTTTGTGGGCGGCCGTTTAAGCCCCTGGGTAGCCCTTCCGGCGGCCTACCTCCCCCAAGCATTGGGGTGAGAGATCATAAAGATCCACTGGCTGTTGAGCAACGAGAAACGGAGATAGCGCTCGCCCTTCATACTCTGGGCAGTTTCGACTTTTCAGGTTGGTTCCCCCCTCATCTATTGATATCAGATACGTGAGACTAAAAGTTTTCCTCAAGGACACGTCCTTAATGAATTTGTTCGCGATGTGGCTATACGCTATGTCGAGGATGATAATCCCGAAATCCGGAAGGCCGCCGCCTTGACTTGTTGTCAATTATTCGTCAGGGATCCTATCGTATATCAAACAAGTCATCATGCTATTCAAGTCGTGAGCGAAGTTATCGAAAAGCTTCTTACCGTGGGCGTTGCCGATGCCGATTCCGATATTAGGAGAACTGTTCTCCTTTCGTTGGACGCTCGATTCGATCGACATCTCGCAAAAGCAGAGAATGTTCGAACTCTCTTCCTGGCACTCAACGACGAGGTTTTCGGCATAAGAGAGGCTGCGATTACTATAATAGGTCGCCTCACCTCGGTCAATCCGGCTTATGTCTTCCCTTCGCTTCGAAAGGTGCTCATCCAAATTCTAACTGAACTTGAATATTCCAACGTCCCTCGGAATAAAGAAGAGAGTGCCAAGCTCCTAAGCTTATTTGTCGCAAATTCGACGGCCTTGATCAAGCCATACGTCGATCCTATGATTACTGTCTTGCTCCCAAAGGCGAAAGATCCTAACGCCGGTGTGGCAGCCACCGTTCTCAAAGCGATTGGCGAACTTGCAACTGTCGGCGGAGAGGACATGTTACCATATGTACCTGATCTTATGCCAACCATCATCGAGGCTCTGCAGGACTTGAGTTCCCCACCCAAGCGTGAAGCGGCACTTCGTACTCTTGGACAACTTGCCAGCAATTCTGGCTATGTCATCGATCCCTACCTCGAACATCCTCAATTGCTTTCTATTCTGGTCAACATTGTAAAGACCGAACAAACGGGAACTCTTCGAAAGGAAACCATAAAGCTAATGGGTATCCTCGGTGCACTCGACCCGTATAAGCATCAGCAAGTGATTGAAAAGTCGCCGGAGAGCCATCTCGCTGCTGAGACGCAACCCGTTACGGACGTTTCGCTGATTATGAATGGCCTGACACCGTCTAACGACGAATACTATCCAACTGTTGTCATCAATACCTTGATGGGTGTCCTGAAAGATACGTCGCTTTCGCAGTACCACTCTGCTGTCATTGATGCAATCATGAACATTTTCAAGACCCTCGGTTTGAAATGCGTTCCATTCTTGGGTCAGATCATCCCTGGCTTTGTGGGAGTCATCCGCAGTTCAGCTCCCGGTCGTCTAGAATCATGCTTCAATCAGCTCAGCATCCTTGTTTCTATTGTGCGACAGCATATTCGACCTTATCTGAAAGAGATTTTGGACGTTGCGCAGGAGTTTTGGGGAGCCACCGCGCAATTGCAAGCAACCATCCTGTCTCTCGTCGAAGCAATTTCTCGATCCCTCGAAGGAGAGTTTAAGGTCTATCTCGCCGATTTGCTTCCGCTTATGCTGGGAGTTCTCGAAAAGGATTCGACGCCGCGAAGATTACCGTCGGAGAGAGTGCTGCATACCTTCCTAGTCTTTGGGGCTAGTAGCGAAGAGTACCTGCACCTCATAATTCCGGTTATTGTTCGGACCTTTGAGAAGCCACAACAACCAACAAGCATTAGACGCCAGGCAATTGAGACCTTGGCAAAACTCTCACGGCAGGTCAATATCTCAGATTTTGCATCGCGGATTATCCATCCTTTATCTCGAATTCTAGCCGGTGGCGATATAATATTGAGGCAGGCGGCCCTCGATACGCTTTGCGCGCTTATATTTCAGCTTGGCCAGGACTATCTCCACTTTGTTCCTATGATCCAGAAGGTCAGTCATTTTCTTTCCATCTTTCGAGTAGCTCAGCTGATAGCCACAGATTCTGGCCATAAACAAACTTACGCACACCAATTATGATCTCTTGGTATCAAAGCTTCAGAAAGGAGAGCCTCTTCCGCAGGATCTCAGCCCTGACGAACGATATAACGAACCTACCGAGGACTCGCCGTTTGCAGATATCGGGCAGAGGAAGTTGCCCGTGAATCAGCAACATCTCAAGAACGCTTGGGAGGCATCGCAGAAGTCCACTCGTGAAGACTGGCAGGAGTGGATGCGACGGTTTAGCGTGGAGCTTCTCAAGGAATCACCCTCTCATGCCTTACGCGCTTGTGCGGGCCTTGCTGGAGTTTATTATCCATTAGCCAAGGATCTTTTCAACGCAGCTTTCGTATCGTGCTGGACCGAGCTATACGATCAGTACCAGGAAGAATTGGTCCGCTCCATTGAAATAGCTCTAACGTCACCCCACATCCCTCCCGAAATATTACAAATCCTGCTTAACCTTGCCGAATTCATGGAGCATGACGAAAAGGCCCTGCCAATCGATATAAGGATGCTAGGAATGTACGCATACAAGTGCCATGCTTTCGCCAAGGCACTCCACTACAAGGAGCTGGAGTTCCTACAAGATCAAAACTCGAGTGCAGTGGAAGCTTTGATTAGCATCAACAATCACCTTCAACAATCTGACGCTGCGATCGGTATTCTGCGCAAGGCACAGAATTACCGCGATGTGGATCTCAAGGAGACCTGGTTTGAAAAGTTACAGCGCTGGGAGGAAGCACTCCAGGCTTATCAGCGTAGGGAGCTCGAGGAGCCAGACTCATTTGAGGTTACTTTTGGCAAAATGCGATGTTTACACGCCTTGGGCGAATGGGACGTCTTGTCATCCTTGGCTCAGGAGAAATGGGTCCAGTCTTCGACAGAGCATAGGCGAGAAATTGCGTCTTTGGCTGCAGCCGCCGCTTGGGGTCTAGGCCAATGGGAACTCATGGACAATTATCTGGCTGCTATGAAGTCGCACTCACCTGACCGATCCTTCTTTGGTGCAATTCTTTCATTGCATCGTAACCAGTTTGACGATGCGGCGCTCCATATTGAACGGGCCCGAGAAGGTCTAGACACTGAGCTGAGCGCTCTGCTAGGCGAGTCTTATAACAGAGCCTACACTGTAGTCGTCCGGGTACAGATGCTTGCGGAGTTGGAAGAGATTATTACCTATAAGCAAAACAGCAACAACCCTGAGAAGCAGGCTACCATGCGTCGGACTTGGATAAAGCGTCTCAAGGGCTGCCAGCGCAACGTTGAGGTTTGGCAGAGAATGCTCAATGTTCGCGCGCTGGTTATTTCGCCAAAGGAAAATCTTGAGATGTGGATCAAATTCTCGAATCTTTGCCGGAAATCCAATCGCATTGGGCTTGCAGAAAAGTCGTTGGATTCCTTGCTTGACATAAGCGATGAGACCTCGTCCATTTCATCAGCAATTCAAGCTCCACCGCAGGTCAAGTATGCGCAGCTGAAATACAAATGGGCAACCGGCGCTCAAGAAGAGGCACTCACGAGCCTCAAGACGTTCACCGCAAGGATGACCGATGATCTTGTTACAGCGAGGGCAAGTATTCCAACTACAAACGGCATTAATGGCAACGGCATGATGCCCTTGACAAATGGAATAAACGGAACTGCTGTATCTACTATCAAGGACTTGGATGAATACTCGAAGCTCCTTGCCAGATGCTACTTGAAGCAGGGTGAATGGCAGGCGGCTCTAAATCGCGGCGATTGGCAGCACAGATTTGTCCATGAAATTCTTGCATCCTTCTCGGCGGCAACTCAGCATAACAAGGATTGGTACAAGGCCTGGCACGCTTGGGCTCTCGCAAACTTTGAAGTCGTCACCTCGCTTACCAGGGCCCAGCCTGAGGTTGTCGTTGTGCCGCAAAATATTGTTATTGACCACGTCGTACCAGCCGTCAGGGGCTTTTTCAAGTCGATTGCCTTGTCTTCCGGAAGCTCGCTTCAGGATACTCTACGGTTGCTGACTCTTTGGTTTGCACACGGTGGCCACCATGAGGTCAACTTGGCAGTTGTTGAAGGTATCGCGTCTGTCAGCGTGGATACATGGCTTGATGTAATCCCGCAGCTGATTGCTCGGATCAACCAGCCTAACGCGAGGGTCCGCCAGTCCATTCATAATCTTCTGGCTGAAGTTGGACGTGTCCACCCGCAGGCTTTAGTGTATCCGTTGACCGTGTCCATGAAGTCGAACTTGGCACGCCGTTCCCGCGCGGCGGCGCAAATCATGGAGACTCTCCGGCCCCATAGCGCCAACCTTGTCGAACAGGCTGATGTCGTCAGCCAAGAACTCATTCGTGTCGCTGTTCTATGGCACGAGCTTTGGCACGAAGGGCTTGAAGAAGCTTCACGATTGTACTTTGGCGACCACAATATCGAGGGCATGCTTGCAACGCTTGCACCTCTTCATGCTCTCATCGACAAGGGACCTGAAACGCTACGTGAGATTTCATTCTGCCAGCTGTTTGGCCGTGATCTCCAAGAAGCGCGAGATTGGTGTCAAACGTATCGTCGCACTGGTGAAGTTGGCGATATCAATCAGGCCTGGGATCTTTATTACCAAGTTTTCAGAAAGATTGCGAAACAGCTCCACCAGATCTGGTCACTTGATTTGCAGTACGTTTCGCCGAAGCTGCTCAATGTTCGTGACTTGGACTTGGTCGTTCCAGGCACATACCAGAGTGGCAAGCCAGTCATCCGGATCGTGTCGTTTGATCCTACATTTACCGTCCTGAATTCGAAACAACGGCCTCGTAAAATGAGCCTCAAGGGCAGCGACGGTAACTCGTACACCTATGTCCTCAAAGGGCACGAAGACTTGCGACAGGACGAGCGATGCATGCAACTCTTTGGGCTGGTTAATACACTGTTAGCAACTGATTCAGAGTGCTTCAAGCGCCATCTCAACATTCAGCGATACCCTGCCATTCCTCTTTCGCAAAACTCTGGACTTCTCGGATGGGTGCCAAACAGCGACACTCTTCATGTCCTCATCCGCGAGTACCGCGAGAGCCGAAAGATTCTTATTAATATCGAGCAGCGGATAATGTTGCAGATGGCTCCAGACTATGACAACCTCACCCTAATGCAGAAAGTTGAGGTCTTTGGATACGCCCTTGACAACACCACGGGCCAGGACCTGTACAGGGTGCTGTGGCTCAAGAGCAAGAACTCGGAATCATGGCTCGACCGTCGTACAAACTTTACACGCTCACTTGCAGTCATGTCGATGGTAGGATATATTCTTGGTCTTGGTGATCGCCATCCGTCCAACCTGATGCTGGATCGGGTTACCGGAAAGGTCATCCACATTGACTTTGGTGACTGCTTCGAGGTCGCCATGTACCGTGAAAAATACCCTGAACGAGTGCCTTTCCGACTCACCAGGATGTTGACCTATGCGATGGAGGTCAGTAACGTTGAGGGCAGCTATAGAATCACATGCGAAGCAGTGATGAGGGTTCTTCGAGACAACCAAGAATCTCTCATGGCTGTCTTGGAAGCGGTAAGTCAAGCCTTTTGCGTTTATACAAAGCTCGGGCTTAAAGCAGAGTTGTTGACCTTGGGACACAGTTCATTCACGATCCGCTCCTCAACTGGCGTCTTGGGAACCGCGAATCGCCTCCTGAGCCATCCTTCCCTTCGGAACGCCGGCAATCGCTTGTCGGAGATCTGGAGCAACGTCCTGAATCTCGACCCCGCGCGCGTCCGGCTCTCATTGATGCTGAACCGGCTGGACATGAGGCTAGAGAAGTACAGAATGCCAGAGCGCTTCAAGTGCTCTCTAGAGTCAAGGAGAAGCTCACTGGCAGCGACTTCACCCCCGGTCGGGAACTCAAGGTTCCGGAACAGGTCGATAAGCTCATCCAGCAAGCCACCAATCTTGAAAACCTCTGTCAGCATTGGTACGGTTGGTGCAGCTACTGGTAGAGTAGGTCGTTGGCCGCAATTGGATATCATAGTGGCTGGCATAGGGATTTATTCATGCTCGGAGTTGCTACGGAAGCGCTAAACATTTCAGGGATAACGTTTCGATTTGCCCGATTATTATTTTCCACAGTTTTCCCCAATTTCTTTGTGACATATTACTTCCTTGTCTTATAACACATTGGGTGGAACTTGAACTCTGGCGTTTGGCTAAGTCTAGCATCGGGGATTGGTCGTTTCTTTTTGTTATTGAATGTTGCTATCTAAGGGTCGTATTCAAGTGCCGTTGCCTTTTGCAATGGCTTTTACTTTAATTAACCAATTTTTCTACACTAATCAATCATTTTCATGGATTCAATTTGCCAATTTGATAGTTGTCTTGTCGAACGTAGTAGATTTTGCAGTTGCATGTCCAAAGGGTTCAGGGTGGTGCAGCGTTGCTAGAGTCGCGCATTCGCCGACTGCCGACATGCTGGTCCAGCCGAACGCGAGCTACGGCAGTAGATCTACAGTCCGAACGTCAGACTCAAGGGACCTTAAACCTCCGGCTAACAGCACAAAACTCTTCTATTCCATATAGGTAGCTTATGGCCTCCACGGTCTTTACGTCCCAGGCTCAAATCAGGTTTTACTCCTCATATCACTGTTTTACGAGAGCCAAAAGTACCCTATCGCATTGACCAGACTACATACTCTCCTGTCTGCGCTCCTAGTTCATAATCACCCACCACCGATAAGCTCTGCGCAGCATTTCCCCCTGCAATTCGCAGTGCGCCGCCATGGTAGCCTCACTACCCATCTTCTTCCCTCTATCCAGAATGTCGATCCGGTTTCCATCATCATTGTCATCGTCATCTTATATATACGCAGTCTTGTCCGCGCTCGTGTTCTTTGCGTCTTGCACTTCTGCTACTAGTACGTTGTCCGCTGTCCGCTGTATGCCTGCATTGCCTGCGCGCCATGCCTTTCGGCCTTTTGTCAAGAAGGGAGAGGGATAATCCATCGATTGGTGAATCCCAGGAGGTTCGATAATTCACGAAAGCAGGGAAATATGGAAAGAGGGAAAGGGGAAGATAGCTAACTGCAGCTCCAATTTTAGCACCCACGTCCTTTTGCAAATGCACCTGCTTCAACACGAACAGCACAATCATCCCTCTGACGCCGCCGAGCGATGGCAACCCCGGAGCGGCAGCGACGACGTGCGCGGATTGCAATCGCTCGTTTTGTCTCGAGTATAGACTGCCGATATGTAAAGGGGCACGGGAGGAGGATATATTCACGACGTGTTTTCGTATGTTTACCTCGTAACCTCCACAATT